CTGACAACAGCAACGCTGACAACAGCAACGCTGACAACAGCAACGCTGACAACAACGACGCCGGCAACAACGACGACGGTAATAACAACGCCAACAACAACGCAGACAACAACGACAACGGTAATAACAACGCCGACAACAACGCAGACAACAACGACGACGGTAATAACAACGCCGACAACAACACAGACAACAACGACGGCGGTAATAATAACGCCGACAACAACACAGATAACAATGACGACGGTAATAACAACGGTAATAATAACGCAGACAACAACGCCGACAACAATGCAGACAACAACGCAGACAACAACGCAGACAACACGAATGATGCTAATGTCAACACCTTACCCATCAGCGATGCAACCTTTGAGGCTGCAAGTCTGGATATAATCTCAGACGGGTCAGGCGATAGTGACGCTCTGGAACTTTCTGAGTCCCCTCCATCCATCGTGAATTCGGACAATCCTGTAGGGGACACAGGCGAAAGCCACACCTCAGATTCTGCAACAGGAGGCCAAGCGGTGCCTCTTCCACGGGGTCCGAGCGACCAATTCACCCTCGCTCTTCCAGTCAATGTTAGCAGCACTGCAACCATGATGGCAGCAACCTTTGGATCGGTTACCATGTCTGTGCTCTTTAAAAGTGTGTGGAGTGTTGTACTGTCTTCTGCCCAGATGATGGAGCCCTATTATCAATTGGGTGAATCCGGGAACTATCGAGCAGCCGACTTGTCCATTACAAGACAATACCTTTCTGGAGAGACTGATTTCAGCGATCTGGACCCACGAAACAGACGTTGGTCGATATTGCTGACAACCATGATTGGCCTTGTGTTGGACCTTCAGGCATCCGTCGCTTCCGAGGCCATGACGGTTCAAGCTGGAGCAACTTGCAACACCGGCGGAGCAACCAGGCTATGTGACCCTATATGGACTATCAACTCGGCCGTTCTTCGCGGACTCCAGGTCACTCTCCTTCTTGTAGGGATCTCCATCATCCTGTTGATCTGGCAAAATTGGACACGTCGAAGCCACATTTCCACCTACCCGTGTAGTCTTGATGCTATGGCATCAATGCTTGGAAACTCGGACCCAAACATGATCAACACGTTACGGCAGATAGATCCAAACGCAGATGATGAGACGGTTGCCAAATTCTTGAAAGGCAAATACCTCTCTTTAAAACAAATCGAGACTGAGCGCGGTCAACCAGCCGTAGGGATTTCCATGTACGTCCGAACAACTGCGAAAGAATTCGATCAGCAACAACATCGCAACATATCTCGAAGAACACAACCACCCTTTTGGCTGCTGAATGTACGTCGTCACGTGGACGCGATCAAAAATTCTTCAACGGCACTTTGCAATTGGGCGCTATTCGGTGTTCTCCTCGCGTTTGCCATTACCGGCAATGACAGTTACGAGGTCAACGTACTTGGACCACTTAGTGGGAATAAAACTAATTCTTGGAAGTTCATGAATGGAACGAGATTTGGGCCACGAATGCTGATGACCTATCTTGTCTCTACGTTGCTCATTCCGTTTTGGGAGTACATGGAGCTGAAGGCCAGGGTCCTGACGCCGTATCGGCGCCTCCAAAAGTCGAAGGGATCGGGGAAACATTTACTAACCATGCGTCTACACGGTACTCCCTTTGTTTCGTTTTTCCATGCTGTGTGGCAGGGAAATTGGTTCCAGGCGTTTATGGCAGCTCTGGCAGTCTCTGGCTACTTTTTGCTGATAATGATTGCTGGGGTCCCTTATAATTATGGACAAATGGCCAAGATTTCTTTTTGGAGCACCGTCGCAAGTGTCGCCATATTATTTTTCATGGGTGTTGGAATGTTGGCTCTTGTCTTCTGGTATCGAAGCAACCCCAAGATGCCACGAGAGCCAACTACATTGGTCAATACTTGGCTGCTGTTATGTGGAAGTCGTCTTTTAGAAGAGTTCCGCAACAAGTCGCTGAAGGAATCCAGACAAGAAATGAAACAGGCAAAGGGAGAGTACTGGTTTCGGAAAGGGATGGGAGTAGATGGAGTAGAGCGCTGGATGGTTGAGGTAGACCACCCTTACCAAGGCTGAAGTGCTTTACTATAATGCCGTGTGGGATCTGTGGACTCCCATTACAATGAGAACTGTAAACTCCCCCGCTGTAATGGCAATGAATGATACATAGACATTATTTCCATGACAATGAAGTCTTCAGCTTTCGTAATCACCATCCCGGTGTGGTATTGGGTGGTCGAGAACACCTCGTCGGAGATTTCAGCCCCACACCGTCATAATGGAAGCCCCAGCATCGCTTCATCGGCACTAGAAGAGCGAGGAGCCCGAGGGGCCCCAGCTACAGCTCCGTAGACTTCAGTCGAAACAACGCCAGTGCAAGCTTAGCTTCGGATTTACTCAAATGGTTGGTCTCAAGGCTTCGGGCAGTGCAGTATACTTAAACTTCCAGTAGAGATAGTTTTCTGCTGGTCAGGTCAAGAGAGTGGTCTAGTCCGTTGGGGTAGCCTTACCAGGAAAATACCCAGTTGCACCCCGTAAATTTGCTTTCCCGGGCCCCATCGAAAAGAGGATGACTCCCTAAGCCTTTGTACCTGGGTGCGTACTCCGTAGTAGACGAAGTTGTTGGAGGTGTAAAGCGGAGAGAAGGGGGTATGAGGGTTGAGTTTTCCGATATTCGGGAAAACCTCCACAACCTCTTTGTCGGCATTTGCTCCGAGTGCCAACAATCCTTAGACAACGATCTTGTTGCCGTTGTTGTGGAAGAGCAAACTACCGAAGACGTTCAGCACTCTCTTAGCCAACATTGGAGTGAGCAAGTGTTGTTACCCAAGCTCACCACTACCTGACGCTCCCGTCTGGCGGGCTAATTATCACTTTCATATACTTGCTAGATTACTCACCATGTGTTGAGCCAGTGCTTCATCAGATTGCTCATTTATATGTCTGTCCTCCTACCTCCCAGTGCAGACCAAGAATTTATTTTATCACCGCGTATCTGAAGAACCCCAGAAAGAGCTCAGAGAGCCCCACAAGACCAGCTTCCGGAGTATCTATCCACCTGGAGGCTTGATTTTGTGGGATAAATCCGGGGCTTTCTAAAAGTTTAGTAGATGGCCTCGAGGCGGTGGAAAGCAGCACAATGCGGAGAACCGCTCGTCCGTCCCATAAAGGCAGCGATTGTCCACCACCAACACCTTGACTGTTCAATCGTGGTAAGGTCATATCTGTCTTGATCTGATTCCTTTACTCACCAGCATTTGTGTTACAACTGTTCTTGACCTTTCTTTCCTCATGCCTCTCGGAGTGCTTGAAGACCACAAGTTGGAGCATGTGCCCGGCACTGCCCCTCTGAATGAACTCGGTCGCGAAGATCAAAACATCTCTGGCATCGAGCCGGGTTTGCTCAAACATGATCCCAGCGGCGAAATCGTTTTAGTACCTCAACCTAGTGATTCTCCAAATGACCCGTACAACTGGTCGCGCACCAGGAAGGAGCTTTTTACCCTTACATTTGCCTATGGCTGTGGCTGCGTTGGAGGTATGTCACACCCGACTCCATTCCAACTTTTGCTTGTTTTTTTCCCCAGAGGAGACTGACAGGAAACCTTTAGCCGTGGGCCCGCTGCTCGGAGCCGCATTCGTCGAGCTTGCGGAAGAATGGGACGTGTCACTGACACAATTCGTTGCGGGGGCACAGGGCGGTGTCATTTCTGCTATCGCCATAGGATCCCTTATTTTCAATGCGCTGGCAGTGAAATATGGCAAACGTCCCATCTACCTCATCACCTCGGTCGGTCTTGCGGCTACCTGTTTCTGGGCAGCCGAGGCCAAGTCATTCGGATCCTTTGTCGCTGCGCGGGTGGTACAAGGACTTTGCATGGCTCCAATGGAGGCATTAGTCCCTGCTTCGATCGGTGACATCTGGTTCGTTCATGAACGTGGTTTTCGCACAGCCATTTTCAATCTTGGGGTCCTAGGAGGAATAAACTTGGCCACACCGATCGGTGAGTGGATCTGCGACCGAATTTCTGAGTTGATATCTAATTCGTGGCTAGCTGGAGCTATCATTCAAGCTAGCAACTGGAAAGTGACGATGCACGCCATGGGCGGAGCCTTTGTTCTTCAACTTATTCTGACATTTTTCTTTATGCCCGAAACTGCTTATCACCGCAGTGGAGCCATCAATATCGATACTGGAAGAGCAAACGTCGAAACCGAGAAGCAACAAGAGTTTGACCATTTCGAGAGCTCTGGTGAAAAGGGTACAACAGTCGCCGAGACTTCAAGTGATACTGTGGGTGAAACTAAGAAGACATTCTGGCAAGATATGAAGCCGTGGTCTGGATACGTCCATCATATCTCACTGGTGTCTACGATGCTCCGCCCATTCTTCCTTTTGGGTTCTCCCTCTGTGGTATGGGCAACGCTGCTCTTTACCACTTGCATTTCGTGGCTGGTAGGCATCTCCATCACCATTTCCCAGATCTTTTCAGCACCACCGTACAACTTTTCGGTCAGCTCGGTTGGTGCAACGAATGTTTCGTCCTTTGTTGCATCAGTACTTGGGACCCTAATCGCCGGGCCCGCAATCGATGGAATCGTGAAATTCATGGCACGACGAAATAAGGGCATCTTCGAGCCAGAATTTCGTCTGCCCATCATGGTCACATATCTCTTGTTTACAGCTACTGGTTTCTTTGGCTGGGGACAGGCAGCATATGCCCAGGATCCATGGCCGGTACCTGGTGAGTGGTTTTTCCCGTCCTTGTCAACGAATGGCGTTGTGAATCTAACTCGTCTATAGTGGTTGTATGCATGGGTCTGATCAATCTTGGAGTACAGCTTGGCACTACAGGTGTGGTCACATATGTTGTTGACTGTCATCGTGAACAAGCGGGTGAAGCATTTGCCACCATGAATGTAAGTCAAAATGTGTTCGCAAAAGCTGGCTCGAGAGGTGCCTAACTGCAGATGCTCTAGTTCATCAAGAATTTCTTTGCGTTTGGCATGACCTTCTACATCAACGAGTGGATCGCCGTTCAAGGCGTTCGCGATTGCTTCTTTACAATTGGAGGCATCACGGTTGCATGCACACTGACGACCATTCCTATGTATGTCGCCTTCCTTGAATCAAAAAACCTGCTGCTAATTAACATAGGTATATCTTTGGAAAGAGAAGCCGAAGCTTCGTGGCCAGACACAATATTGCAAAGAAGGCAGTGTAGGAAAGGACGGACAGTGGATGGATCGAATCGGTTCGACGTGCGCTAGTTTCGATCGGCCTAAGATCGGGCCGATGAAACTAGTCCTACTCTAAGGTAGCTTTTACAGATTCATGTACCTTGTTCTCCTCTCGGTCCCGCGTGTGATTAGACTTATAATGTCAGCATCGAGGCTTGAACGGTGGAAACGGTGGAAGCAGAGAGACATGGCGTGTAGAAAGTGGACTACCATATATACCATGTTAATCCAATCAAAACGACCCCAGAAGGATGTGCATGAACTACGCGATCTTTTTCCTTCTCGATTGATCTGCAGTACAGGCTGGCATGAACCATCACGCAGCGTTTTGGGTATCGAGGAGCAAAAGGCGAAGCGGTGGATAATTATCCACCCTAGTATCTCTAGTATGGCGGAGCACAAGGTGGTATATCTCACGGCCCCGAAGCGGAAATGTTCCCGGTTCTTGGCAAAATATTTTTTGGGAAACTGCGACTTTCTGCATTTCCAGGCCCAACAACATCTCACGCCTTGTTCTTGATCACTCAGACAATCCTTTCACTCGGCCTTCTCTGCAAACGAGACACCCGCATGGTTCATTGCTATCCCTGACTCACAGTTTTCACGATGGGAAAACAGGCCAAGGCCACGAAGAAGTTCGAAAAGAATCGCCTCAAGAGTACCCTCGACCGGAGAAAGGAATACGCAAAGATCAAGCAGCGACATCAACAAAATGCAAAGAGAAAAGAACGATCGGCGAAGCGGTCAGGATCCACACAGGATGCCTCAGAATCAGACGAAGAGGTTACCAACGACAACAAGGTCGACATGAACGATGACGATTTCTTTCGAGATTCGCTCGAGATTCCTCGACCAGAGACATCTTCTTCCGCCAAGGCTCATTCCTCGAAACGAAAGAGAGATTCTGAAGAAGTTCTAAAAGGCGCTGACTCCGACTCAGAGATTTCTGAGGGAGGACAAGACCCAGATGATCACAAAGGACAATTAGCCTCGCTGGCGGAAAAAGACCCTGAGTTCTACAAGTACCTTCAAGACAATGATGCTGAGCTCCTTGACTTTGACGAGGATGACGATCTAGCCGCGGTCGATGATCTCAGCGATTCAGAGCCACGATCTAAGAAGCAGAAAGTTGAGGACTCGGACACGCCCATCGATGTTACATTAGTCATGGTTCAGAAGTGGAAGTCTTCATTGGAAGAGTCTTTCTCAATCAGAGCTTTGCGTCAGCTGACTCTTGCATTCAGAGCCGCCGCACATGCAGATGATGAGTCCGAAAACGTCTTTCGATACGCGATTCCCACTCCAGAGGCTTACCACGAAGTTCTCGTCACATCTCTCAAGCAAGTCCCCATTGTCCTTGCTCACCATCTTCCCGTCAAAGAATTGGCTGGAGGCAAACTCCGAATTCCCGCCGACTCCCCCAAATTCAAAACCCTCTCCCCTCTCATTAAATCACATGCATCGTCCCTCTACTACCTTCTCGGCCACCTGTCAGACACAAACACCTTGAGACTTTCTCTTCAGGCGCTTGAACCTCTGTTGCCCTATCTGCTTCAATTCCGCAAGTTTCTCAAGGCTGTCATTAAATCAGTATCTGCCATCTGGTCAGACAATTCTTCCGATGAAGCAACCAGGATTACGGCTTTCCTGATAATCCGCAGGGTCATGGTGATTGGTGATGCGGGACTGCGTGAAACCGTTCTGAAATCTACCTATGAAGGTGTGATCAAAGGCAGCCGAAACACGACCATCCATACACTTGCGGGTGTAAATCTAATGAAGAACTCAGCTGCCGAGATTTGGGGCATCGATCAGAAAGTCAGTTACACAACTGGCTTTACATTCATCCGGCAACTTGCTATTCACTTGCGAGGCAATATTACCAAGCCCACCAAGGACTCTTACAAGACCGTCTACAACTGGCAGTTCGTCCACTCCCTTGACTTCTGGTCTCGCGTCCTGTCAACACACTGCAATTCATTGATTGAAGCCCAAAATGGCAAGCCATCACAACTCCGACCACTCATCTACCCAGTCGTTCAGGTCACATTAGGTGTTATGAGGTTGATTCCCACCTCCACCTATTTCCCCTTACGCTTTCTGTTGATGAGATCCCTTCTACGAATATCTCAGGCCACGGAGACGTACATCCCTCTTTCAGCCGCCCTTTTGGAAGTACTAAACTCGGCCGAAATGAAGAAGCCGGCCAAGGCTTCTACACAAAAAGCCCTGGATTTTGCAACAAACATTCGAGCGCCTGCTGCCTATCTCAAGACCAAGGTCTATCAAGATGGGGTCGGTGAGCAGGTAGTGGAAATGTTTTCGGAGTTTCTTGTTTTATGGACCAAAAGCATTGCATTTCCTGAGTTACAACTCCCTCTCATTGTCATGCTTAAGCGATGGATCAAGGCGGCGTCCAAATCAGGAGGCAACAAGAATGCTAAGCTGAATCAATCGCTTCATCTACTCGTTCAAAAGGCTGAAGCCAACGCCAAATGGATCGAAGGCCGTCGAAATAAAGTCAATTTCTCCCCAAAGGACCGTGTTGCAGTGGAAGGGTTTCTCAAAGATGTTCAATGGGAGGAGACGCCTTTGGGGGCTTTCGTCGTCACACAAAGAAAGCTTAGAGATGAGCGAAAGAGGGTGGTAGACCAGGGTCGCAAGGAGCAGGCGCAACGGAGAGGAAAGGAGGTCGAAGAAGACAGTGATATTGCTTTCGATTGAGCTTCGCTGATGCCCTGCATACGACAGTTGTGATGGTTAAAATTCAGTAATACTCAGGTGTTGGTACACGAGCCACGGCGTTCGCTCATGTGCCATGCTTGTCTGTCCACTCGATGCACCTCGTTCTCATCACTCTTTGTGTCATGCTGTGGACCTGACATGTCATATGTCCATACTTAGACGTAGCCATCCACGCCTGTTGCAGCAATCAGGAGTCCAGATCGAGTCACTCGCCCATCGCTTGGATGTTCTATCTTGAGTGGTTCTAAAGGCTCTTTCGTATTCGTGGACGAAGTTCAACGTCCTTTAAATGGCGAGATTTCAAGTTGTAGTGTGTGTGACTTGTTGAGGCAGAGTGCGGTTAACTGTTGAAAAGAGTGAACCAGTCAATCAATTACCCACGTCCGCCCACGCCTCATTTCACCTGATGTCAAGAATTTCATACTGACAGGCAGCAGAACCACCCACGTTCAGGATTCGGTGAAACTACTGTGAGGTGACATGGTGGTGGACGAGCCCCCTCGGGCCCCTGGCGCTTGACCGCTTTGATGCGGCATCACCGGTTATCTTAAGTGATTGACCAAGACCGATGCTGCACACATCAGGTGATCGCCCCTGCCAAAGACCCAAAGACCCTTGAACAGCCACGATCTGCCCAACGGTGAGAGACAAGTCCCACGCGCGGCCAGGCATCATATAAGATCTTGCACAGTTGGATTCGCTTCCAGGGCGGGATCCGTGGGCCGTCCGAGACGCACGTTCCTTACTTCAGCATACGTCACAAGATGCCACAGATTGCTGACCACGTTGAGTTTCTCGTAACATGAATTGCCGGATGATGATCTCAGCCGCGACGAAGGTTGGCTCATGGCCGAGGGGCCTCGTATTGTTTAAAAGCTCGTCGACTCACGTTACGTTCCCTCCTCAGACCTTGGGCTATCCCACGCACTGCCCTTCCAGCGCTCTCGAAGGCTAGCTGTCGACCTTTGCCACCTGTAACCTGCGTCTTTTACTTTCACCTGGCTTGGGCAGGAAGTACTGGTACTTTCTTCTGTGGAAACAAAACTCATAAATTCGCTGGGCCTGCTGGTCGAACGCAAGAGAATCTTCATACTGTTTATGTGTGTGTGTATGTAAGTAACTATGGGTGACGCCAAAGCCAGACATAGCACCGAGGTCCATCGTGACTTTGTGGCTCAACCACCTGAATATCATCGCAGAAGGTCCATCAGCATCAAGACTGAGAATGTGGAGGTTGCAACCAGTCTTAGTGTAAGTGTTTTCAGGCAAATTCCATGCTTGGGTCTTCCCAGCGCGTCAATCCTAGCACCTCAATTCACTCACGGACTTGACAGGAATTATGGGCCGGAATAGCAATCCAAGAAGAGAACGACAAGACGGTCAACATTGGTTTCGCAGTGCATGATGGCACATATAGCGTGGATTTTGCAATCCATCGCATCACGATAGAAGAAGAGCCAGGCCCCGAGGGGGACTGGATCGTCGATCACATTGTCCCTGCGATCGCGAACTACCGGAAGGAGCACGTGTGCAAGATACTCGGGGCCGGTATAACCACCGAATTGCATAAAAAGAGTCCCAATCTTTGCTCAAGGCTTTGGGCTGAGCTGGATATCATTCCCATTGTGGTGGAATCCAATGTCCCTCTTCTGGACAACCAGCAACATCACCATAGCTTTCAAGTCGATGAGATCGCAGATTCGGCTGCTCGAAAATGTTTAGCGTGAGTATCAGTCTTCTTTGATACACCATGGTCGATTCCTGACGCTGCCAATAGTTTGTTTGCGCCAACCAAGCAACCCCGGCTGGCCATCACATATCGAAATGAGGTCGAGCCCGACTATGGTCTGATGATTCAGCTGACCACGGTGGATGATTACAGACGGTCTGTTAGAGAGCCGACATGGAGAGCGGTTCAGAAGTACATCAAGGAGGTAGTGGATCGCAAGCTTAGGATCGTGTACTTCAGCGCCACGCCCCAAGGAGGTGGCGTTGCGTTGATGAGGCATGCGCTGCTGCGATTCCTCAAGGTGCAGAACGTGGACATAGAGTGGTGAGCTTGACACCGTTCTATACAAGACTTTCGGAAGACGTTCACTGATTATCCGCAGGTTTGTTCCCAAGCCTCGGCCAGATATCTTCCGGATCACCAAGACCAATCACAACATCCTCCAAGGAGTGGTACCACCCGAGATACATGCCACTGACGAGCAACTTGGAAAGATCAAATCGTGGATCATCGACAACGCCGAGAGATACTGGCTTGGAGAAAATGGTCCGCTAAGGCCCCCATCGGAAGGAGGTGCCGACGTCATCATCATCGACGACCCGCAGATGCCGGAGCTGATTCCAATCGCTAAGCAGCTGGCTCCAGAGCGACCTATCATTTTCCGAAGCCACATTGAAGTCCGAGACGATCTGGTGCTCGAAGAGGGCAGTGCAGCGCAGCATGTTTGGGGCAACATGTGGTCGAGTATCAAACAGGCCGATGTTTTCATCAGTCATCCTGTCAAGAGCTTCGTGCCGAGCGACGTAGTGCCCGAAACGGTGGGATGGCTCCCTGCAACAACAGACTGGTAAGTTTCCACAGAAGCGAACCACGGTCTTTAGCATGGCTAGATGGCTTACTTGTCGAACTTTTGTTCTTTTCTAGGCTCGATGGACTCAACAAGGACATGGATGAGTGGGATCTTCAATACTACATGCACGTGCTGAGGCAGACATGTCGATCCCAGGGCATTCCTCAGCTAGCCTACCCGAGCAGAGGCTACTTTGCACAGATTGCTCGCTTTGATCCATCCAAGGGAATCCCAGACGTGATCAAGAGCTACGCTCGTTTCCGAGAATTGATGAGCGACGAGCTGGAGCGCAATGTGCATCAGCTCATCATCTGTGGCCATAGTTCAATCGACGACCCAGACGGAAGCTTGGTCTATGATCAAACGATGGATTTGATTCACAGGGATCACGCCGATCTCGTGGACGACATCATTGTCGTCCGCCTTGGGCCTAGTGACCAGATCCTCAACGCCATTCTGTCGCAGTGTACGGTTGCGTTGCAGTTGTCCACGAGAGAAGGATTTGAAGTCAAGGTGTCGGAAGCATTGCACAAGGTGAGACTCGCTTTAGCGTCAACTACAGCAACATCAAGCATGTAATTGCGTACTGACTGTGGTTCTAGGGCAAACCCATCATTGCCACTCTCGCCGGCGGCATCCCTCTCCAGGTGGAGGACGGAAAATCAGGCTACTTGGTCAAAAGAGGAGATCATGAAGCGGTTGCTAAACACCTGTACGACCTGGTGACCAATGGTGACCTCTACGATGAAATGAGCGAGTACGCCAAGACCCACGTCAGTGACGAGGTACACACGGTGGGAAATGCGGTCAGCTGGCTGTATCTTGCTTCATCACTTGCTGGTGGCAGTAAATTGAAGCCGAACATGAGATGGATCAATGACCTTGCCAGGGAGGCTGTCGGTGAGCCGTACGAAGATGATGAGCCCAGGTTGCCGAGGAATTTGTCTACTTAAAGGATCGGTGGTACTCTACACCCTTTGTGGCTGGAAGATGATGTGTCACATGAAAAGCGTTATAGGAAAATTGGGCCTGGATGGGAGGGAATTGGGTTCTCGATTTAGGCACACGAAAAGGAAGGGAATGGAACCTATGATTTTGGTTGCTCGTGCACAAAGTGGAATCCTCAGTTTATCCTGTCTACATACCACATGTCAATGTGCATCAAGCAGAATATTTCAAGAGTGTTAAATTGGGTTTCCTTCTTGACCAAGCTAAAGCTAAAGCACCGATATGCTCATTCCATGACAAAACCAGAGCAATTCCGCGTCGGGACCGCGTTTTAGACAATTTTGTCATTGATGGTCTGAGGCGTAGGCACGGTCTGCTCGAAAGACGGTCTGGCTTCCAGTCTATCACTATAGGCTTTCATGTTGGGATGGTCATGCTGCCAAGGATGGTCTGGGAATCTGACTCGGAGATAGCCCAAGACGGACCCGGCGGCGATGTCGGCGATTGAGAATTGATCATCGATGAGGAAATGTTTTTCTCCGATCCAATCGGCCAGTTGTTTGAGACCTCCGTCGACTTTGCGCCTCTGCCTGGCTGTCCATTCCTGGCTGGGTGACGGGCGTTGCTTTTCGAAAAACATGAGTACGCTGGCATCGCAGATGCCGTCAGTGATGACTGGTTATAGTTAGGAAGGGATGCGAGGAGGACAGTGGGCAGCGATATATCGGTGGTGGGAAGATCTAGTAACAATGCTAGAGGGTGGAAAGCGAGGAAGGCTCACCTTGGACCTTCTTTGCGAACAACTCGCACTCTTTCTTTTGCGGTATTAAAGCTACATATTCGGGGGGTGGGTACTTGAATTCGATCCATTCAAGGATGAAATGGGATTCATATACAGCATCGTCGTCAGACGCCTCAGTGTCGATGAGAACGGGAAGCTTCTCCAACGGGTTATGCTGCGGTGTCTGTGTCGTATTGTCCCAGGGCACTTCGGTCAAGAGATCAAATGGAATAGATTTTTCCAGAAGAGCAATGCGGACTTTTCTCGCATAAGGCGAGCTTTGATGTTGATTCAGTCCAAGTGTGGAGCATGGGAGAAATGCTTAGGGAGTACTTACGGAGTCGCTGAGATTAGTTTGAGCACCATAGTGGCGCGTCCACGGAGTATCAAATAGCTACAGGAAAGAGAAAGCTGAAGTTAGAATGGGTCCAAACCCGACTCCACGGGCTGCATGCTTATCGAAGATAGATTGAAATAGCTACATGGGTGGGAAGTGGTGTCATTTCTTCAATGATGTCAGGGTCTTCTTTCGTAGAGAAGCAGATGGTGCTTTCTACGAAGTATATGGGCATGATAGTGTTGAGTTTATGGCTGAGTGTGTCTCGAATGGTTATTTTGTGTAATTGAACAAGTCCTTTAACTCATTTGTCAGGATCTAGGACTGTGCTGCAATATTGCTAAGATCACACAACTGGTTCTTAATGCGAGCGTCTTCATTCTTTTGGACCCCGTCACCTACGAGAGTGTCATCTACAATGACTAACTTAGGGCTAGGAAAAGAAGACCAGGCACCGAAGGTTCCCTGAAGAACCTCGTCCGGCTGATGAGGGGAAGCACCTCATATGTCGGTCAACACGGGTGCAATGCCGACTGAGAGTTGTATCTCCAGTATGTAAATGGTAAATGGGCGTAAGTCGTGGGGACCTCGTTCGAGATCAGTGATAGTGATATCATGTCCCCGCACCCCCACGCACGTGTCGTGCCTGCCTGCAACGGGAGTGGATCGACATGAATCGTCCCCCGCACTTTCCCACTTTACCGTCCGACCACCCTCCGGCAAAGGTAGGAGCGACCAGGGCAAGCGGAAATAGGAAAGAACCCCTGTCAGAACAGGAACATCATCATAGAACTCAATAGACGCCATAACGCTTCTACATGGTAGGCTTCCAACCCCTCTCCCCAGTTGCATTGATCCCTGATTCTAGTACCGACAATAGCAAGCTCAGAGTTTGGACACCTTGCTAGTTCCGACACTGAAAAGGCATAAATCTTCCAGGTTACACACCCACAGGGTATAGGCTCCAGCGACACACTGTGAAGCAAGACGAGCCATTCCGTCATTCAATACCGGCAAACCAAAGCAAATACAACCATGAATGATTCAGTTTGTAACCGAGTTGTTGTCGATCCCCCTCGTATCTAAGTTGCCGTGTTCGCCCTGGTCGCTCATCATGTCGCTTTCGCTTTCGACTTCATCTTCAAACCTGCCTCAAGCATTTGATTTGAATATCACAAACGCCAGCCTCAACTCTTACCCACCATCTTCTCCCTCGACAACTTTACAAGCAAACCTCTCAGCAGCGATGATGCTTCTCCCGCTCGTCCTTGGCGGCACGTTGTTGTCGGCCGACGTGGGTTTGTCCCAGAGTATTCCAGAACAGGCTCAGGTCATTGATCAGAAGGCATTAAATGTCCTCGAGACGGTAGAGCCTCCTTCTGTGGTGAATCTAACCAATGTGAGTACCAAACTACACTCATCTTTTCGTGGACATGGTTTTAACCAAGCACAATATCAAGGTCTTTCTTCCCCCAGGGCTGTCTGAGCAAAATGCTACAGCTAAACCATTTCATGTATACAATGATGGCTTTTATGACATTCTGGGACCAGATCCGACATTGACCGTCATTGGCAGCACAGGTGGTGACCCACTCTTTCACGAGGCTGTCGTCTGGTGAGTCTCGTTCTCGGTTCTCGAATCCACACTTCTTTTCTAACTCGTGTCTCACCCTCAAGGTATCCTCCGACAGATGAAATGTTCTTCGTGCAAAATGCCGGGGCAGAGGCCGCAGGGACGGGGTTGAATAAGTCGAATTCGATTTACAAAATCTCACTGGCTCAAGCTGCGGCCGTGTCTAACCAGTTTAACGCATCTGGCAGTGTCAACATCACTCATGTCAATGCCACTCCACCAGTGATTAATTCCAACGGTACACTTGAACGACATCTGCTTGTAGCATCTCTCGGCAGCAACTGTACTAACCATGAATCAAACACCAGGTGCAACGAATTACCGTGGTCAGATCCTCTTCACGGGTGAAGGTCAAGGAAATGATACGCCGCCATCTCTCTTCATCATGAATCCGGTCGAGCCATACAACACCACTGGTAAGCCTCTTTCATCTACCGTTGTGAAAACGTGCCTCCAGACTCCAAGGATATATGATCTCTTGTGCTTATCTGAATAAACTCTTGCTAGTCCTTTTGAACAATTTCTTTGGTCGTCAATTCAATTCGCTCAACGATGTGGCCATCAATCCCCGTAACGGCGACGTCTATTTCACAGATACCCTATATGGCTATCTGCAGGACTTTCGTCCTCCGCCGGCCTTGCCGAATATGGTTTATCGCTTGACACCTTCCACTGGCGCATTAGTGGCTGTCGCAGATGGATTCGAACTGCCAAATGGTCAGTATGCCGAAAATGCCATCATGGTTTCTTAATCCTTTCACGGATTGGCTTCTTACTCTTCATAGGAGTGATCTTCTCGCCAAATGGATCCTACGCATACGTTACCGATACCGGTGCGCAAGGCGCCTTTTATGGATACAACTTCTCTGCACCGGCATCTATGTGAGTCTCATCTCGATTCGTCGATTCTGTAGCTGTTGCTGGGTTGCTGGTACTAACTGAAATGCTGCAGCTATCGCTTCACAGTTGAAGAAGATGGAACCTGGAGTAACCGCAAACTGTTCAGCTACGTCTCCCCAGGGATTCCTGATGGTATCCATTGCGACACAAACGGTAATGTCTACTCCGGCGTGGGAGATGGAGTACATGTCTGGAACCCTTCTGGGGTCTTGTTGGGAAAGATCTTCGTCGGCTCAACTTCAGCAAATTTCAATTTTGCCGGAAAAGGTCGAATGGTGATTGCAGCCGAGACACAATTATATTATGTCACTCTGGCCGCCGAGGGGGCTGTAGTTGCAAGCGAGATGCCTCAGTAGCTTTAATCAAGTCATGACTTGGGAAAGGCGCATCCCACGTCACTCACGGTTGTGTAGCAGAAACGCATCCTCTTTGACCAGAGGATACCAAGGTCGCTTCTCTCCAATGTTTCATGTCCAACGACTGAAATGGATCAACGTGTAGGCTTTGGGCATGCCTGCTGGAGCACTTGAGCAAAATCCCTTTAAGGAAGGTTTCATGGCCAAGCCGTCAAAGTCCGGTTCTAGAACCCTCGGTGCACAGTCGGGGTGCAACTTGTGAATGTTGAGATGAGAATAGACTTGTCCAGCACTCTTTCATTTGTTCGAGCATTGTGGCTGGGACAACAAATCTTTGAAGTGCCTGCCAGAAATGTGGCCAAGTGTCAATTTTTGAGAGGTTCATGATGATGCCCATCTTCTCGACGAACCAATTCCTCTGGCTCGTTTCTGCAAAACACCCAGGCCACAATAGCCACAAAAGCAGCTCAAGCTTGTCACGGCTCTTGTCCTGCTCCCAGTCGGATTCGTGTACATAGCTGAGCTGGAGCGTCTGCTGGAGCGTCTGCACAAGAGTGGGATTACCCGTCCAGATGGTCAGTCTTGGAGATAAGTGGATATTCTCGGAACCCATGGCCATCCGAAGCCAGAATACGGCACAGAGGCACGCACAGACCTCGTGGACATCATCTACTCTTGAACTCGTGGTATACTCTTGCTGGGACAGTTGGGCCCTCATGGCCACGACATGATTTCCCAACCGGCCAGCAGCGAAGACAAACCTGGACAAGAAGTATATCCAGGTGGAGGAGTTTCCCACGAAAGTGTCAGCACGAACGTGTACCAGGTTTTGCAGCACCTGATCAACTGCAACCATCATTGATCTCGCAGGCTCTGTGAAAAAGGGTCTGAGTCTATTGTCGGTCTGAAAGTCAATTGCTGAAGTTAAATAAGGCTGACTTGACCAAAGGGGCTCGGCAAGGCGAGCAATCCACTCGTTTGGTGAGAGGTCCAAGAATGTGTACGACATGGTACAGAGAGCCAATTGAACATCTTGATAGATGATGCTCATAAAGACAAGATGGTTGATGGATGGATCTTGTGAGAGTTTGTCGTGATGGGAGAGGAAGACGTCTCGAAGGAGACGAATATGAATCTTCATGGTAGATCTATCACTGACAGCACTTTCTGCAAACAGAAGACTGATTAGGGAGCGATAGAGCCTGGGAATATTGACATCCTTTGTAGTTTCGAGATAGTGGCGCAACGAAGCCACTCCTCGGGATCGCAAGATTTTTGCAGTGTCGAGATACTGCAAGTCGCCAGTGACTGAGCACAAGGTGGCGGCGATGCGCGCGAGATAGCTGTGGATGGTGAGGTTATCATACAGATTGTTCTGTAGATCAGAAGCCCAGCTTGTTTCAAAAGCCTTTTCCTTTGGCACGGCGGCCCATTCAAGATGCTTCGCCGCAGGGTAGACACAATCACGTTCGAAGAAGATCAGAGAGTTGGCGGCAGACATGGAAGCTTGCGGCAAAGCGGTTGTGTCGTCCGATGCAGCATTAACAAGCATCAGCTCGATGATGGGAGGGATATAGATTGATTGAGGAATGTTGGTTACTGAATTGGGGGGTAGGCGGTTAGTAAGGGTTAGGGACTCTTGCTCGCGAGAAGGTCGGTCCCCGGTTCGAGGCCCAGTCTGGCGAAACAAGGAGGATTGTAACAATCGTTGAGCATCTTGTCTTCGTTGTGTTCGACGATATCTATGGACATGTTGCATCACCCGACGCCGATTGTCTGGCGTGGCTGAGCCTGAAGGGGTTGTATTGATCCATGAAAAATCAAGTGGTGTGGAGGTTGGAATGGTCATGACTAGCGCACGGGGTGGTGGCCTAAAGCCAGCGGTCAAAGAGGGGACGGACGACTGGGCCAGGGACTAGCCGGATCGCTCATGGCGCAAGTGATGATGGACGGGGTTCACAAAATCCCATGCTCTGGCCAGGCCAAACCTCGACCATTTTGAAGCAGCTTGAGATGGGTGATGGGAGGAACATGTCACTCTGAGTCAGCTTGTTGTCAGATGTTGCTAGATGTTGGCTAGCCAGGGAATCGAATCGCGAGGCTCTTCTTTATAATGCCAAGGCTGTTCTTTATTGGCCGAAAGCCCCTTCAGCTCCGCGGTTGCTCCTGCACCAACTGCTCTAGAGGACTTCTCTTCCGAGGCAAGCGCGACCCTCGACATTTGCGCCTTCTCTTTATTATCCCCTGTAGATCCAATCACAACAAGTCTGTCTCGCCAGTCACAAGACTGAAGGACGGGGATCTATACGAGTGACCTGGTCGACCGTGCATCACTGAAAGACATGTGGAATATCTAGGGACAAGGCCAGTGTAGCATGAATTTGACAATCGTGCTATTGGCGATCATGAGAACTTTGATCATCAAACCAGAGAATCGAATCAATCATGTCGACGTTCTTTCAGTACCATAGAGCACCTAGTATTAGCATCAACGGATCGCATCAACTATGTGAGAAACCGAGCAAAATTGCCTTTTCTTTTTATTTTCACACGGTTCACATTTGCTTAAAATAAGAGCAGACTTCACCATAAACTATCATCTTATCCAGCCTTTCACCTCCTTCCAGACCCTCAATCGACGCCATTGGCCCCATCCCTCGTCTTGTGGCTATGTGCTCACCAAAGCTCCCCAGAGTAGCTCATCAACGGCAGATGTGGATCGTTAGGGCATGAGACAAGACCATGAACATCAATTTCAGGGCCATTGATCACTTCGCCCTTATTTTCAATCGCGGAAAACAAAGTGAATGCATCAAACTCGGCAGGAAACTGAAGATCGAAGAGAGGTATGGCATCATCATCGCCAGGACCGTCAGTTTTTTCTTGCTGTCGCTTTCGCGTCTCCCTCAGCCTGGTTTCCAATTCAATTAGCCGTCGCCCAAGCGTCGTCACAAGTGCTGTTTGACGTGTCGCAGACTCCATTAAGGTGTCATGCTGCTGGCTGAGGATTTGGATCTGTTGTTTCAAGTGTCTGATATACTTTTCCTTGCGATCTCGAAACGCTCGTTGAGAAGCACGGTTCTGCGCACGGCGTCGCTGCAAAGTATCCTTATCAGCACGTGGTACAGACCTAGCTGAATGTCTAACCAGACTGCTTTGTCCAAGGGTCGACGTTGACATCGCAACAGGATCACAGTAGGTACTCACCATTTGCCGGTACGCAAGAGCCTCCGACGAGTCAGCGGCCGCGAGCACATCATGTTGGAGTTGCTCGGCATCTAACTGCTGATACTTGTATGAAAATGAAGGGCCATTGATGAATTCAAATCTGATCCTTTCTGGCTGCGAAATTTCCAAGTCGGTGACATCGTGACGAGAATGACCGTATCGAGGTCTCTGTGGATGATCAACGTCCCACACACCTGTACTCACGAGTAGATTTTGACCAACCTTAGAGTCGGATTCTAAATCGCTGAAGGTGCTCTCTGATGCCCGAGTGCAGTCGTCGAAAATTATCCTTGATTCTGTTGTCCCAAAGACATCTTGGAGAGAAGGTTGTGGTTCAAGAGGCACATATGTAGCTTTTGGTCGCATCATTCGTGTCGTTGATTGTGGAGTCACAAAAGTGTGGCTACTTATGATATTACTCTCTATAATACCCTGTGGACTGTTGTGCAGCATCATCTGTGACACTGCGTGGTGTGTGGAAACAGTAAAATCGGCGATCGCGATCATTAGGGGAGGCTCTGTTGATGATTTCAAAATATGGTATTGATGATGCGCGTGGGAAACCGTCGTGCTATCACCTTGAACCCTGGGTTCGGTCTATCGTTAGCTTCAATTGCTGCAGGGTCCCAACTACCAATACCCAAACTCTAAAGGCGAGCCAGGGTCATGAGTCGTCTGGCTTCCTAAGCGAGGGCATCCAGTCCATTCTGAGTAGTAGTAAACTTCCCCAGGCGTGGATGTTGATGCACTCGTACAAGGAGGCATATGTAAAAATAATGGGAGACAAAGTGGTCCCCAAACACGATCGCCTGGCAAATCATGTCCCAATGCATGGTGAAAGGAATCCAGAGGGGTAGAAATACCAGATCAAGGGAATGGCCAACCATGGAGGTCGCATAAGCCGAATTGGTGTCGCGACAACCCCTTCCGTGCCAACGATGTTCATCGACGCCAACGGCATCATACACGCGATGCCGAATCAGGAAATCGAGGTTGAGATTCCTACTGGCTGCCAACGAGCCAAGCGCGCCAAATTGTCGCGAGAGATCCAAAGGATTGGTGTTTAGAGCCGTGAAGCTGACTTCAATCACGAGGTACTCAGGTTGTGTATGCATCGCGAGAATTTAGAGCCTTGCGTGCGTATGAATCATTAACTACCAGATGGCTACGTAATCTAGCATCCTAGCCAACAGTGGTCTGCAACAGGCAGTGGACATGACAAATATCCCATGCAAACCCCCCAACTCCAAGCCTGGAGATTGTCCAAGCATAGTCATAAGGCGCCAATCGTTAAGGTATCAGTAGAGTAAGGATCTCTGGGTCTTGATACCGCAATGCTTAACTAGTCATCAAAACCTCAGTGGGATTGTTTCATTAAAAAGCCAGAAAAAGGTGCCGTTCACCATCATGAACCAGACTTGGCCATAACCTCACGGTGTCCAGCCAAACACGGCTGTGCATCAGGCAGTGCGTATGGGTCCGCCTCGTGGATGCTGACAGTACCGACATCGCATTCAATCCGATCACCAACGGCAGCTTCTTCTTCTCCTTCTACTTCTTCTTCAACGGCGATCTGTACTTTGGCAATGATCGAGATCTGAATTTCGTCCGCCCAGCGGACAGATTTGGCGCTGCCATATGGGCTTTGTCTCCTCCGAGTGCCAAAAAATAGAGAGTGGGCATGCTGAAAGCGAGTACGAGACTTGGACAAGGCAGAGCGAAGCGGAGCTGAACTCGTCATCTCTGGACTCGACAGTAGTGATGAAGTTTTTGTTGTTTTGGCTTTTCGGACAGACGAAGTATGGATGGTGATTTTAGTCAAGGGAGAGGGTGGAGTGGAGAGACTATAACGGTATATTCGGTGGTCGTCTAGAGGTTGTAAGGGTGATGGCAGTGCCTTTTCATGGGCTTGAGTAACGCGGGCCTCGACTCGATTCTGTCCTTGGCAGCATGCCCCGTCTGAGTTACCACGTTCGACATATGCCACCAGGACACAAAGAACGCAAATCAAGATGCAGACCAAACATCCGATGACGAGGAGAGATGATAAGATACCACGCGTGAAGCCCAAGTCTAGGATGCGACGCAGAGTCTGTTGTGCAAGTTCGGAGAAAGACAATTGACCAATATCTTGGGAGAGGGTCTTGGGAATGGGCGTGGCCATGGCGTATCGGGCCAGAAGCGCAAACGCGATGAGGACGTGGTCCTTGAAGGAAGCCATTGTCACGTGGACAAGGAGGGTTGAGGGCGATGAAGAGAGAAAGGAAGCAGCGAGCCGAAGATTATGGCATCTGGGAGCATTTTGTGGTTTCCCCCACGCCCAAGGATCAAAAGCAGGGGAAAGATCAGAGAAGATGAAGAGGGAGCGTTCAAAGTGGTGAGATGTCGTGAATTTGTATGACAGTCGGTCCCCGATCATCTGACAGATGACAGCTGATTGGTAGTACATTCACCCTTGTTCTCAGCGAAGACAACAGGAATGTGGGAGAAGAACGAGGCCAAAACTTACGGTTATGACAGGTGATGTGTCCGGGGGCTTAGCTGGATACAATACCCATGGATGCGAAGCATTGTTCCAAACAGAAAATGAATGAAAAGTGAGTCTGAAGCCAAGCTCACACTGGTTACGTGACAAAGGAAAGGACGAGTTTCGCGACATGAGGCAGTCACGCGTCGGAGTTGGAGGAAGGCACGACTGGAGGACCCGCAGACCCTTTGTGAGTCTGAGCTGTTTTTAGGTCGATAGGATTCTGGGAAATCATCGCCCCAAGTACGGAGTCTGGCTGAGGGGGGCCGAGGGTCCCTCGGCCTTCAGGCGGCCTCGGCCGTGACGCACTCCAACTGTCGAGCCCATTCGGCCTATGAGATGCCTAGGGTGGACCCGAGGGACCCTAAATTCCAAGTCTCGGTAGTGGGCGAGCAACCGGCATGGCAGTGGATGAGATTACCTTGTCCTGTCATAGCCTTGTCCTGGAAATGAATTTTGGAGACTGATGCGCATTGTAGTAACCAGATTGAAATTCGTAAAGGCAGTCCAAAGATGACAGAAAATGGATCGCGGCATGGGCCATGTTGGAAGGCTCATCACAGATAACTAGATCCCTGTTTTCTATCCCTAGATGCTCAGGGTGCATTAGGTACCTATACGTAGATGACCCGACTCTCCTCAAATGCAGGCGTATCTGCTTTCTACTAGTCACTGGAGCCAGAGTTTCGGGGATGAGCGGACCTAGCCAGTGGCCGTTCGGATCGCCGGAAGGGCACCGCCGGGTGCCATGAGCCTCAAGTGGCGACTACTCCGTACAGCAGAAAACGTGGTCATGGGGCACACTAAGTAGCCGCACTGGCTCCCCTAGGGACACGCTTCTGCCTTAGGTACCTACCTAGGTACCTTAACCACGGGCATGCATCGTCAGCTTCAGCGTCATGGTATAACTAATGTACATTCTTTTAGGCAGGTCGCTCCCTATCTCAATACCAAGGGTATAGACGAGAGAGAATACCCTAGCTTAACTTATGGGGGATGCTTCTTGTTGAGCCTCAACGCCTAATTACCTGGTAACTACCTAGCTGGTAGGTACCTAGGTAGCTAGAGGTAGTACTGGTATTGTCTTACCTCTTGTTCTCTGGGTCAATCTTCCATTTGATATCTGTCTTGTCAATCAGTTTTGAACCAACTGGTCTGGGCTTGCTGCCGCCAATGCTCGACTCTTCTCGGCGCATCAATGGCTAGTACAGATGCGCTCTTCCTCAACGTACCTAGGTAGCTAAGTAGGTCCAGCAATTAGCAATAATGGCGGCAGGGCTGGTGCTGCCACAGTGCAGATTCCAATACATCAAGAGATCATCTTCTTACTCGTACTGGCCACTTCTTGTCGACACGAATGACTTCTGGCACTCGTCAAAAGTCATCACTCCGCTTGTTCCTTGATTGCCAGCCACCGTGCCACCGCAGCCTCCACCTCCTCAAACCTACCTTACCACCAGAATTAACTCACCTAGAAAGTTGAATCTCCACTGTGCCAACTGCGACCACAGTTGCGCCTGCGACTCCCAAGACGCAAACTGCAAACTGCAAACTGCAACTCATTCACGCCCCAATCACCCAGTCCGGCATATTCTCCCATCACAATTTCTCTCCATTCTTACCTAGTACTTAGTCCTACATCGCATCTAAAGGCCTCCATCTGTGTTTTTAAGTCTACCGCTTACCATCTCAATCTTTGATTCCACCACCTACCAGACTATCAGTCTACTAGTCTGCCATTTGCCCTCGCGCTCTCCCGCTTCCTCTCTCAAACTTGTCCAGATCTCCTTCACCTCAGCTTGTTCCTACTGCCGCCTTGCATCTTGCCACCTCCCACGAAATCCTACTTCTGCCCCCGAGTCCCAAGTCAGATTCACACCAATGTTGCTCTCATAGCCCAAGTCAACTCTACCCACCTATCAATTCAAGACCGTCACTCATACTACGAGGCCCATCAGTACCATGAAAGAGACCGCATGACTCATGCACACAAGTCGCGCTCTTGAAAATGGGCAGGACTCACGACTATACCATCATGGGTCCTTCTGGGGATGACACCAAACCCCCTGGTCCTCCGCTAGCCAGGTCTTTGCCCATCAGGAAAGACTCGAGGAATGTTTCCTCCAACCTTCGCTCTTTGTATCGCATGTCTGCGCAGGACATGCGAGCAGCCCAACTTGGCCATGATCCGTCTCAGCTCGATCACAAAGCTTTGCCAACATCACCTAATCTACCTCCCACCCCTCCGAACGCCGTCAACGGCGATCTTCCAACTCCTGCCGAGGAAAACGCATCGGATACCGCAATCTTCAGATCTGCCCTCGTCACTCCCATCAACCAGCATAACCCTCCGACCCCCGACAATACTCCTCCACAGGACAGGAAACCCCTTGTCGTTCGGCCGTGGCTAGGGCCCCAGACCTCCTTTACTTCTACTGTCGCCGAGTCCTTTACTACCGCTCAGGAAGATTTCACTTCAGACCCAGGCTCTGATCAACAGTCAAAGACTCCGGAGGCCACCTTTGAATGGCCGCTGGCCTCGATCGCCAAATTTGGTGGACACCTGCGCCAGAAGACTTCGAGTCGCTCACCCTTGATGAATGATTATAGTGATTTACACCAGATCAGCCATACCCCAGAGCATTACGAGGACGACCACATCCAGTACCCCTCGATTCCCGATCCAGCCGTGCCCTCAGAATATGAGACCGAGGGAGACCCTACTGATTCTTGGACTCCCAGATCGCGCAGCCGTCGCTCAGACGATATGCTACCTCCTCTCAACGGGCAACACCGGGACGATGAAGAGACAACATCCTCCCCTGAGATGCAATCTACTGAACTTGCCCCTTCGAGCGGCCTGCGCAACCGATTTCTTGATGCTCAATCCCAAACCCCATCCGCCTCTACCGAGAAATTCGCCAACATTATAGGCTGGAACGATTCCGTCCACTTTGGACGGTCGGACAGTCAGACTAGACTTGTTGTAGAGCATGAGGACGACTACCGCAGATTTTCTCGCACCTCGACCACGTCGACTGTGGAGGCTTATGTCTTTGAACAGAGTCCGCTTCCCAAAAGGACCACAACGCTCCGCCATATGAACAAGCACGAATCCTTACGGTCTGTGAGCTCGCCGCTGCCAGCCTCCAAACGCGGGTCGCTGAACTCGTGGACCGAATCTCCCCACCCTCTCATTCACAAAAAGGCCCGACTCAGCAACCAGAATCGCTGGAGCGCCGGATCCGAAATCTCGCGGTCGCAGAGTCTGGCATCGACGACAATCTTGCCCAAGACAGAGGTCATTCACGTCGCGGTGATCCCTGAAAGGTCGTCTTCGCTCTCGTCGTCACGCCGTGACAGCTTCAATCGTCCATCCCCGTCGAGCGAATCCGGAAAGTCGCAATCGCGAAAGCCTTCTGACCAGCCTCCATCATCGTGGCAGCATAAACGCGCATTTTCCGAAGCGTTGGAACGTGGAAGACAACAGCACCAAGCCCCCGTTGTTCCTCCCAGAAGCTCGTCACTGTCAGCTCCCACGTCCAAGGCGACGTCCTGTGCAAACAGCATCACTTCTTCTCACTTCAGAGTACAGCGACAACGGGCGGAGAAGGACCTGCGTAGAACCTTGGATAGGATGGAGTCGGACATGCTCTTGCAGCAACTACCGCGGTGGACCTTGGAGCAGGCGCAGCCTACGGCAGGCGAACAACTATCCCGCAACGGTCCTCACGATCCTCGTAGCCACTCAATGGGACATAACGCACCCTGGAGCGACTCCATCCCACACAGGCCCGTGGCTTCTCCACTACTCGATGATGATGCCAACCGGAACACCCTGGGTCTCGTGATGCCCGGTACAACAGAGTGGGCGTCCATGCGGCCGTCCTCAATTCTAGACACTCCCTTTTCACAGCCGTCCTTCCAATCGGCATCTCCCGAGCTCAGTGAAGCACATGCTATCAACTATTTCCCCCACAACAACCACAGCCTGCAGCTCATTGAACCCTTTCCTGTCCACGAATCCAAAGCCGTGCTAGAGGTGCAGCGAGCTGGTCTGTCACACTCAGAGGTCGACTCCCCACTGCGAAATCCTCGACGACCGCCAGAGCCACCACAATTCCATGTTGTTCCTCCTACGCCGGCCGACGAGCTGGACCCGCGGCTAGGTCTGGAGGATCATCTACCCCAAGGACTCGGGCATTCGGTGCGCCGCCCAACTAGCTCTCGGGGACGATCCGAGTCTTTCATCACTGCTCTGTCACGTAACCTGAGTGTGAAGAACCCACGCAATCGTAAAGCGGGCCAGGACTTGAACGGCGAATTGCATCCATTCTGGCGTCCACGGGCATTCTGGGACGACGTGGACCATTCTCGCCCAGAGTCGGACGAGGCGGGGAACGGGGGCATCATCAAGAATTCCCTGGGGCTACCACAGGAGCGAACTATTGTGACGGGACCTGCATCGCTGATCAGACGAATCTCGGAACGGCGTCAGCAAAGGAGACGAGTTGCCAGACAGTCGAGCCACAGCAGTCTGGCCAAGCTTCGAGCCGGACGCCATCTGCACCGATTCGCCCCCAATGCAATGCGCCTTCACTTTGTGGGGATTCGAAACATCCAGGACTGGATCCTCCAGGCCAATCGACGAAAAGAAGAGAAGAGGCGCGAGAAGAGGCGGGCTGATTTGAGAAAAAGCATCGGCGCCAATGTGATTTCACAAGGGGATTCACGATTCCCGACGAGCAACCTGGATGAGTTTGGCGGGACACGTTTCCCCTGACGAATCATGAGATGACTGACAATATTGTTTGCCCCTGAATGAGCCCTGGTGGCCATTGAGTGGGTTTTTTTGAGGCGTTGAGGAGCAAACTTGATTGACAGCTTCATAATATGTTGCGAAATATTGCAAGAGATAACGGATCATTTGACGAATTGATGCAACGAAGGAATGATGTTTGACGACTCGATGACTTGGATGAAATGAATGGCGATCATGGATCGAAGTGTACAATTACTATACGCGATATGCTATACGCTATACTATATGCTTAGTCAAAACAGCCAGGTAGTGCAGCAGCGTGTTGGGATCACAGAGCGAGATGAGGGAGTCCAATGAGCGTCTGAATTAATTAATGCCATTCTTTTGTGTTTTTTCAGTCAAGCTGTTTTTGTGCTGGTTTTTTGTCGCTTTCGTAGCTTGTCCAATTCTACAGAGTCTAGAAAGGGCTGTGATGTAATGCTGGAGTCAAAGATCATGACTAGAAGGGCCAGAGATGATTAGTAAGGGGTAAGACTTGCAGGGACTCGGGGCTAATGGCTGGTAGAGGAGATGGTGAAGTGAAGACAGTAATAATTACCTCGCTGTTCCTGGGCGGAGGGTTGTGAATGGGGGACAAAGTGGATGGTGTTGGCGGCAGAAGGGTCAGATGGACTACTGCTGGAGGTGAGAGTTGGGCTGAGAGTGGGAGTAGTATTAGAGGGGGCTGTAGAGATGGCAGTTCTGGTGGTGGTGGTGATGGTGGTGTTGGCTGCGTTGGCTGCAACATGTGAGTGTGAGAACCTTGCGCTAGTCGTAGTAGTGCGTGGAGTGGAAAGAGTGGGAGGAGCAGGAGCAGCAGCAGGACCAGCAGTAGCGGCAAGAGTCATCGCAGAAAGGGAAAATCTTTTCGCGAGCTTCAAGGAACCCTTCAACTTCTTCTTCTGCTCATCACTCGCCATTTGCAATCTGGTCGTGTGGTCCTGGCTAAAAGCTATGGATTCATACCCATATTCGTGGGACTCGCATCGTATCCCCGTAGTCGACCCGGACCTGTCCCCTCGATTCCATCCCGCCTTCTCTCATCCTCATATTATCTTATCAGATCAAGATCAAATCTCCGCCAAGTCTTCCGAGTCAAATGACCACAAGTGGTCGTGTCAGACTCCCGAGGCCGCCCAGCTCTTCACAATGAGTCAGCACTTTGCCCCCTCTGATCTCGTCAAACTCCCTTCGTCAGACAACCAATATCTATACTCGTCGCCTGAGGTCGACTCACAGCATCAATTCCACGTGTCGGCTGCCTGCGATATCGGACACTGGGTAACCACAAATCAATCACACCTTGATCATCACCTCGTCGGCGACCACTTCAAGCTGGCTCCAGCTCCTCAGCTGCCAACACCAGGACCCGGACCCGTGGGCAGCGATGCTGATGGCGCCGCCACCGGGTTCACCAGTCCTGTCGAGAGCCTCAAGAGAAACGCCTCCATCGCTGGCTTCGATAGTTCCCCAGCCAGTGGCAGCGTCGAGTCCCCAGAACACGTTCCTGGCGATGATGTCAACGGAAAAGGTGATGGCGGCAGGCGCAGGCCTGTAAAGAGGGCATGTAATGAATGTCGTCAGCAAAAGGTGAGACTTTGTCTTTGCTTCGTGTCCAGTCTCCCGTTGAAGTATACACTAACGATCCCAGCTGCGCTGCGATGTTGTCCAAGAACCCTTCAAAACGTGCACCCGTTGTAAGCGTCTAGCTCTCGACTGCAAGATTGAGGACAATTTCAGACGCGTCGGCAAGAGATCACGGAATGCCGAGATGGAAAGAGAAATCGTCGAACTGCGCAAGCAGGTCGCTGAGAAGAAAGCCTCTGGCGGTCCTCCCACCACCACAGCCTCTCACGCGTCCATGGGATCATACACCCAAGATGCTGTTGCTGGACTGTTGGATCTCAAGGGAGGAACCTATGACAAGAGTCCCATCAATCGACAGGTCTACAAACGTCTCGAAGACGTCACCCTGACGCAAGAGCGTGTTCAAGACTTGTTCAAACGCTTCTTCGCCTTCAATCATCCTTTCCTGCCGTTCCTCAACCCCAATAGGACTCCCGACGAGTATTTCACCAGATCTCCTTTGCTCTTCTGGACAATCCTGACGGTGGGCGCACGCCACTTTTCGACTGATCCGGAGCTTTTCACCAGGCTTAATGGACCTATGAATCGGTTGCTGTGGTCGACCATGGCAGATGTTCCGCAGAATTACCATGTGGTGAAAGCTCTTATACTGCTATGCGCCTGGCCGCTGGTCACGAGCAGCACTTCCACAGATTCCACATTTATGATCTGTGGCCTGATGATGCAGGTTGCTCTCCAGATTGGCTTGCACCGGCCAACACACGCTCAAGACTTTTCCAAGTTTCGAATTGAACTTCGAGAAGTCGAGCTACAAGATCGTGTGGTCGTCTGGAGTGTCTGTAATGTTGTCGCTCAAAGGATCTGCACAGCATATGGTCAACCTCCCCTCTCGCGATATGACTGGACACTGGGGCCTAAACCGATTGAAACCAATCCCAATTACGAACTTCCCTCCCCAATATACAATCGACTGTTGATTGAGAAGTTCGTGGACAAGGTATCAAGAACACTGTACATGAATGCCCACGACCCTGTCGGGTTGGCCACCGACGCTGAGAGACCGACTTATGTCTCGTTCCTCTCGCATGACCTGGAGGAGCTGGAGCATCAGCTGGAACGTGACACCTCGCCCATCACCAAGATCTACTTGAAAGCAGCAAGCCTCCACATGCGGTTGAGCGCCTTCTTCTCCCCTCCAACCTTGCAGTCCTACCGATCCGACATGCTCAAGTTGTATAACGCCACGACAGAATTTCTCGAAACTTGCCTAAGCCTCGAGTCCACCACAAGCGTTTCTGTCCCGGGCTCTGGCTACAGTCATGGCCTGGCCTTGTCCAATGCCACCAACTACATCTTCCACATGATGTTGGCCGCAGGGTTTTCACTGCTGAAGCTCATGCACAACTTCCTGGGACAGCATGAGCTTGACGTCCAAGGTGCTTCGGAGCTCCTGTCGCGCACTGTCTGGGCTCTACGAACCATGAGCACATCGGAGAACGACCTGGCTGAGCGATTGTCTGAGGTACTGGCTCAGGTGTGGAAGACGGGCAAGCCTACTCCGATTGCCGCGGGAGATTCCGATATCGATCAAAGCCTGCAGTTGAAGGTCAGGTGTCGGATGTCCATGTCACTGGTGTTTGACTCGGTTTGGCGATGGAGAAAGAATGGCCAATTCCGCGGTGGGAAACCATCCGATAGTAAGTGCTTCCTACCTCGCACCTCACCATATCTGTGTGGTGTCTGTAGACGAGCATACTAACAAAAGGCTTACAGTGCGCCAACAAAACCCCGACCTCCAGTTCGACACGCCGGGTCCCGCGCCATCGTCCAATGCGGCCGTCGGCGCCACTCCCAACGCCGCCACCACAGCTGCCGATCCCACGTTATCGGCGTCGGCCATCGTCCCAGGCATGGCAGGCATGGCAACTGGCATGGTGGACGACTTTGGCATGGACTACGGCCAGGCCAGTTACGATGTCTTTGATCCGCTCAATTGGATGTTGGATGGCATTGTTGATTTTCCTTATAGTTTCAGCAATGGCGCCAGCAACACCGAAATCATGCCTGGGATGGATGCTTTAGGGAATGGTATATAGACTCGGTTGGTAAGAGACGACTAACTGGCATCAAGAGATGTCTGGGTATGGGTATTGTTTGGGTTTGGGTCTGGTTTTCGGATATACCAGTTATAAATAAGCGCATTATCATGACTTGAACGCCCTAATTTTCTTGAAGAAAGTCATGCACTCTACTGCTAGCTATGGTCTATCCTTCAGTTTACTTTGAGATAATAATACTCATGACGTTTGACGCGAACAACAACCACAATTACAGATTTTTCACCTTGCAAGACCGACGACCCAATAAATTACACCTGCACGATCTTGACTACGTTTTTGTAGGTACTCGGTGTACACATAGATTAGGAGTAGATTAGTATAGAATAAGACCTCTCCATCCTCCGACCTGCACCCCAGATCAATACTTGAGCACCCTATCTAAAACTTGCCTCCCACTTCCGAAAGAGTACAATGGCACGCTTAGGCAGGGATAACAGTAGGTATCTTATGTACCTTTATGCAGCCTCCCCTGGTCTCCTGGCCACATGGTCTCTATCTATGAAATGCACCAAAAACACGTGGTGATGTGGAACACGATCGTCTCAACTCACTTCCATTAATCTATACTACCACGGAGGCACACCACTTTCAAATTTATTTTTCATTCTCGTATACTGCAAGGAGCCGTAGCCGATAATTCACACATCAGAGAATCACGCCAGGTTCCTGGGTACGATGTCTCCAAATACGAGTCTGAAGACCAGCCAAGACTTGGGCTCAAGAAGTCTTAATCAAAAGGGTATTCTCCGTGGGTACTAGGTAGGTATTGGTACGCCCCAAGGGCCCAAGTCCCTATTCGGTTCCTAGAGGACCGCCTAAGAAGACGCCCTAAAACGGCAAAGGGAGTTCAGCGCGCGCGACGGCAGAAGCTTTGAGGCACTCCTCGGCCGGCGCCATGAGGATGCTTCTTTTATCCCTCGGCTTATCGGTGAAATGAGCTTGCATTCTTGTCAATTATTGGCGTGGATCCTCTTATCCAGTCAAAAGCCCAAGAATCTGGACATGTCCGACGTTACATACAATTATATTTTAGTTCTTGTCAAACCCCGGCTTTCACATCGAGCGATCAGCGCTGAACTGTTATCTTACTTGAAAACCATGGTCTCCTTAAGCTACAGATTGACCTTTATCTTGGGTCAGCGGCTTATCGGGACTCGGCGCCCAGCAGATTGTCATAGATTGATATACCAACTATTCGTACATGGGAATTACCTAAGACTGATGGGACCAGCATTCGTGTGTGGCCGAGTGGTTTAAGAAGCTGCTCACGGCAACCAACGGCTCTCTAGATATCAATCTACCTTTTGCTGGTCGCTCGTATTCAATGATGGCCGCGGGCCTCCCCGACGTGAGGCTGACCTCGGTGCAATCCGTTTCAAGGCCTGGTGGCGACGAGTCAACCGACTTGCGCCAGATGGGCAAACCAGGCGGTGATCAAACTCAGGATAACATCAATACGACAATAGATAACCAGATAAAACTTGATATCGAGTACCCCGATGGTCTCGCCAGTCTGCTCCTTCAAAGAGTGATCCAATCCCGTAGTGTGCTGCCTTATCTCACAAGCTGGCATACCCCACTCCTAAACCCAGTATTCCCTCTAACCTCTAAATGGTCCATACGGGAGGAGAACGTGGAGCCGTGGGCCAGACCTGGATCACTTCCTCGCGGCGTTCTCCATGGCGAGATGATTTTGTGGCTGGTCCAGGTTTATGAACTTTGTCGTGGGCAAACCTTTGGTCGTGTGTCAACATGTGAGATAAAGCTAGAAGATCTATCTCTTCGTACCATTCAAGTGACATGTTTTGCTATTAAGCACTTGTGCTGGCGCCAGTTTGGATCGTCAAGAGGTGAGTCGGTCAAGTGTGTCTTTGTCCAGCGCTGTGTTCCTGGGCTACTTCTCTCCACTCCTTCACCTTGATCAATCTTTTCTTTCTTCTCACCGCATCTACGTGAAGAACGAAAAGGCGCAGATCTACCACCATGTCACCTCACGAGAAGACGGGTTACGACGTCGACTATACGACACAACCATCCTCAGACGACAGGCATAGGTCGATTGTGCCTCCAGATGAATCTGGTGCCGTCCATGGCCAGTCCTTTGAGGTTGGCGATTCTCTCTATGCCAAACTCCAGCGTTTCGCTGGCAAGTATGGAGTTGAGCAGAGAGGTATTGAGCGAGTTCCAGAGGATGAACGAACCGACAAGAGTACTCTCAAGGTTGGCACAATGGTACGTTGCTCAGATATCCACCCTTTGAGGCTCATGCTTGGAGCCAATGTATGGTTCCCTCCAGCTCGAATGCTAACTGGATTCTTTTAGTGGCTTGCTGCCAACTTGACTGTCTCGACATTTGCCATTGGAGTGCTTGCAGTTCCAGTCTTTGGCTTGGGATTCGTCGATGCTTTCCTGACCATCATCTTCTTCAACATCCTGGGTATCATTCCCGTTGCATTTTTCTCCACTTTCGGCCCTCGCTTCGGTATGAGACAAATGATGCTTTCACGATTCTGGTTCGGCTACTATGGAGTAAAGCTTGTCGCTTTATTCAATATGCTCGCATGCTTGGGCTGGTCTTCGGTCAATGTCATTGTGGGGTCGCAACTACTCCATGCTGTCAACAACAACCTCCCGGGATTTGCTGGAATCATCATTATTGCCGCTTGTACATTCATTATCACCCTCTTCGGCTACAAGGTGGTCCATTACTACGAAATGATCGCTTGGATCCCTTGTTTCATCATTTTTCTCATCGTTCTCGGCCAATTTGCCCATTCCGGTGACTTTGAGAACGTCCCCATGGGCAGCGGCGAGGGCACAGCAGCCTCTGTCCTGTCTTTCGGCGCCGCAGTCTTTGGCTTCGCTACAGGGTGGGCTTCGTACGCTATGGATTACACTTGCTATCAGCCGGTCAATACGCCTAGAACGAAGGTGTTCATCTACGTCTTCATCGGCTTGTTTCTCCCCTTGTGCTTCTCGATGTCACTTGGTCTGGCGGTTGGCACCGCGACGCTCAACAACGCAGCCTACAGCGATGCATACAACTACAATCACGTAGGAGGCGTGCTACATCAGGTCCTTGTGCCTCGGTTTGGCAAGTTCGGAGACTTTTGCCTCGTCGTGCTGGCGCTCTCAATTGTGGGCAACAACTGTCCCAATATCTATTCGATCGGCTTCAGCATTCAAAGCTTCACCCGCTACGCCCAAGCCGTGCCTCGATTTGTCTGGACATTTATTGCTACTCTGGTCTATTGTGCTATCGCCATTCCAGGCTACAGTCACTTTGAGAGCGTGCTGGAGAATTTCATGTTGGTTATTGCATACTGGCTGGGCATCTACGAAGGCATTGCCCTCCCAGAGCATTTCATCTTCCGAAAGGGATTTGCCGGCTACGTTCCCGAGAACTATGATCAACCGAAGAAGCTACCGCCGAGCATTGCAGCCTTTGGTGCGTTTCTGTTTGGCGTACTTGGTATTGCAATGGGTATGGCTCAGCAGTGGTTCATTGGACCCATTGGAAGATCGTTTGGCAGTGGGTATGGCGGTGACATTGGTTTCGAGCTGGCTTTTGGGTTTACTCTTGTCACGTACATTCCATTCAGATACTTTGAGCTGAAGAAGTTCAAAAGGTAATGGAGGTTTTGATGAAGATAAATAGGGGAAGCATCTATAGTTGTATCTTAGCTGGGGTGGTACCAGCCACGTTTTGTACTCGCTATGAATGATAAGCTGATATTCTGTAATCTCAGAGCATCTAGAGCATCTCAAGAGTGGCCTAATGCAGATTGTGTCTTTGATGCGTCTATTGTAGTTGTGCAGCTGGATGCGCAGGGGGCCCAGCTGAGTACCTAGATCTATTCGATATACTCATTGTGTCTGACACTAATTTCTTCGCTACGGCTCGTTGTATTTGTCGCGTCTCTTCGACAAAATATAACTCCCTGCACCGACAATTAAACTCGTCAGTCAAGACATTATAATTCAGCCCCTAATTTGTTCATCTGATTCTCCCGAGCGTCGAGTTGTCGTCGGTCTTGGCCTCGCGCCGCGATCCGTAAAGTGCATCGTGTACAACAGCCACTTGACATCTCCTGGCCTTTTGTCAACAATCTACCTTGAAACCTCCCTTTTACTGATCTTCTTCTGCAGAGCATCCTCCCCCGAACAGGAGGGACTTGAACACGGCTTTGGGGCCCTGCCTCTCTACTCTCATTGTCCACGCTGCCATTTGATCCCTGCTCACCCACCTCTCCTCCACCATGGATTTCGACAGTCTCAAGACCCAGGTCAGCAATCTGACCTTTTATGATCTCAAGGCCGGAGTACGGAAAGTTCAGAATGGTGAGTGACACTCTCAACGACACATATGTCTCAGTAACCGGGATACTGATCTATTTAAAGCGGTAATGAACTTGACCGAGATGGAGGCCAAGGTTCGCTCCCCATCCTCCCCTTTGTCGGTGTCCATATCCTGACCATCACCAACAGGTCCGAGAAGCCACCAATGGTGACCCTTGGGGTGCCTCAGCAACATTGATGCAAGAGATTGCTCAGGGTACACACAACTAGTCCGTCCTCCATCGTCAATCTCTGACAGACCTTCCTCTGACTGTCCTCCAGCCAGCAACTCAATGAAATAATGCCACTCATTTATAAACGATTCACCGACAAGACTGCAGAAGAATGGAGACAGATTTACAAGGTATTATGGTCATTCGCTGAGGCGTTCAGACGATTCTGACTGTCTATGCACACAGGCTCTTCAACTATTGGAATTCCTCTGCAAAAATGGGTCTGAAAGAGTGATCGACGACGCCCGCTCACACCTGTCCCTCCTGCGGATGCTTCGACAATTCCACTACATCGATCCCAACGGGAAAGATCAAGGTCTCAACGTGCGAAACCGGGTCAACGAGCTCGTCAAGCTTCTCAGTGATGTCGATGCTATCAGACAAGAGAGAAAGAAGGCACGCGCCAATCGGAACAAATACGGTGGCGTGGAAGGTGGTAGCTCGTTCGGTGGCGGCTTCTCTGGCGGAAGCGGCGGCCGATACGGAGGGTTCGGCAGTGACAGCGCTGACTATGGTGGCTACCAAGGGGAAGTTTATGGCGACGGTGGTGGATTTGGCGGACGAGAGACCGACTTTTCCGGCACTCAACGTCGTGGAGATCAATTCGAGGAGTACGACGAAGGTGATGACGTCCAGCCTACACGAGCCACCAGATCGACCACCTCCACGGCACGAGCAACATCAAGCGTCACGGCCAAAAAGGCAACTCCCAAGCCCAAGGAACCAGAGCAGGACTTGTTTGATTTTGGCGACGAACCCACTACCAGCACCTCGGCTGGAAAGGCACCAGCCTCGAACAACGATTTCGGGCTTCTGAAGAGCAGCAACACTGCCGCCAACCAAGACGACGATGACGACTTTGACGATTTCCAATCTGCGACTCCTTCGACCGCTCAGCCGACGAGCAATCCTTTGGCAGTGCTCTCACCACCACCACCGGCAACGTCGACGACCACACCAAGCACACAGTTTGCCGCTCCCACACCACTGGCTCCCGGAAACAGTGCCAACTTCCACAATATTCTCTCCACGGCATCTCCCGCCCCTTCGAATTCGTCGTCGATATTGTCACCGCTAGGATCTGGGTTGACGTCACCGGCAGCACAGAAACCGCCGACGCAGGCATTCGGTGCTGCTCCAGCGTTTAAGCCGTCAGGACCTAACTATTTTACCTCTGTGCCCATGACGGCGGGTCAGCCAACTTCGACATCCACGGCGTCAACTCCTCGAACTGGGGCTACTCCTGCGTGGACAGGGTCGTCGGCTACGACTACCGCGGCAAACTTGGGCAAGCCTGCTCCTAAAGTTGCTGGCAACGCCAGTGGAGGGGGCGATGCATTTGCATCACTCTGGAGCTCTGCAGGAACGGCGGCAGGAGTCAACAAAAGCGCAACATCTAATAAAGGACCCGACCTTGCCAGCCTGTCCAAGGCTAAGAGCCAAGCAGGTATCTGGGGGACAGCGACGGCAGCAAGTGCAGGAAGTAGTCGGCCAGGGGTTACAGCACCAACGCCTAATACGGCTGCTAATAACCAGCAGAAACCGGCCGCTTCTCTGGGTAACGGACTGGATGATCTTCTTGGTTGAGAGTTGAGTATTTGACGAGGCTTGATGAACAAACGGGTTTGCTGGCTGGCCACTCTACGGGTTAATGACCTTATTGAGATAGATCTGCCGCCATGGAGTTCACATTAATGTGGCCATTCTCCTTGGCTTGATTTCGCCGTGATTGATCTTCTCTTGATAATGCATGTTGGTAGGTATTCAATAGACAGACCTCTGGGCTGCGTGGGTGTGACACTTGTAATGTTGACTCAACATGGCTTGAAGAATTAGGAGCTTGGAGGAGAAGTTAAGCGATGGCCGGACGTTCCGGGTCCTTGGGGGGTTGATGTTGATGCTCTGAGTGCGTGGGACAGGGGACAAGGGGTTCCATATCCTCCCTTTGCGCCCACCCCGCAGCTTGCTTACTACTACCTACCTTAATCCGTTATGCCTATAAGCATTCGTAGTTAGGGGATAAGAGTACCTGAATGCCCGGGCGGTCATTCGGAGTTGAGAGTCCATCCGAGTCGTCAATCTTTCTGGTGACTGACATCGAGATGATGAAGATTGAATTTCTATTTCCCCATCCCTCCAACAAGAATCACGTCAGTCCATCGACTTTGTTTTTTGATGCCCGAAAATTAGATTCACCAATAATTGACAAGTGAGTTCGAAGGTTATTGTGACATGCATACGGAGTACCTATCTACCTATGGTGACCTACGGAGTATGTAATTTGACTTCTTGCCCCGCTGATGCTGTAATGAAAGTCGTGGTTGCTATTGCCGTTGATGTTGCTTTCGTAACTGCGACTCTTCTTCTTCCCTCCCTCCCTCACTCCCTCCCTCTCTTTGTCCAGAAGCACCCTATCATATTTATTACTTGTCGGTGCCAACCAGCTCCAACATCCTTTCGTCATCTTGCATCTTCGCCATCTGGCACCAATCACAGCTTCATTCCATCCACGCGAGCGACACTTCCAAGACCGGTGGGGTCAAAACCACCTTTCACATACTAGATTGGCGCGGCTCATATCGATCTGACCCTCCAAGCACGTCCAACTACCAACTAGGAAGACCCCCGTTCCTTAGTTGGTCGACCAGAAACCTGCGTCAAGTCCAAAGAAGTTGGGACCACCAGCGCCAGCGGGTTGCTACGAGAGATAGTTTCTGATGGATGGGAATACCCTGTATGTCCTCATCCATTGTTAATCATCATCACCATTGAGCTTTGCCTCCATTTACCATTTCCAATTCCTCACCATTTATCCTCTGTTGCTTCTGCTGTGTCGGCTTTGGCGTTGTGATATCAGCTTTTGTTTGTTCTTGCACTGCCTCATTTCCATTCTGGCGGTATCCCTTCCTCTAGCACAGACCATCTTTCCCCCACACCCACACGCTTTGTCACCTCGTCATACTGTGTCTTTCTGACTATGGCTGAAAGGCCTACCCACAAGCGGTCCAAGAGCTCCCGCGTCCTGAACCTCTTGCGCAGCGACAACTTTCCTAAAGATAACGGCTCCGAGTCTGGCTCACCCATTAGCACCAGCGGTCCCTTCTCCGCCACCCCATCGTCCTCCCACCTGTCTCCCCTCGATGGTCCTAGACTTGCTCCTCTGTCCACCACAACCACAAGAACTTCGCAGTTGACCATGGACCAACCCGATCTCTCGGGTCTTTCTGCCAGTCCAGATTCGCCACACAAGACCGCGCCCTCGGGTCTCAGCCCTGGCTCTGGAACATCGATCGAAGACTCGGTCCGCACCTTTCGTGTCTTTGAGATCCTGCGCAGTAAAGACACTGCTGCCATTGCAAAGTCGATCCAAGACTCTACTCCTTCTGCCTCAAACCTCAACCCAATTCCTGGGACTACCATCCTCCACCTGTCCATCCAATGCGCCGAGCCACACGTCGTTTCCCAGGTCATCAAGCAAGGCACCGGCCTCGACCCAAATGCTCAAGACAAGGAAGGAAACACACCCCTGCACCTGGCTGCCCAGCTGGGCAGATCTCCAGTGGTCAAAGAGTTGCTTGAACTGCAAGACATCAATGACGCCATTGTCAATAGACAAGGAAAACTACCCATCGATCTTGCCCGTACGCCCGAAATATTCCAACAACTCCAACTTGCTCGTTCGATCTTCCTTGACGACAAAATCAAGGAAATTCATGCGGCCCTTGCAAAGGCCGACTATAAGCACATCGAAAGGATCCTTGTTGAACCTCGAGTCGAGGGAACTCTCGATGTCAATGCTCTCGAATTAGCCACCGAACCCTACACTGTCCAGACAGGCGGAACTCTCCTGCACGAAGCAGCCCGCAAGAAGGACATCCAGCTCGCTCAAGTTCTCCTTCTCCATGGCGCCGATCCCTTTAGAAGAGACCGAAAAGGCAAATTGCCCCAAGATGTCACCAAGGACGATCGCACTAGAGCCATTCTAAAGAAATCGCCCGCCGCCGCAGCAGCCCAGCGAGGAGTCCAGGAGAAAGCGATCCTCGGCAATACACCCACCGCATCCAGAACCAATGGGCCCGGTGGTGACACGACCAAAGACGCCCGAGAAATGAAGGGCTATCTGAAGAAGTGGACCAATTACACCAGTGGATATAAACTACGATGGTTTGTCCTCGAAGATGGTGTACTCAGCTACTACAAGCATCAAGACGACGCGGGCTCTGCCTGTCGAGGTGCCATCAACATGCGCATCGCTAGACTGCACATGGACCCCCAGGACAAAACGCGCTTCGAAATTCACGGTAAATCCTCTGTCAAATATCACCTCAAGGCAAACCATGTCGTTGAAGCGAAACGGTGGTTCTGGTCCTTGAACAACGCCATCCAGTACACCAAAGATGAAGCAAAAGAGGAAAAGAGACGAACCCTCGAACTCGACACTAATCGTCAGTCCAAAGCCGATGGTCATGACCTGAGTAGTGCCACCAGCATTCGATCTAGACATACCTCGGCCACCTTGGGCGTCCAGGGTACCTCCTCCAAGACCAGCTTTCGTTCCGAGGCCGATCAAGGCTATGAGTCGTACGAGGCTAGTGTCGTGGGTGACGAGCTCCATCGCATGCCAACTAACCCTGCCACCGCCACCTTTGACGGGGACGATGACGGCGACGCTGATGATGCCAGTAGCCGCGAAGTCCACAACCCTGGCAACAAAGATGCTTTCAACATTACCGCCCAATCCGCCAAACTGCAACTCGACTTGCTTTCGCGTGTTTCGGATGCTCTGATCAGCCGTGAAGCCTCTCAGCCAGAAACAACACTGGCAGATCCAAATGTTTCACAGGCACTCCAAACCTATAGGACTGCTGTCAGCAGTCTCAACAATCTGGTGACCGACCTCCTCAAAATCTCAAAGGACCGTGACGCCTATTGGCAATACCGCCTGGACCGCGACGCTGACGCCCGCAAAATGTGGGAGGAAAGTATGGCAAAGATTGCGTTCGAGCACGAGGATCTCAAAAAGTACATTGCTGAGTCCGAGGAAAAGCGAAAACGCACCAAGCGTGCCTTGAAAGAGGCCCTTGAAGGTCAATCCGACAGCCGTCGAAGCTCGCTCACCCGGGAACCCGTAGACCACGTCCAATTTGACGACGCCTCTGAGGATCATGAGCTTCGTCCCGAGGCTCTAGCCCAGGCCCGAACTCGACCTCGAAGAAAGTCATTTGCACGTGAAGGGAATCGGAGGAAGTCGATCATCGCGCAGTACACCAACATCTCAGACTCAGAATCCGGAGATGATGAAGAGTTCTTCGACGCCATTGATGCTGGAAAAGTGGAAATTGTCGAAGCACAACTTCTCAGCCCTCCTCTCGTCCATGCTCCAGGCTCCAAAGAACAAGTCGAGACCGAGCCGTTTTCACAATCAGATGCACGAGCTTTGAAACAATTGGAAATTGAACCATCCTTTGCAGGCTACGAGGATGGCATTCGCAAGAAACTCAAGATGGACGCCGATGACCGGCCCAAGATTTCCCTCTGGGGAATTCTGAAATCTATGATTGGCAAAGACATGACCAAGATGACTCTTCCTGTTTCGTTCAACGAGCCCACTTCGCTTCTCCAGCGCGTGGCAGAGGATATGGAATATGCAGATCTGCTTGACATCGCCGCCGATCGACCCGACCCGACCGAAAGGCTAGTCTACGTCGCTGCGTTTGCCGCGTCCGAATATGCCAGCACCATCGGCCGTGTTGCTAAACCCTTCAATCCTCTTCTTGGTGAGACATATGAATATGTTAGACCAGACAAAGGGTATCGTTTCTACATTGAACAGGTGTCTCACCACCCTCCCATCGGTGCGGCTTATGCCGAATCCGCTAGATGGGACTACTGGGGCGAGTCTGCCGTAAAATCGAAATTCTACGGCAAATCCTTTGACATCAATCCTTTGGGGACATGGTTTCTTCGGCTTCGGCCCTCGGACGGGTCTCCGGCCGAACTGTATACTTGGAAGAAAGTGACCAGTTCGGTGGTGGGCATCATCACTGGCAATCCCACAGTCGATAACTATGGACCTATGGAGATCAAGAACTGGAACACGGGTGAGATTTGCTCACTCGACTTCAAGCAAAGAGGCTGGAAGGCCAGCTCGGCCTATCAAGTTGCTGGCAAAGTGATCGGGGTGGACGGTGTGACCAAGTGGAGCATTGGCGGAAGATGGAACGACAAGATTTACGCACGAGTTACGGAAGGTTTTCAAGACGACGCGGTTGGGCAATCTCTTCCCAACCAAGGCAAGTTCCCCTCCCAGTCCGGTCACCAGGCCATTCTGGTGTGGGAAGCACATTCTCGTCCGTCAGGCATTCCTTTCAACCTGACCCCATTTGTCGTGACGCTGAATGCCATTTCGGACAACTTGCGTCCCAATCTTCCACCGACCGACACACGACTGCGACCTGATCAGCGAGCCATGGAGGACGGCGAGTATGATTTCGCAGCCACGGAGAAGAATCGAGTCGAAGAAAAACAACGAGCGGCCCGCCGAAAGCGTGAGGCACTAGGAGATGAATGGAAACCCAAATGGTTCGAGCAAAAGACCGACCCTACCACCGGTGAAACGTATTGGCAAAGTACCGGTCAATATTGGGCAAGCCGGAAGGTCAAGGACTGGTCGGTATGTGATGATATCTTCTAGATAGAGGCAGAGGGAAGGAGAAGAAAGTGGTGGAATAGAGGAAAGAGACCTGGACAGCGCGTGTGTCATTGTGTGTATCTGTTCTGTTCCGCTCTACTGGCCGTTTGGTAGTCGATGAACAATGAATTGGATGCAAAAGCTTGTCGGGGGCTTCTCAAAATCTATACCTACATGTATGTATGTATTTTGCCGAACCATTGTTGCTGTTCCAATCATTATGCATACCACTCAAGTTGTAGATACCGTGAATGTGACGCTTCTAGGTATGTGAGTACCTACTAGGTACTTATTTATGTAACTTGGTAATGGAGGGAGTACCTTATTTATGAAGACTAGAATTCCGCAATTGTGAAGTCATTACTATTATATATTTCATATTTAGGAGTAGCAACTGTGATAGTGACAGGACGAGTATCGCTCAGACGGGTCCTAGATCTGACTAAACATGCCTTTTGCCATGCGTACTCATGACACCACGAAGTACACACCTACATACCTTCCTTACGCATATGTACCTAAGATAGGAACCTAGGTAGGTACATACGGATGTATCCTGTGACAACTGGTCGTTTCGACGTTTCGGCGATTTGGCATGTGCATGGCGGGGTAATAATGAGAGTCAAAGAAACCAAAAGAAAAGATTTCCCAACAAACAGCCCCTCAAAACACAAAACGAGGGAACATACGGGATCGGGGGGGGGAGGAGGGGGAGGGGGCCCCGAGGCGCCCGTTGTCTCGGATTCGTCTCGTTAGAATTGACGTGTACCTGAGGTAGGTACCTAGGTAGTACCTACGAGTATCAAGTATCAAGTATCAAGTATCCCACCTGCCGCATCCCCTTACCTCGTTATAAACCGTACAGACATATTTCCTAGACATCTAATACCTCCTATACATAATAGCGATGATCAATAGTGATGACAACCCAAGGAGGGATCAAGTACAAGACAATCCAACGGTACAAAGGGCATCACAGGCAATGCTGCCCCCTTGCCCCCCTTGCCCCGTTTGCCCATTTGTCCACGCCATCCTCTGGTTCTACGGAGTACAAGTAGGTTCATATGCGGGGCCGAGGGGCCCTCGGGCTCATCGTTCACCATCCATTTTGCCCTTCCACCCCCCGACAAGTTTTGCATTGGGGTCATCAACTAGAGCGGGGAAGGGTGGCTTTGACCCTAGTCTCCATTCTTGTCTATTTCTGCCTCTGCTCAGCTTCTTACTACGGCGTCCAACCCAGCCGACCATGAACGAACGGGCTTATTTCAAATCAAAGGTTACTTCAACTTTTCAATTCGTCTACTACCTTGATCGGTATCTATGCTTGGAGGTGACGGTAGACAGAATTCGGTAGATCACTCTCCTAGGGATGTGTATGCTTGAATCTCGGAGAATGTAATCATTGTATTGTGACACTTTTGGATTCCAGTCGTAAAGCCGGAGTAAAAAGTTCTCGGGCATGCAAGAGACGCGCTCAGTCATCAGCCAACTCCATAATGATGTTAGCGTTGGACCCGGTCGATTATGTGTCCGACATGGGCCTTAATTGGCACCAGAGTCAACAATGGTAGGCTTGAACTGCAAGTTGACTTGACCAGTACCGGAGCCAGTCTTCTCGAGCTCCGAAACAATCTTCATGCTCTCAGCGTCAGCAACCTCGCCAAAGACGACGTGCTTTCCATCGAGCCAGGAGGTGACGACGGTGGTGATGAAGAATTGGGAACCATTGCTGTGAAGATGTTGGTCAGCACAAAGCGCGATTGAGATGGAAAATTTAAACATACGTGTTAGGACCAGCGTTGGCCATGGAGAGAAGACCAGGTCGGGTGTGTTGCTTCTTGAAGTTCTCATCGGCAAACTTCTCGCCGTAGATTGACTTGCCACCAGTGCCCTGTTTGTATGCTGAGTCAGTATGACCGTGTCGAGATGGAATTTTGACTCTTCTTGGAGGTACTGACATTGCCACGGGTGAAGTCGCCACCTTGAAGCATGAATTGAGGGATGATTCGGTGGAACTTGCTACCCTTGTAGCCAAATCCCTTTTCACCGGTGCAGAGAGCACGGAAGTTCTCGGCAGTCTTGGGGACTACATCGTCGTAGAGGTTGAAGTTGATACGTCCGCTCTTGGCTGTTGAAGATGAGAGTCAGCGAGGATGAAGGAGGATGGGAGAGTGAGAGTAAGATGGCAAGACTACAACATCCTTGACGGAGACCATGACAGGTCATGAACAACACAGACAAGGGCAAAGAGAAAAGAAAAGGGAAACTTACGAGGAGGGACGGCGCCACCGGAGCGAGCAGCCTCAGTTCGTTGTCTGTCGAGCTGAGCGTCGGTCCATTCGACGTCGAACCAAGCTTTGATGGTCATGTTTGCAGAAGTCGAAGAGAAGAGTCGAGCAGATGGGAAACGGTGATTGAGCAAAGGTTGACGAGTGAAAGAAGTCGATAGTGGGGTGAGGGAATGGAATGATTTAAAAGAGTTGACGCGGAGGGGCAGGAGGAGTTGGCTCATTTTTGAACCGACTGAGAAAGATCAAGTCAGGTTTGAGGTGAGGGGCAGACTGCGGGTGGGTTGGCGGTTGGCAGGCAAGGGCACGGCGGGCAGGGCAGGCGCAGTGACTCTGGGAATTTGTTGCGTGGCTTGGCGCGACAATCGAGGAAGGTGGCACGACCAAACTGTGTGTGAGGTGTTTCCGAGTAGGAGCAAGCTGCAGTTACAAGGAACTGCTACCAACTAACTTTAGTCTCGTCACTGTGACTGTATCCTCTAGATTAGCCCTTGTAACGTGTGATTGTTACCTACAGAAACAAGACTGATGGGCTTGGGAAGGGGTTCAATGGCTTGCTGATCATGATAGTCGCCAGGCAACCGGACAAACTTGTCCTGCATTGCCGGCTACATACCGGCCAATTTGGAATGGAGTTTGAGGTTGGGTAAAGTTCTGAATTACCTGATGATCAGAGCTCTGGGAGCTTGGAGAAGTGGCCCGAGGTGGCGAGTAAGAGTACAAGGAGAGCTTGAGGTCGAGTGGTCCGAAGCTTCACGTGACCAGATCGATTATTCAGTTACTCCTGATTCTGGTCTGGCTGGAAGGATTCACCATCACAGCACGATCAGCCCCGGGTCACATTAACGAATGAGCGGAGGAGGTCTACTCACATGTAAATGTATAGACTGGCGATGCAATGCGAGATATCTTTTGATGACGATGGTGGTGATAGTAATGGAAATAAAAAATTGTTGCTACAATGTCGCAAGATACTGTGAATTCATTCTGTCAATTGAATTGCCATCAGTAGCACCATGACCAAGGGGCAATTACCTGTACAATATGAGAAAGCTTCGAGGCAATCAAGAATCTGTCGTTCAGCAGCTTCAGGTCAAGCTAATGGATTGATGATCAGGAATGTTGATACCCAAATAATCTATGACAAGCTGGCCAACGAAAAACATGTTTGTCCCTGTACTTGCCAAGTCACGGGGATTGTACCTGAGTCATGGAACATATCATCAATTTTAGGTCATGACTCGGCACGCACATCTGTCAAACCCATGACCCTCTGTTTGGCCTATTAGGGAAGAATCTCTCACAATGCAAGTCATACCGCAGACACCAGGATATCAATCATATAAATACATTACAATATACATATAACATATACACATCTGCCTATACCGGATAGACTTCTGGATGGCAAGCCACTGTATTGCTCGCCTCTCCAGACTGACACCACCGGTCAGCATATCAACTGAAATCTTCTTCACGTCCCACCTCAATCGACATGATGCGGGACACGAGTTCCTTGGTCTCGCGCGCAATCTGGAATGCTAGTGGTGGTAATTTCTGAGTCGATTCTCGACCATCACCTCCGTTGGTTCGTAGAAGATTGTCCCTACATTCCCGAAGGAGTTTCAGCACCGGCCCTGTTCTTGATGCCAACATGTCCTTGTACGAAGATGGTTCATTGCCGGTTCTTTCGACAGAATTGATGATATTCTCCACGGTCGAAGCCACAATAAGAACATGGTCTTGCACAGTGCTTGATCCCGTATCGCCTCGAATAGAGTCCACAAGGGATGTGACGGATTGGACCAACCCGTCCGTTTGATCTTCTAGGTACATCTGAGAATAACAGTTAGTACCGAATATCAATCGACTCAGTAACGACAATTCATCTTACCTTGAGATCCTCCAGATCAGCCTCCTCTTGACTTGTAGCATAGGCCGCCGTAGATTTGATGCCAAGTCCTGCAGCATCGGCGTAGCTAGCCCCATTGCGCTGGTCAAGGCTTGATCTGGTCTGGTTGGCGCTAGTCCGGACATCAGACGGTGTGCTCAAAGCACTGTAGACGCTGTCCACGGCACTTCGCCGCCTCAGACTTTCTGCAATGTTGAAATACCCATTGGCCTGAAGCGGCTCGAGGACCGGCTCGTCACCTTCATCGAGCTCCCCAGCAGGAGTGGGCCGAATCTTGACATGGTGAAGAAGGTCCACCACAGCTGCAGTCAAGTGCGACGCTGCTGCGTCCACCAGACTGACAGGAGAGAGGCCTTGTGCCGAGGCAAAGTTCTTGGAGGCCGTGATGAGGTTGTTGGCCGTGGCAGAAACCTTGCTCTTTAGCTTAGTCCTCCGTTTGGCGTCATCGTCGTCCTTGTCGACGGCAGCGGCGTCAATGTCAGATGTGATACCTCGGACAGCCAAGACCACCACCTTCATATGGTCAAGGACTGCAGAAGGATTCTCTGAGCGCGCGATGCGCAGGAGTTCATCAATAGCAATTTGAAACTTAGTCACATGGACGTCCTTGACAATGCCGTTCTGGTCTTGCAGTGCCGCTCCGTGACGTGCCGCATCAGGACGTGAGATACTGAGGCCGAGAGAACTAGCTCGAACGCTTCGCAGTTGCGTTTTGGCCTTGACGTATCTACCTTTCCATTCCTTGACTTCTTCTTCCAATTTATGCACCTGAGACTGCAAGGCTTCCTCGCGCTCAGAGCTTCCGATCCCTGACTCTGCCATTGCGCGCATTTCTTCGAGAAAGTGTTGGCCTTGTCGGCTGACCTCATCGGTCAGCTCACGCTGTTTGGTCAATTGGCCCTGGAGAACTGCATGATCCTGGTCCAACTTGAGATACTTGGTCTTCCAGAGAACATTTTCTCCGCTATAATGAGGCTGCTCAGCTTTCAGCTTTTCAATCTCCAGCTGGAGCGATTTGTTGAGATTCTCGGCATCTTCCAATTTCCTATCAAGGCTCTTTTTGGTGGTCTCCCATTCTTGACTCTGACTGTTCAATTCTCGGATGTTGTTCTCCTTGAGTTCTAGGGCCGCCTCAAGGTCAGAGACCTTGTCTTGGAGCTCGAGGACGTCAGACCTGGCGGTTTTGGTGTAAGCGGAGCTGACGCCACTTTGAGAAGTTGCAGATGTGTCTCTGTCGCTTCTTGGACTTGTCAGGGAGCTTTCCAGCCCAAAAGCATCACTCGAACGATCATATCGCGAGTCTGTGGGCTGCGAGTCGTCTTCATCCTCAACCATCATGCTCTTATTTGGGGTGATGGTGTTGCTCTGAAACTGTTTCGGCATTGGCCTTCCATAATCACTCACAGGGGGTGGGTTGTCAAACTGGGGAACACTCGAAATAGACTCGCTTCTGGATGAAAATGCTTGAGGTGGGCCGGTACCAAAGGTCGGGGCGCGTTGAGGAGCTGGGAAGGCTGGGAGGCCCGTGGCGGATGAACCACTACCAGGACCGCGAGATTGCGAGCGACTGTGGGGACCATTGCCAGAGGGAGGCATGGAGAACTGGGGAAATCTCCTCTCAAGCTCGCAAAAGACATCGGTGGACAGATCGCGGAACCTTGGGGCCTGCAAAGAAGACAATTTCTGTCTGGCCTGATTACGTTTCTCGTGAAAGTCGGGCCGGGGTTGCAGGAACGGAGGGACGTTCTGAAGTCGAGGTGGGCGGCCAGCCAAGGGACTGCTTGCTTGTCTCCTTTGCAACTCATCAAAGACATCTGTACTCAGCTCGTGGAATTGAACTGGTGAAAGGCGCAACAGCTTGTCACGGGCTTTGTTGGGTCGGGGAGGAGGTTGCGCCCCACCCCTAAGAAATGACTTCAAGACGGTGTAATGTTGAAATAGTTCGGTTTCCATCCTTTTGTACTTTTTGCTCTGGTGGTCGGACAATGTGCCATCGCTGGACCGAGAATTGGCGATTGAGCCAGCTCGGGAGGAACCCCTAGATCCTGCTTCCGAAGGGCCACGCTGATTGATGGGTTCGAGTTGACCTGACAAAGACATAGAGCCGGAGCCAAAGCTGTTCATCGCATTGGGAGGCTGTGGGCGGAACGGAGGACTTCTCGATGCCATGTATTCCTCTTGGGGGGAGACGAATCCGCTGGAGGATTCATTTCGGGGGAAATTTCCATATGCATTAACACCGGACCATTCGCTATCGACAGGGGAAAGTTCACCCCGGTTCATAGGCAGGGGCGGTAGAGCGGCTTGCATGTTTGGGACGGGTGAGGGGATCTGCACAACACAGATTCGAGGTGTTGAAGTGAGTTGAGTGAGACAAGAGTAGCCAGGCGATGAGGGTTCGGATGCTCGTGATCAAAGGTAGTGATTAACACGTTGGACACGTTGGAATGGGACGGCCGGCAACGTTGTCTGGGTTTGAGGAAAGGGCACTGGGCGGTGGAATGCAGGCGCGACCGGGGAAGGAATGAGGAGGTGAGCGGAACTAAAGGGTTTTAGGCGATGAAACATGGGTGATGGAGACTGTCCAGCAGAGGTTGATGCTATAAATCTCAAAGAATGACTGTGAGTGAGTTGAACAAGGCAATGACCAGCTTCGACAAGAGAAGGCGAAGATGCGAGGATGCGAGGATGCGAGGACGAGGACGAGGACGATGAGGTGTGAGGGTGAGAAGGATGGTGCAGTCTCAGTGCAGTAGTGAGCAGTGGAGAGTGGACCGTGAATCTGGATGGTACTGTAAAAGTAGCGGTAATAGTGGCAGCCGTGGCCTGGAGTGGTCGAGGGGTCCACTGGCCCTGGATTGCGGGTAACTTTGGCTTGAAAGTTGAGTGGCTCTCGACAGGATAAGAATGATGGGTGGGCATTGATCAATATTATTAGCCAACAGGGGGACGGAGCACGAGGGTTGAAGGGTTTGAAGTAGCCGACCGAAGAAAAAAGTCACCTTTAGCGCGCACCCTTCAACATTCATCATACGCATAGTCAAGGGCTCAAAGTCGTTGTCAATTTTTGTGTCTCTTGTCATAGGCTTCAATAGATGCAGGTATGTAATAATGGCATGTCTGTTCAACCTCGAGGGCTGAGGGTCTGCATAGGAGTGTTATAATGGCCGAGAGGACCCTGGGGCTTTCTTTGGGGAGCCTAAAGGAGTACTAATTCAACGTAAATTAATACCTTCCTAAGTGCACAAGTACCCAGTTACTTCTCATTGCCAACGGTGCGTTGAGCCGCCCCTTGGCCCCTTGAAATGTCAGCCAGGGCCGCTGACGGCATGCCTGGCGCCCACCAACTTTCCCATTACCATCGCCTACACTGCTTAGGTAGGTATGCATGGTGCCATCCATCCATCAGAAGCTAGAACCATGTGCCAACCCGCCCAGTCGAGTCCTATTCAATTGTCTACACACATATAGCCGACATCACATCTACTTAGCTCGAGGCTCTCGTCTCCAGGCTTTGTACGTAAGATATCGATCGAAACTCTCGTGACCCTCGTAACCCTATAGCCATGGACGACAACGTGCAAGCTCTTACGAACTTCAACCCAAGTAGAGTGTTCCCACCACAATCCTTAAGTACTTTCCACTCACATTAATGGTCGCTATAGGCGAGTTTCAGGCCAGTCGTGTAATTGCATTGTTGTAGCACCATGTCCAGGTTTGTGGTTTCACGGATCGTGCCATCGACACGAGGCTCATGCCACCCACGTTCATCTTGGACCATAGTCATAGTACCACGTCCACGTAGGTATCATGTCTGGATACATTACTCCGTATGCTGGAAGAGTCAAATGGGCAATGGACGAGCCCCTTGGTTGTCACTGCATGTCCTTCAAACAGAGTTTCTTTACCCCTTAGCAGAAACGCGGGACGTCAAAAGTCTAAAAAGTCCCAAGACTTTGAGGTTCATGCTGGGCGGCACGGCGGCAATGGCTGGCAATGGTGGGTGCAGTGGATGCTTGTCAATGGTCAAAAGCCCACGGCCAAAACGGGACCTTCCCGGGTTTCTTCTTTGACGAATCCACATGCCTCCGTGCGCTCTTGGCATGGGTTTCCTAACGACGCCAATCGTGATTCTCAAGGAGCCCCTGGATGGTTGTCACGATTGAAAGCCTTGACCAACCACGACTTCCCACACGTGACATGTTATCCTGCTTGCTGTCTCAATGACAGCGACAGCGACAGCGACCATGGTTTGGTGCCTTCAACTGTGCCTTCTATTTCTTGCCATACAGTACCACAACCTCTTCCAACAGATATGATTATTGATGAGCGCGATACCAATAACTATAAGGATGTGTGCTGTTCATTGTACGCACACCTCGTGCCGCTGGTCAATGTGTTCAATGCTTTCTGCACAAGCTCCGCAGGGGATTAACATCCCATGTCACCGCTTGTTGTGCTCCTGGCCGAATCCTGCCATTCGATACCGCGCCCGCGGAATGCCATGTGCCAACGCCATATGCTCGACGCCCCATATATACATGTCTGTCGTCGGCTGATATACACCTCGATTCATCCATCCTCTATCTCCTGGATGAAATGTAATTACCTTCCATTGGTCATCTTCAACGATGATGGTACAACAGGCCCGTTCTGGGCACGCAGAAACGGTTCCACCGCGGCCGAGACCGGCGTCGTTGATCTCGTGGGCACGGCACTACGATTGTGTGCCATGTGTGCCCTGACCAAGTGTCCTGCCGCCAGCGCACTGCACAAGCTGAGCTCTCCAGCCAGGACTCCCGCTGCAATTATTCTGGCCAGCTGCCGTGCATTGTCGCCAGGGTTCGTCGGGTGTGCCCCGCGAACTCCCAGCATCTCGAGCATCGACGATTGTGCCTCGAGAATGGTTCCTCCACCGATAGTGCCTACCTCGATCGAGGGCATGGAAACGCTAATCTGGAGGTTTCCATTGTTGCTAGAGCAGCGTCAGTAACATTGTCTCCTCCCGCCGCACATTGACCAAACACTTACTTTTTCATAATCGTAATGCAGTTGGAACTTTCCACGTTCTGGGCGGGATCCTGACCGGTAGCCAAGAAGATGGCTGTCACAATGTTCGAGGCATGCGCATTGAAGCCACCGATGCTGCCAGCCATGGCACTGCCGATCAAGTTCTTGGAGACGTTCAACTCAACCAGAGCATCCACGTTGCTTTTGAGAACACTTCGCACCACATCGGCGGGAATGATGGCTTCGGCCACCACGGCCTTGCCACGGCCATCGATCCAGTTCACCGCGGCCGCCTTTTTGTCAGTGCAGTAGTTCCCAGATACCGAGATCGTAGCCATATCGTCAAATCCACATTCATTTGACATGACCCAAAGTGCCTTTTCCACTCCTTTGGAGATCATGTTCATCCCCATTGCGTCACCTGTGGTCGTCTTGAAACGAATGTAGAGATAGGTACCCGCTAGAGCGGTCTTCATAGACTGCAAACGGGCAAATCGACTTGTCGAATTGAACGCTTCCTTCATTTTCTGCTGGCCCTCTTCTGAATCAAGCCACACCTTGGCATACCCGGCGCGAGCAAGGGTAGGAAATCCCACACATGGTCCGCGGGTCATGCCGTCGCCAGTCACCACCGTCACTGCTCCGCCGCCGGCATTGATGGCTTTGCACCCACGGCTCGTACTAGCAATCAGAACCCCTTCAGTCGTGGCCATGGGCAAGAAATAATTCTGACCGTCGATCGTCAGCGGTCCAGCGACCCCGAGAGGCAACGGCAAATATCCGATTACATTTTCGCAGCATGCTCCATGAACCAGTTCGTAGTTGTAGTCCTTGTAGGGAGTTTTGGAGGACTCGAGGCCAAAGGCCAACTGCTTTGTAGCTGGTGTCCTTGAAACCACTCCTCTCCGCACCTTAACCGCTCGCACAAACGATTCAAGTCGAGTCATGACGGCGGGGTTTTCCAACGTCTTTTCAATGGCATGGCCAGGAATTTTGCCCTTGAGTGACAGGTCAATCAGTTCCTCATCAGACAAATAGGCAGCCTGTTTGTCTTTAAGCATCTGCTCCATCTCTTCTTTTGATCGTTTTGTACCAACAGGAAAGTCTAGCTTTGGCGGCACTGCCCGAGGCGTCTGTGGTAATTCGAGCTTCGGGGCGCTGGAGCTCGCTGGAGTGGTAACGGTGGATGAATGGGCCTCCTTCAGACTCCATCTGGCAGCGTTGAACAAGTAACCATTCAAGATCAAGCTTAGTGTGAGCGCAATGAGAACCCACTTGCTGAGCGCTGGATCCTCCAGGCTTTTCAAAACACCTTCGATCACTCGGCCGCCGACCACATTGAAGAATTGGTCCGTGTATTCGTAGTCGAAGAAGCGAAGGTCGTCTTCCGACCCTGGTCGATGTAGAGGCCAATCCAATTCGTATTTGATCGGGGGAAGCACGGTGACAATAGTTTCCAGCTGCTTACTTTTGGCTGTCACGTAGATGGCATCAAGACCATTTTCTGCGACCTTGAAAGGGTCGATCGGGGAAGGGGTCAGGACACTAGGAAGTGCTGCTCCAGGTGAGTTGACGCTCTGGGAGGTCCGGAAAGGAATTGTGCAGAGGTTGACGACATTGATAACCACAAAGCCTGTCACCATCCAGATTTTGAACTTTGGAACGTTGCTCGGTTTGATTTTTTGACCAAAGATGTTGACACCAGCTCTTTTGTCGGGCTGTCCGCCAGGCCAGTCGTTGCTCGACGCAACATTTTCTGCAACCCTATTGCTGATTCCATCCTCTTCTAGAGCCTTGCGGAGGGCCACATGACGCTTGATGCGGTTGATCTCGAGCTTGATGCAAAGTATCGTGGTGTAGAAGGTAAAGAGAAGAGCACAGTCAAAGAACAAGATCCAAGCGGCAAGAAAGCAGAACTGGCGTAGCCCACCCTGGATTCCTGAGGCGGCGCCTAGAATGAGGATGGCAATCTCGACGGCGTAGTCACGGACAATCTCAAAACCGGTATCCTTGACAGCAACCTGGATTGCGTCTTGAATGGATGGCGCTGGGAGGGTGGAACCGATGGGGTTACCATTGGGGGATCCGTTTTCTGGGACACGGCGCTTGGTATCATATGATGCGGAGAGGACAGCCTTGGTTAAGATGATGGACTTCTCGAAGCCGATTGTGACCACAAGGAACGGTAAACCTTCAGAGAGAAGGACCATGTTGATTGGCACTCCCATCTTTGTGGTGGTGACGAGACCGAAGAGGAAAGCGAAGAGGCTGGAGAATAGGACGGAGACAGCCAACCAGGCATTCGAACCGAGACGTTTCATGGATAGGAAGAGTGAAATGAAGGTCAAGTGCATGGATAAGTAGCCCAAGGACATGATGATGATATCCAGAGTCTCTGCGTGCTTGACCAAATCGACAAAGGAAGACCAGCCTTCACTGAACCAGGTCCGATATGAGCCTTTGGAGCCGTTTGCATTCACTCGAGCAGCCTTCATGACCCATTTCGCCTGTTCTGATTGTTCTGAATCGTCCGAGGGTAATTGATGAGCGGGAAGATACTGTACTGCTCGAAGAAAATCGGCAACCTGGGAAAAATGGGTGTAGAAAGCGAGGGAAGTGTCGTGAGAGATGGGCGACAGGAGATTTGAGGTGACGGGAATGTTGGTGGCGGTGACATTGGAGGGGACCGGGACTGACTGGACATCTGGGGCAAGCTGAGAGGTCGAGGAGTCTGGGAAGAGGAAGGTGGTGAGAGCATAATGTTGGGTCCCCTGGTAGACAGATGTCAGTGGCTGTCATAAACGTTTTGCTCCGAATCACCTACCGACTGGGAATCTGGAGCGCCATGGTCAGAGAATTGCCATTTCCATGAGGTGCTCTTGGAGAGTTCCAATGTCCTGCTGCCTTGCAACAAAGCTTGTACGTCTAGCTGGCCGTTGTGTTGTAAAGATTTGACACCACTGTCAAACAGGCTTTCTTGTAATAAACCAACGTAGGAAGTACTGGCCAGCAAGGCGATGGCGACAATGGTATGTATAGGGTGTTGGCAGGCCAGCTGCGAAATGGCGAGGAGATTGGCAGTGACGGCGCGATTCAGCCAACTATCGCTATTGCCCAGAGAGCGAAGTTGCTTCGGGAGGAGCTTCGAGCCTCTCATTCTGTAGCAAAACTTGAGGATGGTCGAAGGATGCGGTAGGGGAGAGATTAAAGGTGGGTGAAGGGGCGCGATTGTTGTTGAACAATGTTCCACGACTATCCTGCCATGCTTCCGGGACTTGTCAGGTGGACTGTTCGGCGTCTATGGGGAAACGGTCAGCTGCTTGGAAGAAAGAGGAAGAATATGAACAAGCACAGATTGCAAGCGAATGCGATCGTCGTCACTTGGGGATAGGGAGGCGGTGAAGCATACAAGGAATGCGTACCAGTTGTAACGAACCAGTACCTCGCAGAAGAGTGGTTGTGTTCGGCGAAGGAGGAGAAAGGTGGCAGGATGAATGTGATGTATCGACAACAAAGAAAGACCGAGGTGGGTGACGAGTAGAGAAAGCGAGAAAATATTCAAAAAGGCAGCAGGCTGGACAAGAAGGAGGCGGCGACAAGGATGCTTAACGACAGGGTCAAGAAGATAATGTCATGAACGATTGTTTGAGTGGGCTGGCCTAAGAATTAGCGGTACGGAGCCAGGGAGCAGAGCATGCAGGGAGCGAAGAAAGGTCGATTCAAAAATTTCCCACAAGTGGAGAAATTGGAGATCCGGTGGGATGGGATGTGGTTGTTGAGAGCAAAACATGTACTCCGTAGTAGAGAGACTTTGGGGGGGGTGACCGAGGGGTCGAGGGGCCCTCGGGCCACTGGGCACATTATTGAATCACCATTATTATTATTTAATCAAGCCTAGGCGATAAAACAAACAGAGATGCGGCGGGCCCCTTGGGCGTGTGTTTGAGTATTGCCACAAACTTTTCCGTAGAACGAGGCCCCCGAAAACCTGACAGAAACCCCCCTTAAGCTGGCACGTGCCCTGGATGTTCAAGTTCTCGCCAAAAAGACCCAATCAACCAAGGCTATCAAGGTGGTCCCACGCCGGCATCATGCACCCCAGGCCGAGAGGGACTTGCAGCCTTGTTCTCTGAGCCGTTGGGAGGCGTTAGTTGGACGCCGTAACCCTGTAAGCTGCAAGGCACCAGAGGTCCAAAGCCGTGCCCTTGAATGTGCTTCTTCATCCATGACGAAACCGATTCCAATCATGTCGATCATCGCTGACGTCTACCCCGTATGTACTCCTTCCCATTCAGCACACCACATCCTCGCATGCCTTGTCATCAGTCCTCATTCATGCATGGCTCATAGTTGAGAAGCCTTGGAAACGATGACCACGAACGCGTGTGTTGCCTCTGGGACCCCTGTTAGCTCTGGGCTCGTGGCTTCTTCCCTCTAATGATCGGCCCGAGGGCCCTGAACAAGTACAAAGTAGCACCTACCTAAAGTAAGTACCAAGCAATGAATTTCCATTAACTCGATAACAGGCAGTGGCGACCAACCTCATAACAACTAAGGTACTTAGGTACTCAGCCCAGGGCCACGTACGGAGTAGTTGTCTAAAACCTTCCCAGGCACGCCAGGCCCCTCGGCCGTCTCAGTCTCTAAGTGGCTGCCTCCTTTGTCTCTTTCCAAATCATCCCAGTTGTCAATAAACAACTTGGCCTTTGAGCCTGCCAGGCTCTCTCCACACCAGTTGCACTTCACCCAGTCTCTGTGTCAGCCAACTATACAATGCTCCGGATTGCATGAAAGCGTTTTGGTCCAGCACCTTGTATTCACCCAGAACAGAGCAAACCGATCAAATAATTGGATCTCAAGTGCCTAGCATGCAACCAGGTACAAAATGTGTGGACATTCATCCGATGATGGCGATGTGAGCCAATCTGGTCTCTATGTTCGTCTCTACAACTACGGTGGACAAACTCAGTTGATGACGCTGATTGATATCGAAACTCCACGCTTCATCCTCCTATCTCTAAGTCCAAGCAAGAATCTAGATTCCCTCTTGGGATAATGAGTGTAGGTTTGAGGGGTTCAACCGGGGCAAAGGGGTCTACACTGGCTTATTGATGTCTTGTGGTCTCCATGGACCTAGATGGCCTTAGCTCACCCTCCAAATGGGGTTTGAGATGATTGTAGCACTTGTGACTTAGTTGTCTCATATAGTGTAATTAGAAATCTAGCTCAGACTAGCATAGGAGAGAAAAACCAGCACCTCAACAATTATTGATGATGTCATGTAATGGTCACAATGCAACATCCTTGATATCTGTGCCAATTGCCTTGAACCAATTCCGGCCTTCGATATGATACGAAGAGAAGAAATCAACGTATTCCATGTCGTAGTCCGTTGTCTTGTAAACTTGAAGGCCTTTGGGGAAGCGATGGAAGAAGGTCCCCAGAGTCACATAGAGCTCGCAATATGCCAATCTAGAGATCGCACCGGACATGAGTCCACAATGTCAGCGGAAGGAGAAGAAAGGATAAAAAAAAGTCAACTGGACGGAGATTCAATAGAAACAGAGTGGAGCAAACAAGGGTCTAGGAAAACATTGGTCAAAATCCAGGTCTCACTCACGGCATGCCCACACACTGTCTGCTGCCCCGGCCAAACGGCACCATGTGATGATCGAGCCTGCGATAGTTATCTGCGTCAAGCCATCGGCTGGGATCAAACTTCATCGGGTCAGGAAATATTTCCGGGTTGCGATGCATCAGCCACGACGACATGCCGACGATGGTGCCTCCTGGCACGGCATAGCCGTTGAAACTCGCTCCAGGGTCCGGCGTTACGCGTGGCACTCTACCTGGAACCCCAAAGGAAAGCCGCAGGGCTTCCTTGATGACAGCAGTCTAGTGAGAGGAGTGAGGTCAGGGCCTGAAGACAACAAGAGGGTGGGAACGGGCCACAAGGACGGTATGGGTACCAGATATGGAAGCTTTTCCAGCTCGACAAATTCAAGCTGTGAAGAAGGGTCAGGAAATGCTGCCTGAAGCTCTTTAACCAGTGACTGGTAGATACTAGGATTTTTGAGAATGTGATATGCCGCCACGGTCATGGCGTTGCCGGTGGTGTCAGCGGCAGCGGCAAGGACCGAGTATGCCTGTTGCATTAGCATCTCATTGTCTGGCACCTCGTAACCTGCAGGCTTGTCTTCGAGGCTCAACAGCGTGCTGAAGATAGTTTGTCGATGGCCGAGCTTGCCCTGCTCCATCTTGAGCTTGACGGCTTGGGCCTGTTTGGCACAATCTTGTTGAAACCCTGTCACGCAACCCAGTGGTTCTGACAGATAAGGGGCTAGCCACGGAGGGGTGCTCAGGGCGATCTTCTGGGCCAGCGGAATCTGTTGAAAGGTATAAAAGGCCGGACCTAGGCCACGCACCATGCGGAAGAAATATGCACCAATGTCTTCCTTGTCGAGAAGATCATAGCTACTATCAAAGGCATAGTCGCTAATGACATCAACCGACACGGAGCGGAACGCATGGTGGAGATCGATCGGTTGGCCTGCATCAATACCCTTTTGCGTGATCTTACAAACCTTGTTGGCCTTGTCTTGGACCACCTGCTCTAGCTCAAGGACCATCTTTCGTGAAAACATAGGATTCATAGCTCCTCGGCGGATGCGGTGGGTCTCATTGGAGACACAGCCAAAGGTGGACAATGGTATGCACAGGGCATTGTACAAGTTGGGCGACTTGTAGAACTTGCTTCCCACGTAATAAATCTTGTCGTAGTTGTCGGCGTCGCTAAGATGAATCTCCTCAGGAGTAATGCGGACCACGGGGCCTTTGCACATTGACAGTTAGTGCCACATGCACATGGCCAAAAGTAGATGCATCATCAGTTGTCAAGACGGACCGTATTTCTCATGCATGCGAGCGATCTCAAGGTAATATCGACCGTTGTAGAATGACTGGTACAGCATGGTGACAGCCGGAAGAAAGGGTCCAGGGATGTGGGCCAATGGGTGGAAGAACCGACGATAGACCACCGTCCACAGAATGTAGCTCAACAAGCCAACAACCGCCAACTGCCAGGTCGGCTGCAAGTATTCGAGGATGGCCATGGTTGACGCAGGCTAGAAGGGGCGCAATGAATGGTCAGAGCCTTGAATCGACCACCATGTCACGCCTGAAGAAACCAGAAATCAGAATGTGCGGTGCGGGTGGTGGTGTTTGTATCCACGCGAGCAAACAGGAGAAGAATTCAGTAATAATGGGAATGGAACATCCCTGGGAAAGCAATCTTCATATCCATCTGCTTCCCGTGTCGCCCTATCATGACCGTCCTATTGGTGGCGAACCAGCCTGTCGCGACTCCTACGTGTCCATGCTTTGCAGCATGCAGAGGCAGAGCAGATCGCTTGTCGAATGAGAGTCCCGCGTCGTAACGGGAGGTGCATGAAACATACGCATATTGAAGCAAAGCCCATGCCAAAAGGCAAATGAGAAATGGAAGCATCGCCTGATGGTCAGAGCCATGAACGGGCACAACCGACGAATACATGGCGGAGAAACGATGCTTGTTCCAGCTGCATTTACAGTGCATCATAGCGTCGTCGCGGGGGCATGCTTATCATGATGCCCACTCACGGCACGAGAGGCCCGTGCATTGGGCCGCTCTTCTATGGGCGTTGATTCGTCTTCGCCTGTCTTGACTTTTCCTAGGCTTCTGTTCGGTGTGCGTCCAGCGGGGCGATGGACAGGGAGTAGCACCGCTAGTGTCATCACCTCAGATTCTCCTGGCCTACGGAGTACATCCCCCATCCGTGGTCGTTGGCTATGCTGTCAATGACAGCTCAGCATGGTCGGTTGCATTGGAAATAGAGTTGCGTTGAATTCGAGGGTGTCGCACAGTCTGAAAGCATGTCTTCTTCCTCCAAAACAGAGACACGCCCCCTGTGTTTGTCTTTTTGGTCTGTTTCGTCAAGACTCTTGCCCAAGAGAGTCGGTGTCTATGACCGGCAAATTCAATGGCGACGAGCCAAGATGACACCGCTCAAGTTGATATCGTAAGTCCAGTATTACCTCGACACACTAGTACTGTCTGATGGGGCACTAGAATCCATCTGCAGAGATAGAACCTGAAGCGCCTGGACTTGTTGACGATGCCGACTCTGCGTTTGGTGACGACATGTAAGTGGAGCAAGTTTTGCTCCTGGTGATTTGTTTGTGACATGTTGTCCGTTGGGAACTGACGAAGTCCGTTTCTAAAATAGGCATTCAGAGACCACCACTATATCGACGGCGATCCTGCAACATCGTAAAGAGAACGGACGAACATACCACAGTTTTCGAGCAGGCGAGAACGACTACTATGCACCGAATGACGAACAGCAGAATGCGCAACTCGACCTAGGACATCATATGCTCACGCAACTTCTGGGCGGCAAGTTGTACTTGTGTCCCCTTCCCGAGTCCTGCCATAGGGCAATAGACGTGGGATGTGGAACTGGCATCTGGGCAATCGACTTTGCGGATGATCATCCTGATTGTGAGGTGATTGGAACCGACCTGAGCGCCATCCAGCCTCACTGGGTGCCGCCAAACTGCAAGTTTGTCATCGATGACTGTAGCAGTGAGTGGAACTATCCACCGGGGCACTTTGACTTTGTCCACGTCCGATGTCTGTACGGCAGCATCTCAGATTGGCCAGCGCTCTACCGGCAAATTTTCCTGCATACCAAGCCTGGAGGCTACTTTGAAGAGATGGAGATGTCAATCGAGTTCGTCAGCGACGATGGAACCATTGACGAGCACCATATCATGAGCCAATGGAGTCGAACATTCCTCGAAGCTGGTGAACGTGCCGGCAAGACCATGAGAACGGCAGATTACGCGGCCAAATTGATTCGAGAAGCTGGATTTGTCGACGTGGTAGAGAAATGGTTCAAAGTCCCTCTGGGGGTCTGGCCAAGGGACAAGAATTTGAAGACAATCGGACTCTACAATCACCATTTCGTCAAGGAGGGCTTGGAGGGATGGGCCATGTATCTGCTCACCCGCGTCATGAACTGGTCGGTACCAGAAGTACAGATTTTCGTTGCAAAGATGAAAAATGCTATCGACGACCGGAGAAATCACGGCTACTATCGGGTGTAAGTCATATCAACTGGACTTGGTCTATGTAACTAACCCCAGTTCCAGAGTGGTGGTATATGGACGGAGGCCATGAAAGGTGTGACCGTGTCCTCCTACTGACGAAGTAACGAGATATGACTTGCGTTTGAGCCAGACACCTTCTTTTTGTTTTATATTAGCAGGCATTCTCTTCAACCATCCGCTTCTACTCGAAATACCACGACTCGTCTCGAATCTATACTGTCAGCATCTGCTTGCGTCGAAAGGATGGTCAGTTCATTGTGAGTGGAAAGCCGAACCTTGTCGATTCGGGGTTCGGAGTGGCAATTCGGCATTTCGCAACATGGTTGGAATCTAGCATAGCCACTTGAGTGTGAGGCTTTTAAAATGCGCAGTTTTTGTTGTGCGCTATCCGGCAGTGCGAGGTAAAGATCATTGTTCCCATCAATGGCAATGTCGCCACGTCGGACGATGCTGGAGCTTTCGAGTCCTAAAATTGGGTTCGAAGTCCAAAGTCCTAGTCAAACAGTCAGGGGAATAATGGGTCGAAGCGAAAGGGGCTGTGGGGCCGCATGCTTGCCAGAAGGATTTCGGTAGTAATGTTTCCATTCTAATCGCCCACTTACTGTCTGTCGATTCAGCATGTGCACGCCGCCTTCCAGGTCAACAGCCTGAGATTCCTGGTTGATGAGCCCAGAGTTCTTTGGGATGGAAAAAGCCACTATACCGGCCATATCTGGCATCACCGATTGGCCTTGAGAGATGTCAGCAACCACGACATTATGACCATTCTTCCAGGTGATGCCTAAGTCATCGCTGAAAGCATAGCAGAGGTTGTAGTTGTTCTCTGCCCCATTGGGACCCGCTTGTGATTTATGTTTAACATCCAAAGGGTCATCCCACCCTTCATACCAGACAAAACCTCGATACGTCCATGTGATGTGTAGACGGCCATTATGGTGGTCAAGACCGTTGATGTAAGGGTTGTTGTCGACTCCAGTCAGGTGTTGCCCAATAAAGGAATACGTGGCATTCCTAGAACAATACTGATAGAGCACATCTGAACCACAGCCGGCCCTGGAGAAACCCCAATTGATCAGCTATACTGTCTAAGCCTGGCATTTCCACAATTACCTTCCAAGTCGGTGGGTGAAGAGGAGGTCATCTCCTACACTGAGAAAGCGCGGATACGACACATCAACAAAGTAGTCTGGTGAGGCTACCAGGCCCGGTAAAGAGTCAAGTGTGCTGGTGAAATGTCGAGCAGACCAGTCGAACTGGTCGGGTGTCTGGGCCAACCGCGGAGTGGAATGTCGATACCTCAATCTAAGTGATTCAGTTTTATCACCTGGGAGATTCTCGGTTTGGGGGGAAACCGCACTTGTCACAATGATGATCATAGGACAGGTGAATGGAACCGTCTCCTCGGCAGATCCCGAGTTGGGCAGTGTTATGGCCATCGTCGGTGACCTGTTCGTAGTCTTGAAAGACTAGGACCTCCCAGTCATCCTGTGCGAGAGGACGCCGCGCCAGATGCAGATAGAGAGGCTCAGTGGCATGGGGCTTTGATGCGTAGAAGACGGCATACTGCCAGCCATTGTAAGTGGTCAGGGCATCTTGCTGGTAAGACAACCCGTTGATATTGTTCTTGCGGTTGACAGAATCTGTGCCCAGTATTGTCACACGATAGTGATGCATTAGGCCAATGCGTATGTAGTGAGCGTGATGTGCGTATGATATTGTTCTAGACTTGTGGCTATGGGTTGAATAGATCAGACCTGGAGTTTCGAGGCGTATTTGACCATGTAAGCAGGTTCGTATTTCGGCAGACGATGAGCCGAAGTCTGACGCTGCCCATAGTGACCCCCACGTCCCAATCGAGACGAGTTTGTTTGGCTGTGTTCAGAGAGAAATTGGGAAGATACGATCCTTCACTCCACCAGGCAACGGCACATGGTAACTTACTCGAGTATTGTAATATAGACGCAAAGGTTTGCGCATTGAGATTGGTGCAAGCAAAAGACACCGATGGTCGATATCTTTTGATCTACAACCTGTTCATGGAATTCTACGAGTGAGGATTTTGATAGATGATTGATGGAGTCCCGTGACTGGATGCGCCCCGGGTCTTGGCGTCTATCAAGCGGAGCCAATGGGAAGGCGATGCGTCACACCTCATCCACCTCCCATCCACTTCCCATCCACTTCCCATCCACTTCCCATCCACTTCTCATCCACCTCACAGCCTCCTCCATTCCATCCATTCCATCTTCCTCCCTGCGCGTGACATCAGTCAGCAGCCAAGACCCGTCGATCATTTCCAGTGACTTATGCTATGCAAAAAGCCCAAGGCAGATTCCGCTCTGTCCAAGGTAACTATGAATGGCCTTCTCTACTTGTACTGGCCAAAAGGTGAGAAGCGACTCGAGTCTTGAGTCTCCTCAAAAGAGTCAAGAAAGTCAGACTCGGGAGTATATGCGCGTCGAGAACGCAAAGACCGTTGGGTCTCAGTTGTTTGCTAGGCTACTCATCGCTTTCCAGCCCGTTCACCACCCAGTTCGATTTGATCTGCACGTCCCTTCCACGCCATGCTTCTAGCGTCAGAAGCGCCCCATGTGTCTTCCTCCTCCCACTATTCTATTCCCAGTCACCCAGTCACGCCAGTCTGATCGATGTCAACCTTGGCCAGACCCGTCATGCTACCAGGCAGTGCTCTACCGAATCTGCTCTGACCAACAATAATGATGTATACTTTCGTATGCCAAGTCAAGGTCATACAATCCTCTTGTACACATATGTTCAATGTCCCTATATCAATCTCAAGGTCGGCTTCGTTTGATGCCTCAAATCGATGACTGTTCAACTTACGCCATCTTTCTTCCCATTGCTACAATAAAGACTGTTACATCACAACTCCTGTCATGGCCTATGGCATCCTCCAAAAGCTGGTTCGCAATGACGCGATATCAGAAGATCCTCCGTGTATCTATGGTAGAAGGCTGATCTATCACACCTTGGCCGTATATCTTCCCTTTGGACTTCCCATTAGACCATCAACACCGATCCTAACACTGGCTCTAGGCTGGCCTTGGTGCCCTCAGTGTAGGCATTCAGTAACAGAGACCTTTCTACTGCGGTCAGGTGTCGCTCGGCTAATTGATATCTAGTGAACCGATTGTCCCATCAGTTGCCATGGATCCAGCCTTCGCAAGGTGAGCACACTCAAAGTCATGTCCAGTTAAACCAGATTGCTCACACAATACCACTCAGTCGCTTTGACATGTATCGCTCCCTGGCCCAGCGGAGCATGTTCTCAATGGACCTTACCACCACGTACTGGATGGCAGGCTTTGCCGGCGCCCTGCTGTCAATTTTGATAGCCACCCGACTTGGCCGTCGTAATGCTCTTTTGGTTGCCGCGCTCATCACTCTGATTGGAGATGCCATCGAAATCGGGTCTTGGGGTCGCATTGCAGCCTTCTACGTTGGCAGGTAAGACAACTCCGTGATGGCATCCTCGACGACGGTGTCGCTGACCCACCTCGCGCCAACTAGGTTCGTCTCCGGAGTCGGCACAGGCATTTTCAGCGTGGTTATTCCCATCTTCCTCGCAGAGCACTCTCCCCGAGCAGTCCGCGGGATCCTCGTCAGTACCTATGTTGTTCTGTGGCTGTTTGGCGTATGGCTGGGTCAGTGGATACTCTACGGCAACAACCTACACACACCAATGGGTGATGAGCACTGGACAGTTCCTTTGGCAGTTCAGACGGCACCGATTTTTCTATTTGCGGTGGCCATGTTCTACTGCTCTGACACACCACGGTCTTTGGTGCTGCGCGGAAAGGCTGAGCTCACTTATCCGGTCCTTGCTCGAATGCGCAATATCGACCCATCCGACAATTACGTCCGAGATGAGATCTCAGCCATCCAACGTCAAGCCTCGACTGTTCACCGAGGCATCTTCACCATCTTCCGAGTCAAGCCCTACCGCAACCGCATGCTGATCGCCGTTGGTTTGTCCATCCTCAAGGTCTTCTCGGGTGAAGACAGTCTTGGTGTCCGCATCTCCTACATTTTCTTCGATTTGCGTCAACTCAGCTTGCAGGATCGCAACCTACTCTCCACTATGCTATACACCGGCCTTTGTTTCCTTTCTGCCATGCTCTTTGCCTTGCTTGTTGTCGACGGCTTCGCCGGACGCCGTAAATCTCTCCTGTGGACGATTTTTTTCCAGATCATCTGTCTATGCATCTCGGGCGCCATGGGAGCGTTGTATGCAAACGGCGTTGGCATGCAAGTCGTTATATATGTCGAGCTGGCGTTTCTTTATATCTGTGCCTGCGTCAATTGGTTTGGCTTAGGTACTGTTCCAACGGTGTATGTGGCAGAGATCCCTGACACGGAAATGAGGATGGCCACGGCCGGAATTGCTGGCGCTATGCAAAAGTTGTTCTACATGGGTCTATACCGGGCACTGCCGTACATGATTGCATACGTTGGACAGAACGGCATTGGTGAGTTTTGTTCCCTGTCTCAGGTCAAATAACTGAGGCTAATCATGTCTCAATCGATCACAGGCTATGGAGTTCAGTTCATCTTCGCCGTGTGCTGCATGGTGGCATGGTTCTTTGTCAAGAAATTCGTGCCAGAGACCAAAGGTACGTATAGCATTCACGTTGCTCTTGCCGTGTTCATTGTATCCGTGGATAAGCAGACTCACACTAATGAACTCTCGAACCGCAGGCGTCTCCCTTGAATCCATGTCGTTGCTATTCAATCCGTCTTCAACATCGGCCAACGACCCTCAGACCAACCCTCTTGCCGACCCGGAACACAGCGCCGCGGTGGCCAAACAAGAACGAGAAAATGACAGCACGAGCGAGACTGATGTCAGCGAGCGTGGTCAATCTCGTCATCTGAACAAGTCCTTTTAGGTTGTCGAAGGGATTTGTAGCGTTTGGCGGGCCGGCAGTCCAAACTTCAGCCTTGGGACACCACACGTTGATATCTACCAACCTTGGAATCGGCGAGGGATTCCAGGAATGGCCACTGCTGAATACTGCATAGCATCAAGGAGTTTCCATTTCATGTATTGTGTGCGATGGGAATGTCAATAGGTGTGTGGAGCAATGACGAGGCGTTCTTTGATGGTAGCTTTTATTACACGCTTAGGTTCTATTGCCCAAGAAATTTTCATTTCAGGGACTTCCATTAAAGTTCCACTTGATTCATGTCTTTTCAACTGCATTCAGTTGGTGCTCATTCAAGGCCATTTTTGGGCGAGTGCTCCTATGTCCAAACAAAACGCCAGCCTCCCTCCCGAGGTAGGTGATAAAACCATCGCCATGCAATACACAAACAACAAAATCCCAACCGCGACAAATGGATTGGTGAAAATGGCTGACATATCACATAATGCACAACCCAACAATGGCCACCACAACAGCGAACAAGCTGCCTTTGAGGACACGCTCAGGGTTTCCAGTGATATGAGTGGCCGCATTCATACCGCCGTTCCCTTGAACGAACCCGGTCGCAGCACTATCGGTTCCTGTGGCAGTTCCGCCGCCGCTGTTGCCGCTATTACCGCTGTTGCCACTGTTGCCATCGTCACCACTTGTGTCATTATCTCCCCGTTGGCCGTTGGTCCCTGGGCCGGCTCCACTAAGGCCGGGAACGGTTTCGACGTCGCTGGCCGAAGCCGAAGCAGATGCATGGGGGTAGTCGGCGCTCATGTTTGTACCAGTACCGAGAAGGGACTTCAGAACGGTCTTATCATTGGTGACTTCAACAGAGCGGTTGGTCATGGCCTTGTCAGTGTAGATGTATGAATTATTCCCGTTGACATTGGAGCCAGCCGGCGGGTTGTAGCATTCAATTGTGACCTCTTCGAACGCGGCATAGTAATACCCGTTGGTCATGTATGGGGAATCCCATTGGACAAGACCGCCGGCCCAGTCGATTGTTCCTTTGCCGTTGGTGGGTAGACCACCGGGCCAGAGAGACAGCTGCACCCGACAAGGGGTCTGAGGGAAGGTGTAGCGATTCGCAGTGGCGTTCCATGTGTCTTCACGATCAAGGGTGCGGACTACCTTGCCGTCGATGGACCAGGTAATCTGGTCAGGTGTCCAGTCTATTTCATAATCATGCATGTTTTCATATACGCTGGTAAGGCCAGTGGTGTTGCCGCCGTTATCATCTATTGCACCAGGTCAGTTGATGCTAATCGACTGTGAAGAGGTTGAAGCCGAGGAACGGGGTATGAACTCACAGTTAGTGACACCGAGGGAATAGAAGTTTGTCTGAACACTGTTGAGTTCTGTTCCAACGATTTCGTAATCGATTTCATCTTTGGAATCTCCCAACAAGATAAAAGCAGTAACGACACCAGCACCAGCACCACTTGAGAATCGAGCGGTAGTCTTTCCGTACCAAACGTAGTGAGTACTTGCAAGGAGAGTTCCAACAGTACCCTCTGCCATAGTCAAGAGGACTTGACCATTGTGGGAAAGAGGTTGACCTGATGAGACGAAATCGGCCGAGTTGGCATCACCGAGGTACTTGGTGTTGGAGACGATTCGATCGAGGTTGTCAAAGGTGTATTGCTTGTTCTGGCAGATTGGAGCAGGGACGCAGGAGTCGAGGGTGGCTGAGTTGGCCGGATCGCAACCGCCCAAACAATAGGCACCTACACCACACTGGCCATACTCTATTTTGAGGGTCAGCCCATGACAAAGGGAGAGGAGGGAGAAGGAGAGCCAGGCTAGCACCTACGAGAACAGCATGGAGAATCTGCAGGACATAGTTTGCCATCACCACATGTTGGAGCATTACTCTGGGAGAGGACTGAAGGGGCCAAAGCGGCCAACAGTAGGAGCGATTGTACAAGGCGAGCCGCCATTTTGTGAGGTTGGTGGCGTCGACAGTCAACGGTCGATATGCAGTCGCGAATGAAAGTATGAGGTTGAAAGATGCAACAAGGTGGAGAGATTGACGGTGACGAGAACAACAGTCGTGGTACAGGAAGACGACTTGTTTCAAAGATGACCGAGAGAAATGAGGTGGACGGTGGGCGCAGGCGGAGAGATCGGCAGGGTCACAAATGAAGACTGCGTGACACCAGGAGCGAATGAGTTGGGTTGCAGAGAGCGAGTGAAGGACGCTGTGCTGTAATGTCAAGGAAAGAAAAGTCCAACGACAGTGTGAGGATTACAAGAATGTGAATTGCAGTGACAATGAGGGAGACAAGAAGATGAAGAGAATGATGAGAAGATGAACAGGGATGACAGGTGAGGTGTTTAGACTGTCACGACTACAATAGACTATGGCGTGTTTGGTTGGTCACGACTGGCACAAAGCCCATCAAATCACTCTTTTTTCCTCACTACGGGGCACCTAGCACCCCAAAGCGTGGAATTCCAGGCTATGATGAGTGTGCACTGGTGTGGTACTATGCTTAGAACCCAATGAGAATGACGCGTCCAGGGCGACTGATGAGACCTGCATCCCCATCACTCCCCTGGATTTTCGCCATGTCCGCCTCAATGCAGTTAGACGAGAGACCGAGTCTCAAGGGGCCAGCCTTGATTGGAGACTTGCCACAACTATATTTTTGCTGGAGATCTTCACGGGTGGCGTGCCAGTGGCCGTCTTGGGCGTGGAACTTGGCCTCGAATGCCTCGAATGCCCGTTTATTTAGCCTTTTGTTCCTTGGAGTCCTTCCAGTTGAGTCCCACCATCACGGCTCTCGGGCCCTGGCGCAGTCCTCTCCAGGGGCCGAGGGGCGCTCTTTAGGCGTAACCAAACCCCATTATTGAGGCTTAGATGCCTCGGAGAAATTTATGCCAATCATGAGACCGACAGTGGATTTGCCAAGGTAATGATGTCACGTGCAAGGTCTCGGGGTTGGTTCGTGACAAACGCGGGGGGCAGCCAGAGGTTCGATGACCATGCTTGTCGCTATCAGTGCCATGGTGACGCCGAACGCAAACCACAAGCGTCTTCTGACTGTTAAACTTGACTTTCTATCAGGACGACTGATCAGTGAGACCAAGGTGACATTTAAACCGTTGCTTCTGAGTGCTGACGACTATTGCTGACATCGCTGAAGCATGTTCACATATGCTGACCAAATGACATCGCATATATCGCCCAGCGTTTGACTTTCGACGATGAGACATTGTAAAAAGGTTCAAAGGTGACCATTTACATCCTGGGTGACTTCCAAAACACTTGCTCTACTGACAGGAATTCGCTGCCAAAGTTACTCACTGAACAGATCTTGAGATGGAAGGTATAAAGCCTTTTGAGAAGGTAGGGCTCCCCTCCACCTCTCTGTGTCTCAACTCTTGACAGAGTTGTGCGATTTGCTATTACTCACCCGCGCAAGATTCTCATCGTCGGCGCTGGCCCTGCTGGCTTGCTTCTCGCACTCCTGCTCGCTCGAAAGGGTATCCCCTCTACCGTACTCGAATCATGGGATCGGCTGGATGAACGACTTCGGGCTACCCAGTACGGCGTGCCCGCGACAAGAGTATTCCAGCGAGCTGGCATCCTGGAAGACATGCGAGCCGAGAGTATTGCCAGCTTCCCCAGTATATGTTGGAGACGTGTCAGCGATCACAAACGGCTCGTGGGTATTGATTTGTCGGTACTTGAAGACCATCCAGATCGCATGACCATCCTCCCATTAAACCAGACCATCCAAATCATGTATCGACACTGCATCGAACAGACCAACGGGCTAGTGGAGATCAAGTTCAATCATAAAGTGCTAACCGCAGACCAAGATGACACACAAGTATGGGTTGACGTGGAGGTTGAGGAAGATGGGTCAAAGACTACGAAGAGATTCTACAGCGACTATGTCATAGGCTGCGATGGCGCAACTAGTACAGTCCGCAAGGCCCTTTTCGGCAGGAATTGGCCCGGACAAACGTTTGACAGCCATCTAATCGTTCAAAATGTGTGGTACGATGGGTTTGAGAAGTATGGTTGGGACGGAGGCAATTATATGATCGATCCTAATGTCTGGGGCTTGATTGCGAAACGGGGTCAAGGAGGACTCTGGCGTGTCACGTATGGAGACGTTGGAGGCTTCGACGAGGATGAGTATGTTCATCGACGAAATGCCGCCTTCAAAAAGCTCTTGCCTGGTCATCCGGACCCAGGAGATTACACAATCACGCAAACAAACCACTTCCGCATCCATAACCGTTGTGTTGATGCCATGAAAGTTGGCAGGATCCTCCTCGCAGCTGACGCCGCACATGTCTGCAACCCCTTTGGGGGATATGGTTGTATGACTGCAGTATTGGACGTCGATGGTCTTGCTGATTGTCTAGTTGGACTGCATCAGGGTAAAGCAGATGCGGACATCCTGGATAAGTATGCCCAAATCCGACGGGAACTATTCTTGCAATACGTGGATGCACGGTCGATGAAGAACATGAACCGTATCATGAATACCAACCCTGACACTGTTCTCGAGACGGACAAGTTCCTACAGCTTCTTGCCGACCTTGAAGGCGACCGTGATCGAACCAAGGCTTTCTTACTGGTGAGCCCAAGGATGGTGTCGACGTCCTGTCTGGACCATTCGCTGATCTTATTGTGCAGAAAATATCAAGTATTGAACATGACTTCAAGCAATATTATCGATCATAATCATAATCTGGTTGAGTTAGAAGGTTGTGAGATATCATCTTTCGACTTTCAACAGAGAATTAGTACTCATATGATTCACGAACAATTGATCAGCCATAGTGTTCCTCGTCAAGATTAATGATAAATCTAATCTATACATATATACCTAGATACCTTGATATGTTCGGAGTAAATGAATTATGCCAAGACCTGGTGACGATGTTCCATTCAGTTTCATCACGTGCGCCTCCTGCCCAGACGGTCTTTGGCCTATCAGACGCCGAGACTCAATCATGTCCTCAACTTCAACCACATGCGCGCTTGAGCCATCCCGTCACTCCTTGACCACATCCCTCCGTGAGCCACCACCAAAGTCGGTCAAACCTGACAAGACTTCCCTCGACAGGTATATGGACGGGGTTGAGCGGAGGCCTCCCACGTTAGACTCTTCAGACTCACGTTGCGACCATGACTCGGGGTGAGGAACCGCTTCTCGCACGCCCCATCTCCCCCAACTCCTCCACCAACGATATCGAAGAGGAAGATGCCCTATTGACCGGCCAGCCCACGAATCGACCCTCGAAAAAATACCAGAAATGGAGGGAACTCGGCCTGTTTGCCTGGGCTCTCGTTGCCACCGTCGCCGTCATCATCCTTGCCGTCGTGTATCAACATGAATCATCCCTTCCTCATTCAAAACCAAGATCGGGGGGCTGGGGTCCAGATGGGAAACCCACCGGCAAAAGGAACATGATCTTCATGGTATCCGACGGCATGGGGCCAACATCTCTCTCATTGACAAGAAGTTGGAGACAGCATGTCAGCGGGCTTCCCATCGACGATGTCCTCGTCCTCGACCAACATCTCATTGGCTCTTCAAGAACTCGCAGTTCCAGTAGTCTCATCACCGACTCTGCTGCCGGCGCCACTGCCTTTTCTTGCGGTTTCAAGAGCTACAACGGTGCCATCTCTGTCCTACCTGACCATACCCCTTGTGGCACTGTTCTGGAAGCCGCCAAAAGAGCAGGATACATGACGGGCTTGGTAGTGACCACCAGACTCACTGATGCAACTCCTGCGTGCTTTGCCTCCCATGCCAACCGCCGTGAGTACGAAGATCTCATTGCTGAACAGATGATCGGTCACTATCCACTAGGCCGTATGGTTGATGTCATGATTGGCGGAGGGAGGTGCCATTTTCTCCCCAACACAACCCGAGGTTCATGCCGAGCAGACGACAAAGACGTGGTGGCCCTAGCCAAAGACAAGTTCGGCTTCACCTACGTCGACAACAGAAATGACTTTGATGCTCTTAGCCCCGACAGTGTCAAGCTACCACTGCTCGCCCTCCTCGCCAGTACGGATATTCCATATGAAATCGATCGTGTTCATGTAGCAGACATCTATCCTAGCGAAGCTGAAATGGCACGATTTGCCCTCGACACCCTGAAGGCAGCTACCAAGGATTCAGACAAGGGTTTCTTCCTCATGATTGAAGGTTCACGAATCGATCATGCCGGTCATGGAAACGACCCGGCCGCCCAGGTCCATGAAGTCATGGCTCACGATGAAGCATTCGCTTCGGTGCTTGACTTCCTCGAGGCAGATGACGTCGAGGGAGTTATGGTGTCTACTTCGGACCACGAAACTGGTGGCCTTGCGACTGCTCGTCAGCTACATGAGGCGTACCCCATCTATCGCTGGTTCCCCGACGTCTTGGCCAATGCCTCTCACTCGGGCGAACACCTGTCAGGGCAGTGGCATGAATACCTCGACGAGGCATCTGATGCGACTTCTCGCAAGGACAAGGTGGAAAAGCTTGCTGAACTCGTCTCTTCAGGATTGGGGATCCAGGACTATACGCAAAAGGAGCTCGACGCCGTCGTCGACGCTAAACCCGTCTGGCCACCAAGTTATCTCTTCGCCGACATGATTTCTCGCCGGGCGCAGATTGGGTGGAGTACCCATGGTCACAGTGCCGTGGATGTCAATATATACGCATCGAATCCTAAACATGCACCGGGCTTGGTTGGAAATCATGAAAACGTTGAGATCGGCCAGTTCATCGCCGAGTACCTCGACCTTGATCTCGAACCCATCACCAAGGAGTTGAACGACAAGAAAGTCAAGATTGGCAGTGTCGACGACGACCAAGCATGGGGCGAATGGATGGGCCCACCAGGGCTACCAAATAACGAGAATGGCGCTCTCGTCCATCTTGACGACTACCATGGCGACTTCAAACATAGGAAACGAGAAGCCGAGATGGACTGCGGATGTGGAGCGAAGCATTAGACTGTCACCACGAGCAACACAATGTTGAGAATGAGGTTTTCTTTTTCAGTATTGCATTTATGACGGCGTTTTGAGGCTAGTACCACTTTCATGAGATACCTCTAATGGATATGAGGAAGGGTACTATACACACACACACACCTGGCTACATTATTCCGTGGCAAAGCCGGGGGAACCTTTTCTTGATTTCAATAGTTTCTTCAAGTATGAGTCTTAACATTGAATCTTTTCATGATTCCTATCAAGATTACTTGGATCCTCTCTCGTAGGTGGAGGTGTACCCTAAGCTGCGAGTGGTCTTAGAACCGTGTCTCAAAAATAGCGATAGGACCGACACATTAGTGCCGTCTAGAAATACTGATGGTGGCTTGAATGGTGAGAAAGCCTATGGCTCGCCCTGACGGCTCTCTTCTCCGGGGGTGACGAGGCGCACGCTCTTCCGTGAGCTGTTGAACCCTGTCATGCGTCCGCGGCTGGATCCTCGACGGCTCGCAATGCTACGTTCATCGCCGCTCTGCGTGCCCCGTTCACTTAGCAGACTAGTGCGAAGAGATGCGCGAGCCTTATCGACCGCTGGGCTGACCCCTGCCCGGAGAGAGTCACGCCGAGTGGCTCCAGCATCGTTACTGCTGCCTCGAATCAATCGGATCTCTTCCTCGTGCTTCATCTGTTGTTGAATCCGCAACTCTCGTGTCAAGCCTGGTCCACAGTCGCAGCCACAACCGGGACTGGGGCAGGTGCCGTGGCTAGACGGTTGTGAGAACCATTCGTCAAGACACCCAACATGTCCTGAATGCCCACATGCATGACAGAACCCCCAGATGTTGGCTGTAAGAAGAAGCCCTTCTTGCCATGTGCCCGTGCCTCTAGGGCCAGGGACCACGTCATCCCCGTGCACTGAAAGGCAGACTGGGCACGCAGGTCGCACGGTTCGGCACCGATCACACATGGTCTGCTGTTGTGGCAATGGCGCGTTGCAGCGGTGACAGACCATGGACAGACTGAATGCATCTCCACCAGTAAGTACATGTGCTGTTGGCTTGTCTCCATCCGGAACAGAGTATAGCCGAGGGTACTGGAACTCTACGCACACTTTACGAAGCATGGCAGCAGATTCCACCATCCCGCTCTGCTTCAAAAACGTGAGATGGTTCTCCAAGATACTCTCGATGATCCGATGTCCCAGATGTGGAATCATCAGCCTATCGGCAAGACTTTCTCCCTGTCGAGGGCCCACAAATTTGAGTTCTCGAAAGCTCGGGTGGAAGAAGTACGGATGTAGATGCATGAGGAGGTGGACAGCAAATTGTGCATGCCCAATCCCGTTTTCCACATCGAATGCAATGCTCTGACAGACTAGCGGTAATGAAGACCAGGCAAATGGCGACTTGGGTTCGTAGATGAACAGATCGATCGGCCGGAAGTCTTGCAGCAGATAGGTTGGGTGATCCAGCTCATGCATGGGAATGCGAGCTGCCAGTACTTCACGAGGGCGACTTCCCCCTTCACCGGACTTGTCCAGTGTCTCGGTTACATGCAATGGATTGGTGGTATGGATGCGAGACTTGGGCACTGAACTCAATTCCTCGAATTCAAAGATGTCATGCGGCGACGATAGGGTGGTATTAAGTTCGGAAGATGTAATGGATCGAGGGTCGGTCAGCAAGGCTGGCTTGCGAAATCCGCTTTTGGACCTTTCTCTTGCGTCGAACGAGCCGTCGGTCCCAAAGCTCATTTCGAGAGCGGTGTCACTAGCTGCGACAGTCTCAATTCGATTACGAGATGTGCCATTAGACCTAGGTAACCGCCGTGCTTCTCGTGATCTGTGCGAATCCTCGAAAGATAGATCCATCTGGGAATCTTCAATTTCGTCGTCATCGGATTCGGATGTGCCGTGCTTCGGAATCTGAGACCGTGCACCCAACGAGTTAGGGGACTCGAAGGATTGGCCCAGCGATCTTGCTTTCTGGGAGCTGTCCGTAGACGCAGAGAACATCTGGAAACTGTCCCCAGATCCATTTCTTGGCTGAACGGCTGGACTGCTACTTGATTCATCCAATGAAAAAATTGGTCGAGCCTGTATCTTATAGTCCCTCAGCGCAGCTCGACGGTCTTCCTGGTTGGTGACACGGGGCGACAATAATCGCTTGTCAATAGGGATATCTTTACTATGCTGTGGATCTGATTGGCCCGTTATCTTCTGTTTCGGAGACACGAGCTGCCTCGGTGAAACATCTGTGATGTCTGTCGATTTGGGCTGTGGAGTTCTGATGACTTCTGGAGAGTTTGACTCTGACCGTTTACCACGACCGGGACTATCGACTAGTGCACGGGAGGCAGCGGCAGCAGTCGTATGAGAACTCAAAACTGATGGTGGCAGTGGTGGAAGATCGTCAATATCTTCGTCAGCCGAAAAGTGGCTCCACCGCTTACGCCCTGACGGCGAGGAAATCGGAATCGGTTTGGCCAATGGAGTTGTCATGTTGGAAGTACTCTCGCTCTCGGAAGCGGCAGTGGGGAACTCTGCTTCGAGTTTGTTCTTGAATAGATGACTTCTCAGATTCTGCGATTTGGAGCCTTCCCTCGGATTGCCTCTGATTGGTAGCCCTGCCAGCGGAGAAGGCGCAGAGCGATTCGAGCCAGATCGAAAGCTCTCCAGAGTATCTCTCCTTTTCGCAGCATCTGCCCTACGTCTCCTCCTGTTGGTATCTGCCCAGTCTTTGAGCTCAGGAACGATGACGGTCTCTAAAACCCTCCAGGTTTGTGCCATTCGATGCATGGAGACAGCGTCACAGGCATTAGCATTTTGGTGGAATGCTGCACTCAGTCGTTCAAGGATTTGGTCAGGAGACTGTGCTCTTTCGTCGATCAGGGAGGGAGAGGTGTAGTTGGCGGCTAGAAAGGCCACGACGTTTGATTCTGCAACCAGCCCTGGCACGAAGCTGACCGCGCCGACCTGATTGTTGTGAAACATGTCGTGGGGTTGAAATACTGACTTGTCCAGTGCAAGGACTGCAGGTCTGTCATCTACTGAGGGGGGACTATTGGCTTGCGACTTGGTTGATCTTGCGGAGATTCCAGTTCTTTCTTGCCGTCGATGCGCTGAATCGAGGGTGCCTTCATCGTCAGTCAGACTGCGGCTGGCCGTGGGATCCTCGCCGCTGCTCAGCTTGTCCTGCGGAACACTAAGGAAGCCGAGTGCTGGGTCATCCAAGCTAGAGCCTCGACGAAGTACTCTTTCTTCGGAGAAGGAATAGCATTCTCCATCAGGCATGAAGGCCGATGTTGAGGGGGGGAGCTCGTTGTAGAATGGAGTGGACCTCTGAAGATCCCAATGAGTGAAGAGTCCGTCTTCTCCAACAGTCCAAAGGACGTCCTTGTTGGCCCAGAGGATGTCATTGACGGGGAGATTATATCGATCCAGCTCGCGGAAGGGAAGCCAGGGGCGCCGGAGGTCCCAGACATGAATGCGTGGGTCGTCTTTGTGGTATGTGACGGCAATTTGAGTGCTTTGCCAATAAGCAGATTCGGTTCCTTCAGAGGGCTTGGTGGCCGGTCTCCAAGTGATGTTGCGAATGGCGCATGGTGCCCGAAACTGAAAGACGGGCTTCTGTCGTTTATTGTCGAGTTGGAAATCCCAAACACGTATATATCGATCGAAGCCTCCAGATATGATGTGTCGACCGTCAGGGTGCCAGTCGATGGAGTAACAGGCCTTCTCATGGCCGTTGATGCTCAATTTGGGGCCCAGAGGAGATCTTGCGTCCCAGAGCTGGACGACCCCACCGTCGGTGCAGACAGCAAAGTCAAAGAGCTCCACGGGAGACCACTTGACGTCTCTCACAGGGACTCGGGGTTCGAAACGTGAATGCGAGCGGTCGGGTTTGCCGGCGCGCACATCCCATAACCTGACCGACTTGTCTTGGCTAGCCGATAGGAGGTAGTATCCGGCGAAAGGGTCGAAGTCGAGTTTGTTGATCTGATTGGCGTGCTCATGGAAGCGCCGCAGCTCAATTCTCGGACTGTTGACATCATATAGAGATATGCGGCCATTGTTGGCGGCGGTTGCTATAATGTGCTTGTAGTCGCCAGTGGACCAACGGACATCTCTTGCAGGGAGATACTCTCTTCGTTGTATGTCGGACCCGAGCTGCGGGGATGGATGGATGGAGTTGTGCGCACCAACGGCAGACCGGATATTCAACTCGTCAGTGATATTGCCATCTCGACATCGTATTATTTTGAGAATTTCAGGGCCTGCCAACACGGCATGTGTTCCTTCCTTGTTGATGTCGACGGCATTGATTGGAAGACCGGTTCGATGAGTTGTCACCCGTGGTTGAGAGGGAGAACTGGGAGGCATGTTAGGGACGTATCAGCTGGGAACAAGGGACCACGGTCGAACCTGGAGGATGGGATGGTACTGATTTGACTTTGGTCGCGGTCATGGTCGTCGTGGATCCAACGACCATTGTATTTGGCACCAAAGGGAGCGACAACTCTTTGCAATTGGCCTAGTCGCGTTGATTGGGTGAGGTGCAAGTCGGAGACTGGGTCTGGATAGCGGCCATCAGACATGGCGGATCAAGATCGTGTCGGCGGATGCGCGGCGGGAGAGGTGAATGGTATCATGGCTGGCAGGCCAGGTTGTCATTGGAACCTGACCAGACGCGAAGAGCGCCTCGTGCAGCGTGGTTTGAGAGATGCGGCGTGCAGGAGGTAGTGGACAAGTGAGCAGTCGCAGATGTATCAAGTGATGCAACCAAGGTGACGGGACTAAGGGTTTTTCCACAATGCAGCTAGGATAGAACTTGGTGAAGCGATGACCAGTGTTGGATGGGCAGGATGGGTTCGATAGAATCTGCTAGGATTGGACGCGGATCGAGGATCGAAAGCCGGGGGGAACTTTTGACTCGGGGCCTAAACTGGGGAAGTGAGTTCCTTTTAGTTAAAGAGGTAGTCAGTGGGTAAGTAGGTAGTCTAGGGACTGAGGAGGCGTCGAGGCCCAGGCGTGATTGATGGATGGCCAGGGGTAGAGATGGCGCTGGCGCCTTAGCAAGGCACCTAATGGGGATCGTATCTCGGGGCTAGTACCAGTGCATGCTTAGGGCGAGTGTGGGAGGCACGGGAGAGCAGCAGTCCCCTGTCCAGGGCCGATTTCAGGTAGGACGAGACCCGGAAAGGTGCCGTTCAAGCCCATTCTTCATGCCGGCAACCAATGCCCGTTGGGCCCCCTCGGCCCATTCGCTTCGCAGACGAGTGGCTGGTCTTCGGAAGCCATCCTTGCCGCATAAGCCTCGACAATTGTGATGCTGAATCTTGGGTTATTAGCCACAGTCATACAGGAAATGGGCAGATGTCTACTGATGACATGGACCATGGATCCTTTTGACGACACCGGCGCAGCTCGCTAGCTGACAGAGTAAGCCTTGAGCCTGCGTCCGATTTGACCCAATTGCACATGGTCAGGCACCTTTGACCTAAAGGGTTTGTTGCGGTGAAGGAGACGAGGGGCGAGAAGAAGGTTGGAAAGAATGCATGTGTTGTCCCTTGGACCGACGGTTGAGCGCAGAGAGAGAGAGAGAGAGACAAAGTCTATGGCATGGGAATGGATGAGATGGAATGGAATGGGGATGGGATGCTGTATCCCCGACACGACGGCGGCGCTGCACCTTGCACCTTCCAACAGTCGAGGGATTTTGAAGTTGGCAGTTGCAGTTGGGTGGGAGCCACGTCTTTTTCGCTGTCCTATCCTAACGTTGATACTACCAGCTTGGAGTTTGCACTGCTAATGATGATCTAGTCAATGACTAGTTAGTGATCGTCCCAGAAAAGGGACTGTACAAGTCAGAATGTAGATATACAGGGCAGTGCGTCTTTGACCACTCTGTTCAGGTAGATAAAATTTCTACTCATGAAATTCACATACAATTAATATTACATTGTTAGTGACACCTAGCAACCCCAGTGGAGTGGCTAGTGCCTCAAATCGATCTGACTATCACCATCATCACCAGAAGGATTTGGGTCACAAGTAATCCAAAATCCAGGCCTTTTACACTTTGTCACCTCGTCTCACATCACCTCTTTCACCATTTGTGTGGGTGTGGATTTGGATGTGGACAGTGAACAGTGAGCAGGAATCTCATGTCACATGCTCACCTACTGTGTACATCCATCTGACAGCGATCCGTCGACCCCTCCACCCACCACATCAGCAGATCAGCACCTGACTCGAAGCTTGGTATTGTGCTGGCGGTGGTGATCCAGACCTGACATCTGACACAGGCCGTGCAATCTACCATTAGAGGCTGAGGTTGAAGATTCTGGCCTAGCTGGAGCTCAAACAAGCACCCACTAGTCGACGCATTAGCCTCGACTGCGCAACCGTTCCAGTGCCAAACCCACCAAACACCCGAGCCCCAGGCAAACTTGCCCCGAGGCCACCCCTCGTTGTGGACTCCTAGGCATCTGGTCAAACAGCCACAGGCACCAGCAAGCCTCCCAAGTGCCCCGCGAGCTCCTGCTAGTCAGCCAGTCAGGCCCCTTAGCCCTTGAAGGCTCCCGAACCCCCTCGAACAGCCAAGGCAGTCGGAGGAGGTCTGCCCCCCACCATTTGGCACCAGTTGGCACCAGTTGGCACCATTTGGCACCATTTGGGCCAGAATTGCCAGACTAACAGGCACACTAGCCTCAGCTGATCTGTTTGGTCGCCATCCACCAAAAGTCAAGATCCAGAATCTCTCCAACCATCGCCATCGTCGCTGCTGCCGTTGTTCGCCCCTCGCTCTTGCCACCCACCAGGCATCAGATCACCTCCGCGTCGTCATTTGACTTGGAATTGACATCCACTTCCATCTCCACCACCTCAACCTCAACCTCCACTTCAACCTCGACCTTGAACCTCTTTTCCACACCAACTCACGATCTCTTTCTCTTAGCACGATATCTTCTCCACCACATTCGACTCTGGACGTCGGCCATTTCTTTCCATATCTCATTCTCCATCTCCTTCGTTGTAATCGTTCCTTCAGTCTCTCGCTCAACCCCGCCTTGTCGTCATCTATATCAGCCTCTCTCCTCGCCACGCCCGACAAGGCAAGCCACCCACCCTTATCCTCGCCCTCGCCTTCAATCTCCCTCTCCATCTCGTCACCGGCCGGGTCAGCCACATTTTCACTATAGTCCCGCCGGTGATCCGACTCCAACGTCTGCTCGACAAATCCTCATTTCTTTGGTCTTTGGGCGGCTCTTTGCTTTGTGTTTCTTGTCCTGATTTCTTCCTGGCCCGAGACATTGAAGGATCATGCTCAACCACAGCCCGAATTTTGCCCAGCTTCGAACTTCACTCCACATTCTCAATGTAGCAAGATCACTCTATCCAGCTGTTGTCATTGCTCTTTTCAGCTTCGCTTTTATCCTCTACGGCATCAAAACCGCCCCCGACAATGGAGACAAGGTTCAGATACATGCAATGCGTGGCCCTGGTGGTCGACCATTGCCAATACGTCGAAAGTCTGCCAATCAGATCAAAGAGGCCGCCGCCATCAAGGACTTCCCCCAGAGATCCAAATTGGTTCTACGCCTGATGCAGGCTCTTGTTCTATTGACCTTCCTACTCAATGCTGCCATAGTTCTTTTTCAAGTCACTTTGAACAGAAAGCAGGAGTGGTGGCCCGGCCAAAGCGCTGTCGTAAGACCCACCGAGAAACCGCTCTCGATCATTTCAGTCTGGCTAATCCCCTCTTCCGTCTAGGTCTACATCATCGCTTCGAGTTTCGCGTACATTGTCATCTTGATTTCCATGATTGATCAGAAGCCATCACCCACCATTGCTCATTTCCTGACTTGGGTAACAGCCCTGCCTCTGGAGATCATCATTCTCGCCACTCTCCTTCAAATTTATACAGTTCCTCACTTCGAGCCTCAGGTGGGAAATCAACTCGGTGGCGTCTTCAGAAGTGCCATCACGGGATGGGAAACCATCGAAGTCATTGTCAATATCGTCCGCATCGTCCTCCTTCTTGGAATGGTCGTCATCTACCTTACTGTCAAACTTCATCTCCGGAAAAAGACATCTTCATCGGACCACGACAACGAGAGAACTCCTCTTCTCAATGGCTCTTCGGGCAATACGCTCCATCCAAATGGACATGCACGTCACCCCGCCCAACCCTCCGAGCCTAAGGAGCAAGTCGACGCCTGGGCAAAACCTACTGAACAACCTACAATTTCCTGGTATTCATACATCCGAGGCTTTGTCATGTTGATCCCATATCTTTGGCCGAAGAAGTCGATCAAGTTGCAACTCCTCGCTTTCTCGTGTATCCTTATCCTGGTCAGTCAGCGCGTCATCAACGTCTTTGTTCCCATAATGGTCGGCAGAATCACGGATGCTTTGTCTGGTGACACTGAGAAGGGTGTGCATGCGCCATGGCTTGACATTTCCTTGTACATCTTGTTTAGATGGCTGCAGGGTTCACAGGGTATCCTGACCGCTGCCAGAAGTATTCTCTGGATCCCCGTCGCACAGTACTCATACCGTGCCATATCCACTGCCGCCTTTGAGCATGTCCACAATCTCAGCGCCGAGTTTCACACGGGCAAAAGGACCGGAGAGTTGATCTCAGCCTTGAACAAGGGCAGTTCCATTAACAGTTTTCTCGAGATGGTCACCTTTCAGGTTGGCCCCATGATATTTGACCTGGTCGTGGCGATCATCTATCTCACTGCCAAATTCGACGTCTATCTTGGCCTCGTGGTCTCCATTGTCACCTTTCTCTATATCTATGTCACGATTCGTCTTGCAGCATGGCGCGTTACCTTACGTCGCAATTACGTCAATGCTGAGCGAGAAATGGAGGCTGTCAAGAATGATTCTCTTCACTCTTGGGACACGGTCAAGTATTTCAACGCGGAAGAGTACGAGTTTAATCGATACAGGACTGCGATCAAAACGATGCAACGCTTCGGGTACTGGGTCGACGTCACCCTGTCCTACATGAACACTATCCAAGGGGCCTTGTTCATGATGGCGCTTCTGGTGGCCAGCTTCATCGAGGCCTGGGAAGTGGCCCGAGGTGATCAATCGGTTGGTAAATTCGTTCTACTCATCACATACATGGCTCAGTTGCAAGGCCCACTAAACTACTTTGGCACCTTTTACCGTGCGATTCAAAACAGCCTGATCAATGCCGAAAGGATGCTCGAACTGTTCAAAGAACAACCCCATGTCACGGATCGCGAAGATGCTGTCGACATCAAAGAATGCGCTGGCGACATCGTTTTTGATAATGTCTCTTTCAGCTATGACAAACGCAGACCGGCTCTTGATCGCTTGAGCTTCAGGTGTCGACCAGGTACCACCACAGCTTTTGTAGGTGAATCTGGCGGTGGCAAAACCACCGTCATGAGACTCATCTTCCGTTACTACAACCCCGAATCCGGCCAGATCAGAGTCGACGGCAAGGACGTGCAAGATATCACGATGAATTCTCTCCGCAGTTTCATTGGCGTTGTACCTCAGGATTGCAACATGTTCAACGAATCTATCATGTACAATCTAAAGTATGCCAATCAAAACGCGACAGACGAGGATGTGTATGAAGCGTGCAAAAAGGCCTCAATCCACGACCGAATCTTGGATTTTGCCGATGGCTACGACACAAAAGTTGGAGAACGAGGAGTGAGGCTTTCTGGTGGCGAGCGGCAAAGGGTTGCCATTGCCAGAACCATTCTCAAGAACCCCTGCATTACCATGCTCGACGAAGCCACGGCCGCCTTGGATACAGAGACCGAAGAGAAAATCCAGGAATCTTTTGATACTTTGGCCAAGGGCCGCACCATGATCATTATTGCACACCGTCTCAGCACAATTGTTAATGCCGATCAGATTCTGGTCCTCAACCACGGCACAGTCGTGGAAAGTGGAACCCATGATGAACTCATCGCCCGTGGTGGCAAATATGCAAGCATGTGGCGCAAGCAGTCACGCGCCCAGAAAGCCGCCGCTGAGGCAGCTGAGTTGAGGACGAGAGCCAAAAAGGCACTCGAGGACGCTGAAGCTGATAGCGCCAGCGTGAGTGAGGAAGAACTCGACCACTCCAAACGACACAGTTACCGTAAGGGACATAAGCGTGTCAATTTCAGCCAGAGCAGCAACCTCAGACCATGGCTAGGTGATGACCATGATGATTCAAGATCTGAGAGCTCCCAAACTGGAGGTGAACGACATGGGGAAAGCCGTGCAGGCGTCAAAGATTCGTCAGGACCAAGTGGCAAGCCGCCTGGACACCCTTGACTCTGAATAAGAGCAGACACCCACTGTGCCTATCGACCGCTGTGACCCTGCGCAACTTGCAGTAACAACTTCATTTGTGGACATATACAAACTCTTTCTTGTTTACTTTTTGGCGCCTTGGTGGTGAAGGCAGTAAAATCTTTGACCTTCAATCTTGATCCTGGTTCTTGGGTCAACATGAGATGACAACTTCGGCCCCGAGCGATCGCAACTACACGAGAGCGAGAATTCCAAAGTAATCATGGACTTCCTGTCTGGCTCCAGACCTGTCATTACCAATCATCTGATCCCACCACCGGACCTGTATACTGGATTCCAGACCCAACGACCTACGTCAGCTTTTTCTTATGAGGTTATCAACGAGTCAAGAGGCGCTCGTTGTTGTTGGACATTCTTCTTATAAAATACCGACAATGTTAATCAACGACAGAATAGCCCTCGCGGGCCGGGAAAATGCTCACGGAAGATGGATTAGAAGAGGGGGATGAGAATGAGAATACGATTGGTGCCTCGCGGCGATGGTGCAGACTGAGATTCGCACAAAAGGTTCGGGTTAGGCATGACGACTGTACAGTCAATCTGATATGTGTGTGGTGCGGGTGGATGTCGGGCTGGAAAATTGTCGAGTCTTTGTCATGGTGGAGCGATGACAAGTAATGAGCAACGAGACAACGAGGCTGGAAGTAATTTTGGGTGGTAACAGCTTGAGGAACAGCATGCAATCATGAGCACAGAAATACCAGCTTCTTTTGTTACTCTTTCGGGTTTCCCAATCATGGTGTATGTTGCCCAGCAAATAGCCAAAAGCCTGTGAATTTGCAAGTCGGAATTGTAATTTCAGTCTCTGCTCACTTGGTCCACGCTCTCACTCTTGGTGGTTAAGCCGTCTAGAAGCCGCATCTTAGCCTTCCTTTCCACGTGTCTCAAAAGCGGCGCTTCTTCTTCACGCCAACACCCTCGGCAATGTTCCTCTTCAATTCGACGCGGCGTCGATCGGCTCTCTGCTCGACTGTCTCCTCTTGCTCGGGTTGTTGTGCGGTGGATGAGCCGCCAGTAGTGTCAGCTGCTGGTATAGTGACATTCGTCTGACCAGCGGCAGATCGAGCAGCGCCCGGTGTGTCAGACGATGAACCTGCGGTATCGGTGTTGGTCTCTGCGTCTGTATCACAGTCCTTCCCCTCTTGCATAGCAATGTCTCCATCTGCGTCTATCTTGGAGCGCGATGATGGCGTCCTCTTCGTCGAGCGGGGCGTTTCAGTTGGCGACGGTGATTTGTCTTCGCGTCGAGACTTGCGATTCAAACGTCCCAGGCGGCGAGGTGGTGTCGAAGGTCTTCTGGGCGATTGCTTAACTTTCTGGGACCGGGTTTTGGGAGGTGCATCCAAATCATCGTCCTCGTCCGATGACGCTTCCGGGCTCGGTGCTGAATGTTTGTTCAGGCGGCCAAGACGGCGATTTGACAAAGGCGTCGAGGTCTTGGAGTCTTGTTTAGCATCTGGAGCTTTAGTTGCCTTGCGACGAGGTGATGGGGAGCGGCCAGTGGATGATGATCGCGTGGGCGAAATGGACTCTTCTCGCTTCCCAAGTCTTCCCAGCCGCCGTTTGCCGTTGGTATGACTCTCAGTATTTGCAGCTTTTTGTGTTGGCTGTGCATTTATAGAATTCTGGTGTTGTTTTCGTTGGTCCGTTTCAGACTCGGATTGAGTCTCGCTGGCGGTGGGTGTTCCTGATGAAGCGCTCGAGGCTCGGTGTGAAGACGACGCTGCCGGCTTCTTAGGTGATGATGGTGACTTTGTTTTGTCACTGGATACTTTGGTGGCGTGAGTGCGTCGTAATCCGCCTATCCTCCTTTTATTAGGCCTTGTCTGTTCGGGGTCAGTCTCATCTGTAGAGCCTTCATCTTGTTTGGCCGGGGAGACTGGTGGGGAAGTGGTTTTTGGGCTGGACCCGGCTTTCTTAGATCTGGGCGGAGTTGGCTGCCGCTGTAAACAAGGTCAGACTGAGAAGTTAGGGCAGATGGGTCGATGCTCACCTCAAAGTCTCCGTCGGAACCTGTAGTGTCGCAGGAAGGCCGTGAGCTCCTTTTCACAGAGGATTCTGCCTGTCCCTCCGGTGCTGTAGACGAAGTTGAGTCGTTGGTTTCTCCTTCCATTTTATCGAGCTGGTTGGATGAAGGCAAAGTTCGGAGCCATCCCTCGTGCTGTTCTCGTGTATGAGCGAAACATTTTTCACAACCACTGACCAAGTTTTTCAAACCGGTGCTGTCAAAACCCTCATATCCATCTTCGGTGGCAAACTGCATGATCCAAGATTTCTCGTCAAAAGTGGCCATCCCAGGAACGTGCTTTTGAGCATCACTTGCTGAGAGCTGGCCGCCTTTCCGAGAAGCAAGGCCACTTATGCTAGGGAAAATCAAACCCAAGTCGACGCCCGAGGTCCCTATTCTATCAAGAAGGCGTGAAATGATGTGGTCCTTTTCTCTGATAATCTCCAGCAGAGAGGCGATCTTTGCTTCTAATACAGAAACCTCGTGTAAGCTCGGCCGAAGAAGACGTTCCGCCAATTCAGAAGTGTCCTGCTGAGAGGCCCTGAAGGTCCATTTTAGAGGCTTGAGCGGTCGTGGAAGGTTACATTTGGTGATGAGGTGTAGATCATTGGATGTACGTTTGTCATCACGAGCCAGGGCATTCTGACCTCCCTGCAAACTTTGGGATAGCTTTGACAGGAGTACCTTAAACTGGGTGTCCGAGTCGGATGGATCAATACTTGCATTCTGCCGATTGGCTTCAGCAATAATACCAAACTTGTCTAGGGAACACTGCCAGATAGAGATCAAGTCTGTTAGTAATAACAAGAAGGAGTCACTAGATGTAGTGAAGAGGTAGAATAGTTTTGGACATTCTTTCCTGGATGGGATCTGAAGCTCCTGCCAGCCTTGTTGTACTTTGGGAGGCATTTTATATGCGGGATATGTTTTGGCGAAAGAGAGTAACCTCTCTTTGTCACTGGCGCCATCCAGTCAGGCAAGCCTGAAGCATGATTGAGGTATACTGATGGTAGGACGTTGATAGCCATGTCGTTGAGGTGACGCGAGCAACGTTATACGCTTAAATGATCCGCCGAAGTCTATGCTCTGCTATCGCTGGTGCCTACGGCAGACCATAGAGTTTTTATATGTGTTTGAACGTCACCTGCGAATTTCGCTCATCAGCGAGAGTATCCCTCCACCTAGACTACCTTTCGACTGTATCACTCTGGCTTGACCGCAATGAGTGACTATGCCAATGGCCACAAGCGCCGACGCTCTCATTCACCAAGTCGTCGGAGCCATCACGATGATTCTAGACCATACCGGGAACGGGCTGCGCCCCAGAGCAACAACAAGCCTCCTCAGCGATGGTCGCACCGAGAACAAATGAAGATCAACCAACTCCAAGAGGATGAACGAATGCGAGAATGGGTTGCACAAGAGGATGACTTTGTCTTAAAACAGGCTAAGAAAAAGGCAGAGATCCGCGTCAAGGAAGGCCGCGCCAAACCCATTGACTGGCTTGCTGTTACCCTGCGGGTTGTTGACCCTACGAGGGATCCATTGGATGAAGAGGTGGAAGAAAAGGACCTGGACTTTCTCGATCCAGACAGCGTCTTTGACGGATTGTCGGAAACACAATTGTCAGATCTGCGCAAAGACATCGACACATACCTGAACCTCGAGACGAACCGGAAGAACAGAGAGTATTGGCGGACGATGCAGATTATTTGCAGCGACAGGCAAAAGAAGACGAGGTCTCTCGGCCCTGAGGGTCGAGCAGTCAGCTCGGTCGCTGCAGACATTGACAACTTGTTAAGGCCCAAAACACACGAGCAGTTGGTCGTCCTCGAGAGGCAGATCCGCGCAAAACTTGACTCTGACGAGCCAATCGACACTGATTACTGGCAGCAACTGTTGGATAGTTTACTGGTATGGAAAGCCAAGGCCAAGATCAAGGCAGTCTACAAAGACGTCGTTGAATCTCGGTTAAAACGACTACGGTCAGAGAATCAGCGCAAGGCAGAACAAGCCGTACAGAGACTTGTCAATACCTTGTCACAGGTAGAGCAACACAAAACGATCGACCAGAAGTCACTCGACCCAGACCCTCTATTACAAATCGCGGCCAAGGACAAGAACCTTGAAACCTTGGACGAGTCAGCATTCCTACAGCAAATTGCAAAGAGTCGACGCAAGGTTCTCCAGATGGGCTATGTCCCGGCTCCCAAAGGATTGGCCGAACCAGTTTCAAATCGGTCTCGTCCAGCCAACCAACCACACAACATTGTTGACCCTACTGCGCGCTTCGATACTAGCACTGCTCCGTCCGACGACGTCTCCTCGTCCACCAAAGCGCTCTTGGATCGCGAAGTTGCCAAAGGCGTCAATGAAGATGAAGAGATCTTCGCGGGCGAGGAGGAAGTCACAACCTCGGCATCTCAAGCTGTGTGGATAGGCCAAGGCAAATACCGACCGCGGAAACCCAAATATTTCAACCGAGTTCAGATGGGGTACGAATGGAACAAATACAACCAGACGCATTACGACCACGACAATCCGCCTCCGAAAGTGGTTCAGGGTTATAAATTCCATGTCTTCTATCCCGACCTCATTGACCCAACCAAGGCGCCGACATATAAGATCATGAGAGAAGGGGGCCGGCGGAAAGGACAGACAATGGCTCCTGCCGGCGAAGAAGATACTTGCATCATCAGGTTCATGGCTGGTCCACCTTATGAGGATGTCGCCTTTCGAATTGTCGATCGGGATTGGGACTATTCAGCCAAGCACGATCGAGGGTTCAAAAGCACATTTGAACGGGGCATCTTGACTTTGCACTTTAGTTTCAAGCGGGTCATGTATCGAAAATAGTGAGACGGCTTCAGCCTTGAGCATTAATTGTAACATGCTCTACCAACAGATATGACTAGGAATGGATGATTGGTTTGTACGAGAACCATGCAGTATTGACAAGCGTGGATCATTGCGGTCTAAATGGAGATGATACGAAACTCCGTGCCTGGTCCAGAACTCCATGATCTTGACCATGCGCCGCACACGACGAAGTCTAAATCATTCCCAAGTTTCCATATCGCCATTTTTGAACACGTTCCTCAGGCCAGCACACCAGTTGGTCATGGCCAGCCAGCTAACCACCTGGTGCGCAAGCCGGTCTAATCGGCATGTTCGCCTCGACAATAATCAGCACTGTCGAAGCCGAACCTGCAGCCTCATGACAGAGTGTCCCACCGGAGATCGTCTTCTTGAAAGCTGGCTCGTTTGGCCGGCCAGAGTTGGGCTCAATACAGGCCGATCGTGATGTCACCACGGACTCGAGCGGTCAAGTGAACCTCAGCCTCCAAGTCCAGCTTGAGGCCGACCATCAATGCAGCGGGCTTCAGATTTCCAGAGTCGTCAGTTGCACCTTTGAGGAGACTGCCTGTGTTTGGGAAAAGGTCAGCATTGGTACACAACAGAAGCTCAACCATGAGCACTGAGCACTGCATCAAGGCTGAGACACGGTACCCAGATAAAACCCAGAATGAATGAATGGGCTGCTTCACTTACCAGCTGGCTGTGAAAGATAGTCAGAGGTTGGGGGCAGAGTTGAAGGGAATGGTGCGGTGGACTTTGCAATGGCCTTGCGGTTGCCTGCAGCCTGGCCATCGTCGCTTCCACTCGAATAGTCCTTGTCCATGTTCTTGTTTGCTGCGCTGTTGCAAGTTGTCAGTGGAATGCTGGTCAGGTTCAATATCATGGACGGGATCAGCTGGCACATACAGGGTGGCCATGGTGATTGATGCGGTTGGATTAAGGGACGGTTTTGGTCTTTCAAGATGAACTATGCAAATAAATGGATGCTATAGGCTCGGGCTGCTGCAAAAGAGATCAAACCAGTGATGACAATTATAGACTGTGAAGCTTGAAGATGTTTTTCATCAAGTCGTGGAGATGCGCCTTCTTTTATGTTCCCGACCGATCATCTTCATGATGAACCATTCTAGACTCTCAACCAAGTCTCCTGATATTCTCTACAGGAGAACCATGCTCAAGATCCGCCAATCGTCCGACCAGAAGGGGTTCCAGCAGTGTCTCGAGATAATACTATCCCCCGAACCTAACGGCCCACATGAGGAGGTTCCATATCGACAGACAGTACAGTATTGTCACAGTAACGATCTTGCACGATCTTTGAGTAAAGGAGGTTAACGGGTATTGTTTGTGTGGGCGACGATTTCAAGAAACAAGGCGAGTCGCAGGCTGTGGATCTTTGGATCTTTGTCACTGCGTTAATGCATGCTCGAAACCTCTGGGTGCCGCTGTGCGTGTCCATACTTATGGAAAGGTCTTTCGTTTGGCCTCTTTAGTCTCTCGCTTACTGACTTACGAGTACGCTTGCACATCCCCGCTGTGGTGTCGATGAAACATGCACCATCGTTGTGTTTCAGGCTGGCCCCCCGATCTGGCCACCGCGGTACACAACCACAAGAAGGTGGACTGATCATGTATAAGTATCTAGTACTAGACCGCCGTTTGTGGACGAATGGATCTCTGCTGCGAAGAACATGGAGGACAACTAAAAGTACTCCAGGTATTGTACTCCTATCATGCCAGGAGTACCCGCCTCAGACATCCCATCCTGACCAGCATCGGTCATCAACAAGTTTCCACCTTGTACTACTGACCAGCCATCTCGATCACTAGTTGATCACTAGAGATGGGGCTCCTGTGAACAAAGAATGGCTTGGGCTACGAAGGCAGTAAGTAGGCTTCCTGCTCAGACCACCTACCACAGTGCTTTGTTCTATACCTACATACTCGTACCTTTACATCTTTTTAGCACAAGGTCCAAGTTCGATACGTATACCCTTAGAGCAAGGGAGCAGACTAATAAGCGACTGACAAGACTGCGTCTCCATCTGGAAGGACTTTCCCCCCGCCCCAGCAACCATGGTGCTCTCTATGCTCGTCGCTATCATCACATGTCCTGCGATGCTGGCGACGGCCGAGGCCATCCGGCAAGGTCAGAGCAAGGAAAGACGGGAAGAGCATCGCGCGCGGAGATGTAATCTGGTCGTCACCTGTGTCAAGGCATCGACTAGGAGTGCTGAGCTGGACAATCGACTTGTGGTCCTGCGTGACGGAAAAGTAAGTTGCGACGTTCAGAGGAAGCTGTTCGATTGAACCCTCTCATGCATGTCATTCATCTTGGCCTTGTCGTTGTTGGCTACAACTGTGGGCTGACTCGAATGTCAATATAGCTCTACATTGACACAATGAGGCCAACTTTCAGGAAGCAGGCAGTGCAATCCAACGACGACTACGATGAGAAGAACGACCAGGAAATAGAATCTAGATCCCACGCATTCGCGGGCTACTACCTCCCATATCCAGACACCAAGTTCGAAGGCTTGGTGTCGACCATCTCCGACAAAACCCTCAACCTGAACTGGATCTACGTCGACAAAGACACATACCAAGTCAAGTACGGCTTGAGGGTAGACGCTCAGCCCAACATCACAGGGCCCTTTGACTGCACCAGGCAAGATCGACGAATGACTCTGGAAGGGTGGGAAGGCTTCGTGGCCGTCGAGGAAAGCCCCGGCGTTTGGGCACTCTACTTTGATCGCGACGACAATGGTCTCGACTCCAGGGTTGCACGGGGAACAAGAGTTCTGGAAGTCGAACTCTGGAGGAGGGAAAAGAGATGGACAAAGGATCCCTTGCAGAGGGAACAAGAGCAGGCAACTCAGAACACTCGGTAATGATCATATCGAGACAATCGAATCACATTGAATAGTAGCTAAATAGTTGATGCATAAATGAAACACCCCCAATATCTACCTATGTTTCTCCCGGCTGCAAACAGACTTGGTTTTGTTGCGTCTTCCGGTAAGTACATGCGCATATGAATCTGGGTTTGGCAATTGTTGTAGGGCCCAGTGCCCAGTCAGTCGTCTAGAATCCTAGGCGTAATACCGAACTCGACTCGAGCCTGGTGGAGCTAAAGATAATGTCAGAGATCAAAGAGTGGGATCACATATGCGACAGTACATGCTTTAAGCCATCATCAGCAGTTCCAGTGGCCTGACATGACAACTGACAAAACCTGGCCCCATAATTTCATTGTTTAGCCCCAAGTACGAGGGCTCGTTGCCATGCTGAGACGTTCTTCATGGAATATTTTGAGTGCCGCAATAGCCTCACTGTCTGAACATTACGTAGCGATGATTTGTTAGCGTTGCCGGCGTGTAGACATTGAAAGAAGCCTCGATAATCAATGGCATCCAACACAACCAACAGTGACACCATTTCGAGTCCCGATGAGCAGTGAGTTGTGTAGACGACCCTTCCATATTGCCTTTGACTGACCAACTCACCAGACTTGCGGCAACATTACAAAGGCCCCTAAGCGCAGACGTAAGACTAGACCGATTGCTGGGTCATCTGGACAATGTCGATAAGATTTTAATTTATGCATTCGGAGCATTTGATCGGTACTATATCTGCTGGCAGGATAAAACCGGAGGATATCGACAAGGTTCGTGGTCCCTCGGACCTTCCAATACTCTTGACTTATTGTTAACTCCTCTCAAGCGCGACAAGGCCTACCTTGTGCTCTCGACAAATGGTTGTTCCCTCCTCAAGGTTCTACGAGGGATCTTGCCACTCTGCAGGTGTCTCTAGGACACAACGATGAATTCTTTGCTTTTGATCAGTACGACCGAATCTCACATTTGAATAATGGCGTACGAGATGTTGTAAGCGGGGGACACATGAGACTTCAGAAGCGAGGATCCCTGAATACTGGTGATGTATTTACCAGCCGGAGGAAGTCGCACACGTTCACAAGTCTTGAGGTAGCCGGACACGACAGATACCGACCTCTTTCGATGGATCCACAACAAGGTCCACGAAAGCGATTACGGCCGCAGAGCATAGCGGTAGCCGGTATGTTTTCGCTAAGGAGTTCTCACGAGCGAAGTACCAGTCAGGATGAGCCTCGACCGAGAGGAGGGGCCAACATAGTGGATGCGAAATATCGTCGACCACTACCGGTACATCGTCCCCAATACTCGGATGCGGCAGTGCAAACGGATTTGGTAGAAAAGGAGCCTGCCGATGGAGTTATCGCAGGCTTGGACTCATTGGGAACAGACCAAAAGCTATTGCAAGAACCGTGCATATGCCCCATATCCCCAATAGTTTCGGAGAGATCATCAAGGACCCTGGATTCTGCTGCATCGCTTCTCAGTGTTTCCTCAACATATTCAAGGAACCCAGTCAGTATGGGGGGAATGGGCCGCTATTTTCGAGAAAGTCAATATCGACTGGGCGATGCGTTGATCAGAATACCAGCAATGGGAATCGGAGCCCACTGACGATGGGACGAAGATGAGGATGAGAACAAACTCAAACTTACTAGACTCTGAACATCCTGGGACCCCGGACGGAAATAGGCGAGTGCTCACATAAAAGGAAGCTGTTGTATCTCCGTAAGTCCACTCCACCAGCCGGAATGATGGCTCTCCAGACACAAAGGGACCATGACGCAAAGCATGGGTATTTGCTGCAGACAAGATCCGACAGAAGAGAAGTGACGACAGAAGAGGAAGTAGGGGTTGAACACTTCATTGAGGACAGCTGGAAGAAAGAAATATGAGAACGGGAGCGCAGTTGAGACGAATCTGGAAGAAGGAGCAGAAGGAGCGGAAGGAGCGGATGAAGCGACCCATCGAAGAAGGAGCAACTGGAAAAACAAATGTAAAGGAAGGAAGCATGGAGTAACGTCCAACCACCTGTATATCATTATAAGCCTCAACTTATTCTGGAGGACCTTTCACAGTTTGACATAGTCTCAACATTCAGGGGGGGACAAATAGACAACGCCGTCGCTCGCTAATCGACTTATGTGTCGAGAAAGCACCTCAAATCTAACAGAGCAAAAACAGCCATGTGCTCGATCCCTTCAAAATCCAGATCTCTTATTATTCAGGCTGGCCGCTCTCGACAGGGGAATCCTTCTTAGCCAACGGAGGGTTTATATTGGTGTCCTCGGAATCACTGCGAGGATCTTTTGCAGCCACATCGCCATTTCTGACGGGAATACCAGTCGGATCCGCGACGGGGTATGCCTGTCGTGAAAGCTTCTTTTCGCTCGGCGAGATTCCAAAATCCATTTCCCAAGTTTCTCTCTCGCGTACCATTTCCCTCTTCATCCACGGAATAGTAATGGCCGCCCATATGCCAGCCCAGACGAAGGGGACGCCCCAACCTAGACCTTGTCAGACCATTCATACATAGCTGAGGAACATTACGTAGCATACCTAAACCATACGCAACAGCCTTGGGTATCCGGTGAATAACAATGAGAACGGTGCAGACGATGGCTACTATGATAGCTGGAACGGACCAGAACCACGACTGCACTCGAAGCATTCGTCTGAACCGTGGGCTGGCCTTATATCTGGCAGCCAAGGCTTCTCGGAAGGGCCTCCCTGCTCCCGCGTTGACTGCAACCACATCTTCGACGAGATAATAGACTCCTGGATAGACCTCGCCGCCTTTGCTAGTGGAGCTGATGCGAAACGGGGCTGGTCTCTTCAGCTCGCTATAGGACGTGATCAGGAGGATAGGGCCTCCAAGACAGTATAGAATCGCAGGGCCAGGCATAGAAAGCACTCTGAGCCAGACGATGTGGGGGGCACTGCCGATGATCAGGAAGGCCGTTATGGCAGCAATGGTCAGGGAGAATATCCAATGGGTGATGTCAAAGGCCCAGCGATTGTTGGTACCCAGAGGCCGAAAGAAGTGTTCTTTCTTGATCAGTCGAAAGGATCGCACGGCAAACTCAACATAAGCTGGACCACCCCAAATTGTAGCGACGACCGCGAACACTGTAATGGCTTAGCGAACAAAGAGGAGTGAGAAGTGGGGCTAGGTCCATAGATACACACCTATCCATCCTTGGACATGTCCAGCAAATGTCATGGTGTAGTACAAGACAATGGGAACCACACAGGCATCGACCACCATGAGAAAGATTGTGAGGAATAACTTCCAACGCTTCCACCCACGCCGCCAAGTAAAGGGAAGTTGTGGGAGCAGGTCAGGATGGTTGTCGTAATATTGTTGTAGCGTGCTGGCTCGTCTCTTGAACTCTCGCTTGGTGGCTGCACGACTGTCATAATATGCATCTTGCTCCGGCTCATTCTCATCACTTCTCCTCCGTTCTCTTCTGTGCGGCGAACTCTTTCTTCGTCCTGTCAGGCTCAGTCCGCTGTCTGTTCTGACTGTCGCAAGGGGAGGTGGCGCTTGTAGAGGGGAGATCCCTGCATCAGGACTGAAGTGGACATTTCGACCTTCACCCGTTGGTGAGGTAATAGGTGATGAGGGAGGACCGTCGGTGTTCCGGTCAATCTCCAAAGTGGCCCGGCTTCCCCGGACGACCTCAGGCATGGTGGGTATAGGCCTGTAAACGTCAACAGCAGACAACGAGAGACATAGAGGCCAGAGTCGAGAGCAGATGGTCAAGGGAAAAGGTTTGACAGTGAAGAGGAGGTGAGATGTAGAATAGTAATCTGATCAAGGGCAGCCGGGGGTCGCGGAAATGAGACAGAATGCATCTCACATGCGGTACAGTGAAGTATCTCATTCCAACGTACCTTTCTTCCCTAGGGAGGGAGCCTTAGGTCATGGCTGAAGCGGGCCAAACACACACACACACGCATGCACCGGATTGCTGACTACGCGACGGCCCCAGAGACACCCCATGGGATTTTGAGTTGTCAGCCAAACGAGTTTCAGTTGGACAATCTCCGGATTGGGCCACGACGTCATAGCGTCAGATACAACCACTGTGATTGGTTGAAGTCCAACATCAGGTCTTGGCCTTGGCGGCCTTGATCCTGGCAAGAAAACTTCAAGCCTGGGCAAGCTCTCCGCCAAACAATCTCCTCTCAAGGCGCAGGGTGCCTTGATGTGCCTTGGTCGCCTCAAACAAGCCTTGAACAAGCAATATCTAGGTGTGTATGCATACGTTGCCGCTCTACCCCATCGAGCCCAAAGTCTAATGATTTGCCCAGACAAAAAGGATGTACAACCTGTCAACCTTGATCCAACATAACATCAAGATACGTTACATGTACCCACATCCCAGCCAGCTCGGCTTCAAAATGGCATATAATGCCCACTCCTTTTGCCCTGACCCGGCTTCCGCGTCTCGTGCAAGACCATAGGCCGACTTTCTTGGCTCGGGTTCTGCTGCCATATCCTTCCGCGAATTCTATCCCGATCGTCACTGTTTCTACATTCTCCCACGCAATCTGCCATGTGATTGGTATAATTGCAAACTCTGCAGAGATGCATTGTGATGGACATGATGACCGGAACGCGCCTTCTGTGAAGAAACGGCACTGATAGGGTCATAATTCTTTGGTCCTGTTACGCAGCAGCCTTGTCGTCTGAGCCTTCTGTCCAGACCGCACAGCATAACAGGAACAGCTACCTACCAGGTCAGCTGATTAGGGCTGTTGCCTTGTCCCAGCGAGGACACTCGCATTCTCTTCTTGAGGTACCCCTTTGGTGATGTGTATCCCATCATATGACAGCATCCGATTCTGGCCTACAGAGGATGGAGGGGCTGGAGCTAATGCGGGATGGCGTTTGAGCCCAACTGGCTGCAAGATCCCGCCTTGACAGCCGTTACCTTTTCCTCAAGTGCCACAGACTACTCTGCACTCTCACCATGCCTGATTGGACGCCAACTCTCAACCCACGCGGAACCAATCTGGATTTGCGGCTCACGGTACTCTACAGTCGTGGCTTGTCCCATTCTCCCTCTACCTGGATCTCGTTCTCAGCAACCACATCTGACTGCAGGTTGTCTTCAGGAACTCTTTGTTTGCCTTCCGCCACAGAGCCACTTGCCTGTTTGCAGGATGCTGCTTCTACAGCTTCCAATGTACCATGACCATGCATCCATAGGTGGATGATTTGCTACCCCCGTACCCTCTGCTTCAGACCCTATCATATTGCCAGTCTCTTCTTCATTCTTAATCCTTACAATTCTCCTTCCATTTTGATGCTGCTGCATAACTTCCATCCAGCTTTTTGCCCCAGCGCTTTTCCCTGCAACACCTAACTTCGTTAGGCATTCACTCTATTCCCACCATCAACATCTCGTATCATCAACTGTTTCTTACAAGCCGTGTTGGTCTTTCATTGTCTCTTTGAATCAGGATGAGGGCTCCCAAGTTGGAATGCGGTCCCTCGGCTCTAGACCAGCTTGACAATTCTTTCCTCTATTCACATTCCTCAGACGCTACTCTTCCCTCCACTGGCCTTTTTTATCGGCCTGTTGATGACGTTTCCACCTCTGAAACAAACCAACAATGGTATGACGGAACCTCTCTTCCGGCATTTGAACCGAAATTTGAGCTCGAGGATCTTCAGAGTCAGCTATTTAACAATCACTATGCCGACGACACACTCTGCCCTTACCAAGGCTCATATCACCAAGATGCCGACGTACACCTAACACCAACATGGCTCATGCCGCCAGATTATCCACATCCGCTCACCTTGAATGAACACCCTTGTGCTCCCCCAGCCATTCACTCTTTGCCTGGCTCTGCATACACTCCCGATGACATATCTACGCCATATTCAAGCTACTATCTCGATGAGAGCTCCGTTACAAGTGCATGGTCGTCACCTGGCTTTCCAGTCGCTCGGCCCGCATTACACATGCTCGACGATGGCGATGCAACGGATGACAAACCCTATGCTGCATTAATATATGATGCATTATTGCAAGCCCCAAACCACCGCATGATGCTGAGAGAGATTTATGACTGGTTTCGTGTTAACACCAACAAGGTTCAAGATAATGGATCCAATGGCTGGCAGAATAGTATCAGGCACAATCTCTCCATGAACAAGGTATGTCTCACAGCAAGTTTCTATTGTGGAAGGCGACACTGACACAGACCTAGGCATTCGAAAACGATCGAGAGGCTGGCCGGAGCAATTCAAGAAAGGCAACAAGTGTTTGGGTCTTGACTGAGGAAGCCATCCGCAACGGCGTGCAGTCGACCACGAGATATCGCAAATCTGGTGGTGGGAAAAGAGCACAAGGTCATAGGACGACAGCAGTCCAAAGACAGAGGTCAGGAGCACGAGGCGGCCGCGCAGCACGTCAAGGCCGAACGACGCGACATCGACGTCACGGGCACGAATTGACTTCTCACCCTTCACCAGCTTACAGTTCATTTACTCCCTCGTACTCATCCGACACGAGCGATTATCACGGGCTCGGACCTCAAGATTTGGGCCCAGCTTTCCACAGCTGCCCATTGACCCCGGTGGAAGGCCACAGCCAATTCTTTGATGAGCCACTGCCACCCATGACATTTCCGATCACTACACCCATGGAATTCACTTCGTATCATCCGAGTTCCACTATGACCGGAACAAACGCTTCTTTCAGCCTACCACTACGCCCCTCTTTGTCCCATTATATTGACGATGCAGGAGACATGCATCCGCAATGAATGCCTTTCCAGTTGATATGGTCACAGGTCTCCACAGCCACAGATGGAGCACCTCCTGTTTCGCACGCAAGCATCATGTTTCAGGGTCTAGAATTACGACGGCATGGCGTTGGGTGGGATGAATCTCGGGCACCTTCGATCTATTTCCGGCTCATGGTCATTTCAGGGCTCAGTCTAGTGGATTAAGATGTCTCCAAACAGTGAGAATGCGAGTCGGGGTTTCTCGACAAGTCACAACCGTGGCGAATCCAGCACGCCCATGCCTCGCGTGAGAGCTTTGGCAAACATCAGAGATACATAGTTACCATATTTTTGCTCATCGATCCACTCGCGGATGCAGGTTGCAACTTCAACTGCAACGGCCATCCTCGGCTGATTGATGGTAATCTTCATCCAGCCTAACCAGTTGGAATCTTCGCCGAATATCCCTTCATTAGTCGGGTAGTACAGCAGCTTTGCATGCATATAATGATCCATGGGATGGGCCATGGATCCACCACCTCATCGACGCACCGACTTTGCTTCCCTTGGGAGGTCGTGGGAGAGGGCGGTTTCCCCAGAGGCATATTCTCGTCACGAGCATGGCTTCGCTACTAACCGAGAAATGCGCGAGCTCTTCTCTGGGTTTGTCCAATCAAGTTCATTGCTACTGTCATGTCCCTGCACATGCGTTGGTCCTGGGCCTTGCCAGTCTGATTGCACTGGAATACAGGTCATCTCCAGTAATAGCAAAGTCCAATCTGCTATGCACGTCAGCCCGGCCTTCTTTGAAACCCTAGACGGTGGACTTGGGGACTACCTAAGTAGGGTTTACAGTCCAGGCTCGATGCCCGGGGTCAGCTTATTAAACAACCCGAGGATGGCGCCCATGAAACTAATTGATCTCTGGACCATAGACGCTGGCGATTTCATTCCAAAGTCCAACTAACGCACGCCACCTCTGCGCAGGAAGACGTGATCCGTCTTCCCGACAGCCAAATGACCCTTGTAGACAGCCCAAATCCAACGGTCTTCAATCCTTCTTCTTGGTGCATCGTGTTAGCGGTACGGACCGGCGGACCTGAGACGACGACTTCTGCCCAGACACCAAAGAGCTGACGATGCGGCGACAGGGTTACCTCTTATCGAGGCCAGCCTCCTGTATCATGATCAGCTATACCAATCAAAAATTGCCTAGGTCAATGCCAGTTAGCATTTCTTCATCGTCGGTTCGTGGACTTCGGCTAGGGACCATACAATGAACAATTCAGCGCGGGCTCAAGGGGGGCTTCTCTTCAAAGAAGTACATTGCGACGATACGCAGCCTTGAGACCAACGGACCCTACTTAGCCCTGGGGCTTGAAAGACTTATCCCCATGGACCCCGTCCCTGGTTATTAGGTGTGACGATCTACTATTCAACACCCCACGCGTCCCTATTACCCCTAGCCTGACAGCCGCTACTGCACGCATGCTTGACTTCGGATGTCGAATACAAATTACGGATACCGAATCATTGCATTTGAAGACCACGTTAACGGGCTAAATCTGGAATCGGTTATCGATCAAGACTCCCTCGATCTGACTATGTACATACCCCGATATCACATGCATGCCGAAAGGATGATGGTTCGGACATGAGATCTCGACCCAGACTCTCCTATCACTTATGGTCTGGGCGATGTCACCCACAATTAGCACCTGGTTGTCATTGCTAGCACATTGCCAGTTCGAAAATTTCTTCAGAACCTGTCATGACCGTTCGCAATCCAAATCCTTCGTATACGCAACAACTGCGGGGCCTGTCAATTTGGGAGAATGACAGTTGTTCGATTGGGTCGCAGTATCCTCACAAGGGACAACCTTGTAGCAGAAGCCGCTATCGCCATAAAGAGGGTGTCGGTGAGCAGAAGTGGCATGAGAATCTTGTGAGAGTTGATCTGGAACCATCTGTGCAGCCCCAGCGATGCACTTATTCATCACCAGATATTACATTCTGTGTCGTCCTTTCGGACGTCCCTCCAGAAAGTCCGGCATAAATCGCCAACTGCAACAATGTCTCCTAGGGACCCATGGTCATGACGAAAGGACGACCCCGGGCCAAACGACACTGACAGGGACATGGAGATGATGCGAAGCCACGCGGACGCGATCCTCGAGGCGACCCCAGAGTTCTCGGCCCATTCAACCCTGGCGTGCCTGGACAACCATGACAACTCAACTGTTGACAAAGTCAGTCTAACGTGGTCCATCCACCCCCCAAAGGACTGAAGGGGTCCTTCTCCCCTCCAAACCCAGAATCAAGCTGTCATGCCTGTCAACCATGCGTGTTCCCGCGACCTTGTAGCCTTCAGCCTTTCTTGGCCTGTTCCGCAACATGCACGCTTGATGTTTATGAGTAACGTGGCACGAATTCATCCCGGACCTGGTTACACCAGAGAAGGAAATTCACGCAACTGGCGGCATAGGACTTGCGTTGCGCGCATTCCACACCAACACCCTCGCATCCCCGGTCTCGTGTACCACTTTGCGCAGCCGTGCTGGATCAGGGAGACGTGGTTCGCCTATCTCCAAAGTACTTTCTGGCTTAGACATCTTTGACCTGTGCATGGCGTCGATTGTTCTGTCTCAAGGCCATCCTGCTAGACATTGTGCTGGTGGAAGTATTGTCTCTATGGTGCTTTCCTGTGTGAGAGAGGGGTACGTCAATGGCCCTCCCCCAGAAGCGGAAGTGGAAAAGGGAAACGTCTCTCATCTCACCCAGTCATCAGCAGAGACAGCCAGTATTGCCTTGGCTTGGTTTCATCTGGCCACTAAGGCGACATACACAGAAAGCACCAATGCTTAAGCTGCCAGAAACGGTTGTGTTACACGGCTGGGTATGGCTAAAGACCATCCCCAACAGATTCCAGACAGGGCTGCTCGCACCACCAAAGCCTTGCGGTAACATTGATATGCCTGACCACGGCGGACGGAAAGCATTGCTCGGATTGAATTTCCAGTGGTCTTGAGCACGAGGCGAAAGCCGTGTGCGAATCAATTTTTCCTGTGACGATGGGTATTGCAACCTTCTCCACAGATTCAGCGGAGAACTCCTTTGCTTGCTCTCCGTTCACATAAAAACTTTTGTGAAGCAGCCAAAGGCATTCTTTCAAAAGCATTCTCGAGTCCACAAGCCAGTCATGCCGCAACCTGGTTGCACGACGGTGTACCTCATTGATACGACAAAGGGAAGCGAGAGTGGCTAGGGTGGAAGAATCCCCCGAAGGAGAAAATTTGCGTGACCCTGGTGGACACCAGCAGATATGACAGTTTTGACAGCGGCTCCTTGTGCGACCGACGGATAGACAGCATCTTTTGCCTCCAGACTCGAAACGCCCGCAGAGCCACGGCAGGAGATCTCACGACACGGGATGGGAGAACATTTTGAACGCGTGAGATGAAACTGCGATCCTTGTCAATGGGCGTGCTTTGGTCATGGCATGTGAAAGATCTCTTCGCACCCGTTCTCACTTGGACCGACCTTCGGTTCCTGTCTCACCAAGGAAACAAGGATGGCCTTGGCCCTTGCTTTCCATCGCCTGCCGACTCCGTACAACGTCCATGGGACGCGTGGGCAAATGGGATCAACGGTGTCCAAGATCCGTCGCTGGAATCTCGCCGATTCGCCAGTGCTTGAGAATGGGTGAGTGACATGGGCCCTGTGATGTATCCTGGGCGACGCGATAAATGTTACCCGTTCCTCCATCTTGTGGGAGACTTTACCGAATCGATACAGAATGAGAAAGCCATGAAGCAGAAAAATATCCAGGAGAGCGAGCAATGAGACACAATCACGAATTTGAATGTCCTGTACCCCTTTAGGATTTCCCTCCCACCCTTGATTCCATTAACTTACTCATCCTGCTGACTTAGTGCCTTGACGGATAGAAAGCCCCTTGGGCGATTATTCATTCCATTTCTGCGCGTGTCTTGCTACGTCGATCACCTAGTGCTGAGTATAGTAACGTGACAATGTGAGACGAGACTGGGTTAGAGCCGTCACACTCGGACCTGAGGACACGACGAATCGACTCGTCGGCAGATATAGCTGTCAAACACGTGGAGAGGGGGCAAAGTAGAAGGGATGCCACAGGGTCCTCTACTCCTCCAATGTAAGAGCTGTTCATTACGACAGCATTTGTCCTGGTCCTCTTTCGGGCTTTGTGCTCTGTGGAATGATTAGGAGCATTTAGATTGGATCGGGAACAGGTTCGCTTCTGTGTGTGCATGATATTATGTGGAACCACGCGAAGGGAGGACCAGTCAAGAGAGAATGTTGCTGCGATGGGCATTCAGTGAGACGACGCGTCAACGTCTCCTGCAACGGTCATTGTTCTCGGCTTCATCGTCCAAGACATCTCTGCTGGAACGATGCCCGAACTGCGGTCATGGAGATCTCAAGTTAGCTCACGACAATATAGTGAACAAGTACTCGGAAGATGGTATCTGTACATCAGTAGCAACGATTCGTAAGATGGAAAATCCACCAACAGGGTGCATGCTCAGCCACTGTTGTAATGGTTACAACTGGGTTGCATAGGTATCGCATATCATCGCATCGTGCAAAGTTAGGTATCATTGATGTTGGATTCTTTTGATGGCAATGCCAATCTATTTGTCTGAGATGTACCCACTGGTGCATCTCAAGAAAAAATGCACACCCCTCGATCAAGACGCAAAATCCACTGGAGTGATTCTCCACCGCAATGCAGTACTTGGGTCGGAAGGTCAGATTCGACGATGGCCAGTCGGGACGGCATGTGACTGAGTTCCTCGGCGTCGTGCATGGCAAAACCTTGCGTCGACCATCAAGCCAGCTCGTTCTTTCCACGCATGCGGCCTGATACACATAGACACAATCCCACTGCCCCTGCCTGGGCACGGTACCTGTCCCCGACTCACCCAGGACAAATCAATCGCTTATTTCTTTCCAGTCTTTTTGGTCTCGGTCTCCTTCAGCACCTTCTTGACAATCTTTTGCTCCTCGATCAAGAAAGCTCGCACGATGCGGTCCCGGACACAGTTGCTGCATCTTGAACCACCGTAGGCGCGCTGGACGGTCTTCTGGGGTCGTGAAGTGGTAGCATATTGTCGGGGTCGGAGGGCTGGGACCTGTGAAGTGCAAAAAGATCTCACGTTAGCGAATTTATGCCTTTTTCTGGACTGCTGGCCGTCTTGTGCCATTGGGGATTGACGAGGTCAGGGAATGGGATGGAAGCCTTACACCGGCCAATTTGACACCGCAGTCACCGCATTTTGGTGCTGTTCCTCGCTTCTTGATGTGTAGCAACCGAAGTTTTCCACCGGGAGTCTTGATCACTCGGACGTTGTTCGAGGTTGTGTTGTATCTGTAAATCCATCACCTCATTAGCAAATGTTTCTCTTCACCTGCACCACCAAAACTTGGTCCACGGGAGATTCGTGATCGGAGGGAACGTACGGATTCCGGCGACGGTATTGAAGTCTGACACCTGCCATTGCGACGGTATTGAGAGTGGTGCAATGGGTTGGTTGAAGAAGTTGAGGTCGTTGGTCGAGATTCTATCCTGATTCCCTTGTTTGAAGATCTGACCCGAAGCCGAAAATCCAAAGTGCGTGAAGTCTTGGCGATCAGCCAAGATTGTTCTGTCACGTGATAGAATTATCTAACAAGGCTGGGCTGCGCTGCACCTTGGCTAACTCCTTCCCAAAAAGGACTAGTGTGGCCCCTCCACCTGTAGAGCAAAATATCTGCCACTGTGAGCGTTGCGGAGGCAAGAACTAGCCTCATCCAAGTCTTAATCAAAGAAATCTCAATCAGAGGCTGCCACTCGAAATCTCTTCGATTGCTGGCTGGCACGCCCTTAATTGAAACTACCATCCAGGGATCCTTTGGTATTTGCGGTGAACAACTCGCATTTCCTCCATGGTAAGACACCTCTCCATATCGTCGGAGTAAAGCCGTCAATTCATCCTTTTCAACCACAACAGTTACCATAAGTCGCGTCCGGAGCAATGGCTTCAATCCCTCCTCCGCCTCCTCCAGGATGGGGTGCCGGTCCCCCACCTCCTCCGGGCATGGCACCGCCGCCACCAGGATATCGTCCTCCCGTTGACCCTCAGGTCGCGAAATTTGCACAGAAGAAAAAGGAATGGCTGCGAGTACAGAGAAATCGGTTTGCCGAGAAACGCAAAGGCGGCTTCGTCGAAACACAGAAGGCAGACATGCCACCTGAGCATCTTCGCAAAATTGTCAGAGACATCGGCGATGTCAGCCAGAAGAAATTCAGTAGTGACAAGCGAAGTTATCTCGGCGCCCTCAAGTACATGCCACATGCTGTCTTGAAGTTGTTGGAGAATATGCCGATGCCTTGGGAGAGTGCCCGTGAAGTCAAGGTTCTATACCATGTCAATGGATGTCTTACGCTGGTCAATGAAGTCCCTCGTGTGATTGAACCTGTGTTTCATGCACAATGGGCGACGATGTGGGTCTCGATGCGCAGAGAGAAGAGCGACCGAAGACATTTCAAACGCATGCGGTTCCCACCATTCGACGATGAGGAACCTCCTCTATCTTGGTCCGAAAATATCGAAGATGTCGAGCCCCTCGAGCCAATTCAAATGGAATTGGACGAAGGCGAAGATGGACCAGTCTATGAGTGGTTCTACGAACATCGGCCACTGCTTGACACACCCCATGTCAACGGTCCAAGTTATAGAACCTGGAACCTCACCTTACCCCAGATGGCTACGCTCTACAGACTGTCTCATCAGTTGCTGAGTGATGTTGTGGACAAAAACTACTTCCACATGTTTGACAGGCAAAGCTTCTTCACCGCAAAGGCTCTGAATGTTGCCATCCCTGGTGGGCCTCGGTTTGAGCCTTTGTACAAGGATATCGATCCTAACGACGAGGACTTTGGTGAATTCAACGCCATTGATCGAATCATTTTCCGCGCACCCATTCGCACCGAGTATCGAGTTGCCTTTCCATACTTGTACAATTCTCTACCAAGAAGCGTCAAATTGGCTTGGTATTCTCACCCCCAGGTCGTCTACGTCCGGTCCGAGGTGCCCGATCTCCCAGCGTTCTATTTCGACCCTGTCATCAATCCAATCTCTTCGAGATCCGTTGCTCCCAAAAATATCACCGTCAGCCATGAGGATGAGATCTTTGGCGTGGGAAACAACGAAGATGAGGACTTTGAGTTGCCAGGAAACGTCGAGCCCTTCTTGGCAGATGAAGAGCTCTACACCAGCGAAACAACATCCGCGATCGCGCTCTGGTGGGCTCCATTTCCCTTCGATCGACGATCAGGTAAAATGGTCAGGGCTCAAGATGTGCCATTGGTCAAGCAATGGTATCTTGAACACTGCCCATCTGGTCAGCCTGTCAAGGTTCGCGTTTCCTATCAGAAGCTCCTCAAGTCATTCGTTCTCAATGAATTGCACAAGAAAAAACCAAAGGCCCAGAGCAAGCAGGACTTGCTGAAGACACTGAAATCCACAAAGTTCTTCCAGCAAACCACCATCGATTGGGTTGAAGCTGGTCTCCAAGTATGCAGACAAGGCTTTAACATGCTCAATCTCCTCATCCATCGCAAAAATCTTACCTACCTCCATCTTGACTACAACTTCAACTTGAAGCCTGTCAAAACACTGACGACCAAGGAGCGGAAGAAATCAAGATTTGGCAATGCCTTCCACCTGATGCGTGAAATCCTGAGATTGACCAAGTTGATCGTGGATGCACAAGTTCAGTATCGCCTCGGCAATATTGACGCCTTTCAGCTTGCCGACGGCATATTGTACGCGTTCAACCATGTTGGTCAGCTCACTGGCATGTATCGGTACAAATACAAGCTCATGCATCAAATCCGGTCTTGTAAGGATCTCAAACATTTAATCTACTACCGATTCAACTCCGGCCCAGTTGGGAAGGGCCCTGGATGTGGTTTCTGGGCACCGGCCTGGCGAGTCTGGCTTTTCTTCCTGCGAGGCATCATCCCTCTACTAGAGCGGTGGCTGGGCAACCTGCTCTCCAGACAGTTCGAAGGCCGACATAGTAAAGGGGTGGCAAAGACAGTCACTAAACAACGAGTGGAGTCTCATTTCGATCTCGAATTGAGAGCATCTGTTATGGCGGACTTGATGGATATGATGCCCGAAGGCATTCGCCAAAACAAGGTCAACACTGTCCTGCAACATCTTTCAGAAGCCTGGCGTTGCTGGAAGAGTAACATTCCTTGGAAGGTTCCTGGTCTACCGGCTCCAATTGAGAATATCATCCTTCGCTATGTCAAAAGCAAGGCGGATTGGTGGGTTTCTGTTGCACATTACAACAGAGAAAGAATTCGAAGAGGCGCCACCGTTGACAAGACCGTCGCAAAGAAGAACCTTGGCCGGTTGACTCGACTTTGGTTGAAAGCTGAACAAGAAAGACAACACAACTACCTGAAGGATGGCCCCTACGTTTCTTCTGAAGAAGCAGTTGCAATTTATACGACGACGGTACATTGGCTAGAGTCTCGAAAATTCTCCCCAATTCCTTTTCCCAGCGTCAGCTACAAACATGACACCAAGATCCTCATCCTAGCACTTGAAAGATTACGAGAAGCATACTCCGTAAAAGGTCGTCTCAACCAGAGCCAGCGAGAAGAGCTTGCTCTCATCGAACAAGCCTACGACTCTCCAGGAACAACGCTAGCAAGGATTAAACGCTTTCTCCTGACCCAGCGTGCCTTCAAAGAAGTTGGTATCGACATGAACGATAATTATAGTTCTATCAACCCTGTCTATGATATCGAACCCATTGAGAAGATCACCGACGCGTACCTCGACCAATACCTCTGGTATCAGGCTGATACCCGACACCTTTTCCCATCTTGGGTAAAGCCTTCCGACTCCGAGGTCCCCCCTCTCCTCGTTTACAAGTGGGCGCAAGGAATCAACAATCTCACTAACGTATGGGAAACTGCGGATGGAGAATGCAATGTCATGATCGAAACCCAGCTCTCAAAAGTTTATGAAAAGATTGATCTGACTCTGCTCAATCGCCTACTTCGTTTGATTATGGATCACAACCTTGCAGATTACATCACATCGAAGAACAATGTCCAATTGCATTACAAAGATATGAACCATACGAACAGCTATGGCATGATCCGCGGTCTACAATTTTCCGGCTTTGTTTTCCAGTACTATGGTCTAGTCATTGATCTGTTATTATTGGGTCTTCAACGAGCAAGCGATCTGGCTGGTCCGCCTCAATCTCCTAACGACTTTTTGCAATTCCGAGATCGAGAAACGGAAACCAGGCATCCAATTCGATTGTACACGAGATACATTGACAAGATCTGGGTGTTCCTCAGATTCACAGCGGAAGAATCAAAGGACCTCATACAGCGATTCCTGACGGAGCAGCCTGATCCCAACTTTGAAAACATCATTGGATACAAAAACAAGAAATGCTGGCCTCGCGATTCGCGTATGCGATTGATGAGACATGATGTCAATCTTGGTCGTGCGGTATTTTGGGATCTCAAAAACAGATTGCCTCGGTCAATCACGACCGTCGAATGGGACGACACATTTGCCAGTGTCTATTCCCGTGATAACCCAAATCTGTTATTCTCGATGAGCGGCTTCGAAGTTCGCATCTTGCCCAAGTCTCGCACCCTAAACGACGAATTTCCCATCAAGGATAGCGTCTGGGCACTTGCAAATAACGAGACCAAAGAGCGCACGGCCTATGCATTCCTTCAAGTCACAGAAGAAGATGTTCAGAAGTTCAACAATCGAATTAGGCAAATCTTGATGTCTTCAGGTTCCACGACATTCACCAAGATTGCCAACAAGTGGAACACAACCCTTATTGCATTGTTCACATACTATCGTGAGGCAGCAGTCTCCACAGTGAACCTTCTCGATACGATCGTCAAATGTGAAACCAAGATCCAGACTCGAGTAAAGATTGGGCTCAACTCGAAAATGCCTTCGAGATTTCCGCCTGCTGTTTTCTATACTCCAAAAGAACTCGGGGGTTTGGGGATGATCTCTGGCTCACACATTTTGATTCCCACGACCGACAAACGTTGGTCTAAACAAACCGACACTGGTGTTACCCACTACCGAGCGGGCATGACACATGATGAGGAGACTCTTATTCCCAATATCTTCCGTTACATCATTCCTTGGGAGGCTGAATTCATCGACTCTCAAAGAGTATGGACCGAGTACTCACAAAAGCGACTTGAAGCCAACCAGCAGAACCGCAGACTAACCCTTGAGGATCTCGAAGATAGTTGGGATCGAGGTTTACCACGTATCAACACCCTGTTTCAGAAGGATCGAAGTACTCTCAGCTTCGACAAGGGATTCAGAGCTCGCACAGAGTTTAAACAGTATCAACTCATGAAAAGCAATCCGTTTTGGTGGACCAGTCAAAGACACGACGGCAAGCTCTGGAATTTGAACGCTTACCGTACTGATGTGATTCAAGCCTTGGGTGGTGTCGAGACTATTCTCGAGCACACTTTGTTCAAAGCGACAGCTTTCCCGTCATGGGAAGGGCTCTTCTGGGAGCGTTCATCGGGCTTCGAGACTTCAATGCAATTTAAGAAGCTCACAAATGCACAGCGCTCTGGTCTCAACCAGATCCCCAACCGTCGCTTTACTCTGTGGTGGTTAGTATTCCCTTCTCCCACTTGTATTCCATGGTAACAAAGACTAACTCCTGCAATAGGTCAAGTACAATCAATCGTGCCGATGTTTACATTGGTTTCCAAGTCCAGCTCGATCTCACGGGCATCTTCTTGCACGGAAAGATTCCCACGTTAAAGATTTCGCTGATTCAAATCTTCCGAGCGCATTTGTGGCAAAAGATCCACGAGTCGGTTGTGATGGATTTATGCCAGGTCTTTGATCAAGAGCTCGAGCAACTTGGTATCGAGACCGTCCAGAAAGAGACTATTCATCCTCGAAAATCCTACAAGATGAACAGCTCATGTGCCGACATCCTTCTTTTCGCCAGCCACAAATGGAACGTCACACGGCCATCTCTATTGTTCGACACAAAGGATCAGATTGAAGCGACTACGACAAACAAGTTCTGGGTCGACGTACAACTACGATATGGCGATTATGATTCTCACGATATCGAACGTTATGTCAGGGCCAAATACCTTGACTATACCACAGATAGCATGAGTATCTACCCCTCGGCAACCGGTCTTATGATTGGCATTGATCTGGCTTATAACCTGTATTCTGCCTATGGACAATATTTCCCTGGGTTGAAAGCTCTGATCCAACAAGCTATGGCGAAAATCATGAAGGCAAATCCCGCTCTTTACGTCCTGCGAGAACGTATCCGGAAAGGTCTTCAACTGTATGCTTCGGAGAGCACACAGGAGTTTTTGAATTCTCAGAATTACTCTGAACTCTTCAGCAATGTCACGCAGCTGTTCATTGATGACACCAATGTGTATCGTGTGACAATCCACAAGACGTTTGAGGGCAACTTGACAACGAAACCTATCAACGGGGCTATCTTTATCTTCAACCCCAAGACAGGCCAGCTTTTCTTGAAGATCATCCATACAAGTGTATGGGCAGGACAGAAACGTCTCGGCCAATTGGCCAAGTGGAAGACGGCCGAAGAAGTAGCTGCGCTCATCCGCTCTCTTCCAGTCGAGGAACAACCCAAGCAATTGATCGTGACACGCAAAGGTCTCTTGGATCCACTTGAGGTGCATCTTCTCGATTTCCCCAACATCTCCATCCGAGCTTCGGAATTGCAGTTACCTTTCCAGGCTGCGATGAAGGTTGAGAAGCTTGCAGACATGATCCTTCAAGCAAAGGAGCCACAAATGGTGTTGTTTAATCTGTACGACGAGTGGCTGAAGACGATCTCATCATATACAGCATTCTCGCGGTTGGTCCTCATTTTGCGCGCTCTTCATGTCAATACCGACAAGACCAAACTGCTTCTTCGTCCGGACAAGACTGTCATTACTCAAGCACATCATATCTGGCCCAGTCTTTCAGATGAAGACTGGATCAAGGTGGAAGTCCAATTGCGTGACTTGATCCTCAATGACTATGGAAAGAAGAACAACGTCAACGTGCAATCCTTGACCAATAGTGAAATCAGAGACATTATCCTCGGTATGGAGATTTCCGCTCCATCAATGCAGAGACAGCAAGCTGCCGAGATTGAGAAGCAGCAGGCGGAACAGCAACAGTTGACTGCTGTGACTACCAAGACGCAAAACGTCAGAGGTGAAGAGATCATTGTCACGACAACTTCTCAATATGAACAGCAGTCATTTGCATCCAAGACCGAATGGAGAACTCGGGCAATCGCCACATCCAATCTGCGAAACCGCGCAAACAACATCTATATCTCTAGCGATGATGTCCAGGAGTCTGAAGAAGCGTATACTTACATTCTCCCCAAGAACATTCTCAAGAAATTCGTTACGATTGCAGACCTCCGTGTGCAAACGGCGGGATACATCTACGGGGTGTCGCCACCGGACAACGAACAGGTCAAGGAAATCCGCACCATAGTCATGGTGCCACAAGTTGGCAGCACACGCGACGTACAGTTGCCTCATCAACTCCCACAGCACGAGTACCTCAAGAACCTCGAGCCGTTGGGCATTATTCATACCAACTCTGGGAATGAGAGCACTTACATGTCTGCCGCCGATGTCACCACCCACGCTCGGTTAATGGCACAACACCCATCCTGGGACAAGAAAACAATCACCCTCACCGTGTCCTTTACACCAGGCTCTGTCTCCCTATCATCTTGGGCATTGACTCCAGAAGGCTACACGTGGGGTGCTGCGAACAAGGACACACAATCCGACAATCCGTCCGGGTTCTCAACGTCCTTTGGGTCCAAGACACAACTCTTGCTCTCTGACAAGATCCGTGGTCTGTTCCTGGTGCCCGAGACGGATGTGTGGAATTATAGTTTCATGGGCGCGAGTTTCGCCTCGGTGGAGAAGCGGCCGCTCTACGTCAAGATCGACACACCCAGACGTTTCTACGATGACTTGCATCGGCCTGTGCATTTTAGCAGTTTCAATGAGTTGGAGGATATTTGGGCGGATCGTGAGGATGCTTTTGCTTGAGATGTTGGGACGAAACACAAGATTGAGAAATGCACGTTGCGCAAAATCAGTGTACTTTTGTGGGCAATCAGCGTCGGAGCGCGAATTGGGAATACATGTATCGATCAGAAGGAGGCTTTGTCTATTGCTGCGAGGAAAATACCAGCAACTAGAAGACCTAGTAGATGCAAGGAAATGTATGAGTATTCTGATTTGAGTTGTTCTTCGCTAGGAGTAAATCGAGTCCATCTCAAGCATTGCTGAGGGACATTTTTGCCTCATTGTGTGAGCCCCCAACCTCCGGGGCGTGTTCCGCGAACCGAGTCTACATTTTATCTCATCCCAGACTCGTAGAAACTGTCTCTTTTCCTAGTTGAGGTGGTCAAGAACAAAGTATTTGGGGGTATCACAAGTAGCACAAGCAGTGTCCAGAACTGTGCCTTTAGTTTTCGCCTGGCCGAGGCCCATTTTTCTCCCAGGCTCAACCTCGAGTTTGGCAATTGCGAGTCGGGACAGGGATCGTTTGCTGGGTAGTTAACCATGTCTTCCTCCAGACCAGTATCGAGTTCAGTGTCGGCTCTGCATAACCTTTGCGCCATGTTTTCGAATCACATCTTCCATAATCTTCCGCACCTGCTTACAACCATCTACAGCTGTGGCGAGCATGCTCTCAACTTTTGCATTTGAGCCCCCAATGGCCACACGAGATTCCATGATCAGAACCGAAACTTTGTCTTCTTCGCCTTGTTGACCGGCAACGGTCGCTAGAGATAGGAAAGGTAGTTCTAGTTCTTCGGCGTTGTTCAGATCGAGCAGAGGTTCGGGCTTCAGAGACGATTCGTCGGGTGAGGTGATGTTCCCACTGGAGATGGCAGCCAAGATGGAGGGCATGGGAATGCCTGCATCAACTAGAGCAAGGCTGGCAGCATTCAGACAGGCGACTAGTAATGCGCCATCGAGGCTCAAAACATGAAGAGATATGGAGATAGCGGATCGAGGGTAGAGATGTGTGAAAAGGTGGCTTTGAAAGGCATGGGAAATCGTGGTCTGAAGTTCTTGTACTCGCTTGTCAAGGCGACTTCGTTTCCGGCGATCCATTTGTGCAAATGCTGCGACGTTCAATTCTGTTTCGATAATGGCATTATTGTTGTCTCGTTGACCTCGACTGGTAGAAGGTTAGCGCGTGCGAAATCGTTGGAGGAGGATTTGAGCTGACCCTTCTCTCGGACCGGTGACAGTACAGAGAACCATGGTATTTCCCATGGTGAGCAGACTGCTGCCATCGCTAGACGGTTGGGTAGAAATGGAGGCAGTAAACCGGCGCACTTCGTTCCAACGTCGACCATCCTGCCTGAGCAAGGTCTGTGAGTATGTAGAGAGGGTGTCTAGAGGCATGTTGAGGAGAGGGGCGGTAGGAGGGTGGGCAGGAGACCAGAAGAGTATGTTACGACGCTAAAGCCATCGTCTCAGTATAAGGTTGACTGTTTGAGTGCGCAGCGATCGAAGATGAGGCTGGTTGAGAGAGTATTTGCGCAGTTGGTCGTTTCGTATATGATATTTGAAGATCAGTCCCGTGCTTTGGCGGAATTTTCGTGTTGGAGAAATTTGGAGGGGAAGGCGCGCAGGACGTCATTCCAGTCGCGACTGCCGCGAGCATGAATGGTGACTCCCCGCGTTCCTTCCTCAATGCAATCCACATCCAATGTTCCTTTATTGTTGCCTGAAATGTATCTTTGGAACTCATGATACGATCGCAGTCTACATATTAACAGCAATGACTTGGGATCTCGTCGGCACATCACCGTCCCATTGTTCCTCCAGTCTTCTAAACTTCCTCCAGTCTTCTTCTAAAGACTGGGACTTCAAGCTGATCGTGTCATGGCCTCATCCGAAAGCGAAGATGATGAGGATGATCTTGACCTTGATCCTCCCAACCCGCAGCCTCGTGCCCGTGCCCGTGCCAAATCGCCCCCGTTGAAAATAATGCGACGCAGCTCAACTCCTGAAGTTCTGGACCTGACCTTATCTCCTCCGACCGCTGCCTACTCGTCTGATGCATCAACATCTGCCCCTATCAAACGACGGAACAAGCGCAAAGCCTCCCCGCCTGGGCCTCAGCGTCTAGACTGGGATGATGATGGCATTGATGGAGAAGATGATTTCGAGAAATATGAAACATTCAAAGCTGGTGCTCGGAAACGAGCCCAGCAATCGGCTATAAGAGCACGAAAGCTCGATCAAAAGAATAATCCTCCTCCCCGGTCGAGAACGGCCGGCGCCACCACTGGTGTCGGCCGCCAGTCCAATCGCCAAAAACGCAGCAAGCTACGTGAGTATGGGGATGAGTCTAACCCCGACGAAGATTTAATGGAATGGACCACACCGGCGTATTTTCGAGATCGGAGAGCTCGCTTTGACTCAAGAACGGAGAAATTGAAACAAGGCGGTCTATTGTTACCGCCATCCTACAGTGACATTGAATTTTCCGATGATGAAAACCTCCAGGCTTTGGCAGAAAGGCCCGACTTTCCTCCGTCCACTGCGACCAATGAGTACAAGAACATTGAATTACCATACTCTTTGGGACTCATTCCCGCCTCCATTGCCCAATTTCTCCGAGGCTACCAGATTGCAGGTACTTCATTCCTTCATGAACTGTTCGTCTATCAGAAAGGTGGCATTCTAGGCGATGACATGGGCTTAGGCAAGACAGTTCAAGTGATTGCATTCTTGACTGCGGCCTATGGCAAGACCGGCGATGAAAGAGACCACAAAAGAATGAGAAAAATGCGCAAAGCGCAAAAGTGGTATCCGAGAACTTTGATTATTTGTCCAGGTACTCTAATGGAGAATTGGAGAGATGAATTCCGTCGTTGGGGCTGGTGGCATACTGACCTCTACCACGGAGGTGTGCGCCAAAGAAGTGAAGTTTTCGAAATAGCCCGAGCCGGTATGCTTGAGGTCATGATCACCACCTACCATACATATCGAGCCAATATCAACGAAATCAACATGATTCAATGGGATTGTGTGATTGCGGACGAATGCCACACCGTCAAAGAAAGACGATCGGACACCAGCAAAGCCATGAACGATCTTAATGCATTGTGCCGGATTGGCTTAACCGGAACTGCGATACAAAACAAGTATGAAGAGCTCTGGACGCTTCTCAACTGGACTAATCCAGGCAAACTGGGTCCGATTTCCACTTGGAAGACATCTGTGTGTGAGCCCCTGAAGCTAGGTCAGAGTCACGATGCCACCAACTATCAACTGGCCCGGGCAAGAAAGACAGCCAAACTGCTCAGGGACAATCTTCTACCACAGTTCTTCTTGAGAAGAACCAAGGAAATCATCAAACATCAGCTGCCCAAGAAATCTGATCGAGTCGTCTTTTGCCCTCTGACTCCCACCCAAGCGGAAGCATATCAGAATTATCTCGATAGCGAGGTGGTTGACTATATCAAGAACAATAATGATCCCTGTATGTGCGGGTCGGGCAAGAAGGCTGGGTGGTGCTGTCGTGTCCTTCTCTCTGACGGGACACCATGGCAGTCGATGGTATTTCCTGCAATGGCGAATCTTCACCACCTGTCAAATCATCTCGCCCTCTTGATCCCTCAAAGCAGTGACAACAACGACAAGCAAGCAAAGGACCTAGAGGTGCTCCAAATAATCATGCCTGGGCGGTGGAAAGAGATCTATCGGAACCGAGATAGCATCATGCATACTGGAAATCCCGAGTTCTGCGGCAAATGGCGAGTGCTGAGAAAATTACTCAGCTTTTGGCATGATCAAGGCGAGAACAAGGTGTTGATCTTTTCTCATAGTGTTCGGCTGCTGAAAATGCTCCAGAACCTCTTCATCAGTACGAAATACAATGTCAAATATCTCGACGGGAGTATGCAGTACGAAGAACGATACGCTGCCGTTCAGGAGTTCAACACCGACTCAACACAATTTGTGTTCTTGATCAGTACAAAAGCTGGGGGGGTGGGATTGAACATCACGTCAGCTAACAAGGTTGTAGTGGTCGATCCGAACTGGAATCCCAGCTATGATCTTCAGGCCCAGGATCGTGCATATCGGATTGGACAGACTCGAGATGTAGAGGTATTCCGACTGATCAGCCAAGGAACACTAGAGGAAATCATATATGCCCGACAGATCTACAAGCAGCAGCAAGCCAACATCGGCTACAGTGCTACCACAGAGCGACGGTACTTTCAAGGCGTTCAAGGGCGAAAGGATCAGAAAGGAGAAATATTTGGGCTCAAAAATATGTTTGCGTACCAGAACGAGCACACAGTGCTTCGTGACATTGTCAACAAAACAAACATTGCCGAGTCTCGAGCAGACATCAAAGTCGCACTCCTTGAACTCGATGGAGAGGAGGCAGATTCCAATCAAGTCAAGGATGAAGACGACATCACCAACAGGATCAAACGGGAACCAGAAACCGAAAACGCAGCCATGTCACAGCTTGCCGCAGAAATTACCGGCGAGGCTGATAAGGTCCGTACACGGAGTAAGACTCCGTTTCGACACGATGGAAAGGTGGCAGGGAAACACGATCCCGTCCAAGCGATCCTATCGAGTGCTGGGGTGTCCTACACCCACGAGAACAGTGAGGTGGTAGGGCCGAGCAAGGTCGAAGCTCTGCTTTCCAAACGTGCTGAAGAATATGCCGAGGGGCGGTATGATGGCGGGACACAAGAACAGCTCTCCAAAGTCTTTGAGGATGATTCACACGGACATGACCAGCTTGAAGCTTATACCCATTCAGGGGAGTTTAGTGGCATTACAACTCCCGGTGGCGAGATTCGATACAAGTACCGACCCCCAGAAGCCGTGATGAAGAGACAATTCTGTAGTATGGCAGATTGGGCAGGGTATGGAGACGATGTCGTGGCATTTGCTCTGGTCGTTGAGAGCTGGACCCAGGCGCAGAGGAGAGAGTGTCTTGAGCGGTTCTATCGTTTCAGACGCGATGTTCTGGAGGAACTTGCTGTGGGTGGCGCAGAGGTGGCCGCTCCAAGAGTGTCGTCAAGCGACATTAAATCAGAACCCCAATCACGGATCAAATCAGAGTGGAAATCTGAGGGCGAGGACGTCAAAAAGTTCAAGGCTGAGACACATGCTGCGTCAAGCCCTGAGGTCAAGACGGAAGTAAAGGTGGAGGACACTAAATTAGTTGTGAAGAACGAGAGTGATGTGGAAACGGTGAGCGAGGATGAGGATGACGAACTATGAATCCAAGAAGTCATCGCTGTAGCCCATCAGACCTCATGATTAAGGCGTAAAGAAGTTATCATATTTCACAAAACATTGCCTACTATTTGTGTGAATTGTCTTTGGTGGTTTCGATTTGATTTCATTCGAATCCAATGATGCAGGTATTTGCTTCGTGCTGCACCGTAATATATATCTACGGTGGGCTGAAAATCCCAAGAAATGCAATGAAGTCATGGAGAGAAAGGACTATGTATGTACTTACTCCCATGGACAACTTTTTCTCCACCAACAGCAGCCCTTCATTCCATATTTCGTTGAGTAGAATGCTGCAGTTCTTACCACTGATCTACACGCCCTAATCGTGACGATATCAATCATTCTCACAGACGGCTGAACATAATTGCGTGGTTGTATTAGCACAACCCACGACTCTACCATGCGACCTCCATCAATCGAACTCCTCCGCGCTCTACGAGCCGCCACTTCATCATTTCCCGTGTCGTCACGAACAGCCGTTGGGCGCCGCCTCGCATCATCATTATCGCCACTACAGAGCCCGCGCGCATTCTCGGCTCGAGGCCTGGCGACAAGCTCCCGACAGAATGCGACCACACCCAAGGGCGCAGTGCGGAATCGGGCGCCCAAAACCCACGATCGAGGGCCCATGTCGAACGAGGAGACGCAGACCGACTTCTCCAAGATGGACATCCTGGCCAGTGCCGGGGCTCAGACTCCAGCCACCAATATCGACGCTTGTACCGCGGGCGGCTTTCACTTGAACAACGGGACCATCACCACCGGCGGGCTCGGTCTGTTGTTGCTTGACGGCGAGGCTTTTGTCTGGACACCCTGGCGGACGGGTGAAGGGTCAGGAGCAAGAAAAGGAGGTCAGCAACAAAGTCATCAGAAAGGAGGAGAAGGAGGTTTCAGGAATTTTCTGAATGCAAGAGGCGTTCTAGACATCCCCACCTCCAGCCTCGGAGTGCTTGAACTGGTACACCCCAAGCCGGATCTGTTGATCGTTGGCACCGGCAGGAAATTGTACATGCTCAGTCCTTCCACAAGAAAGTACATCTATGAGACCCTGGGCATCCGCGTCGATGTCATGGATACGGCCAATGCCGCTGCCTCGTACAACTTGCTGGCCACCGAGAGGGGAGTCCAAATGGTGGCAGCCTTGTTGATTCCGGACGGCTTTGGGGGGAAATGAAATAAGCTCTATGGAAGAAAGATTTAGCCGTAAATGCCAGCCAGCGCCGTGCCGGCCCTGAATGGTACCAAGTCTAATAGTCTAACCCTAATGACTCTACTCTAGAGGCCTCCCTTTACATAACGCCGATCTGGGTATCTCCGGAAAAAAAAACCACGGTCGTCCATCATCTTCAGTAGCTTGTCTAGCAAATGATGCAAGCATGGATCATAATGATTCCTTTTCTTCTGCCACATCTTCATGCTCATCCAGCATGTGGAAGCTGTACATAATAGTCGAAATCTTCCCAGTCTTCTATCTCTCGAAAAGAGCCTCCCCACGCCACAAAGAGGTTCCGCAGTAATGGGTGAGATGATAAATTTGTATGCTCTTTGTCAATCATGGCCGACAGCGGGCCCTCGCTTGGGGAGGCGATGTAGTCTGAGGCCGGTGGTATGCAAGGCGAAACAGAGTATGGCGACGATGGATCGTGTGCGAGATTAGGTCGGAGCAAGTCGGCGGTGGAATGTTCCGTATAAGAGCGTCCGATCATGTGAGCCAGGATTGACTCGATGATACCACGCATGTGGGTGTTGCGGCGAGACCAGTTCATGGCTTGAGGCATGAGTTTGGGTGGAAGGGGTTTGGCATGGCCAAAGGATGATGTAAATGCGTAGGAAATGTCCCCAAGAGTCTTGCGATTGGTAATCCGAGAGGTGATCAGGGCACGAAGTCGGTCGACTAAAAACAGACCGTACTGTTGGATGACAGGATCCTTGATGGGGAGCGAGCTTGGATCAAGAGTGAACAGATGGGCGAATGGAGCATAGCCGTAGAAGTTTTGGAAAGTTGTCGTGCCCCCTTGCTCATGGTCGTGTTCGAGCGGATGGCTTGGGAATGAGGCCATATCCTGAGCTGCGGCGATGCTGAATAGATGGGGAGCGATCTTGAATGGTTGGTCTTCTGGCCAATAGTAGTAATCAAGTGCAAGCCAATCCCACAAAGAGCGTGCATCATCTGGATTTGACATGTTGGTCATCTGCAATTGGTCTTGCAAAGACGCGAAGGGGTCCGTCAAGCGACTCCAGAAACACCGATTGCCCAGTAAATGCCAGATCAGGTCCCGGAAGGGAGTATCTTCGCAGTGAGACGGAAAAGAAATCTGACCGTCTATGCAAATGACGCCACAGAAGCGCCACTGCCACAGCTGTGTCCTGGGGTCATGGTGTGAGGAGGTGTCGAAATCGGATAGGTCAAAGTCGGTTGCAGAATCAAAGCCTGCGTCGTTGTCAAGATCCATGATATCTAGGGATGAAGGGTCCGATGACAGGAGCTGATTAAGGTGCGTTTTAGGATCACGAGCGATGGTTATCGCAAAGTCAGTGGCTTGCAAAGGGACGAAAGAAATTGCAGAAGTATTCCTGTGGTTCCGCAGACTCTGATATCGTGATCGTAGATGGTCATGGTGAACAGTGTTGGAATCAAGGCTACCTGTTTCTATGGTGAGTCTCGAGGAAGCATCCAGCTCAGCGGCGGAATGAAATAGCATAGAGAACGACTTGATCCATGCAGCGGTGCACCATCGACTTCTCAGAACTGCCTTTGTCATCGAACGATACTCCCAAGACGGTATAGGATGGTGAATGGTGGAGAGGTGTCGGTCCAAGTCAAGGATTCGAGAGACATGTTGGAATTGGTGATTGTAGAAGCTGATCAGATATGCAATGCGAAACAGGGATTGACTGTGAGAGAGTCTGGCCGCAACTCTGGGTGCCGCAAGAAGGAGATTTCCATTACAGCAGGAGAGGAAGATATTTTCGAGGAGTTCAGTTGGGAGCGTTTCTAACTGGCTCAAGCGAGGACTGGGGATACTTCGACGACGTTTGTGTAGGCTAAGGCTGTCATCCGAATAGTCAGAGGTTAGGCGATTGGCATGTAGGCGCTTCATGGTCGATGTCGACAATCTGGCGGTGATTTTGGGATGCAAACTAGAACGACAGGTAAGCCTCGAAGTGGAGGATGAAATATTTGAAGCCCCCTACACTGAATAGACTCGGTATGTATCGGGTCGGCGGATGGAGAGCAGATCATCCCTGCCTAGATAAGAAAGAGATGACAGATTGGGACCCTTGCGGTGCCTTTGTGAAGATGATTGGGGAACTCAGGGGCCCCCTCGGCCGGAATGGGGCCATGGGGCTCAGCTTGTAGAATTTGAGTGGTGGTCTAGACTTCAGGGTCTACAGGGTTGAGGAGGAGAGGCAGAGAAGAAGAGGAACCGGAGTTTGGAAGTTGGAGTTGGTTGGGGGAGAGAGTCAAGGTTATATCACGTGTTGTGGAAATCATCCTATGGAGGATGTCACGGCAGGTGCAACCCAAGTTCAGGTCCCATCAAATCAAAATCGGCAGGTCCGGGGGGATCAGCATGCGCTGGCAATTTTCATGCACTGCATGAGACGACATACGAGATGGCGTCGACTTCATGCACGCCGACGAGGTGTTGCAATAATACAGAGGCAGGGCAGGCTGTCCATCTATCCTCCAGTCAGCTCTGATTCTCCTTTAGTGCCAGACGATTCGGCCCCCACGCAATTCCCCTCCGAGTTGTACAGAAGAAGCTGGGTTGCCATGCTTGAAAAGCTCCTCCCTCACTTGCTTTTAACCCGCCACGCTCTCGATCCATGTTGGCTCACGCCTAACGTGCGTGGCAGAGCCTCGTGGCTATAGGCATTCTCCCTACGGGCACATAAGCACTAGCATGGAGGATGATCGTGGTTTCCTCCTGGACATTGATGCCTCTATCACCGATGTTTACAGTAAATTGGAGTCCGGAGAACTTCGAGTTCTCCTCTTGGCCCCCGGGCAGAAAGGGACACCTATCCAGTGTAAGATAGATGTCATCTTCAGTTCGAAGAGTGTGCAGTTTGAAGCACTCAGTTATGTCTGGGGCGATACTAAAAAGTCCCACGCCATTTCCTGCAACGGTTTCGACTTTGCCGTCACCGAGTCCCTCCATACTGCGTTACAACACCTGAGATATCCAGATTCCTCGCGAAGATTGTGGGTCGATCAATTGTGCATCAACCAAGATCGTGATGATGAAACAAGGGTCCAAGTAGCCCAAATGGGGACAATATATTCTTCCGCAACCAGAGTCGTCGTGTGGTTAGGCCAATGCAACCGGAAGATGTCTGTGGCTTGGGAACTCCTGCAGCAAACCTCGCTCAGCTCTAGCCTTGCTCGATCCGATTTCTTGTCTTCATCCTCGACTTCCTCCACCTCCACCTCCACCTCCACCAAACCTCCCAGAAGCCCCCGGCGTCAAAGCAGCAGCTCTTCAATCTCAAAACATTCTAGCCGTGCCTCTAGATTCCGGTCATCCAATTCCCGAGAGCCATTATCTTCCTCCGTATCCAGTGCCAACAACGTTACCCCAACAAGGCCCAAGAGTCAACGTCAAGACACTCCTCCGAGCTTGAAATCAGCTTTGCTAATCTTCCAACATACCTGGTTCGGGCGAAAATGGACCTTTCAGGAAATCATCTTAGCCAAAGCAGCCATTATCTGCTGTGGTGACCTTGAGATGGCCTGGAGCGATCTGACCTCTTGGTATTTCCACTACGCTTCCAAGTTGAGAGGATATAGTCTCCTGTATGATTCGCATGGGTCTTTTGAAACCGTCATGAATGTCCGCAACGAGATCGGCAAGGGCAACTTGACCCTCAGCAACCTTTTAATGCTTACCAGACCGAGGTCGAGCTTGAAAGCAGAAGATGCTATTTATGCCTTGTTGGGCCTGCTTCCCGATTTCGCGCAGTACCTCACCAAGAATCAAAATCCACTCGCCGTAAGAGATTCTCGATCTTCCCAGGCCGATGCCCTTTTCGATCTCTATTTGCAGGCCTTTAGGTATTGTCTGGAAAAGGAAAACGCCTTGACTGTTCTCAGTGCGGCCGGCAAGTATAAGGGCAACGTGGAAATGCTTGATTGGCCATCTTGGCTGCCTGACTGGCGCCAGCAACTTCCATTACGACCTCTGATCTTGTCAGATTCAACAGTCCTGGGACCAGAATCGTCTTTCGACGATGAAACTTTCGGGACTGGTATCAGCAACTGCAATCACAAGGAAGAAAGCCCAGTCTACATGCTCAAGGCGGGTTCTGATACTCCTCTACCTTATTCCAACCAAGAATACACCATGACTGTAAGGGGCATTCGTCTTGGATGTCTCGCCGTCCGTCCTGGAACATGGCCTAGCATATTCTTGATCCCGGAGCGACTCGCATCGAGCCACATCCAATCGCCAAACGCAGCCCCTGGAGGACAGAAGTACTCCAGATCCATCAATGAATTAATTCCATTCCCTCTCCCTCAACCTCAGCCGTCACCTCAACAAAATACCTCCTCGTACGCAGAGAAGCTATTCCAGAAGTGTCTGAAACTCAAGGCAACTTGTGAACCCGTCCGTACTGCTACAATGGTGCAAAATGGAGACTGGCTATGTGCTTTCCTAGGTGGGAAAGTCCTTTATGCTGTGCGGCCTCTTGCCGAGGCTGCCTCACCTCGTCTAAGCCTGCGAGATCGAAGCCGGGCTAAGATGAAGCAGAATCGTAGGAAGCTACGAATGCCTGACGTAAGCTCTCCGTCCAAGGCGGAAATATCTCTCCGCTGCACATTCATTGGGGAATGTGCCATGAATGGCCTATACCCCAGCGATGTGCTCGACAAGAACCCGGAACACATTCTGGAGTTTGAGCTTGTTTGAACGTCGTTGAGAAATGGTTGGGTCGTCTATTTCTCACGTGACCACGAGGCCGCTGAAATTCCGGCCAATTCGCCAATCAGCTTCAAGGAGCGCAAGGCTTTCCGGCCAGGCGAATCACAAATGTCCATGCTCAGGTTTGGATGCGTATCGAATTCCGGCCTCAGTGGCATTCAATTACTCAATAATAAAAGCCTGAAAGAGGGGTGGCTGGTGGGCTTCTCCTTCCGACGCATTTTCGACCATGCAACCCACTCGGTTGCTGCAAACCCGTTACATGATGCGCCAGCCTCTTAGATCTTCCCTCGATGGTACCCCTCGATGGTACGACGGGGACACTATATCCAAAAGATGAAATTTATTCTGGACGGAACGTCAAGATTGAAGTATATCAACTTCTCACTGTGGAAATCAATGCAACAGCACAAGAAACCCAGGAGTTGAGTGAGTAATTCACAAACAATATCCCAACAACTCTCGCCAAGACAAGGCTGCATCCCCTTTACTACTGCTGCACAAACCATCCAGACACAGGCACCTCCTCAGCCAGACTCGCCATATCTTTCCTGATGTTGCAGGGATGAGAGGTTGTTGTTCCAAGAACTTGCGGTGTGTCGAGAATTGACGGTCTTCTCCTATCGACTCGAACTTTGTCTTGTAGTGTTGTGGCCGGAATTAAAACCGGCCACGTTGATATATACAACAGATGCCCTCGAAGTTCGACCCAGATCAACCCCAGACCTGGACCAAACCAAACCTACACTTGGTACACTTTTCTTAACCTACCAATACCAAGTTGCCTCTATCCTCCCTTCACTTTGGCCATTTGAATACTTCCTAATCATAATCATGTCATACTTGGCGGACTCCCCGCCTCTTCCTCCGCTCTCCACCCTTTTCCCTCACTTACACTCGGATGCGTCTACGCTTCCTGCGTCATCTGATCCTTTCACCATTACTACCAAGACTGGCTTCCTCCCGTGTCGGCCTCCAATGCTCCGATTGCCCGAGGCATTTGACGTGCTCACGGAGATTGTGCAAGACATGTCCATCGTCAAACATGACGGTTCTCCCGGGCTACTCGCCACGTTTAGCCTGGGACCACTCATTGATGGGGGCAAATTGCCCGACTTGACGTCTCACATGGATCAACTGCGTACCGACAGCGGAAGCCTAGATCTCGAATCAATCACTGCCGTGTTTCGGGACTACAGCTTTCTCGCTAGTGCCTATGTACTCGAGCCCTGCTGGGAATCATGGTCCAAGAACCATGATGCTGGGTATGGGTTGGGACGAGCTCTTCTACCTCGATGCATTGCTGCTCCCCTCGTCAGGGCGGCCGACATGTAAGTACTTCCTGGTTATGAGTGCGGGGATAGTGGATAACGGGAGAACAGCCTAGATATCCCTCCTTTCATGTCATACGCGGCCTCATACGCCCTTTACAACTATAGCATGGTGTCGCCCGAGGTAGGACCTAGCGTGTACGAGAACTTGAGACTGATCCGCGCCTTTGAGCGTGGCCTCGACCCAAAGAGCTCCGAGGCTGGCTTCATCCTCACTCATGTCCACATGGTCCAAGAGACTGGGCCATTGATCGAGGGGGCAACCTCGTTGCTCGCGACAATTGAAAACAATCCAACAGACATTGTCTCGGCCGTTTCTGCATTCCACACCATGTTAGATGCGATGAAAGCCATCGAAGCCCACATGGAGCAGATGTGGACACACTCGCTCCCCAAGGATTACATCTCATACCGGACCTTCATCTTCGGCATCACCAATCAATCCATGTTTCCCAACGGTGTCATTTATGAAGGCACTCGCTATGGCGACACCAAGCCGTTGTATTTCCGTGGCGAATCAGGCGCCAACGACAGTATCATTCCACTTTTAGATCATCTCCTCGAAGTTCCCATGCCCAACAACCCTCTCACCGAGATCTTGCGAGACTTCCGCTCCTACCGGCCCAAGCCACACCGTGACTTTCTGGCTTGGGTCATGAGTAAGTCTGCCGAGATTGGCGTCCGACAGTACTGCTCTCACCCAACTGGACAAAGTGCGGCAGAGAATCTAGTATTGCCCACGCTGTACCTGAAGCTGCTCGAGCATGTGCGCAGTTTCCGGTGGCGTCACTGGCTCTTTGCGCGCGAATACATCATCAAACGGTCGACGCACCCGACCGCCACGGGTGGCAGCCCTATTGTGACGTGGTTACCCAATCAATTGTTCGCCGTCATGGATCTTATGGAGAGGGTGTATCAGGAGAGTGGGTTGAAGAGTGTGGCAGAGTCGAGTGGAGGAATTGCCGGGGAGGTGAACGTTGTCAAGGATATCATGGACAATGTCAGCGATGCACGGGACAAGCTGGATAAGGAGGTTCGAAAGTACTGCGCTGAGAGAGGGGCGTAGGTTCAAGAGCTCGTTTGGCACTGTATCTCACATCGAATCCTGTTGGTGCTCCTTAAGCCTTGTTTATGACTGTGAATGGTTGAGTCCATGGGATAAGATAAACTGTGCTCATTGGATAAGTGATTCCTCGCACTAAGGATGCAAAGTAGGAGAAGGACGGCCTGCAAATGGTATTCGATTGAGTTATTATACCCAGCGAAATGGTTGTATCTTGTGGAAATGATGAGGAAGATAGGTGCCTGCGCAAGTTTCGCACCTGCCACGCTTGTTGTAGAAGGAAGGAGCACGTCTCGGCATTGGCACACAGGGAAAGAGACAGAAGAGACAGAAGATAGATTGTGTAAGATAGTGTCTGAGCTAGGTCATATCAATCCAACACCTTTGTTTCTCTTCTCACCTATCTCACTCATTTGTCTCATCCCATGACAGCTCTTTGACCTCCTTTCGCCTTCAGAATTGATTGCGTGTTCAAGTGCACAAAGACACCCACCTGCCCGTCCCAGAACTGCGATTTGACTGAACATCAAGTCTCTATCTACACACCTCTCTCATTATTCCTCGTTCGCCATGCCGACCTTTTGGATCTCGATCCCGCCAGGCCGTTTTGTTGAAGCCGAATCCCATGCCCCCTCAGATGCACTTGTTATCGTCATCACGATTCAACACTCCATCTCTCCCTATCATTTTCCAACACCTGGACCTCAGCTTCTGTGTCCTGATTCTAGGAGGCCAGACCCCAGATGAAAGACATTAGCACACTCGATTTCTTGAACACTTCGACATTTGGTCGTCACAGCCTTGCAGAAGAACAAGAAAAAGCAGAGTGAGCTTTCAGCAAACCAATGGGAGATTCGAGGTGAGTCGGATACTTCGACACACACTTCCCATAGCTTTGCGGAAATCTATAATTTGCAATCATAATTCAAGCCAAGGCACTGCTAGAAATCTAGAAAGCTATTCACCAGCAAAGAGCAAGACACGTTGTTCACAACATCCATCTGCTTCAATACTCAGCATCCGCAGGCAAGCAGATCAAAGTCATCGGTCACACTATTGGCTATTTGAGGGAGTGTGCTCCAAGCTCATACCAACTGCAGGCTCATGATCCATTGATCAATTGCTGTCTACTGTACCAGTTTCGACCAGACAAAAAAAGAAGTACTTGTATACACTCGAGGTTGGAATAAAGAGCCGGGGCGTTGAGGCACTAGTTTTGACTTTACGGATCGCGAGTGCTCAGTCGCGACGGTCTAACTGTTTTGGGCTGGGGGCGGCTGGCGCCAGCGGCTTCATCGTCTTGAAAGGTTAATCGTTCCAGGTTTCTCGATGCTTGTCCGACGTCAACTCCTATGTCGTACACCCTCCGAGTCCTTAAGTTCCCCAACCACCACACTTCAATACCCTCTTCTCAGTTCAGAAGCATCTTGAAAATGGGCTCATCACTCGTTTAACCACCGATCTTATTTCCCACTCAGCCCATTCTTGACTTCTGTCCCTCCCAGTTGCTGCAATATGCCTTCGATCTTGTCCCGCTTCTCTCGCTCAAACTCTGTTCGCAGCGAGCAGAACGACCGCGGCGAACGAAATGACCGTAGCTCACGATACGCGGCAAATGAGGGCAAGGTATCGCTTCCGCCTAACTCATATACGCCGCCTCTTGGTCATGCGCCCATGATGGCAAATAGTCAGACTGGCTCTCAGCACAATTCCCGGCCTGTCTCCTCGCAGACGTCCTCTTCGTTTGATTTTGCCAATCGCCCACCTGTGAAAGAGCAAATGACCGCGTTGCCAGCACATAATGTTGCCAACACCAACCATGCCCACCATACGAGGCATCCCATCAGCGAACCTAGTGGTTCCGAAATCTCTGAACTCAGCCGGCTTTCTCGCACTGATCAGATCGTCTTTCGCCACTTCTGGGAAGCCAAGTATGAGGAGAACAAGCTCAGAGATTTGCACTTTGTTAGTCTCCCTTGAATCCCCTTCCACTCGGAGTATTGGATAACTCATCCTCCCCTTTCACAGCTCAAATTCCCCCTCTTCAGTATGCAACCAACCCATCAAGATCTCCAACCATATTGCGAGATCTATCATCTAGTCAAGACTGCTCCTGGTGCCAAAATCCTCAGTCTAGGCACTGCCAGTGGCGTTTACATTGGGTACGTACCAATATTTCATCAAATCTTCCTCTTCCACCATGACCAGCGAACCTACCTTCTCACTTCTGCTCAGATTCGAACTCTTTTCTGGTTCCCGGTTGCACATCGAGATGGACGATGCATGGCACAACATCACCCACCACCGGATCCACTTCAAGACGTACCAAGACATCATCAAGGACCATGCCGCCTTTGCTGTCATCGCTCGGTGGCCAAAGCCACTCACGATTGAGTTTCTCGAGGACAAGTACCAGCATTGGGTCATGGACTGGACCAGTTTTTGTTGGGATACTACAGAAGTCAGCGAGCTTGGCGCCACTCAGGATGACTATGACAACGGGGCCCATATGCAAGACTCGCTTCCTTTTGATCATTTGGAAAAGTGAACCTATTGGCACCGACCCTCAATTTTTCTTTCACCAACTTTTCTCATTTCGGCTGTGGCGTTTGGGGAGAATGAGAATCAGACCTTCAGGCGGAGATTTCATTGGGGCATGATTGGAAACAAAAAGGACCGATACACTGAGGAATAGATACAACTACACTACTAGCTAATGTGACAATGAGCCGAATTACGAGCACGATAATGGCAACTGCATCGTTGTCCACATACGAAAGTGATTGCCACCAGAGACATAAAGACTGGCTAGGGAGAATGGTGGGAGAAGATGATCAAATCTGCTTCTGCACAAAGGAGTACTGCTCCGGTCGGTTCTGAGCTATCTCTACAGTCCACAGATTGTTCCCAAACCCAATGATCCATGATGGGTATCGTGGCTCGTCTGAACGCGTGCAAGCGTAAACATGCAGACTCGAAACTACCATCCTTCTCACATCCCTATTTCTCCATCAAGCGACCATCAATCGCTCATGCGCAGAAAACCAAAGCAGAGTACCCTCAGTGACAAGAGACTAGTTCATCGCATCTTAACGTCTCGACTCCCTGTCCAACGCTCGTAAACCATCACAGCTCTCAAAAGTCGTTAAATCGTTGATCTCGTCACAAATCCGCTTGCCATGGGCATCCCCTTGCCGAAAAACAATCACTCTCACACAGTGAGTGCATCATCCCTGTGCTCTCAGAGAATTGATAGCTTTGCTCACTTCTTCACCCGCAACTTTCTCCCACTGGGCCTTGCCATCTCCGTCCAACGCTCCAGAGTCACCAATCTTATCGTACAACATTCGCGAAATTTCACGGTTAATATTCGTGTATTCATCCTTTGTAATAGTTTGTTCATTATAGTGTGGCTTCAGCGCAGTCGCAACAAGCTTTTGCACATCGGCTTTGGCGTTGAGAGACATGGTCGCCCGTGTTGGTGATGACTCGGCAGCTGTCGGTTTGATTGGAATGACTTCGTTCGTCACAGGTGGGTTGAGAATTGGAGGGATCCGGCTGCGTGGCTTTGGCTGAGCCAATGGAGTACTAGAAGAATTCGACGCGTTGGGCCGCCGATCTGCGGTTCTAGACCCGTTGATACCAGGAGAAACAGGCCGATATGGTGGATCCGTCGAGGGAAATACGGGTTGAATACTTGAAGTCAGGCCAGCGGGAGAGCTGGGTCTCAATGTGGTAGGTGGAGGGGTGGCCGATGTGGCACGAGGAGACGAATGGGTTGAAGGAAGTGGTGAAACGGCAGGGGAAGACGGTCGTGGAGAGACCTGTTCCGCAGCAGGGCTGCCAGCAGGACGAGGAGAGGGTCTGTGGAGGTTGGAATGAGAACTCGTACTCGAGTCTTCGACTTCTTGCAATAGCGACTGGAGGAAGCTCGGAGCAGCTGACTCAACCGCAGGCTGTCTTCTAGGGATTGGACTTGCGAGGCGCGGGCCCATTGCGGGCAATGTGCGGCCTGCAATGGGCGAGCTTCGTTCAGGTGTTGTGCGAGTAGATTGGCTAATCCTCCTCCGCTTGATGGTAGGAGCAGCCGGCTCCTCGGTCGCTGCTGGAGAGGATGTGCGAGATTTCCTTTTCTTCTTGCGTGAGGAACCTGGTTCGCTCGATGGGCCACGTGTTGCCTGCTCAAAGGCGTGCCATGCCATGAGCTCATCAGCGTCCTCTGTTGGCGCAATAGGAGAAGCTCGAACAGGACCTCTGGGAATAGAGTGTGCTGCAGGGCTGCTAGGAAGAGCTGGCTCTGTTTCTCTAAAACGACTCCCAGCGCCATGCAATTCTGCAACCTGCATCCGACGCAGCCATGCATCGTGTGCTTGTCTGTTTGCTTGGTTGTGCTCTCGGTGTCGTCTGAAATACGTGGCAGAATCATCCTCCTCATATGGGAAGTCGAGATCGAGGTTGATGCGAGACCAAACATTTTGCCAGATTTGGTTCCAACTGAGATCATGGACAGTTTGAGACGTGCGTTGCCTTCGCTGCTGACCTCGGGTACGACGACGTGTCGCGCGACGAGGTCTTGTAACGCCCTGTCGAGGATCAACGTCACGCTGCGCCCTGCAGTTGTCACAAAACCAGTGTCCGTACGGCACCTCTTGGAGGTCAACGCAATAAGTATGCCACAACTTTTGACATCCATCGCAGTACATCAGTACATCTTCGTTATCGTCTTCACCGCAAGCCTGACAGGGTTGATCTTCGTCCTCTTCGTCTGGTAGCTCGAGAAACATAGAAGGGTCTATATCGGCAACCTGGGTTTTGTCCTCGACTTTGTAGGTAGAGATGACTTCGCCTAGAGTCCGTTAGTAATCTGAAGTAGAAATGAGTCAGACAGGACTTGCCGTTGATCGTGTGCATTAGGTCAACTGAGTGAAAGCTGGCTCGGCATATTGGACAACTATTTGCCCTCTCGACCCAGGGGGTGAGGCACTCATTGTGCAGATGGTGACCGCAAGGCCGGAGATGTGCAATACGATTGTCAGAAGCGCCATCTTCAGGCTGTAAATGCGAGATATTTGGCTTTACTTCGTCAAGTTCGACCTTGATGGCGGAGGCGCTGGGTTCAGACTGCGGAGACTTGGCAAGGGTGGTGGACAGAGCTGAAACTTCACCATTCCCACCGCTCAAGTCTCCTAAGCAGACTATACAAGTGTCTGACATACAGTGGTGCTCTCATGCAAGTGCAAAGAGTGTGCGAGGTGTGGACGACTCATAGAGATGATGCGGCGGTTTGGTCGCATTTAGTGGTGCAGGGCGAGTAGTAAAGAAGGAAAGATCGAGTGGTGGAGCGCTACAGGATGGGTAAATGACCTAGGCGAACATAGTAAGTTAGCCGGCCAAGCCCACGTGATAGGTGGAGGAGAACAATGGTGGACCTCGGGAGCGGCATCTGTCCAATGAAATGGAGAAATCAAGGTTGGGGTTGAAGTCGGGACAGCGTGGGAGCCTGTATGTGCCTGTTGTGTCCGTCCTCGTCGACCTGGTTGCCTAGATATCAAGGTGAACAAGTAATGGCCAATATATGTAGAACAGGATGAAGCATAATCTCACACCCTTCCTTGGCTCACCGGGGCACTCGCTGCTCAACATGTAGTGAAGAATTACAATCGGAGGGAGCCAAGACTCAAATAGCGGTGAATCTGCAGCGTAATGATGCCGAGGCTTATAGGGAATGAGGGTTGAAACCATGTCAAAGTCGATAGGTGAGTAGTTCTCGGAATCGAGTTCAAAATGGTCCTCAGCACGACTCGGCAGGTCAAAAAATAGTATGAAATTTGCATTCGGCCATGACCATGATCAGACTCGAGCACTTGGAACAATGTTAGATCGATTTCAGTCGAGCACTGCAAGGACAAGGAAGACGGCTCGACTGGGCTGATAACCGTAACTCATGGTATTAGATCATGAAGCGAATTCATCGGAAGGAAGAGGTCCGCAATTGAAAGGTTTGAATCGGTCATTCGATGTTAAAAAGGTCTATCGATTCGTCTCGGTCAATTGGCAGCAATTAACGCTTTCGACGAAGCGGAAGTCGGCCGTATTGGTCATCGAGACTCGAGCTTTTTCGTAAAATCCTTTCTCGGCTCAAAAGAATCCATCATGAGCTGGTCTTGTAAACGCCCATCTAATGCCCCAGTATGCTTTTACACTTCCGCAATTTCTCTCAATCGTCGAATGGTTGATCGTGTGGCAGCGGCAGCGGGGGTTCTAATCGCAATAAGAGTCAGAATTTTTTTCCTTCCCGCCATATCGTAAGATCCGTGGCCAAACTTACGAGACAGTGTAGGCGCCTCCAGCGACGGTCTTTCCACAGCCCTTGCAGTTCCAGATACCGACGGAGTGTCTCTTGACAGTGTTCTTGCCGCAGAAGGTGCAGACGTAGCGGGCGTGCTGGGTGATTTCCATCTTCTTCACCTGCTTTCGGAGGGAGGCACCATAACGGGTGCCATATTTACCGGTCACACCGACCTCTGCAAGAGAATTAGTTCTAGAGTCGAGAAATGGTTCATGGGAAGAGTCGGCTCACTCTTTGTGCGTTTCGTCATATTGTCGGAGGTGGACGAATATGTGTTTCTGTTTAGCGAAAGAAGATGTCGTTGCTGAATCGATAAGTTGGCGCAGATGCAGATGGTTCACGATTTCTGAAAGTGCGTGCCCGTTGGGGATTAGCGCCTTGGCCAAGATTTCAGGTTCACGTGAGTCAACAATTACACGTGATTTTCGGTGCAAATGCAGTAGCCTACTCCGCAGTACGTACAGTACATTGATAAACACGTGATCACGGTTTCTGTACTAACCAAAAAGCGTAGTTGACTCTCAGATATGTGCCACGGAGACAATCGAGGCTGATGACATTAACTAAAGATATGTTTGAAATCACTTCTTCCAAGAACGGGATTTTCTTCTGGTTGCCGAGGTGGCATGATGATTTTAAATTTGAGTGGCATCTGCTCCGTCAAGGTTGTTGATCAATTATGCAGCAATCTTGGAGAAGAAAGCTGGTCTGGCGCGAATGAAACTTGCAAGGACAGGTCGGCGTCAGTCAGTGGTCCTATACCAAAGTTCCCAATACCCAAGGTTGCCGGAGAATATTGAGCTTTTATGTACAGCCAACAAGGAATCGTCTGCCTCATTGAAAACGTGCAGGGAAGTTTTCCTCTGAAAGGTATCACTGGATCGCTGGCGTGGAAAAAGCCAGCACATCTGTACATACAACCCTACTATCCTACCTACAGAAACATGTCTAGGAGTAGGAGCCATCTTGCATTGGGGTCGGACACCCTGAAATGCGCCAAAAGCTTGTCTTAGACTGGTGATTTGCCAAAAATAACCAACCAGTGCCTACGCGATATGTTTTGCGTCCTTATGGCGCAGTACAGGTCTCTGCCCTGGAAAAGGTGGCCAGTCCGAGAACCGCTGGGCGGGCAACTGCGCCCTCACGGGCCCTGTAACGGTGGCCAGTCACGCCAGTCCAGGACAACTTCAAAATGTTTAGGAGGCAGTTCAGTAACCCCTAGCCTCCAGAAGGTGCCAACTATCAAGTGGCCCAGAGGCCCTGGACGAATCAGACGGGTAAGCAGTAAGCATCATCATTATTGATTATCTCTTTCATCAGCCGCGATCCTTCAGCTTGTCGCGTGGCTTCGCGTGTGGAGTTGGCGGGACCCAACATTGGCCAAACTTGCTCCGTAGTTTGCATTTATACCCTACCATACCTCTGAAGACAACTCCTGCCCTTACCCCTGGTAAGGTACCTAACCTATATACCTAAGGTTGGAACTCCGTAATTCTGGTGTTGACCATAGGTGATCTGTCCAAATTGATGCTGACTTCTTTCTATCCTCCCACCGCTTCTTCCTGACCCTTTCAGCACCCTGCTCTCAACAAGAATACGGCCATATTAGCCGGCCTTCTTCCCTTTGTGTTCCCTCCTCTTCTCGTCGACACCACCATCGACCCCGCCCCACTGCTCAAGCCATGGCTTCCAAACGTCAATACGACATTGTTTTGCTCGGTGCGACGGGCTACACAGGCAAGTGGACTGCCGAACACATCACCTCCTCCCTGCCTACCAATATCAAATGGGCCGTCGCAGGCCGGAATCAGTCCAAGTTGCAAGCCCTCGTTGATGGACTCAAATCCGTCAACGCGGACCGCCCCTCTCCCGCAATCATCACCATTTCCAACCTCACCGCCGCAGAATTGACCCCGTTGGCGAGAAGCACGCGTGTCATCATCAACACCGTGGGTCCGTACTACAAATATTCTACCCCTATTGTCGAAGCCGCGGCTGAAAATGGGACACACTATATCGACGCCACAGGCGAAATTCCCTGGGTGCGAGAGATCATTCTCAAATATGAACAAACCGCAAAGAAGACTGGTGCAATTCTCATTCCAGAAAGTGGTCTTGAATCGGCTCCATCAGACCTGATTGCGTACATAGCAACGCGGTTGGTTCGAAAAGTATGGGATTGCGGTGTCATGGACATTGTCGCTTCTGTGCACGAGCTTAAGACGTCCGGAGCAAGTGGAGGCACGCTTGCCACTGGATTGGGACTTGTCGACCACTATCCTTCCAAAGTGATCAAAGAAACCCTCAAAAATTCCTTTTGCATTTCCCCCATGACTCTCAAGCCCTACACCAAAGAGAACATTTACCCTCCAAACGCAGAACCGACCACGTATGAGAGAACTGGACTTCAGAAATTCACTGGAGTGTGGTCGTATCCGCGATTGGGTCATTTGACGACCTCACTGACCGCTAAGCCCAACGAAGCCGTGGTTCAACGATCTGCTGGTCTCAATCCTTATTTCTATGGCTTCAACTTCACCTACGAGGAGTACATGGCGGTTTCCTCGCCAATCATTGGCGTTCTCGTCCACCTTGCCGTGTCCATTCTCATGCTGCTGCTTGCCTTCCCACCCACCCGAGCCATTCTCAAACTTTTTGCAAGTTACAAGCCGGGCGAAGGACCCAGCAAGGAATCCAGCAAGAACGACGTGGTGGAACTCCGAGCCATCGCAGTGGCGGAGCAGCTGTCCACGCCTCCACGGAAAGCCTTTGCTACTTTCCGCTTCGAGGGCGGCATGTACGAGTTGACGGGCAAGTTGCTCGCAGAAGGCGCCATGGTTCTCCTCACCAAGGAGGCGTCTATCAAGAGCAAACACGGAAATGGTGGCTTCCTTACCCCTTCGTCATTGGGAGATGACTACCTCGACAGACTAGACAAGGTTGGCGTTAAGATCGACGTCAAGCAAATCGGTGATGTCGGAAGCAAGTAAACGCCTCAAACGAATAGACCTGTGGTCAGAAAATGCGGTCCCATTTGGTACTTTGTATTGTAAGGATCAGTGGCTGATGAGTAGAGCAAGGGCATCCGTGGGGCTTTCGGTGGTGCGGTGGTGGAGAGATGTTGGGTTTACGAAACAGACAGACCCATTCCGAGGCATCAGTGCATCTAGATGCGCTCTCTGGCATTTGTTTCGATCAGAGCCAAAATGTTCCCGACAACTGTATCACGCCTTCTATAGTTGCTTTCGTATTTTTTTTTTTATTTATGTCTGCATCACTTAATTTGAAATTGACTTTATCTCCTGTCGCTCCGCGGAAAAGGGGGCCGTCAACAGATTTGAACACTGGTTAAGAAGAAATCTCTCTGCGCTTGACAACCGGTCGGGGATATCAAGGCATTTATGCATGTTTTAATATTCTGGCAAACTTTGTGGGGGAAATGGGTATCCTGTCACCAAGTGGCTATCTTGCATTCCTGGAATGCGGTGAAAATATCAAGGATACAAGCAAGAGCTTGACGGCCATCTTGACCGCGCAATGCCGCTGCAAAAACCACCACAACATAGTCCCGTCTCTGTCTTGGTGTGGGCGCCATTCCTTGCTGCCTCTCAATGATCGCCCTTTTGCTCTCATTCCTGATTCGGGCCCAGATCCCTGAGCCGTGGAAACCGACGTCCAAACGGATCATATATAGCTTACTTTTGTGCCCATGCCGACCGTTGCCTTGACCTTGTCCCAACTTTTACTGGTGATTCTCTTGACCCTTTCTCGAACCTGTTTCTGACTAATGGCCATGAGAAATGCGGTCACAAAGATTAGGAAGCGTAGCAACGAGGTGGGATTTCGTGATATATTGCCAGTAATGTTTCGAGCCAGAGTTGAAAGTGCCAGGAACACCCGGTGGGCCTGGGTAAGAATGGTCGGCCGTGAAGAATTAGGTTTGGATCTGGGTTTACGTGTAGCATGTCGAGAATTGTTCGGCGGTGAAAGTTGAGAATGGTTTGCAGAGAGAGGGGAGTTGATAGATCTCGCCGAGTTTGAAATGGGTGCTGGCGTGGTAGGTTCTGATTTGGGCGGCAGCTTTGTCAATGGTGGCTCTCCCGAAACCAAGGTTGCTTTCGTGGTTTGAATAGGTACGCCATTGCTGCTCACACCTAAACCATTGGGATGGGCCTTTTCGATACCATAGTCGACCTCGCTGCTCGTTCTTTGATGTCTGGGGTAGTTTGAATGTTGAGCATCGCTCGTGGTTGCCGGCGGTGTTGCAGGGGAGGTCTCTTCTTCTGTCTCTTCAAAGACTTCTTCCTCGGTCTCCTCGAACACGGATCTCTCCTCGCTCACGTCTTGCAACTCCTGCAAAGTCTGAAGGAACGCTTCCCGTCTTTCTTCGTCCAGAATGTCGCTGTTGGCAATGAAGCTCTTGGCATAATCCCATTCTTCATTTCTAGGTAGGACGTGCAGGGTGAAGAGTTCGAGGATCTTGATGCGTGAAGAGAGATCTTTGGGGGTATTGGTGCCGTTGAGACCGGAATGCGAACGTCCATTGCTCAAAGCGCTGTTGAGGTGGGTTGACAGATCGAGTTCGTGGTGCTGTGACGAGGAGAGGTATGTCTCTAGGCGAGATTGATTGAGTCTCTGGTCCTGAGCTTGACCTAGCAGAAGGTTCGAACTAGAATTTGTCAGTGAGAGTGTGAGCACAAGGGGCAGTGGCTACGAACAGGTTATAGACAACCTCGGCATCCACCGAGCCCTCGCGACCCTGATATCCATCCTTGACCACTTGAGACCAGATATCACCGGATTGAACCCTTCGAACGATGTCTCGATAATCATTTCCTAACAGTCTCTTGCCGTCTTCCTGGCCCAAATCGACGATTGAGTTGAGGAGTGTGACATATAAGCTCCAGATCTTGATGCGTTGGCTAGGGGTCGCGGTCGCTATTGGGGCTTGGGCGGGACTGTCGCCTGGACGAGCTGCCGTGGGAGGAGTAATGACGGGTTGCAGCGCCTCATAGGCTTCGAGTAGTCTGCGGGTCAAGAACAGTTGAGAGGCATGTTTGTAGATCTTTGAGATCTCCGATGAGGACCTCTTGGACTGGTTGAGCGAAGAAACAGAGGAGGAGAGCAGTTGAGAACTGGACTGAGAGTCGGAGCCTATGGACATGACTGCAGAGGTTTAGGGGGACAGACCGTCGCAAAGGAGGATGGAAGACGACAGGGCGTGTCAGGGATGAAGTCAAGATGAAAGCTGGGGCTTGCAGCAACTCGTTCAATGCATCACTGGGGGCCGGTTGGGATGATGAGAGCGACAGGTTGAGGTTGGAACTTGGTACCGAGGCAAAGAACCCTAGTGCCGGGGTCACGTGCCAGCACCGCTTCTCCAACCCCTTTTGCCATGCGTCATTTGCTATTCACCATTGACTTCATTTCGACTACATAAGAGGTAAGCGGAAGTTTTGACTGTAAGGTACAAGGACTTATGGCTCCCCTTCTCTCAGGTTCCTTTGCTCAGATCCATGAATGGCTCCTGACAGGCATTGGTCTGTAATTTATTTCCCACAATCCTCCAGAAATCACCATCATGATCCCATCGAGGAATAAGCTCCCCTCTCTCGACCAGATCATCTATCTGGCAAGCGACCAGTCCCTCACTTCCCTCACTATCTGGTGCCTTTGACTCCTCTGGCTCATCTTCCAGCAACTCAAAGATGTTGGACTTTAATGACGCAACTTTGACCTTTTGCATGGAGCCGGATGCGTGAACACCTTTGACCGCAACCACAGTTTCTTTCATTCCACCGACTACCTGTGGGTCGGTTGTGTTCTCGGGTTTGGTATGATCTGTCCCTGTAAAAATCGACTGGACTGTTTCAATAGGGGCTGTCAATGCTGACACGACATTGTCGGCGAGATTCTTTGCATCGCTACCAGTGCTCTCGCCGATTTGAGGCACACCTCCAGCGTTCTCCTCTTGGAGCTGCGACTTGGCATCCCCTTTGCCCTCTGATTTCTTGGGCAGTATACCAAGTTTGTTGCCATCTCTCATCAATCTGGCGACGAGTTTCAGACCAATCTTGGCCGTGACAAAACTATCATAACCCGCTTCATGGAAAACCGCCGAGTGTCGATACCGTTCAAATTGCGGAGGCACATATATGACAGGCTTTGTTTCAGTTGCTAGATCCTCCTCTACCGAACTCAGAGCAGTGTTTGCCCAGCGGTTACTTCCCAATGTAGCGAAGTGTTTAGTGTCGAGAATGAGAGGGAACAATTCGTGTAATTTCTGACCAAAATCCTCAACTCTTTCGGGAAGATCGCCAAAAAAGCATCTGTAGAGATTGATCACGTCAGTGAAACAATTATGTCCAAAGATTGCTCTCGTATGACGTTGAAGCCGTCCCTGCAGTTCTCGGAGAAACGTGGCAATGTCTTTAGGGCATTTTGCTTCTGAGAAAGCTGATCGCACATAGTGATGTGGCATTTTGGTTATGTCACCTCCCATGATTGCCTCCAGTATCCAGCGGAATCCCACAGCATTAGCAATGTCGCGCTCTCGTTGTTGATGTCGCACTTCTTTTTCGTTCTCCTGTTGCTTGTTAGTGGGATTGGTGATTTGTACGAAGTGGCCCATGCCGCAAGTCTTGAGGCCGGGATATTCATTCCTGACAATCTGATGGGTGAGTCGAACCTGATACCGGTTGAAAGTAGCGGGTATTGGAAATTTGACATTCTCAGCAGGGATGTTGAGATACGAGTCTTGCTGATCTTTGGGTAATGCCTGCCAGTCACTGATCGAACTCTTGATGTAGTCCACCAACAGGGTATCATCGTCCTTCAATACCATGTCTGGAATTTTCAGTCTGGCCTCATCGTCTTGCATCATTTTACGGCGGACTTCATTTTCTTCCTGTCGCGAGAGGTAGTGGACACCACTTGTCAATGGAAGGCTGATATCGAATCCATTCCTGATCAAGAATGACACTGCCCCGCTGTTGAAGGACCATGTCCTTTTGAAAATAGACTCTTTGAACGCTGGAAGCGGGCTCAGGTTGAAATTGTAGGGTCGAGTGATGTACCGGACGTTGTCAACATCCTCGGTGACGACAGTCAGACCGACTTGCAAGATCTGGTAGATCTGGGCGGCCGATCTGAGATCTTCGTAGTACTCCTGCAGATTCAGCTTGCCTGAACCTCCGCCTTGCCTTCTTGCAGCGACACCGGAAAACTCAAAGTCAAAGGCAATAAATCGGCTTTTCGCGATTTGTTCAATGATGTTGACTACTTCGCTAGCAAAGCTGTGGGCCGATATATCCATCGTGTCAACCACCAGGCGAGTAGGCAGGCTGGTTGGCCCAAGGGATTAGGGGACATAAAAGGTTGAGGACTTTGCTAACAGGTGACGAAGCAGGGTGATCATTAAGTCAGAGTATTTGGGGCCTCTTGAATCTGTTGAACGAGGCATAGGTTGAAGTGGTTAGGTGGGAACAAATACAAAGTGAGTGGACGATTATCATTGTTGATGAATCACTATCAATTATGACGACCTCCGAAACGTTAGTCAGTCCGCTCGCAAATCCACATGATACAACAGCAGATTTTACTTATGCTAAAGATAGACTTGAGATGGGGAATGTTGAAATCCACAAAGGCAGACCTTATTCATTTACCAGGCATAATATAGGTATCTTTACCTATGTTGTTTCATCAATTGAATCCTCATCGTGCACAACCCAGGTTCTGGATCTGATACCGTTGGATAAAGCGGCAAGGTAGTCTATACTATATCCGGCCAAATTAAAACCACTGGGGCGCACTTTTTGCGCTGAGATTGCGCATGCGGGGAATTTCATGGCAGAGGCACAACCATGTCACATTATATTGTCATTATTCAATCACTTCGCAATACCAACGCCCCGCCATCACAATTGTCAGTGGGCATCTCCTAAGCCAGACGCTGTTAGAACGCGAGACAACTGTTCCTGCCGCTTTCACAAGCCTGCATCGTCGTTCTCAGAGCATGCATTGATCTCTTGGACCTGCTCTCCATCTGCCACAGCCCACCTTCGGCATGGCCACCTCCTCCCTCTCCTCTCTTTCCTCGATCCTCAAAAAATCCTCGCTTGACGACCATGATCAGATCTTGGATGCAAGCAACAGGTCTCTGAAGTCCTCACCATCCGACCTACAGGCACACCAGGTGAAGACTGTTGCCCTCCTTAAGCTTGACCGTTATGAAGAAGTTGTAAAGCATGTGGAATCTGCGGGTGAAGACGTTCGGAAGGCAGTGAGCCTCGAATATGCCTATGCCTTGTATAAAATTGGGAGGCTGAGCGAGGCGGCGGACATTGCATCTTCTATCAAGACGAGAGGCGCTCAACACATCGAGGCCCAGGCCAGATATCGACTTGAAGAAGCGACCTCGACCTCGAAACTGTACAAGATTCTCCGGAGCGAGCCCGCTGACTGGGAAGAGTATGACTTGCGAGTAAACCAAGGCGCCATTGATGCTCAAGCTCAATGGCTTGGTGCTGTTGATCCAAAGTCAATACGAAAGCCAGCAAGAGAAGACCTCGAGGCCTTCGAGACAGCATATAATGCGGCTTGTGGCAGCATTGCCAGAGGGGAGCTAGGCCAAGCAGAAGTCCTTCTCCGACGAGCCAAGGAGCTTTGTCGGCATTCTGAAGACCTGACGGATCAGCAAAAGCTCGATGAGCTTCTCCCGATTGCGGTCCAACAGATATATGTTCTCCTGTCGCAGGGCAAGGAGGCCGAAGCCGACCAGGTCGCGAGTGAAATCAATCTTCAAGACGCATCGGACGCATCGACCCAAAAGATTGGACAGAACAACATGCTGCTCACAAAACCCTTGGACAACCCATTTCTTGCATACAAAGCGTTTACGTCAACGAAGGAAATCCCCTCGCACGACAAACTCTTCTCATTCCAAAGCATTCCGCTAGCGTCCAACAAGACTACTTTAGACTTGCAGAATTTCAAGTTTGACGGCATTGTTTCCTTTACGGCTCAGGCTTCGACGAAGAAACCTTCATCTACCTTAGACCCTGGGACAATTTTGACATCATCATTCCAAGCGATGGCTCGAGCCAGAAATGAGACTGGCCGAGCTGCTATCAAAAAAATATTGCCCGACCTTCAGAAACGTCCGCGAGATGCGGGGCTCGTCCTCACCCTAGTTCAGTTGTATATCCTTGTAGGAGACACGAGCTCTGCAGTGGAATTAGTGCAGACATTCCTGCAAGATCTGGGAGTGTCTGAACAGGACATCAGGTTCAACCCAACCCTTGTCAGCCTCTACATTGCCTTGCTCAAGCAACGAGGACAAAAGTCACGAGTCAAGCAAGAATTGGCCAAAGCTGCTTCGTACTGGAGGACCAAAGCAAATCCACCTATCAGATTACTTAGCGCGGCGGGGATCTCATTGTTGGAATCGCAGAATCCCGAGGAGACACGAGAAGCAATGGTCATTTTTGAAAAACTTCAAGAAGAGCAACCGGCAGACCGGGCGACAATTGCTGGATATGTTGCATCACACGTGAATGGAGATTTGTCCGCTGTGCAAGGTGATGCAGACAAGTTGACACCAACGGAGGAATTGATCCGCGGGATCGATGTGGATGCATTGGAAAAGGCAGGTATACCTCAGTCGTCTAACGCACTTGCAATTGCTCAATTGGGTCGAACGAGGAAACGCAAAGCTATCGACGGCGGCAACGGCAAGCGCAAACGACAACGAGCGTCTAAATTGCCCAAAGATTACGATGCGAGCAAGAAGCCCGACCCGGAGAGATGGATGCCCATGAAGGACCGAAGTTACTACCGGCCTCCAAAGGGGAAGAGGAAGGGCAAGCGTGGAGGAGGGGATGACAAAACTCAAGGGGGTGTGGTGAACGAAGATTTGAACATTGATGCCAGAGCGACCGCCACCAGCGTCACAGGAGGTGCAAGTGGAGGTAGCAGCAAGAAGAAAAAGGCCAAAGGGAAGAAATGATAGATAGAATTCGACGGGAGCAGGGAGCAAGGAGCAAGGGTGGATAGTGCACGGTTGCTGCAGACCAATGTAGGTAAACCACCGTCGTAGAATGCTCCACACGATGTCCTACGCATACATGGAATTTAAGGCTTGAATGATCCAAGAGCCCTGCGCTTATCAAGCGGTCAACCATTGAGGAGATTTTCCCTGTTGATGTATGTATCATACGGTGCATGGTGACCTCGGGCATTGAATCCTTACACAAGCTTGCTTAGTTAGGCAGGAGGCCTGGTGAATATTGAAAAAGTGCAGGGTCATTAAAGTGGCCATCGACCTGCAGGCAAAGTGGTGATGCCTCAGGGATTGGCAGGCTCCGTGCGGCGCGTGCGGCGTTGATTTTTTGGAATTCAATGAGATGCAAACCTTTGAACCGTGCGCGTTAGGGATCGGCAAAGGAAAGGCTGGCTCTTGACGAGTTCTTCCGGAACCATCGAGTCGGAGCACCAGTCGACGCAAATCATGCTGGACTTTGGGAATTTGAACGGGGCAGTAATTGGGGATAAGGATTCTTGGGTATAACGGTCAAGACTGTGATGTGACTGGAGGTCAGTATGTGGAGGAAATGCCCGGAGATTTCAACTTGATTGATGTCAATACCTTATTATCTCGATCCCATTAGGAGCGACAAAGCAGAGGTTGGCGGGTATGACGAAGCGTGGTGAGCAAATGGCCGGGAAGGATTCAAGAGGCGGTCGGAACAAGCTGCTGGCTGGGAGTGGGAGTAGTGGACAATATGGCCCATCGACACGGGCCACGTCGAGCTCAATGTGAGCCACTTGAGACTGCAGCTGGATGAACAATGCCCAGAACGCACGGATGCCTTTCATGCGAGGGGGGAAGTTTCTTCACGGAGATGGCTGCCATTCGATTACCGAGTTAATGGATCGCCAGCTAGTCAAGATTAAGCCATAAAGCAGGTCGGAAATATTTGGGCAGCCGTGGCAGCCTGTCGGGAGGGTGACCGGGACGAGAGAGCTAAGGAACGGATGCTATACTAGGTGCATATTCTAGTCGAGTAGGTGGTTGACTATTGGTGTTGTGTTGAAAAGAAACATGGACTAGAGTGAGGCTTTTGACTATCAATGCCATCTCGATATCTCGATGGCTGAATGCCTGAGACTCGAGATTGCGTGAGCAAAGGCGCTTATGCAAAGACGGTGCGAGTAATTATGGCTAGGGCGTCAGCAACCCTGGAGCAGTACGCAGTACAACCTAAGGTACCCAACCCCCGTTACATCTAAAAGGTACCTAGGTACCTAAGGTAAGATGGTATGTATACTTAGGTACCTAGTACTGACTACTACTGACATTGGGCCGTGCTCCTTGCCTTAGGTACCTTTTCGTGCTTACTGAGTTTGTGGGCGTGCAACCCTGAAGAGCAAATGCCACCTGTGGGTGGCACGGGGGTAGTACGGAGTAGTAAGAGCGGCCTTCATTAGTTAAATAAGAAGATGGCAGGCCCGAGGGGCCCTAAGAGTACTCCGTAGAGGGGGCCGGGCATCGAGCGAGCGCCAGTGCAGGGCATTGTGTCTCAGATGTCACTTGTCCGGCATGAGCACTGGCCGACATGTGGTCGCAGTCGCACCTGCTGGGTTGCCATGCCTGCTCCAAGCAATTGCCATGACTTGACTGTTGACTTTTAGGCAGCAGCTAGCCAAGTGCCAACTAACCTAGTCTAACAGCGGCGTCGCCATTCACCATCCAAATCCTCCATCCCATCGTCTTCGCCCGCACCATCCACAAGCCATCCATCTCATCCACACCACACCGCACCCGCACCATCAAACTTCCAAACTCAGCTTCCCTCATACCATCCCCATGTCGTTATGCCTTGTCATGCCCGCCCTCCAACGGATGGCCTTTGCCTTTGCGATTGACCCGCCACCGGACCCTGTGTCGTCAAGTCTGAGTCCTGACTCCATCTGTCAATTCTGTCAAGTCTTGTCTCTCAAAATCACGGAACCATCCTCGACCAGTCCTCTGGAAGTCCTCTGGAACTTCTATTCGAGATATGGGTCAAGCGGCGCAGCACGTTTGACCAAACCTAAACCATGTCATCGTCTCTGTTTGCCCTTGTGACAGAGATCCGCCTTCATTGCCTCCAGCTGGTCAAACTCACACCTAGGCATGTCTGTTGGTCGCAACCTTCGCATCACATGGCCTCAGAAAACGAGTCACGGTTGCAACTGCAACGGTACGATTGAACTTTTTCAAGACCAAGGGGTGGCTTCTCAGACCATCTGACCTCTGATACCTTGTGTAAGCACACCAATATGGCCTGAAAGCCCGAATCGGTAATTCATCCCAGCTGGCCTCGCTTCCATGCATGGTTCTACACGCAACTGCCCACGCCGACTGGCTTGTCCGCCCTGTCGCCGTTGACAAGGCTTGATGTGACCAAATTCCTTGTCTGTGGTTTCATTGGTCGATTCAGATCACGTCTACTGACCATACCATCTCACCCATCACCAATCCACCCCCATCCGAACAACAATTCTGTCCAAACCCTTCCTCCGGCATGCCTCTTTTTGCCTGGCGAGCCTTCTCGGCTTCTGTGGCTGAATAAATGGGTCCGCTGCCGTCACCACGAGCCGCTACCAACCACGTAGCTTTTTCCCCCTGAACGGACCTCCCTCCATGTGGCTTGGTGGATCGGGTCTTGTCCCAAGACCCATCCATCCTCAACTCCTATTGGCAATTTGACCACGTCAATCCATTTCCCTCCACGCCCACCCACTTGCCCACCACAATGGCCCTTGCTCGGGCCCTATGCTGAACTTTCCAAAGAGCTTGGATGTTCTTGTGCCTCGTTACCCTTTTGTGCCCTTTGCTCTTCGTCTCAAACCCTCTTAAAACATGACAGCCTCCTTTGTTTTCCTTCTTCTCCCAGTCTTCCCTGCCATCTGTCACTTGTCTCATCCTCATCGTTGCCCCCAGGCAACCACCTTTGACAGCCGTTACATAACGTCTATGCTCCGCCGACATATATCATATCCCAATTAGCCCGTCCATCTATCCTCTATCTTCACAACAAGCAATCTATTCAATTGTTGTCCAGGTGACTTTCTGTGATCTGCAACATCACCCATCAAGCCACCCCCGCCCCTGAGCTTGACTCATCTGTGAGGCTTCTAGGGCCACCAGCGCACTGCTTGACTGGCACGTTGTGTCCGTACTGGTCAAGCTGTGCGCCTCCACGACAACTTGAGGGGGGTGTCTCATCGCCATTGTCGTGGCCACTGTCGGCGACCACTGCCAATCATGGAACTCGCCTGTCCTGGATACACGGCCGTCAATGTGGGTAGCAAATTCGAACAACCCGAAGACATCCACGAATACTTCACCCTGCACGCTGCACCCAATACTAGCATACATCGCCAGAGATCATGTCAAGACGACACCACAGCACCAATGGTTCTGAAACGACTACACCAATCTTTCATCTTGGCTGAAGTGACCGTCTCGGCCGATTTTGCCATGAACTACGACCAAGCAGGCTTGGTCATCTTCGCTGGCTCGCTCCCCGACTCAGTCCTACCACGGTCAACTCACATCCGCCGGAGTTCACGCTTTTCACGAGTCGTTGGTGTGGACCTTCCCACCTGTAAGTGGGCCAAAGCCGGACTTGAGTTTACCGGAGGAAACCTTATGGCCGCCTCCGTGGCTGCTACTTCGAATTGTGGTGCCGACTGGTCATCTTCCGCTACCTTACCTCGTCCATCATCCTCCTTTGATCCATATAACCTGACTTCGCAATCCCTTCGCGTCAAGTTTGAGCGCGTAGACGATGCACTTTGGATATGGTACCAAATCCCTAACTTGCCCTCCTCGAATCCAGACTACGACCCAGCCTCTGACGAGGACTATCGACGCACACCAGAAGACGTGGGATCTGGTTGGAAGAAAATGCGTGAGGTTTCAGGCTTTTTCGGCGGCTGGGAGCAGAAAGGAAATGTTTGGGTCGGCTGTTATGCTAGCAGGCCTACCGACTTTGAACCCAGCAATGCGTGGGAGGAGTTGGATGCATTGGTCGCCGAGTTTGAAGATTTGGATATCTTGTGAGACGACCAACCAAATCGCTCATTGCCTACACCATCCGTCCAGAGCGCTGCCTCCATCGACCGGTCTCTGCCAGTCCTGGAAGTTCTACATTCCATGACCTAGGTTTTGCTTCTCAATTACCACTTCCCCGAATTATTCGCATGTGCCTGGAACTCTAAGACCTCCAAGAGCGGAAAGTTCGATGACTCGATGTCGCATCTCGCAGACATTCAGCTCCCAGGTGTTCGTCGCTCGGACAAAATCATTCACGCACCCACCTCGAGGGTGCATCTAGTCGCCCACACATCCAAAGGCGACCACTCCGATTGCCACTTGCAGAGGACAAAAGTTACATCCCAATTCAGGGGTATAAACATGGAGAGGTGATGGATGCCATAGCCACATTTTTGGCTCTTTACTGGATTGACGGCTATGGGACTTGTAAAACCCTCAGTTCGCAAAGCTTTATTGCCGCAATTGCGTTGTTCAATTGGGTGTGCCTTTTTGCATGCAGCCGTCATGGGGAGAGTTTGCATTGAGCATCAATAGAGACAAAGTATATGAATAATGACACGGACTTAGCCGTCCACATAATTTTAGCATGGTTTGAAGCTGGACGATCCTTTCCAACTATCTACCATTTCCCAAAACTACTTCGCGGGTATGACGAGCCTGTTAGCTCGTGACGGAGTATGACCGCCTCCTTTTCGCTTCGAGCCTCTTGTGGGCGCTAAAATTTGGCCTGGGCCAAAGCCAAATCATTGTGAACGGAAATGAGTTCCATTCGGTAGCCAAATTCGATGGTTCCGATGTGCCGCTGCATCTGGCTTGTGCGCAGCGATGGTGCGGCACCGTTGGAGCATCGTTGGGGAGTAACAGCCTGAACCGTTGGAAGCAAGAGGCAACTAGCCACAAGGTAATGCAAACTGTGTTGGAGCATGGGGGGCATTTCATGTCGATTTCAGCGTCCAGTCCTGGAGATACGCAGCTCGTCAGTGGTGAAACGGTGTCCGTGGCTGGCGTGATGCTGAATTCCGCCCACAGCTCCAACCGAGAAACAGGCCATGTGCAAGGCTATCAGGCACACGCATCAAAGCCCCAACCTAACACAACACTACTGTTCTCGTAGACGCGTGGACCCAAGCTCTGTGGCCTTCGTTATGCTCACAGAAACCCCACGGTGTGCCGCCCATTCAACAATGTCGCTCGAAACCTTGTCACACCCGGAGAGAGTGATTTCCCGGATTTTGCATGTCTGTGCCTTCAGCAGATCCACGACAAAGACCCCCGTTATCATGGCACTGTGGAGTTTCAAGGTTCTCAGTTCCGGAAACCCTTCAATGAACATGCCGCTGTCAATGTCCTCAACCGCCTGACATGCCAAAGATAAACGCTGAACGTTCTGGAAACAGCCCGCGAGCGTAAGTTCCACAAATTTGCGATCTCCGTACGGATGTAAATAAAGCGATAGATCGCTCAGACTTGCACGATTTGCTGACATATGATCTTTCTGCAGGAATGGCGGCCATGTCGAATCAGAAATGTCGAGATAGTGCAAGTTTTTGAGAGGGGTGCAAATATCGGCACTTATCACAGGCTCCGGGAACAGCGCTCTCGTGACTAGACTCAATGTCTGAATTGAGGGGGGGAGTATCAACTTTGAGGCCACGTTTGGCCCAATTAGCTGTAGGATTTGCAAAGATTCCAGGAGACGAAGGTCTATCTGACCCTGGTGGTGTTCCTGATCCGGTTCAAGGCGAACCTTTGACAATGTCAACCTCTTGAGGGAGACCAAGCTGACAACAAAACTCGACTGTAAAGTTTAGTTAGTGAACATGACCAATTCATGAATGGCTTCATTGTTGACACCCACGGGAACGTGTAGACCCTGGTTCACGACTCCAGCCAGGATGAGACTCTCCAGTTTGGGGCAAGTAAAACTCCACGCAGCAGGACTCGTCTGGGAATTAGACCTGATACTGCTAAATGCCGCCGACGTTAATTCAGGACAGCCTTTAAGAATCCGCGACACCAAAGAAAGAGTGATGTGGCTTGGATGAGAAAGATTTATGTTTCGTAGAGGGTATCGTTCGAAGGGCAAGTTGAAGTTTGGCATCATACGGAGATGCAGTGTGCCCAGAGATTTGAAATTTTCAGTATACTGGAGCCGATCATACAGAAACTGAGCGGCCGGAGCTGACAGGTTGTAGGCCATAACATGCGTCGGTGACTTGAGTCTTTTCAATGTGGCACGCAGTGCAGTGGTTGTGACTAGTTTGCTGGTGTCTTGGTAGTTGAGCGTGTCAGATAATGGTCGAACCGTGCGGATAAATCTATTCCATGATTTTGAGACACGTAAAAGGAGATGGAGACTGTTGTAAGAGAGGAAAGAGAGAATGATCTCGGCCACTTCGATAGGAAGTGTTGTCATCGGGTCTGTTGCTTTCTCTCGAGAGACCTGGAGGGCGATTTCCTTTTCAATTTTTTCAAGTTGCTTCTGAAGTGAAGCATACTTTCGACTGTCGTTAGCCACCCGCTTCAGGCCCTGTTCATACCAGGTTTTGGCGGTGACAAAGTTGCCATTCAACTTCTCAATCTGCCCACAACGGAGATAGCCTCGTCCATCTGTACGATCTGTCCGAATCATCGCCTTGGCATCTTTCAACGCGGAATCCTTGTTCTCTTGAGCGAGATAAACAGCGATACGATAATCTAGAATCTGTAAGCGGGCTGGCCCCCTCTCGGATTCTGGGCGGCACAAGGCTGTGGCTAACGCGTCAAGTGCCGACGTGTATTCACGCTTGCGGAAATGTTCTTGACACGTCTCCAGCAAAGTCGCAAGGGAGACAGGCATATTGAAGAGGCAGAGGCATTGACATAGATCGAAATCAAGCCCCGAGAAAGGATAGACTGAAATATTTAGAGGATCAGAGTGACTGATAGACAGTGGTACTCATTAATGTGTAGATCCCATATGAACCAGTACGGAGTACATACATTGTGCCTACTCCGTAGATTAAGCCTTACGCTAGTGGTCAACTAGGAACATCAATTCTCCGGAGCCTTGGCGGATATGTTTACCTCTAACTGGTTTGAGCAACTGCATCTTTGATCTCTGACTACATGTCGAGTCGACCTATTCAGAGCCACTGCACAATGGAGTCGCAAAGCCTGGAACGGGCATCACAGTATCTGAACAACTTATTGCTAGCCCGTGGACTTCTTTCAAATGGCAGATCGATCGATTTCGCTCGTCCGGACCGCGATGGTCAATCCACCTCAGCGACAATGTCTCGCATCATAAATCTCGTCCACGACCTGGTCCTACGCCGCGACCAAGACGCCGAACAGAGAGAATTTCTCGCGTCCAGCGTAAAGAATGCCCGCCTTGACGAAAACCAACGCGTTCTTGATCTCCAGCGATTGCAGGAGAAGAACTCGGAGCTGGCCCGCGACGCTGCCACTGCCGAAGCACAACAACGTACCCTCAAAGAGGTGGCTCGCAAGGCCGACGCGCACGCCAAGGAGCTCAAGGAACAAATGTTGAAAATGAAGTCCACATTGGATCAAGTCAGGGCAAAGTGCTTGAGCGACGTCCGGAAAAGAGATGTGGAGCTAGAAAAGCTAAAGGGACACCTGACTAGTATGCAGCGTGGCAAAAGGGAGGCTTCTGGGATGAGGATAAATACCCTGAGTTTACAGTCAGAACATAAAAGCCGCGAAAAGGGGCGTGGGCAAAATGTCGACAGCGCTGAATGGAGTCTGGAGAAGGAGACGGGGGATTTCTTGGCTGCACTAGTCAACGAAACGAGTACGGAGAATGTTCAATTACGAAAAATCATCACCGACACAATGGACCTACTTCGGGATCTGACAAACCTGGACGCTGGAGAGGATGGAAGTGAGGAAGATCAAGAGGACGGTATCGGGATACCTGGCCAGTACCGCAAATCCAGGCAAAGAGCAGCGCGAAACTCGCCAGATTCTTCCTTAGTCTCTTGCGTTGATCTTGCAGAACAAATGAGTCTGATTTTGAGACACTGCCAGACAATTCTTCGAGACCCTTCCTTCGTCCCAATCGAGGAAGTTCAGATACGAGATGAGGAAATCATCAAGTTGAGGACAGGGTGGGAGAAGATGGCCAACAGATGGAAAGAGGCTGTAACGATGATGGACGCTTGGCGGAGACGGAGAACAGAACACGGACTGGAAGAATCAATGGACGAATTGTCGCACCTGGAGTTTGGCAAGAGTATAGCTACCCTCCCAAGCGGAGAGCCAATCTTTGCCGCTGAAGACGAGCTTTCCCAAATCCTCTATGAGCAGAATGGGCTTGACTCCGTCCCTGAAGAAGCCGAGAACGATCGAAGCGGTCAAATCGTCGAAGATGAGTTGCAGGAATCAGATCTCGAAATACCTCCAGAGCCACCTTCCAAGCGAAGAGCTTCTGTTTCTCGACGATCTGGTGTGATGGGACGCCCTGTACGACCTTTGCAGCCCGTTAGCTATAACGGACAACCAGCTGCGCCGCTGACTGCACCGCACGATGGTTTGGAGGAGGACGACGGGGTCTGGCCTCTTCACAACGAGCTTGGGGACGTCGAGAATATCTCACCACAGGAGTACCACCATAGAGAAATCTCCAACAAGACGACCAAAAAGAATCGCGCCAACAATTCTAGTGGCTTGCACATGGAGCGGGCAGGGATTGCGCCCTCCATTCCTGAGAAGCTGGCTGCAATCGAGACTGAAGCATTGGAAGCTCAAGCGAGGCTTCTAGAGATGCCAATAGGACAGAAAAGAAAACAAGCTCGACAAGGCACCAAAAGAGCGGCAAGGAGAAGGAGCACTTTGAGCCCTGATGAATTGGCCGAACTAATGGGAATAGAATGAGGAGCTTTAATATTTAGTGTGCAGGTATACGCCAACACGACGAACGAAATGATTATTGGGATTATCTTGTCTTATCGATGGCGATGGAGCCAACAGAAGAACCCCATCATAGAAGACTATAAAGTAATGTCCTGGTTGAAGACAGGCACGCGGTAGTTCACCAAATTTATATCACGTGATCGACTTCCTCGACTGTGATTGGGCGATCAGACTTCATGCACAAATTCCAGAAGTAACGCGTTCCCCAGAATTGAATCTGAGTCCCAGGCGTGTCAACTGCGATCAATGTTGACACAGACATCCCCAGCACAGGCTTGCTTGTGCAGTTTGCAAACCAAGACATAATCAAAATGATTGTGTAGCCTGTCCTTTCGAAACATTCTTTCATCCAAATCGGCACAATGAATCGATTTACCGCCGACTTTTCCTCCAGTGTTGACTCGACCCCAGGAAGAGGATCACAACAACCACCTCAGCGCAACACCCTTTTCTCTACCCAACTCCCCAGTACTACTCCTATCGCACCTCCGCCGTCGCAGATCTTTGGGAGCTCTACTTTTGGTACCGGTATCAGCAAGCTACAGTTCTCCAAGCCCGACAAGACGTCGCCCTTCCCTCGAGAAGAATCTCATGCCATCCCTCACGCCAATACTGGAAATCCTGCCTCGTCGTCGAACCGACCCTTTCATAGCTCCTTCGCCACCTCCCAAGCATCTGAGTACACGGACCAATATGATCATGAGTTCCAAGATGAAGAAGATATGGATGAGGATGTCGACTACGAGGACCAGACAAATGCCACTTTACCCGCGTTCCAGTCGATCAACCAAATGCCTTCGTTGATGAAATTTAGTACGATCAGTGCCAATAGTCTAGGACAATCTCGTCTCTCGGCTCCCAACTTCAAAAGGTCGCTGAGAAGTACCAGAATTACCACCTTGCCCTACAAAGGAGACGATACTATTGTCGCTAACCTGGCGCGAGATTTGGCATCGAGGTCGCGTCCTGCGCCAGTTACCGAGTCAGACGATGTCATACTGCAGACCGAACAATTACTACGATCATTGGACGCCCAACTGCAATACTTGAAGAACAGTAATCAGGCCCGTGAGGCTGTAACCCACTATGCGCAGTCTCTTGCTCAAGAATGGCGCTCATTTGCAGACATATCTCGACCTACTTTCGATGGCGAAGCAATAGGCCCTCCAGCAGCATCGCCACTCTTCACAAAAGCAAATTTCCTGGCTTCTCTCTTATTCACTCTACGACATCCACCATACGCACAAGATGGTAGCCTTGAACCCACCCCTAAAGTTCTTCTTGATTGGTTAGATCAGTACCACATCTCTTATGATGACCTGGCCCGAGATGTGACAACCTACACTCCGAACAGCACTGCGAGCAGTGTCTTTTGGGGTGTGGCGCAGAGTTTAGTCTTGCGGGGCAAGTTCCACCAAGTCATTCAGTTATTTGCAGATGCTGATTTCAAATACGCTGCTACCGCTATCGATGATGGTAGCGAACAACCTGGATACAAGGGTGCTCAGCTACAGTCTACTCAGAGTGTCATTTATCGTGCACGAGAAGTCCTCAACATGTGCCCAGCTTATCAAACAAATGACTGGAATGTCGCAGGAGTGGAATGGGATTTGTACAGAACCCGGGTGGAAGCAGAACTGGACTATTTGAATGATCTCAACAATACACTGGAAGATGATGATGTCTCTTTCGAGGCTGAGAACTTTGGCATTCGGAAACCAGCCACCACGCTCCTCGCCAAACTTGGCCGAAAGTCAACATCGACAATTCCCTGGTCCATCTACACAGGTTTGAAGATCATCTACAACATTCTACTCGGGAGTGCCGAAGAGATTGTCCAACAGTCCCAGGATTGGTTAGAAGCAGTCACATCTTTGACCATTTGGTGGGATGGTACAGCCGAAGCCGCAGTGGCACAATGGAGTTTTGATGTCAGTAGGGCTAACAACCTAACCGATGCCATCGACAGCGAGATCAATCCCTATCTCCAGCGTTTACAAGCTGCATTCTTGTCGGTCACATCGCCTGAAGCCAAGACTTCAGAGCTTCGAATGAATACCTTATCACCAGTTGAAGTTGGACTTGGAAACATTCTGCAAGGTAATATTCAGGGTGCTCTTGTCATCATACGAACATTGTCCCAGACTGTCACAGAGGCCATCGCCGAGGTCGGTACGTATGCAGGATGGCTTGAGGGCGAGACTCCAGCAAAGGCCGGAGGTTTGAATGATGATGACTTGATGGTTCTCAGTTACGGAACGTCGAAGCAGGCCATCACTAAAGACGACATTATTTTAGGATATTCCGAGGCCATCTTTGACAAGGCTGAGCTCAACCTGTCAAACGGAGCCACAGTCGAGGGTTGGGAGATCGCGATCTCGCTAATCACGAGGATGGACGACCAAGAATTGATGCATGCCACCGTCAGTCGGTTCCTTGACCAACTCGACGTCGTCACCCAAGAGCGAGCGGAAAAGCTCACCAATCTATGCTCAGACTTGGGGCTTCCAGAAGAAGCATGCAAAGTCTCGGATCGCTTCGGGGACTTCTTGGTCAACAACACCACCGAATACGGTACAGCGCTACTTGCGTACGCAAGGAGTCATTCACCAAATAAAATTCGACAGTTGGTGGATGTCCTCGTCAGTTACTCCATTGTCCAATCTCGTGCATATCCAACACAAGATGAAATCGACTCCAGTCTTTCACATCTTGTGTCGAACCCTAAGACAGCCTTGTCTGAAATTGCCGACATGGATCCACAGGCCGCCGAGCTGCTTCAGTTCTACATCGTTGGCTACGCCTGTCTCCGCCGATTCTACTCCCTGCGAGATGAAGATACGAGCGTCCCGTCGCAAACGACTGCAAACCAGGCACCATCAGGACTTCGGCCCAAAGATCGCCGGCGGGCCGCCGCCAAGACCCTCATTGCAGCGATCGAGTCCGCTGCCGACAGCATCTACGGCGGTCTGTACGACCCGGATCGACAATCGGCTATTCAAGTTGACGGACTCCTTGCCTTGCTAGGAGAGGCCACAGCCTTATTGGCCAAGTCGTCCGACTCGGGCACGTCAGTCCTGACGACAACTCAGATATATGCGCTTCTCGCAGCAATCGAGGATCTTTCCACTGTGTCCTCTCGAGTCTACGACGCAACAGAAGAATGCCTCCAAGCTTCACTGAGGAACTATCACGGCTCTCAGCCTCCATCGCCCCACGCGATGCTCAAGAAGAGTATGTCTTCAGGCACTAATTCCAATTTCAGCTTCAGCATGATGGGGAGTGAGATGCTGATGGCCGAGAGTGGCAGCAGCGGCCGCACTGGAGGTGCTGGTGCTACTGTCGGCGGCGGGAATAGCGCGATGAGCAGCGGTGTTCTGGTCCGTCAACCAGGCAAAAGTTCAGGGGCCAAGCAACAGGTAAACGGCAGAGGATGGGACTGGCGAGCCAGGTTTAGCGACGAGAACGTCAAAGGAAGGGATGTGGTAAGGGCTTTAAGAATTGGGCTCGCTGAGGAGCTGAGTTTGGCAGAGTTGTAGAGTTGACCAGGCAATTCGGTGTCGACATGTTAGTTGGCTAGGTAGAAAAGAAGAATTGCCCACCCGTGTTAGACCATAAACCATCCATGTGAGACTGCTTGGGACGAAAATCGCTTGCAAATTAAAATGGTACGAATGCTGCAGGGTGTAAATACATCCGGATTTTAAGCAATCCATTCACAATGCGCTCGAGTCCGTAAGAAGGGAAAATAGCTGGCGATGATCGCAATCCGTGGGGGCGCATTCTACTCGCGTGGGCAACGGAGATGGCCATATCGAGAAATGATGATCATTTCCCATGCTTCAAAATATGTTGCTCAGAGAGCGAATAGACCTCTGAGACTGTCAAAGATATGTGGGCCTACCAAAAACCAACGCAGTTCGCTACCCAAATCCATTCGTCCGTGCGTTATGCCCCTTGAAATCGTCAGAAAAGATGTACATCATGTCCACGTTCGTTTCATGTATACACAATCAACGATATGTCGGCGGTGGTTGATTGTTCTGATAGCTCTGCAAAGGAATTCCTCCTTGTCCGTAATGTGGCATGGCAGGACTATTAGGTCCATACGGCGCAGGTGGAGGTGCAGTATTCATCTGACCCTCGCGGAAATTAAAGGCAGCGGGGGTGTTCATAGCGGCCTTGCGCATCTTGCGACGGCGGACAAAGAACAGGACAACGCCAATGCCAACAATCATGATGATTGCAGCGACCAAGAGGATAATGGCAGCTCGAGTGTTGGAAGCGAAGCGGAATCCGACAAAGCAGTTGCCGAGCCCTAGACCCATGGTCGCCGGACCTAGGATGCGATGGCCGATCATAAATTTGGCTGGTTTGCCAGTTCGGCGGAAGACCATGTGCGCTGAAAGACCAATGCCCCATGTCATGAGAAGCAATCCTAAGACGACGAAGCCCAAGATTTGATGGTAATGATTTAAATCCGGACTCTGCAGGACATGTCAGTAAGTAACTTTGGACGGGGAGAAGTGGTATATTCGTCTTACAATGCCGCGATTCTTGCTGATGGACACCCCCAAACCGACGCCAACGGCAGACATGACCAACGCGAGTGACTGGACAGCCCAATGGAGAACTACTTTTTCAAAAACGCGTAAAAAGAGGAAACCTGTTGGGAATACCACCAAGAAAGCAGCCACCAAGATGAAGGCGTGGAAGGCAGTGGTGCCGCCACGACCACCAAAGCCCTGGCCACTGTTTGGACCACCAATGACCTCGGTGTTATCAGAGGATGCTTGAGGGATAGGGACGCCAGCTTCTCCAGTGGCGGCGGCGAAATCCAGGGTGAATGAACTGTAGGTGCGATGTTGTTGAATGTTGGCTTCAACATTATCGCTGTCGATTTCGCCTTCTGGACCAATAGCCCAGATCATATTGACATTGCTGTTTGTGACATCTACACTGCCACCGCTCCATGTGCGACAGTTTGAGCACTTGGCATTGACAACATAATTGCCATCAATGATACCACTGCCGGACAGGACCTGAACCTCGACGTTGTCGGTGTATCTGGGTTGGGAATTTCCGGTGGCTAGTCGGGGGCTTAGGGTAACATTTTTGCCATCTCCAGAGGCATACGCGATAAACATGAGTGAATTTTGCATTCTGGTCCCAATACCAAAGGCAGCATATGAGTGTGCAGCAGGCGAGGACAGATGGAAGAAGAGTTCATTGGAGTTCCCTGATGGGACATTGATGGCGAAGGTGAGGTTGGCATTGGGATCAGGATTGCGGTTGGTTCCTGGTTGGCCTACCCAGGTAGACTGAGGAACTGCTGCTTGTGTTGTGAGGAGGAGAGCTGTAGGTGTTGGTTAACAAGAGGTGCGTTCAGAGCATCAGCGAGGGATAGATTTTCCACATACGAGAGACGGCGACCAAAATCTTTGAGAGTGACGAGATGTTGACCATGATGAATCTGGGACGCGTGCCCGTCGAGGATAATTAACCACACGGCTCGTCAAGGTCAGCAGCGGATCAGAATCACAATCGCAGTCAAGTTGGACGCAAGGAAGAAGTGAAATAGTTTGTTGTGTGCATGAATCAGTTGGAGGCAGGAATGAAGGAGCAGAGTGGCCAAAAAGTAGCAGGAGCGCAGGCAATCCAGAAGGAGTGAAATGATGTTGTCAAACGAAGAACGGACCCCAAGCTGACCGTTGAACTGACTCCACGGCCCCTACCTAAAGTATTCGTATGCGTCTTGCGTCGTAAGAATCAGACAGCGAGACAGCATTTGGATAAAGTCTTTAGGGGTCTTGTTGATGTGCAGGGCGAGTTTCAAAATGGCATCTGGCGGCTGGAGCTGAAAGGGCACGGTGACTCCTGGAGATTAGCGCCCTTGGAGGATGCGTTACAGGCTCCGTTTAGGCTCTTTTTAGACCACTTGCGGGGTGGCTTGGCTTGTGGCATGCCCTGAATAAGCTTAGCATTAATCTCCATCAAGGGCCGAGGGCCCCTCCCGCCTGTCTAAGACGCCGCCTCGAAACAGGAAGAGCGAATCATGCAGGCTGCCATTGGTCAGCAGCCTCAGACACGTTCGGGCACCGAAGCTAAGAGTTTGGACTTGAGTACCGAGTATTGTCTCCTGATTGATTCGCCAAAGCCCTCGATGCGCGACTATCGACTGCGCTTCGTTGGCGGTGGTGGTCCCGAAATAGACACTCATGCTTGTGTATCGCATCGCCTACGTCGTCAAACCTCCTCCAAGCGACAGTGAGAGACAGAACATGCATTGAACGGATGCCGGGGAGTACAACGCTGACCCTGTTTCAGTACTGCACTTCGCATCACGTCAGAACCACTCCTCTGCTGCGTTCATGAGATATCGCTGATAAGGTTCCCGGACATCGACACCGTCGACCAGCGTTGGTGTCCAGCCAAAATCGAACATGGCATTACTCGGTGCCAGGTTGATGTTGGACGTGACCATTTTATCACGTGGGTAGATCTCGTCTATGGATGTGGGGTCCAGAGACGCTAGACTGTCATCCACGCTTGTCCCAGGTGTCATTGATGCGCCTTCGATGTACGGTCGACGGACTGACGATGAGGTCTTGGAGACTGGGACTGGGTTGGAGGGTGGCCCAGCTTCGTCCAGATCCATACCGAATGCTTCCATGGCGCTGGACAAAATGTTATTGGGATACTGGCGCATAAAGTGTTGCATCGGTGTCGAAGAGGACATGTGAGGAAAAATCATGTCCTGGCCCAATGCGTCTTGCGAGCCTGGTTTGGGCATAGGCTGTTGTTTTGCCCGCATCATCTTGGCTCGGGACATCAAGTGGCGGAGTGGCTTCCACAGCATGCCCTTTTGATGGGTCGCTTTCCCGAGCTCCTCATCGTAAACCGACTCGATGGCTTTCCATGCACGCTCAACATGAGGTCCCTGGGGTTGGACGCATAGTTCAGACAGGACGAATGCAACTGATTGCCATTGCATGTGTGTCCTGAACAGCCAGCTCCATCTGGCCGTAAGCGCGGTACTCTCAAGGGTGTGGATCGATTCAATCATTTCGACAGAGGTGACAAAGACTTGCTCACGGATCTCGGGCAGTGTGTTCTGTGGAGAATCAGTCCCTGAGGTATGAAAATGATCGACCATTAAGCGGAGCTTGGCCAGAATCAACCTGGTGACGGTAACAGTAACCCAGTGGATAGGGCGATCTAGATTGCAGTGGCGCAAATACCTGTCTTCGAGTCTTTGCTGGGTCTCGTCAATCAACCTCTTCTGGTCGTCCAAGGACATCTCCGGCATGCCTCGAACGTGACCATAGCCAGGCCGGGAGTAGTTCAGCCGCCTGGAAAGGCTATTCAGTTCGTACCGGACCAGACAGAAGGTCATCTCTGTGGCAGTCATGTGCTCTTGGGGGGGATCCTGCATCCCCGGCCAGATATCTTCATCGTCAATGTTGAGAGGAATCTTTGTGTCATGACATTGCTCCATAAAGGTGGGATCTGTGCCTTGATCTTCGGCGGATCGATTGTCCAGGACGGTCAACTGCCACCATAGTCGCCGTCTCATTTCGGTGTCGAAAGGGTTCAAGCCGAACTTGGGACCATCCCGGTGAATTCCCAAAGCTTGGGCAAGGTGTATGGCCAACCCCACCAAGGACCACACGACGCGAGAGTCGTCGCAATGCCGGACAAAGACGAGAAAGAGGCAAAAGGCCTGCATGCACATGAGACTGTTGCTGTTCAATAGATCGGCACGGGCCAGGGCCTGCTCGGTGGCAAAGCGATATCTCTTGATCAGTGACTGCTGGTCATCGTCGAGGAGTTCCTGACATTGTTTCGGGGTGCAGCTAACAACGGCCCCCAAATACATGGAGAAGAGTAGGGCCTCGGCTTGTTTCGACAATCGATCCAGGTTGCTCACGGCATTCATGAGGATGGTCCTGGCCGTGGGCCGGTGCAGGACACGAACAACGGGGTCAACATTCTCCTTGAAGATCTCCCACAGGATAAAAGTCTGGCTGGGAGTGGGATGTAAACTCCTCAGGTCGACCATGGTGGACGAATAGCCGAAGATAAAGGCTTGGTGGCTGGACTGGGAATGGCGCTCCGACTCGGGCACTATGGTCTCGTCTTCGTCCTCGGTTTCTGAGCCATCCAAGAGGTCCCGCATCTCTGCAATTTCGTCACTCATGGCAGTCCAGAAGGCATTTGTCACATAGCGACTGCGGTCGTCGCTGACCACCAGTCTCCCCACCTGTTTCTCGCCTAGCGATGATCTCTTGCCTCCGTCACCTGTGGCGGTTGCTGACCGATCTGACAACGGGGAGTCGATCTGGTGCGGTCTGGTGTCTGCGCCCGTTCCCACCTGGCCAAACAGCGGCGAACCACTGGTGTTTCTATCCCATTTCACACTCGTATTGACTGCGGGACCATCTGAGTCCACTTGCGCACCCAGGCTGTGCACCACCCCTTCCAATTTCCTCAGTCTGGCCAGCAGCTCTGCATCAGGCGGTTTTCGAGGTTTGCGGGGAGCGCGGCCTGGGCCTGGGAAAATACACTCAATGCCTGCGCGGTCGCAGTTGGCGCAGGGGTTTGCCTTACTGCAGCGAACCTTGCGACGACGACAAGTGATGCAGCTTCGGGGGTTGAGGCGGGGACCAGTAGCAGAAGGAGAGGTCACTGTTGAGGCCAGCGGATCGGTGGGATTGGAGGTCATGGCAGTAGTAGAGGTAGAAGTAGAGGGAGGGACCCCATCGGTCATGGTAGTGGGAGGTACGAAAGGTGCAGGCGGAGCGCGCGACTGTGTTGGTGAGGATGGACGCTGATCTTTCTTGTCGGTGGGCGAGTAAGGTGTGAGGTGGTTGGTTTGATTGAGAGAGTCGAGATCCATGATGAGATTCCCGTCCTCAATAAGTCAGGGGTTTGTCTAATTGCAATAGAAGTAGCGAAGAGAACGAGGGCAATACGTCCTGCGCAACCGACTCGTGGCCGGCGATTTTCTTTAGGAGTAGGGGGAAGGTGACGTATTCGGCTGGGTCAGCTGCTAAAGCAAAAGTGCGGAGGGGACCATGAAGGAGGACCGATACGAGCTGCAGGCTGCCGGTCGGCCGCCCAACACTATGGAAGGTCTATCGATAGGCATTGATGACCAAGCGAACAAGACAGGGGGTGGAGAGTTGAACTTCCATTAGACTGAGAAAGAAGAACAAAGGTTGGAAGGAGTTGTAGAGCTTTACAATGAGCCAACGACTGCTAGGTTTTGGGGCTGGAAAAAAAGGTCACCGAGCGGGCGATCCGATAAGGCCGATGAGCCAAGTCAGCCCCGAGGGACCACTTGGCCCTACCAGCTTGGCTGTATGCATCGCTAAACTGTCTGGATCGCGACGACAATCGAACGCCAAAACAACCCTAAACTTTACCCTAATTCTTACTTACCTTAGCAGCCTTAGGTACCTTAGTTAGGTGGGTACTTGGGTACTTGGTTAGTTTGGAGCTTAGGGCTGGGGAGGGGGTTAATAAGTAAGGCTCCGTTAGGCTCCATCAGGCTCTAGGCGCCTCGCGCTAGGTGGCTACGTAAATGACTCGGGAAGTCAGTATTATTGGTCTCGTGTTGATCGCTCAAACTCCAGACCATACATAATCCTATCCCATTGTACTGATCCAAAGGCTACCCAATGATCTGATTTCCGATATCCAATTGACTGACATCTATGTACCTACACCCCGCCGAGAGTCTCTAGCCCACGTCTCCGCACATATCAGTCGCTGTGGTCCGACTCCCCAGGATCTGGTAGGCCAAAATGCTCAGTCTCTATAGCCATCTCCCAACCCCAAGAGCTTCTTTGCCGTCTGAGCGACGAGCTACACCAAAAGCCGTGGTACAATGCTTCAATATCATCAGAGGCCAGCCGCGTCATAATGAACCGTTGCCATCAAAAGCCCATCAACTCTGATGTAAAAGGCAAGGTGAAAGAAACACAAATCAATGAATGCCTGTGCCCCAGATCCGCATGACACCTCGCTACATAAAAATGACACATTAATTCCCAAACATCCAACGTGCGCGCCAGGTCTGTGGTTCCAATTCAACACTGGTCCCCTTGACCATTGGGCAGAATCCTAGGCGTCGCCGGTTCCATCACTGGCTGTGAGATCTCAAGAGCAGCTGCAAATCCCCATTAGCTTTTCGTCCACCTCAACCAGCCCAGGACATGGAACGTACGCTGCTGACAGAGGCAATCGGGTCATTCTGTCCATCTGTGGTTGCTGATGGACTTTCCGCACTACCATGCACCACCGGCCCTGATGTCGTCACCGATCTTTCTGTAAACTGTGGCCGCAGTGGTGATGATGGATCCCCTTCCCGACCTCCTCCCACCCCTTGGGTCTTGGAATGTCCTGGTCCATTGCTTGCCGCCGAGTTCCCGCGCTGGTGTTTATGGAACATGGCCGTTACTCCGTCCGACGCCACCCTGAGGATCGTTTGCATCAGAAGATTCTGTTTCAGCGGCTTTGACAAGTATTCGTCCATCTGCGCCTGAATGCATTTCTCTCGGTCGCCCAACATCGCGTGCGCCGTCAGCGCAATGATGGGTGTCCGCGAAAGCCTCATCTCTGCTTCGTACTGTCTGATCTCTCGCGTCGCTTCAAATCCTCCCATGACCGGCATCTGCACATCCATCAGCACAACATCAAACCGGTTTGCCTTGACCGCGTTAAACGCTTCCAGTCCATTGCCAACAACTGTCACCACGTGGTTGTATTTCTCCAGGATTTTAATCGCCACCTTCTGGTTCACTTCGTTGTCCTCGGCTAGCAAAATGTTGAACGATTTCTTGTAGTCCTTGATGATGGGTGTCGACCGGCCCTCCAAAGCCGGGATCATGCAGTTGCCCAGGTCAATCAACTGGCAAGGTGTCGTCATGTATGATGCGATCCCCAGGTCCAATACAGTCTTGAGGCTGATTGAAACCGTCGGATTCAGCAACACCATCGGGATGTACTTAAACTTGTCGTGCTCCCGGAGCTTTTGCCCCGTCAATAGTTCATCAATAATAATCACATCGTAACCCCCGTCTGCCGCCTTTGACTTTCGGTCCATCACCGGATCCGGCACATCAGCAACATCATTCACCACCAAGCATTGAAGGTTCAGGCCCTCAATCAATGTTGGCACCTGCTTGAAGAACGGAGATACCCCTGTATCCACCAACAACACCTTGTGCTTGCGGAACGGGTACAGCTGGGAGCTGATGACACTGATGTCTTCACTGGCGTACTTGACAATGCATGAAAAGTGGAATTCACTGCCATGACCAAAGTTTGAAGTTACCCAGACACGACCCCCCATCAGATTGACCAGGCGTTTCGATATCGACAACCCCAGCCCGGTCCCGCCAAACTTCCTCGTGGTGGAGCCGTCTGCCTGCTGGAACGTGTCGAAAATGAGGTCCAGTTTGTCCGACTGGATCCCAATGCCCGTGTCAGAAACGATAAACTCGAATGGGAATTCATCCGGCCCACAGTTTCCTATCAGATCCCGTGACTTCTTGATCGTCACTTTAACTTCGCCAGTATTGGTGAATTTGATTGCGTTGCCAACCAAGTTGAGGATGATCTGCCGAAGTCGGAACGGATCTCCCACCACGTAATCGGGTACAGAGTTGTCCACCTCAAAGGCGAGATCCAGCGATTTCTCGTTTGCCTTGACAGCCAGCGACTTGAGCGCATTGAAGACCGTACCCCGAATCGTATATGGGATGGCCTCGATGGCCATGCGGTTGGCCTCAATCTTTGAAATGTCGAGAATGTCATCGATGATCGTCAGCAAGCTGTTGGCGAGATTGTGCACAGTATTGAGCATCTCACGGGAGTGTGGTCGGAGGTCGTCCGTGTCGAGCGTCAGTTGGGTCATTCCGATGATGCCGTTCATTGGCGTCCGGATCTCGTGCGACATGTTTGCCAGAAACTCTGACTTGGTCTGGTTGGCCAGTTCGGCCGCTTCTCGAGCTGCAGTGTTCCTCTGGATGCTGTCTCGGAGGTTCGAAATCATCTGGTTGATCTTGCGTTTGAGCTCGTCCATCTCTCCTGACGCCTCCACGCTGATCAATTTCGAAAAGTCACCCTCCGTGGCAGCGTCCGTAATCTCGCCGAATGCACGCACTTGAGCCGTGAGATTTTCTGCCATGGTGTTGACGTCTTCTGTGATCTCCTTCCAACGACCACTGACATCATGAACATTCGCTTGTCCACCCATTTTGCCGTTCACTCCCACGTCACGCGCCACTCTCCTCAATTCGTGCGCAAATTTAGCCAGTCGCTCAACCATGTTGTTGATTGTGACTTTTAATGTGAGGATTTCTCCCTGTGCTTGGACTTCAATCTTTTTGTCAAGGTGGCCTGCCGCAATCGCCTGTGTGACATCCGAGATACTCCTGACCTGCGAAGTCAGATTCGAGGCCATGGTGTTGACGTTGTCCGTCAAATCGCGCCATTTGCCCTGGACATTGTCGACCTTGGCCTGGCCGCCGAGCGTTCCATCGGTTCCTACTTCTCGCGCCACTTTGCTGACTTCGAACGCAAATGTGTTCAACCTGTCCACCATGCCGTTGATGGTGATTTTGAGATCGAGGATTTCTCCTTGAACGTCTGCCGTCACTTTTTTGGACAAGTCTCCGTTGGCTACGGCAGTGGTCACGGCTGCAATTTCTCGTACTTGTGTGGTCAAATTCATCGCCATGCCGTTGACATTTTCAGTCAGAGCCTTCCACGTGCCTTCGACGTCGTGAACAGTTGCCTGTCCTCCCAAGATACCATTTGTTCCGACTTCCTTGGCCAAATAAGTAACTTCTTGGGCAAATTGTTGTAGTTGATCCACCATGTTGTTGATGGTGATTTTGAGCTGGAGAATTTCACCTTTACAGCTTGCTGTGACTTTCCGCGTAAGGTTACCTTTAGCGACAGCCGTGGTGACCATAGCTATGTCTCGAACCTGTGTCGTGAGGTTGTCGGCCATAGCGTTGACACTCTTGGTCAGCTCATTCCAGGTGCCTTGAACGCCGTCAATCTGAGCCTGGCCACCTAGAACACCTTCTGTTCCAACATCTGTGGCAACACGGGTGACTTCAGTTGCGAACGTGCGTAGCTGATCCACCATGGTGTTGATGGTGTGTTGAAGATCAAATATTTCACCCTTGGCACGGGATTGAACCTTTTGGCTCAGATCGCCACAAGCGACGGCCTTAGTCACGGTCGCAATTTCTCGCACTTGGTCGGTCAAATTTGCAGCCATGATGTTGACTAAGGATCAGTTAGCGATGAACTAAGGATGGAATGGACTGCAAGTACCGTTGTCCGTCAATTCTTTCCAGATACCGTGGACTCCGCTGATTTGGGCCTGGCCGCCCAAAATACCTTCGGTACCGACTTCTCGAGCGACACGCGAGACTTCGCTTCCAAAGATCTCCAGCTGATCCATCATTGTATTGATTGTGACTTTGAAGGCAGCGATCTCGTGGTCCATCTCGGTGGCTTGTATCTGGACACGTTTTGACAAGTCGCCATTGGCAACCTGTGTAATGATGCCACCAATTTCACGAAGAGCCTTTTGGAAGGCCTCGTTTGCTTGCTGGTGCTTCCGAAGTTCGCGTTCGAGAATCGAAACATCTTCATTCTCCACGCGGATGAATGCTTGTTTAGCCTGCTCTTCTGAATCACGCAGGCCGCGGCTGATCTCGGCAATCGTCTCTCTTTGAGACTTTATCTGTTCGGCCTGTTTCTCGACATGCTCACGCAAAATGCCAATGTCATCTTCACTGACGGAGTGAGTGCTGTCGGCAGGGATGTGGGTTTCTCTAACGGCCAAAAGAGAGTTGACACGTTTTGATTGAGTCAGAATTGAGGATTGTTTGGCCGTAGCTGAGGGTGAATCAGCGTGGGGGTCTCCAAATGGACTGCGGGCCTCGTTGAGACGGGTTGGCGAGGCGGGACTTTGGAATTCACCTGGAGTGTCGGGCAAGGCACGACCGACGACGTCTGCTCTGGACTCGAGATAGTGTATTCGCCTGGCAAGGGCGGCTATTTCCAACTCAAACTCATCTTTGGCTTCAGAGCTGTCACCGGGGAGGGAGTAAGGCGGGAGTTTGAGGCCATTGGTGGAGGAGTTGTTGGACAGGTTTGTCGAACCTCTGGCCAGTCCGCGAAGGATAGCGGTAGCAGCGGACAGGGTCTCATCGGAACGAGACATGGCCAACGAGGTGGTCTCTATTGAGGTTTGGTCGTCATGGGATGCGGCGTCGGCGGGGATGGGGTCGAGACAGGCGCAGTGTTGGTGCCGAATCCAGAGGGTTCGGGGATTAGGCTGCGTCCAGCAGCGGATGCAGAAGGGGCGTAAAGCCACTTTCGCCAGAGATCGGTGGTTCAGGTGGTGGGACGACAGAGAAGCGTGCAACGGGTTGTGGTGATGGTGATGCGAGAGAAAGCACGCGTCAATGGGTATAGGCGGTCAATGTGGTGGAAGGGTAGATGTGCAGATGTGTAAGGTGCAGTCAAGGAATAGGTGGTCCAAGGTGTGCGTTATGGGTTGTAAGTTTCCACCAAAGAAAAACAGAGGGCGATGGAGGGCGATTCGAACAATTTCCGAGGGCGTCCTGGTTCATTGGCTGTGATGCAGGGAGTGGAGGGAGTGGATGGGAGGTGGGATGGGCGCACCCAAGAGCCTATGGGGGGGCCCAACTGCGCTAACAAGACTTGACTGTGCGAGACAGGTGTGCGCCAGTGAGGTTTGGGTGAATGCCGAGGGTGGGTAGCGTCGGCGTCTTATTACCGTCAAGGAATGAAGTAGGTAGAAACTCTAGGACATTTATCTTAGGATCGAGCATGAATGGAGTAATGAATAGGTATCTGGCAGGCTAGGGATGTAAGGTTGTTGAGAGATGAACTTTTTGATCATGGGCGAGAAGGACATCCAGATGGGAATGGCGAATGTCTCGCCCTCGCGCTGGCCTGACTACTTAGGGTAGGGGACCCTTAGGCTATCTCTGTGGGCCATTCGACTCGGTAGGCACCTCATCTTGCCTAAGTACCTACCTAGGTAGTATCTTGCTAAGGGTTTCTAATCCACTGGATTTCCTCAGACAGTCTGGTGGCGTGGCGAGCACTAGGTAGGTATCTACTACTAGGGAGGTGTCTTTTGTGCCGAAATCGCAAAGGCAAGAGCAACCTTGGGTGGTACTGGGGGGCTGAGGGGGCATATAACATAGGTACATTATTAGTACCTAGTACCTACCTGATGCATACGAGTATTTAAGTACGTGTCTAACTACGTCCGGGCAATAGTCATTTTCTCTTGGGATTTCACCGTTGCCAGAGCCTAGGCTAGCCACAGCAATGGTATTGATATGTTTGTCAGCGTGCGCAAACAGTTATATATGACTGGGACGCCTCGAAGCGGTTTCAGAGACGCCGCTCTTTGAAGTCCTGTGTCATTGTAGTTGACTTTTACCAAAGTGTGGGTACCTAGTAGACGGCACCAGCGAGGAGAATAAAGCAGCCATCAACGCTAGTCTGTAGCGAAAGCCAACTGTGGCTGGCGTCGCGCTGGTACACTGGGCTTGCTGCATGCATAAGTGATTGCTCGGTTAAAAGCACTGGCCTTGGTTTTGGTTACCGGAGTTTTGCTCCTCGGGAGTCCAGTGTGAAAAGCACAGACGCGAGTTGAACCCTGCGTCAAGGGTTGGGCGAGTGCAAGTTTTACGGAGTGCAGCAGTTGTGCCAGTTGTCGTTGGTGAAGGTCGATCAACCAACCGTGCAACCCTCTGTGACAGGCCCACCAGTCATGGCCACCATTCCCCTTTTCTCACGGCCAGGGTGGGTTGTCATGGCTGGTGAGCCAGTCAAAAGACTTGCCGAAAACGCCGTGCTGGCGTCAAGAGAACCAAGAAAGACAGCCGCCCCAGAGAGGGGCCACTGGGGCCAAGGGTCAGGATAGGTGGCACTGGTGGATAGGTACTTTAGCCTTTCACGCCTCTGAACCTCACAACCGTTTTGGCTATGAGCAACCACGACAGGCCCCAGGTGGGCTTGAAGCTGACCTTTTAGAGCCACACCCTCACACTTCACTCCCCAACTCCTGTCCGAGTAGGCTGTAGCCCTCCTGCCCTCCAACCAGTTTGTTTTGTTCCCAGTGTCGAAGGGAGGAGTTGTGGCCAACCCTAACATAGGTAGGTACCTAACCTATCTAGAACCTTGGCATTCATCTCGACTGCCCAAGTAAAGTAAGCTCGCTTTTCCCTTGGTGAATGGGCTGTTGAGCCACAAGCATTTGCTCAATTCTTCAACGTGATGCGATGTGGCATCGACACTCTCTCAAAAGCCCAGACGATCATTACCTATCGGTGTGGCTCTATCCCCAAGGTGGTTTGTCTGCACGCATACTCGTAGTGTGGAAGGACATCCCTTGTCAGAAACGCCAAATCCCCACATGTGCATTCAGGGTCTCAATAAAAGTCTATCTTGAGTCGCTGGCAGTGTGAGTGAACTGGGGATGACTAGTGTTGTATAGGATATCCTTCTGTGCGTCTGCATGTGTGCGCATGATGCACTCAACTGTGGTCTTGGATTCGTCTCCTCTACATCCGATAATGTAGTAGCACAGTACAACAACGCATTATGTATTCCGTAAGACATGAAACGGATCTTCTACCGCCTCCTACGTCATGGCTTTTGGAGTAGGAGGATTTAAGCACCCCGTGCTGCAGTGCTTTAGCTTCCTTTCGCTGGGTCACGGGTGTTCGCGTCTTTATCTTGATTCGCCTACCTTTTCATCGATAAATACACGATACTGTATATTTCCAAACACAGGGCCCGACTAGGTACTGACGACACAAAAGTGAGGGTTTGGTTGAGGCCACCATCGATCGGCTCCCTACCTTGCACCCCGCTGCCCAGTGTCTATCTGACGATTCGCTTCAGGGCTGCGACATGTCGCTGACCATCGTCTGATGTTAGTATGCACTCGTACATGTATATTATCTTCTCCCACTTTGCCCCCGGGGACCAAATCATCGCCATACCGCTTCCAAATATGACAATACAGAAGCTGCGTTAGAGTACCTGCAATCCGTGAACACTGGTTTTTGAAACCGGATCAGCTCTTTCGTAGATTTTGGGGGCACGGGGGCCCCGGGTCAAACTTGACGACTCTGCTACCAATGTCGAAAAGTGTCCCAAAATTATGGCCTCCTGGCTTCGAGTGGAGCGATGACGCTCTTGAATGGGACATGAAACACGATGGGCGATCACGATCTACGGAGTACAGCACCACGCAAGCGCAAGCGTCCATCGTTCAGGAAAGGACAGCATGTTGGCTAGCTGCATTTTGTCCCCAGTTAGGTAAAGTAATTATTCATTACAGGAGCTTAGAAAGATCACCGCTGGATCTCACGATCTCTTGTGTTCTTCCAAAACTCCCTCGCTTCGAGCTTCACAGGACAACCAGAAAGCCACGCAATAACCTGGTCATTCCATTATATATAATACATCATCTCGTCATCTCGTCTCGGATCAGCTCGTGACGTTTCATACCTTAGGGATTGTGTATCCTTGGTCCTGTCGTTACCTCATGATGTAATCTCATTGCATCCATAGATCTCATATCAGACATGTCATTCATTCGTGGAAACCATACTCGTTCCTTCTCTCAAAAGCGTACATGTACTTTGCATCAGCAGATCCCACGTAACCAGTAAACCAATGAAACATCTTAGATGCTCAACCCTTCCAATGCTTCAAAGAAGCCCGCGATCGCTCCCGCACCCAACAGACCCTTGGTAGCGCCTTCGCGTAGATTCTGTTTCGTCGTCTTTTCTTTGGCATGCCTTCGAGGATGCTCTCTGCCATCAACCTCATGTGCGCGGGGGGTTGTGCTTTGTTGAGAGAGCCGTGATGGCGATCTTTGTTTTCCATCTTGCGACACGGGCCGGGGTGGCAACGGCATGCGACCTGCGTTGTGGTGGGCTGGATATCTTAATTGGCCACTTGATTGATTCGTGTAGGGCATAGGAGGCTGAGGTTGTTGCGGTTGCGGCGGTTGCGGAGGCTTGTAATAGCGAGGGTAGCCCGCTGGCGACGGCGCGTATGGATTCAGAGCGTTAGCCGTGTGCACAGGAGGCAGTGGGGACGATAGACTATGATGTTGTTGGTGCATCAAACTCTGGTCTGGTGTTGCCCAAGGTCTGTGGCCTGGAGGGAGGTAGGCCGGAGATGACAACCTTGACGCTGCAGACTGAGAAGATGATATCACCGAAGGTGGCCGCGCTGCACCATTCACAACTGCTCCTATCCACGGAGTCGGTGCTGTGTATGCGTGGGTAAGAGGGGGCCCATCATTCGTCCCGGACCTCCGTTCCGCTGTGGGACTGCCACTGCTCCTTCTCCTTGGTTTGGGAAACGACATCTCAGGCTCCGATGTCGATGATTCGGAGCCGGAGCTAATCACATGTCGTCTCGATGAGGGTTTCTTGGAAGCAGTGCTACCTGGAGAGTCCTCCATATCACTGCTTGCTGCGCTGACGCTGGGCTGATACTGTGAATACTGCTTCCGCCGCCGGGATGCTTCCTGTCGCGCAGATGCCGAGTTTGGCTTTCGCCAATCAGTCGTTGTGCCTTCAATAAAATAACCGCGAGAGTTACTTTCCGGATCTTCAAATCGATCATGGAGTGGTCTGTCCTCATCGTCTTCCTTCAGATTTTGAACCGAGGGCACATAGCGGCTCCCGGATGTTCTGTGGTGTTTTTTCTCTCGGATTTCTCGCCAGTTCGTCCAACGATCTAGGAGAGGGTCAATTGCTTGATCGGATACGTGAATCATATCGCGTGGAGAGTCTCGGATACGATCCAAGGTCTGATCCAATTCTCCGAGGGAATAGATTGGAAGTTTGACCAATGCCGTGGAAAGGGCGTACTGAGGTGGAGGAAGCCGTACGGCGATCTGAAGATTGCCACCGACAGGATCTGGAGGAACATTGTCGCCTTCGGGACCGCCTATGGCACCCTGCCTGTCGCGTTCCTCCTCTTGCATAGACTGCTCAAAAAGGTAGTCCATCTGATTAATATGCCAATAGCGCACAATGAGACCATTCTGGGCTTCTGCGCGTTCTTGCCTGATGGCTTCAGTCTTGATTGTAACCTCTTCGGGGGGATCACTGGAAAGCCGTGTCAGCATAAGCAGGACATGATGAGATTCAGGTCAGACTTACTTGCGAGAGGTCGAAGCCATTAGCTTTCCTAGCTGCAAAACCTGCAGCATGACACAGATGCTCAGCTTCAGGCTATCGAGCTGAGCTAACAGGTAGGTGACCCTGTGTTTTTTGAAGCACCAATCGAATCTCTGCCCAGCCGTCGGGGTCCATGTATCATTGAGAGGTTTTGCTCGCACACGGTCGAGCATGTCGTTGATCTCATCAAAGACCTTTGTGCCGTCATCAGCAATCGATTTGGCGGTAACGAGCGCATCGTAGGAATGAACCGAATCGTGAGTCTGAAAGGCGGTTCCAGCCTGTTTGAGGACTTGGGAAAAAAGAGTAACGCCCTTGGAGACGGCATGAACTTGTTGGCCAGCGTGAGCAGCTTCAGTGCTGATGGCATTCAGAATGAGGGAGAGACGAAAGCCTGCGCTGGCGACTCCCATAATTTGCGCAATTCCATCTGCAGCGCACGGTTAGTCGACAACCTGATCGCAGATGGGTCAAGAATAGGTGAGAATCTGCATACCGAGCTCCGCAGTCATTGCCATCGTCGACGGCCTGTAGGACTCATGTGAGAGTGGTAGGCAGGGAGCGGGAAAATTGTTCACAGATGGCTTCAGTGGTTGATAACATAGTCCATGACGTTGGATGGCTCGATGCGAACTGGCAAGTTGGCGCAGGCAGGCAACGTGGTGGGGCAGCTGAATGAGTGATCAGACAACAGCTAAGCAATCCCCCAGTGGGAACGGCCGATTGCTTGACCGGTCAACGAGAGGTGTGGACACTGGGTATCGTGGGTGGACAGTGGCAGCGTCGCACAGTGGGCAAGAGACTTGTTGGAGAAAGGGGCCTCGGGCACCCATGGCACCTCAACTCCAGGGCGGGTGAGATTGTTGGGGGAGGAGATGGGTTACGAGCAGCATTATTGGTCAGAAAGCCAGCAGGTCGAAGTCTGATCACCACCTGTCATGAACGGCTTGCATGAATCTGAGGGGAGTCCAGAAGCACTTGTGGGAGTGGAGGATCGCTTGATCGACTTTTTGGACACCGAAAAGTCGAACAGGGGGCAAATGCAGTCAGGGAGAAGTGGGATATATGTATGACTACTTTAGTGTATCGAGAAAGATCGTGGTGACCCGAAATGTGGCTCCAAACGTTGAAAAGATTTCCAGTTATTTTGGAGAGCATGAGGTCAAAAAGACATGCCGGAACTTACAACCGGGCCTTTTGTGTGGATGCCTGTACTGTGGCATACTCAGTGCCTGCACGCCTAGATAGGTATATGTTGTATTATTATTATTATTATTATTATTATTATTATTATTATTATTATTATATGCACTGTACCTATAGGGAGTTTGCCCATGTAATAATAATTTGCCTCGCCACCGCCCATAGCATCCGGAACACTGCCAGCTAAACCAGGTTGACAGGCTCCAGCTGACGGGTAGCTGGATCATTGACTTTGGCGGCTGCAATGAGGCTCTCACGCCTTGAAGGGAATACGAGAGTTCACAGGTAAGAAGGCCCCCGAGCCCCCCCAACCGCATCCGATCCTTGGCCCTACGGCCCCTTAGGTCTTTGTAGCTAAGGTAGGTAGGTATCAAATGGAGGCTGAGACTCATTTGTACGTATATGCACACTCACGCCGAAGTCGGTTTAACCTGGCGGCGACATGGACACCTTTTTCCCATCCAAAACATCCGGATAAACTTCAATAACACAGACGGTTCGTATACTACTCCGCTTCTTAGAGGCGGGCCAAGGCCTTGTCATTGGCGGTAGCCACCTCGGGACTGGTTAGCCTATGATAGCGTGGATTCGCTTCAAGTAATCTGCCAACGTGTATTACAGTGGGTGAGTGGCCTACAAAGATTTGACACTTTTCACGAGTTCCAGCCTACGAGAGAGAAATCATAAGCACTTTGAAGCTTGCGCACTCCTTCACGCATCTGGCCGGGCTAACCGATCTGATATTGTAATGAGACCTGATGGCAGGTCTCTTTAGCCTAACAGCTGCGACGTGGACAAAAAGTATGTCGATGCCATAAGCTAAGCGGGCTCTTTGCAGAAATCTATGCGGGAATTCTACACGTTTTCCAGATCGTGTTTTGGCTTACTCGCACCGTGCACACCGGACCTCTGCGGATATATCACTTGGCCTTGATGGCTTTTACGTATTTAGAAGAGTTGCAATGCCATTGTCAAAAAGTGGCTTCTTCGTGTCGGCAGGTCTTAGTGTCTTATTCGTCTACCTGGACAAGTGCACAGGCGGTGTTCCCACCAGCTCGGTGGCGGGCAGCTGTTTACTGGCTGGTTCCGGTTAAAGGAAATCCAGTGCCTGGTAGAGGATAGTCCCCTCGTCCCTTGTCAACACCAAGGACCTAGAACCACCAACTCGCCTGTGGGCCAGGGCGGCCAGGGCGGCCAAGAACCTCATCTTGGTGCCATCGACCAAAACCCTCAGGCCCATTCTGCAGGTCTTGTCTCTCTTTGTGAACCTTGGGGTCCTGCATCAAACGTCGCTCCCGCATTACCCATCCTTTCTCTGGACTTACTGAACTCTCGACTCAACACTACATTCCGAACATTCCACACGCCAGAACATCTGTACACGCAGGCTCGCACAAGGGTCCATTGTCATCAGTACACCACGCCTGTAACGACTTTGCACCCTCAAACGCCTGCACTGACACGAATCTCACCACCAACTCAAAACAACAAATCCTCATCCCGCCGAACTTCCCCATCAACCAGTCGCCCTCTTCTCGAGGAGCCGGCCATGGCAACCTCCCACCGATCATGAACCTCCGAGATAGGTAAACAGTTTGCAGAGAGTCTCCAAGACCTGAAATGAGAACAGTGGACCAAAGATGCGCATCTCGATACGAGTGCAGTTGGCACTCTTGGTGCTCTTCTGCTCGCTCATCTCACTCATGGTCCTGGCTTTGGCCGTGGTACGTTCCTTCGACTATCGTGACACAACCATGCTAAAATCGTCAAATAGTGGTTCCAAAATTATTCCTTCATCACGGACATTAGGCTGTCGAGTCTCTCATTGACCGCCTCCTTGAAGTCCGCGCAGTTGTCCAGCACGCTCGACCTATACACCGCCCAGGTCCGTTCAATAAGCACGCGCATTCTTGTTCAAAACGCGCTGGGGAGATATTACCTGGGCAATAACTCAGACGAAAACTGGGTTCGCTCTCGCAGCGACCTCGAAGGAGCCCTAGCCAACGGAGGACTCCTCGTTCAAGCCGCTTTGTTTCCAAACACCAACGATGGTAACGATACCTCGGTCCACGGCCTTCTCAACGTCACCGCCATAGGTGTGAATGGCACGGTCAAGCTGCCTTATCTGTCGCCGTCTGGTGACGAGGTCTATCTTGGAGACATTGACTATGGCTACCCTCCCTCCCTCTTTCCCAACCTTACTTATGGCCCTGTATTGCCCGGAACCAACTGGTCCAGTGTATCCTACAACGGACGCACCATTGGAAAAAACGATGCCTTATATCTCGGGCCACTGATCGTCAATGGGACTTACTCATTGCTCTCCGTGACGGTAGCACTCATCAACAACACCTCAGCCTCCGATGTTCTAGGCTGGCTGACCGTGGTGGTCAACGCTTCGCTTTTTTATGATATTCAGAGTTCTCCTGAAGGACTTGGCCACACAGGGGAGACGCTGATCATCAGTCCGAATACCACCGACAACCAGTTCCCAATCGATCCATTAACCGCAACCCCCCAAGAGCTCGGCGAGCTCCCTGTCAAATTCGTGCTTCCTCCACACAATTCAACTTCAAGGGGGCGACATCAAATCAGAAGCTCCCTGCCCAACGCATCACTGCCCTTCCTTGCGTCGCAATATCCAGCTGTCGTCTCGGCCTGGACCAAAGACAACAATGCAGTCAACAATGCTGGCGCATACATTTCGACGCACAATGAAGACGGCGAGAGAGTTTCCGTTGGATATGCCACTTTGTCTGCCCCATTTGTGGATTGGGTTCTTGTCGTAGAACAGGAGTATAGCGAAGTGGTCGCTCCGATCCAGCACCTACGAAATGTTGTCTTGATTTGTGTCTTCTCCCTGATTGGCGCCATGTTGGTTATCATTCTCCCGTTGGCACACTATTCAATCACGCCGATACGTCAACTAGCTGCCGCAACCGCAAAAACGGTGGAGCCCTACCAACCTGACGACAATAGCGAGTATTCCAACCCTCACGGCGGGACAGTCGTGGATACGGAGGAAGTTGACCCTGATTATGACCATGACGCAGCAAGGAAAGAAGGCTTCCTTGGTGCTCTGACCAAGTTTACCAAACCTAAACAAACCGAGAGAACGTTGACCCCTCGAGGCCTGCGACGAAGAACCTTTAGAATTCCTAGCAAGGTTCCCGAACGAAGACATCTCATTACGGATGAGCTTACCGAATTGACGCGCACATTCAACGAAATGTCAGATGAATTGACCATGCAGTATGAACGTCTCGAAGAAAGAGTGAGAGAAAGAACTGCGCAACTTGAAAAGAGCAAGAAGGCTGCAGAGGCAGCAAATCAAAGCAAGACATTATTCATCGCCAACATTTCCCACGAGCTCAAGACCCCGTTGAATGGTATCCTAGGTCTCGCCACTGTATGCATGGGCGAGGATGATCCGAGTAAAATTCGGTCTACCCTGAGCACCATCTATAAATCCGGGGACCTTCTTCTCCACCTTCTGACTGATCTGTTGACATTTAGCAAGAACGAGGTGGGGCAACAGCTATCTATCGATGAAACTGAGTTCCGCTTGAGCGACCTCAGTACACAGCTGATCCCGACGTTCGAAAAGCAAGCCAGGGAAGGGCAGATTGATCTCAAAGTCTTGTTCCTCGGAACCAACGATGCCTTTGGCGACACCTCGGATTATTCTGGCGAACATCTGTATGGACCTGGTGGCACTGGAAGAGTGAGAGACATGTGCCTATGGGGAGACAAGAATAGAATTCTACAGGTTTTGATGAACTTTGTCAGCAACAGTCTCAAGTTTACTCCTCCGCACGGCTCGGTCACGGTACGTGTGCGTTGCACTGGTATTATGGAGGCGTATTCGAGTCGAGCTGGAAGTGCAAGGAAGTCCTCGTTGAATTCTCGGAAAACATCCAGTAACAAACGGGTCAGGATGTCGGATGCATCACTTGTGGCGCCTGAGACTGGCTCGGCCGACAGAAAGGACGTCGCCGCCAACAGCAATGAAGACTCGAAATTGAGCATCACCGTTGCGGGTGGCACGACCCAGATTTCCAAAATCGTGGAACGTCAGCGATCCATGTCACCTCCTCCTCTGAACACCAAGGATCTGGCATTCGAATTTGAGGTGGAGGATACGGGTCCGGGAATTCCTCCTGAGCAACAGCAAATGATCTTTGAGCCTTTTGTGCAAGGAGATCTTGGCTTGAGCAAAAAGTACGGAGGCACCGGACTCGGCTTGAGCATTTGTGCTCAATTGGCGGCACTCATGGGTGGTGACATATCCCTTGACAGCAAGGTCGGCGAAGGGAGCAAATTCACAATGCGCCTTCCACTTCGTTATGTCTCGGAGAGAAGTGCATCCATGGCATCCTCGACGCATAAAAGCCACTCCAAAGCCAGTAGTCTTGTTGGCCAACCATTGCACGACGCAAGCGACTCCAACATGCACCTTGGGCCTGATTCGACAACCTCGATAACGCAGAGCAGCCGTGACGACTTGGCTGGCGAATCGAACTACTCCAACATTCCCCGGATTGTGGGACTGACTCAACCCTATGTCGCAAAAGATTCCAAGACCTCTTCCGAGGCGAAACTGAAGGAGATCAAAAAGGCAGAAAATGCAGCAGCTCAAGGCGGGAGAAAGGTCCGTGTCCTTGTTGCAGAAGATAACAAGGTCAACCAGGAAGTTGTCCTCCGCATGCTTCAGTTGGAGGACGTGTATGGTAAGTCGTTCTTCACACTTGATGGTGACGGTGGGTGTTAACCAGAGTCGCAGATGTAACTATTGCCAAGGACGGTCAAGAGGCCTTTGACAAAGTCCGAGACTCGATGCACAGCAAAGAGCGATTTGATTTGGTGTTTATGGATGTGCAAATGCCAAACCTGGATGGGATCCAGTCAACGAGGTTAATACGAGAAATGGGGTTCACATCACCGATTGTGGCCTTGACAGCATTTGCTGAGAAGTCAAATGAAGACGAATGCATGGCGTCCGGGATGGACTTCTTCCTTGCCAAGCCGATTCGACGGCCAGCACTGAAACAAGTGTTGAAGAAATACTGTGCGACGATACCCGAGGAAGAAAACGAAGGAAGCTCCGCGTCAGTACCTCTTGCCGGCGACCTTAAAGTCGATACCAACATCAACTCTGTCAACGGGTTTATGACACAGAACGGGACGGGCCAAGCAAAGGACGGCGGGGCAACAAACAAGCGTTCGGAGCCGTTTGACTCAAATGACGTGTCTCCGTTGTCCTAAGCCCTATGATGAAGTCTTATGCACCAAAGAAGGTCGAATGTGTATGACGATTCATCAGAAGAAGACGGAATATTGCGTGGTTTCCCATGGGTTGGATGGCCGCGACCCAGTTTAAAAAGCACAGCGGAGGCGCAAGGGGATTTTGTTTATAGCAATATGGGTTTTGTGTTTGAAGCTGCTCCTTGTTGGGATGCCACAGATGCTGGGACTGTGGTGCTGGGGGCAAAACGACGACCCAAATGAACAGTGTCGAGATCTAGCGGTATACACGCCCGCGTTGTGATTCGGATTAGCCACACAACACAGCCTGCTATCAGTCGACCATGTAACATGACTGACACTTTACCGAGCCGGCGGGTCCTTATCTAATCACAAACAAGAGTTCGCAGACACATGAATTCTCTCGTGGTAGAGGGTCCGAAGGCGAGGAAGTAAAGAACTAACTTTGAAGGACGATTGTCATAGTGGATGATTGTGATATACATTTAGTTAGGTATGTGCTGTCTCTAGTGTACCTTGTGTATATATATGTAGATGAACGTCTTGAACGGCTAAGAAATGACGGATCGACGAGATTTCCATGTGTTAAGAGTGTACTCAAGAGTCAGCAATAATAAATAGGTACCTAGGTAAGTAATAAGCATTCCGGAGATATTGTTCCCTCATGAGGTACATGGTGGGGTTTGTGAACAAGATCTGCTCAGATCTGCGTCTCCATTCAGTGACATCACCAATCTGGTGTCGATCGAAACTCTCCCACCACGGGCCCAGATGCATTCAATCAAACAGTAATGGCAGCCAACAATAATGATAAACAAACAAATTAAGCACCACCTCTGCCTGAACTTTCCTTGGCGGAGGACCTCTTTTCAGCCAGAGGTCACGGTGGCGTTGAGGTTGATGGATGACAAGATGATTATTTTTATTGTTTTCGTCTTCCCCTTCAGCTTTTCCCAATCACGGACGTGGCAGATTCCACCCACCAGAATAATGTGAGGGGCTTCTCCTTTACCCACCACGTACGCTTTTGAATAGAATGCCAGCATTCTAAACACTCCTTCAAAGTTTTTTCGTCTGCGGGTCTTGTTCAATAACAGAACTGCATGCTCAAGAGCAGTCTTCTAGCCAATATTTGGACGCGCTCCTCGATTGGAAGATATTCTGGACTACTTCCACCATCAACCATGGCCATTGGCACGAAGCGCAAAGCGAGCGTGGTCACTAAAGACACCGGGGGCAAGAGATCGCGCTTCCTCCCTGAAGAAAATCGCTCGATCACATCTGCAGCAGGCCCAAAAGCCAATCCCAACTTAACGGAAGCTCAGTACAAAGACTCGACCCTTGAGATCGAACATGGCATCGTTCTGCGACAATACTATCCACCCGAAATGACCAACCAGCGCGCATTAGATTACACTGCAGGAAAAATCGAGAGACCCATCACAACCTTGAGTCGGGCCATAGACACAACACAATCTCGACGCGATAGCGTTGCTGTTGGGAATGCTGTAGTGCACTGGTTCAAAGCTGACACGCGCACCCTCGATAACAAAGGGCTGTCTCTGGCAAGCGACAAGGCCAAATCAGGAGGTGTTCCGCTAATTGGCGTCTACCTGGTTTCGCCCCAGGATTTTGAGGCCCATTTGACTGCCCCCGTGCGCGTGGACTTTGTTCTCCGAAATCTGGCTGTCCTAAAAAACGACTTGGCCACTCTAGATATCCCCTTAGTTGTTGAGACGGTGGACAAAAGGCGGAATGTGCCGGGGCGATTGATCGAGCTGTGTCAAAAATGGGGCGCCCGCCATGTCTACTGCAATGCCGAGTATGAAGTTGACGAACTGCGGCGAGAGGCTTCATTGACCTTGGATTGCTTAGACCACGGAATTGCCTTCAACGTTGTCCACGATACCTGCGTGGTAGAGCCAGGAGAGCTGTCAAGTGGCTCTGGGAGCCAGTTCTCGGTTTACAGTCCCTGGCATCGGAAATGGTGTGCGTATCTCAATGCGCACCCTCGACAGCTGGATGAGTATCCTTGCCCTGAGAAAAACCACAAAACCGCACGAAAAAGTTTTCCACAATTGTTCAACGTTGCGATCCCCAAAGCACCAGAATCCAAGAGTCTGTCCAAAGACGACGAGGTCAAGTTTCATGCCATGTGGCCCGCGGGTGAGCATGAGGCACAGGCACGATTGAAGAAATTCCTGGCAGAACGGATCAGAGTGTATCACGAGACGAGAAATATTCCTTCGGGAAATGGTACATCGACCATCAGTCCTCACCTGTCGGCGGGGACATTATCCGCGCGAACGGCGGTGAGACTAGCGCGGGATGCAGCTCCGCACAAGAAGTTGACCGACGACCGCAAGCAAGGCCATTCCATGTGGATCGGAGAAGTGGCCTGGCGAGATTTTTACAAGCATGTTCTGTGCCACTGGCCTTATATCTGGTATGTTTGATGACAAGTTTGGGGCATGGACAGATCGGGCTAAATCGAGTAGCATGAACAAACCATTCAAGCCTGAGTACAGCAACATCGAGTGGGAGTATGACCTTTCGCAGTTCCAGAAATGGACCCAAGGTCGTACAGGGTTTCCGATTGTGGATGCGGCAATGCGTCAGGCTTCAACAACAGGGTACATGCATAACCGATGCCGCATGATTGTGGCATCGTTCCTGGCGAAAGACTTACTGATTGACTGGCGAATGGGGGAAAAGTGGTTCATGGAACACCTCATCGATGGCGACTTTGCATCCAACAATGGTGGATGGGGATTTAGCGCAAGTGTCGGGGTTGATCCACAGCCTTACTTCCGCATCTTCAATCCGCTACTCCAGAGTGAGAAATTCGACCCGACGGGCCAGTACATTCGCAAATGGGTGCCCGAGTTGAGGGATATCAAAGATAACAAGGGTATTCATGATCCGTACGGCCGCGGCTTTGAAGCAGTTGCAACCAAGGCTGGGTACCCGAAGCCAGTGGTTGAGCACAAGGCTGCAAGGGAGAAGGCGTTGGCCAGGTACAAAGCTGGAATCGGGAGGACAACGGCATAGTTGTCCAGTGAGCAGGCGTTCGAGTGCCCAATTCTGCATCGCAGAAGACGACAAGGAAAGCAGAGAAACGGGCGGGTGTAGTCTGATCGAATTGTCAGTTTCATAGCCGGAAGGACACACGTACATCAGCTGACGAGGTCATAACAGATGGGATGATTTTGTTAGCCAGGGCAGCCACCGCCGGGCAGGAGTTGAAAGGAGACTGAAGAACGCGTCATTCACCAAATTGGAGGAGGAAGGGAAGGCTATGCTCATTATCATTGCGTCCATCCATTCGTGCAGGGAGTGTTGCGGATATGTTGCTGACAAGTTTCAGCGAGATTCGTCAAAGATTAAGCTTCTGGGAACCACGGTGCTTATTTTGTTTTGACAGCTGTCATGGACATGAAAGGGAACGAAGGCTCGAGGGCGGTGCGAGTGCAGAATGGAAAAGGAGAGATATGTGGGGAGGACGAGTATCGGGAGGTTGAGGTGTGGAGATAAGGGGTTGCTGTATAAAGCCGCGTCCTGGCTTTGTTGGCTTCATTTGTCTCCTCAATAAGGTTTTGTTTGGTGGTGTTAGCTGGTGTAGCGTCATGATAAGCGGACACGAGGTCTCGGGTATCATTTTGACATAGGTGCTATGTGAAGTTGGGGGTATTCCGGAAGAAAACTGCGGTCGCATGGCACTGTGTATATGTACTCGTAGATATATGAATACTCATATCTGGGCTTTTGTCAGTGAGCTTGGTATTGTAGGGGAACTTGAGAAGCCTAGCTTGCAATTCCAGGATTGTGTCATGCACGCGGGTCCCTTGTAACGGCATATGGGTACAGCAATTGCGGATCATGCAAGTTGAGACTTTGCAGCACGCGACACAAATTCTGGGATTGGGTTTAGGGATATCCCTATTGCGGAGAATAAAAGCGAATGAGGTACGACGAGGCAAGGTTCTGAAGGGTTTTCAAGCTTGTCAGAAGATGTCAAAGACAGCCACGACAGGCCACAGACAGCACAAAAGTCCTTTTTTCCGGTGCAGTTCTGGTGTTGCATTCAGACCGATTACGCGTTCAGGGCAGCCACCAGCCGCCAGCCGTCAGGGAAAGAGCATTGGCTGACGACGACTCCTCGGCCGTTGCCCAGGTAGTTTTCTTCTTTCCACAAGACCCCGCACCCAACAGGTGCACTGAGGCAGTTGCGTCAGGCCAGTGCTTGACATCGGCAATGTCGGCATCATGCTAAGCAAAGTGAGTGTTTGAATCTGTACTTACGCGTACTTGTGCACGGGGAGGTAAGAGACGGTAGGATTCCCAGAGACAGGAAATCAGGGAATTGGGAGGCCCAGACGCATTATTGAAGCGAAATAGTGGAAAACCACACGGACCAACGATGAGCCACAATCGTGTCCAGTCTCGATTCCAATGCTTCAAACTCTATGTCCATAATGGGTACTTGTATCTTTTCACTCTCCTGATATCAGCACCACAGAACTTTGATATTGATATAAGGCATAACTTCTGTTAGGCCTCCCAGATTTCTTTAACTGGATATCATTGTGTGGTTCTTGAGTGGTACCGCCTACTCAAACAAGGCCAAGACCTTAACAGGGAATTGGCAAACCTCTCCAGCGGCAGGTGCAACCACAACCACAGCAGGCACAACCAGCAACATTTAGTAGCACCCACCAACATCCACGGGCGCAGCCCACAGACATCCACCAACACCACTCCTTTTTATTAACAGCCAGCATTTTATACTTACAGCATTACAGCCCTCGCGCCGCTACAGCCACTTGGCCCCGAAAGAACCTCCATGCGCTGCCATCCTGGTTATTATTGATGACTGCAGCTCAAGCCTCCGTGATCATCAAGCACCAGTCGATCAATCCACCGTCAAAGCACGAAGCACGGAGACAACTCCCAAGAGCCTAACCCAACCACAACCACCACAACTCGTCCATTTTCTCCACCCTAAGCATAACCACGTCGTCATTCCCTGCTTGGCTTCTGCGAGACCTCTTCCTCCGTCGTCTATTACCTGGGTCATGACCAGGGTTCAACGGCCTCACTGTTGATCGCCCCATCTGCCCGGGAGCCGCACGCCTCTGGTTGAACATCGAACCTTGATCAAGTCCCATCTTCGCCCGTCATCTTTAAAGACTGTCCACATTGTCTTTGATTCACATACTATTTCTGTCGCACCAGAGATTGGGTCTCCAGCTACAGCCTTGCCCTTACCCTCCCTCGCCTGTCCTTCGTCTCACCGTAACACCTCCTTGGTCAGACTTCTCAATCACGCTCACACCCCAACCGTAGCCTCCGATCTGTTGCCCATTTAGCACACCGGGATTGATCGACATTGCACAGCTTTTACTTTTGGGCTGGACCTCCACACACGACCACTTTCCTGCTTGGATTTCATACGCTGTTCATCTCCTTTACTTTTCAAATCTTTTCCCACCCAACTGGTTCTCAGTACATCTCTTTAACAACACTTCTCGCTGGACGAGACAGCTGCACTGGACATCATTAATACCACTTTTCAACCAGACGCGGCTCTCCCCGCGGCTGAAACACCACTCCAACTTGAATGACCCCGTAACTTAGGGCCCCAGACCACTTCACAATGTCAAGCCACCACATCCCGTTTCGGATAGCAAACTTGTACAAAGCCATTCTCGCCATCTTGTTCTTGTCTCAACTCTCCTTCTTGGCCAATGCTGATGCCGACTTCCTCGACGTTCGCACCAAGCTTGACAGAGATCGCAGCGGCAAAGGTGGTGACCCCACCGACAAATACTTCCACGAGTCAACCTTCCACCCGCATTACGATGGACGCTTTGCCGAACAAGAGATTGGCAAAGAAGTACGCCTGCCTCATCTTACCGCCTTGATGCAGACTTTTCTCGCCACCATGGCCGACATTGGTGCCGAAACCTGGATTATGCACGGCACATTGCTGGGTTGGTGGTGGAACCAGAAGATTCTCCCTTGGGACTCAGACATCGACGTTCAGGTCTCCGAGACCACCATTGGCTTTCTTGCAAAGTACTACAACATGACTGAATATCATTTCCGTTTACCAGGTGTCCAAGATGGTCGTTCATATCTTCTGGAAGTCAATCCTCATTACACCATTCGTGGAACCGAGGACCGTCTCAACGTCATCGATGCTAGATGGATCGATACAGAGACGGGCCTTTTCATCGACATCTCTACCGTTCGAGTCGACTACGACGCCAGAAACCATGGCATTCAGGGTGCCTTGATATGCAAGGACAAGCACAGGTACAAGGTTCGTCGGTCCACTGGCTCTTGACATCTCCCTTTCATCTCCCCACTCTCCCCCCCCAATTCCTCCCTAGTCCTTCTCAAGTGCTGACAAGACGACCCCGAATTTAGGAACAAGATATCTTTCCTTTGCGGGACAGTTTCTTCGAAGGCATCCATGTCAAGATCCCCTTCGAGTATTCAACCTTGCTGGAAGAAGAGTACGGCAAAAAAGCCCTTACTCTGACAAGGTTTGAACAGTATGCTTCCCAATCTCACCCCCTCTCTCCGTCCGGATTCAGTGAACCCGATGCTAATCTGTCCGCCTTCTCTGCCCTCACAGCCACGAATTCAACTCGACATCCAAGATGTGGGAGCCATACGAGCCAACCCCAGAACGCAGCACCACACGCCGGAGAAAGGATCGCCCGAAACGGCCAGGCAGCGCCTCGATTAATCCTCCTGAACCGTAAAATAGGGCCTTCAGTCTCGAGGTTCTTACTTCGGACATGAAACATAAAAATGTGGGAGGGCTAGGTATGAGTGAGCATACACACGACAATGTGAGATTCTTCCGTTTAGGGGCTTGTATATATCCATGTATATATACATGGCATCAAAGGTTCACGGCAAATTGGGACATGATAGCTAGCAAGAGCGGCATCGATTGGAATACTGGGAAAGAGCAAAGAGCGCAGACAGCATTGAACACTGGTCGGTTGGTTGGCATTAGCGAAGGCGTTTATTCACTTGCACACACAAAACACATACAGCACCTGTCGATTCTATCCCTTCTCCCTAGACTGCACCCACTCAGGAGTGGGAACAAAGTTTGATGTATCCAACATTGTGCATAGGGGGGCTTCCCCCTCCCCCTGATTGTTTGTTCCCAAGGGCGTCATGGCCTCCGATGGTGGCCGAACAACCAGCCTAGGACAGAAGCAAACAAGAGATGCATAAACATCAATACCATGTCACCATGTATGTGCACCACTGGGTACTTGCCAAGGGGTGACGGCAAGTTTCCACATAATCAGAGATAAAGAATGCCGTGATGCATTCTACTCCCTACATAAGGTAGTACTACCGAGTTCTTACTAGTACCAGTCACAAAATACTCGACACCCTCTGGTAGAAGACTGTGGTTCTGGGTCTGCCATTTCTGTATCTACAGACCAAAGCATCGCGAACCATACTAGAGCCTTGTCGTAAATACGATACGCTCTCCAGACCCTTCATGCTTTCTTTGCAACCAACCTCTGATGCTTTTTCATCCTCGCCTTGTTGGTACATGAAACAAATTCAAAGTTGGAAAAAGAAAGGTAGCACCTGCGCAGGCAAACTCCTTCACTCATAGATCGGACGCTTCGTGTTCCTCTGGTCTACTCTGCGACTTTCCGTTCTTTGGCCCGCCAAATGTATCTTTTCAGGGCCACGCTTTTTGCACGCTGAGAGTAAAACGTGTGACCCGAACAACCCGCCTCAGCCGAAAGTCCTGTGAAGCTTAGTCTCATCCAACCTAGTCCAAAGCTCAGCGTAAGCCGTCATTGATTAATAGACAGCCTAAGTTGTCTGTGCGCCAGATCAATAGGCTTCTCTTCCACAGCCATCTTATCCTCGTTTCGTATACAATCTGGCCGCGATGTTCATGCTCCAAAGTTCCTGGAATAGCAACTTGGCCGCATACGGCAGATGAACTTGACTGATTTTGTTCTTGTTGTTGCAGTTCTTGCACTCGAATGAATTCTTCTTCAATTTGGCAATCACCGTCATCAGTCCGCAAATGTCGCAAACATGCACTCGGAATGGATCCGACACATCGAACAGTCGCTCCTTCAGGAACGAACTGGCTCCGTGAGCGATCATGCAATCACGTTCCATTTCGCCGAATCGTAAACCACCGTCTCGCGCACGACCTTCCACTGGCTGTCGTGTCAAGATCTGCGTTGGCCCACGAGCACGTGAATGGATCTTGTCATCCACCATGTGCCTCAATCTCTGATAGTACGTCGGCCCAAGGAACACTTGAGCCACCAACTTCCGACCGGTGTGTCCGTTGTACATGACCTCAAACCCACGAGACTGGTAACCCATCTTGCGCAACAGCTCCGATACCTGTGTCACCGTCACTTTAGTGAAAGGTGTAGCGTCTCCCTCATCGCCGCGTAGACTTGCCACCTTTGACAATTGGCATTCAATCAAATGTGCAATTGTCATTCGAGAAGGAATGGCGTGCGGGTTAATGATGAGATCGGGTACAATCCCTTCCCGCGTAAATGGCATGTCTTCGTGTCGGTATGTGATGCCAATGGTGCCTTTTTGCCCGTGACGAGAAGCAAACTTGTCACCAATCTGGGGCACTTTGGTGGTCCGCACTCGAACCTTGGCAAATCTGTGTCCTTCAGAATTGGTCGTCAACATGACTTGATCCACGATGCCAGACTCGGTTGATCGCAGTGGCGTTGAGACATCACGTTTGACATGGTGCTTCTGTCGTTGACCCAACTCCTCTGCATCCGGCGCCATAGGTGCCGTCTTTCCGATGATAATGTCCTCTCCACTGACACGAACTCCTGGAGCGACAATTCCATCTTCATCAATCTTGTCATAAGTGCCATGTTTCAGGCGAAGGGTATCGGACCTTGTCGGTTTCTCAAATTGCTCGACGACAGAGTGTCCAACCGCTTTCTCCTGGTCATTGTACACACGATAAAACAGCGATCGGAACAATCCGCGATCGATCGAGCTTTGGTTCATAATGACGGAATCTTCCTGGTTATATCCGGAATAACATGCAATGGCCACAATGGCGTTCTGCCCAGCGGGAAGTTCTCTGAACTTGAGATAATCCATAGACATGGTCCTGGCCAGGGGCTTCTGCGGGTAGTAAAGAATATTGGCCATGGTCTCCATGCGTTGATCAAAATTAGTCAAAAACACACCCATGGCTTGCTTGCCCATGGCCGACTGGTATGTGTTACGTGGCGATTGATTGTGGTCGGGGAATGGAATGATACTTGCACACACACTCAAGATCATACTGGGATGAATCTCGCAGTGGGTGAAAGTGTGCGAGTGAGGATTTAACAAGGGATCATTTCTCCTCAGAGGATCATCATCTTGCTCAATCTCCATGCCCATCGATCTGGCCTTGGAATCAGCCAACGCCTCGGGCGTCATGACAATCATGGCTGTCTCCTCTTCTTCGGCATCGAGATACTCAACGACACCAGAGTTCAACAGATCTTCCCAGCCGTAGGGTCGAACTTCATCATTGAATTGGAACCCGCTTTCACGTAAATATGCTGTCTGGTCGAGTCTCGTGATGTGGTCTTTGTTGAGGACAAGATCGCCGCGGTTGTCTGCAGAAGGGTCGTTCTCAACGACAAACAATGGGCGAATAATCCTACCAGCATCACCCGAGATATTGAACTCCTTCTCTCGAATGTCCCAAACCAGACTGACTTGTGGGTCGAAGATGCCCTTTCGTCGGAGCTTGCGAAGATCATCAACCAGACGTTTAGGTTCACGGAGTACAACGGCAAACCAAACCCCGTCAACAAAGACCTTGGTGGCTCTAGGGTTTAGCCGCGGCTCCCAGTCTTCCAGAGGCTCAACGTGCTTCTGCAGGATGTAGTTGAGCAGTGGACCAGTTTCGTAAGAATTAGTGACCATAGACATAAGTGACAGATTCTTGACCAAACCACATGCTTGACCTTCGGGGGTTTCTGACGGGCAGACATAACCCCAGTGCGTATTGTGCAATTGTCGCGGTTTGGCAATTTTCCCTTCACGGCCGATTGGGGCATTGGTTCGTCGAAGATGCGACAGGGTGGAAGCAAAGGTATATCGATTAAGCACTTGTGACACACCGGCCTTTGCCTTGTCTAGCTTTTTCTGGTCACCCCAATTTCCTGTGGCAAGCGAGTACTTCAAGCCGCTCGTGATGATTGTATGCTTGAAACCGATAGTGATGTTGATGGGCTGCCCAGCTTCGACGCGCTTTTGCATGTACCGATAGAAGTCTTTGGTCGCTTTGTCGAAGGTCGAACGGAAGAGATTGCTCATAAGTGGACCTGCCAAATCGAGACGCTTCTTTCCCAGATGATCACGGTCGTCGGGTTCTGCTCGACCAAGAGCACATTTCAAAAGTCGATTGACCATGTAGCCAAGGAAGAAGGCTTTTCTCGCGGTGGCGTCGGGCGAGTTGCCGATGTGAGGAAGGAACTCCTTCTGCAAGATGTCCAAAGCATGTTTTTGACGTTCATGGGACTTCAAGGTGGGATTGTTGCCACGCCGAGCGATGAAATCTCTAGCCAGGTCAGCACCTTGAATAGGCTGACCCTCTTGTAATGATCCCATGAGCATGTCGATCATCTCTTTGTCACTCTGATCGAAACAGATCTTCTCCAAGATGTCCGCGTCAGACACGATGTCCAGAGCCCTGAAAACGATGACGAGAGGGATATCTTGTTTGACATAGGGGAGCTGGACTCTGATAGGATTTTCGATCTTTGTACCGTCAGGTCCGTCTTGTCGCCGGAAAAGTTTGACGGTGGTTTGAGACATCATGCGATTTCCGCGGTCAATAACCGAACGAATCTCTGCAAGATGAGTAAAGGGGGCTGGAGCGGCCTTCTGAAAGACTTGGACGATATTTCCAGCACTCCTCTCCTGGGCGATGAGGACCTTCTCGCTGCCGTTGATGATGAAATAACCGCCTTGATCGTAGGGGCACTCGCCCCAGGCGAAGAGATCTTTGTCCGACTGGAACCTCTCGCTCATAAGATGGCAAGTCATACTTCTCACCATGATGGGGATCTTGCCAATATAGACCTCGCGGTCAATGTCATAGTCGTCTTCATCTGAGCTTTCCCTCCAGAAAAGTTGAGAACCCGAACCGTCCTCTTTCATCACCCCCATATCTTCGGTCTGATCCTCCCAGGGCTTTTCTTTCGCGTAGTATGTTCTTCGTGTCATACGAATGTAGGCAGGGCTGGCGTAGGTCAAACTTCGGAGTCGAGCCTCGTGAGGCATGCAATCTGTTGTAACTCCATCTCCTTCCACCATGTTAGGCTTGCTAAGGGTAACTTTGCCAAACTTAACCTCGTGTCTCTTGATGACGACAGGATTTGGATCATCTTCGTCGACGTTTTGCGCATGGTCCAGAACAACTCCACCTTTCTCGTTGACCAGGTCCTGCATGGAGGATCTCATGAAGTGATTAAAGGAGTCGATCTGAAGAGAAGCAAGCTTTTTGATTTCGAAAAATGAATTGATGACCTTCCAGCAATCTTCTGAGGTGATGTCTTCGGGTTCGAAATCGCCGTTGGCATATTCGGCGCCATTTTCGCCATAGTAGCCATTCGGATCGTACTTTGTGTCTTCATAGTCGGCCATGGCGAGGATGTGGGATTGCGGTCAACGATGAGTGCTGGGAGTATGGTCGGAGGACAGTAGACGCTATGGCGAGGGCGGCGCCGCCGTGGCGCGAGGGCAAAGGAGAGATTGTCAGGGCACGGTTTGGATCGAGTGAGTGGCACAGAAATGTTAAGGAAGAGAAGGGACGACCATGAGACTCAGTCTGCGGGACGTGAAAGATTGACTGAGCAGAGAGTGGCGAGACGACCAATTACCTCTTGATTCGTTGATGAGGACGATGGAACCGAGACTGTAGCAATGAGGGCGTGGATGGAATGTCCCTCTACAGCGACTCGATGTGAACTTTTGAGAGGCGCGAAAAGGAAACCAGGGCGTGACAAGGGAAGTATGAGGAAGGAATGGCGCAGGCAGGTGCTAGAGCCTTGGCGTGGAGTTACGCGGTTGGATCTGGTTCACAACTAGCAAGTAGACCGAGTCAATTTTTGATCACGTGTTAAATGCTACATTTGTCCAGAGACACCTCCCCACGAAGGATAGAAGGATAGAAGGATTTAAGGATTTTACCCACGTTACTATTGTTGGCCTTTTTCAAGGTGCTTGAATGGGTATCTCGATTATTAGGATCAAGCCAACGCTCAAAGATTCATTTGCGCCATCCACTAAAGCAGCGCTATGCAAGGCGTCCATCAAAGAATAGCTCAGCACTCAACCTTCAACGCAAGAGATCAACGCTTCGAGCATTTCTTCGGTAGCTTTTGCCTCGTCACTCTGACTAGTGTCCATGCCGAGAAGCTGGTCTCTGAGGCTCTTCTCTAAAATCTTCAAGCCATCTTCGCCCAACAGAATCGTAATCGTTTGTCGTGCTCCATTGTCCTCGGCTACCATCCAGCTCAAGATCAGCTCGATCGACTGGAGAGAAAAGAGGCCAGCGTCGAGCCTTCGAGACAACCAATCGTCTTCTCTCTCCTCTGCCTCGGCTTTGGAGAGATCCTCCTGTTCCTTCTGTATCTCGGCTTCGACCTTGCTTAGCCGGATTTTATATTCTTTTCGCAACTCCACCAATTTGAGTAGCTTTTCGTAGTCCTTTTCAACAAACTTGGCTAGGGTGCGTATCCGGACCGCAGATCCTCCAGGCAGGTATCGCAGCATGCTCGCAAGCATACCTATCAGATGCTCGATCAGGTTGCGTTCGGACCTTTTGCTATTCATCAGGAGCCCGAAGATGGTCTTGAGTCCAGCTGCGTTGACCAATTTTGAGCATACAAGTGTGGCATGGCCTCCACTCATGGCATGATCAAGAACTCGTAGCGCGCGTAATTTGGCTAGTCTGGCTTCTCGCGTCATGATGAGACAAAGTTCAATACCTTCACCTTCAACAAACTTTTGTCCGGCTAGACGTTCCTCAACGAGGCAGGCCAGACAGTCGAACAAGTTTTCAGCAAACTCCTCCTCATCCGATTCCTTTTCAGGGTCTCGTTTTCGATAGACACTGAGGAGTTCTAGTAAGGCGTCAACGCCTTCTTTGGCGGCAAACCGATCTCTGTTATGTCGACTGCTCTGGAGAAGAATGGCCAAAATCTCGGCAGCATACTGGCGGTTTTGGCCGACTTTTCCTCGAGCATTAGCATCAACCTTTCTGATTCGTCCTAGGAGCCAGGTCATGAGTTTGTCGTTGGCTCCGACAATGTTGATATTCTGAGATTCAGAAAGGATGTTCTCGACTACGTTCAAGATGTGGTAAATACCGGCGCGGTCATTGTCATTTTCTTCATTTAGCCGACCAAGATTGCTCGTCAACAAGTCGACGACGTCGGCCTGCATCATGGCCTTGACCAAAATCTGCCACTGCTCTTCTGTGGTGGTAGAATCTTCATCGGTCAACTCGGCCAGGAGTTCGGCAACGGCGATGGCGATGTCTGTGTTCTCGTGGGCGAGCAATCCCACCAAGCTGTTGGCGCACCCTAATTTGACAAAGTCCTGGTAAAGTTCACCGTGCTCGCTCAGGAGGCTCAAGCCTTTGATCTCAGCATCGAGGTCTGCTTCACTGGAGACAAATTTCATGGGGTCATGTTCGTGTTTGGCGCGGAGTTCGGCATTTTTGTTGATTTTGCGCTCAAAATTGAGGGCGGTACGTCGCAGCCAGGCCGAATCGAATTTTTCTTCAGCGTTTGATTGCTCGTTCTGTTCGATAAAGTCCATGACCATTTGTTCCTCTTTTGTGACCCCACCCCCAAAAAAGCGGCCTTCTTCGTCATCGCCCAAATCGTCTTCCGGGTCGGCCGGCGGCAGGGGAGGACCGGATTCGACCTGGTCGTCTTCGGGAGGCTCATCTTGGACGAAGGCTAGTTTGCTGGAGACGCCGTTGGTGACAGAGGATTCGTGATTGCCATTTAGGGTGCCTCGCGGGGAGGATCCATTTGATATCTTGGAGGATTTGGAGAGGGGATTCGTAAAGGACGACGTGGGATCTTCTAACTTGCGTTTCGGAGCCGAATTGTGCGTCCGGAATATTTCATCGATCGAGGTCATTGTAACTCAGGCCTCGAAGAGACTAGGAACACGGTGACCATTGAATTAAGCGACGGGGAGGATGTATTTGAAAAAGAAAATACGGTTGAGAAAACTTGAAAGGATAAACAAGAGATTGACCAGGGACGGAACCAACATGTGTTGGAGTGTTGGAGTAATTTTGGCCGAGTGTCTCCGAATCCCTCACAAACCGGCCGGAGAAAAGGCGAGGTAAGAGCAGCGTGGGAAGGCTCTAGTCTGGCCAGGGAAGAAGTGGCAGGATTGGCAGGATTGGCAGGATTTGCAGGATAACACGGGTAAGAATTCCCTCTTACGTAGGCCTAGGCACAGCAGTACTCATACTCGTCAAACGTGGGAAACATGCCAAGAAGCATACGCCATGCTCTAGGGAGAATCATGGGAGTTTCTCGTGGCAGATCCACCTCTAAACCAGATATGCATAATTTTGTTCTTTCATCTTTCCAGGGGTCTACCACGTGTACTTTACTTGGATAAAAGACATTATTCTTCATCTCAACGACCAAGAACAGTCATGGTCTGCTACTCTTCGAAGAATGGATTGGTCTACGGCTTTGGGACTCTCGGGCATGTCTCTTCCAACGTAGCAGTATACATGCCATGGACCGGGTATTCTTGTCCTCATTTTTCACCCCCCTTAGATCTCCGTGGTCTCCTAACCCTACTTAGCACTGCCCCAGCGCTATTGGCCGGTCTGAGGTACTTAACATGGCGTGCCTGGCCTTTATTGCGCCGATGTACCTTCGCTCCCATCGGCCCAATTGCTCATGCTCAGCCTTAAATACAAGGGCGGCAGGACAGCGAATGACCCTTTGTAAAATTCAGTGCCTAACGAGAAAAAAAATTGTGATTTACTCGTCGAGGGCAAAGTACAGTCTCTCTATTCCACTAGTCATGCCCGAATAATGTCCGCAAGGATGCATTGCTGCGGATGACCATGCCGTAGAGGATACGTGGACGGATTCATCTGACGTCGGCAGATCAGTCGGGGTTCTAAACCTACAGTTATGCAGACGAGGTCACGGAAAATCTAGGACTCGGCAAAGACTCACTCTAGCCTGACGTGACAAAACCACTACATTTCTATACCCGAGTCCGCTGCCATTCCTAGCATCATCCCCTGGGCCATCAAACGGTAATCCCCGGAATCTTGGGTCGAACATGCCGCATTTGGCAAGACTTTTGTTGTTGTGAGGCTTTAACCCCAGCCAAGTAGGGAACCCAAATTTCCATTGCGAGCAGCGAATCCCGGTTTCACTCGGGGAAAAGCGTCAGGTTTCAACAGTGGACGTTGAAAAAATTACGTATGCAATGATTCAGTCTTTAGAATTCATACTGCTCTATGCCCAATCCACACTATCCTAATGGAATCGAATTTGGCTCGTACAAAGGCCAATGTCTAGCCACACCACACGTGACCGGTTATGTAGACTTTAGCAACACGTCCCCCCCCTGAAGCCTGCACCTCACTTCTTTGACTTCTTCCCCTTGGTCTGGGACTCGGTCGTCTCCCCCAAAATATCATCAAAAGTGAGGTTCGGATTAAAAGAAGCTGTAGGTTTCACTGTTGCTTCAGGCGGTGGCTCACTCACTGCTTCAAGTCCCAACTCTAGATGACTTCTGATTTTGGCAAGGCTAGGTGGAGCTGATGCCTCTGTGGGTATGGACGCTGGAGGAAATCTAGGTGAGGGCTGTGGACTCGAGTACGGCGATTGGTGGCAAGTCAGATATGGCGAAGTGAAATTCGCTCCGGGAAGGTGAGGCGGTGGGAGCGACTCCGCCGGATGCAATGGAGGAAGTGGTGGGCTCTTGGTGACACCTACCCACTTACTGGCGACAGTCCAACAGTGGCTTCGACGATATATGCCCTCGACGCTGTGATCAATCTGATCGGCGGGCAAGTTGACGATGCCGCCTCCACTGGAGACATTGTACCATGCTCGTGAGGTCGAGTGGTCTTCCCTCATCCACGGTTTCCCTCCCCGAGGTCCGACACAAAGAAAATACTCGACCGATTCAGTGAATTTCAGGTCTCTGGCATCCACTACCGCCATCGGCAGCGACTGCAGTACGGCATACATGAACAACCACTGTCCACAGCGAGCATCGACGATCTGGTCCAGCGTCTTGCCTTGGCCTAGTCGTCTTTCGTAGTGGAAAAAGTCCTGGATGAAAGCACTGGCGTTGATATTGTCGCGGTTGTACGACCCCAAAAGAACTTCGTTAACCTCGCTCGAACTCAGTTTCTTGCTCTGCATGAGAGTGGGATCGGAGACAACGACATGAGTCCGGTTGAAACTGTGGGCAAACTGTGGAACAAGTGGAGTATCAAAAGGTATTGGTGGCATGACGGGTGGAGTGGCCCGATCGTATTCGCTCTCGACTCTGCGGATGGCATGCTGTATTGATTCATTCATGTCTTGACTCTCAGCATCTTCCCCCATGGAGGGCATATCAGCTGTCCTTGGTGTGAGTGAAGATCGATCCACCAGCGTATCGTACATGTCGGTAAAGTCCTTGTACAGCTCGTTTAGAAGAATACGATTTAGACCACTTTCCTCAAAGTTGTTCTTCTTCGAGGATGCCTTTGGAGGCCACGCCCCGTAACGACGACGATAGTGAGAAATAATGAACCGGCGAAAGTCCAAGAAGCCCGCTTTCCACTCCTTGAAGCGTACCAGCTTGGCTTCGGTGGAAGACTGAGAGTTTGCGATTCCGGCAAACATGGATGGAAAGTCAAAATCGTCGAGTTTGGTTCGAAGAGTCATGAGGCGCTGCTCGATATCTAGACTTGCCCTTTCCAGGCGATTGATCGTTACTGGGGACATCTTTTCGTACTTGGGGCTTTTGATGGATTTGATGTCATGTAGACGACCAACGGCATGTGTAAAGCCCTCGTTGTACAGTTGCCATGATCTCATGGTCTCCCCTAGTACGATTGCCTCGATCGTCTTCTCCCTACTTGTACGAACATCGGCCAGTTTCAATTCGTCACAGTAGCCAGCAAAACTCGTGGCGGGGATGTGGCCAAAGGTCGCACCATCAGCGTTGGAAAAGCAGAAACGTTTGAGAAGGGTGCTGATGCAGGTGAAAATGGCGAATAGGGTAGGTTGTCTTGGTGTGGCAACCAAAGCACCGCCGGCAAGGAACGCAAAGAAATTGCGATATAAGACGACTAGTTCAAGGTCGTCACCATTGATGGGAACACTGGCGTGGTATAGATTTGCATCAAAGCCCAGAGGCAGATATACGTGCTTTTCTTGGCCCACCGAGGTCATAATGTTGGGAACGGAAAAGTTCATAGAGGGTTGATAAGTTGAGCTTTGCTGCGACGAGGGTCGAGAACGCTGCGGGTCGATTGAAAGATTCGAGAAGGCCGTCTGAACCTGGGGGAGATCGCTATTAGTGAAGACTGGGGCTGCCGGGGATTGTGCGCGGAGATTGACGAGTGCTCTCGAGTCGAGAAGCAGTGCAGAATCGACTCGAAAGCTTGGTCCTTTGCCCGACGAGGGAGGGAAGAGGTACATGACGGTATCGCCAGACTCATTCCACAATTCAGAAACCTGTGGCTTGGTTCAGCATGGGGTCTTATGACAGAAGTCAACAACTGACGCGTTCACCATTCAACAAAGGTGTGAGATCATAGGCAACATGATCTCTCAACCCAGCAATCCATGCTTGTGCCGTAGTGGGACCATCGGGGAACTTGTGTTTATCCGATCTACCTGGTAACCACGACTTCTTCTTTGAGACTTTTGCAGATGTGGGGGTGGGTGACCGTGCAGGAGATGCAGATGAACCCACTGGGATCAGCACGTTGGGCGTTTGTGGGCGGCTGAAGCTACCTGCCTGGCTATGAGGACTAGAATCACGGCTCACGGTCCTGCGATCTGGGCCACTGTATTGACGGCTTGATGGACGTTGTGGTACAGTATCGGTCAGAAAGGGAGGAGGTTGGAGAGGGGACATGTCATTGGCAAGGTCGATGTCTGAGGACGCGGTGAAGCGATGCTTGTGCAATCTATTGCCACCATAGGGAGAGACATGGTCAGGAGAATGAGTATATTGTGGAGAATCGATCTGATGGGAGTCTGGGGTTGGAGGTCTGCTGTCCCTTGAAAGGGTAAACAAACTAGAGATTCGTTTCGTCATATTTGGTCTGGCTTGATGAAATTAAGGACAGAGAACCCAGGTATGGGTTGATGTTGGAAAGGCTTAGAACCAGTGGCGGTAAACGATGGTGATCATCATGGCCTGATACTTTGATACTTTGATGCGGTGATACACGGCACAGGAGGGGCCGGGGCCACGCTGACGGGGTTGAGACCGGTGTTGACTCTTCAGTGGACGTAGTCTGTTTGTCGATGCATTCTCATCGTGTCTGGGATGTGGAGGGGATGACGCCCTTGACAAAAGATTGTGGTCTGGAAATTTGGCTGCAAATGGTCAACTGAATTGAAGGAGGGTGGGATCTGAGTTGAAGGGACTGAAGGGGAGATGGGGGTTTTCAGCAGCAGCACCGTGTTGCTCGGTGGTTGACAGCGTTGGGCCACGAAGACGATAGCAGGCGAATCAGAAATGTGTTTGGAAAGGAACAAAAACGAAGTCAAGCATCAACAGAACAATGGAATGACAGCATGGTTTGAGGTTGTCCAGTGAAGAATGAGAGGGCCAGAGGGCGAGGGGCAGAAAGAAAGGCCTGCGGTCTCGTGCCTGGAACTCCTGGTTTCCTGGTCTTACGGCATTCAAGAGACAACCAAGTGACAACCAAGTGACACACCCACCTAGAATCAGGTCTTGTCCATCTCCTGCAGGCATTCAACCATAGATGGAGAAGATGGACACGCAATGAATCTGAGACTGAATCAAGAAACTAGAAAATAGTAGCATGAAGCAAGCTACCTACTTAGTACAAGCCCACAAGCCTTGGATTCGAGACGTTGACCCTTGCACGCCTTAGCCACCCCGGCCACCCACACTACGTCAATCTTTGCTTGGACTGCCACCAACTGCAACTCTCTGCGACCTTGATTCCACTTTGCCATGGCAGGGATTCGAGATTCGCAGATGCTTTCTTTGTTAGTCACATTAGGCAAATTTTCATCTCTTCTCTCCAACAAGGTATGCAAGACATGTCCTATTCCTTGGTCAGCAACCTCGTCACCACCTCTGGTACCTGTTGTAAAGCGACGTTATTGCCAGATAGCATCGACGCCATCTCTCTTCCGTGCCCTTGAACAAATGACGCGCAGAACTTGGCACCCAGAAACCACGAGTAGCCCATCTGAGACGATGGGACAGACACAGACGCCTATCGACTTGTTCAAGGGCTGGCCAAACCCCCAACTTTTGCCACCCCACCAAATCAATGAGGCAGCAACACACATCCTGTCTAACCCTGACAACAAGGATGTTTTGTTCTATGGGCCAGACGAGGGCTATGGTCCTTTACTGCATCAAATTTCCAAATGGCTGTCGGCTTTTTATCCAACGCAACCCATCCCTCCGACGAGACTCTGCATCACTGGCGGTGCTAGCCAGAATCTTGCATGCATTCTGCAGACTTTCACTGACCCTATCTACACCAGGAATATTTGGATGGTGGCTCCGACCTACTACCTCGCATGCAGAATCTTTGCGGATTCCGGCTTTGACGGTCGTATGAAGGCGGTCCCAGAAGACGAGCAGGGTATTGATTTAGATTACCTTGAAAAGGCGTTGCGTATCAGCGAGGAGGAAGCAAACCGCGCTGGCAACCACGTCCCGAAGCTTAAGCCTGCCAAACCATGGAGAAAGATCTACAAACATGTCGTCTATACTGTTCCCACGTTCGCCAATCCCTCCGGCCGAATCATGTCGCTTCAACGAAGACGTGCCCTGGTTCGAATAGCCCGGAGATACGATGCGTTGATCGTTGCTGACGATGTCTATGATATGCTGCAATGGTCGTCATCTCCGAGCTCTCATATCTCTTCTCTTTCACTCGACCGCGCTGGTCTACCCCGGCTCGTGGACGTTGATCGAGAGCTCGATGGTGGCCCTATCGATACCTTTGGCCATGCTGTCTCCAATGGAAGTTTTAGTAAGATAGTGGGACCAGGCGTTCGCACCGGATGGGCCGAGGCCTCCGAAGCTTTTGCTTACGGTCTTTCTCAGACTGGGTCGAGCCGATCTGGCGGTGCTCCATCACATCTCACGGCTTCATTTATCTCTGACATGCTTGCCACGGGGACTTTGCAAGACCATATTCGCCATACACTGCAACCCGCCTATCATGAACGTTACCACATCATGATGAAAGCTATTCGAGAGCACTTGGTGCCCCTTGGGGTCACCACCCCGCAAGCAGACAAGGAAGTTGCTGGGGGTTACTTTATCTGGCTGACGCTTCCACCGCCCGTTAATGCAACGAACGTGTGGAGACATGCACAAAAGGAGCAGCTGGTGACCATCCCCGGGCCCAAGTTCAAAGTCGATGGTGACGAAAACAACGAAGCTACTCGATTCGATCGCAGTATGCGATTATGCTTCGCATACGAGGAGGTGGGGCTGCTTGAGGAAGGAGTGCGACGGTTGAGTCGGATAGTCAACCAAGAGATGCACCCATCATCTAAGACATCCGAGACATCATGTGGTTGAGGCAAAAATCACCCGCCACGCGACTGCGCGCCAGTGGCTCAATATGACAGCCTCCCACCACCACCACCCTCCTCGTAAGATCCGACTTGTCCTCGTGTCACGACTCAACTTCCTGAGGTTTGAATTCAGCACGCCCGATTTTGAATCTGTTTCAAAAGGTCTGACGAAACTTGACAGCATGTGTAACAGGGATTGCATTGATTCTAGCCTCCAGGCTTGGTGACTTGGGATTTGGTCATGGAATGGGGGCATGTCATGAGGTCTGCAACTGGTTGTAAAATAATGTTAACAATTGGACCATCAGACCCGAGAAACGTGGAATCTCCTGCTGAACCCCCAGATAAGAAAGAGGCTCCCCCCTTCCCAGAATTTTCAAGCTTTGCGTCTGTTTGCTCTTTCCCGCGGGTCGTTTGGAACTGGGCGGTCATGCCCACCGAAAGAGAGGGAGTAGGATGGAATCTGAGGTGGAAAGAGTAGGTCAATACGCCATGCTACGACGAGTCACTCGCCTGTTCGAAACCCTCTGGCACCAGAGAGACGATATGGTTTGGTGCAATGGTGTGAAGCAAGAGATGTGAGTATGGAACGAGGGATTGCAAACAGCCGATGCAAAGGATCCACTGTTCTTTGCCCTTGGATTTTCTGGGGAACGAAGACGAAGTTAGGATGAGATCAGACGCATCATGACAAGCCAAGTCTCCAAGCAGTGCTTGTGTGAGTGCGACAGAGAGTGTAACTTGGATATGCCATCTTTGGTCTTGAAGCTGCAGCTCCACCATGACTCAAAGAAGAGAAGAAAAAGAAGGCACAAGAGAGTGAAACGCGTGCCTGCCGCACAACAGACACACAGCACACGCTACGCCACCCCAACAACAAGAACGATTGTTCTTTTTGCTTCCCACGAGCTGCCTATATTCACCCCCTTCTCATTCTCATCCTCCTCTGGCTTCTCTTCATTGTTCCAGTGTTTCAGCACCATCCATTGCCCGAGACTTCTTCGCCGTGAGTAACGCTTCCCTTCCCCGTCGCTGAAACCCGATAAGACAAGCAAGACACAAGCGATTGTTACGTTGAGTTAGCTGAGTCAGGGCGCAGTCATTCGTTCTTCAACTTTACTCTCTATTGTCGACCATAGCGAGACTGAGTCATCCGCTATCCTGGTTCTGCCAGACCCAAACAACACGCCTCTGTTCTTCCTTTCACCTTGCATCTGTCATTCACGGATACCAAGGCCATTCAGACTTCAATCATCCTATTCATCTTTGCCCTCTTTGCCTTTTGACCTAGACTTTGCTACGTTAAGTCAAATTCCCTCCTCGGAGATCCCTTCCCTTGTCGAATATTTTCAGTCTCGCTGGAATTTGTCACTCTTTCTAAACCCTTCACCAAACGCCTGTGTTAGGGACCTACTGACTGAAATATCTGTCACACCTTTCAACACTCGTTGGTGCAGGTCACTTCAACCACCAATCAATCAGTCAGGCCCCTGATTCCACCCAAATCTGTCCCACAACTTGTTCCTCCTATCTGACCAAAGATTGATCGTATTCCCTCTATCCCTCGAACTACGCCACCTATCATGTGGATATCATACCTTCTGTTGCTGCTGCCATGGCTGGCTCATGCAGCGCCCACTTCCGACTCCCTCACTGTCCAGCCTCGCCAAATCCAATCAACCTATTGGTTATCCCAAATTCAGAGACAAGGAACAGTGGCTTACTCCTCCACCGACTCTGGCTATAGAGTGTTCCGCAATGTCAAAGACTACGGCGCAGCTGGCAAGTCTAATCCCCTTCAAAGTCATGACCTTGTTCTAATCCATTCTAGGTGATGGTGTCTCTGATGATACTATCGCTATCAACGCCGCCATTTCCGATGGCCCTCGCTGTGCATTTCAGTGCGACAGCTCTACCACCTCTCCTGCCATCATCTACTTTCCTCCTGGAACATACCGCGTCTCAGCTCCCATTGTCCAGCTATACTATACCCAATTTATCGGCGACGCACTCGACGTACCAACGATTTCTGCACTGCCATGGTTCGAAGGCTCGGCGGTCATTGACACGGATCCATATATTCCAGGAGGCAATGGCGCAGAATGGTACATAAACCAAAACAACTTCTACCGCCAGATGCGAAACTTCAACATCGATATAATGCAAATGCCGGAAGACAAAGGTGCTGGCATTCATTGGCAGGTGGCTCAAGCCACAAGCCTTCAGAACATCATCTTCCATATGCGTCCTAAGAGCCCCACCAATAGACAGCAAGGCATCTTCATGGACAACGGTTCTGGCGGTGTCATGAGTGATCTTGTCTTCAATGGGGGCAACTATGGCGCATTCCTAGGCAACCAGCAATTTACCACCAGGAATTTGACATTTAATGGCTGCAATACTGCAGTATATGTCAATTGGGATTGGCTATGGACGTTCAAATCTTTGAAAGTGGACGGCTGTGATATTGGTATTGATATGTCTAATCTTGCTAATGTCACCAACCAAACTGTCGGGTCAGTTCTGGTCTTGGACGCGGTCATGACCGATACTGCCATTGGCATCAAGACATCGTACAATATGTCAAGCCTTCCAAGCACCGGGGGCACCCTAGTTCTTCAGAACGTCGATTTCAGAAGCACACAAGTCGGTGTTGTTGGTGCCAATGGAGTGGACGTAGTACTTGCAGGATCTCAACAGGTGCAAGCTTGGTACCAAGGAGATACATATCGCACCAAACCTACCGAGGACAATCAGCCGGTTCGGCGGGCGGCACAAGAGGAGACCTACTTGCCTTCTCAACCCTGTCCAGCGTCAAGTACGGCTACCACAATTGTGACCGTCACGGTTGGCCTGCCTTTTACGACACCCATGCCCGGGTCTGTGTACCAAAATGGGACCATTTCTTGGCCCAACACCACCTCCACTCTTCACGCGAGCAACTGCACGGCAACCTCAGATCCTGCTTCGACCTCACGTGTATGCACCGGAGACGCTCCAGCGTTGGAATTTTCTCGACTCCAGAAGAATGAGACTGCGCCCAAGCTCGCCCAGTCTCTACTCAACGGACAAATCGTCTTTGAGCGCTCCAGGCCCCAATATGAAAACGTGGCTGTCTCGTCTTTCGTCAGTGTCAAGTCTGCCGGTGCAGTGGGAGATGGCATCGCCGATGATACTACGGCGATTCAGAACATCCTGAACTCTGTTACGCCTAATCAGATTGTCTACTTTGATCACGGCGCATATGTGATTACCAGTACGATTCAAGTTCCAGCGAACATTCGAATAACTGGTGAAATCTGGCCCCTGATCATGGCGCAGGGACCATTCTTCTCGGACATGGCAAACCCTAAGCCAGTCTTTCGGGTGGGCCTGCCTGGAGACACCGGTTCGGTGGAGCTGTCCGATTTGATATTTGAAACAGCGGGAGCCTTACCCGGCGCGATCATGATGGAGTGGAACGTAGCCGAGGAATCACAAGGGTCCTGCGCCATGTGGGATGTGCATTTTCGGGTCGGAGGATCAGCAGGAACCCAATTGCAGCAAGACACGTGTATAGCAAATGTGCCAGGTTCCACAATATTCAAACCTGAGTGCGCGGGATCTTTCTTGATGCTGCACATTACTTCGCAAGCCACGGCGTACGTGGAAAATTGCTGGTTTTGGGTGGCCGACCACGAGCTGGACATGCCGGCACACAACCAGACCAACATCTACAACGGCCGGGGACTGCTTGTGGAGAGTCATGGACCAGTGTGGTTGTATGGGACGTCATCCGAGCACCATCAATTGTACAACTACCAACTAGATGGAGCACGCGACGTCTTCATGGCGACCGTGCAAGCGGAAACAGCGTACATGCAGTCAGCACCGACTGCTTTGCAAGGAGGGTTTCCGCCTATTGAAGCGTGGAATGACCCCGGCTTCGCCGAATGTACGAATGATTTGTGCACAAAGACGTGGGGGTTGAGGGTTTTGGAATCAGAGAACGTGTATCTGTATGGGGCTGGGCTGTACAGCTTCTTCGACAATTATCAACAAGACTGTCTCGAAACGGAATCATGTCAAGAGAACATGATTGACATTCGATGTTCGTCCAACATCAATTTATATGGCATCACCACCAAGGCATCAACGAACATGATCAACGTCAATGGACAGACAGTCGTACTTGGACATGACCACATGAATTTGTTCGGTCAGACACTAGCATCTTTTGAACTATGAGCAGTGAGTGGCTCTTGAAGTTAGTAGTGCTGCAGGCTGGACGAAGCCAAAATGAGATCTTGGGCAATCTAGGCTTCAGAAGAAAGGAATAGAGCTCCTCCGGAGACATTTGAGGCTGAGAGTCCTTGGGAAGGGGACAATCATTGTAAAACTGAGATAACAAGGCATGTTGTGTGGGTGCAATAGAGGCAACTGACAGGGTCCCTCGGCCGAGGGGTGGTGACTAGGAAAAGTTTTGTCACATACTCCGTAATAGCCTGCTGATCACAAGCTTTGGACTCGCCATTAATAGCTCAAACTTGTCTGGGCAAGTAAGGTACCTAAGGTACCTACCTAGTATTAGTAGTTTAATTGTGACTCAGTAATTGAGACAAGTAATAAAGATGCCAAGTGAGGGTTGAAGACAGTCTGGTCGTGAGTCAGGTAATTGTGTCGTCACTTACGAGTACATGAATCGGAACCTAAGTACTACATACCTAATACCTACCTCCTTAGTACCTACCTACCTACCTTAGGTTCCTACTATAAAATGCTCTAAGTATGCATCCTTGTGTACTACGGGCTCTTATGCTTCACCTACGGAAGCCAAGTGTTTGGAGCCCCTCGGCCCCTCCCAACCCCCGTCTTCTTTAAAAACTTATAAGTGCTGCCCCGCGCCAGGGTGCCCAGCCAGGTGACAATAGATAAGATTTTACTGGGTATTGGTGCCTAACTAAAATAGCCCCGTTCCACTTTAAATTCAACCTCACCTGCAGTTAATGCTTTTCTCTGTCCTCGCTGCAACACAACACGACACGACATGCGCTGCCTGCTGGTATATATATTGTCTGCTTCAGACACCAAATGTCGTCGTCTGTGACTCTGACGATCAGTGTTTGCCCTTATCCTTGCTCTCCATCCTCTCTTCCTCCTCCATAATCTCCTGGTCCTCCGTCCTGACCGTCAGTCTCATCTCTCACAAGTCTCCGCGCTTGGCCACCTCTCTTCCAATAGCCTCGCTATGACTCTCAGACGACACGAACGCATCCATGGCGATCACGAAATTGATATTTTTCCTGCGCCTAGGGACAATGTGCAGCCCGACTTGACTTCTCCTATGCGAGCAAACACATCTCACCAATTGCGGAACAACCCTCCTCAGAACCCTCCCCCCTCCTCCGACCTGAGACCCTTCAATCCTCTCCACCCTATATTTACCGACTTTGGGCCTCAATCACTCACAAACTACTTGCGATCTCAAGTCTCGAGTTCAAAATCAGAGGCTGCCCCATCTTTGAGTCACCGCCCAGATCAACAAATCTATTCTTCAGCCTTCTCTTCGTCTGATGGACCACGCACCTTTATTCACGGGGCAAGCCTGCCTCTCAGCAATACATCAAATAACAGAACCGTGATCTGTGAATACATGCAGGCTACGTCTAGTCTTTCAAGTCCTGTACGGAGATCGAGTCGACTTCGGGAGAAGTACAGACGTGTCAAAGAGCCAACTGCAAACCCCTCCACGCTCGACTTCTCTCGCTCTTCCGGCAGTTCGGATGTGATCTCAGATACAGAAATCGTCAGTCCTGGTCCTTCAGAGCGATCAAACTTTGAGCAATATACTAGGAGTAGGAGAAAAGTTGGAAGGGTTGTCAATACAGCGCTAGAGGGGCTTTCGTCCTCCCGCGACCCAATCGCAGGTATCAACGAGCTCCACCGACCTAGAAAAGAGCCTTCCAAAAGAATCCCCCACCAACATGTGCACCCTCCTAACGACGTCCCAGACGAGGATTCGCCCAGTCATGACCATGGCGTTCAACCCTCGAGCTCATTGATCCAGGCGAACCTAACCACTTTGATCAACGACCTAGACCAACCTTGTTCAAATAATCCTCAAGAGGAGGTTTTGCACCAGGACTTAGGATCACCTGCGTTGTCAGATACCTCTCTGCACAGTGCTGAACAACCAGACAGCCAGGGCCATGAACTCAAACCCACCCATGCTCCGGAACTCATCTTTCCATATCCTTATCACCATATTGTCCCTGAACTTTTCCCCAGGTCGATTCTGACAAGTTTCCTCTCCGACCCACGAACAGTCCAAACAGGCCCTTCCGCCAAGTTCACAGAAAACAGTCCGGGCGATGATGCGAGAAACAACGCTCCATGGCGCAAGAAATCACTGCCGCTGTTCCCTCGGTCCCTGCCCCCGAGCTCCACTATCGCACCAACTCAATTCCACCTTTCAGTCCTCTCCGGTGACCCCAGTGATTACCATGACAGACCTGCACGTATCATGCTGGATGCATTCAGTACGGATTTGTGGATAGTTGTGGCCAGTTATCTGTGTACGAATGATATAAAAAACCTGCGCCTGACATGCAAATCCATTGCAACATCTCTTGCCGAGGTTCAGTTGAGGAACGTCGTGGTGAACTTCGGCGAATCTTTCTTTAGGGGTGCCAGAACCTCCCATGATACCAAAGACGCCGTGCTTCCCCCCGACTCCATGTTCCACACCCATGGTCACAATTTCAACCAGTTCGGAATAGCTTTCGAATATGATCTCCATGGATTGGCGCATGCACACCCGAAGATCATTGAAAGGGAACAAGATGCATGGTTTGGCAAGTTTACTTGGCCTACCAAGGAGTATCCTAGATTTTCAGCTTTGCAAGCGACGGAAGATCTGGTTGATAACAACAGCCCTTTACTCAAGGAAGCCTTCAAGTACATTACTAAAGCGTCAGAACTCGGTCTGTGCATTACAAGTGGCCATGGATGGTTAGAAGGTCCTGATATCTCCGATTTGGCTCTCCTTAATCAAAGAGCTAGCAAAGGCAGCAGAATCTTTGGCAAAACTTTCCAAGGGGAAGATATCTGGCATACCTTTGGGCGCAATGAATACTTCAAATGGGCCCAGCAGAATACCCTCAACGCTGTCACCCGGCATTTGCTTGACACAGCCTCACCACCCAAACAGGTAGCCACAGAGGAGCTTCGGTTTATCGACAACTTTGTCATCCGTGAAATGGACAGCTTCACGGTCCAACACGATCAGCCCGATTTCGATATCACTGCGCATGTGGGCGGAGCTCCAAGCAATCAACAAAACAACCCAGCCCACTTTATTCCGCCCGTCAACAATCAGCAAGGCCACGCGAATGCGGTTTTGTCCCTCCAGACACTGGCTCGGAATGCCCAATTTCCCCGTACTCGTGGCAGAACCGCTCGTTCCACACGACCCAGCGATGAAGTACAGACTGGACAGTGGCCTCTGATATTCAACGGGTTCAACGTGGCTGCCGAAGTTGGGGGACTCTCTGGCTTTGTACAATCCCAGACTGGGAACCCCAAATCCTCTCAACTGAGACCAGGCTCACTCACAGAAGCACAAGCGCAGTGGCTGATGGAGACTCTTTGGGCTCAACGCGCCTTTTTGTCGGCATATACCACAGCCATCATCACCAATAGACCTAATTTTGCAAATATTCATACATTTCGGATTAGTAAGCTGTCGTCCGGTTTGCTTCCCTCCCTTGAGCAAAACGAATTCTGGTCCAGCCTTCCTGGGTTGAGAAAGTTGGAAATTCTCATCAGTCCTGATTGGCGACAGGAACACACCACGGGTGACAGGGCTTTCCAAAAGAGCATGGCAATACCTCCGCACAAAGCCGCTCAGAGGTTTACCGAGTTTCTACGATCATTTGTCGTGCCTCTGGAACGTCTCCATAGTCTCACCGTCGGGTATTCCGATGGAGGCGAGCATGCTGTTGGGATGTTTGCACGAAATCAGCATGTGTTGCCTGCGCCAATTGTTGAGAATCCGGCTGACTGGCTCACCACAACGCCGAGGCCCGGTAAAACGTCCAACATCACCAAATTCGACCACATTCGGGATCTGAACTTCGAGAATTGCTGGCTAAGCCCCAGAATGCTGAGAGAATTCATGCACCAAAGTTGCGACACGAGTTTGCACTCTCTGACGTTGGATTCGGTCAGCTTACTGACATCTCACGATCCCAGCATCGATCAGCCACAAACCACAATTTTCAACAATTTGCAATGTCAATATCCCCGTGACATGTGGGCGAGGGAGATCATACCGACTGGGGCTACGTGGACTCAAACTCTCGACGCCATTACCCCTGGGGTTACTTTGATTGAACACAAGTACAAGATGGGTTTAATTGATGAGAAGATTCAGCCAAAGGAGGAGAGATCTTTTCGGGGCCATGTACAGCAGATTCATCTCAACAGCTGTGGCTACGTCAAGATCACATTGCCCTCGAACATCAAAGCCACGACTTTCCATCAATTGTCTGCTGTGACCCATGCTATTCCTCCAAGCGACTCTGGGATTAAGTACCGCAAAGACTATTTCTTCGCTGGCAGAGCGTTGGGCTCGGGCTTGACGGATAGTATTTGGAGATTTGAGGACGAGCCTCGAAGTGCGGCCAATGTATCTCGATGGACCAACGAAATTGACTCAGAGAATGCGTCATTCATGATGAGTAAGTTGGGACCCAAGGGTGTCCCCTACCCATGGCTGGGTACACTCACCCAATGCGTGCACCCCATTGAGCAGCGTGTTCTGGAGGAGGCATGGGGCATCAAATTTGGTTGGGGCGACACACTGGACCGATGGGCAGCTGTGGAGGACGGATTCTATGAAGGCGGGACTGGTCGTTTCAGTGGGACACTCCAGAGGTAGTCATCTGTGCCGAGTTGTCTAGAAGTTTAGGAGCGAGCTGGCCGGTATCGGGGGACTTGTATGTTCTGCGCACTGGATGACAGGACACGATGGATTGCACTTTTGGGGGGCTAAAGGCTCATAGGGCTGATGACTAGGATGGCATTATTTTCATCTTTCCATGATGGATGGTGATGCAACTTGATGATGGAATGGCCAGACGTGTAATCATGTGTCATGAAAAGTTTCGACAAAGGGTTCAGTGCTCTAAGGACTTAATCCTAATATTAAGCAACGAGTGTCGTTATCCCAAGCTTCAGCCATAGTCCATTTCGGGCATAGTTTACGATGGATAAACATCGAGTATTCGACACGAGGTAAACGCATTTCTAATATCAAGATGTCGATTCTCCATTTCCCCACTGGTTGGACTGCAGTGTTTAGGGGATATGGAAAGATGAGACTTAGTAGTAGTACGTAAGTACTTGTCAAAGGCAATGAATCCACTGCGAGGCTGGCTGGCTGGCTGGCTCGTTTTCAACTCCCGTTGCCTTGTGACTTTTGATGGTTTTTGACATATGCATGATGCTGGTCAGTGTTTGGCTTCTAGAGTCACTCTGTTGCGTGTGACAAGGTTGTTTGTAGCGGCATGAATAAGGACAGTAATGAAGCAAGTAGTAGCAAACTCCGACTAGAAGTACGCCATTCATACCAACCAGTTTGACGCACCACCCAGGAGATTTCTATGTATCACCATAAGATGAACGATTGCGAGACGATTCACCGACACCGAGTCCAACGCAGGGTCAAGACTCAATCACTACAAGTAGTATTTCCACTCTGTATTTTAACATCTCTACTTCTAAAATCCTGATAGTCTCACAAATACTAGGTATAAGTATTCCTTAATTGGTGACTTTGCCAACAAGAAACCTCCCATACCGGCCAGCCATTCTTATCTTGGTCTCTTTCTGGACTATAATTATATTCAACCTCTTCGATTGGGTTTGGTTTTGGGCCAAAATGTCGTTGCCGTCGCGATCACCGCCAAGTTTTTTGCCGACCGGAAGCGGAAGCGACTCACCAATTGACCATGAAGCTACGGTGAGGATGGCATCCAGTGCACCGGGTCTAGAATTACTGGATATGGACGAATTTCTTGACGCTTATCGACGATTCGTGGGTGATGGGGATGAGGATACACTCGTGGGAACCGGGCTAGATGATGGCTCTGACTGGAGATCAGCAACGCCAATCCCTTATATCACCGATTTCACCGATAACGAAGACTTCCCAGGTGGTCCCGTGTTGGAGTTTCGCGTGTACCAGCAGCGTGCAGCATCTCTTTTGCGGATCAGCCTCCGGCTATGCTGTATGGACAATTTGGCTGATATGGTGGAGGGTGGGCCCGAGGATTGGTGGAGAATCAGTCGGCAGTTGGCCATCTACACATACCAAGCGCTGTCGTTTCTGGAGGCCATGGGTGAAAGTCACGACATGATCATACGAATGTATGCACGCGCACTCTTCATCCGCGATCTTTATGGGTCCGGTCCGACTGTCAACCTATTGGAGCAGACGGACCGACTTGTAAACGCCTGCTATCTGTTCGCCCGTGCGTCCGACGACATTTCCCAGGTCTTGACCGAGAGTGACATCGACACCGTCGAGCGGCTCCAGTGGGGATTTGCTAGGATTGCTCTGCGCACAGTCAGTGCTCTGAACCAACGCGGAGTGCCTCCAAATGTGCTAAATAATGCTATAGCATATCGGTGGATGGGGTTAGATCGTGCAGAGGCGCTCGATATGGCGCGTCAGATTGAATTGGTGAGGTTGAGGCTGGATGATGTGTTGCCTGGTGTCGATGCTCAAACGCCTCAAGGTTTAACAGCGTTCGGGTGGTCAAGAAATGATTAGCAACGCCATCATTCGAAACAAAAACCATTTATATACCTCCTGCTTGGGTCTCATGTACATGGGAGGTGCAGCTTGTAGACCTTCCTGGTTGTCGCAGAGCACGGACGTGGTTGATGCGTTGTGCGGCAAGGCTGGCGAGATTAGGGGATGGTATGTGTGGAGAAACGAATGGATCACGTGACTCTTAGCCATGATATGCCATGAAATGTGTGGCAGATGCAGAGCATAGAGACCGAGTTGCACCAAAAGCTTGATCAATTCTAGGTCTCTGGCTGTACGTGCTGGATTCTTCAGTTGCTGAGCTGCTGCCTGATCTCATTTCTGCTATTGGAAGGGAAGTCCTGCTATGGTTGACCTGTGCCCTTGCTGAGACGAAGATCCAATACAATTCAACTTGCTACCGTTCTCTACTTCGTTAAAATGCAGAGAGAAGCCCAATGAGCCGAGTTCTGCATGCCGGGCCTCTTCTTGGCTCTTAGTGTTTCCAATGAAGGTTCATTTCACCACAACCATTTCCAACCTCACCATCATCATCACTTGGTCATGTCTCCATTTCGCAGTCCCTGCTCATACCCATATCGGGCTAGTCTCACAACCAGGTCCGCAGGATTGATGTCGTACTTTGCAGCCACCCGCAATGGTGAACATCCTGCAATAACATCCTTGATCATCATCTTTGTCATTTCGCTAGCACGCAAATTCACTATGTCGACCAGAACGTATCCATCTTGTGCTGCTTCTGCGGTCAGGGCAGGGTCGATTTCTTTACGCTCCGGGGTACTGCCGCTTTTGTATGGTCGAATGGAGTTGTGGAAGATTTCTTTGACCAGACAGCGATCAACCTTTTGTCTTCGAGCTGCTGGCATCTTAGGCGAGTATATACCTTTGGCCGACATTGGCGCGAGTGGTCAACTGGTGGAGGACTTGAGTAGATTTCTCTTGACGTTTTCTGTTCAGTTGTGTGCCGGATCTCTGTGTCGATCAGGTGCGAAACCTGGCCAGTCGATCTAGAAGAGGGTCTGCAGAGGACAAGAGATGGCACCCAAGCGAGAAGGAATCAACCGTTGAGAAGACAATGAAGGAGTAAAGCCAGCAGCTCGACCAACGTGCTGAGAGGCTCAATTGTTACTCTGATTCACGGTGGGTTGTGACTGGCTTCCTAGTCTTGTGATCATTGAAGTGTAAAGGCTTGACTGGAAAGAGAGAACTGAATACTGCTGATGCTACCAGACCAGATCAGCGACGTGCCAAGCGTTTTCGCCCGTTACTACCAGACGGCTGGTGGCCGGTAGACCTGTGATGTGACTTTTCACCGACCACCTCTGACCATATCATGAGCCTGTGCGTTGTGGTGTTTGAACAGAGTCTGATGCCTTTGTACTGAACAAAGAGTATGGTGTCGATAAATGTCTCGTTGACACTTTTTTGGTGCATCCTGGAGTGTCACAACTTCTCTGGCCTCACACTTGCTGCACCGCACATGTTTCTTTCTGGGCTGTACTGCCATATTTATCAGCACAGGTGGTACACTTTCCAAGTCTCTGACAGTCTGGAGTGAGATGAAGCCAGACTTCCTGCCCATTCTTTACGATCTGGCTCCAGTATCTTTTCCTTGTCCCCGGTGTAAGTCTCTTGATGGTCTCATGGTGCACTCTGAGCCTCACGGCAGTCCATCGTTTTCGTGGCTTGTGCTCAGTCGGTAGGTCATGCAGAACCTCCAAACCGAGGAGCTTCTTGTCTCCCAGAGCTCGCATATAAGGTTGATACTCGCTAATGTGTTCCGGCATGACACGAGACAGGAATTCCAACGAAGCATCAATGTTGAGATCGATGGCACGAACAGGATTCATGGTCATCTTTAACAAGACGCTGGAGAAGTGAGGGTATAAGATACAAAAGTCGGACTGGGAGATATGCACTGTGCCTCGGACCGTCATGAGCCAGGCCGGTTGATCATGCTGCAGTGCTTCCTCGACGATTGATTTGGCTACAGCAAAATTCTCAGGCCAGTACATGAATGCTTCAGAATTAATTCCCAGCACTGGAACCCGGATTCGCCGAGATGAATCATCTGAAACAGGCCGTACCGACATTCCCCAGATGTCGTATACAATGCCTTGGGTGATGTAGCGGTGACGGTCGGTCTGTCTCAACATCTCGACAGTGGTGGTGGCTCCGAAAGAATGCCCAATCATCGTCACCCCGTCCAAGAGGAGTCGATCTTTCCATTGAGACCAATCAATCCCGTCCAATCCGGCTTTCGAGGCGCCGATCGCACCTCTACAGCGAACGTTGCTCGCTGCAACTTTGTCGCCATTTCCAGCGCTGATGTCCTGCATAATTTGATATGCTTCATGGATTTCTGCCAGTCTGAGATCCACTTGAGCATTACGTAGTTCTTGGTCCACTTTATGGCCAGGGTTGATGTCGTGCTTGTCAGCTTGGGGGAAGATGAAGTCCACAAGCTTGTGGTTGTTGCTCAAATCTTTTGCCTTCTGGTCGATCCTCGGCGCTGGCCCCGTGTGCGATGTGCTCCCATCGCCAGCTATTGGACGATTGACCACAGATCTGGGCCCACTTCCATCCCTATGTTCTACCGCAGCCACCACAAAGCCATGGCTGGCAAACTCTCCACACACGGTCGAGTAAGCAGTTCTGGTGCCTCCTAGGCCATGGCTGAACAGAATCAGGGGAAATCTGGGGCTCGAGGGACCGTGACTCGGAGGCGGGCCTGTTTGATTTGTCTCCGTACCATCTGTTGGCGTCGTTTGCCACGGGGGCCAGTGATCAGCTAAGGCTGTATTCTTGTATGCTGGCAGTTTGGTATACCAGGTTGACATGAGGAAAAAGGCCATTGTGGGCCAGGCGGGCATCGAAGAGAACTTGGCGTAACCTCGACTTGTTTGATCTCGCGGGCGGGTCAGCCAAGTCGGGCGAAACTTCTGCCGCACTGAGCTTACAGCCAGATGTCGGCTTGCCTCATGGTGTGCCGGATAGTAAATGGTCATCAAGACTGTCTCTAGGGCAATGAGGTGGACTTTGTGCCGCGTTATGTCAGAAAAGGTTCGGGGATCCTTGGCTGGTATTTCCAAGTCGATGATGCCGACCTCGTAAGGGCCGGAATATTTGGGGAGTTTGCCATAAAGGGGTAGTTTGTCTCGCAGACTCCTGGGCGGACGAGGCTTTGGGTCTTTGGACTCGGGTACACTTTGGACGTGAGGTCTTTCATACTTGGAGTGTCCAAGTATAAACTCTGGGAGGATGGACGAAGAAGGCATGGAGAGCAGAGGAAGTTGTGAGAGTCATGCTAAACGTCGCTGTCACCGTCGCTTGCGCTGTCAATGTTGCTGAAGTAAAGTTAAGGTGCACTTTCGGATTGGCCGGCAACTGCCTGGAAGGCACATGACATCACACGACCAAACAGGGGCAGGTGCAGCTCACAAAGCATCACCTGAATTGGGAAGGAGATGAGGTGAGAAAATTGTACCAGGCAGCATGGGTCGGTAAGCAAGAATTTCCCTTCCCATCCTCCTCCTCAACCCTCATTATTCTCTCACACGGTGTCCCTCAACTACGAAGGCCCGCCGTGGCTGAAATCAAGTCCCTCCTAATCCCTGACCATTCCGCCCCATCTCCCTGTGCTCCGCCAGGAGCAACACCGCAACCCATAGAGCCTTCCTACGATCGCTTTCAGGCCTAGCCTCCCTTGCACGATAGCATTCCTTTAACTTGACCCCTTTACCCGCAAGTAGTTCCAAATCGACGGCTTAATGCGTTTCATATTCTATACCGGCCCCTGGACTCGAATAGGGAGTTGACTTCATCCACTGATCTTTGCAAATACTGTCGAGCAGCGTGCACCGATTTTGACGATTGTGGCAGTTGTTCAAGCACCTCGAGCAGAACTGATGCCAAAGACGCATACTCATCATATTGGATATTGCCTCGATTGAAATCACGGCTGATAGCCTTGTTCAGAAGTCGGACAGAAGCAACTGCGTGATTTGGATATGGGTCGACAGCGATGAATGACCGGCTTATTGGTCCATGTCGAAATCGGCCTGTGTCTGGTTCAAATAACGTGTACTCGTTCTCCAGACCATATTTGATCAGCTCGAACGCCTCGTGCTCCGCATCAATTCTGTCACCCTCCAGTTGGCGGAGCAAATCTGGGCGCTCCGCCGCTTCAACGGCATCCACAAGCATGAGGATGCCCAAGTGATAATGCAGAGCAACCTCGTACCAGTTGAGTTTGTCATCCTGGCCCATGAATGACAACCGTCTCAGGCAGTCTCCAAGCAACGGTCGAATCGTGCCTTTGAACATGTCTAGCGCCTCCATGAGAGAGCTCCAGGCCTCGAGAACCTTGTCCTCGGTGTCTCCCTCCCGGACTGCTTCTTTCACCACGGCTATCATCTTCCAAACGTACAACTTGCAGACAGCAACTGCAGCAAGTACATGGCATGCCTTTTCGGTTGAAACTTCAGTCCCGTCCCCACGGATGCGCCAAGATTCGGCCTGACTATGAAAAGAGTCGGTCAGAAAGGTCTTGATCACAGCCCAAGCTGGCTCAGTCTTGAATCCATGCACCCCAGACGTCAAAGAGGATCGGAAGTTGAGGGAGACAGATGCCGAGGTGTCAAAAATCAAAGCACTCCAGTACGCCCTGCTTTCCAATTTTAGATAGTCTTCATTCAGAGGCGTGGCACGCGGATGATTCGACATGCGGTCTGTTGCTGGTGACACCTGGGCTCCACTGAACTGGCAATTTCGTTGTCGCTCTCGGAGCCTTTGCACCTGCTGCAGCGCAGCTTGGACACAGATCTGGCCGGTTAGCCCCTCGCTCTCTTCTTCATCGCTGATACCAAGAGGGATGGGCGTCAACCCAAATATGAACAAGGTCAGGACTGATCGATAAGAGACCCGATTGATGACTGTCAGCATTGTTTTTCTCGAAACTCTCCAAAATTCTCGAATAATCTCGTCGAGACTTTCCTGCTGAGTAAAGCCGTCCGCCACAATGGGCAACCATCTTGATGCAAACGCTCTGGCGGCTTGAGTAAGAGCATGTTCGATCTGATCATTTTGCTTCTGTCTCTGATAGGGAGATTTGATGACCGATTCCCTGTTGGCTGTATTACATTCATCGGCCATTGAGGCGTCCAATGCGCTGAAAAGGTCTCTTGGAGGGACCACAATTATACTGGAGGGGTCATCTACCAGCGGGCAACAATATCTGCCCAGCCACCAACCGAAGATGGCTTGAAAGGGGGTATCGAAAATCTGATCCAGCCAAGGACCCCACTCGGCGTTGGCAATGTCGTAGGGCGATCTAACAACTCCATCGAGAGGAATCGGGTCTGATTTCAAAGGCGGTGCAAAAAGAAGTGAATCAAAAGGTGGGAGCCTTATGTAAGGTCAGCGGAGAACAAGACTGAGACTTGATCGATTTACCTGGTCGAATGGTCCAAATGGGTTGATAGAACGTTGGTTAAAATTCTAGCAGCCGGTTCGAAATCGTTGCCCTTTTGAACCTGCTCCGGCGATTTTGATGATCCCGAGGATTCGGTGGTTGGAGGCGACACAGGGTGCGAGAATGGCCGAGCGTTGACAATGGAGGATACGGCCGATTTCCTGGATTTGGCGATCCACTGGTCAAGAACGTCAACACATGGTCAGCGACATGATCGTTGCAAAGGAGACGGTCGCAGAAAATGACATACTTCAAAAGTGCAATTCCGTTTCCTCCTAGAACAGCGAGAACATGATCCTTTCCATTCCGGGTTGCCAGCGACATAGCCAGCGCGGATGGCATCACAAGCAACCCTCGAAGTACGACAAGCATCGCAACTGGAGAACTGGGTCCTGCGGGGTCCGGGGGGGTCTTTTGCGATCTTGATGGTTGCTAGTGGCATCATGAGAAGTCTTGCACCTCATTGTCGCCAATTGTAATACGCTCGAGCCAGCTGGAAACCCATGGCTCACTGGCTCTAAGAATGCAAGTGTGGTCAAGTGTTGGTAAGACAGAGTCATCACCTTGAGAAGCTGGCGTCGGCTCTCAGAACGCCCTAGAGCCGGTCAGGTAGGTGGGGTAGTCAGTTTGATCCAACCAGTAGCCGAAAGTTGGTTGCCCAGTTTTGGGTTGGCTGGTCTGGCATTCTGGCCAGACCGCCTTTAGTAGGCGGAGGAGCAGGCGGAGGAGCACTTATAGGTGAGGCCGGAATGATACAGGCAATTGGTGGAACTGCCACTCATAAGCAACACGGCAGGCTCCGAGGGTGTCACGTATACGCAGTAGTAGCCACGATTGCTCGGTACTCGCCAAGTAGGCCAAGTGAAACTCGTCAAGACATGGGTAGGCACCAAGTGGGATTGCAATGTTGTAGTGGTATCGGATTATTGAAAAGTAATTATGCGAGGTATCAGAGTTGGTCCTCCCCGAGGAGAGGGATATGCTAGAATTTAGGATTGCAGGAGATGCTGAAAGAGGAACCATAGTCCGAGGGACATTGGATGCTACTACATCTCATAACCCCATCTGCATCTGATCTTTGACAATAATCAAGGTATTTATTTACGTCACCTTGTATATTGTGCCGTGCTTGAGATAGGGCATCCATCGACCCCTCGTCGTCACGTCGTCTACATACAATATGTGTATAAAGACGAGTAGTTCAATGTCGGCGGAGTTCGGGGATATTCAGTGACCGCCCGCCGCCGACGGCGAGGCCATGGCTGGTTCGTCCCAGACTTGATGATCATGGCTCACTGGGATCTTGTACTTTTGCGGAGCCTGGTCAGTCATAGCTTTTGTGCCCTGGATGGCCTCTTCTAGCCATACCCTTAGTGATCTGACCCATGTCGAACTACAGGAATAGTAACCTAATCTGCCATGGCTTTGTCATGTCACCGAGATATGCATCTTTGAAATGCCCTCTTGACCAGGCGACCTGTTCGCTCTTGCAACGGCACGACGGATTACATATCAAAACCCGATGGACGGGGTGAACTGGAAGTGGTCGTGGTTGGTGGTTGGTGAGTCAGGGCATTTGCCTACTTGATAGTTATATAGTGGAACCATAGTGACTCCCTAAATTGGCCACCGGAACCTAGAGACATAGTGGCCTAGGGGGCCAGGGGCCACAAAGAAGGTCTCGGGCGAGCGGTAGGACCGGTACAGTTCTATGGTGTTCCTTCGGGCAACCCTTGAAGCTTTCTGACACCCGCGAGACTTGGTGACTCGGATGCTTGCTTGACAAAAATATTCGAGCTCATGGGACTTTCGCATGCTTCTCGAGCCCACAAAAGCTTGTGGCCCAGTTGCCATGCATATCGCCAGTCGCCCTCTTGTCGAGGGGCAGGAATGAAGTTGTTCATTCGAGCCAAGACGTCATCCCACTTTAGCGCGGCGTGTCGTCGTACGAGTACGAGGAGAAGCTCAATTTTGTCATCTTCTCCGAGGCCTGACCCCTGCTCTTGTGCTCGCTTCTGGAAATCGCGCCCCACAATGTTCAACGACACCCAGAGAAACATGTCGGAGACGTCTTCTTGGAGGAATCTACCTTTCCCCGATGAGAGCTCCTTTGCATGGTGTCGAATTTGTTGCCGGTAGTGCGGGCTGTGCCCTGCCGAGTGGCTTCGATCCACAATGGTGAGCATCAAGCCAATACAGCAAGTTCGTTCGACTGGAGTAATGTTTATGTCCGACAAGAGTCGCAGGCAATACAGCCACTCTTGGTGATTGGCAGCATTGACTTCAGAGGGGCTAGATTCGTAATCTGGAGCATGGATCTCGTCGTTGTTCGAGACCACGCCGTAGATCAAAGCCATGACGGGTACGCTGCGGCGATAGTTGAGTGCCAGGCGTCGAAATCCGAGCGGAAGCCCTTGGATCATTTCGAACAAGTCGGCAGAGGATTTCCTCACATAGGGACATGCGATATCTACGTAATCGGCCGTTGCCGAGGGAGGGGGTTGGACATCAGGAGAGGATGCCTCTGGCTGTGGTGGATTGGTGCAGATGTACGTCCAGAAGCTTTCCACACTGGCAATGACGAATTAGTCATGGATGGCCAAGTGGCGTCAACCCTAGTCACTTACGAGATCACCAGGGGCTTCAGAATCGTGGGCCATCCCAGCTTGTCCAGACCGCCCCGGAGAGCGATGATGCGGCGCATGCCTTCGATATGGGTTCCATAAGCCACCATGTCGTTCAAGAGGTACTGTGAATTGTCAGTCCAAGGCCAGTGGACGGCAGCGAGCGATGGCAAGACCTACATCAACACCCATGAGAGCGACAATGGCAAACAAAACGGCGTCTTGGGAATATGCCATGTTTTGGTCAAGGAGAGAACGCAGGCGACTGACGGTGCGGTTGTAATGAAGCAGGGCATCTTTATCAGGACCATCGACAGACCAGCATCTAGCCGTCATACCTGCTTGTGAGACGGCCATCATGGCCTCAAAGAGCAAAGCATCATCCATTGCATACTGGAAGATTTGGCGGATAACAAGAGTTCCAGCTTCGGCGCTCAAATTCTCAGGACAGATGAGATGGGCTGGGCCGTAGTATCTCAGGACTGGAAGGGAAGTATCAGTATGGTTGTCATTCAAACTGGCTGGGGTCAAGCTTTACAAAAGTCAACTGTTTTGGACAAATGGGCCCGAGGCTGTATTGGATAGGTGCTGAAAGGATCGGAGCGAAAGCCATGCTTATCGTGAGCAAGGTAAAGGTTGTCACCGGCCTTGGAGGCAGTCAAACCCTTTTCCTCTGGTGATGCAGCCTTCTGCCATGGTAGACGAGGAACGGAGACGGCGCTGGCTTGCGAGGGCACCTCGACCTTGGGCTTGTTCTGGCCACGAATTGACGATTTCTCGCCATCTCGCTGTAGCCTTGCCGATGGTTTGGATCGATTGCGGTAATGAGTACCAATGTAGGAGGCAACAGTGCGTCGGTTCTGACGTTCATTTTGCTCCGAGGGGTGGGAATAGTTGATGAAAGTAGATGTAGGTGCCATGGTGCCAGACCTAGCTCTCTGCTATAATGAGTGGTTTGTCCAGGCCGGAGGATTGAGGTTGCGGGTCATGGGCATCGAGACGGGCATCAACAAGACTGACATGGGATGTCGTTATGCATCATGCTTGGTGTGGATGCTTCTCAAGGGTTTGTTGGTTCTGGATCAAGTAGGTTGAGCATGTGAATGTCGATGACGCTCTCGAAAATGGGGATAATGGAGTACACTATCGATAGGGTTGATGGCGTTTTCATGGCGAGGATGGCAACAGTGAGGGAGCAGGAGTGTGGTTGAGTCAAGTACAGGTTGATGGGCATTGGGTCGACACTAAGTAAGAGAAGTTCGTGTCAAAGAAGGAAGCGATACAGTGGGGGAGTGAACTGACCAGAGCATGGTGGTGACGGAACAACGGCTTGAGCAGCATTGGTTCTTCTGATGGATCTTGTAGTTTCGCGGCGTTTCGTATCAGGCAGTGCCACTGACCACTGACCCATAGTCGATGGTCGATGGCCCATGGGGTGAAAAAAGATCGGCTCTTGAGCAGTCGTGGCAGTGTGAAAGTAGGGCAGGTAAGGCAGTAGTGGGTTCGATCTGGTCCTTGAGAACTCTTTGTCAGCATTTGCCCAGCCACGCGGTGTCTCTTAGCGGATCGAAGCTGCTAAGCAGACAGTGGCACGAGTGGCAGACGTCGGTGGGAACTTTTGCTAAAAGTCTGGAGGGCCCGAGGGTTAGACCACTGATTTCGCACGCTTTCCCTAGCCTTGAGTGAGAGGGTCATCTCCGTGGACAAAGGCACAAAATCATGCCCATCAAACGCCAATGATGGTGGGTCGACGTAAAATAATGTCGTCGGAATAGGTAACCGTTGGTGCTTTGGTGAAGAGGAGGCCACCGGGGTCCCGAGGGGCTCTACATTATTATTCTCCTCAGGACCTACGGAGTACTTAAGTAAGGTACCCCTTGCGTACCTACCTTCCAACCTGCCCTACCTATTATTCCACTACTTGTACCACCACGACACGACATTGGGTCAGCCGAATCTTCAATTCTTGTGTAGTATGATTATAGACCTTGTTGCTTGTGACTGACCCAGGAGACATATCATTTGGGGGCCGAGGTCTGTTAGGTCTCTGGGAGTTGGGGGAGGTGGAAGTCAGGACCTCTACTTGGAATCAGGTACATACGGTATGTACCTACCTAGGTACGCTTCTGTGTTCCCGGACCACACCCGGCGTCATGCCCATTTTTCGCCCCTCGGCCCTCTGTCCACCCTCTACCATCCACCACCTCAACACAGGATGATCGAAGAGTCACACTCACCTCACAGTGTACACCTTGAGGCGTCCTGAGTCGGCTTCACGCTTACTAAAACAACAGCGACAACATGTCAGAAATAAAGTCAGAATTAAGTCTCTCGGTCTCTAGCAAGCACTTCTACCAGCCTCAATGCACAAGTACCGATGCAAATGCAACCCAGCCCAGCAAACCGCCACAACCCTGCTTTTAGATTTACTCCACCATTGTGGAACCCGCGGCCTGTGCGTACGGAGTACAGCTAATGGTGCCCTTGTCGTATATTCCGTATTCTGCTGCTTACCTTATCTAGCCAGTCTTGCATGCAGCTTTATTAGTCAGAAGCGACTACAAGTCGGCCAATTGCAAGGCTATAGTAATGACCGCGATCTGGCATGACAGAATCCTCGAGGTGGGGTCCAGACCTTTCGCTCCGCCCCTCGCTATCGTTGTCGGTGAATGATAAATGACCTTGAAAGGAGGCATTGAGTATTCGTATTGTACCACCGACCCAACTCCTCCCGAGGTCGGCTTCACGGCCCCTCGGGCTACTACCTAGATGGAGAACTCATGCAGATGATGTTCCCAGTGCCACTTTGCGCGTAACACCGCTAATCCGCCACTTTGTGTCTCCACCGTTCTCCCTCGCCCACGGTCATTGACATCTTGCCCCTTTAGCGGTCGGTCCACCCAATTCTGTGGTCGCGGGTTTTGCTGATCAATAGCTCCTGGGGGCAACTCGGTCGTCTTGTCAATTTGGGACATTGCATCATCGTCCAGCTCGTCAAAAGTCCACCACATACCGAAGCGACCGTCATAGTCACGTGTTGCCAACGCAGCGTCAGCATTGTGCTTAATCCACTTGTCGTAAGCGGCACAGCGCGCCAGGTGGTATTGATACACTGCCTCGTCAAAGTCCTTCGACGTGCCACTCGCCACAAACGCCTCTTCTTGTGGCCACAGAGGACGGCAAAACTCAGTCAGGTGATGGAAGAAGATGCCCTTAAATGTCTGCCCATTCTGACTGCAGTAGCCGCCGTGGTCGCAGACCTCTTCCAATACACCGCCTCGGCCCAGACCAGCCCACGATGGCCCGTCATTGGGCCAACCCGTGGCACGGATGACGTTTTCCACCAACTTGTGGCCGTCGTCGAGATAACTCCGAGCACCTGTCGCGAGCCACAGGCCACGACCAGCCGACAGGATCACCCCTTGGTTGTATGTGTAGACCATCGAGTCGAGCTCATCGCATTGCTCGGTGCCTGGGTTGATGGTGCCGTTGGGATAACGGCGCCATCCCCTGATGTGAAATCCATCTTGGTATAATCCCGACTTTTCGTTGGCCATGTTGCTTTCGACGAGCCACTTGTAGCTCTTGATTGCGTTGTCCAAATATACAGGATCACGTGGCTGCGGGAGACTGTCCGACGTCTGCGACATGAACGGCGACGTATTGTTATCACCGGGAAAATACAAGTACATGGCAATACTTGCGGCCGCGAAGAGTTCGTTGGTAATGGCATTTTTGTAAGGTGTTAGGTAGGGATTCCAGGTCATGCCACCTCCGCAGAGAGACTCGTCCCAACCAGCAGACGCAAGATCGTAAAAGACGCGGGCGCGATGTGCAGCCATCGGCTTAAACTGCAAACCATACCAGCCTCCCGAGGATATGGATGTGGGGGACTGGGACAGGGGCAAGTCCCAATGCTTAGATGCAAAAAGATCCACCAATTTCACATTCTCGAGCCAGCCGAGAACCACCCATAGCATGTCATCAAAGGCTTGATTGCGCAAAGAAAAGGCATTTTCTCCAAAGTAGAAACTCGAAGTATGTGCAAAATATCGGTCGATGGTGTTCTGCCACTCCAACAATTCAGAACATGAGGATGTCAAAGAGACGTCGGCTGAGGCCACAATGCTGGATAGGGTCGCCGAGACATGAGTGCCCATGACTGCCGCAGTCCAATCGATAGCAGCGGGCCATGTCCCCGTCGAGAGGTCAAAATATGAATTCTGCATGACCTGAAGTGCTCCCAAGGTATCACGCAGGCTGTGCGACCGGTGGTCCTTTGTATTTCCTAGCTCTTGTTGGCCGCCCGACCCGGCCAGATACATATAATGTCCAGCATCCGCATCTTTTCTGTCGATAATTGCCGATCTCGCGATGTTGGACCAGCCGAGCAGCAGGAGAGATGGTGGAAATCGCATGGTTGCTAGATCAAGTCGACGCTGTAGATCATTGTCAAAACGTAAGCAAAGGCACACAAAGATGCAACAAGAGCTCGACTTCTACAAGCAATAAAACTGCAAGATGAGGGTCATCAAGTCGACCGAGAAGAGTGATCACGAGGAGGAAAGGAGCTTGTGATCATGTTGGTACAAGAGACTGACAACAGAATCATGCAAGGAACCAATGGTTTTCTTGCAGCGTCGCAGGAGGAGGCTTGGAATCTGGAGTAAGCAAGGCACGGCAAGTCAGGATGGTGGCAATCGTCATCAAACCTATCAAAAAGGAGGGAACAGGGCAGATGCATGAGCGTGCCACGCGGGGCGGTGCGCCAATGACATTGGTATCATCGGCGCTATGAATTAGGGTCAGATGGCGCCGCTCGGCGGCCCCCCTTCGCCCGGCGGGGTGTGGGCTAAGAGGCCTCGGGCTTCTATATCTAAGTACTGTATGCCCGAGGCCCCTCGGCCCTACTGGGACTAACTTATGGCGGTGTTTCTGCTGCGTGACACTCAACGATATGGGGCGAGTAATGCAAAGAAATACAACGTTCATCACACTCACTCTCGGCTATGCCTGTCGTGACTTCTCGTTCACGCGTAGAAACTTCCTATGATATAACCAAGTACCTAGTAGTCAAGCTCCTTGCCCCATTTTCCCTAATGTTTGATGCTTTCCTACCTACCTAGGTAGATTCTATTTGTCGCTCGAGACACTTTACCGCCCGCCTCTCAACCCGAAAGACATCAATGTCCTAGGTTAATGAACATGTTTGGCTTTCAAGAGGCCTGCATAAAGTTCCATATATTCCTTTGTCGGTTTCCCATGCCAGGAATTATGTTGTGTGGTGGTCGTTCCCCCTATCCATGGCAGCACCTGGGTCGGTTTTTTTACTTTCAATCAAACAAAGAAACAAGCCTCGAAATCGGCGCCACTCCGGTTGACAACACACCTACCGCAATCCTGTCGCACTTGCTAACTCATTCTCCTTGCTGGGAAACCCCTCTGCAACCTCAAGAGCCTAAACTTTCGATCTTAGGCCTGTGTCCAAAATCCCCCACTCGACAGCTCATTTGTGCGTGGTACGCCCCCCTAGTCTCGGGCAGTGAAGTATGCAGAGATCACGACTGCCGGCACGAGGTTTGATCATGCCTGAACTGGTGGCGATCTGTTGCCGGGCACATGGGAACACCAGTGGGGATAGTGTCCTTCCCTCGGCAGATATGGTAGGCTATCCCCTTGATATATGTGACTGGAGGAGCCAGTCATTCTGCACAGGCTCGTGATGATCTTGCCGATGGCATAAACGTATAAACTGCTCGGAGGGCATTGACAGGCTCCCAGTGATTGCGGAAAGACTCCCGGGAGGCTTGATCAGTGTGCCTGACAAAGTCCGTGATAGTTTGCCGCAACTTGATGATGCATCCTCGTACATATCTTGTCCTTTTCGTCGCTCTATCGGAGAATCTCTCCGAGGCATAGGCATGGAGCAGCTTCTCCTATGAGTTGGGTCGACTGGGAACGTACTCCGGATGAAGACGTCAAAGCTGGGCAGAGTACAAAGCTGACCTCTCGGCAACTTTGAAGGAGAGGAGTCGGTATTGACACCGGGGTGCGCCCCTGTGGAAGACTGGAAAAATCCCTCCACGGGTACGATAGGAGGTGAGATGCTGGTGCTACCCTCAGATCGACCATCCTCCCCGTCACCTACTCGGTGAACTTTTCGTCCGACTGTCATGTGGTGATAGTGGAGGCGACAGGCAAGCGGCGATTTGTCTAGAGAGTGTGCAATGTCCTTGTAAGACATCTTTCGATCACGGCTCCGGACCAAGAAAGACTCCTGCATCACCATCAGCAATTGTATCCAGCACAACGGCGGTGGTAAATTGCTCACCTCTTCATCGGTCCAACACCGAATTAGCTTCCCTTGTCGCACCTTGTCCTTCCTCACTTTCCCAGATGGGCTTTGTATTCGAGGCAGTCGGTTGCTTGGGCGTCCAAGGGGCGATGTTTGAACAGGGGACGCCATAAGAGATTCGTCGGACAATGATAGACTCGCATCAAGAGCAATGCGGCTTTGGGACGAGCGAGATGTTCTCTGAGAACGTGATCGAGTTCGATGTCGTTGACCTGGGACGTATGAATGGAGCCCGGGAGTTCAACCTGCCTTACTTCAAAGTCTTTTTCTGTCTTCATCTCCGTGACAAACAAAGATGAATGCTGAGATCAGACCTGTGCTCAACAATAGCAAGGCAGACTCAACGATGGCTTCGTCTGAAGGGCCTCAATGTGACCTCCAAGTACGCATAGACTATCGACTTGTCACCATGAGTGCCTGACCGAATGTGGCCAAGAGGGGCCATATAGGCGCCAGAACAGCCGCATGTTTCTTCGTCGCAGCGGGCTATGGGCAGCTAGACCTTGTGGGGGATGATGGGATCACAAAAGGCGAGGACAGGTACAGGTCCCGGGGCCAAACTATCTGACAGCGTCAGAAACCCGGAGCATGCCAACTGCAGCATATTGCCATCTCGGACCTCAGTCGGCCCATTTGGCGGTCCAACAAACAGTCACCCAGTAAGACGATTAGGGCACTAGCAAGGCCATGAAGCTGCCAACCAGCGTAGGTCCCAGTCCTCGGCTACCATGACATGTGACAAAAGCCCCAGGAGATTGCAAGACTTCTTGGGACCATCATTGCCTCCAAGTCTCTTTGGGGATAGGGCTAAAGAGCAAGACCGGACGGCGTTGATCCATCCCCAGGTGCATGCGGAGCCCTCCCAAAGGAGGTGCATTTGTGGTTGCTTGAAGGAGTGGCCATGTTCTCCTCGTAGACCCATGTGGGCGAATGAGATGGGTCGCGGAAGATCAACAAGCGCCCAGGCTGTTGGCGGCTAATCTGCACATGCAAGAAGCCCCAATACAGGGCCAGCTAAGGCATGCAGGCAGCAACGAGCCACGGCCCTATGGCAGACTATTGAGAATGGAGGCATTAGAGCGAAGACGAGGATGGCTCTAATGTGGCATTTGGCTGCGTCGTGGTGGGGGGGTGTTCCTTGGTGGTGGTGACATGGACAAGGTACGCCGCAACAAGTCCATGGCATGATTGGGTGATCCTGCTGAAGAGCCGCCTCGAAACAAAGAAAAGATAACTCACTGGTTGTTCCCGAAAGTATCCGACTTCTTGTGCACGTATGAAGTTTCCATTGATGCGATTCGAGCGTGACTTTGCTTACAGACCTGGAGAATCTCCCATCTCAGAACTCCATGGTGCAAAGACTCTGCATGATGCGTAGAAAACCAGCCAGCCAGGAGTCACGTTTTGTTTAGAGTCATGGGACTTGGCCATCAAGAACATGAAGAGGTTTGACTTCCCACCAGCGCCTGGAGGCCGCATTCGCGATATTGTGAAGACATCTGGTAAAACCTAGTAAGTCGTTGCCAGCCTACCCAGATTCCCCAGACAAGAACAACACAGGGGTGGGCCCAGCCGCTAGTTTAAAGGCGAAGCCATATCACGGCGGGTATAAATGTCCGACACCAAAACCCTGTATGGTCACATAGGTCAAGGCAGACTGACCGTATGCTACCATTAAAGGCCCCTCCAGAGCCACTCAATAATGTCTCTTCTCCTGACAAGCTTTCCTTGACGCCCATCTGATGGCCAGGGAACAATATTCATGGGTTGCATCTTGGGTCTTGTTATTGGTCCACGTGACCATGTGACAACGTGACCACGCGAGTCCGCGTCAGCGTCGCGTTGTCACTGCTTGATAGATACTTCACCGAAGCCCCGCCACTGCACCGCATAGAGCCAAGTCGAGTTTGTTCATTACGCCATTTCTGCCACGGCTGGTCATTCAATGTCCTCTGCGTTTATTGTTCTTGAGGATAGGCCACAACTTCTTCCTCCAAACTCTGTGATATCCCGACGCTCGTCTCTCTCATCTTGAAGATTCCCACGATGGATCAAGCACAGACCAAGGCATTGATCGCCATTCAACCATTTGTCCACCTTGCAACGACTCAGAAATCACCCACCCCTCGCTTCATCGCCGACTTAATCAATCGAGCCATTTCCGCGCCTGGAACTTACCTCTTCACCGAACTTCTCCAGACACCTGCTGTGCAAGCCCTAAAAGGGACTGACAGTGACCCATGGGTGACGTTGTTAGAGATCTTCAGCTGGGGCACACTGGATGAATACCAAGGTAGTGGCTTTTTTGATTCGTGCCTGGTGACATCGTCCACTAACCTCTACATCCTTTCTCACAGCCACTTCAAATCTTCCATCACTTGACGCTGCACAGACCTACAAACTGCGCCAATTGACTCTGCTCACACTGGCCTCGCCATTTGCGCCACTCAACGACACCAATGCCACGCATCACCTGACCTATGCATCTCTGATGTCCTCTCTCTCCCTTTCTTCTCCCAGCGAACTCGAATCCCTTGTGACTCAGTCAATCTACTCAGGCCTGCTCACTGCCCGCTTGTCTCCAACGTCTGACCCGCCCGTCGTGCGAGTGACTTCGGTAGCTCCTCTGCGAGATCTCCGACCCCAGTCGCTACCTGCACTATTACAAATTCTCGAGACGTGGGAGTCTCGCTGTGTCTCACAAGTGGCCGATCTGCAAAGCCAGCTCGAAACGATTAGAACGATAGCCAGCAGAAGAACGTCACTACAAAGCCGTCGGCAAGCAGAAATTGACACGGCAGTTCTCAGCGATAAGGTCGATGGGGCTGCGGAAAAGGCGGTGCGGCAGTTGAGGAACCTCACTACAGGCCAAGGTCAGAAGTTGGGCAATAAGCGTGATCTGGACCAGCAGCTGGAAGGGGATGACGAAGCCGCAAGTGATGAGGAGGGCCGTATGGACCTGGATGAGGGCGTCAGCGATGTAGGAGGTGGGTCTGCTGTTGGCATTCGCGGCGGAAGCGGAAACGGAAGTGGAGGCGGCGGTGGACGAGGCGCAAAGCGGAATCGTGCGCGTGGGAAATAGGCGGACGCCTAGACGACGTCATGTCTATCATGCTTGCGATCACGATCACGACTCTCCATGGATTAAAAGTGATGAAAGTTTGCATGGCTTGACTGTTACAAAGTGCAAATTGCGCCCTCGACTGCATGATACGCTGTAGATCAAAGGCAAACTGCCTCCGCGCAGACCCAGGGGATGATGGGCTGCACTTGAAATTGCATGTTGTGGATGAATGCACGCCGGCCTGCTCGACCCTTGTTGACATTTGACAGAAAACTCCACTTGCATGACCATTCGACTCCGGTCCTTCCCACTCCACGAGGAGTTAGCTAGAAATTGGTGCCCGGCACAAAGATGAAAAGAACGCTGAGTGCCACAGCCACAGCCACAAAGACGAGGAGGGCGATGGTCGCTCTAGTCAGAAGAAGCCTTCTGACAAACGGTTCCCTCACCCGTGACCAATTCATCCACGTATATTCACTAAATCCGAGGTATGCGGCCACAATATCGAGCTTGTACTGGTAAGAGATGAGGAAGTATGCTCCGATGGTGAAGGGCAAGATAAGCTGCATTGACATGTCAGTACAAGTCCGAAAGTCAATCTGAAGCGATTTTGCCTGAGCTACTTACCCAGCACCTTGTCCTTCTAGAGAGATCTCGGAGGATCATAAAGAAACCTCCCCAGAAGCCAGCCATCAGACTGGAAAGCCCAATAATCAGTCGGATGAGTACACTGAGCGGGACCAGGTTTCCCAAGGCCTTTGCTTGGAGAAAGCCGGGAAAGGCATCTCGTTCCATGGCCTGAAATACATAGTCTTTGGCATCATCAAAAACTTCAGGGTCGTCGCGGCCCTCTTCCTCGATTGCTCGAATGATGCGGTTGAGCATGGAGTCCGGGAGAACAATTTCACGTTCCGAACCTGGCAGCACAAATGTGTATAGGATTTTCTCTGCGCTTGCCTTAATGTCCGCGCGTGCAACGCTGTGGCCCGGAGAATTCGAATCAGTGCGGATTTCTGGGGTGGAATGGGTCGGCTGGAGCAGTTCACCGGCTGAGGGCCTGTCTCCCGATTGACGTCCGAAGGTTCTGGAGTGAGCAGATCCCAGGCTATGGGAGGGCGAGTGGTCGGCGCCGCCACCATCTCGACTAGTTGACTTCCGCGCATTGGGATTTTCAGATCTGAGGAAGGCCGAGACTCTTGATTCGTGGCCACTCTTTCTGTGATCAGTACTGGCGTCACCTAGATCGAGGTTGTCAAGATACTGCGATGAGCGTTTGCTAGTGGCCTTTTCCATTTCTGGAGTATCAACGAGCATCGAGCGTCGAAGTTCCCGAACGTAGTGGCGACATAAAGACATATGCTGGGACACATCGAGCCTAGAAGAGAGTCAATGGCCGGATCAATAAGAAGGAATTGTTCACGACGGCTCACCAGAAGTCCAAATAGTCGACTGATCGTTGTTGGTCACGCATGTAAATGTAGAAGGAGAATAGATCGACTGGTGCTAAAGTCCTTCGTCCTAAAACCTCCATCAGAGTTGGTAGTCGGTTCCGCTGCTGCAGCTCTTGCTCTGCGGTTGTATGTGCCATGATGGTAGGGGAGTGTGGGTTTCGCTAAGACGAGGAGTGTATGGTTTCGAAGAGAGGGTAGACTGAGGGGCGGTTGACTGGTGGCAGGTGAGACCACCGTATCGGCGTGCCAAGATGCGCGTGAGTCAGTCGGCCTTGTGATGAGATGGCTGTATTGTGACCGTGACGTGGGTTGAGTTGGAATTTCCGCTGTGTCAAACCGCAGACAGGTGAAGATCAGATTAGGGGAGGAGTCAACCACGTGAATGCCCTAACTTCACGCGGTAAAGGTCTGGCGGTGGTGCGGTCGTGAGAGAGGTCCGGAGAAAGAAAGTGAGGGAGGAACAAGGGAGACGGCGGCTTGGATTGAGGGCGGCAATGAGGGATTGGACGTTGCTGTGAATCGAAATGGGATGGTGAAAGTGGGAAGTGTTTGGTGTTTGGTGGTCAATTCGCGAGGCTATCTGGAACCAAACTTAGTGGAGCTAACCGCTTTAGCCTCAGGTTGACAGGGGAATGGGCATAAATGGAGTTCATTAATGCCAAGACTCTAAAGTACTGACCCAATATTCCAGTACGGTTCGAGGATGCCACGACACAGACTTGGAATTTTAGTATTGTCAAGTTGTTACCTGAAGACCTACCAAGATGATTCAGGCATATGGATACATGCATGCCATACGCTCTTAGATATGTATGAGGCAGTAGCAAACAATGTGTACTATGCTAAGTGTCTAGCTAATGTCTAGCTACACGACCCTTCAACTCTCCCAAGCGGCTTCCGGTTTCGACACCTTCCGATTATAGGTATCCAAGGCAGGTGGCTCTTTCCTGTCCTACAATACTCGACAGTACGAAAAGGGCTCCATCTTTATTTCATTTCACATTTCCATCTTTATTTCACTTCACATTTCCACCCAGCCTGTTTCTCTTTCTCAGTGTCATCAGGATTTCTTTGCCTTATTAGGTATCTGCTATGTCAGTATCAAGTACCACTGTCTGGGAAACCTCGTCCAGGAAACCAACGTATGTGTGCAACCATCGTTCTTATAGCGCTGCTCCTTCTGTGTGACCTGAACTTCTCTGGTAAGCACCTGTGGACCTTCTTCCATGGTAATCAACAAAACCTTCCCTTCACTTGCCCTTTTCCTTCAGTCAGCCACGTCGACATTCTCTGAATTTCATACCACTTTTATTGAACACTCACCTGTTCACGGACCTCATTCAATTGTGTTATCCTGTGCACTGTGTTGTACGGTTCGCCCTTGGCTCCACTCGAGTCAATGAAATCCTTACTTGGTTTGACCCTGTGCTTGCATTTGCATCACCCAATCACACCGACGGGGATTCGAATACCCGCTAATGATGCCTTTATCTAGGGTCGCTTTTACAACTCCGCTGCCGATCTCTGAATGTGAACTACCCTATATGCTCGTGTGGGCCTGGATTTTCCACTACAACTCCAATGTTTCGACCAGTTCCTGGGTGATGCCAAGGTAGCCCAGAAGGCGCTTTGCAGAGATGGAGCCACTGTCAGCCCGAAACTTGCTCATATATACCAGGAAGAGAAGGACGAGAGCCCTCCCCATGGGCAGTTCCGCAATCTATAAAAAGCGCTGCCTCAAGATGTCGGCCTGTGATGTGATTATTCCCATTCATTTTCATTATGCCTGCACACAGATTAGGTGCCACAACCCTGATGTGGCATCTCCTGGTCATATGCCTCACACAAGTCGCCGCTGATGGATCTGGCATTCTCGGGGCTGGTAAATGGCTCTACAGGCCTACCTGTGCACACTCTTGTCGCCGGCTCATTATTAATTCACCTCTCGTCTGCGACGATGACGCCACAAGCGATCACACATCTGGGTCTCACGGCCAATCCGCCGCTCCTTCCACAACCTGTTTTTTGAATAATATGCCCTTCTTGCGCACAATGGCACTGTGTCTCTCAACTCATTGTGCCTCAGATGATATACCTCTGTCAACGCTTCAGGAATACTGGGAGGCTCATCTTGCTACTGGAACGCTGTCAAATCGCCTCCTTACACCTGCATTACCTTATCATTCGGCTTTGAGGGATGCAGAGTTGGAACAAGCCAATAGGAGACTGGGAAATATAAACTCCGGGGAACCCCTCAACGAGACCATGCTGGTTACCGTCGATGTCTTCCTTCCATGGTATAACTACCAAAAGGGCTTCGAGGATGGCGAGGTCGGTCATGGCCGAAACAGGTACCGTCGATGACCATCCTTCTTCTTTAGTCCAAGTCTAATAATCTTCTAGTATCGTCGTAACAACCACCGCCGTTGGCCTCCCTATACTCATCTCCCTCTCCACTTTGCTGCCATATCGCTGGATTTCTCTTATTTCTTACCATCTCGACCAACCCCTTGTTGGGTGCGTCTATCGCGTTGCCTTTCTCAAAGCTGGGACCATGCCAACCCTTGGACAGGCACTTTTCTTCGCCTATCTTGTCGTGATGAATGTCATCCTCATGTGTCTTCCGTTGAGTCTGCGGCAGCCAAACGCTCGTCTCACTGAGCCCTCTCGCCAGGCCTTGCAGGTCATTGGTGATCGTGCAGGTGTGTTGGCGGCAGCAAATCTGGTGCCACTCTTGCTGACATCGTCTCGCAACAACATTTTACTTTGGCTGACCAATTGGAGCCACACAACGTTCCTTCTCACCCATCGTTGGCTAGGCTACATTGTCATCGTTCAGACGGTTGTTCACTCGGCAGGTTTGCTGCATTACTCCCTCTTATATTCGAATCATGCAGCTGATGCCAAATTGCCATACTGGTACTGGGGAATCGTTTCAACACCTGCTCTCTGTCTGGTGTGGCCGCTATCCATACTTCCCTTGCGTCAAAGAGCCTATGAGATCTTCCTCGTTACCCATCAACTTCTCGCAGCTTTGGCCATGATCACTTACTTCTTGCACATTTGGTATCTTTTCAAATATAACTGGGGTTACGAAATCTGGGTGTATGTTGCAGGAGCCATCTGGTTCTTGGACCGGTTGCTCAGAATTTTCCGAATTGCTGCAAATGGCACACGAACTGCTGTCATAACATCGCTGGGGGACGGCAGCGAGCTTCTGAATGTCCAGATTGAAGGTGTTCTTGCCGAGGGACACGTCTATCTTTATTTCCCAACACTAACGTGGCGGTTTTGGGAGAACCACCCCTTCTCTGTATTGTCTTCATTCGACTTGGCCGCTGAAACACCTATGACGGTTGAATCTGCTGGTGATCCAGAGACAACGGCCAAGAGGTCTGCCACCGCTCAAATGGAACCTGTGACGAGAAACCCCAACCCAGGCCAGGTTAGGCGCGAGGCGGCTCCGGGGATTCGTCTTCTGCTGCGACCGCAGAATGGTTCCACGTTCAGATTGCTCGAGAAGGTACAATCCAAAGGGTCCCCCTTGTCAATACCAGTCTGGGTTGAGGACTCCTATCATACACAGTCAACCAAGAAACTTCTTCGTTGCTCCAGCCTTCTATGCATTGCAGGAGGGGTCGGCATCACAGCCGTTCTGCCGGTCCTGCGATCCTATCATGGACCCTCGGCAAAGCTGTTCTGGGGTGTGAAGCATGATGACATTGTCAATGCCGTCGCAGCGGAGATTGACGGACTCGGAGCTCGCATACAAACAGAGACCCTAATAGGGGAGAGGCTAGATGTTGAGACTATTGTCCAGGATGAGATTCTGAATAGTGAGGCCCGTGGAACCGTTGGCATCATGGTATGTGGCCCGGCGGAAATGGCAGACCATGTCAGACTCGCAATTGGGAAAGTGGCTGGGCGCACAAAGAGGGGCATCATTTTCCTTGACGAGGCCTTCGCTTGGTGAGGACTTGAGCCGGTTCTCGCCGTTTCATGTTTGTGTGGATATCTAGACAGATGCATTCTTGCATAGCGAGAGGGTTGGTAACTTTATACGCATTATGGAGCGTAGCTGCAGTGGGTGGACTGAAAGCATGGTCAATGAACTCGGTAGACGAGACAATTGAACGGCGGACTTGTTGATTGGTACAAGTGGGCTGAATTGACGACAAGTATTTAACCTGCTCAAACCTGCTCATCCCTTTTTGGCACTTCAAGCAATGGTAAACCTGCTCAGCGCTCCCGGCGCACTCACCCAGACAGCGCCGCTTTATGTTGTACGCCTCTTTATGCGCCCGCATACTCACGCTCTCGCATTGTATATTGAAGCTTTTAGCCTCGCCGTCGCCCCCTTTTACATAGACATTCCTAGTGTGTCATGAAACTCAGCCTTTTTCAGCCTTATACTGTAATTGCTGCTATCGATCTCCTCACCGCTACCGCCATTTGGCATGCTCGCGCAGGTTGTGGGGCGCCGCATCGGTGCGCCTGAGGATTGGCGTAGTGATTGAGTGCTCAGCGCTTAAGGCTGAATTTGGTTACACCAAGCCCGTCTATATAAAGGTTCAGCCTAATTAATTTGGTAAGGCTGCAATGTTAACTTGAAGTTGAGTTTGCAGGAGAGTGAATTGATGCTACTTGCATTGATTGTTGAGTCTCATACAGTTTTGGTGTGGCGTGGTAATGTGCCGAAGTAGCTCTGGTGTGGCTCAACAATCTGTCAATCTGCCCCAATACGTTCCCCTTCTTGGAATAGGTTGAATCACCTAATGTCATTGCTGTCTAATTGTCTAGTCTAAGAGAAAAGAGAGAAGAGGAGGAGGAGGAAGAGGGGGGAAACCTCTTCCTAGCTAGATACAGGCAGGGGCGAAGCATATTCGGTATAGACTTCAGGAAGGAGTAGATCTCCGCTCCTGCAATACACATCGCTCACCTCGCACACAAATTGTCCGAACAAGTTTCAATCAAAAAAAAAAACACATCGATTGTTCTGCGGCGTGCATCACGATGGGTGTAAGACTGCTCGGCCGCTATACAGTTGTCCCTCGGGACCTGTTTCGGATAAGCGCTGGATCATTGACCAGACTGCGTGACAAATCGTTGCGGCCTGGAGCTCCTTCTTGGGATGTTATGACCATCGATGGAAAGGTTCAACCACTGGGAATGACCAGTGACTGGTATCAAAGTAGGATTCCGCATTCATTTCAGATGTTTTAACATGCTTACAGGGTGACCAGGGCCCAATGGTGCATCTTTGCGACCGAATACGAAAACTCAGCAATCCCTGGTACGCAGCTTTCGGGCTCCTGTAGTATTGGTATACCATATTCTTCAAGGTCATTTACTACCGGACGTTAGTTTTGCACAGGTACTAACAAACTATAGGCACAACTCTCCCTGAGGATCTCATTCTCATACATGAGCGAGGCGAACATTATTCTTTACAAGCCCGTCGTGACATGACCTTGGACGGTAAGAACCTTCAGAACTGCGTGCATCGCAAAATCTCACCCTTGGTAGAACTTAACTCGGAAGTTACTTCCTTTTTGAATGACGAGGCCATCCGCATGACTAAAAAAGAATGGCATGCCAAATTTCCTACCAGGACGGACTAGTAGGAGGAGAGAGACGACATGGTAGCGGAAGTGTAGCATCGTTCAGTACGGATGCTTGTAAGCTCATGTTGTTGACCAAAATGCTAACTATATACTGCCAGTCTCTCATCTCCTGTATCCTCTCCATAGACGCATCTGCCACTATTCAGTGGCTTCGGGGTATTGCTTTTGCCAATCCTCCTTTGTCAAGGCACTCGCCTGACTAGTATAGAATGCAGTGAGTTTGGCGTTCAATTCTACCCACATTAGCTTCCGTGACTTTTCGGGAGCTCGGCCATGCCCACCGGGCAAGGTCATCTCGACCTTGGGTTGCAAGGAGTAATGTCCACCAAATTCATGGACGAGAACAAGGTCTTCTGGGAGAACAGTTTCTAACCCAGTCGATTACTGTCCGATAATGCTTGCGCTATTTGGGGAGTCGACTAACCAGCTGGCACACAGTATACTCGGACTTTAGTGCCTTTGAATTCTTGTACCAGCTTCTGCTGGACGGAGGTATTGGCTCGCATCGAAGCCCCGTTTGGTCCTGTCGTAACGTTTACTCTAGCCCGGAGGTCTTGACATTCACGACTTACTCTGGTAGGTTTCACTGGTCATTGCAATTGGCTGCACTACTCCATGCTTTATTTTCACATCATAGGCCCCAGACTCTCGCCTGGGATCGAAATCGCGGAGCTTTATCGTTGGCCGATTGCTCAGCCGGAAGAGGAGTTTAGGGAAAGTAGTGTACCGTGCGATCAACTTGGACATGGTGCTGATTCGGACTCAAATAGACTCTACACGATTGGAAAATAGTTGAACGTGCAACTTGTTTCGCCTGGTGACCTTCCTCGACATCTACCAACATCTCTAGTCTCACCGGGGCAGTCGCCGTCCTGTGATCGGCCCTTCCTTTGATAGTGGAAATGCATTGGCAAGGCAGGTCTAGCCTCTCATATGATCAGTCACTGGCTCTTCCCACCAGAAAACGGCCGATATTGTCGACTGCTTCAGTTAACACTCTAGTAGAGACCCTGGTAAGAGCCCTATGACCCAATACTCTGCCTACCACAGAAGCGACGCGTGCACCTGCATGTAGATCTGTGTCACCTTAGAGCTCAGTCCAAATATGGGGCTCTTCATCAGGAGTGGCATCGGCGAAAGCATTCTTCTGATACCAGTCCCCAGCATCAATAATTGTTGCATAGGCACTGTAGAATTCGTCAAGGTATTCGTTCAGCTCTGGACTGGGTTGTCAGCGCCCAAATGCATCGTAATTGCGAGAGGATATGGGGAAGATTCTGACCGGCCAATCTCCGAGGAGGGACGGGTTGTAACGCGAATTGCGAGTCTTGTTGAAGGAGTTGAAGTGACTCTGGAACCATGGTACCTAAGTGTTGTGAGCGATCCAAACCCGTATCTTGCTGATTTTACTCTTCTTGCTTTACCTTTGGCCAATCGAACAAAAATGGGCTTGCACGACTCGTCTTGTTCAAAATAAGCATCGAAAGCATCTCTGGTCAATTCCTGCATAAGATGAGTGTTGGGCATAAAGATCGCTCCATTGAACACTGCAATTCGCAACGGGGTCAGTGGGTTGGATAGTCCCCACGTATCGAGTCTGGAGATACCAACAAGGTTCTTTCAGAGACAATCCAGTCTTGACAAGTCCGTCCCGGTCTAATTGAACTTCGTCGATCGGTATACCCTCGCCCTCTGGGTGAGGAGCAAGAAGGTTTGAGCGTGGTCCTTGCTGAAGACGATATATAGTTGCGGGAACCCGTGTCAGAATCGATATGCTGGCGATGTTGCGTTTTAGATTCCTTGGGTGGCCGCGCCGAGGTCCGAAGCTTAGTAATCTTGTGATGAACATCTTCGGGGATTCTCTTTGCAGAAGAAAAGAAAGGCAGCAGGGGTCTTCAAGCCTTTAGAGAATGAGTATGGCGACATGACTGAGACATGAAAGGTCGTCTCGGCAAACTTGTCTAACGCGGCTATAAAGTAACTAGGATCTGGGTTACCGCTCACCTGGCCTGCGCGAGCCCGGGGTGAGCATAGGGCGGCATCAGTCTCCTTGCCTATCCGGGGTGAGCTGCGAGCAGGTTTACTACTAAACCTTGGCTGCAGCCTTGCTCCACCCGTGTCTAGCCATGTATACGGAGCAAGCAAAAACATGCAAGGCCAAGGAGGCTAATATGGGCACTCCACTTGGTCAGGGGAGTCTCTCGACGCGGATCCCTTATTAGGTATGGCAACATGACATTTCCCCCTACCAGATCGAGGAGAAAAGTACGAGAGAAAGTCTAGGTGCGAGGTACGAAGGCATGGTTGATGGATATGATCAAGGTGTGTATCTGTCTCGTGTCATCGCATCCCCCCAACCAAGACCTGCTAATACACGTGAATCCATATAGCATCAAAGACTGCCAACACGTAAAATTTGCTCAAAGACCTTTTCTTGATTATAGGCTCCAGGCTTAGCTCCAGCCCCTCGCGATGGCATGCACTTCAGGGTATCGTCAACGCCATCAATCATGAATCATATCGAGGCTACTCATGTAATAGTAGTAATTGTCTTCGCCATAGCGCGTGGGCTCGACACTTCAATCCGCCAAATGCTGTCCACGGTCAGTTTCCAATTACTAACTCTAGTGGGAAGCCAAAGCGACTTACCGACCACTCGGGGATATTTCTAATTTGCTGGAACATGAATTTCTCTAGCTTGTTGGCACTCTTTGCGTACGGCGTCGTCTCGTTGTTGTAGCGCCGACAATTGTCAAAAATCAGCTTGGAGTCTTTGATGAAATCTTCGGGTCGGGGATAGAGGTCATTCTGCAGTCGATCCTCCATGGTAGACAAATCCATCGGCTCTTTGATGACCTCGTAGTAATCAGGAACTTCATCCTTATTAACTGGTTGCGCAAAAGGCCAGGCCGATGTGTGATTCTGCATGTCATTCAATAGATGGAGAAGTTGGTTGTAATTTGGTCCATGTCGAGGCTGACGTGACAACTCATCCATGGATGGTGACCACCCAGATTCCTTGATGGCCGGTATCGACATGGCGTCAATTTCCACGATTCCATTCTTCCATTGCGCTGGTGGTGGGTGTACGATGTGCGACTTGCTGACAGCCCGGATCTTGGCCATCACTGCTTCCTTCTGTTTCTGCAGCATCCGAGGGACTTCCAAATACCGTATCTTGGGCAACATGCTGCACTGCATGATCGTCCCTCCTTCATAATCTTTAATGTAGCCCATCCATATTGATTTCTCCAGCGTAATCTCTTTGGTGAAGCCCTGTTTTTTGAAGTAGCCGATCGCATAGTTATCGGCATATGTCAAGAAGTACATGATGGGCGAGGTGGCCTTGACATAGTCTTTTAAATGGGCCATCAGGTGAGCACCATAACCTTTGACCTGCTGATCGGAAGAGATGGCACAAAACACAATCTCGGCAAACTTGCGCGAGTTGAACGGCCTGTATGTGATCCCTCCCACGACCTCTAATGGCTGCTTGATGATGGCGATCGATAGATGGGTTTTGTCGTACACCAAGCGTGCTATATAGTCCTTGGGCATTTTGGGCAGTTGTTTCTGGAATATGCATTTTAGACCGGTTAGGATAATATTATGCTCGCGGGAATTGTCATTGTTGACCACTCTGAACTCAATAATGCCTTGTTTCTCTTCGATGACGGCAGGCTTTTCAGGAAATACCACAGGAGTAGGAGTAATGGGGGGGTCGGAGCCGGAGTCGGAATTCTTTGTTACATCTTCTAATGATGGCGATTCCGTTCGCGCCTTCTTAGATCGCGAGGTTGAGGCATCATCGGAAGCCTTCCTCTTCCCATCTACAATCAGTCAGTCCTGTACGGCACAAATTGGGAGGGAGAGACCTACTTTCATACATCAACGCCATGTCTCGGATGGTAGCCCCAACGCTGAGATACGTTGCCCACAATCGTAAGCAGAGTCGTCTTGCAATAGTCGTGTCCAAACACAAGGGTCAAGAGACGGAACGCAGGGAGATATTGTGAGGATGACATTTGATGTATTTCTCCCCCGCCGTGGCGACGGACTTTGCGGTGACACGAAATACGGTGAACTTTTCCCCGCGACTGTGTCGTCGCGTGTTTCTCTCACGTGATCAGAAATATTGCACCTTGCATGCAAGGGTGCGGACACCTGTACTAAACTTCGAAAGCAGCCGTTTATGAAAAGGGACACTTGACCTCGAGAACAACAAGAGGTTTGCCAACTTGCAACCATATCTACCATTTCTTGTCCAGCTCTACATTTGTTTGCGTCCATGTCTCTTCACGAAGTCTGGCAAGCCGCTGCCAGCAGCCCGTTTCAACCCTCTGTGAGTAAGGACAGTCAGATAGCCGTTGGACTGCTATTGCTGCTTGTTGGTAAGTTTATGAGCAATGGCGTGCTATGCTATCTGCTAAGGGCTCTATAGGTCTCATCTTGACGATCCTCTTCGGCTTGAATCGATCAAGTTCCTCAATTCCCATTTTTGGAATTCCTGCTTCCCTTGCGTTCGCGTACGTGCACACTCATACTCGGCGAAGTAAATGAAGAGAGTCTGACCAGCCATAGGTTCGGTGCCGTGTACACAATCTGCGGTGTCGGGGTCTATGTTTGAGCATGATCGGCTGTTGCCATCTGATCTGATCTAAAACACAACTACAATGGCGAGCCCTCCGATATTCACAGCCGTATCGACATCAACAAAGCAATTGTACCTTTTACTCCGATGTATCGCTTTCTCCCAGAGGGCCGAGGTCCAAATCACTCCTACGGGGATCCGCTTTTCGGTGGAGGAAGCTCGAGTCGTTCAAGGTCTTACCATGCTCGACAAAGCCTTGTTTTCCACCTATGCCCTACGGCTGACAGATGAGGATGAGGCTTTACCTGCGTTCTCCATCTCCATAGTCGCTCTTCTCGAAACCCTCCAGATCTTTGGGATCTCCGAGCCGACGGGCTCTAGAAACACCAACGGAGGCTTCTCATCGTCATATGGCCATGCCTTTGGTGCTCCGTCTCTCGCATTGGCAGGAACTTGTCGGATATCGTATCAAGAGTCTGGGTCACCGTTGACGATCACAATCCAAGAAGGCTCAGTAACGACGAGCTGCGAGATGAACACTTATGCAGTGCACGACGCATACGACGATGATGGTGGGATTCCTCTGGATCGGGAGAGGTTGAGCTTCAAAGCCATCTTTCGTAGCACCTGGCTCTACGATGCTATAACCGAATTATCCGGGACAAACCCCACCGCCCTAATTGTCAATGTCTCGAGCCGGGCAGCGCCGCTTTTCGCTTTGGAGGGAGAGGGTGGACCTTTTGGTGATACGACGGTAGACTTCCTCCCTGAATCGAAGAACGAGCCGACACCCAGTGGAGCGCGAGGGAAGAAACAGCCTCTGATAATGGAAAATTTCTCGGTAGCAGCATTCGCAGGACATCATGGCAGAATACGGCAGAAATACAAATTCGAGATGATCAAGCGAGCCGGAAGGGCAATGGCTCTCGCAAGCAAAGTCAGCGTTCGACAAGACCAGCAAGGCGTTCTTAGTTTACAGTTCATGATCGATTTGGGTGATGGGGCGGCCACCATGAATGGAGCTCGGCGGGATGATGCGACAATCGGAGGGGCTCCACCAACTCCTGGAAGTGTGGCATTTGTCGATTTTCGATTTGTTCCACTGGTTGGAGACGAAGACGATGCAACGACAGGATCTTCTGATGGAGGGTTCGACGAGGATAATGAAGACTAAATAAAGAAGGCGAAGCTAGACTGTTATGAAAGAAATGTGAGCTAGAGCGATACCTGGTCGGTTGTTTCTTGTATCCGACACTAGAAGTGAGATTTTGAGCCAACATGTCGAGCCAGTGGCATGATGAATGATAACAGGCCGCTGATTGAATACTCCCGTGGAACTGTGGCAAGGAGATGAAGTAGACGCGGATGGGTGCTGCAAGACATCGCTTCACGGAGTCATGAGTCATAATAATGGGCCTCGACGAGAGAAGACCGTACGGTGTTTGTCGCCGATGACAGTGGACCATACTTGATTCTTGGGCCCTGGGCCAGGACAATAGCTGAAGGCTGAAGATACTCATGATACGTCATGGAGACGCGGAGGTTGGAAGGCTTCTTCTCTCGGAGTTGTTGTTTTCGGCCAAGTGGCCGTTGGTCTCGCTTTGGCCTTGACAACACTAAAGTAATTTTATTGTCTGGCAAGTCAGATTTCACTTTTGCCATGACGGTTTTGCCGTGTGTTACAGTGCCACTGTCGGGCAGTACTGACGTCTCAGTGCCCCGCTTCAACGTAAAAAGATACCTGTCAGGCAAAAGTATTTTCTCTTCTGGGATCGATTGGCAGTCTGATTTCCCAAGACGTCGTTCAAAGGTCAAGCCATAACATGCTCCAACTTTTGAGACTGTGAGCAACATTCAAGCTCGATGAAGTTATCTCGTTGCATTTAAGATTTTCATGCGATGGAAAACATATCTGAGAACCTGTCAACTCGCCTGCCTTCGAATTCAGCACACTCCTCTCTTCTCCATTTATAGTCGCCACTGCCACGACATTATAGACCTGATCAATCCAGGTACTGACTAACATTAGATAGGGCCAGAGTCCATCATGGCTGTTGGCGATGGCGATCCTGAGCTCCAGAAACTAGCCTCCAACAACCCGGCAATGACCATACCAGCTACAGTCGATTCACAACCTGAGTTTCAGCAGCTACGATCCCGCCTGGCTCCCAGCGACGCCAGCGACACGACCAGTACACAACCTCCCCAGGACATGGCGGGCGACATGGCGGGCGACATGGGAAACGGACCGCTGAATACAATTTCCTCCACCATTTCACAACCGACCAAATACGATCGAGGCTGGCGACGCGTCGTTCGCAACTTTTCTCCATCATGGTTCAGCGTCACCATGGGCACTGGTGTCGTCTCCATCCTCCTCATCACTATTCCCTTCAAAGCAACCTGGCTCTACTGGCTCTCCGTTATCTTCTTCATCCTCAACACTGTTCTTTTCTCTCTCGCCTTTCTCGCCTCCTTCCTCCGCTATACTCTTTACCCAGAGATCTGGTATGTCATGATCGCCGACGGCACCAATTCTTTGTTTCTCGCCACCATTCCTATGGGCTTTGCCACATTGATCAATGCGTGGATCTTCTTGTGTTGCCCATATTGGGGATATTGGAGTGTGACATTTGCATGGGTTTGCTGGATGATTGATGCCATTGTTGCTGCTGCGGTGACAGTTAGCTTACCATTCCTGTTGATGAGGCAAAGGGAACGCCATGATCTGGATAGGATTACAGCGGCTCAATTACTCCCAATTGCTGCCACAATCGTTGCTAGTGCTGTCGGTAAGCCTGATGATTTATTGACGGTCGATGCATGGTTACTCATGGACTTTTAGGAGCCGAGACCGCCCGGGTTCTCACCCACAGTCCACAAGCCGCGCTCGGTACCCTTCTGACATCGTACGTCATGTGGGGCATGGCCACGCCATTTGCTCTCACAATCCTCGTCATATACTACCAACGCCTAGCACTACATAAGCTGCCGCCTCGCGAAGTCGTCGTCAGTTCATTCCTCCCGCTGGGTCCGCTCGGCATGGGCGGCAATGCCATCATGCACCTAGGCAAGGTTGCGCGTGATCTATTTCTCCGAGTCGGGTTCCTCCACAACCTCAGCATGGCCGGCGATATCGTCTATGTCATGGGCATTTTTGTCGCGTTGATCATGTGGGGGTTTGGGCTGTGCTGGTTGGTTTTCGCTCTAGCCACCATCTACCAGACACGGCCTTTTCCTTTCAATATGGGATGGTGGGGTTTCACATTTCCTCTCGGCGTATATGCGGTGAGCACCATAACATTTGGTGTCGAAATGCCGAGCTTGTTCTTTCGAGTTCTGGGGACCATTTTTGCGGTTGCGGTGATTTTGCTTTGGTGCGTGGTGGCTTTCGGCACCGCCAAGGGGGCTTGGAGTGGCAAGCTGTTTTATGCGCCATGTCTGAAAAATCTGAAAAAGGAGGACCAAAAGCCACAGAATCACAGTCGTAGTCAAGCAGAAAAACGCGAGGATTCGTCTGTCTAGCACATGGCATCCCGTAACAGTTGAATCACAGACCTATTCACAAATGTACAAATCATGTTTGGTTTATTCAATCTTCCTATGGCATGACGGTTGACTTCTGCCTTTAAAGTGATAGGCCTACACAGGTCTGAAAAGGACGAGGTCTTCTTCACACTCCTCCTGTTGGATGAGTAGGATCGATCCACTTGACGCCTTCGGGGTCCTCAACCGGGACGAGGTCAGGCAAATTGACAGCGATGGCTTCTCCATCACTGCGCATAAGGACACATTCCAGGGCCTCGTCCTCAAGCGCGTTGATCTCCTGGTGGGGCACATAAGGGGGGACATAGATGAAGTCCCCTGGACCGGCCTCGGCAGTGAATTCGAGACTGTCACCCCATCGCATGCGGGCCTTGCCCTTGACCACGTAGATGACGCTCTCAAGGTGGCCGTGATGATGGGCGCCGGTTTTGGCATTGGGGTGGATGGTCACAGTACCTGCCCACAGCGACTGCGCGCCAACGCGAGCGCGATTGATGGCCGCCGCGCGATTCATCCCCGGAGTCTGAGCTGTGTTGCTATCCAGACTGTCCCCTGGGATCACCCGCACTCCACTTGCGCGCCAGGCGTCGGGGGGTTGATCGCTAGCTGATGTTGCCTGGAACAGATGATCTGGCTGATCCGTATGGTCGTGTGAGTGATGGTGAGAGTGGCCTTGGTCATGACTGTGAGAGTGCCCGTCTGCCATGTCGCCGATGATTCGAAAAGACAAGTTTCAAAGAGGCTGTTTATAATTGTCTCGTATGGCAGGATGAGGTAGCTTGGGGTTAGATTATAGATCCTCGGTTCGTAGAGTTCCCCACGTCGGGCCTGTAGAATATTCGCTTGGACGGACGGCAGATTTACCAATTACCGCTCTCACTTTGTCCTGCAAGATCTGTGATTGTGAAAAATATGTATGCATCGATTTGTTTCGGAGATTGGAGATTCTTGCGACCGATAACGGTAGATAGTTAATGTCCATAATGAGTGTTGTCGTGTGGTCTGAGGTGGCAGGGCATGCGGAGAAGTGGAGTAATAATTTGACATCCGAGGCCGTCCTGCAACAACAACGAGAATGTCAAAAAGCTATCTCTACACCATCAACTATCTGAAGATATAGTGGCTTCAGATATCAGTCCCAGCTTTGTAAAGCCTCACTCCTACCACTGCGGTGACAGCATGGTCAAGATGGCTGATGAGTGACCTAGATACAGGTGTTCTGCCAACTCTATCGGCGAGTTGTAAGACATCATATGACTAGACACACGAGGCCAGGGCGACTTTTGTTATTATAAGCGAGCCTATTACTAGAGCTAGTGTCTACGATGAGCATATGGTTGTTTCCTCATCTGATCTGGAGATTGGAAGGCATGATACTCTTCTCCAAAGCCAGGCATGAAGCATGAGCAATGATGAAAAGGGTTCACGTGATGGCCACGAAGGACTCGTTAGTTAACATGACAAATAGATGAAACGACTGACCAGCAATGCCCCTGAGGACCCGGCCACATTGAACAAAGACATAAGATAGAGGAAGAAAGAAGAGAAGAAGGTAGTTTCCATGGCCAAAGGTACGATGTGTGATTGAGGAGTGGCGCTCCAGCCCAAATCCCGCCTTACAGAAGTGTTGAAGACTTACTGTGAGACGCCTCAGGGGTTGACAGTGTGTGATGTAAAGAAAAGAGAAAGCGATTAGAGCTAACTAGAGGTAGAGAGGGTACCCTGTAGACTTGCAAATCGAAATCATCAACTTAGGTGGTGTGAAAGATCGACAGACACGAAAGATCATGAAGAATTGCATCAAATCAGATCAGAGCCGGCTTCGCGAGATTGGATCAGATCAGATCATATCATTAAGCTGAGATCAGAGCCAGCCAAAGCAGATCAGGCCAGATCAACTCAGAGGCATTGAGCTGAACCGAACATCATACTGGGGCATTGAGTGTGTCATTGGCCTGAAACAGGATGATATGCATGAAAAGAGTGAGGAAGAGCGGAGACAAGAGAAGGTAGTCTTTGGTTCGTCAGGGACAAATGACTTGAAAAAAGAGACCACAAGACCAACTAGTAGGGTGTGGGTCTGATAATCCGACGGTTCGCGAGGCTGAAACATATGGTTGAGGTGTCACCATCGACCCACACCTCGCCTGCCACTGGTTCCGCAACGTCCAGACATCGACCATCATTGGCCATCTATGCCATGTCAATTCTGCTTCCTCGCGCTTTGCGACGATATTGAATCGCTCCTTCTTAATCTAGCTTCATCAAGTTTGGTTCGCTCTTTCTCATCTCCATTTTCTTCTGTCGCACTCGACGTCTGCCTGCCAATAAGACTCGGTTCCGTTCTTGATATAACTCAATTCAATCAGAATATGTTGATCAGATCATTCTCAATAGATCAACCTTTGAGACTGATACTGATGCTGATCATGATCATGATCAAATTGATCCCAAGAGGGTTGATCTGAGGGTGTCTAGTCTGGACCTCAGGTCTATAAGTTAGACCTTTTTCCCAGACTTCTCATACAATCTTACCTTAATCCTTCATATCACCTCCGTTCAATCTATACTCTCTTTCCCATCTTCTCTCACCTCAAAGGTTAGTCAATCCCCTTTTATATATAAATCTCTCCCTCTACTATGCCCCCCTCCCCCGTTCTCAATCACCTGTGAACCTTACCCCACTCTTGTTCATTACCACTACCTCTTGCCCACTGCCTCCTAACCACTGGTCCCCTTCTTTCCTGTCTTCATTCACTTCTCCTCACTGCTTTTCCTATTCCCATTCCCATCCTTATCCTGTTCAGTTCCTTTCTCTCTCTTTCTTCCTCTTCCTATACTCACCCTGTCCTGTTTCTTGTGCCTATTCCTTTTCTTTCCTTTCTTCCTCTTCCTGTCCTTATCCCTTTTCTGTTCCTTATGGTTATTCCTTTTCTTCCTATCCTCATTCCTTTCGTGTTCCTTTTCTTTCCTTCTCTTCCTCTTCTTGTCCTTATCCTTTCCCTATTCCTTGTATTTTCTTCCTCTCCCACTTCCCATACTCATCCCCTTCCTCTTCCTATTCCTATTCTTATCCTTTTCCTATCCTTATCCTCTTCCTGTTCCTTCCTTTCCTTTTCTTCGTCTTTCCATCCTTATCTTTACCCATCTTTCTATTCTTATCTTTTCCCTATCCTTATCCCTCTCCATTCCTTTCCCTTCCCTTCTTGTCCTATCCCTATCCTTATCGATTCCTTCCCTTTCCTCTTCTTTCCTCTTGTTCTTGCTTCTATTTTCCACTTCCGTCTGTCCAACTATTAGTACTTACCTCTATTCTTACACCCCTAGGCCTATCCTCAGCCTTAGTGTAGTCGTAGTTCATGCTATTCTTATCCCCTTAGGCCTATCCTCATCCTTAGTGTAGTCGTAGTCGTAGTCGTAGTTCATGCTATTCTTATCCCCATAGGCCTATCCTTAGCCTTAGTGTAGTCGTAGTCGTAGTTCATGCTATTCTTATCCTTGTAGTTATAGTCATTATGCGTGGTTTGTCTCCTGTTCCCTCGACAGGACTGACGCTTACCACATATGAGGTTATCAGGCAAGTCACCGTAGGAGATTCGTAGGGATTGCATCACTCTTTGGGTACTCACTTCTTTAACCCAGAGGCGGCTGGGAGACTTCTGAGACCCCCATATGTCGTCCGTGCCTATGAAAGCCCCGAGCATCTGATTCATGGTCAAACGGAGTAGTGGGCATGTCAAGTGGACGTTGGTTTTTGCTGGGTGAGAGAACATCTGCTTGTCTTGTTTCAATTTTTGATGACTTGGCTTCCAGCATAAACATACTAAACATTTCCAAGAGATCAGAACATACACGGACATGATGTGGCGAACCTTGCCACGAATCTAGCATGCTGAAAAACAAGGCGCTCCATCCGCCGATTACATCTCCTTCATTCAATTAGTCTCTCTGAAATGGTTCAAATGGCATGTCAAGCATTTGTGAATAGCTACTCATGCCATGTGTCACAAACTCCCTCGAACATAAGCCCCTGCTCACCAAACGTCTGTTATCATATCCAAATACTCATTCCGCATTCTGTTACATTAAACTCACAGCCCAACCCTGCTTCCTCGCCCAACGCTTTGCACTCTGCTGATATCACATCGCCTGGAGAAGGCCCGTCCAAGAGGGTGTCCTTAATGTGAATCAGGTGAATAGTAATCCCAGCGAGCGGATTATCCAGCCTGAGCGCAGGGGTCGGTGCTGTTGTTGTGATAGACAAAGCTTGGCCTTGAACTGACGCAGAATGCATTGAAAGCGGTTGGAATTGTACAAGTTTCCCCCGAGGCGTCGAGGGGACAGCCGGTGTTTCAAAGCTACTGCTAGATGGCTCACCGACCTCGCGAGATGTCTTTCGCCGAGAAGCCGAGATCGACCGGTTGCCGACATATGACCCTGAGAGCGACTGGGATGGAGAGTTAGAGGGATCCAAAGAGGCGGCAACACCCTCATGTGTCGTTTGAAGATCACCACCGTTCACAGTGCGTTTCCTTTTGCGCTTCAAATCTGCAGGGGTCGGCGGCTGACGCATGCTCATATGGGCGGGTGACGAGGCCTCTTGTGGTCTGACAAAGACGTGATCATCGAGATTGTGCCCGGCAGGAGACGCATTTGCCTGTCCTGAAGAGGCTGGCCGACGTTTAGAGATGACGCAATTGGCTAGAAATGTTAGCTCGGCGATGAGATGACGCGGACAGAGGTGACCATAGAGATCGGCGTCTCGGACGCTGTCGTCGTACGAGCATTCGATAAAGATCGCCTTGAGATGCCCGGTTGCGATTTTGCCGGCTGCATCGTCCCAGATAATATGATTTCTGGGTGACATGCTGACGCTGTCGGGCTCGATATCACCGAAGATGAGCAGCTCATGCCCTGTGGTGTCATTTCGGATGAAGAAGGCAGAGCTGTTGACAGGCTCAAAGTTGTGATTGGGGTCGATATGGGCGGAAGCGGGAGCGACCCCTAGCACGCCTGGAGTGACTGGGCCAGGATTCATCATCTGCATTTGTCCTTGAGGATAGGCGCTTGATGGTTGGTGTTGAGAGATGGCTGCGAAGTAGCCGTAGTCATCGGATATACGCGACAGTCTCCTCGAGGGGAAGCTGTAGTCCTGATTCCACCCAAATGAATCACTATGCTGATGGCTGATGCTATGTGCTCGCCTGTGGCACTTGCCATGACTGACAGCCCAACATTTTGTGGCAAGACCGTCACAGACATTGACATAGCCTCTTGATTCTCCAGAGCCTAGTCGTGGGTTGCCGCCCTCGATCAAGCGTCGGTACGTGACAAAGCCAACCCCGTGCCCTTCGTCGGACAAGTTTGGCCAAAGTGAATCGTTGAAGATGTGGGTTTTGATGGCTTCAATGGTGGATGGGAGTGCCACGATGGCTTTAGCTTCCCTCCCGTATTCGAGTGCTGGCGTGTTGATGGCCATGGCAGAGAGATGATCGAGGTGGGGATGGGTGATGAGGAAGGCGTGCAGGAGTTCCCGAAAGATGTAAAGAGCATTGGCTTTGGCAGATATATGGGGAAAAGTCACCCCAGCAAAGGGGCCGTGGTCAAGTCGTTTGGCATATCCGGCTGGAGGTAGTTTGTCGGAGGTAGGTGGCATATCTCTCTGAAGGATCCGCGAGATGCTCGCGAGATGGGCGCCGGCATCCACCGCAATCACAGAACTTTTTCGCCATTCCGACTGGGGTGTTCTGACAAGAAGTCCCGTCACATTGTCCTCCCGTGGTCCACCAGATGAGCCCTGTACCATATGTGATTAGTGTTGCGGCTTTTGGAGGGTTGCATGCAACGTTTGAAGTGAGGAGAGACCGTGGGAAAAGCACGAGAGCAGCCACAAAGGTCAAAACGGCTGGGAGGAGAGATATGGTATTCCAGCGCTGTGGCAGAAGCAAGGTCAGGTTCGCGTCCGATCGAGGACTTACCAGTACTATGACCTGGAATGAGGCATGTTGCTTATCTCCAAGTACACGAAGCTCCTCATAGGCCTCGTGCCGACCATGATGCTCTCGCATGAATATATGTTGGCGGTGGCAGGCCGCCTTGCATGCCGCTCTTCGCTTCTGAGTCGCAAAGCTGTGCCTAAACTCTTTGTTCACTGTGGGGCAGCGCCACTGGCAATGCCTTTGTCTTTTGGATCTGTACGACCGTGATGTCGGACTGGGAAGGGGAACGGGTGGCCACTTTCCGAGCGGGCTGGATCGAGCTGCAGATCTGGTGCACAGTGATTAGGAATGAGGCGCAACAGGGTGGTTTCGCAGGAGAAATGGAAAAGATGTTTGAGACTCTGGGACGTAGCTGTTGAGAGCTGTCGCTGAGGGTCTTCGTGATTACGAGGGGGACTTTGGGTGCATTGGGGTGGATGGAGGGATGGCGGCCAGCTATTGGACTGGCAGGTGGAAGGGGTGCGAGGTATACATAAGAAATAACACAGGTCGAGATATAACAAGATGACAATTCATTGCACTATCTGAGCTTGTCGGGATTGGGGTCGAGTTGAGTTTGAGCTTCTTTGGTTGAGATGAGCAGCAAAGACCGCGGGTGGTGCAGTTCTATGTTACCCCCCAGATAGTGTTTGGTCGCGAGACCCTACACAGTACTCGCACCAGACAATTCTACATCTCAACTCCCGCATCATCGTCACGCATAAAGCCCAACCCTTGTTTCATTGATCTAGCTGGCGGACTAGAGCATATTGTCGGATTCTGGAATAGATGATCCTTTGCAACAAGGATATGGTAGACAGTCATGGATAGATGGGAAGGAGCATTCGATCATTTTGCGGCCTGGCAGGCACTTTCAGGAACTCTGGTAACACAGGGAACGGGGAACGGGGAACGGGAAGGTGTCATGGTCTCAGGTCCCTGGGCACCTGGACGCGCTGGGGTACGCGCAACTTCCCCGCAGAATCCAGGATCTACTGGTAACTGTACTAAGTAGGTAACCATCGTACCGCCGCTTTAAGCTCGGCCCAGAAACATCGAGGTCATCCTCTTAATAACAATGTCTTTATCACGTACTCGTAGCCTCAGATACCGTATGTACGGAGTATATCACCGCTTGAGCCTGCAACCACATGGGTCGTGGCTGCTGAAGAAACAGCTTCCTTCCATACGTGGTGTCAATATTCCTCGCAATTCCCCTTTCGCCATAAACACAACACGTTTCGCTATTCACATAAAGTCTGCGATAATATTCATGCTCGTCTCAAACTAAGGGGTATCTTGTGTTCATGAATGGCTAGGCCCAGCCGCCTCTGCGTAGGTAGGAATAGGTGGTTGGTCGGCGCCACTCACGGTTGGCCTTCTCTGGTGGTCCTCCACTCGGCCTTCACTACTGCTCCGCCGACTTCCAGTCGGACTGCTGTACTCTGGTGGAGGAATGATTTGCTGCCCTTGTGGTGTGTTTTCCACTGGTTGATGTTGAATGTCTCCCGTATCCATCTGGCCCTGACTCGGGAGATCTTGTGTCGATATGTGTACCAATTGTGCCAGCGATATGTCCGTTGGTGACCGGATTGGTCCAGGGCTGCTGCCTGAAAACCCGGGGATTCTGGAAAGACCGCTGCGTGTTCTCGAATGGCCCGGTTCGTATGCAGACTGTCGAGTGCCCTCTCGCCCAGTTTCGAGAAGAATACTGCCTTGCTCACTTCCATACGGTGGAGGTGGTGCCAGGCTGCCGGTCATGGGCGCCAGGCCCCATTTCTTGACATTGGCTTCAATAAACACAAACCCCATTTGGCCAAAGTTGACATGCACAGTGCAAGGCCCATTGGCGCCAACGGTCGGGAAGAAATTCTGGCTTTTCAGATTGTGTGCAATCTCGTCCAGCTTCTTGCCATTTCGGGTGAAGAATATACTGCCGGTTCGTGGCCGATAGCCAACGCCGATTACGTCTCCTTGAACATACGCGGGACCATAGGTGGTAGGCACAAAAGGTTGATTGAACCTGCGATGCCCCGTTGACACGTAGGCAACAGATGTTTTGTGGTAGCCTGTTTCACAGTCAGTTGGCCGTTACCTCAGCTCATTGGCAGAAGATACTCACCAGGCAATCGGAACAACGGGTATGGCTTTGTGGTCATCCCGATGCTGATCATGCTCGTTTCCGGTTTGTCGTATATCTTAGCTTCCCAGTAGTATACCTCATTTTGTTTGGGGACCGGCAGATTGCTTTGTACGCTGCATTCCGAGTCAAAGAACTCAATCTCGGTCCGGGCTTCTACAAAACAATTGGCGATTTCAAGTTCTGGCTCGAATTCCCAGGCTGAAACTCCTTTTTCTTGGATCGCGAGGAATTGCGACAAGGATATATCGGTCTGCACTGATTCCGGCGGGTTCGCTTCTGTAAATGCTGTGATATGTCAACAAGGGGTCTGCAGCCAAGGGACGAGCGAACCGCCGATGTGCTGTACATACCTTTAGCCCTCAGATACTCGATCCTTTGCAGCTCATCCATCGACTCGAGAGCCTCTGCTTCTTCCTGCGCGAATGCCTGCTCATCATCGAACTCTCCAGGTCGGCCTATGCGGTCGAGGATGATCCGACCACGATTGGTGTACTTGAAAAAGAAGAAGATGGCGAGGATCAAGACGGCTATGCCTGCGGATCCAAAGGCAGATAAGATGCCTATAAGAAACCCCCTGCTCGTTGACCCGCCATCGTTGATATTGATGACTATAGATGTTGGCGACCCGTCCGCAGAGGGTCGAAATCGCCCGCCTTGTCGCCAGCCATGATAATCGGCCAAGGAGGACAGCGAGGGCGGATGTGATGAAGAGGAGGAGGAAGGTCGGATCGAGGTGTCAAAGGTCATTGCGAGCTGCTCATGATGGATCTGTTCAGCGCCGGGCAGCATTGCTCAGATATGAGCGGTAAGGATAGAGGTGAAGGACTTGCGACTGGAGGATGGAGGCACGGAGGATTGACGACGAGGTGGTGGCAAACTGGTGATGCAGTAGGCCTTGCTGAATGGAGAAATGGCGCAGGCGGGGTTTAGCTAAGCCGCAGACGAAGGTGACTGCTCACGCTGCTAAAGGGATGACTGCTTGGAAATGTTCTAGCAGTGTCTAAGTCGAATTCCTCCCTGCAGAGGATGAAAGAGACAATGCCACCATATCGGGAAATTGATAAGAAGGGATATGCGAGGATGAAGTTGGCGAGAACGAGGATTGGCAGATGCAGATGCAGAATTGAGAAGGTGTGGAAGGGTGACTTGTACTCCAGGCTATGAGCCTGTGTCCGATCGCTCCTCAGCTCCACTTCGCGAGACGTTTCGGGGGTGGATGGGAGCAGCACTGGTCCCCTCGGCCCCGGTTGTCATCGTTTGTAGGCGGTCTCTAGGTAAGGTACTAACTTAGGTTTCGACTCATTATTGGCGTGCACGCCGAGACAATTGAAGACAATTGCAAATGTGCCCCTGTATTTCCTCGGGTCTGAAACTTGATTGACACACCGGACGTAGCCCGAGTGATTAGGTACTACAGTAACCCAGATCCATTTCTTCATCTATTGCAACATGTATTCCACTCTCCCAACCATGAAGCTTGCCCATGTCTTCCATGCGATAATGAGTGCAACGATGAAGAGAGGTTGATGAGAGTGGATCGAGCACATAAACAACAAGCGCCAGTGGGTTTGATACCTGGTCGCCCGTGCGACTATCGATCAGATCTGTCAATGGAGGTAGAGATCCTGGAGCCTACTCCGTAGTGACCTGCCGTGCCTGCCAACTCTAGTGTGGTCAGTAGTACGTGTGTGTTGGTAGCTTTTGTTGGTGGTTCGGCCACTTCGCCAAGAGAAGGTGACGCCATGTTTGCCCTTTGGAACATTGGCTTCGCCCTATTCTACGCTCACGTGACCATATGGCTGAAGTCCTTCCATCCTACGCCTGATAAATGTGCCATGAAACCAGAAGATGTAGCCTTTGTATAGTTGTACAATGCAATTTCTAGATTTTTCGAGGTAGAGATGGATGGACAGATAGATGACTATTCACCGTGCCTCAAATCTTACTACGTTTCTTTGTGGATCTCCATCCACTGACATTGCTACCTCCGTCGATCTCGATGACCTGGCCAGTAATGTGTGCAGACGCATAAGAGCTGAGGAATAGTGCAAGGCCAGCAAAGTCTGATGGCTTGCCAACCCGGCCAGTGGGTTGCCCTTCCAGGAGAGTGTCGATGAATTTCTCAATGCCATAGTTGGACATTCGCGATGGGAAAACACCGCTACAAAATAGAATCAGTCATTTTTGTGATCATGGCAATTGTCAGGTGACACGCGGATCGACTTACGGGCAGATGCAGTTGACCATGATGTTCAATGGTGCCAACTTAGATGCCTGGATTTTGCTGAGATGAATGCATGCAGCTTTTGATGGCCCGTCTAATCCAACTAGTCAGCCAAGGGCTTCGAGGTTTGGGGGGAGCACGATTATCCATACAGCTGAAGGTACCATGGCCAGGTGCGGCCAGACCACCATCCTCACCCGAGGTGACATCTCGACTAGATGTACCGGCAACAGATGCAATATTTATGACCCTTGAGGGCTTGTCCGCGCTGGTGCCCTTGAGAAGGAGTGGTTGCAGGCCTTGAGTGGTGTAGAAGATGGACTTGACGTTCAATGCCATGACCTTATCCCAACCACTCTCAGGGAAATCATCATAGGGCGCGCCCCATGTAACACCAGTATTGTTGAGCAGAACAGTCAGTCGATCGGTTCGCTTGGCCACTTCTTTGACGAGATACTCGCAGCCGGCTTTGTCTTTCAAGTCAGCCACGATGTACTCGCAGGTGCCAGGGCCAAGTTTGTTGAGTCTTTCCGTGACCTTCTTGAGCTCTGATTCTTTGCGGCTGGCAATGATGACTCTAGCTCCGTTCTGGACAAAGCCCTGGGAGGCCATCTCGCCCAGGCCGCTGGCACCACCTGTAACAAGGACGACATAGTCTTTGAACCCAAAGAGGCTCGAAACGCGGAGGTCAGCTTCGGAAGTCATGATGATGGCGATGATACTGTTGATGCCAACGGATTGATTGAGAGAAGTTTAGAGAAAGTGATGAGTCTCGAACTAGATCTTTAGGTTGAACGTGAGATGGCCGCTTTGAAGTTACCGCGGATAAATGCTTGATCAGTCACCAGCGCCAGAGGAGCCAGAGTTGCTGATGTTCAACGGACCTCGGTTCAAGTTTGGAGACTGGAGTGGGTTCTCCACCAGCGCCGCGGATCACTGCAACTCCATGTATGGGCACTCTGGGGGTTCAAAGTATTGAGGATAGCGTAGAGAGGGGTGCCAATAATAATAACAACATGACTTGTCGAGTCTCTTTGAAATCCGCTTAGTCCGTCGTGGTCCGGTTACTTCCATGTTCTCCGCCAGTAGATATAATGATAACCCAGATAATTTATTCGGAGGATTCTTAGCAACATCCTCAAGCTCGGAGCTGGAAGCAGACTGCTCACAGCTGTTCAAGCGTAACTTCTAGGTCCTATTCAAGTCTATCTTTCAGTGCAGCATATTCTACCAAACTTACTTAAATTGTAAGAGGTTTGCGTTTGACGCTGAGCGACGATTGAAGCACCCAGCCAAGTTGTCAGTCACAACCCCAGAGACGAAGGTCACGTGCTCGCCTATCAAAACTCACGTGACTGGACTGGACAAACCCGCCAAGGAGTTCTCAGTCCAGAAATCTGATTTCTCTTGACATGGCCAGTTCTTGACCATGGGTTATAGATCACGTCTTCAAGAACAATGATCAGAGACTCAATCACCAACACATGTCACGTGGCCTAGTGATTATACTCAGATCCATTATACAAGCGAAGGGGTTTGAGCGTGAGTCACGAGACCCTTGGCTTGTCAAAAGGCAGACGACGTATTGCTCATACCACGCAAATCATGAGTCACCTGAGGCTAGAGGGTCTGGGCTCGGGCATTTCTCGCGCCACCTTTGCCCATTGTCCGACCAAATCCAGACTCTCACACCATTGATCGCTCCTGCTGCCTAGCAAGTATTACTGCTACCCAAGTCGTGTCATACTATTGGAATGTCTCTAGAAACACGCCTTTGAAGCGGTCTCATGACTCACGTGGCCAGGCCAGCCCCAACGAGTACAGGTTTGTTCCACCGCTACACCTTTATATCTCGTGATTCCGTCCACGTCCGTGTCTATCTTCTCCTGCGCCATTTCCTATAATACAGGCTCACAGCTGGCACTCCTTTGACCTCATCACAGCACGTCCCTCGACATTTCACATTGACCACAACTCTCATCATGGCACATCGACATAGGCACAACCGCAGGCGGGTTCGCCCTCGAAATCGCAACGTCACCATGAACTACCAAACCTTCACAGCCCTACAACCACCATCTCCTCATTCTCATACCTCGTCAACATCAAGTATATCTGTTGCTTCATGGCAGACAACACCACTTCATATGACCATGACATCTTTACCGAGCGGATCAATCTCTTACAACCCACAACCTCCCACCTACCTGAGTCGCAGCCCTGGTCCAGCAGGCCGCCCGTATAACATCGAGGCTGAACGAATCAAAATGTTTGGTGGTGAGCCTGGCGATGATATTGGTCTCTGCTACAAGATGATGGAACTTTTCGAAGGAATGAATTGGATTGACACGCTGGAATAATCCCCAGGGACATGATTACTTTATATGGCATCGGCGTTTTCACTAGGTCGGTTACGGGAAAGGCCAGCGCCTTTGAGCAGATGGACAATCATTGTTTCCAAACCCTGGCATGGAGCGGAGACGTGTCAAGCCTCGACTTGCAGCAATGAAGGCATTCAAACGAATGACTGGAATGGTCCAGACATGCTTGACCCGCTACTAACGGGTGGAAGATTTTTGTGAAAAGTGGTGGATGGTGCTCGCCTGTCCTTTGGACCTGAGTGTCTGAGGTGTGCGCTTGAGCTCGGTACTGCTTGAAAGGTCCACTTGGATTCAACGGTGTATCATTTGCTCCATCCATGTGTAGTTGGATAAATATCACAACTCTGGTCCTAAATAATGGGATATTCAAAGAACTTTGATATTTGACATTGGTGCATAGAGGTGTTACAAGGCTTCGTCATGCTGTCAGAGCCGATGGTTGGCAGGTAATTTCCATATAGGTACCTAAAGTTCAGTGAGGTAGGTTCCTAGGTACTGGTTCTACGGGCGATGTCCGGCGCCTAAGCCGCCCAATTCAGCCGCCCGAGGCGCCGAGGGGCCTCTCAACCCAATGACTCTCGGACCACAGCCAAGATCCTCATTGAAAGCTTATGATAGCTTGATACATTTTAAGAATTCAATACAATGTCTAAGTGAATGGCTTTGAATCATATGTGCGTCTACACCGACTTGCACCAAGGATGATACATACCTTGAGATGACTCCCCCCCTGCAAGGAGAGACCGTTGCACTGATTGTGTAGAGCTCAAATATCAGCGCCACGACAATGACGATAGGAAGAAGCGTCACTAGCCACAGCAGGACGTCATACGCAAAGCTTGGAGACGGACCAGGATACCAGAAGGACAACCATGACAGCCAACAAACGCCCAATTGGTGCGGAAGTGGATGATTCTTCGGTGATGATCTGCCTTAAATGCCCAATCAAGGTTGATGTCCTCCTCATCTTCAACCCCAAACTAGAATGTTCAACACAAAATCAAGGCATACCACCAACTTTTCGTCCCGCCCAGCACAAACAAAGCTAGGCCTCCACACGTCACTGTGTTTTCAGAATTCTGGATGGCTAATGTGTGTTTCCCTGTCCTCTTGAAAAGGTGAGTTGAGTCGCTATATGACGCTGAACCTTCTCTCAATCCCATCATGCGTTCCTTCCTCTGAATTCGGACCGTTGCCCACAACAGACTTGCACAAAAGACTTGCTGCAGTCTGGCGACTTTCAGACGACTTCGTCTCCCGGTTACACGATATTCTCCTTTTACATAGTGGAGGATTCGGCCTCTTTCTAGACCCTGACGACGCGTTTTGGCCATGGGTATCTTCTCTAGACGTCGTGAACGGGGCCACCTCACCAATGGCGAAAGCCATCGGCGTGAGAAACGACATCGTCATCGACATGGTGCGCAGCCGCGAGAAAATACACGGCCTCTCTTCGACCTCGAGTCGGGCTACTTCAATCGCCGACCTAGCTTTGGACAATGGTACATGACCTCATCTACGTTCCACTGCGGCTTCGTATCTATTGACTAATTCCCGACTTAGGCTTAAATTCACCTGGCTTGATATTCTCACCATGGCGGCCATGGGTGCCATCGGCCTCGGAGTCTACAATGCGAATCCTGCTCCCTCCCGGTCGTTCCCTGTAACCTTCTCCGACGGCGAAATTGTCTATCCTGAATTTGCCTATCCACTCCGCAAGGAAATCATCCCTATCTGGGCTGCTGCCATGCTCGCTTCCTTGGTCCCGATCTTCATCTTCCTGGTCATGCAAATCCGCATTCGCTCATTCTGGGACCTCAACAATGCCATCCTCGGGCTCCTCTACTCTTTAATCGGAGCCGCCGTGTTCCAGGTCTTCATCAAGTGGCTCATTGGAGGTCTCCGGCCCCATTTCCTAGACGTCTGCGACCCCGATCCTTCAGCCATTGGCGGACAAGGGGGGAATGGCTTCAGGGATATCATGTTCAATCGCGACATCTGTCGCGGTGACGTGGATCAAATCAATGACGCTCTCGAATCCATGCCGTCGGGTCATAGTACCGCCGCATGGGCTGGATTTCTCTACCTCTACTTCTATCTGAATGCAAAAATGAAGATTTTCAGCAACCATCACCCTGCCTTCTGGAAGTTGATTGCTCTCTACGCCCCCGTTCTCGGTGCGTGTCTCATTACGGGTGCTCTCACGATTGACGAGTTCCATAACTGGTACGACTGTCTCGCTGGAGCAGTGATTGGTTCCACCTTTGCCATCTCTTCGTACCGAATGCTCTACGCCTCGGTATGGGACTTCCGATTCAATCACATCCCACTGACGAGACATACTCCCTTTTCTTACGGTGCTGGTCCCGCAGGAGCCGGAGGATTCGAGAGTGCCGTGTTTACTAGACGAGCGGGCTGGGGCTATGATGAAGCATTCGGCGGTGCTCCATTTGATGCGGCGCATGGAATGAGGGGTCAGGCAAATGGCTTCAACACCGCTGCCGCGGGTGCCACAGATGGGGCTCACCATGATCATTCTGGTCACCACCTAGAACCTCGACATGGAGATGTTGAGCACAATGCCGCAATGCCAGAAACCAACGGCTACAACAACTTTGGCACTCATGACCCAAGCGATCAGTATGGATCTGGTGCATATCCGAACTCAGCAGGTGATGGCGGCCATGTCAGTGAACCTCTACCGGCTGCGACGGCAGAAAACCGGTACCGAAGCCACCGGAAGAGCTTGGACAGAAAGGCCGTGCCCACCCAATCTTGAGTTCCAAGCCTGGTATATCGAGCACAGATGTCGTGGTAGACAGACGAAACTGGGGATTGCACATGAGACGAGATTAAATTAGATTTCATGAATGTCATTATTGTTGCATGCTTAAGCCGATGAAGGTACGATCCAATGCGTCCAAACCAGCGAAATATCGCAAGTAGGTTGGTCTTTTCAACGAGTATGCACTCTTGCTAGTTGTACATCTCGCAGAAACTGGATCCTGCGCAGCCTTCGAGCTCCATACAGTGAAAAGATAATGCTCAAAGTAACACAAGAAGCTGTGATGGCTGGGAAGCCCCAAGATGCATCCTCCATGTAGTTGACCAGATTCATGCCAAAGAGGCCTGCAACCAATGTGCCAGCGGCGAGACCCAGTGTGTGAATGGCAATCCTTGCTTCCAAAAACATGATCTGATTTCTTTGTACAGCTAAACTCGAGCGGAAGTTCATCTCCTTCTTCCTCAGGACATCCATTACGCTGGAGACGGACTCAGCCAGAGCATCGGCCGCTCTGTGGTACGTTTCCAGCATGTACTCTGCCTCTTGATGATCACTCACCTGATGGGGGTGACCTGCCAGAGTGTCGGAGAGGTACATAGCCGCGAGATCCTCATCCGTGTCAAGTAATTCTCGGATCGTCTGCCTGACGAGCCGAGCTTTGGACTCGAGTCGGCCCAGATGGCGAGAATGCTCAAAGACGTGTCCCAACTCGACTGCGGCAACTCCCGTCTCGAGAGTCAAACGAGCCGCGCTTTCCTCCGCAGCAGCTCGCACTTGGATGAACTCATGGCGCAAGCTTGAGAGAACAGCGACAAGAGCGGCTTCTACGGCTCGAAGCTCATAAGGTAATTCAGGCACATCAGCTGCTTCTTGGATGCCAGAGAGGCGTCTTTCTAAATCATGATGGAGACTGCTGACGGACTGGCCAGTAGACCGCTGGGTAGGATTGACGAGAAGGGCCTCATCTGCTTGGATAATGACACACAGATCAAAGAACTGCAGCAAGATGGTGGAGGGTCGGATCAGGATTCGGGTATTTCCTTCCGACTTGAGGTCGACATCTCGCAGATCTCGGTACCTTAGGTCAAATTGTTGAGCGATCTCGGTCTTGGTGAGTGGTTTGTGCTCTGCCGTGAGCTGACCGGATCGATTGTAGAGGGCGCAGGTAATCCTTCCATTGGTGGAAACTTCAGGGTCGGAAGAGTCTGTTGATGACTTTACCTGGGCTTGCTGTCTATAGGTGTGACTTGCGCCCAGAGACGACTTGGAGCTTGTACAGAAGTCAGCCACTCTCGACACTCGACAGGATTGACGCAGTGGAGATGGGGTCCGGAAGCTTGAAGATGCTGCGCTCAGAAGGGGAGGAAAGTGGGCGAGAGATAGTGGACTATTGGGACCAAGACTGGGGACAACAGTGCTTGGGATTCTGGATATAATGCGACTAACACAGAGTCTGGGCAGGGTGACTTGCATGGTCGTATAATCCTTGTTCTACTCGGTCAGGAATCCAGGTATGCATGCAGTTCAAATCATCATTGTTGAGATATGTGACATGTCAATCTGATGAGTTCCACGATCTTGAGGTCGTGATGAATGATGATGATATGTGGCGCCAGAAAGTGGCTTTGATGTGGCTTGCTCACTATGGCCTTGGCGCCCCCCCGAAATCCATCGACCAACTCAACATGAATCATTCAAAAATCTCACCATAGACCACAGACCACAGACCAGGCAATCAACTACAATTGTGGAACATTATGGGATCTCTCTAAATCACTGGCTTCTTCTTACTTGTTGCAAAGATCCCTCTCACAGGCAGCGTCATGGGTTTGTCCATGGACACCACTTGCCGACGGACCAGCTGAGAATCGCACCAGAAATTTCGCCTAACGATTCTGAAACAAAATACTTCCTTGTCCTAATCTCCGTCAACGTTATTGCCCCGCCACGACCAACGGTCATGCCGACCCTAGAGAGAGTGGTGGTGGTGAAGGAGATATGCCATCAACGCCATCACGAAACTGTCCACAGGCCTAGGCAGGACCGAAATCCCCCTTTTATGCCTTTTTACGACCTTGCCCTTCCCCTCGATCCACGTCACCTGCTCACTGAACCATCCTCGAATCCTCAGTCAGCAGACCTATCATATGAGTTATCCGTTGAAGCTGTGAACCCTTACCTGATCCAGTTTTGAGCTGACAAGTTGTGTACTGTCACGCCTCTCCGACCACTCTGCCTTGTTTTATGTAGTGGCCCCATTCGTCCCTTCGGACGATACGCTAACGTGGAGCAAGTCCAACGCTGCTACAGCAAGGGCTATACTTCTGTGCTTGTCAGTACTATACGAAAGACTGATGGGACCAAGAAGAATCTCTCTCGTCATTATTAGCGCCATCGGCTATCGTGGAAGTTCCTCGCCCTGCCATGTTTTCCCGCTTCGACGATGAAACGAGCCTACATCCGAATCAGCCGAACAGCCGATATGTTGCTTAGCAATTACCTCACCCGCTTCCCGTTGACTACTCCGTAACCACCAGCTGACAGGTGGATGTTCTCCGACATCGAATTTATTCATGCATCTACTAATTATGACTTCCAATCCGGAATGCACATTCAAACTTGAGGATTGATCCTGGTCCCTGGATGGTCACTCTTCTGAGCTTTGAAGTGACTTGTCTGGTTGTACTCCTTTTCGGTTGCTATCATACAAACGCCTGGCCAGAACTTCGCCATCCATGGCGAGCCGAACTTTAAACTTTGAAGCCTACAGAATACCTGTTATGCAACACTTGAAACACACCCATGCTGGTCCAAGCCTTGCCAGTCACCATCGGCACCGCTTCGCGATACCGACAGCTTGGCCATTCTATTCTCGACCTGGACTAACTAGCTACGTTACGGAGAAACAGGCCGACGTTCTGTTGTTTATTTCTCGGTGGACTGCTATCAATCTTACTGTTGGCCCTTTGTTCAACATCGGTGTTCTCTGTCCTCGCAGGCCATGCGTACTTGGTTTCTGATGCCATTCTATCTCTTGGTCTTTCCGAGGACTACGCTTTTGCGAAATTACAGAATCCACAAAGCCATTTGGTTGCCCTTCAGGGGCTCACAAGTTTCCTGCTCCAGCCTCTAATCGTGTCTCCAAATGGCACGGGCTTCAACACCACAGAAGTATAAAGGCCCGGTGAGTTCTTCGTAGTCAATTACTGCTTTCCAGGTTCAAACTGCCATTCCCACTTTGCCATTCTTTACGGCCTCTGTGAGCTGCCCGTCGCCGGTCGACATCCATTCGTTCCAACAAAAAGTCACTCTCTCAGCCAAGTCGTTCATCCCTTTCATTCCCCACGTCTTCGTTGTTTGGTCCATAACAGCAGACATGTTCAAGTCTCTGGGTCTTCTCACCCTTGCGGCTACTGCGAAGCTAGCCTCGAGCCATGCTACCATATTCAATGCTCACATCAACGACATCGATCAAGGTCGTGGCGATTCTGCAGCTGGATATATTCGGGCACCTCCGAACAATTCACCACTGGTGGATGTCACCTCCAAGGATATGATCTGCAATGTGAATAATTTCCCAGTAGCCAAGACGCTCTCTGTCAAGGCTGGGGATAAGGTATGTCTTGCCTATACAAAGCAGTCATTCAAGAGCCCAAATGATTGATGTCCTCTCAGTTCAGCTTTGAATGGCACCACAATACGGCAGGCCCCGAGGATGACATTATCGACCCATCTCATCAGGGCCCTGTGCTTGTCTACATTGCTCCCACGACTGAAGGCACCGCTGGCAATGGTTGGGTCAAGATCTACGAGGACGGCTTTGACGGTAGCTTTGCGGTTGACAAACTGATCAAGAACCGAGGCATCCACTCAATCATCATTCCAGATATCCCTGCTGGTGAATATCTTCTACGGGCCGAGATCATCGCTCTCCACGAAGGATTCTTTCTCAATGGTGCTCAGTTCTACCCGGGCTGCATCCAGATCGAGATCACTTCTTCTGGCACCACTCCTCTGCCATCGGGGTCAACAATTCCTGGCATCTACTCTGCCAATGATCCTGGTATTCTATTTGACTTGTACAATGGCGTCACATCCTATACAATTCCAGGACCACCGGTGTGGGATGGCACTTCATCAGGCACCGACCCGGTCCCTCCTACGGCACCGACTCCAACTACGCTCCAAACCTCCGTCATTCCAGCAACCACTTTGACTACTTCGACCACTTCAGCCCCGTCAACCGATTCTCCTCCCCCTGCCACTTCAAGCACAGCACCCCCAACTGGTGGTGTCATTGTCGGCGAATGGTTGCAATGCGGAGGACTTGAATACGTGGGCCCAACGACGTGTGCCGCTGGTCTCACCTGCAAGGAATGGAATCCTTACTATGCACAGTGTGTCTCACCATCAATTCTTTGATCCAACACACCTTTCTGCCCGTGTGTCGTCTGGTATGATCGCTGCTCGTTCACCCACGAAAGGATGATCTGTCAACTCCCCCCGACTTGTCGGGAGTCATCAACAAGCTGTAAGAGCACTGTCATGCCCTGCTCTGACACCGCAGTCTCCCTATTGACAAGCGCGGGCTCTCCTGCACCATTCGTGGCCTTTGGTTGAAATTTTGAAGGCTCAGTCAATCACGTAGATCTTGATTGGTTTCTATTTATACACAGTCGTATATGTCAGTATCTACAATGTAACAGTCAGTTCCCTGCTTTAATGTCCAAACACTGTTCAACTTCATAGCATAAAGTGTTTTCTCGTGTCTCGACATTATCATGACTTCCTCCCATAAATGCTGGCGTCCCTCAACTCGTGGATAATCTTCTATTACTTGGTGTTTGCCGTATCGGCAATGCCAAACGGGCAGATTCAGACATTCCACAAGGAGGCCCTCACTCGCAACAAAACAAAGCGCCCTGTATTAGGTCTTGTCTTGCTCCAAAAACTTGCGCACAATGTCCTTCATCTTGGGGACCAATTCCGGTATGCGGAAAGGCTTGCTGACGACATCGTCGATCCCGCTTCTCAAGGTCATTTCTATCTGCTCTGCTCTTGCGTTGGCAGTGACAGCAATGACTGGGATATGCGAAACCAGTTCCCCAGAGGTCTGCATTTCACGAAGTTTCCTGGCGCAGGTTTGTCCATCCATCACCGGCATCTCAAGATCCATGAGCACTATATCGATGTCCACCCCGTCTGTTATGTGGTCACGACTGAACTTGGAGTGTTTGATGCGCTCAATGGCTTCTGCGCCATGGTTGGCGACATACACAACACAGCCGATTTTCTGGAGCTGGCTGGCCAGGACCTTTTGGTTGATCAAATTGTCTTCCACCACAAGCACACTGAGTTTTAACTGTCCTAAAGACGAGCTTGTTGATGAGTGATCCAAAGGGGTAGAAGCGCCTTGTGACGGAGCCAATAATTGTGACTTTGTTCGGGTGAGATGAGTCGTCCTGGAGCCTTTTCTGCTGGACGGGGCCGAGGTCGACATGTCTATAGGGCCTGGTGGTTGGGTGGACCGGCGAGTTTTGACATAAAAGGCAAAGACACTACCCTTGCCGCTTTCCGATGCCACGCCAATTTCGCCTCCTTGAAGTTCGACGAGCTCACGAGAGATGAAAAGTCCCAGTCCTGACCCCCCATATGTGACATGAGTGCGAGGACTAGCTTGTTGGAAACGCTGAAAAAGCTGCTTCTTTTCCAACTCGTCTAGCCCTCGACCAGTGTCCTGAACGGCAAAATGAATATAGACAATCTCGCCCAATCCCCATTCGGCGGCAGCGGTGATATCCTTGTCCTTTGACGACGGGGACGGGATGTAGGTTAACTTCCACTTGTCTTCCTTGGATGGTTTTTCCATAGAGGCAGCAATGTGCATTCGGATAGCACGGTTCTCTTGCATGGTGGTGAACTTGATGGCATTGGTGAAGAGATTGATCAAAACCTGCGAGAGCCGATGAGGATCGAGACGGACCCAATGAGCATTCAATTCATCAAATGACGAGTCAAGGTCGAGTTCAAAGGTGATGTCCCCAGTTTTTAACTCAGCCTCAAACATTTTCAACACTTTTTGGGTCACAGCAACTGGCTGAGTGTCCACAGGGGTGACTGCCATCATGGCCGAATCAAGCTTAGATAGAGTGAGAACGTCATCGACGATTCTTTTCTGGTGCTGGGCACACAGGGTGATGGTTTGTGCAGAGTCGATGGTACTATCAATCATGTCTCTCTGAATTGCAGTTAGGTTGTCGAGCTCGAGCAGGTCGGCCAAAGAAGCTGTGATGGAGTCGGCGGACTGGAGAATGGCGGAAAGCGGATTGCGCATCTCATGGGAGGTTGTGTCAATGTAGCGTTCTTGTTGCCTTTTCAATTCGACAGCTTCCTCCATCCTGCGAGTTTGCAGGTTTTCAGAGAACTTCTGGGCACTGATGTCCGTCATGGAGCCAAGGATTCGCCTCACATGACCATCTTCATCGCGCTCAGGGGAAATACTGATGAGTACCCAGGTAGGGCCTTTGTTGCCTAGTTTGTCGCACCATGGGGTCTTGAACCGGAATTCCATGGATACCGGGCGTTTCTGCTTGAGCATGCTGGCCCACATTTCCAGAACCTTTGGCTGATCTTCTTCGACAATGTACTTGATCCATTCGGCATGAACCTGGACACCTCGGGGGTACGATGAGAGGTCGTACCACGCGTCGTTGACAAAACCTATGTCGCCATCCGTACTGCCAATGAACATTCCAACGGGAGCGAGTTCGGCCATCCTGGTGAATTTTTGCTCTGCCTCGACAGCTTGCTGCGTTCGGGCGACAAGCTGATTGTTAAGCTCAATTCTGTCTTGGGCGGCCAGTTGTGCCGCCTTTTCGCTTTTCTTTATTTCATCTTCAAAGAGAATAACCGAAGCAATGGACGTAGCAAGCTGACGGCCGAGGAGTTGCACAAAAAGATCATAGTCTTCATCGTAGGGCCGACGGGGATTGGTGGCCATGACAAGAAAGCCCAAAGTCGACTCACCGGTGGTGGGGTGAATTGGCGCGATTACGACGGTTTTGGAGGGATCACCAAAACCCCTCCATTCAATGCCTTCCAGGAGGCCTGGGTCTAGAGTGCCGTCTTCAACTTGTAATACAATAGGTCTGTCTGTCGTCAACGCTTGCCTGAAAGATGCTGCAAACCCCTTTGTGCTTGTCTTCAAATCTATGATGGAAGGAGCGGCTTGGTGACCAGGGGGCACACCAAGACTGCCTTCCAGAGAGCAAACCTTGGTTGACGCGGCGCCACTTGAACTTGACGAGGTTGCCTCACTGTCAGTCAAATCGTCATTCAAGGAGTAGATCAGGACGAGTGGAGCGTCGAGCTCATTGTACTCCAAACCCTCGAGCAGCAGACCCCAGAACTGGTTGACATGGCGGGCAGCGGCAGTCCTCTCGCCGATCTCGCGCAAGGTCAGCATTCGCCGCTCTGCAATTTTCCGTCGGGTCTTCTCAAAGGCGGGGTTGTACAAGCCGACGACTGCGCCGTTGTCGCCGATCAAGGGAATGATGGACCAGGAGAAATATGTTTCTTCCAAAAAGCCATTGCGCACAATGAAGAGGCAGTCGTCGTCCTTCATGGTCGCTTGGGCATTTTCAAAGGCATTGTCAAAGACCGAGTCGAGGGCATCCCAGATTTCGGCCCAGGCGTCGCGGTATCGGCTGCCCATGAGTGCGGGGTGCTTTTGACCGGCAAGGAGAATGTAGGCTTCATTGTATATGGCGACGTGTTCTCGGCCCCAATACATGGCAGATGGATGTGGGCTCGCCATGATCAGGTTGCACATGCCACGTAGATCGACTGACCACTGGTCAATGGGACCTAGGCTGGTCTTGTTCCAATCGATGCTCCTCGCGAAGCGAACATGGTCTGGTAGAGAAGGGGATAAGGGTAAGCGTGTCCAGTCAAAAAATCCCTGGGATGGGAGAGTCCCCGTCACGATTGGGTCTCGATATAGATCCACTGGCGGAGAGAGTGACGCCGAGATAGCAGTGGGAAGAGGGAGTTCCGAGGGAGCACTGTTGACATGCGGGGTCTTGGTCGAGGAAGATGGTTCCGGGTTGTCGTCCGAATCGGAAGAGGCATCGCCTTGAGTGACAAGATTCTGGAGGGTTTGGGGCAAATCTCCACTGGTTGTAGCGGGGATGTCAAAATAGCTTCTGGACGAGGCGTCCGGTCGATTGGAGGCTGCGGAGGAGGCAGAACCAAGGCCCTGGTATTGATGCATGATGGGACGATGCTGTCCATCGGCCATGGAGGGCGGCGACGCCGCAAGGGGTGTTCCATGAATGACACGGAGGCGCTGGCGGATCAGGCGCGACTGCCATAAGAAGCCACCAAAAGGGAATGTTGCGACAATGTCCGGCTCGGTCAGAGGGCTTAGGGCCCAGGCTTTGAAATCGTTGAAGGGGGTTCCGAGGTCAAGAAGGAGAGTAGGATCCTCAGAGCGGCCACGGATATGGTCGAACAAGGCCGTGCGTGATTTCAGTGCTCCATTAACAAAGACGGGTCGTAAGCCCGAGGTAGCTGCGGCGAAGTGGTCGGCAAGGTCGACGACTAGAGTCGGACGGTCATCTTGTTGTAGGTATTCGACAAGAGACGTGGAGTGTAACAGCTGAATGCCTGGCGGTGAATGGGGGTCGGAATTAGGGGGATGGGTTGGAGTGGGGTAACGTTCGCTGCCAGAGCGACTTGATTGAGGTGAAGTTCGGATGGGAATAGAGGACGCAGGTGCGTTCTTGACTGGACTGGGATCGGAGGAAGATTGTGGGCCGGCCATGCTATCTGCCTGACTGAGAGCAGCGTTGGCCGCAACACCCAGGAGGGACAACTGGTCAAAGACAGGACTAGAAGGCCGGGGTGGTTGTGAAAGCGGCCGGTGGGAGTCCTCCTTCTTGCGGGCCCTTGGACCCCAGTGTCCTTTGATCAAGTCATTGGTATATGCAGGAGGGCCGAACAGGCTATGTTTGAGCTGTTTGGCGACTGGAGGTTGGAAAGAGGGTGAAGTGGTGAGTGTGGGAGTGTGAGCACGTTTCAAGGATGGCGATGGTAGATCCTCCTGCGTGGATGGGATTGGTGGCGTGCTTTCAATGCGTTCTCCTGGTCGTGAGTTGGATTGTTGGGTCGAGGCGCGGTCGAATGTCATGAATAAAGAATGGGCATACAAAGGTAGCAGAATCAGCCAGCACCAGAGCCAGCGTCGACAGCGTAAAGACGTTAAGGCGGGGAGGTGTGTGAGGATAAAAGTGCTTAAAGACGATGGCGGGGTGGAGGTTTCGTTCCTTGTATGAGCTCACGAAGCGTGAGGTTGAATAGATTTGGAATGGGACAGGAAGAGGTAGACGGAGAAAAAGGTGAGTGAGTAGAAATGCGCTGAGAGTTTGGGTGATGCGAAATAAAGTAAAGTCTAATAAGATGTGGTGATTCGGGATTGATGTGGATGAGCGGACGAAGTGGAGGCTGGACTGGTTTGATGAGTCGGATATTGTAGCGCAGTGTGGCGATGGTGCAGAACAAGGCGTGCCTGGTAAAGTACGGGAGTCGCTGGACTGTGACTCTGGTAGTCGACTATCCTCCCTTTTACTCCGAGTCGTAATTAGCTTTGGGCAATGGAGTCCTAACTCCAAGCACGTTAGCTTTACCAAGGCTTTTTGGAGTTTTGAAATTGGGATTGGGAAGGTGGTCCAAGTGCCAAACGGCGGCCACGGTAGGACTTGAAGGAATGAAAGGGAATGGTATAGGGTTATGGTTGTTATAAGTACGGTGGATCTGCATGTGGACAGAGATGGGAATTTGAACAAAGGCATGCTAACGTGTGCCATGCCATGCCATGACATGGCGGGGAGGATGATCCCTCCTCAAGGTGTTTATAGATCTCGACGCTGATTCTCAGAGGACGAGGAAGATGATGGCTCATGTAATCTTTGCATCCTTGGGCCACTCTGGGTTCACAATTTAGTAGGTACTTGTGTAACGAGCGAATGTCGTTCCGGTCTGAATGAATGTTGTTGGTTGTGATGGATGATGTTGACCAGTGAAAATGTTAGAGATTGAGCCTCCAGAGCCGTTGTTAGCGAGGAGTGCAAGGAGTGGCAAGGATGGCGAAGAACAATAGAGGATTGGAGCCCCAGTGGCCCGAGGGCCGCTCGCCCCTCGGCCCCATTGGCCGGTCTTCTTGGTCCTCCGGTGGCCCAACTCGGCCCTCTTTACCAGCGATCGAGTTTCGCGCATCGCATAGGTCAAGGGTCGGTGGGAACCTGGAGGGTACCTTAAGGTACTTCGGAGGATTCGTGTAGCTGATAATATGACCCTCAGGTTGGGCTTCTGGGCCCTACATCTACCCTTCCTGCCTCCCCCCAAATGCGTGACCTGGAGCGACTTCACAATACATTCTTTGCTACTATCTAGCTACCTACCTACCTTAGGTAACATTGTCCTAATCTGAACAAACACCCTCCCCTTCTCTCCTTCGCCTTCACTCTAGCAGAAACGACTCGCCGTTGGCCAATTCTACACACTCCATCCTCTGGAGCCATGCTTCTCGCCCCATATCAGATTCACTGTGGCGGATGCTGGCCAATGCATCAACAACGCTCCACACCTTGCGCTGTAATAACGGTGCTATCAGGCCAGATCCGGGCTTTTCTTCGTCGTGTGTACCAATCCAGTACTTGGCCAAGATCGTCCGTTGTGCCTTGATAGCATTGACAGCCCCCAAGTTGAGTTGTTTGTGATTGGCAATTGAGACGTCATGTAAGCCATGCAGGAAGGCCACAACATTAAGAGGGGGCCGAGTATGCATCAATTTGGACACTGATGACGCTTCGATGCCATGAGGAGAGTAAATGTATGCATCTGTTGTATCTCTGTGGGCTCTTGGCCTCACACATATTACCATGGCAGAGTGATAGGCCAAAGCGTCGAATCGAGTGGTGATCCTGCTGATGTTAACCCACGAAGGCCATGGCCAGTCACCATGGCCATGGCTTGACCAGCCGTGCTTCTCGTCAAAAGGCGGTATCTGGACCACTCGATTGAAATGCTTCCATGATCGGATCAATTGTGCCGCCTTGGTCGAGGCATACACTGGGATGTCGGCATCAAAGTCGAGCAATGTGGCACGGTGGCAGTGATCAGTAAACTCATGCGATATCAGAATCCCGTCCACTCGATTGCAGGCGATGTTCATGGATGGTATTCTGTCATCATCGCCCACATAGCAGTCAGAATCACATTGCTCCAGCCTCTCAGCTTGACGTAGTAGGTCATCAAGTTCAGTTGCCGATTCAACACTGCTCTTGACCGAATGCCATTGCTTGGAGAACCAGCCTGCTACGTCTTCCTGAGTTCCCTTCAACCAGGGATCAATCAAGATATTGTAGCGAGATCGACCTCTAGGTGACAACGAGGGCTCTGGGTATGGTAATGACAATAACCAGGTGGTGTCTGCATTGAGATGTGTAATGAAGGGTTTTTTGGCTTGATGCGCTCGTCGGATGGACGCCTTGAGTTCACATTGCAATTGATCACCAGGCTGCTTCCCGTCGTCGTCATTGCTCATCACTTAAATAGTGATCAGATGTCAGCGTAGACTATAATCCACGTTGGAAGGAGTCACAGAGATCATCTGACCGAAGACGGTGGGATCTCAACATGTTGATCAAGCTGGGTGGATAGAAGCTGGTACTTCTGGGAGTAAAACTAGATCAGGTACCTATTGGTTCCTGGGATGCGGGGTAAGCCTTAGGCAGGTGGACACTAAGTAGAGAAATCGGAGGTTAGTTCCGTCTGCTCTGGGTGCGTTCGACCATGCAGCACCTGAGGATACTATGTACCTACTTAGAGGTACCTAGCTAGGTAGTAGGAAGGAGGTACCAATCCACGAATATTCCTGCAAGCCACGAGCGATGTATATCAAGTACCTAGGTACCTAGCATTACCTCGACCTTGCTTGTCACCTTGTTGGCAAGTCGCTGCTCGTTTGACATTTGGCACAACGATGGACGGACGGGCCAATTACACACCAACCTGTGAGGCGATTGTTTGTCATTCCTTGGTCTAACAAGGATTAACAGGCAACATTATTTTTTTCTTCCAATTATAAAAGTATGTAGAACTACAGGATGCCCGCATTCCACACCTCTACAGAAGATGTTCACAGTACTAGGTAGGTACTCTAGTTACATCACTCACCACTCATCACTGGTTCGGAGTGGGGTTGTCCAGTGTGCACCTTTCCTGTAGGACCCGCTCCACCCACCAACAACAGTTTCCACCTCAGATCTCTGGGCGTCAGGTTGACAACAGACCGCGCATGACACCCCCAAGGGATCTAACCTTCCCTAGAAGCCACTGCGTCACTGACTTCTAGGCGGCGATTCTCGACGCCCCTCGGCCCCTAGCCTGTGGTCTCCCCAGGGCCTCCCACGCTTGGCAGTGCGGATATTGCCTCCAAGCAATCCCCAAGCATTTCACTTCCAAACGCTTATCTCTGACGATTTAGAGCGACTGTAAGGAGCGAGTCACCCAGTGACCACCAACACATATCCCACGGGTCCCTCCAGAACAATCACGCATTACCGTAGGTCCTGAGGTAGGTGCCTAGGTAAACCACCACCACCACCTCCTCCTCACACTTTCCTCCCTTACCTTATCCCCATCTAAATCCAACCAAGCCTTCTCCCACACGACCTACTCTTTACATCCATCTACTTCGCCAGCCATCCTCTGCATCTTCATATCCACCATTCCTTCTCAGTTCTGTCCCTCCGCCGATGGTCGACTCAGCTGACGAACCTCCGCTGTTGAAAACTCGTCTCTACTCATGGGCTAAGATCAGCACTCTCCTATCCTTTTCCTTCCGCCGGAAACCGGCCTCGCACGAAAAATCAATCTTACCAATCACCGCCTCGACCTCTGATCACCAATCCACACCCACTGACCATGTATGCAACGATCCCTCAGCAGCTGGTAGTGCAGATCAAGGATCTCATGCCATCCCAAAGGATAAAGGGCAACATCCTCCACCTCCTGTGGACCAGAAAAGAGATGGAACGGAACCTTCCGCCTTAGAGACTACCGACATTGAGGTCAGCAAACAATCCTTACTTCGTCGATTCACTCGCGATGTCAAGCGGATCATCTTCTCCAGTTGGATCAACTGGCTGCTTGTCTTTGTACCAGTTGCCATTATCCTCGGCGCTTTGGTCGACTGGGGCCATCATGACTTGGTCAGTCCAAACGTCATCTTTGCCTTGAACGCAGTCGCCATCATCCCCCTCGCCTCTTTGCTTTCATATGCCACTGAAAGTGTCGCCATCAGACTCGGCGATACTATCGGCGCTCTGATGAATGTCACCTTTGGCAACGCCGTCGAGCTCATCATCTTCATTATCGCTCTCAATGCTGGCGAAGTCCGTGTCGTTCAGGCCGCCGCTCTGGGTTCCATCTTGTCCAACCTGCTCCTCATCCTCGGCATGTGTTTTGTCGTCGGAGGCCTCCGCTTTCGAGAGCAGTTATACAATTCCACCGTTTCCCAGATGAGTGCTTGTCTCTTGTGTCTCAGTGTTATCAGCCTCCTCCTCCCCACCGCCTTTCATGCGTCCTTCTCAAACATGAACGCTGCCGATGACAGTGTCCTCAAGGTCTCGAGGGGGACAAGTGTAGTCCTGCTCCTGGTATACCTTCTATATCTTCTCTTCCAGCTCAAGTCACACGCCTTTATGTATCAGAGTACTCCGCAACACCTCATTGACGAAGAATCCCACCCTGGCGTCCTCGCCGACATTCTCAACGCTTCAAGCACTTCCAGCGATACCTCCAGCTCTAGTTCTTCCGATACCGACTCAAGCTCCGGCTCACAAACCACCGCCAAACGCTTCAGACGTGCTCTCCGAAGAAAGCGCCGCAAGTCGACTTCTAGCACAAAGGACAATATCTCTATCCCCGCCATCACAACAAGCTCATCCAATTTGACCGTCTCTGGCGGACTGCTCCCTCAAAATGCCACTTCTGGTCCCTCCGCACCTGATACCGTCCTCAGTGGCGACGAGGCTGACGTTGACGTTCAACGTCAACTTGGCCGTCGTCACTCGCGAGCGAACACTGTTTATTCCCGAGATTTTGAGAGCCAACCTCAGTCGGACCACGTATCTACAAAATCCAAGAAATCGCGTAAGAAACACAGAAAATTCAATCGAGCCAAAAAGGAAAAGGACAAAGACAATAAACCGGCAGGTGTAGTGGAAGATGCTCCGGTTGTGGAATCACGGCCAGGGACTGATACTGATACCTTCCTTAATCCCACGCATCTCCAGGTCCCTCATGTCATCTTCGCCCCTGATCTCGAAGCCGCAAATGATGACTCGACCAAGCACCCCTTTAATATTCGCAACTTATCTGAGGCAGTGCGTCCGGCATTCAACTCAACAAACTTTCCACATCACCAAGCAATGGCACGTCCTCTTGCCATCCCCATCAGGCCACCTTCTCGGGCCCCTTCTAGCCCAAGGCCAGTGCGCCGGACTTCATCCATGCCTGATATCCTCCACAGAACCAGCTCTAGCACTCGAATCTTCAACATCCCACCTCCTTCACGCCCCTTGACCCCAGTAATGGACCCGGAGGCAGAGGTCGAGGCCCAAGGCGTGGTCGAGCAGCCAAACCTGTCTCGTACCTCGGCCATTGTCATGCTCTTGGCTTCGACGGCCATGGTGGCATTATGTGCCGAGTTTCTTGTCGGCAGTATCGATCATCTGGTGGCCAGTACCGATGTGTCGCAGGCCTTCATTGGTCTCATTATCCTTCCTGTCGTGGGCAACGCCGCAGAACATGTGACGGCCGTCACCGTGGCCGCCAAGAACAAGATGGATCTCGCCATCAACATTGCCTTGGGCAGTAGCATCCAAATCGCCTTGTTTGTCACGCCCTTTATGGTCATCCTTGGTTGGATCTTAAAAACCGAGATGAGCCTGTACTTCAGTCTGTTTGAGACTGTCAGCCTCTTTGCCAGCGCCTTCATCGTCAGCTTCTTGATGATAGACGGGCGCAGTAACTACCTTGAAGGCGCCTTGTTGATTGCAGCATACGTCATTATCGCTGTCGCTGCGTTTTACTATCCCAAATGCGACCTCAGCGACGCCAGTGGGCCTGTGGATGCGTCGCTTGCGAGCTGCTGATGATCGGTCTTTTTTCTTGCATGACTACGTAGTTGGCGTCCAGGTTGCAGGCCTGTCTCACGTACGCTCTCTTCTTTCTTTTTCTTTCCTCTCAGGCCGTGGTTTTGCATGCACCACATGCATGTACCAGCTCAGCGTTGGCCAATGGACCTTCTTTTCTCAACAATGTATCACTTGGTCCCACGATTACGAAACTCGTGCTTCATGCGGCTGAAGCAGGACTGTCACAAGTCTCGACATGAGAAAATAATGTTTCACTATCGAGCATCTGATCTTTCCAAGTCGCCGAATTAGCTACATTCTCTAGGTCAAAATGCAAGTGTCATCTTTCTAATTGCGCCTTCTTCCTGATTACGTTTGCCGTTGGTGCGTGAAATTCAACGTGCAGCAAGAAGTCATCGCCTCATCAATCTAGTTGCCTTCCCCCAACAATCACAGTGAACAATCTAGGGTCGCCTGCATGCACCTCACCACTTTGATCGGGGCCGCCACTTGGCTGGACATCATCATAGGGAAATGCATACCCCTTTCCGTCAACATTGGCCTCATGCACTATCCGTGAATAATGGTTTGTAATCGAATGTCCATAGTACAGCCCTCGGTCGGCTGGGAACGAATCCGTGGCCAAAAGTGTCGAACGGTTGAACGCCGCTGCGAGTCTGGGGATAATGCAATTCTTCTCCGCATCTGCACCGGTCTGGAAGGGTCCAGTAGAGCAGGAGAAGATGTCCCTGGTGCTCGGTCTCTGGAACGTTGACCGACCGAAACAAATTGTGTTCGATGAGGAAGAGATCTGCCCACCTACGATACCAAACCCCGCTTGGGTGTCAATCAACATCGACTTTGACGAGAACTTGGACCATGCTTGATCCACATAATGGTCAAAATAGCCCGCGAGGAGGGCCGGATTGAGCACCATGCCTTGGTTTGGTGACAGTACACGACATTTCCCATCACCCATCTGAACAATCAATTGATCCCAACCCTTGCCATCGAGAGCATTCTGGGCGCGAAGCTCATCGCAGACCCTTTCAAGACCCGATGCCGGCATGCCCAAGACTCGGTGTGTCTGTCCACCCCAGGTCTCGAGCTGCAAGGCAATCGGCGGTCCCACAAAGTCAACGTAGCTGATATTGGCATATAGTTGGTCACGGTTGAAGGTGAACTCGGCAAAACCCCAGTCGGTGTTGAAGTTCGCATCCGACGGATTTGTCACGGACGGTTCAACGAGCGCTGGGCCAGGGTTGAGGTAAAATGACAGTGGGCTGCCGATTGAGAAGTAGATGCGGCCACCTGCGAGGCGAGGGATCGTCACCATCACAGTTTCACCCGGAGGCCCCAAGGCGATGGCTATGTTCTCCGATATCTGCGTGCCAATTGAGGCTGGTGATTGGGGTAAGAATGGTGTGTGACCATCCGCGAGGAGCAGATATAGTGCATTGTTGCTGTCGAGGGCTCGGCCCGTGATGTAGGCATAGACCACGTCGCATTGAGTCTGGTTCTGCAGGGCTATGTTCAACTCCGGTCCGCCGGGGATCGTTGTTATGCGTGATCGAGCTGCAGACGGTGGCGAGACCGGGGATTGATGAGTTGCTGGGGTGGAAGGTGATGGAGAATGTGACTGAGGTGGAGAACGATGGGTGGGGCCTATTTTCGTCCCTCGCTGAAAGAGGCCATTGAGACGTTTCATTCTTTAAAAACTTGAATTTCTTTGCTGCCTCGATGACACCGCCGGGATCGAATTGTGTTGAATGAAGCTGCCAGCATGAGGGTGAAGTTGGAGTTGCCAAGGAGGCAACGTCATCATCGACCAGCTGCGCTAACGTACGAGATCATAGAAATTCTTGCACCTGCGGTCTGGACAGCAGCAGCATCCGCCATGTAAGAAGACATGTACACATTCCACGTAAATGCTGGGCCATCGAGCGGCTAGTATTGTGAGGGCCTTGAAGTTGGAGGTGTCAAGACGTGGCGGCCCTAGACGTAGTGGTGTACAGTATAGCGAATCACGTATGACACCACACACGTGATATCAGACGCATGCGGGCGGCCACGGCGGCCTAGATTGAGAAAGTAGCTAGTTTCGACGGGGCTGCATACTGCAGGTCTCGCAATACCTGACCTTTCCATCTGTACGTCCAAGCGAAGAGGCTTTTACTCGAGGCAAGTGGTCTGCAATGGCACGATTCGTAAGTGCCGCCTCAGATGTGGAAGGTGTATTGGAATCACAATGCAGGTAGACACTGGATACCGAGGCACGGCGCTTTGTGTGGCGAGGATCGGCTCACGAACGATGGGAAGCGGAAAAGCAAGGTGGAGGTGGATGATCATCATCATACCAGAAAGGTCCAATAGCTGGGGTAGACAAATTCCTCTTCGAAGATTTTTCGAACCTGCTCCAGGACGAATTTCTCGACCTTGCCTACGTTCTTCAGAACCTGCTTGCCATCTTCCTGTCGGCCAATCTCGCTCTCGACATGGATTTCTTGTAGCAGGCCAGCGCGGTTGGCCCTGGTCAAATCCTTGGGGGCCTTTTCCTTTGGCACATCTGTAGGTGGATGGTCGCCAGTGAGAGCTGCAGCGTCCTCGGGGTCTAGGAAGCAGAAGTGGAGTTTCCTTTTGATCCATGCGGTAATGGAGACACCATCGAAGCTCATGCCGGTAATGGCTAGCTTGAGTGGGATGCCAACGAAACTGGGCATAGGGTAGTCAAGTAAGATTTCGGCAGTCAGAGTCATGCGCACATTGCCAGAGTACTTGACTCGTGCGACGACCTGTAGGTCGGATGGATGCCTGGTGTGGAGGATGGCTTTGGCAAGGGAGGCTTGATGGTCTAGTGGTGCATCGTCGCCCAGCGCACTGTCCACGGGGACGGTGGTATATGCCAATTTGGGAGAAGATAGGCCCGACTCAGAGCCGCGTGGGGAGGACAAGCTGTTTGCCGTAGAGGGCCGCGTCGAAGGATCACGATGAGCAGCAGACACGGCATCCACAGGCCTGGACCGAGTCGTTGCATGATCGGCGGCCGGATGAGTATGCAAAATATTGCTAGGGTTGTCATGCAACCATGTTCGAGGAGTAAACGGAGTACCACTTGCCACCGCCGCCAGAGGAGTATGCGAGCCTGATAGACCAGTGCCTGGAAAGTGGAAGTAGTTGAGGTTGGATGTGCCCCCAGGGATTCCAGGGGTGGTGCTTCGAGGGAAAGGGGCAGAAGGGTCGGCGCTTACGCCCAAGGACTCGCGCGGGAAGAGGTTGGCTCGCAGTGGTGAAATGTCAGCGTCTGGCAAGAATTGGTTGCCCCGGGCATGATGCAGTGCATGAAGCCCAGCAGTCGACTTGGAGTCTGGAAGTTGATCGATTGGAGCCGACTGTGATATTGAGGGTCGCGTAGCAGCATCCAAGACGGGCACTTTGTCGTCGGCCTGGCTGCTGGATGAATCTCGGCCATCCGCATCCACACGCTCGATCTCGTCTTCATCTTCGTCCTCGTCCTCGTAGAAATCTGGCAGTGGGTCACATATGTCCTTGATCTCAATGTCGGGACAGGCGGCACCAAATTCAAAGGAGTGGACGTGGACCGAGTTGATGAATCGTGGCAGGGTGACCTGTTGAAACTTGTCATGCACGAATTCACGAATCTTTTCTGCTAGAGCTTCACCATCAGAACCGGATGTGATATTGTTCCATCCAATATCTACGGACATGACTGCTCATCCTCATCCAGATTCGAGTTGGTAGAAGTTGTGCAACAGGAGGATGGGATCGCTCCTTCTCTTGGCGAAAGTACCATTTCAGAGTTGTCTTGCCAATAACGTCGGTTAGGGAAGGAGCGACAGAGAGGGTGCACGCGAGGGTAGGTGCAGAACGGAAGGCACGGCTGGCTTGGCACGGCGGCACTAGTTTAGCGTGGCAAGAGCGACCCATGCATCTGCAAATGTATGAGGATCTACTTGCACCTTCCTCTCGTATGCATTTGCATTTGCATATGGAGTACAAACAAAATATACTACACACAGGGGCCTGGGATCCACCAGAAAGCTTCTGATCACGACCACGCCACTCATGAGAGAGCATTTGCAGGATCGATGATGAAAGATTGTACGAATTGATTTGGGAAGTAGTTCTGCTGTGCAAAGTGATCACCCGGAGCCCTCGTGAGAGTCCTCTGAAGCCGTATGCAGTTGGCCTAGGAGGTGTGACCTGGTAGCTAGGTACCTGCATAACTCACGAATGTCCTGCTCTTACACAAGTCCAAGTCAATCGCTCCCAACAAAACGATCCAACTGATAGTAACATCGCAAAGAACAAATTTCTCAGTCATCCGCCGCTTGTTTGATTTGGAAGGATTGACACAACAGCCGCACGAAAAACAGTCACTTCCCCACCCAAATTTTGCTCTGAATGGTTCCATATCTGGCTGGGTTGTTAAATGGAGATCGCTTTCCGTGTATAAAGAAAACTTGCCTGGTCTTATTTCGCTGGCCTCTGCTGTTTAGCGCACACAGGACATGGTCCTCGTTCATCCCTGGTCCCATTCGTCGCTTGACCACTCGTGGTCTCTGCATTGATTGTCTGTTGATGTTTCCCGCCCGGATTTCTACAATCGATATACGTGATAGTGATAGTGATATTTCGCATGGTTGGAAATAGCTGGGCAAACGGAGTGCCAAAGACTTGTTGACACAGTAAATATGTTTCCGTATGTGTAATTGACCAAGGTGAAATAGAGGATAGTCCGAGGCAGTCAGGACTCCAACGGAGTCGGGTCTCCTTATATAGATAGAACTGAGGGAATCGGCAACTCTGAGGTGGCCAATCGAGCAAATCATCGGGCTCAAGGAGCCGTCATATCATCGCTTTCTACGTCCTTCCCTGGATGACTTGATGGGTAACGTTGCTGCAAGCTGGGCAATGGCGCAACCATTCCTATTCATATCTGCACCCGCCATCTCTTGGTCGTTGTCGGTTATTGTATGCTAGAAGCGATGTCACAATAGGATATGAGCTAGCACCAAGGTACCTACCTCTAGCCGTCAGTGAAACCCAAACACATGGCCCACACCCCGTGTTAGCACAACAACTTAGGCTTGTCTTGTAAGGTATCTCATATAGCCCGACTTGCCTGGTACGAGGTTAGACTGCACTCGGCAGACATATCGCGGGTCGGGGCTCTGCTGAGGCAGTGCAAGTGCAACTGTGGGAGCGCAACGGGTCGAAAGGACACTACGCATCAATCTCGAGTCACGTGCCATTTTCTTGAAGTTCTGATGCTAGCATTTGAGACTGAGACACATGGGTACTCGACCACGGGGAGCTGGAGGGAACTCGAATCGATGGTTGTTGGTACAGACTTTGGTGCTGTGGAGGACTTTTCGCTGGCAATTACTTGGGTGTTCCACTGACAAGCTGGCTGTTTTTCCGCTGAGCATTTCACATGTGCGGCGATCCCTGTTTGTCAAGTAGGTCATGTTGAGACATTGGCAAACGACAATCACAGATGGAGTATAAGCACGCAGACTGGGAGCGGTAAGCTGCACAAGGAAGATGGCAACTGTAGTGTCTATCATCAAAGAGCTGTTCATTCCACAGACTAACGCTGTGACAGTGACTCGATCACTAAATCGATCTTCTAAATTTGACTGGACCACAAGTACCTCGCTTCGGCCGTCACAGCGGCCGCGGCTACAGCCGCAGACGTAGAAAGTAGTTCAGGTCAATTTCGACATTCGATACCGGGCAGATGACGTTTAGATCAGGCCAACCACATTTGTTGGCTCTGTGGATGTTCTATAGACAAACATACTGGGTGAGGTAGTGAGTGGTGAGTGCTTAACAGGCTGGCCTTTCAACGAGCAGCAGTCGACAGGCGATAGTCAACGGTCAACGGCAATCGGTGCGGAAGTGATTTGTTTGTCTGAATTAGGAAAAAATGCTTGGACAGGGGTGTTTGTAGTCCTTGTATCCATCCGCCTTACCTTTGCTCTGTCCTCCGAAACGTCATATTGAATTTCGTGCGCAGGCGCAGGCAGGCGTATCGAACTGGCGTACTACAGTGGCCTGACACTTGATGAACTCGGTCGCCTGCATATCAACAACAATTCATGCTGGCAGCGGTCCGAAGGGGCCAATAATCTAGGTGGCACGCGGGAATAGGCATTCCCCGATGCATGCGAATGCTTATTTGAACTTGATTGAGAGGTGGCAATTCAGTGCGGATTGTGCCGGAGGCTGGATGCATTCATCATTATTGAGGGAGGGGTAACATGGGCCTGGCTGGGCTGGACAAAGACGGCCACTTTCTTGACCACGAGTGCAATGTTGGCAACGGGAGAAGTCGAGTCATTCTGCAGCTTCGTAGTCATGTTGACCTGCATAATTAATGAAATTCATGACATGGGTGAGGGAGAAAGTTGAAGACCCATGTTGAGGAAGCTTTGATAACACCCAGCACATACTCGAGGATCCCTTGCAGGCATTGCTAGGTGGCCGAGGGGCCAACTTACTGCCTAGGTACCTAGATAAGTGTTCATACAAGCATCCAGACTCTTGCGTCATGCCCGAGGAGAGTCACAACATTAGGAAAGACATGAGAGGAAAGAGTGGCTTTGTGATGCTCGACCCGCCTGCCTGCCGCCCTGTGTCCCCCCCCCCCCCCAACATCTACGAAGTTGCCCTCACAGATTTCATGCGTCACAGGTGACTTTCACTCTTGCCAAGACCGCACAAAGAGCCAAGTAACTCTCTGCAGACAATATCATCTCTTCCTCCCTCCTTCATGCTCGCCACCACTTGTCCGTCTTCCTACCATCCTCTGCTCATTCAACTGATTCCATTCATGTACATCTATTGACTCTTCGTTATTTCACTTTTGTCTCTTTTTGTGGGCACTGGTGCCCGTATGAGAGCATGCGGAGACAAAGTCGTCCCGCCAATGATGAGAAATGCACCGCAGCTTCCAGGCACTACTTACGCCGAGACCTGGGGGCCGAGGGGCACGCGGCCCCTCGGCCATAGGTGCTCATTCGCCCCGTACATCCAGGCACCCACCAGAGGTTAAGAAGCCCAAAATCCATGGTTATTACTGGGTCTGGCAAATGACAATAATAAGCATAATCACTGGGCATGCCTCTGTCCTCTGTCAATCAAAGTGTCCCCTCGGCATCACCATTGATTTCGGACCGAAGGAAGAAGACATCTCGGACTGGTACAATGGACTAACCAAAGAACACGCAAGTTCGACCACTTGTCTAGATTTCGTCCACAGGGTTGACTTTCAATGCTTTTCCAGAGTCCACCTCGGACCAAATCGTGGGGCATCTCAGCCCCTCGTTGCCAAACCAATACCAAGGTCATTGGGAGGGACAATAGCATGAAATGAGCCCAGTGATATTTGCACGATACGACGACATGTTTGCCCTTGTTTCTCTGATGAGAACGCATCGTCATCGTCATTCTTCCTGATGATGATGGCTCCTCGGTTGAGAAATCCCGAGTTCCATCCTCCCAGATCTCTCTGTGCCGGTTGCACCCTGGCCATTGTTGAGTCTGTCTAGACCGATGGTCCTTCTTTGCAGACTCTTTCGCCTATGGGTGGCCATGTTCGACAACTGACCAACAGAAAACATGGCTCGTGAACCATGGTGCAAAATTATCACCTTATGGCAATGATGGCATCACGCAATTGGACTGTCCGAGCGCGTGTTGCCATATCGTCATACCACCATCCGAGGTTAGCCGCGGGCCAGGTCCCGCATTCGAGTCGAATCCGCCACCCACCTTGCTTACACGATATTCAGGAGTTCAAAGACCTCTGAGGAGGATTGCCAGGTTTTGAGGCAACCACCCAGTGTCATGTTACCGACTTCTTCCGCCGCAACTCGGCCTGTGATTTGTGCCCCCTTGTCAAGCTAACTGTGACCAGGGCACTACTTCAGATTGGCGATCAGAATGCATTGACTCGTGTTGGTTCTGCTCGTACACTTCGGAGGTCAGAGGTCAAGGCCCCAAGTCTATAAGATATTCCGCTTGACCCCTCCTTGTTTGGATCGCTGACAGTGTCTGGATCCTCGCTCAGCGCTGTTCTCATTTTCAGTTCATTTCCATTGCTTACTCTAGCAGCAATTTGCCCCTTGAACACTATCACATCATCAGCTGAACAAAAAAACACAGTCGACACCTAAACCGCGTCCGCGTGACGCCCATTTGTCCGAGCAGAGATCCATCTATAATCACCTGGCCCTTGCGTCACTAAAGCCATTACTCAGACCCCGATTCTCCGGTACAAATAGAACAAAGCCGAAGAGTCTTTGTCCTGCACCCGTCAACTCTTTTTCAGGTCCACGTCCAGGTCCAATTCCAGACTTCAACACCTTCCACTTACACTACAACACCGTCACTGCCCCAACTCACCGTGCAATATGTCGTCCCCAGCCAACAATTTCCTGACCCTCATTCCCGCTGCCCATCGGGTTGCAGTGATCTCTCCCTTCACCAGCAACCCCAGCGAAGATATCATCGTGCCAGTCTTGCAGAAAACCCGACGTTCGTCTTCCAGCGCCACCACAGACTCCAACACTGCTGAGGAGCCGTCGCTGCCCGCCGAGGCGGAGGTGGTGGCATCACCAACCGAATCAGTTGACGTCCAAGTCACCGTCACCGATGTGGCTACCGAGCAAATCGTCCCCGTCCAAAGAGTCGGCCTCCAAACCTTTCTCCGGCTAGGCAACTAAGATCTACCGCGCCGCATTATGTCTATCTGTTTTGCATCTGGGTCACGCAGAATTTCATGGTCTGAAACCATATGTCTTATAATCAACTACCCTTTACGCAACGAATTTCTTTTAATAAGTATGTCAAATATGTTGGCTGATAGATCCATTCTGGAGACTGGATGCCCCTGTTACTTTCGATCTGATAAGCACCCTACTACAGGACTATCGCCTCCTTGACTGACGGCATTATCTTATCTGGCGTTTCTGGTGATGCCAGATTGTGTTCCAGCTTGGAAAGCGCTTTCGATCCCCGGCTGTCCCCATCGTAAGGGCATGATGAGTACTGCCATGCGTGGAGCGTGGTATGTAGAAGCTAGGTGGGGCCTCTATTGCTCGGAAGACCAGGACGTTAGGTTCTCGCCAATATGCAGCTAGAGAACAAAGACTCCAAACCCGGGGCATGATAGAGGGGATCGACAAGGTCAAATGAATCACATCTACTTGATTTTAGTTCATTTTCCTGTATGAATATTCTGTGACCAGTCCTACTCCATAGTGGCAGTGAATCTTGATTCATGTATTATTCATGCGAGCCTCTTCTCCCAGCCTCCAACATCAAAAGTCCCCCAGGTTGTACAAGTGACACCCTTAATTCTTGGGCTGGGAGGCGGTGCCGTGGGGATTCTCGAGATCTTAACGGCGGCACAGCTAGGCATCAAGTGTCAAGATGAGGCATGCTTTAGTAGGCTTCAGGTGTCTACGGTAGCCTTCGTATTGGGAGAAGCTTGAAGCCACAAGACAAGTCACAACGCCAGAACCACGAGAACTGGGTGTCAAATCTCTCTGTCTGGTGCATCTGTACCATACCTGGGGAAGATGAGCGACTCGGCCCGACAAGCTGATCATTGGCTCCCCACGTTCTCGTGTCTGGACTCCACCTCCTGATCTAGCTATTCAAACCGTGCCCAGGGGTGGGTTTCTAAGACGAATTGCCATCCAAAGTTCTTGTAGGCAGTTCGGATGTTGCGGGCGGTCTACCTTTCTGGGTCTAGCAATAGATCTTGTTCGCGAAAACGGATATAAGAACATTTCATCATTATTGTGATGGAGATGATCTCGACCGAGGAACACGGAACACGAAAGCCGGAAATATGTGAGGCAATCAGGTGAGAAGAAATGGTTCTTGCAGCCTCACACTGCCTCGGGAGTTCTATGGTCATATGAAGATGAGTGGATGGAGACATGCATGACACGATAGTTGAGCATTTCTGAGAAAGAGATGCCACTTCACAGACTCTTGCGTCCTCCATACTCCGTAGTCATTCGAGTCAGTTCCCGCACGTGAGACGGCTTGGCGTTACCCACGTGATCATGTTACTGTCATGGTGTGGTATCACATGACTTGGCTTTGATAAAAATAGATTCTTTCTTACCATCTCAGTAGTGGACCTTACTCCGTACGTGCCAACCTAAAGGAGATTTCAATGCATTAAATACATGCTCGTACCTACTTAGACTCGTACACAAGTTTGAGGCCAGGTAGGTATGTTGCCTACCTAGGTATTCATCTAATTCGACAGACTAACCGTTGTTCGTCTTCCAAATGGACTGCGTCAACCTTATACCATGTGTAAGGAGTATGTACTCCGTATGTACATGACGGAGTACTGTAAAAGACAGGCGAGACTTCCTCTGGGGTAGCTAAGGCGGGGCAGTGCCAGATCATGCCAGGGCACGTCTGTCTCTGTGCCTGGAGCATTGACACCAATCTCCAGAAGTGGTCTGATCGCTAAGAACGGGCTCTGGACTTCTTTCATCTTGCGTTGTCGTTGTCGCTAGACACATCGATGCTCGTAGAGAGGTCGTGCTCCTCGAGATGTTGATGCTACAGGCCAGATAGCCCACCTCGAAGCCTATAAGAACCCAGTAACGCCCAGGCGTGCGTAGGTGCCTGGAGAACTTTGCATTGGGGTGTGGAAGAAGATGCTTCCCTGCAGCAAGACATTCACAGGTATGTATAGTAAATTTGTGCAGGAATTAGGTAAGAAAAGTAGTTGAGCATGTGTACACCTCATTCACTTTCTCTGTACTCAATTGTCATCTCGCTGGACCTCTGGCCCACGACTTTAGAGCGGCGGGCGATGAGGATATTTGTATGCGTAAGGTAGGTACCTACCTATAGCACTGGGGCTACATTTGGATTGGGCACTCGACACTTAATCAAGCGTGTAGGGTCCTTAAATAACCTAGATGTCATTATTATTCCTCGATAATGGTGCCTGGGGCCATGCCTAAATTAGCCACAAGGTCTCATCCAATTCCCCCCTAAACTTCCATCAGCTGACTTCCCAATCGGCCTGTAATCCAGTCGTCTTCCAGGGGGCACCCACTGCTTACAATACATGACGGCGGTGATGACCCAACCTGGAACTCTCCATCCACCACGTCGTGTCCAACACCAAACAAAACTCTTTCCTTGCTCGTTTCAGCTTATTTCTTCTCTATACACAGTCCCTCATTCAGGAGGTCCTCTGCACTGCAGCAGCCGGTCGACATCTATTATTGTCGCGCAGTCTTCACACTCTTTTCGTCTCGTTCGTCAAAACTGACACTCTCTCTCCTGTGCTCATCACCTGCACTGGTCAAATTTCCCTTCCACCTTGTCCGCCCCAACACGCTTCCTCCTCGCACTATGCATTTATAATCGTCGGCGCCTGAATTCCCACCCGACCGCAAACCCACCCAGATTACAGCAAGCATGTCGCTGATAGACGGCGATCCCGTTCCCAGTCATGCACCTCAATCTCTTCACATGGCAACAACCACGTTAAAAGTAGGCGGAATGACATGTGGCGCATGCACATCCGCCGTGGAATCCGCCTTCAAAGGTGTCCCTGGTGCAGGAGCAGTCACCGTCAGCCTAATGATGGGGAGGGCCGTCGTCCATCACGATCCCTCAGTATTGTCTGCCGATCAAGCCGCCGAATTGATTGAAGACCGCGGTTTCGACGCAGAAGTCCTCACCACAGATCTTCCTCAGCATGCTCCTTCTTCCCCCAGTGCAGCCGGTCCATCGTCGTCAGCCTCTTCACCAAAGATCACCACCACGACCATTAAAATCGATGGAATGACTTGCGGTGCTTGCACCTCTGCGATCGAAGCCGGCTTCAAAGATGTCAAGGGTCTCAAAGATTTCAATATCTCACTGCTGGCGGGCCGTGCGATAATTCAGCACGAGGCCGATATCATCACATCTGATGCCCTGGCTGAAATCATCGAAGATCGAGGCTTCGATGCCACCATTTTGGACTCCAAAGTCCAAGAGTCCACAAAGCCCACTCTCACACTTGCTGTCGGACAGATGTCTGCAAACCCAACCTGGGCCACCACTCTGGCAATTGAAGGAATGACCTGTGGTGCATGTACTTCGTCCGTTGAAAAGGGCTTTCATGACGTCCCTGGCTTGGTCCGCTTCAATATCAGTCTACTAGCTGAGCGAGCCATCATCTCCCATGATCCTCAGGTCTTGACACCGGAGAAGATCGTTGAAATCATTGAAGATTCGGGGTTCGATGCCAAAATCATATCATCCAACCCAGAAACACTGGCCTCGGGCTTCTCCAACTCTTCAACGCAATTGAAAATCTATGGTCTGCAGGATGCAAAAGCTGCCACTGACCTTGAGACCGAGTTGAGGTCAAAATTAGGTATCACAAGTGCCCTCATTTCACTGTCCACATCTCGAGCTACCATAAACCACGACCCCACAATTATTGGGTTGAGAGCCATTGTTGGCATCGTTGAAGCTGCGGGCTTCAACGCTCTTGTGGCCGAATCCGATGACAACAACGCTCAGATTGAGTCCCTGGCAAAGACAAAAGAAATCCAGGAGTGGAAGAACGCGTTTATCACATCGCTAGCATTTGCCATCCCTGTCTTGCTCATCAGCATGATCATACCCATGTTCCTGCCCTCGTTAAATTTTGGCGGCTTTGAAATCATCGCAGGCCTATTCCTAGGCGATGTCATTTGTTGTGCACTAACCATTCCCGTGCAGTTTGGTATCGGAAAGCGATTCTACATCTCAGCATATAAAAGCTTGAAACACAAGTCTCCAACAATGGACGTTCTAGTCGTCCTCGGGACCTCGACGGCTTTCTTTTTCAGCGTCTTTGCCATGGTCGTGGCAATTCTCATCCCGCCTCACGGCAAACCCAGCACCATCTTTGACACAAGCACTATGCTCATCACCTTCATCACCCTCGGAAGATGGCTAGAGAATCGCGCCAAAGGACAGACGTCCAAAGCACTCTCCGCTCTTATGTCACTGGCTCCGAGCATGGCCACAATCTATGACGATCCATTGTATGCGGAGAAGCTCGCGGACGCCTGGACCACTCCTGTATCACCCATACTCGAGAAAACCCCGACCAACGCCTCATTCAAGGATGAACCTCCTGCACCATCAGGACCTTCAGCAGTCGAGAAGGTTATTCCTACCGAACTGCTCGAAGTTGGGGATATTGTTATTCTCAGACCAGGCGACAAAATTCCAGCAGATGGCACAGTCGTCCGCGGCGAAAGTTTTGTCGATGAGAGTATGGTGACTGGCGAACCAATGCCCATCTTAAAAAAGAAAAACAGTCTTCTCATTGCTGGAACGGTCAATGGTGCTGGGAAAATCGACTTCAAGGTTTCTCGCGCTGGCAAAGACACTCAGTTGAGTCAAATTGTCAATCTAGTTCAAGAGGCGCAAACCAGCCGTGCGCCTATACAGCGCATGGCGGATCTTGTGGCGGGATATTTCGTACCCGTCATCATCATCCTCGGGCTGACCACATTCGTTGCCTGGTTTGTCTTGAGTCACACGCTCCCTAACCCGCCCAAGATTTTTACAGATGCCGAGAACGGCGGGAAATTCATGGTTTGTCTCAAGCTGTGCATATCCGTCATTGTCTTTGCATGTCCATGTGCTTTGGGATTGGCGACTCCTACGGCCGTTATGGTTGGAACTGGGGCCGCCTCACAGCAAGGCATTCTCGTCAAAGGCGGCGCCGCGCTTGAAACCGCTACCCGCATCACCCATGTTGTTCTGGACAAGACTGGCACACTGACATTCGGCAAACTCAAGGTTGCCGAGACTCATCTGCACCCAAATTGGACTTCCACTGAAGAACGCACCAAGCTCTGGTGGAACCTGATTGGCCTTGCCGAAGTTGGCTCGGAGCATCCAATTGCAAGGTCCATCCTGGGGGCTGCTAGAGAGGTATTGCATATGGAAGCAGGAGACACCTTTTCCGGTCAGGTTGGCACCTTTGGTGTTTCTGTAGGCCTTGGCGTCTCTGCCCTAATTGACCTCGATATACCTGGGGAGGAGACCAGTCGCTACAAAGTATATGTTGGAAATGCTGCCTTCCTACACACTAAGCATATCGAAATCCCCCACGACATTGAAGAGGCCGCAACCTCGGTCCTCTCACCCACCACGCGAACAAAGTCTAAAACGGGCATCACCACAATTTATGTTGCAATTAATGGTCTATACGCCGGTACATTAGGTCTATCTGATACACTCAAGCCAACTGCCGCCGCTGCTGTGGCGGCCCTACACCGGATGGGTGTCTCCACGTCACTGATAACCGGCGACACGTATAATACGGCACTGACCATCGGAGAGCTCGTCGGCATTCCGAAGGATTCGATTCGAGCCAGCGTCAGCCCCGGCGACAAACAGAACATCGTCGCCGAGCTACAGGCTCAAGGCGAAATTGTGGCAATGGTCGGTGATGGCATCAATGACTCTCCAGCACTTGCCACTGCCGATATTGGGATCGGCCTCGTTTCAGGTTCAGACATTGCGGTTGAAGCTGCCGATATTGTCATTATGCGCAGCGAGGATCTTTTGAATATTCCGACGGCCCTGCACCTTTGTCGCGTCTTCTTCCGCCGCATCAAATTCAACCTGATGTGGGCTTGCGCCTACAACGTGATTGGGTTGCCATTCGCCATGGGCATCTTTCTCCCCTTTGGCTACCACATGCCGCCCCTGATGAGCGCGACCGCCATGATTTTTAGCTCAATCTCAGTGACCCTGAGCAGCCTTGCGCTGCGGTGGACTACGCGACCTAAATGGTTGACCGTGGAGAACATGGAGTACGAGAAAGCAAAGATCGTTGTTCCGCTACGTGGTCAACCGAAGAAGACCGGGCCGCTGCGGATCGCCAGGGGTGTGATATTGGGTATCTTTGACTTCGCAGTGTCAGCATTCAAGGGAGTACGGTTGGCTGGGGGTTCGGGAGAAAATGACCGCGGGACGTATGTTCCACTCAGGACGGCGGAGCCTGCCTAGAATTGTTGGTCTTTGTTCATACACGTAATTATATCATATTGTACATCCACATCTACAGTCCACGCGCTGGACACAACTCGGTCCAAGTCTAAATCAGCCCATTTGTCTAGCAACCAGTCGAGCCCTTGGCTTGTGGTGGTCTCCAAGCCGGCGGACTGTTCGTCCATGCGATCGACCCGGTTGACAGCATGAATGATGTGCTGACACTCCTCCGGAAGCATTATGCCGCGTCTCGACGCAGTTTTTCTGAGAGTGGCAAGCATGCTCTCGAGTGCTTGAAAACGTCGAGAGGCCGCAGAGGTACCTATCCAGAGTTCAACCAGAGTGGCCTGCGAACCGGGCCGTTGTTCTTGCTTGGGCCACGAGGGTGGCTTCAACTGCCGCGTATGATGCAAATTGATCATGGACATGGAATCAAGGCCAAAAGGGTCCAGGTGAGCCTGTTGAGGTTCAGGTCAAGGGCGACCTACTTCAACTCACTTGTTGTTGGCGAGCTTACGTCGTCTGTCATCCCTGTCATCTTTGACGCAGTCTGTGTGGTGTGCAATGCAAGCATTGCATGGCTGACTACCATTACACTGCAATGTGGTCATTCGAAGTCAAGTAACAAATCTCTCGAGGACAAAGGCAAAGGTGATGTGGAAGGCCAGAGTCAGGGGCACGGGCAATATTGACCAGGCTGGACGGAATGATCATTTTCAGGCAAAGCGAGCCATATCATGATGGATGAGAAGAAGGGTGGTAGGAAGAGCATTCGAGATCGACTGGTCCGATGTAGCATGACTGCGGGTTTCTGACGAAAGACTGGTGCTGGCAAGAGGACGTTATTGTCATGGGTGCACGGGGTATCAAGAATACAACGGGCAGGTTTGTCGACTTTCAGGGTGTTGATGGGAGGTGATGCAAAGGATGTGTGGTGCCATGTATCGGAAGCCTCATCCTCTAAGCTAGAATTGAAGCAACTGATTGTGATTGGACATGTGACATGTTGAACTCTTGCGCAGCTGCGAACGCAACGGCAGAGGAGGAGGAGGAGGAGGAGGAGGAGGAGGAGGAGGAGGAGGAGGAGGAATGCTTCTATTTCCAAGCGCGGAAAGTTGTCACCAGCGATTTGAACCCGTTGAATGATTGATTATGGCCTCAGGGCCGACTACATACAGCTGTCTTGGTGGGAGAAGGAGTGGGAAAGGTACGTGGCTGTTGTTTAAGCATCGCAACAACTACAATTCATGTTCGGCACAGGCTTCTAGACCACCCACCAGTAGTTTCGATATGTTCGAATCTTGAACCGACTTGAGAAAGTCTTCCTTGCCAGTGCCATGACCGTCGAGGCCATAAATGACACCAAAGTCGGACACAAAGTTGTCAAAGGTGGTCTGGGGCTTGTCGCGACAGAGGCCACACATGATGTGGATAAGCTCATTCTTGAAATTGCTTCTGGGAAATGCATGCACAATCTCCTTGTACTCTTCCACTGTGATGAGATTCCCCGGAATTGGCAAGTTGGGACCAAAGAAGTCGGCCATGATGCCTAGCTGGGTAGCTAGAACTTCTGGCTCTTTGTGGTGAGCTATTGAGGCAGTGGTGTGGAGTGCAATGGCGTCCCAAACGAGTTGAAGGCGGTGCTTGTCCCATGGATCTTGGGCCGAAGACTGAATAAATGTTCGAGCTATGTTGGCACCATCCACCTCGAAGCGTTTGTCGGACGAAAGCAGTGATTTGGTCGTAGCCCATCCCATGTCATGCAAGATGGCCGAAAGCGCTACAGCCTCAACATCAAGGTTTGCCGTGGCCAGTGGTGGAAATTTGCGAGCCAGGAGCATGGCAAAGCTGGCGCTCCGCAGAACATGGTGTCGTGTAGCTTCACTGGTGTGTTGATTGATATAGGAATAGGCTTGCAAAGTCAGAGGCGTTGTAGGTATAAGTGCCTGAGAGATGGGCAGATTTGGGAATGGCGATGTGCCTGACATGATATTAGACCTGAGTTTTCAATGTCTCTTGAGTTCTGCCCGGATGGTGGATAGAGTCGTGGGCAGACTACCACACCTGGGTACACCTACATGTTTTATAGTTGCCATCGACGACAACAGATATCGCTTCGGTCCTTCTTGACCAAGATAGTGTCAATTGACGTGGGCGAGGCCACCCTTTGAGACGGAGTTGAGGTTCAAAGTAAGAAGGACAAGTCGCGTTCTTACTGGCTGGCTGGTCCGATGGACAGGGAAGGCTCGACCAGGCTAACCAGAATTGCTCTTTTTACTCAAAGCGATGGCGGAAGGCGTGGAAGACGTGGATGGTCAGTCTTCAATCTCAAATTGGCCCTGACGAGGGTTCGTCATGGCAGCATAATTCCTCCGTCTCACCTCAGGATGAAGATTAAGTTAGTACTATACCTTGATCGGCGATCATGGCTTTGGAGCCCTCGTTCTGCTGACCCTATTCTGGACGTATCGGGAGGCTCTGCATACTAGAAGTAGTAGTGTGCAGTGTACATGGATATGAAGTTATGTGTACGAACATGTATCACAAGGTGAGTTTAGTTCTCAGATGCCAGGGCAGGGTCGAGGGGCTAGTCCATCGTGAGATGTTACTTAGATCGAACTCCTTTTGGATAGTCGAACGAAGGATCCCGGAGATTTTATCCAATGGTCCACCCCCAAGAATTGCATTGAGGCTGCCTACTCCGTACAGGTACTTTGTCTAGTCGTCGACCAGCGCCCAATGCGTTGTCTCCCTCCTCCCTCCACAGGTTGGATGTGAATGACGACATAGAGTTTCATGATCATCCCATCAGTCAATGCCTTCATATCAGTTTACCAACATGTCTCTCTCAACACATCCAGTTCATGCTTGGACCTACTGCAGCGTTGAACAGAGTTTGTGTATGATCAGACTCTCCTCCTCATCCTCTTGATTCTTTCTGTTGCATCTCAATAATGCTCCTGCTGTCACACGGATGCCAATCACGATTGCTTGCATTTGCAACTTTTATTGTTGCCTGCGGCGCTCTGTCCTTGCCATCTCAAACCCCTTCGCGACCGGAATCTAGGAACCCCGTCAAACATATCCCCAATATCGGCCTCGGCCTATGGAATTCCAAAGATGACGATGTGAGTTGATGTCCTACCATGAAGTCTCGGTTCCTGGCTCTAAAGGGCGACTTATAGGCAACAAAAGCTGTTGGGTATGCCTTTTCGGCGGGATATCATCACCTTGATGGCGCCGCAGTCTATGGTGAGTCATGACAATTCATTCATATATTTTCCTGTCTTTTTGGTGTCCTTGATATCCTGATGATCACCAGGCGTCCCTTTGTCTGACCGTGTAACAGATAATGAGCCGTTCGTGGGCACCGCCTTGAATGCTTCTTCTTCACCACCCCGCCACCGATACTGGCTAACGAGCAAGCTATGGAACACGGCGCACCGACCCAAATTCGTCCGCCCAGCCCTTGAAAAAACTCTCTCCGACCTCAATACCACCTACCTGGATCTCTACCTGATGCACTGGCCGGTAGCATTCCGGCCCGACACTCCCCCAGAACGCCAAGTGGTCGACCAGGACACATCGATCCTTGACACCTGGCGCGCAATGGAAGACCTAGTCTCAGCCAATCTGACTCGATACATTGGCGTCTCCAACTTTTCGCCACGTGAGCTCGACGCTCTTCTCAAAGATGCAAAGATCAAGCCGTTTGCCCACGAGTTCGAGACCCATCCATACTTGCAACAACAGGAATGGGTCGACTGGCATCACAAACATGACATCAAGGTCATTGCCTACAGTCCGCTGGCCAATTCCAACCCCACCTACCACGACAAGTATCCAAAACTGGATCCTATCCTTGCAGACCGATTCTGGAACGAGCTTGCGTTGGACAAGAACATCACCACCGCTCAGGCCATCCTGGGTTGGGGTATTCAGAGAGGCACCGTGGTCATACCCAAGAGTGTGCACCAAAAGCGAATCCTCGAAAACCTGGCGAGTGTGAATGTTAGCTTCACCAACGACGAGTTGGCCAAGATTGCCCAACAGGATCGCAGGGCTCGGTTCAATGATCCGGGTAGGTCATGGGGGGTAGAACTCTTTGAAGGTTTGGATGGTGGGAGTAATCGCTTCCTGCTCGATCATGAGCTGTAGGCGCGGGCGCTTGAGTCACGGCCAGATTTCTCATCATGTACATTATATTGACTAGGATAGAGCTGGTAGCATACGGCAATGGCCAGAAACACTCGGTCGGTCAATCATTTTCTCATGCAACGTCCTGGTCCTGATAGCAATGCGGATGATAAGAGTGAGAAGGCTGGACTGCTAACACCTGACCTCCATGGACACCAACGCCAAATACATGACACGCCGTTCAAGGATGCTTGGTAGGGAGGCATGTATCCCCTGTCCGCAAATCATGTGTAGCCGGGGTTTCCAGGTGGAATCTAATCATCAATATCTTGGTGTCGTGCCAGCACTTTTCTCTGATATTCGTCCGGGTCTCGTTGATGGATTTGAGCGGCTTCGTTGTTCAGGGGACTGGCACTGTGAACGAGGTTAGACTGCAAACTCCCAATACGAGTGGACATAGATTACTTGTTGGGTTCCCCTAGCAGGCTCTGAAGACTCAGCAAGACGGTCTGAACATTGTAGACTGCGCTCCACTTGTCCTTTAGAATGTCGAGACATATTCTTCCGCTGAAGTCAATGTTGGGATGATAGATGGGGGTCTTGAAAAGGACCGTAGGAGCGGCGTAAGGGTAGTTGCCGGGGAATTCGAAGCTCAGCTTGAGGTTTAGATCGGCGTAGGGAGTGCCCTTGGGACCGATGATGGTGGCGGTCCAGTGTAGCAAATTGCCATCGGCGCCGGGGAATGCGGAGATGCCAGGAGTAGGAGACATCATGAGGGTCATTAATTCAGACTGGAGTCTAAAAGTATTCAGAATCAGTAACGGCTTTGTCTGCACGACTCGAGGTGTATTCACCGCTTTGTGACCGACTGCGTGTCAGCCTTTCTAGAGACAGTGTTCAACTTGTGTGGTTCAGCCATCATGGATAGACCTGGTAGAGAGTTTTGCGTGTCCTCGGAGGCGAAGTCGACACTCATTGTACAAATAGTGCCGATTTAAGGTTGTTTGTGTCTTGTGTCTGTGTCTGTGTCTATGTCTGTGTCGAGTTGATACAAGTGACAGTCCCAAAACAGAACGCTGAAAACGGAAGAATGGCCTCAAGAGATGCAGACCGATGAACAGTAAGAGAAAGACAAAGCGAGGAATCACAAGAATGTGAAGCAATGTGCAGATGCAGATGTAGAAGCGTGGATTAGGCTGAGGATAAAGAAGAAGAGGGAAGTGGGAAGGTGAGCACGCAGAAGGAACAGAAAAAGGTCAAGTTGGCATGAGGCTTTGATGGCAGATGATGATTTGTTACAGTGACAGGTACTCCTACTACTAGACTCTACAATTTATTACCCATCAAACATCATGCGTGGATCTGTCGAGTCCCAGTGTCAAACCCGAGCGTGTGTGAAACCAGAGTGACGGTTTGTACTAGTCATCCGTTGGTTGGGGATGGTCAGGTTGTTGTTTGATTGTGATTATGTTTCTGGCAAAAATGCCAGGTGGGAGCTTCCAATGTCTGTGTTGACTTGTTCGCGTCACCCAGTAACCATGTGGTCCATCGGCGGCAGAGACGCCTAAGTAGACCAGACACAGAATAGCCCGAGGGGCCCGGGAGGAGCCAGCCAGCCCGCCCAGCGCCCTCAGGCCCCCGGCTTCTCTTAGCCAACCAATGAGTCCGCTCATGCCTGGTTTCGATGATGCAGTGGCACGAGTGGATTAGTGGAATATTATTGACCCATGGCTACCTACGGCGTACTTTTAGGGAGGCACGTCAGCGACAAACCACTTCACGTGGTGACGCGACAAGACGCGTGTGTATGGAGTAGGGACCTGCAATGCCTTCCTTGTCCAACGGCTCTGCTGGCGGAGCAATTGTCATGACACGCCGCCACCCCACAAACACAGGCACACAGAACAGCAATAACCAGCAATAACGACAACCAACAGATCTCAGATACTCGACTTCATTTCTGTCGAGATGCGCTCATGCACCCGGACACTGACGAGAACCTGAGCTGGATTGTCGGCTCAGTATGAACAACATCTCCCACTCGCAGTTGGCGCCTCTTCCCAGCCAGGTCCCTTTTCGCATTGTGTCTGCCACAATTGGATCAGGTGCATACGCATGGTAACTTGCTCCTCCACGTCTATCCCGACACCTCCCATCCATTCTGACCTTGTTGCAGTATCAAGAAAGCCGCCCCCCTAACCGAAGAAACTCCAATATTTGCCGTCAAATTCATAAACAAACACTATGCTCACAAGTATGGCCGCCTCAAACAAAAACAGCTCGAGATGGAAATTGCCCTTCACAAGCACATTGGCCTCCACAAGAACGTCATTGAATTCTACGACCACGGCGACGACGATGCTTGGAAATGGATTGCTATGGAGCTAGCAGAGGGCGGTGATCTCTTCGACAAGATCGAGGCCGATGCTGGCATTGCCGAGGATATTGCCCATGTCTACTTTACCCAACTTGTGAGTGCCGTCAGTTTTATGCACTCGCGAGGAGTCGCCCATCGAGATATCAAGCCCGAAAATGTGCTCGTGTCCGCCGACGGAGACCTGAAATTGGCTGACTTCGGAATGGCTACCTTGTTTGAGTACCATGGACGCAAGAAGCTGGCAACCTCGTTGTGTGGCAGTCCTCCCTACGTTGCGCCAGAAGTTCTGTCGTGTAGCACACATGCTGGAAACAAAGGGCGCGGTTATGCTGCCGACATGGCAGATGTCTGGTCGTGCGGAGTGGTCCTGTTTGTCCTCCTTGCAGGCAATACACCTTGGAGTCGGCCAGTCGAAGAGATGGACGAATACGGTCGGCCTAATGAATACAGCGAGTATGTTCAAACCAATGGCAAACCCAACGACGAATTATGGGATAGCCTACCAGCTCAAGTCCCTTCCTTACTGCGCGGCATGATGAGGGTTTCTGCGGAGAGTAGGTACACAATGGAAGATGTGCGGCGACATCCGTGGTTCACAAGACCCAACCGGTACATGGACCAGAAAGGGCGTCTTATTGACCCCATTACTATGGCCACCAACATGTTTGAGTCTTTGCGTGTCAACTTTGAAGCCGATCCCTTGGCTCACTCACAAAAGGCCTCGGTCATCGACCACCAAATGGACCTGGATGCTGCTGCAGGTGACAAGTTTTCCTCGACACAGCCGAATGTTCCTGCCGAAGACATGCTCTTCGACTGGGACCTTCCCCGCAATCACATGATATCCAGTACGCAAGTGGGCGCAGACATGTTGCAAGATGAGCCGGCAATGTCACAATACTCACAGCGTCCAAAGGTTTCGATGACGCTGACGCAGAGGGCCCGACAGTTTCGCGATATTCTCCCAGCGCAAAGCTTGACAAAGTTCTACTCGAGCTGGACCATGAGTCTCCTGGTGCCGCATCTCCTCGAAGCGCTGAGTCGCCTCGGGGTGCCGACGGCGCGCATCCCGCGCCCTGAGCGACAGGAGCTGGAATATAGCATTCGAATCCGGAGTCAAGACACGCGGGGCTGTCCCCTCAGCGGCAACATTGTGGTGGAGGTCATCAGCGACGGACTTGTCCAAGTCTGTTTTGTCAAAGGATCTGGAGACCCGCTGGAATGGCGCCGCTTCTTCAAGAATGTCACCGTTTTCTGTCAAGACGCCGTCCTCAGGCTGAACGATTGAGGCGTCTGTGGTGATCCCAAGGATAGGTCTAGTTCTGCATACGACGGCGTTGGAAAGATAAGAATAAATTACATTGTCGAGCGACAATAGAGGGATGCAATGGTTATAATCACGATGAGTAAGATGGCACGCTCCAGTTGTCTACCGTTTCCTAATGGATTAGTCCCTGCTCCTAAAGGCCCGCTGGTGTCCACCATTGAATTGAACTGAATTACTGGCATAATTATACGAAATACGGAAGGAGAAGTGCATGTGCCTCGGCGATTGTCCCGACTTTCACATGCAACCTTGGCTCTTTGCTTGGACACATGACTTCATGAACTCTCCCAGGCTTTTCCACAGCGGCGAATGGGTACCCAGTACTCGGTGCCCTGGGCGCTAGGCTGGTCGGTTCCCGCCCCATACCCCGTAAAATTGCCAGTGGCCAGGCACCCAAAGTACCAGGGCAAGTCTTGGTGGCACTAAGTACCTACTTCCGGCACTCATCGTGTGTTTGTGTCAGGTTCGTCATCGCCGGCAAGTCTCAAGTCGCAAGTCGAATGCAACTGCGGTGCCATGTGATCACCAAGTAATTTCTGCTCAGGCCCTTATTACGACGGTTTCGCTCGTGCCACACATAACACTACTCTTTTGTGATGATAGTCTGCTTTCACTGTCCTTGATTATTATTCAAGCACACCTGTACCATTTCCCCTCTCCAACTGACCTCGAAAGCCCTGCACCCTCCTCTGACTTCCTCTTTGACAATCCTCCAACACCATCAGCACCATGTCCCTCAAGAACGGTCAGAATTCATGACATGTTACCATAATTTCATAGAACCCAGTTGCTGACTCTGCGCGCCAGACGCATTCCCATCCTCCGAGGCATTTGACGTGATTCAGTCTGCTCTCTCCTCCAGCGAAGCCGATAGAAAAGATGCCGTTGCGCAGGGAAAGGCCATCTTTGCCTTTAAATTGAAAAACGACCAAGGCCAGGAGGAGGCATGGCATCTAGACCTCAAAGAGTCTGGCAAGGTTGGCAAGGGCGAGGCACCCCAGGGCAAGAAAGCCGACGGTGAGCAGCACATCTATTCTCCCCACTCCGTCACTCAGTGGGCGTGTCTGATTCGAATTTGTCTCCAGTCACACTATCGCTCTCTGACGAGAACTTTGGCAAATTGGTCAGCGGCAAGACCAAGGCTCAATCATTGTTTATGAGCGGCAAACTCAAGATCAAGGGTAATGTCATGAAAGGTGAGTCTAATTCTTCGACCTTGATGTGTTTCACGTGTATTGATATACTGTCTCCCAACAGCCACCAAGATGGAACCTATCCTAGCAAAGGCCAAAACTCAATCAAAACTATAGATTTGCTGTCCTTTTATATCACCAGCAAGTATCAGAGATTCGCGTCTCATCTTGCGTTACAAATTTACCCACACTCTGATGATCATGCTACCATGTGCTCTCCTTGTCTGACCGCAGCGGTTTTCTTTTCGCTCCTTCCTTCATCTACCATTCTTGTTGTGATCCCGTGACTAGACTACGAAACTTGGCGTGTATATTTCTTTGGACGCCCAACCTCGAAGATAGGTTGGAATATGACATATCACCTGGTAAGTGAGGCGTCTGGCTTTTCCATGACTAGCAAAATCTCTCCGAACTATCCAAAATACACCATGCGATGATGAAAGATCTCGATGTTTCCTCCACACGGCGTCCATAGTTTGTACGGTTGTGCCCAACACATCAACCACGCCCAAGCCACTGAAAGAGGTTTGACTGCGATCCAACCAGTCCCATCCCACATCACTCTCACATGGCCTTGTTTCCTGCTAATTCAGCCGTGCGGCTAGTGGCTACACCTCGGGCTCTTGCTTCTTGACGGTACGGTGTATACTGATGGCTTTCCCTGAATGGACCAACAGGATTGGCTAATCTCTTGACATAATGACCTTCCCTCACTTCGCCCTCAATACCTCCAAACGCTCCGTCGGTCACAAATCCCAACATCTTGCGCACCCGGTCTGACATGCTAGCCTCCACTTCTGGTCGGATCGATAGGAAATTGTTTTCCTGTTGGCGCACAAAGGATCGCATGAAAAACATGAGAATGACGGGCCGCTCACCACTAGTCATCTTATTGGGTCCAGTCGCGTGCCATAGCCGGCTCTCAAAGACCAAAGCTGTTCCAGCGGGACCTTCTGCTGCTACCGTCCCGTCAATATTGAACGGATCATCTGGCGCAATGGCTCCAATATGGCTCCCAGGGAAGACACGCGTCCCTCCATTGTCAGCTGTGACATCGGTCAAGAACCACATGATGTTGATTCCATAATACATGCTTCGGGTTGGTGGCTGGATGCCTACTTGATCTGTGTGCAACATCATCGGCGTGTTTCCTGGACGCGCGACATTCGCCGAGTATGAATGGACAAGGAAATACTCTCCTAGGTTTTCGGGGATAATGTCATCAATCAGTGGGTGTTCTAGGAGATCAAGAAACTCCTGCCCCTTGTTGATTAAGGTCCAGATCCGCTGGTTCGGTGATTTGGCTCCTCCATCGTGTGCAGACACCCCAGATTCAACTTCACCTTGTCCTTGTTGCCGAACTGCATCGGCCATGATCTCGACTTGCTCCGGCGTTAGAGCATTTTTGACCAAGCCGTACCCAAACTCCTTGAGATCCCTTCGAACTTGCTCCATGTCCTCTGTTGGGCTCGGGAGCTTGCTGCCGCTCTTGGGGGCAACGGGGTGGCTCGGATCGATGGGACACAAAGCGTCCGCGAACTTGACTGCCACTTTAATGTCGCCCTTGGGCAGGGTGGTTTCGTCAAAGAAACCATCCTTGAAAAGGGCATAGCGAGGCTCTAGCTGGCCGTCGTAGAACTGCCTGATATACTGCGGTTTGACCTTGACGGCACAATCCGGCTCACCGTCATAGCTTTGGAGGATACAAGGTTCTTGCCTTGTGTCGACATAGATCGGCCCATTCTGCAGTCCGATATCTAACTTGAGCACGCCCTTGACCTTGGTCATGTTTGGAAGGCGGCTTTTGATGATCTTGAGTGCCTCTGACGAGTGGTCTGGAGTCTTGGAGGTCGACTTCCAACCAGAGAACATTCCATAGCCACGGCTGCGGCCAAGAGCCTTCTTTGCCTCCTTGCTTGTGCCATTTGGAAGGACTGTTGCACCCGTCCCTGGGGTCACGCTGTTGGTCTGACCATTGGTCTGAGATGGAGGCGCGACGTTCATGTTGCCACAGAGGTTCTAGACTAAATATGATCCTGCGTGAACTGAGAGAAGTGGCCTGGACCATAATGGTTTGCACACGCCTTCTGCCATGGTCAAATATGGCTGACACCGTTTAATCATACTAATACTTTCTACAGTCATCTTTCGCTCTTGTCCTCAACACCCATGCTCCGGCTGGGGATAACCCTGATGTTAAGCAAACACCCCCTCGGGCCATATCGAAAACCCCGCAAAACTTGACGATCATACGAATCAAAGTTTCTGACTCGCGCTGTTTGGGAGATCACTATAGGTGCTAATTCCTCCACCCCAAGCCTGGTTTATGGGGTTGGATCGTAAACATCACGAATTCACACAAAGTACCTACCTATGAGTTGTTGTTCTACCCGCATTAGGTCTGTTTCCCCGGTTCTTGGCGACGTGATCCGTCGACAAAACTACACGAATTCGCTTCAAATGAATGTGTAATGTAGATGACGAGTGGGGGAACGGGCCCATGATTGTGATATGCCCACGTCTATGGATAATGACAAAACATATATCCACTAATAGCGACTCGAGCCGGCGGCTCGTCATTCGGTAAGATATCCATGTCATCAAATTCCAACATGCTTCATTTATCATACATCTCGGTGGCAAGCGTCATGCGTCTCGACGATCGAGGTCGAGAGATTACTGCGAGGGCCAACCGCCAAACTGATTCGGATTTTCATAGCCAAACGTCGAAGTGTCGTCAAACATGAAATCTTGTCCGTACCACTGTAAGACATCGACCCCACTCATCAATGCGTCTGGGCCCTCTTGCAGAGGCCAGGCTACTGTCTCTGGATATCCCGAGAACATGGGGTGTGAGTCAAGATTTGGCTGATCCATAGCTAGCCCTGGCTGCCTGCCTGTAGTCTGAAAGTCCACCGCTCTGACTGTGCTGGTGGATGGTATTGGGGGCTCTCCAACATTGATCACAGCCTGACTTGTTGAGGCCAGCGGAGCAGCATGGTTTGTTCTGAACCCACCCGATTCTCGAGGCTTTTGTCCGCCTGACATGCCTTCAATGACGCCTCGTCTATCAGATATGACATTTGAAGTGGTGGCCTGCATCCTCATCTGCAGCAGGACCATGGAGAATGCCCTCGCCACCTGAGAATTGTTGGCAGCGTGGACTTTGCTGAAAACTTCGGACAATGACATCATATATTCGTCGAATCTGAGATCCTTTTTGTCAATTGGAAATTGCGTCCCGGCCTGACCTTGATTCTCGCATATGATCAACAACTTCCGAAGAGATCGAGCCGCATAACCGGTCCGGACGAAGAAGAGATTCGGTAACGTGCACAGCATGGCCAGGCTCATGGAGAGAAACGAGTCGAAGACGGCGTGGATCGCGGTGAGACAGTTGACCAGAGCTTCGATTCGTGCAGGCATCAAGTGCAAATCTTCCAACGGTGTCACAATGGTGTCAACGCCTGCAGCGGCTTGAGCAAGCTGGGTGGGACGTAGAGGTGCACGGAGCTCATCGATGTCGTGCTCCGAATGAAGTGCTACCTCGTGGACATACAGTGTCATGACTGCCTCAACATGACGGATATAGGCTATAATTGGGTCAGCGTCTGTATGATTTCATGAAGGCAGAAGGCACAGGCAGTACTAACGTTCCTCTGTGTTCGACCTGGCTTGCCACCTCCATTGCTCGAGCTGTTGGCGAAACCCGCCTAGCTGATACTGAACTTTGACATCTCGAAGGGTGATATTGGATCCCGGATCGTCCATGGAGAAGATGATGGATGCGTCCTCGGCGATGTGCTGGAGCCTTATCAGATCACAAAGCCATTTATCGCTAGGCAGAGCGTTGGGATCATTGGCAATGACGTCGAGGCATTCTTCAATGTACACCGACCATCGAACAAAGGTCGGATGACGTAGGGAAATGGAAACGCTACAGAGATGAGTTCTTCTGTGTCCTGAAAACATCGAGTTTCAAGCCTACCTTGTAGCCGAGTAATAGCACCCTAACCAAGCCCTCCGACCTGCAAGGGACTCGAGCTGGTGTTCGCCTGCTATCTGAGCAGGAAATGATTTGTGAGATCTCCGACCTAAGCCGACGTCAAGGCCCATTGCCGCTGCGGTATGAACCATCTGGTTGAAGTTGAGTTCTCGCATGTGCTTGGCGCGTGCGTAAAAGCTGATCAAAACTAGCAAAGCCTGGATGAGTTCGAGAGACCTTTCCCCGCGATATTGAGCCCTTAGCGCAAGGTCCTTGGTCAGTGAGTCCCTCAGCTCTTGCTTAGAGGATGAATGCATGGACGAGGTGCCGACCACTACAATGGCGCAGAAAAGGAGAGGCTGTTGCTCCTTGACCGTGGCTGCCTCGACGTCGTCGGAGAAAACAACAAAGGGAAAATATCGAGACATTTGGAACTTGTAACGATCGAAAGCAATGCAAGCTGTGTGCCAATCAACAAGGCCGTCGGCGATTGCTTGGTCGATCAGAGTTTCACTGGTTTTGGCTCCAGCATCTCCATCCGAGGCAGCCAAACCATCGCTGGTAGATTTGGGCGTCGGCCCATGCGAGCCAGATTCGCTTGTAGCCAGAAGAGACGTCAGTTGTTCGATTTTCTTCTCGAGATCAGTCACTCGATCTGTAGTCTTCCTAGTGCGCCTTCGTGGAAGAGATTGCATAACACACTGTCGCCGAGTGCGGATGCATAATTTACAGGCACTGCCGAGAGCCTCGTCCACCTCGCAACGGGTTTTCATGCGCCGACACGCGATACAGGCTCTGCTGGAACGGACCTTTTTCTCCGCCGATGGCGACGTGTCTTGATGTGGTGCATTGTCATCACTGTCATCGCTGGGATCGCTCTGGACCTTGGTGTGCTCGGAAGAATTCATCTTAAGCGGTGCAGGTGTTGGCCATCAGACCATATGTTGTATTGAAAAGACCATGCAATCCAGGACCTGCCTCATGATCAAAGGGTCATGTTGTTGTCATCAAGAACCATGAACCGTGCCATCTTCATCCATGCACGTGGCATCTTGCACCTTCCTCGTTCGATATTCGGCCTTGGCGGGTGCCTTGAAAGCGACGGCGGAGTACAGCAGCCTTAAGGCACAACAAGCCTTTTGGGCGAGGATTAAGCACCCGAAGCGCAGATCCACACCGTCACTACAGTTTGACATTATAATTAGAGACCGAAACAAGATCTTGTTGGAGGCCGATGGGCTATCTCGGGTCGCGTATCAAGTTTGGTCTATATGGGACGACACATTGGTAGTTTCAAACCAGGCTCGAGGCAGTGACGAACATCAACGGTACGCAGGCAAATCAAACATGGGGGCCAAGGGCGAAAGGGCTGTGCTGGACACTAACCGCCAATGCTACCTAACGTCAAGGTCTGAGGGCGTCGTGGGCGTCTATCCCAAGCGACTGGCTTGGAGGCTACAACGCTAGACTCCCGTTCAGCAGTTCCAGGTAAGCTTAGGTCACCAATCCAACGACATCTTCTTCAAGCAAAGACTCCAACAACAACTCCAGTGAGTGTCCAAAATCAAAGCTGGAGACACTCGCATCTGCAGATCTATGTGCCCCCGCCGACCATCCTCAGTGTAATGGCATCCGGCTTGCTTGGGCTTTGTCGAGCATAATAGGGACTAAGCAACATATATAGGTACCTTTCATATGGCAGCCACTAACTTGCAGGCTGCAACCCCTGTTTCGGTCTTCGCTAGATCAGCCACGTTGCCTATAAGTCGCACATGGTCATTCTGCCTGGAGATGGCCACCAGGTCGACAAGGCTCAGACCCGCCCCTTTGCATTGGTCCGTGGAACCTGACTGCCGTTCTATATATTTGAGCAGAGATGCGAGGCAGCGTCATCAGTGCTCTTCTCTGCCCGCCTTGCAAATCTCCCCTTTCCTTTAACTCTGGGGTAGAGAGTATCCCTAGCTCTATGTATGACAATTTAGCGCAATAGCCCTCTCTCCCCTTCCTTCATCTATCAACGCCTTTGGTGAACCCCAAAGGCCAGACGTCATCGCCTTGTGAATGCCTCGTCGGCCGCAGAACACTACCCCCATCCGAGACAACAACTTGTGGGATTGCCTCAATTCGAGCTTCATCGCCGAGGAGAACGAGGCCGCCCGAGATGATATCGGGTTCGAAAAGCCCTGCGGCATTACCGTAGTTGCACCTGTTGCTCAAGCCGAATCCAAAAAGACGTCTGAACACCCACCTAAACAAGTCGATCACCAAGTTATCGTTGACGATTTGGACAAAGCGAGCATCCAAACATGGATTGAGCACAACTCGATTGACCAAGCAAAATTAGATGAACGATTACGGCTGAAACTCCTCGTCGTTCACCAGATCATTCGTGGTGACACTTTGAGACCCCCTCCTGAAGCAGGCGCGTGTCAGCTTTCTCGAAGATATCTTCAAACACATTTTGGATGCCCCGATGCAGCCTTGGAAAAGGCCTCTCAGAATGGCAGTTGGGCTTGGAACTTCCCAACATATCAACGCTCCGCCACTGATGTTATATCGTGTGCCGGCCTCGGTGCAATCGATATCAACATCATCTGGATGAGGAAGGAGAAGTCCAATGTAACATGGGCCATTGCTGTGTTTAAGCGCCCAGTATTTGACGCCCGAGAAAGGTTTGAAACCGACTTGAAAAGACTTGGTCGATACTGTGAATTACCGGGCTTCTTGCCATTCATCGCAGTGACTGCAAGTATCCAGTCAATTGAGCGAAGAATGGAAGGTCGGCTACGCTCAATATTTCAGGCAGATGTGCGGCTTGAAAGGTTCCCAAACGGCAGGGTTGCAGAAGAGTTGTACTTTGAGTCCAACACGAATGCCAGAAACATTGGCGTGGTTCAACGATGCGCAGGAGTCATGATCAGAACATTGGACGCCTGCAAAGAGGCCATGGCCTCTGCAACCCGGAGCGGTGATTCTAGTCTTAAGGAAAAGGCAGCGGAGTTGACAACTGCAATACATTACCAGAAACAATCGTTACTTGCGATCATTGAAGACTGTCAAGAAAATCGAGCGCAAACAGCGAGGCAGATCGAGTGCATATTGGGTTTCATGGCCCAGGCACAGACGAGGCTGAGCATCGAGATCGCCGAAAACCAGGCCAAGCTGGCCGAAGCGTCGCGAAGGGAACAAATGATCAGCGTCGAGATTGCAAGGAGTTCACAACAGATTGCGGCGGACACAAGACGAGACGGTTCCTCGATGAAAACGTTGGCTGTTGTGACGCTGGTGTACTTGCCCTGCACAACAATCTCATCGATCCTTGCGATGCCGTTGTTTGACTGGGATGCAGAGACCGGAGCCGTTGTCAATCCAAGAATCTGGGTCTTTTGTGTTCTTGCTATCCCTCTAACATTCATAACCGTTGCTTTATGGCAAATTTGGCTAAAAATGCGTGGGGATCCAAAGTCAAAAGCCCAAGTTGGCGGAGCGATCGTTGAAGAAGCTAAGCCATAGGTCCTGGTTGTTTGCCTACAGGGCGAACATTGTAGTTCGAATTTTCTCTGGGATTTGGTTGTACAGGTCTACTCGATATCATCATCCTCTTCATCAACCATCTATCAGCCTAGAGGTCAGCTAATTACAAGCGGCCGTTCACTAGCACTATCCTTGTTACTCAGTCAAGCAGTCTTTCTGAAAATGTCCGTGGGTGACGAATACTCTCTCCGAATGCATGTTTTCATCACAACGACGATAACTAGAGTACAATACTTCGAAGGTTTCCATGGCACGTGACCATATTGTTCCCCAGGCGTGTAAACAGTGGTTCAATACCTACCTACGGAGTAGTATTTACATGAGGAAACTCAATCTCAGTCAACTAAATAATGTAAGTTGGCGATCTATACCAATGGGAATGTGATAGCGTAATCGTAGCCAGAGCTGATGCTTGTCCTAGGGAGCTATGCTTTCATGAGCCAGCCAGGCGAACTCCTTAGGCCAGCCAAACCTTAGTTGCTCCGCCCCTCCTCATTGCGCGACAAGCTGCTGGAAATTGGAATTACGGGTAGCACAGGCGCAGTCTGGCACAACTGGTAATTGTCATCCTCGGTTGTCCCACACCAGTTGACCTTGGGTATGACGTGATTGATTGGCCACCATGCCCGATACCACACTCGGCATAGGGTTTAGACGGCGGCGCCTAGGGCACAGTTATAAGTATAAAGATATCGATGGTGAGAACATTCGAGCATGAGATTTCCCTCCCCACATATCGTCTGTGTATATACCCAAGTCCGTGTTCATCATATCGCATTGAGATTGCCCAAAATATCAGCATCCCCTTTGCACATACAACGCCCTGTTTGGCTCTACCAGCTGCCACGAGAATCCCTGTCGACATCATTCTGTCCTCAATCGTCCTCGCATTGCTAGCCGTCATCATGGCTTTCCAGTTGCCTTCATACCTCACCCGTTTTCTCCGACCCTTCACCGCATCTGCTACCTTGTCCTTGCAGCCCGATGCCCTGTCTGCGCTCCAATTTCCTCCCAATTCTCAGCGGGCCATCTTCGCTGGTGGTTGTTTCTGGGGCCTGGAGGAGCTGTACCGCAAGGACTGGGGCAATGGCCGAGGATTATTGGATTGTAGAGTTGGCTATACAGGTGGACAAACCAAGGCACCATCTTATGAAGATGTATGCACTGGTAGAACCGGACATGCCGAGTCCTTGTTGATTGTCTTTGATCCTGACAAGGTTTCGTATCGAGAGCTTGTCACATACTTCTTCAAGATGCATGATCCAACAACCCTCAATCGTCAAGGTGCGGATACTGGAACACAGTACCGATCAGCTATATTTGCTGAAGATGAGGAGCAATTGAAGATCGCCCAAACCGTCAAGGAGCAAGTGGGAGCTCAATGGTACAAAGGCAAACCCATCACAACTGAAGTATTGAGGGCTACCCAGTGGTGGGACGCCGAGCCAGAGCATCAGAAATACCTGCTCGTGAACAAGTATGGTTATCATTGCCCAGCACACTATGTCAGACCTGGACTCCCTGATCTCAAATGAGGAGGATTTGAAGGGCGACATTATATGGTGCTGTAGGACGAGTTTTCTGCCGAAACCGCGAGTCTGGAAAAGCTTGAAAGATGAGGCGTATGAAAGTCGAACATATATTTGAGATATGAAGTATGAGGTATGCGGTATGCGGTATGCGGTGTTTAAGTCCACATCGATGTGAATACTATGATATTGAATATATATTTATTTATATGGGAGTCACTTACTCGGTTGTATTTGCCCATGACTTTCTAGATGTGTACAGTTAGTACAACCTGCGGTCAACAAGACAGATAAGACATTAAAGTCGAAGTCGAAGTTCGTCGACTTCTGAAAGGCCACATATCGTCATTCTCAATCCTGCAGGCACAGCGCTCTACATTGGTCGCACCTGCAGCCAACCGTCGAAACAAAGAAAGCCGCATGTCACGTGATACTCCTCTCACTGGTGCCAAGCCTCGACTTGTAGAAGTTGAAGATGTTTGGACAGACTCCGTCCCAATGTCGACGCAACCAAAAAGCCGTTGGTTGAACTACGAGGACAAGAATCTCTTCACCGCGCAGGGTGACTCGACGTGCCAGACTCTACCTGCGTCTGATTTCTCCTTGTCACCTTCCCTCCTCCTTAACTTTGATAAACCCATCACCTCAACGCGTCCATCTCGATGATCAATTTCCTTCCACTCCTCCCGCGTCCTATCCTCTCCTCTCCGCCTCTGCCAGGCCACCAGTGATATGCCGAAACGTGTCGCCGAAGAATACATCACCAAAGAAAACGGATCATCCGCAAACTTTGACCCTGCCGGCGACAAGCCCAAAATGTCTACTGCAGCACAGCTGGCCAAGCGAAAGTTCGTCCATCCACTTCCTTTCTTTGTTATACAATTCATCGTCGCCGACCTCTTTCATCTTGCTCTCCCCCCTGCATCCTCTCTGTTACCTTTCACTCATTGTTTTCTTCTGCGCCTCTCTGCTAACTCGCTCCTAGAATCGCTCAGCCAAGAAGTCGTCTGGGGGCAAATCGTCCATCCCATTCTTCCTTCGGTGGTGCCGCAACACCTACCAAACCCGCACAACAGCAAACGTTCGGCAGTGTCAATGGTTTTACATTTGGTGCAGCCCAGTCGTTTCCACAAGATAACAGCACTACCGGTACCGGTTTTAGCTTTCAAGCCCCTCCTCAGTCGAGCTCGTTTACCTTTGGCGCCCCCAATCCCTCGTCCGTCTCCAACCCCTTTGCCAATTTAAATGGTAATTCCCAGTCTGCAACTGTCCTTCAAGAAGATACTTCAATGGAGAGTCCTCAGAAAAAGCCCGCTATAGGCAATATTTTTGGCGCTTCCAGTGGAGCGAATACAACTGCCTCGAACTTTACCTTTGGCCAGTCGGTTCAGCCCCAGGCAAATGGTGGTATCAACTTCGGATCGACTCAACCCAGTAATAGTACTCCAAGTATGAATGGAGGAGGTCTGTTTGGCAGTTCTTCCAAACCCGAAGCTACCGCATCACCTAGCAACCCCTTCGCTTCTCTTGGACAGCCCAAACAGCCCCAGCAGTCGTCTTTCTCGGGCTTCGCTCCCACAGCTGCTTCATCTCAACCCGAAACCTCAAATTTTACATTTGGTCAACCAACATCTGCTCCACCCAGCCAAAAGCCCTCCTTCAGTTTCGGCCAAACGAGCACGTCGAGCGCTCCAACCTTTGCCCCTGCGCAAACCCCAGGAGCTGGACAGCCACCAAATTCCACTTTCTTCTCGGCCCAAACCCCGGCACAAGCACCACTGCCTGGATTCTCACCTGCGAAAGAAATCTCAGGCAATCAAGATCAACCCAAGACACCATCACTTTTTTCTGTTCCAAAGTCATCGATATCTCAGGAATCAGCGACATCTAATGCACCACCACCATCGTTTCTTTTTGGCAAATCCCAGCCAACTTCTGGAACCCCGATTGCAACGACTTCAGGAGAACCGCTGTCTTCGGGGTTCGGCCTGCAAACCGAGGAAGCAAGTCCTGAAAGAGGAACTTCTCCAGCAAAGGCCCCTGATGCCGATACAACCATTCCCAAGAATCCCTTTGCCGGCCTCTTTGGTCAGCCAACCACGACTCCTCAGCCTGTCAAACCACTCTTTGGTCTTGCGAATTCCACACCGTCATCAGTTCCTGCGGCCACAAGTACTTCTAGCCCTGCATTGGAGAAGCCTGCAGACAAACATGCTCCTGCTTTTACATTTGGACAGCCTGCCGCACAGGCGGTCAAATCAACACCGGGCTTTGCGTTTGGGCAGACTGCGGCGCCACCTCCTTCGAGTGCTGGTCTTTTCTCTCCCACAAATTCCAACACCGAGAGCAACAACCTGAGGTCTAATCTCTTTGGCTCAGCACCTTCAGCAACACCTCTCTCCAACCCACCTATCCCGTCCAGTGAAGGACCCAAGCCTTTTGCTAGTGCAAGTACAGGTCCGCAGACCAAATCTGCCTTTTCTTTTGGCACGCCTTCTCCTGCAGATAGCACGCCTGGTGTAGCATCCACCTCGCCGAACAAACCCACTGTTCATGCCACCGAAGACGGAGTCAAGAAACAAGCTAGTGTTGCCAACCCACAATCTGTTTCCAACCAGCCTATCTCCGGAATCTCTACCCCAAAATCGGCGCCGCCTGTTCAGACTGTTGGCCGGGAGACTACCTCTACTACCTTGTCTGAAGTCACCGAGACAACTCCACGGCCAGTCTACACAAAAGCCGCACATTTCATCCCCGGATCTCTGCCCGCGGAACAGTATCGTAGTTACGATCGGAACTATCGTTTGCATTCATTAAACGTCGGTCTGCAGAAAAAGCTCTCTGGAGTTGACCCGAGGTCATTTGACTTCGACAATATTATTCGACATTATGTTGCAGCAAGGGAAAGCATCGGGGAATCTCTTGGTCTGTATGAACGCAATCTGGCGGGTGCGAAACGTAAATCCGATCGGGCGGAAGACCAGGATGATTCGAGCTCACGCAATAAGCGCACCCGCTCGGAGGAATCTGTGGGCAAGACCATCCCCTCGACAGCTCCTTTTGCTAGCGCGACTTCGACAACTTCCGAACCCCAGTCTTTGTTCGCTCTCAGCTCACCTGCTGCACAGACAGGCCCAAGTTCCAGCCCTTCCAGAGCTACGGAACTGTTTCGAGACATGATACCGGGTTCAAGTGACAGCCAGTCTGATAAGGCCAAGCCTTTCAACTCCTTTGCAGGTATCGCTTCGCAGCCATCCTCCACTCAGAGTTCCACCACCCCCAACCCCTCAAACCCCTTCGCGTCTCTTGCCTCGGGTTCGAATACTTTGGCGACCACACCGTCGTCGAGCCATAGACCAGCTACTGCCTCCACTTCAGCACTATCTGGACCATCTTCCAGCACATTTGCAAGCCCCAGTAAGGAAAGCCGGATCGAAACTCCTCAGACGGAAAATCAAAAGTCGACTGTCGCAGAAAGTACTACACCAAAGAAATCATCCGCTAAGCCTGCCTTTGAAATGCCCAAGTTTGGTACTGGCGGGGCAAATTTCATGGCAGCTTTTGGGCAGCAGGCAAAACAGAGTGCTGACAAATTCGAAAAGAGCCAGCTGGAGAAGCGAAAAGCGGAAGAATTTGACTCTGACGAAGACGACGAGGAAACTTTCTACAAGCAGATTGAGGAAGAAAAAAGGGCGAAAAGAGCCAAGATTGAAGCTATCGCCCGCGGCGGCTTCGTGCCTTCCTTCGGCCAAAAGAGTGGCGAGTCTTCTACGGCATTGTCTGTGTCTGGGGGCACTACAGACGCCCTCAAAGGTAGTGGACTTGGTTCATCATTTCTGGTCAAGAAAGGCTCAGCACCGAGTGCCACTGCAAGTCCTAACCCCTTTGCGAGCTTGGGAGCAGCCGCCGCGAAACAATCCCATTTAGCCGTGGACGATACCACTGAGAATCAAAGCTCGTCTGAGGGTAACGAAGACACAAACGACGCCGAAGATGGAGACGAGGCTGGAGCTTCTGGTGGCAGTGACGAAGACGACTCCGACAACTCTCCTGATGATGACGCCCCCAACCAAGACGATGAGGATGAGGATGACGAGGCGAATGGCCATGACGGCGATATGACACCCAGCCCAAATGCTGGGAGGAGCCTTTTCGACCGAATCGAGCCTAACCCTAACATTGCTCAAACTAAGGAAACCCCAAACGGCATCAAGAACAGTGCAGAGGACGACTCCAGTGCCATCTTTCAGTCGGCGAAGAACCCCGCGTTCAAGAAATCTCTTTGGGGCTCTCAGATTGGCCAAGAGACCCCTGAGCAGCCAACTTTCTCTCCCATCACGCCCTCGACGACCGATTCGACTCCCGCATACAAGCCTGCCACAACTTTTACCTTTACCGCTCCACCTGCAGCATCTCGAGCACCGACTCCTGGAGCCTCGATTTTTGCGGGCGGCCTCACCAAGAACGGACCTATCCCTGGAGAAGGCATGTTTGGATCTCGGCCTAGCACCCCAAGTAATGGCGACAAAGCTGTGGATAGTAACCCGCTGTCGCGGTCGGTCCTCGCCTCACCACCAGGGACTGATAATACTTGGAAACAAGGGGCACCCATCACCTTTGGGGCTTCGGAGACGTCAGCGCCGTCTTTCAAATTCACTGCTGCATCACCTGGGCCAACTAGTTCAGCCTCTACACCAAAGCCCTTTGGCAGCCTGTTTGGTACTTCTAGCACAGATTCTAAATCAGCCGAAGCGCCTAAAGTTGGGTTCAGCTTTGGCGCGCAGCCATCGTCTCCTGCCCCTGGCTTTCTCGGTGCAGTGTCTCATCTTGGGGGCGGGTCTGCGGCTAGTTCGGCGATGTCATCAAGAGCTACCTCACCTGGGTTGACTGATACGGAATCCGTCGCCACCAATGATACGGAAGAGTCGACTGATCCCCAAGCATCCTTAATGGAATCTCGAGCAGGAGAAGAGAATGAGGACTGTCTGTGGGAAGGACGTTCAAAGGCCCTCATGTTTGTCAACAAAGATTCTGCAGAAGGTACAAAGCTGAAGCCCAATGACTGGAACTCGATGGGCGTAGGCCTTGCACGAGTATTGAAGGATAAGACGACCAATAAGACACGAGTCTTGTTCAGAGTCGAGCCGAGTGCTTCTATTCTCATTAATTCTCACCTGATTGAGAGCACATCGTATGAGAATATGCCGTCCCAAAAGAGTGGCGCCGTCAAGGGCACGCTTCTCTACAAGGGGAACCTTTCACGATGGGTGTTCAAAGTCAAGACACCAGAGATGGCTGAAGAGCTGACCAGAATATTGGAGGACAACAAAGCAGCATGAGTTGGTATCTTGACAAGATGAGGTACCTTAAAAGGGGAATGTTTGCTGGGTGGAAGAATGAGATGAGCCCGGTGGAGGTCATTTGCAACCGGAATAATGCGGATCTTTGTCGCCCATATGGGTCATGTTACAGTTCACAGTGCTGGTTCTACAGATGCACAGCGTTGGCGTTGGCTAAAATTGTCTTTGATCGGGACGCAGAACGTCGCGATCAAACCTGCTGGAAAGTAAATACATTGTCACCAGCGCGTATCTCTAAAGCGCAGGGTCGACGATGACCTTTTCATCTATGGCTCTCTAAAGGCCGTGTTTTACATAGAGTTTCCGTGGTTGACTTCAATCATTGCCACTGGCTGGTCGAGGGCCAATCAATCATCCGAGGAACAGTCGAGCCGACGATTCGGTCTACAAAAGTCAATCTTGGTGTTGGTTGGACTCCAACCTCATTGTGTGTACTGTACATAATCATCATAAAGAGAGATCACTATAAGTGTTAGGTCAGAATAATACCTCTGTCCTAGGATTTGCAGTCATTCACTCCAATTAGTGGTTACATTTGATGATCTCTGCTGTCTGAGGAAAACTTTCTACGTCCATGACGCAGGAGGCTATATCACAAGATGAGGGAAACAAACCAGACTCGGAGCATCGCGTGAGCGAGTTGAAAGTTATTTAGCGAGAGGAACGAAGACAAGTGATGTGTGATCAGCTTGAGTGATCAGTGGTGACTCATTTGAATACTTCCATATCTGATTAACATATGGAGTTTTGGAGAAGGATGGCCATCGGAAACTAGTAGGCCAAGTTTCAATCGCTGAGCGGCTCAAGATGTTCGGCCGAAGGGCCTACACACCTAGGGAACGGTAGCCATCCTTGCTTTTCATCGCAGGACGACCCAAGGGGCCGGCCACCAGACCGATGAACATTTGGCCATAACATCCACCAGGTCTTTCGACCCTCATGCTCTCGGGCGCCACCTAGTCATGCAAAATCGATGCCTTCGAAGCCAAGTTCATCTGGCATGTACCTATGATTCCTCGACAACAACAGTCTGCAGTCCCTTCACCTCCTTGTCCTTAACGTTGACGGCCTGGACGTAGCTGTACAGCTTCTCCTTGGCGCCCTCCTCGTCGTTACGCTTTCGGCTGATGCGTACGCGTAGACGGAAGGGAACACCTTTGATACCGGATTCCCAGACCTTCTTGTTCAATTGTGGATCGAGACGAACATCGGATGTTCCCTGCGCAAGAGTGTTAGCTGTTCTGTTTTGCTGGCCGCAGCTGGAATGGCCCCAGAGAGGGTTGGGGAAAATCCTGTTACTTACCATAGCGGTCTGAGCGAATTTGCGGATCTCCTTGATTGCGCGGGGTGCTCGCTTCTTGAAGCTGATGCCGTGGACCTGCAGAGCAAGAAAGTGTATAGATCAGTCTTCCGTCCAAAATGCTTGTCAAACGTGGTTGCGATGTGCGTCGTGACGAGAATCAAGCCATTCGGGTGGACTTCACAAAACTGATTGTTTGCTGGAAAAGACCATTCAAATGGTGCGTTTCACGTCCATCTTTTCACGAAATAAAAATTTCCATGGCCCGGGCTGTTCGTCCTTACTTCACCCACGAAGGTGGAAGAAGGGGTTCTCTGGCGGTGTGCATTCGGGACGGTGGGTTGGTCTGGTGGGTAAAACATACTCGCTTGTGAAGGTGGATGGTATATTCGCGGGCGACGACATCAGAGATCGCAGATCGCGATTTCTTCTGAGTCGTCTTCTTCGCCTGAGTCTTGGGATTATCTTTGGCCATTGTGAAGGTCGGTCTGGGAAAAAATTGTTAGCGTTTCTGAATCACTCCACTGAACTGATACAGCGCTGTGATAGCCCTTTGGTTGGATTGAGGAAAGATATGAAGAGGAGTATCTTACAGTTCCAATGGACAGATAGGGTTGTTGGCGACGATGAGATTTTCGAAGTTGAAATTCAACAGTCAAGGTGCGCTGCGGTGCCAAAGTCGATGGAATAACTTTGAATCGCAAACTTGTGGGTTAGTCCTCTTCGGGCTTAGCATTGCCAAGATTTCATAGTCACGTGACTTCACTCGACCTTTGCGAGGCGCATGCACTGGAGATCGCGATGCTTGCAATGCTATTGCACTATGTCAAAATTGTTATTGCCGTCTCACAAACAATAGCCTGACGGCGTGTATAGGAAGCAATCATAAATATTTGAAAAAGTCTCTCGGATTGACCTCTAAGATATGAGTTACAAAATTGCTCTGGTGCAGAAGCTAAGAGTGATCTGTTTCGTCCTTATAGCTAACCTTCCCAGCACTCACATCAGGATAGACGTCGAATCTCCTTTGGGTATAAATTGGAATGCCTTTTCGAGTTTCCTCGATCTTGTTCTCGTCAAGATTGGCATAGATGATGTCCTCAGACTCTTGCGCTTCTGACAGAACCTCTGCATTAGGGTTGACCACCATAGAATGTCCATAAGCATGGTATGACGCTTGGAGATCTCGTGCAGGACTGCACATTGCAACATATATCTGGTTGTCCATGGCTCTTGCACGAGCCTGTAGCGCCCAATGCATGGGGCCTGTTGTTGTGTTGAATGCTCCCGGATAGACAAACAGAAACACACCCTTTCTTGCGGCGACCATAGCCAGTTCCGGGAAGCGGACATCATAGCAGATGGCAAGACCGATCTTACCATATTCAGGAAGATCCAAAATAGTGACTTTATTCCCTGGAGAAAGAACTTCACTTTCTTTGAATTTTATCTTTCCAGGAATATCTATGTCAAATAGATGGGTCTTGCGGTGAGTTGCGAGGAGATCTCCACTTGGCGAAAACACCAACGAGGTGTTAAATAGTTGCTTGGTCTCGGGTACAAATTCTGGTATGCTTCCGCCGACAAGATATGTTTTCGTCTCTGCGGCAACAGATGACAGCATGTGCCACGATGGCGATTTGTCCTTGGAGGGAGGGGAGGGGAGGATGGTTTCAGCATATTGAGGAAAATATTGAGTGCCGTAGGGAGAATTGAAGCATTCCGGGAGAACGATCAGATTTGCTCCGGCTTTGGCAGCCTCTACAACTTTGGACCGGGCATGGGCCAAATTGGCGGCTTTGTCCGTGCCTGGTTGGATGTCAGAGGAGGTTATGGTGGGGTGTGGGGTGATGGCACTCACCACTTACCTGATGCCAGTTGCACAAGAGCAAGCTTCAAGGGTTTCTTCAGGAGAGCAGCCATTCTGATCGAATCGTGGGATGTTGTGTAGGTAAATGTGGAAGAATTGTTCGTTGTTGGCTGTTACATATCATTAAATCAAGTAGGTTGGCATATCAGGTTGGAGAAGTGGGGGACATTTTGGGCTGAGGGGGCTCCCTTATTGTGGCAAGTGAGCCGAGTTGGCTCTTCTCCTTAACCGTTAACTACCCTAACTACCCGGAACTATCTTCAACAGCAGACACTTTACTTTTGCTTTCAACACCAGGATTTCTGCGGGCAGAAGTCGTTGTGCCTCATCTACTGGCATTTGTTGCTCTTCAACAGCAGTGCCCCGATCTATTTGACTGACCATGGTTAATTTCAATCTCGCTGTGATTCTGCTGGTAGGATGCAAAATGAAGGGCAAATGACTGAGAGTGCGAAGAACGCTGAGGCAATACTGATACACTCACAATTGAGCCTTGAATGTCATCATGCAGAGGCTGTAACAGAGACAGAGGTACTGATACTTGTTGAAGCCATGGCTGTTTGTCACTAGAAGTGAGTTCCTGCGTGTTTTGTTTTGCTCTCGGCGCACCATGCCCATAAATGGAGACTGCAAGTTTGTGTTGAATGGGTTGAATCGTTTATATGCCATCAAGTCCAATCATCCAGCTCCCATTCAAGTGACACCTGCTGTTGCTTCCCTTGACAAACACTGCACTCAACCTCTTCCTCAAACTCGTCTTTGACAGCAAAAAGGCAGAACGCCAATCTGCGTTACTGCAGATGTTGAGGAACTGGTAGAGATTTATGGTCCTTCACAGTTGCTTGCTTTTAAATTCAAAGTCACTGCAGGCACCGATCAACTAAACCCGCTCAAGTCACGCCTGCCCCGAATATAAATGCTTCCTGAACTCCTTTTCTTTTCTCACTCTCAGCCATTTCAATCTCTGCTCAATCGACACCCGGTTGCCTCCTATTCAACTTCCTTTGATCTCGTTTGATCGATCTGCCTACCAGGCCCTTCTCCGAAGTGTGTTCGCTTTGGGTCGAATTCCTGCAACCGTCTTTGTAAGTCTACCGATCTAAGTCTCTATATTGAAATTGACTTGGGCATTGACATTGACATCCGCTTTCTACAAGATGGCCACCATGGAGTCGATTCATACCAACGTCCCTGCTGCTAACCCCAGCCCTACCCACTCTCACTCTACCAAGGACCCTGTCAAGACTCGTTTGAATCTTGACGAAGCCCAAGCCCACGAAAATGGAACACCAGACTTGAAACACGAGAATACCGGATCTACCCCCAAGCGTCGCCACCACTTCGACAGAGCCACTGAACAAGGCGTCCAGGCAGCAATGTCCCTGTCTTATCAGGTTGTCGTCGCTTCTCGCGAATCCAGGCCACTTCCAGAGATCTCGGGTGCTCAAGGTGCTGAGCTTGCTCTTCTTGCATCTGATTTGATTCGGATCCTCAACTCTGACCAAGTCGTAAGTGATCACTGCGACCTAAAGGCCAGAACGAGTGATTACTAACTCGAGGATGTAGACTACCAGCAGCATTGCCCGTGCGGTCGCGTGCATGCGAGGCGAAGATCGGATTACTGCTGGTCAAGCTCTCAGACAAGCCAGATGGCTCAGCAAGATCAAATGGCGTCAGCCCCGAGCCAGAAACGGACATGGCAACAACGCCGAAGTCGCAGCACCTCTTCCATCCAACGGCACAAAGCCTGATGCACCAAACCCCGCAAAGACAAACGGTCAGGTTCCAGAAGACAAAGAGAATGTGAAACTACAAGCCGTTACCTTTGCCAATGCCAAGGACGTCGACCAAGCCACCTCGAAGGGCAAGAAAAAGAATAGCACGAAGCCTCGTAGCCAAGCAAGAAACACTAGTGTCAATAGCAATGACAAGAATACCGCCACTGGTCCTGCTGAGGCTAATGACGCCAAAGCTGACAAAGCGGTTACATCGTCGACTCAGAAGACAGAGCAAGATGCATCCAAGGGTCCTGAGAAAAACGGTGTTGCCCTTGATGAGGTCAAACAACAATTCAGTAATGACAATTGAAAGGACCTCTCATAAGACTTCCGAATGGAATGCTGCTGGCAAAGAGCAGACTCGACAACACTGGTGGGATGTCATCAGTGCGGATGTTTGTTAGGATTGGGAAGAGAGCTACATGGTCCGCGACACGCCCGTAAAATGTTCTCAATTGCTCGAAGCTCAGGTGTAACACGACAGCTATGGTGGCGTGAGAGATGTACGATGACGAGGATCTTCATGCCCGCTCCAGCATAGTCAATGCAGGTCATGGGCTAAGGAAGAAGATGTTTTGCAATGGCAAGGGGGGCCGAGGAATGATTTTGCTGAAGTGATTCAGAGCATTGAAGTAGCTTTCGCGGAATAGCTTACATAGGTAGAAGCATGACACAATAAATACAATGTGCAGACTTGCGGAATGGGTCAGTGTGGCCAAAAAGTGGCGTCAGTGACAATCGGGGTCAGTGAGAGACTGTAGCAAGGAGACTCATGAATTCTAGGGCTCTTGTGATGCTCAAGTATAGCACAGTTGCGTATCAATTCCCGTCAACTCGTAGACATTTCAAAGCATGATATTCACGGCCGTTAAGACATAGATTCGTCAGAAATTACTATACACAGGCAGGAACATAGGGCATCTGCCGTCATGGACATGGCAGCAGAGCATGCACGACGCCACCTTTCTCACCAACCTTGGCGACGACCAAATTCTGCAAGACACCAGCCATAAATAGGAAAATGTCATATTGCCCAGTTTGGCTGCTCAAATCCAAAATTCATGGCAAGAAATTCATCGCCAAATCCAAAGGCCATCAGCTCATCCGAGGTAAAGTCCATGGGTCCCAACTCCTGCCCAGGCAGACCATAGCCCATCATACCGGGGTTGTGCATCGACATCTCGGTGACACCGGGGAGCATTTGACCAATGGGTTGTTGTGGCAACCACTGTGGATGTTGGGGAGGTTGAGGCCCAAGGACGGTTGAGGGTGGCGGGCCAGGGCCCATGGCGGCATCAGACAACATCTGTAGACCGTTCCGCGGCTGAACATGCGGCGCAGTGGGTTGGTCCATCAATGGCCGAGGGTGCTGATTCCAGCTCATGGGCGGTGGCTCTTGTGGAAGCGGAGCTGGCCGGTAGGCCTGTTGAGCGTTCCCCCTACCAGCCGGGGTCCTTTGTCGAGACACCGGGCCATCCTCTGTTCGTTTCAAATGCCAGCTCCTTAGCATGTTGAATATCAGACTGAACTTTTGGGCAACTCTACTGTTGCCTCCCTCGGCTGTCCTGGACAAGATATCGTTTAAACGATCCAGATAATAGTCGACCCTCAAGTCCTGCGTCTTAAAGATGGCACCGAACTTGGATCCTTTGGCCGACACGGCTGAGTACATCTTGATGAGAGCAACGGCCGCGTATGCATTGCGGACAAAGAAAAGCGTAGGAATAGCGCGAAGCGTCCTGATGTCCATGGACAAGAAGGCGTCAAATGTTGCGTGGGCAGATTCGATACAGGTGGTAAGAGCCTCGATATGGGCCGGAGTGACATTGTCCGGGTCCGGTGGGCCTTCAATCGGAGTGGTATTAAAAGGTGGTCGAAAGTCGTCGATGTTGTGGTTGTGATGCATCGCAATCTCGTGCATGTACAGATTGATGATTCCATGAGAGTGTTTGAAGAGTGGCTTGCTGAGGATCTCGGGGGATGCTGCATCATACCACTCTTTTAGCAGACGTTCAAATGCCTTGAGGTGGTACTGGGTCTTGCTATCGTTCAAGGTGAGGAGAGATGCCGGATCGTCCATGGAGAACTCGAGGCCAACGTCCTCGGCAATGTGCTGTGCGCGAACCAGTTGACAGAACCACTTGTCTGAGGGTAGAGCGTCTTTGGAAGTGGTGAGTACCTCGATACACTCATCCGCATACGGGCTCCACCGAATCAGTAGGGGTCGACGGAGAGACATGGAAGAGCTGCCCGGTGTCAGCGATTCTGATGGGAGCAGGAAGACATGTCAACTTACTTGCAACACATGTAATAACAACCCAACCAACACCGACGAGTCTCGGCGTTGTTGGGGTCTGTCAGAGGCTTTTTGTTCTCGTGATATGGGCGCCAGATACCGCCGGCATGTCGTTTGGCACGTTTGCCCATGCCGAGATCCATTGCCATGACAGCGGCCACGTGGATTAGTTGATTAAAATTCAATTCTTCGTAGCGTTCGGGAGGCTGATAGAAACAGCTTAGGACTTGGATCGACTGAACTAACTCGAGAGACTTTTCCCCCCGGTACATGACTCGGTCGGCCAAAACTCTGGTGATCTCGTTAATTAACTTGGGTTGGAGGTCGGCTCGAATGGTGCCACTGGCAATGGCAACGATGGTGGCAAACAACATGGGCTTGTGTCTGCGGATATCATCGGCGCTGGTGTTGGGTGGGAACACGACGAGAGGTAGGTGGTCGCACATCTCAGCCACGTATCTCTCGAATATCTTCCGGGCGGGATTGAGGTCGATGAGTCCACGATCAATGACGTCGAAGGCCGCCCAGTCCTCATTGTCCGCCTTGGGGCGTATTGGCTCTTGATAAGCAGGGGAAGGATAGTGGTTGGGCGGAGGAGCTGATTTGAAGACGGGGGGGCCAGACTTGTGTAGCTCGCCGCCGAAGTATTCGTATTCATTGGCAACCTTCCTTTTGAGGCCCTGCTGGTGAGGCAGCATGGGCGGAGGAGATCGAACACTCATGGGGCCCGGAGGGGGATGGGGCGCGGACGGAGGGTGCCATTGTTCTGCAAAGGAGGATGGGCGCGGAAGGGGAGTATGTTGCGGGTGTCCAACAGAGGGGTCTAGGGTGAGGTCGGGGTCAGTGCCGCCTCGAGCAGCAAGAGTGGCTGTCAGGGCATCAATCTTCTTTTCCAACTCGGCGACTCTGCCATCGGTCTTCTTCTGGCGCTTTCGACTGGGGGCGGTGACGATACATTGCCTGTTGGCTTTGGCGCACCGCTTGCAAGAGCCTTGCGGGTGTGAGTCGTCAGGTTCGCACTTTACTTTGAGCTGGCGACAGGCTTCGCAAGCGCGGGGCCTCTTGAGGTCGTTTGGATCATTTGGATCGCTGGGGTCTGGTGGATTGGGAGAGGTACTGAGGTCTTCAGGAGTATCTTGCGCGGGGGGGTTCTGGTAGTAGGTGGGAGTGTTGATGGAGTGGTAAGAGTTGTTTGGACTAGGTTGCATGGGAGAGTGCGAATAGGTTGTGGGAGGGACGCCATTTGGAAACGAGTCGCGTGGTTTAGGAGGGGAGGCGCGCAGTTGAGGATCAATGTTCATTGTAGAGAGGGCGGTGGGATGGTGCTGTGGCCGCTGGCCGCCTCTGGACGCCGCTGGTGGGTGAAGACGGATGGTCGGTGATAGAAGTCGCCTGTCGGCGTTGCAAGAGACCGATGAGCAACCAAGAACGGGGTTACTAGATCGGGAACAACAGACGGATTTCCAGATTGAGAGGTGGTAGCTGTATCATTGCAAGAGAGGCTGGCGATCGGACTGGCCGGCAGACTTTTTGGACGCGTATCTGGACAAGAGCTGTTGGCGATGTTGGGAGTTGTGTGTAGTGAGAGTATCGCGGATGAGAGGACGATGAAAGGTGAAGGATGAAGCTGACGAGGGACAGTCGCAACAACATCAAACCTAACTCAATGCGAAGTCCGGCAGGTGGCAGGCGCAACCGTAGGCCGAGGGGGCCAAGGTGCAGGCGCAGGCGCAGGCGCAGGCGCAGGCGCAGGCGCAGGCGGCAGGTGCAGATGGGCGCCCGCCGACTCCTGCAGTAGATGAGTGGGCAGGAGGTGGGCTGACTTGGTCCTATCGGACCTGCCAAAATAGAACTCCATGTCTTTGTAATGGCAAAAGTAATTCCAGAATCTGTGTGCCACCTTGGTGTGATTCGCGCTGACAAAGTGCAATTCAGAATAATTATTCTGCCGTCAGACAAGATGTATTCATCCCCTGAAGCCTGGTCAACATCTCGACACACATACTCCGTACACAATGTTAAGCCCCTTTCATGATGGCAGCTACGGGATCTTAGTATGTACAGTCCTCGCGATTACGGCGCGTGCGACCGTGATTCCAACACTTGCAGTCCAAACCCTCAAGGGGTTATATTCACATGCAAAGAATGGCTAACTACATGCAATCATATAGCATTTAAGATATAATTCAAACGCACCTCCTATCCCATAGTGAATATCCAATATTTCCTCTTGTACCAAGTGTATAAGCCAATACATGCCTATCCCAAGGGACTGCCTGCAGTGACCCTGCGATCAACGAACTCGATCAGACCGCGTTCATAAATTCAATACACGTCTGCCAGCCTTCAAATGCACAACATTCACGCTTCACTCAACATCGTCGTCGTCGTCGTCATCATTACTGTCGTCATGTCATAATACCCGTAAGTCTGGCCCAAAGACATTCTATGTCAACAGTTTGTGTAATGGGCATTCGGCCTTGTGTGACATCCATTCCACGATACAGTCCTTGTGGAACTTGCACAAGCATTCCAGGCGAGCCAATTCATCCCCGACGTCGTATTCAACCATGCATATCGAGCACTCTTGAGTGGTGCCATCTTCGCCCACGCAATCTTTTTCTGTGGCCGTAAACGGCAACATGTGAATTCGCATTCCGCTGCTACCCCCACCAGCACCACCTTCATCTTGGTATCCGGGGTCTCGTGCTCGGATACAGTCTACAATATGGGCTTCTCTCGCACTCTCATCTCCACTTGGGCCTCGAGGTGGTAGCGCACGTCGACATATGGGACAAATATCTTCTTCCGCTAGGCGAACTCGACGAGACGTGACAAAGGGGTTCTGCGATGCCCGAGTCGCTATGGGTCGGGAGTCTCCCATCAACGACGAGCCTCGGGGCCGGTATGGTGCGCTGTGCGAGGCACCCGCATGTTCAGGTCGGGCCGTTCGGCTGTCCAAGCTTCTGGGCATCCCGGGCATGCTGAGAACATTCTGGGATGTGTCTGGAAAAACGGGTGGGCGTACTGTGTCAAGGTCGCTGGGCTGTCGAGCCGGTCCGGAGGATGGTGCCCATCGAGGACGGGACGGCGATGAAGCTGTGGAGAACCCAAACCAAGGGAAAGCGGGCTCATGGGTACCCGTGTTGGCATATGTAGAGGGCAAAGATGGCGGTAGAGCGGCAGGGAGAGCTGGTGGGTCCTGGATTGGCATGCTAGTATGGACATCCTGGATAAAAGTCAGCTAAGTCTCGAAAGCTATACAAAATCTTCTCACGGTGGCAAACGATGGCCTCTGTACGCTCGACAACGACATGGTCTGCCTGTGTCCAGCGGCATAGCTGCTTTGTGCTGGATGGTTCATGTGGCCGCCAGGAACGTTTGGACTTTGAGAGAAACCTGAGGTGGTGTAATAGTTGGTCGCGGGACTTGGTTGGGGGTCGGGAACACAAGGGTTGCAAAGTCGAACCTTTTCCCCTCCATCGAGATAGGATCCTAGCTGATGACACTGGGAACTGGATTGGGCCCGCGGCCTGACTTCGCCTGACCGTACTTGAGTCGAATTTAGCGTGGGCGAATGAGACAGGTCGAGCCGTGGTGGTTGTACGATAAAGGCGCGAGGAATGGTGATGCGATGAGGAGAGCATTCGTTACACACTACCCGCCCACACTTTCGACAATGATGCCTCCGGAACATGAAGGAAAATGGCCGGTTGCAAATGAAGCACTCATGAACCTCCGAGTCTGGCTGCCAGCGAGGCACGGTATATTGCCTGGAATTTTGTGAAGGCGTCCTTGCAAGGTCGTTGTTGGGGCCTCTCGACGGAGAAGTCCCAGTCAAGTCTATAACATCTGTGACGGGTCTCGAGCCGGAGATCGAAGTGTTATCGGCACGAGATTGATCTGAGAAACCATTGGTATAAGGGTCGTTGGGTCTTCTGTTTGCTCCATCGTGAATCGGATTCGTTAGTCTTCGTTTTCGATCCGAGGTTCTAAGGCTCTGCCTGCGCTGTTCTAGGGTTTCTTCTGATGGATTTGGAAGTGGACGATCATGGGGAGTAGCAGGAATCAGAGCACTGGCTGTGAGAGAATCAGACTGATGTGGAAGTTCAGGTAGTGGCCGTTGAGACCAAGATGAGGAGGATGTAGAGGCATGATTGGGAAGGGTAGGTGGTTGATACGGAGGCTGCGGCAAAGGATGGTACGCGGGTTGTGAGGGCTCGAGATCAGAGGGGTTGTTGCTGCTGGTTGAGCTTATGGATTCCGGAGAAGACATTTTCAGTGTCAGAGGACACCTATCGGGCCACCGCGGTGGTGATTTGAAGGCGATGGTCAAAGAATTGAATGGCTGATGGCATTTGGTGTTGAGGAGCACGTGTCAATGGGAATGACGGTAGGATTTGGAGAAGTGTAGGAAGTGACGCGAAGGAATGCATAGGTAGAAGAAGGAGGCGATAAGATCAATTGACCAAGTCGGCGGTAAATGTTACATGTTCTTGAAGTGGCGAGGGTTAGGCAACGAAGTCTTGAGATGGACCTGTTGGTATTTGAAGATATCACGATTGGGTAGTGGTTGGGTGGGTGAGGGAATGTACAGTACGTTGTCACTTTAGTCACTTTAGTCACTTTAGTCAGAACTTGATACGAATCGAATGGGACGCCACTTCCGGGCGACTTCCGTAGTCAAGCCCCGTAGGCTGTAACAGATGCAGGTGTTTGTAGCAGGTACATCCCTAAGCCACCTTTTAGGTACCTACCTAGGGACCTAAGGAAAATACCTACTTAGGTTAGGTACTTGCAGGCACCGCTGCAACCCGCATTCTCTTCGTCGCCTCCTGTGAGTATAAAATAAGGTACTTTGATTCTGCACCGACCTTCGACAGCCTCCATTTTATACTTGAGTTGAACTGTAAGCATGAATAAGAGGTGCAAAGAGTCAAGATACAGTGGTCCTGCTAACCCAAGCATTGATAATGAAGCGGACTCTACAAGAGCCGCCTCGGTCCCGTCCCAGAAGCCTACGAGAGTATCGTACTAGCGAACCAGACGACTTTCATGTGTTGGAACCCCGGTGCCCTCCGCCCACGCTTGTAACTTTTAGCAAATAGGCGTTGCCTCTCAGTGTTTTACCAAGTGCCAGTGTAAACGAGTACATCTTCTGTAGATACGTGCCGTGTCTGCCGTGTCTGTGTCGGATTAGGTCGGCAAAAACGCCTGATTGCATCGTCTATGATTAGCACGAGGCAAGATCAAGGAGTATGTACTTGACTACCGCAACTACTGTAAACTACTACTCGTCGGTACCTCGTCTACTGGGTCTACGTCACAACTCCTCTCTTGCACATCTGCAGTCTGGTTCGGTTGAAAAGTCTGTACAGAGCCTGTCTCGGCTTTTAGTTGACTACAGTACAGATCATCTCCCTGCCCTGGGAAAAGAGACCAATAAGAGTACAACCCATCGTATTATTCCTATTTCAAACAAAAATCATGGCAAAGAAAGCCTGCGACGACGAGTGAGACAGTCTTGGATCGACATTGGCCACCAGTAATAACTCAACACAACTAATGAGTTAGTGGTTGAGGAGTCTCGCCATCCAAGCTCCACATAATGATTCTCAATTCTCCTGCGCAGCCTGCCACTGCCACGCCTTTGCTTCAGTAGCCTCCGCCTCTGCGTCTGCCGCTCAAACCCATTTCCATCATCCACCATCCACCATCCACGGGCACCATCCACCCTCGTTCCATTCTGCATCTTGCTTCTCCATCTGTCCATCCATCGCTCCAGATTCCAGGTTCCCATCTCCACTCTATTGTTTCTATCTTTGATTTCACTCGTTATTCATCCCAAAAATCCACTTCTTGCCTCTTTCCATCCTCGAAACTGCAATTCCTCACCATCTACTGCTATCCGCACTTCACTTGAGTCTCTTTCCCCATCGTTCCCTTCATCATTTTGCCTCAATTCCACCCGCCTTGATCGAAACCCCGACGACAACGTGGGCTCTGTTTTGAGCAACTTCACTCTTCTACCGCCACTCCACCATCTCACATCCTCCTCTTCGAAACCTGCCCATCGACTCGACTCAACTCTATCTTGGTCGTTGCCCCTCTAGCTACACTACCGAATTGGCGCCTTCTTGTCCTCACAACCCGCACAAGCCCTTCGAGTCCTCTTCATCCCACCTGCACATCATACGGTGTCATCTGCCTCTTCAACATGCCTTTCTATTAAGCCTCAAGTGGCCTATCGTCCAATAGAGGGATCTCAAAATTTCATCACTATAAAAAGAAGTAACTGCGGCATGGAGACGACATCGAATCCAAGGAGACACCCTCGAGTCCCGCTATCCGCGCATTCATCTCCCCTCAACTGCAGTCTTTTCCGTCCTCTCCTCGTTCTTCTCGGTTGCACTGCTCTCGCGACTGCCGCAGAAGTCGACTTTCGGAATTGTCTCGCATCCAACATTGTCAATTCGAGTCCACGAGTTCTTCAATTCATTCCTCTCCATGTTCATGCCACCTTCGACACCTCTTCGAGTGACCATGACCTCAACGTCACAATCTACGGCAACGTCACTGGCCGGACGTACGATCAGCCTCTCCCTCCTCCAGATGACCCTGCCTGGTCAAATCCGAATGACACCTTTGGCAAAATTCCCGACCTGGATGTGGCCAACAATCGCTACACTACACTTTTCGCCCGCTACGACTTCTTGAGCTATACTCCTTGGAATGCACCTCCCAGCAGATTCTGTGACTCGGTCGACCATGGTGAATGTCCGCTGAGCCCATCTTTCTATGCCAATGCGAGTGACGTTGCTGAGCTGTCTGCCTTCTCCGTCGCCCATGGATTGTTCTCCAGCTACGCCTTTGGTTCCATCCAAGCCACCCTCAGGGTCCAGTCAGGTGATGCTGAGGGCAATTATCTTAGTTGTGTCACCGCTACCATCACCCCAGATTTTGGCGGGCTTCTAAAAGACATCTTGAGATACCTGCCTCTGGCCATCCTCATATTTGTTGGCATTGCGACCATTGCAGCCGCTGTCTTCAGCCCCTGGGGTTCTAGCGACATCTTCAATTGGTCCAGCAACTTTGGCCGCGATGAAGATCTCCTCCGCCTCGTCACCCCTGGTTTTGGTGATTGCCTCCAGTATATCCAATTCGTTGTCCTTACTGGCAGCTTGAGCCTTAATTACCCTGGCTTCTACCAGCCCGCTGTCAGTCGTGTCGGTTGGTCCTCGCTCCTTTTCAACGAAAGCTTCGTTTCTGGAGGTAATGGTACGCAATGTCTCGTCGATGGTGTCTATCACTACCGAAACAACACCAGGTACGGTCTTGACCGCATGAGCCAGCTTGTCGGCATGACGTCTGATCGAGATATCTGGGCCGACATGATCGTCTGGCTCGTCGTCATCATGGCTGCTGTGACCGTCCTGACCCAGCTCGGCTTTGTCGGTCGATACATCTATCGCCACCTTGCCAACGTACCGGCCGAAGACCTTCGCTCAAAGAATATTCCCTTCACCATTGGAGACCTTGTCCGCGTGGCCTTCAATTACTTCCTGCTCCCCTTGACTTCTTTGTCTTTTTACCAACTGGTTATTGCGAGTCGTGGGCCTGCATACTCCGTCGCCCTGGCCGCTGTTTGCTTGGTCCTGGTTCTTCTGTTCGCCATGCGACTCATCTTCCTTTTCACCCGCACGAGGCCGCGATCCTTCCTGTTCGACGATCTCCTCACTCTCCTTGCCTACGGCCCGCTCTACAACACCTACTGCGATGATGCCGCCACTTTTGCTTTGGTTCCTATCTTGGTCAATTTCATGCGTGGAATTGCCATCGGAGCAGTACAACAATCTGGCGTTGCACAAGTCGTGCTGCTCGCTATTTGTGAAATTGTCCTAATACTGACCATCAACGCTTTCCGACCATATCCTTCGGCCACATCCATGAACATCTATCACACTTGCTTTTCCGTCATCCGATTAATCACAATCCTGCTCTCCATCGCTTTTGTGCCCTCCCTCAATGTCGAATCGAGCTCGCGAGGCTGGATCGGATATGCCATTCTCGTCATTCACGCTTGTACTCTCGTCTTTGGATTCTTCTTGAATGCCATTCAAACTCTGATCGAGGTCATTGCGAGACTTGCTGGGGCTGGAGGGAGAGAACAAGACACTGGCGGCGCCACTCGTGGAGGCTTGACCAAGGTGTTTGGCATGAGGCAGTTGTCGCGTCGCATGCCACGACGCGAGCATCCACGCCACAGCATGTCGTCCAATGCCGCCATGATGTCCACCATGGAGAATGAGCAAAAGCAGTTACAAATGGCCAACACGCGATCCAGGAGCATGTCTGCCGCATCTGGCCAACTGCTGGACGGAGCCCGAAATTCAAACAGGATCAGTCAAAATCTCGATAGCCGCACAATGTCGACGAACTCTCCTGTTGGATCGAGCACTCCCACAAAGAGGCTGACGCAGCGGCTCAGCGGTGCCGCATCTCTGGGGGCGATTGTAGGCCTACATAAGCCGACTGAAGCACGAGACCCGTATTATCGACCTCCTAGGAGGAATACCATCGATGCCCTAGGAGACGCAGACTCGCGGCCTCAAATGTCTCTGGGTGGCTCCAAGAGGACGGAGCATGGACTCGATGACGAAGCCGGTGAAGGGACGTCAACGCCCATGAGAGGACTAGAAAACGATGACTTTGAGGATACTCCGAACGACCGCAGTGGTCCCAAAACTAACTACGCAGTGCGAGAAGTCGATTTTTATTATGGGGTGCGCGGTGCAGCTCTCTCCAACGTGTCGAGGAAGCTCAAAACCGGGCCGGCCGATCCGACAGGCCCAGTCTCGACGGCGAGAGGGTGGTTCAAAGGAGTTTTGGGTGGCAAGACGAAGGAGAAGAACAAAGGATTTGAGGTCGTGCGCAGTGCCCGAGCCCCTCCCCCGGGGCTCTTCCCACCAAGTTCCATCCCGGAAGGCCAGGAAACAGAGGCTTACCATGACGACAGCGAAGATGCACAAGCGGCTGGCACCCTCCGGGATCGTACAGGCTCCCGGATTGCGTCACCCGTACCTCCCGCGCGGACTAGTCAGAGACAAAGCGTCTACGAAGACGTTTCGGTGGACGAGGATTCTGATGAAGAATCACCTGATGGTCACGTGGCACAAGATCCGCCCTCTTTGCCTCTGATTGATTCAGTTGGAGCGATAGAGCTGCCCAGCCGGATAGGCTCTGAAGCATCACGGAAATCCAGAAAACGGCCGCCGCCCGGCCAGATTCCCGATGTGCCTGTGGTTCCTGCAATACCCCGAAAGAGCTCAAGACGGCAATCCGGGGGTGACGCTGGCGGTCGTCCAAGGATGTCTGGGGTCGGGCCATCGTCATATGCCTATCACAGCAGCCCATACAATAAGAGTGCATCACAGAATCTCGGGGTGAATCGAATACCATTTGCAAGCGCGCAGATGTCTTCGGGACACAACAAGCGATATTCGACGGGAGCCGAGTCGACCAATTCGAGCGTGCTGCGAGATGGCGATGAAAACATGGCTGTGCGATCTCATGCCACGGATCTGCGCGATGCCGGGGGCGCGCTTGGCGCTCATGGAGCAGATGTGTTGGAAGATCGTCCGTCTACGATGGGATTTGTGCAACAGCATCGTGCCAGCGACCACATCCACTACAGCCCGGATTCCGCGGGAGTCGAAGGCAGCGCTGCCGAAATCTATGGACGACCTGCACATTGAGTCCACCCCTCAGGTGACATGGACCCCCGATGAAGAATGATGCGTTGATGGGCATGAAGGGCAGAGGCTGGCACAGTTGTGTTTCTGGGGGAAAGCCACCGGGCATTGGCAACAGACCAAGATAAAGCCGGCATATTTTTCGTAATCAACCAGGAGTTTTGTGGTGGATCGGTTTAGCGGGGGCGCTTTGGAGACTGGGAAAAAGGTCTTGTAAGATTCTTGACAGATTGTGGATCGCAGGAGCAAAAGGATGTGATTCAAGTGGGACGGACCAAGCATGACCAGGTTATATATGCACAAGATATGAAGAATTTTCAGACGAGTGATTGCACATTCTTGTCTTGCCATCGTATTCACATTCGCTACGCAATAATAGCTGTCAGCAGGCAAAACCCTGGTTGAGCCATTTCAGGTCCTCGCTGCCCGCGGATCAGTCCAATTCTGGAAGGTTCTCGGGGTCGAGGTGTTGATAGACCAGGCCGCTAGCCCGCAAGGCATCTTCAACCACCTGCATACAACCCAGGGTCTTTTCCTCGCTCAGGCGGCGCCCTACGACCTGGACTGCGATGGGCAAGCCGGCCATCTTGACGCTATCGTAGTACTTGTAGGCACCTTTCTCGATGCCGTTTTTCGGACGGAAGGTCTTGGGGTCCAGCGCATCTTGGATGGCGTCGACCTTTGTGACGGGGACAATTCCGGCGGAGTAGTCGAGGAGGTTCCAGAGGAAGGTGTATCCACAGGAGCTGACGGCATCGTGCATGGCGCCGTGGGGGAGGGCGGGGGTAGCATTGCCGGCAGTAAGGATGAAATCAAAGGACTGGTCAGGGGAATTCCACCAGTCGAACCAGGTTGCTCGGTAGGCCTCACGCTTGGCCACCCATGTCCACTGCTGGTCGGCGGATAGGGGGTGGAAGTGGCGGAGGATGCCGGCCCAGAGCGCATCGCGTTTGACGTAGCGTGTCCAGAGATACCAGAGATACTTCAAGGGCCGCGGAAGAGCGGCGTAAAAGTTGATCTGGGCGGCGCCGGGATCATTGGACTCAAAGGTGTGGAAGGGTCGACGAAAGGTGTTGCCTCCATCGGCGCAGAGGAGCATAGAGGCGACCTGGAGACCGAACTCGGGGGTGGCAGAAGGAGGAAATGCAGACACAGGTATATCAACAACATCATGTCCTGCCTTGCGCAAGGCATCGGCAGTCAAGTCCAAGCCACGTCTGATGGCAGGGGAGGGATCCACGACACCATCCGAGGGCATGTAACCAACTCGCAGCTTCTTACCGGCTTGGACCTGTTGGAACAGGTCCTCTCTCCAGGGGATGGGATGGACGGTGTAATCCACGTCCCAGGGCTTCATTCCAATGAAGCTCTTTGTGAAGTAGATGAGATCGTCCAAAGTCCTTGCCATGGGGGAGAAGACACTAGGAATACCTTCTTGGCCGGGCATGCTGGTGTTGATGCCGACTTTGGGCCATCTGCCAGTACTGCACCTGATGGAGTTGACGCCGGACCAAGCAGCAGGGGCACGTACTGAGCCTGCGACATCAGAACCGATACCGATCCTCGAGCCGTTAAGAGCGAGGAGGGCGCCTTCACCACCAGTGCTACCTCCGGGGGAATATTTTGGATTATGAGGGTTCTTGGCGACACCCCAGAGGTCGTTGGCCGACTCAAAAGACAACAATGTGATGGGCAAGGCAGTCTTGACGTGGGGGACAGCACCGGCCTTTTTGAGCAGTTTGACGATGACACCGTCCTCCTTGACAGGATTCAAAGCGTAGCGGGAGAAGCCTACGGAGAGGTCAAAGCCTCCAACGGCGATGCTGTCCTTGAGAGAGACGGGGATGCCAGCGAGAGGTCCGTCGAGGTTAACTTGTCCGTCGTCGATCCACTGTTCTGCAGTAGGCAGCATGAGCTCGGTGACACAATTGGTGCGAGCATGGGCGATGGTGGTGGTCTTGCCATAAGTGCGCAGGATATCGAGAGGGGAGATGGAGGCGTTGTGAACTTGTTGGACCAGGGAGGAGATTGGAGTGGCAAGGATGGTGCGTTGTTGAGCAGTCAGGGGACCGGTATAGGAGGGGGGGAGAGAGGCGAAGCGAGAGGCTCGTTCGGATTGCTTGATGGCACTAGAGAGGAGAGAGGGGGGGTCTCTGTTAGAAACTGAGTTGTATGGAAGAACACGAGGAAGTGAACAAGTGCTTCTTACACGGTGCGACGGTGGTCGAAATAGTCAAACGGAGCAAGCATCTTGAAAGCTCAGATTGTGACCATGTGAGGTGAAGGGTCAAAGTGGGAGGGAATGAAGAGATTGACAAGGAGTGAGGATGGATGAAGAGTGGGAGAAGAGTGGAAGTGAGGGCGGCGTCTAAACAGAAATACAGATATGGATTTGGAGGAAGGTACGACTATGAGAGAATGTTTTGTAAAGCATCATTTGGACCTGGAATGACTACTCTGTACACCAAGATACGGTATTTCTCCACCAAGCTGGCGCGCAAAGACTCTTTACTGGCTACAGACAATCCGTACAACTGGATTAGAGCTTTGAGTTAGGTACCTACTCAATGGATGGGTACACACATGTGCGAGGATGTGGAGGGGCACATGGGCAAGGAACAGAAAGTCCTTGGTACCTAAGGTACTTTGACCAAGTGCCTCGGATTTGGGCGAGGGACATGTCCGTCTCCCTCCCTCTCTCTTCCCCGCCTTCCTCTTCCCATCCCTTCTCTCTCTCTCCAATCACTGACGAGGCTCTCGGCCTTGGCTGCATGCTTGGACCTTCCTCGTGTGGAAGGAGTCCTGGGTCCTTCCCTTGTTTAAGAAACCATGCTTCGTTCTTGCCATCGTACCATGTCTCTACCAATGTCTTTTAATCATTACCTACCGTAAGTAAGGTAGGTAAGTACCTAGGTAGGTTGTATCAAGGTTAGGTAGGTACTTTGCCTGTGATCTCAAGAAAATGCACAAGGCAGCAAAGGAGATACCAACTAAGTGTGCATTAGAAGTCCATATTCTAATCCTATAGCCTTTCAGTTGGTAGTACCCAGTGCCCTGGTCAAATATAGGTGCATAATATGAATGTAAGATTCTGACATACGGGATCCTCATCCCCAGTAACAACCAGCCATCTTCCTCAAAAACATTCATCAATCACTAACACATATGCCACACAAGTATACTAGGTATGCTTTCAATTCACTCGAACCTAATAAAATATGCTATGACATAGAATCGGACATTTGTCCGGCCCCTGGAATATAACATGCTAGTCGCTTCCTACCGAATCTCCTCTCCTCAACTACTCAGACCGCCGTCACTTCATTCTTCACGCATGCTGGAACCTTGCCACATCACATCACGTCTGTCAATCAGCTCTCTTTTGTCGAAACCTCCATCGCTTCTTGGTCGTTCATCGCGTGTCGCCTTGCGCTGGAATAATATACAATTGTTTCCCTCTGTACATGGCCAACATGACTGCTAAGTAAACAAGACAGACAAGGATCATGGAAAAAATAAGCCTATTTTCCTGGTTCCATGGGCCCGTCCTTCACCCTGTAATCCTCTCGCTTGCTTGGGAAACACACATCGCTTGCTTACTGACTGGGACTTCGCTATTCATCTCAAATATCCGCTTCGTGAACATGGCGTCTTTAGTGTGACCACCACCCCTGGTTACTGCCACTGAACGGTGCTGTCGTCACTGATTGTCCTGGTGCTGGTGGTGCTTGAACCTGGTAATCGCGAAAATGGTGATGATGAGGTCGGAGGTGTTGAGCCGGAGGCGCCCCACCACCAGCTGCCGTCTGGTATTGGTGTCGCCCCGGACCTGTTTGACTGTACGCCACACCCACAGTATGATTGCGACTTTCCATGTCCTGTCTGTACTGTGGTCCAAGGCTTGCCCCGTCGTACGGGTTGCCACCGTTCGATCCCATCTGTCCTACCCATCGCCCTTCTGGCATGGATGCCAAGTGCATCTCTCCTGCACCAAGTTCGCCGCCAGGTGCCAACGATGCACGTCTCGAGCCCGCACTCTCCTGGCTGCCAATCTCCTGGTTCGGTCCGAGTGTGGCCCGCATACCCGGTGCACCAGCCTGTAATTGTGTAGCCATCGTCGAGTATTCTCCATGCCCGCTCCGTCGTTGCTGTGGAACCTGATTTGGAGCCAGTGAGGATCCATGCGTCTGTGACATCCCTCCTTCGTTGACCGGTGACACAATCATCTCCCGTGGAGGTGTCCGAGCCATCGGCCGAGCCGCTCCCGTCGTGTCCTTTCCAAGCTCAACGTAATGCACTGGCGTCTCGAGCGCCCAGTTCCCCTTGACTTCTACCTCCGCCACACTTTGTCTCCGACTAGCAAGATCGGCCGGTGGGAAACCTGGTCCCGGTGGTTGTGCTGCAATCTCTCCCACTAGAGGAGAACTGCGAACTTGATCCGCCGCTGGGTATGGTTCTCCGACCCCTGAGTAGAAACCCCCATACCCGTGGTCGGGATGTGGCTGTTCGTCAGACAGCAACTTGTACACCACCTGCGGTGGCGGGTCCGGATTTCGGAAAAAGTGCTCCGCAATCACTTCCTGTGGTTCCAATGTGTTGAAATGATTCTCCCATCCGTTGTGGTACAAAGGTGGATAGATCAATGCCGGCGTGGGCCAAGGCACTTCCGGGTGGTGTCGCCGGTTCGTTGGCCAAGGAATGTCCGGTACATCTTGGGGAGGGTTATACCGCAGGCTGGTATATTCGAGGGCATCCATGGTGCTGGCAAAAGATGTCGCTGCACTGGTCGGAAACGCAGCGTGGTCAAAACTCACCGAAGCCGTGGCATCGAATGAGTGGTTGGGCACGTCTCCAAACGATGACATTTGTTGCCCAAACGACGCTTCCTGATTCATTCCCCACGTAGGAGCCTCACCTTGAACTGGTGTATCGAACGAAGGCTTGCCCTCGCCATATCGAGCTCGTTTCTCTGGAGCTGCGGCTTCCTCGTCAATCATGGACGAATTGGGCCGTTTCTTGGGATGTTTCCGGAACTTGGTCGTATATGGGGCGAGCTCATGCTTGATTCGCGATGGTGATGTATCAGCTCGACTAGACTGCGGGAGATGAGGCGCAGGCATATCATGAGTCGGACCGGCATCCTTGAGATGTTTTTCAAACGATCGTAGGCCATCGAGCATTTGTTCCAAGGACGACGCCCCAAATTGCCCTATGCCCAAGTCGGGCGACGACGAGGCAATATCGCGAAATACCTCCAGTGTCGTCTCAATGCGCGATGAATCTGCCTCAAGCTCTACCTCTTGCCGAAGACGAGCAATTCCAAAGATCGACGCCGCCGAATACGCCCCAAAGCAACGAGTCCACGATGGTCCAGAGCGGGATGGCTCAGAAGTGTGGATGAAGTGGAACAGTTCCATGACTCGACGTCCTGACTGGAGCATTTCTTTGTAGTATTTGCTGGGGGTTTGCCGCCGTGCAGCACGAGCTTTCGAAGATTTGGCCTGCGAGGCTGCATTTCGCTGACGACTAGGGCCAAGTTGAGCTTGCTCAGCTGTGATGCACCGAGCCATGAAGCCGTTGGACACCATAGCAAACAAGTGTACTTCGAGGTGGTGTTTGGCAATGACAACAGTTTGTGAAACTTCTGTCGGCCCAGAATGAGACAGAGGCGGTAGATCGCGTTGCACTGCGTCCAGTTCTTCCAAGAAACCTTCTAATTTGGTCTTCTGTGTTTCGGATAGCGCTTCGGGAATGACTTTATCCCTATAGATCCAACTCAGTAATTCAGCCTTGTGTCGGGTGAAGGCTCGTTGGCTCTTGGACACTTGCACGCCTCCACCAGTGTCAAAAGACTGTGGCAAGCCCGGGGCCAGGTGTGATAAAGATGGCGCTCGGCCTAGGATGAAACTCAGCCTGATGTCAAGCACGGCCAGAAGCCACCACATCCGTCGACGAGCGTCGGCCAATGCGTTTCCTTTGTCGGGCAACTTCTCAGGCACATCTGGCCGATCGACTACTGTTGTGAGCGGTTGTTCTGGCAGATGGGGATCATCAAACTCACGGCCCATGATCTCAGCGTCTCGAACGAGGCTGGCAAATGTGGTCCATGCCTGCATGGCCATCCCAGAGTCAAGGAGCCTTTTGACAGAGAGGTATCGGGAGTGAAGGCGGCGAAGTGCCTTTGGAAGTTGCGGGTCTGACGTGCTGCTGATTAGAGGAGTGTGGTCTCCCGCGAGAGATCCTTGAGGATTTTCAGTGCTCTCAGCGCCAATTCCGCTGCCGTTGACCGAGAAGGCCTTGACTGTATCGATCAAATCGATAATCTCTCGTGCCCGACCAGTGCTCGGAGACAATTGTTTGACCTAGACACTATGTCAGAGTATTCACGACGATGCCCAGGTATGATCAATTACCTCTGCCACGATTCGTGCTAACGAAAAGGTACCAAAGAACGCTTCGTGAGGGCCGGCGAGTGAGCTATCGTCACTGGCATCATGGCCGTCATCTTCGTCGTCCATGGATGCATCTTGTTGAGAGCTGCTATCCTCATCTTCTTCGGGGAGAGCATTCTATAAGGTTTGGTGTAAGTCAATGCGATGGGTCCAATAGTAGATTACTCGCACCTCAGTCTCCCCTCTATCGGGCATGTTACGATAGACACAGCGCGGTTTCTGCCTCTTCTTCTGACAAGTATCGCACGGGATGCCTCCCGTACACTATGAAAGGGTCAGCAGCGGAGGCTAATGAGTTAAGCAGGGTCATACTCGAGATTTACTCTCGCGACATGGCAGGCACGAGTTGGCACGCCTCTTCTGCTTGTCGGCAGCACGGGCACCTCTGGGTGATTGAGGAGCCGATGTTGACATGATCGTGATCAGCTGTCAACCTCATTATTCGTACCACCATGGCACTGGGACAGAGCCGATGGGGAGAATCTCTGGCGTGATATATAGAATCACAATCAGGATATAACAGCCGTGGAAAAATACGGGTGAATGGCGAAGTCGAGACGGTCGGGAACGGAGGGACTGCCGGCCACCAGATGCTCAGAAAGCGGCAAGAGAGACAAGTGAAAGTGAGTAGTTCTAGGAGTGATGACAACGGTGTCCCAAAGAGTCGAGGTGGAGGAAGGGACTGGGTGAGGTTATGATGGACTTCAGAGTGAGAAAAAAGGTCTCGGCGTAGTGGACTGTGTTGGAGAGAGCGGACCGGGAAAGCCAGGGTAAGAAGTAGGTTTGGGGCAACGAGAAGAGCAATGCAAGAAATGATGCTATGTCGATGTCCCTAATGCCAAAAGCGCCATCCAGGTTAAAGTGCGAAAGACGTGTGAGGAGTGGATAGCCACCAAAGCATTGGCGTCAAGATGGATCCTGGATCAAAATGCGCGTAATGGATGTAGGGTGCCAATCACGGATGATGTCAAAGGGCCCAAGTTGTCGAGGGGAAACAAGAGACAGGTGCTCGAGGTCAAAAGAGGGTCGAGAGAGAGTCAAAAGAGGATGGAGGATACCGAGACGAGACGAGTCGAAAGCAAACTCAGCTTCAACCCCCCACAGGGCTAGAGGATGCAGGCGTCCGTTTGCGCCTATCGTCCCCACTTGGTCGATTGAGTCGGATCGAATCGAGCGGGTCCACCCTGCCGGGTCGGGCACGGTGTAGGTTTAGAGAGCTTATAAGATGGCAGGTTTAACCCGGACATGGGAGGCAGTAAAGATCGAGTCGAGCCAGAACTCAGGGTCAGATTGCCGCACTCCGTGAGCTGTGGTGCCTGTGGACAGCACGACCAAACAAGCGGTCGGCCCAAGCAGCGGGAGTTGGGTGCCGCGGAGGTTCTGACAGGCCATCGACCAGGGTTTGAGTGGGAACAAGCGAGGTTGAGGGACGAGACACTTTGGATTGCAGTGGTTTGCGATTGGTGAGGAGAAGAAAAATAACGTGATGAAGACAGGGACCCCAGGTATTCGTCGCCCACGAGTCGACGCATGAGCGATCTTGCCACGAGACTTGCACATTGCTGCTGAGTGCAGGCTGCAGTGCGTGAGTGTCTGCCAGCACGTTTGTGCTCCCTTGACCGAGTGTCTTGAGTGGGTCGATCATATTTATTTTGTCACTGTGTGTGTAGTACTTTACATGTATTCGATTATGTGGGCGTAGTCGTCGACAAGGGAGAGGGGTGATGAGGAGGACGAGAGGGATTCTAATCAGGGTGGATGGATGCTCCACAGACATCATTGGTACCCTGGATGGTGAAAACAGGCCTCAGATCTCGGACTCGCAACTGTATTCAGATGGGATGGTGAGTTGGGATCTGGAGCAGTGCAGGGAAAAGGCAACCGTGTCGGGAAAAGTAACCTACCAGGTGCCAGGCTACGACGCAGTAGCGACTAGGGCGATAGACGAGAGATCGAGTCCCAGATCTTTTTGCATGGGAGGTGCCACTGGTGCCAAACCGCCGGGGTCTTGATCGATCTTGTCGAGCCTTGAATGTGGTGGCATGGCCCCATGGGTGGGCGTGGCCGAATGATGCGAGGGGCCAAACGAGTAACAGGGATGAGCTGGATGCTGGTGGCATGTCACTGGTTGAACAGTCGAAATCACCAGGCCAGCGGCGACTATTGGCAGAATGGTTGGCCTGTCTGCCTGTCACTTTTTTCGGCCAGGTTCGCCACGGTTGGGTCGGTTGGGATCGTATGAAAGCGATGAGTGTTGGGTCAGCTGGGCAGGATTCAAGTCGACAGGCACAAGCGATGGAGATGGAGGCACCGGCTTAACGGAAATGACACCCCCGCGTAGTTGACAAGTCTGACAGGTAGCCGGACATGGGGCTTGCATGGATAAGGCTTGGGCCGAAGCCGCCAATCGAGACCGCCTAAGGCTATTCTCCTCAGGAGGGTCAAGGGGAGGAGGGGACTTGGCTCTAAGAAGCCTAAAAGAGCCTATGGGAGCCTAAGAGAGCCCAACGGGCCTCTCGGACCCGGTCGTACGATGGATGGCGAGGGGGGAGGGGGCGAGGGTGGGAGGGTACGAGTGTACGGAGCAAAAGTATGTGTAAGCCCTGCGCCAGTTCCCTGAACCTTGAACCTTGACTTCACAGTACTCCGTAGAGTCTTGATTTAGGCCCATGTACTCACTCCACCTCTCCAACTAGTTATGTCTGGACAGTACTTTACAACAAATGGGCAAATAGTGGTAGCAGCTGGACAGGGGCTGTGGCTCTTTGTGAAGATATGGAGCAAATCCAGTACGCCTATGTACGCATATCGCATATGCGTCGTCAACAATAATCATAATGACCTGATCGAGCACCTTCGTGGGCTGAGGGTAGAAAAACCTCTCTTTTATTAGAGGGTGCAATGCAGCAAGTGCCAGGCATTCAGGCACCCAGGCAGTCATACGAGAGTCCACCAAGCCCACCTCAGCTTTGAAAACCACAAGAACATAGAATGTGAGGACGAGGGGTAGATACTTTCGGCTCGGCACATAGCCAACGGTTGACTCTCGAGGTGGAAATCTCTTCCAGAAGCAAATGTCCCTACATAAATACCTACCTACAAGTAATTAAGTAGTATTTGTCCCTCTATACTGGCAATACACAGGGACTGCATCTGATTATCGGTAACTGCCTACCTGCACATACCTAAGTCTAGGTTAGGTAGCTAACCAACATCGAGTGTCTCAGCTCGGCGCGGCTTGCCATTTAGTATCTATGTGTTAGATATCTACATTATTATCATTGTAGCGCCTGAATGCCAATGATATGACCCGAGCACCTCTCTCTCTCTCATCACCGCTAGCTGAGTTAGTCATGGAGTCATGGTTGGTCCAGCAGTTTTCCCCTTAGTGACGGCTTGCCTTTGGTTCCCTGAAGACATTTCCTCATGTCGTCTCAATCCACTCACTTCCCTGTTACCCGTACGCAGACGCATACGCATGCGCATATGTATCAACCATGTACCGAGGACGCAAGATTGACTTTGAGTTTGCCACGGACACCACCGTTTTCACCGGCGGGCCGTCCGAGGGTTGTGTCCTCCGCTCCGGACTTTGGCAATAGATGGACCCAGAGCCACAACCGTCGCTTACGCTAGGTTAGTACATAGTCTCTCAGCACATTCGCATCCTTTCAGGACATTGTCGGTGAACTCTAATTCATCCGTCCACCTAGTTGGATGAATTTCAGGTGGGTGGTGGCTGACCAAGGAGACTATCGACAACAGCGCGGGGGTCGTCGTTGTAAACCCTGCAGGGAGCCACCGAAGAGGGAGGCAATTAATAATAAGTAAGCCACAGAAACAAGTCGTGCCAACCCACCCACGATTAAATCATCCATCTAGCATTGTCCTCCGAATGTCGCAGCGATGTGGTCGTGGGATGTCGCGGATGTTTGACTCAGAAATACTCCCAGAGCCTCCCTCCCTCACCCTAGTTAAAACAAGACGGTGTGGACTTGCAGACTTGGTAGCTTACAGGAGAGGGACATCCCACCTCGATGTCCAACCCCATGCGCCTCATCTGCAACACGCGACCCCGGTCACTGGGACATCTACAGTGTGTAATTGCTCATCGAGTCATCAAGCCCGATCGCTGGGTCGGTCTTGGTGTGACTCTGCACCTGGTCGACCTGGCGTTGGAGATCTGGCCTGTCGGCAACCCTTTCAAGGCCAGGGCGCAGGCCAGGTCCCAGCAGCTTGGATCAACTGCCCCGAGGTTCCAGTTGCCCTCCTCCCCTAGAGACCGAGACCAAGGGGCCTAGCACGCCTTAGCTTTAGGCAGGTAGGTAGGTAGGTATCTAAGTGGTACGTACCTCCGTAGTGTGGTTGTTTCGACAGTCGAAGAAGCCGGGGCGCAGTGGCCTGGGAAGGAATGGGCATAGGCGCAAGGACCCCTCAGACCCTCTACGTTTCAGTGCCTGTGCCTGTACCTTGTACCTACCTTACCTTTTGGTGGCCTGTCATCTACGTCTCGGAAGTCTGCTGCCGGATTGGATGATGCAAAGCCATGACTCTTTCAGATCGACCTACCGCCTGGGACCTACCACCTGTGACCTACCGCCTGCCAGCCACCTGCGCATAAAGTACCCAACTTGAAAACTCGAGTACCGAGTCTTCATGAATTAATCACGACCTTTGGACCCACGAGACCCACGAGACCCACGCCCCTTCCCTCGCCTCTTGATCTTCAATCCTCGTCCATTTATCCTCGGTGCCTCGTCACCAGCTCCCAAACTCCAGGTTCCAGCTCTAAACTCACAGGTCCCAAATTACTGTCTAGTGAGTCTCTAGGGTGTACCCTGCCCATCGACTTCTCGGCGCCCCGTCACACCTAGAAACAGACCTTTGCCCCCTGTCTTTCAACGCTACATCCTCCTGTCAAGATCGATATCTCCTTGCATCTGGTGCCACATTTCGAGCCCACAGTAATAATAATTGATCATCTTGGAAGCTGATGTATTGTCCCTTGCTCACCACTCATATCTCTCAGCCAGGCCACCGACTTTTTCTTGTCACCAAGGCAAATGGTCCGTGTGTCTTGCATTCTGTTACTCGAGGTCTTCATGTCGCATGCATCCTTGGCTTCATCCTTGGCCAAACATCGATACAAGCCCTTAGGGTGTCGGTGTTGGTGCCACCATGGTTGCTTGCTACTCTGTGCTATACCCATAGTACCTTGACCACCTTGACCACCTATCCTTCCCTAGGTAGGCAAGGACCTCACTTAGGTACCTAAGTACCTAGTAGTCGGCAGCTACGGCAGCTTCTATATTACAAGTGTACGTTACAAGCTTCCAACAGAGACAGCATCTGTCTCTGCTCGACATTAATATTGATGCCATCCAACCTGATTGGAATACTCTTGACTGAATCGATCATGATCCACTTCATACCCCCCAGTGCCCCCCAACATCATCCCACACACCCGATTCATATCTGTCTCAAAACCCCAATCCAGTTTGTTTGACCTCAATCGGTACCAGCAGCGACTGGGCTACTGCAAGCCTGGCGCCTTGTCAAGCAGAGTTTTTCACCTGCAATCGCACTATCGCGTCACCATGCGCAGACACTCGATGCCTGGCTGGCCTGGCTCGCCTGTCAAATCTGTCACTCGCCAAGTTTAAATCATTCCAATGTGCCAGTCCACCACTACGAAGTACTGCGCCTACGCCTATCCTCGCCAGCCAGAATCCAAACTTCTGTCAGAGTAACTATTTGTCAAGATGGACTTACTAGCCTGCAGAACCATCTCCATCTTGTGCCATACCCTGTACGGAGTACATCCTCGTCGTGGCTGTCTACCAAGTTACGCCTCTCGTCCCTCATGTTATACAAATCCAACCATATTGATGCGGCAGCTTCCCCCATGCCAGCAATCTCATGAATCACCAACTGTGCCTTGCTCAAAACTGAGATCTGACCTGATCCTCACTTGCTCTCCATCGCAACCCCACCAAGTATACTTCGCATGCAAGATTGTCACCATCTTTCTCCTCCACTTGACAGCGGTACGGATTACAATCCGGGGAACCTCTGTCCCCAGAAGCCTGTTCTCTTTCCCGCTTGATTATGCTTGCGTGTCCATGGCGTTCCTGTCGACAGCAGGGCTGCCTTCCTTCAGCCCACAACAATGTCAGCCTCGACGCCTTGTGCACTCGTATTCTGCCCAGATTGCCATGTTCGGGGCACGATCTTGATAGGATCTGTACAAGTAGGTGTGTCACTAGGAGGGCCGACCGCACGACATGAAATCAGCCTGGAACCCTGATCCACCATCTCGAACTTGACAGGCAAGTATTGGTGTTTCTTCACCCCAGCTTCCCACTTCTCCTGCGATTCCAGGAGTTGCACTGTGGATCCAAATGGGATGAGCTGGCCCCGAATGCGTGTATCGTCATCTTCTCCCTTCGCTTTTGCTACACCAATCACTACCATGTCCCAAACTGGTGGGAGTTCCGCTTCGTTGAAGTGGAATGCCCGAAACAATGCCCGCAGTTGCCATGACCTCGCCGTACGCGCATTGACCTTGAACCAGGAACCCATCCTGTCGTGACTCTTCAGAATATGTTCGTCCATCTCGTCCTTGCTGAAAGCAAGCTGTGTATCACGTGTTATAGGTGACTGATGTGGCGACTCATCTGCCGCCGCTCGCAGGTATGCATCGATTTGCCACTGCACCACCAGGTCCCGATATCGTCGGAGGGGACTTGTACACTGTACATACTGCTTTGCATTCAAGTGCAATAAGACGCCAGGTGATGAACGTGCGACAATTGCAGGTCGCTCCGCTGCCGAGACCTTGTCCGCTTGATTGATCGACGCAAGATCTGTGTCGGGATCTAGCACCGTTTGGACAAATTGTGCAGGTATCTTCCGATCACTGAGCCATTTACCTGCAGACTCCGCTGCCAGAGACATGGCATGCGTGGTTAGATCACGCTGACGTTGAAGCTCCGATAAGCGAGAGCAGTGTGGATGCCGCGTCGCAACGAGTTTGATCTCGGGCTCTCCCAGACGATGATAGCTTTCGGAAAGGTGATCTCTTCGAAAAGGCTCGGCATCGGAGACGAAAACTGAGCTAGAGATCTGCAGTGCGCTCCAGTCTGCTGCTTGTGGCAGTTCACTAGGGCGAGCGTCGTGTCGAGCGAGAAGAATGCGCATGAGGTCCATCAAGGTCTCACGGTGTTTTTGGGCATCTTCTAGGTCTTGCTCAGAACATAGTAGATCAACTTTCTCTTGCATTCCGCCAACGAGAAGACTTGCCACCTCTTCTGCTGTTCGTCCTGTGACGATGTCGACAGCCTCGGGCCGGAGAAAGACGACCTCGGACAATATTGTTGGCTGAACGTTGACATCTAAAACCGAGCCATCGTAGGCTAAAAGCGTGCTGATTGTAAGGGCCGGGCTACCTGATTTTAAGCTGATTGCGCAAGCCAGATCTAATGGTAGCATATGCATTGCCTCTGTTGGGGTATATAGAGATTGCCCTAGCTTTTCGGCCAAGCGGCCAAAGACATGTTCTCGTGGAAAGAATGCGCTCGGATGTGCAATGTGAATGTGGACCCAGGTGGAGTTTGGGATAACGGTGCCAGGCTCAATCGAAAATGCATCATCTCGTATGAAGGTTTTTGACGAATCCACCGCAAAAGCCTTTAGCTTGAAGGGCTGCCTTAGTGAGGCCATGAAGTCCCGGTCAGCATCGTAGGTGAAATCGCGGCGCCAGCCAGCATCACGACAAGACTTGTCTGCTTCTTCAATAAGAGCATCGAGGCCTTCTGAGCCTCTTCGGCCGGGTACACGAACAATTAGGTTGTGGTCGTAGGATTGAGTCGAGGGTGCTAGAACTCCGAGTTCTTGGAGCAAAAGAGAACCAATGTTGCGCTCTAAACGCATCTTAGGGTATGCTCCAATGGCTCTCAGAAGAAGAGAGCCAATTGACTGATGGCGTGTACGCCCCGCAGATCCCATCGGTTCGCGGACGTAGCAATCCCAGAGGAACTCAAGGAACATCTTGTCCGAATCTGAAAACGTCTCGCCAGTTTCTTGGGTGGCTGTGGCACTGGAACCCGTACTTTGGGCAGTACTTGGACCTAGCTGGCCTGTGGTGGTGGGAGAACGGATCTTGCGGCTTTTGAGTATCAAACGGCGAGCTTTGTCGATGAACGAAGAGAGAGGGTTCTTCTCGAGGTCCGCGGTGACGTTAATTCCCAACGCCGCGCGAGCAGCAGCATCTTGGTAGTCCCGAGCCCAGTCCACGACTTTTTCAAACTTGCGATGAAGTGCTTTTGGGGTAATCAGTGTCGACATCTCCTTGCTCTGCGGCACCTTGTGAAAGTTGATACGGGTGACATCACGACTCATTGCGAGAAAGATTGACATGGACTCGGCTGAGGAGACCTGAGTAGACGGCCGACCAAGCAGCTTCTCGACGATGTGGGCGAAGGAAGGAGAGATGTAATTGTCCTCGTGCGCGAGGATGTCGTATATACCATCGAGAAGTGCAACGTTGTCGCGCCGAAAAGAGTCGACGTCGTCTGAAAAGTCAACGATGCGACCTAGAAGTGGAGCGGCATCGACATGGGGAACATGGTCAGCAAAAGAATGTAGAGTGGCAATTCCGAGGTGGCGATCTTGGTACTCAAGACGCTTCTTGGGCAAATGACGGAGGATGAGGTCGACCTCTTCTTTTGGGGCAAACCGAGATATGATGGGGCTTGTGAAGGGGCTCAAGGTCGTGACCAACCATCTCCCATCGGCGAGGAAGAACTGCTCCTGAGCGAAACGAGTTCCTAAGTAGATGGCAAACTGGGGACGGATATTAATGTAGACTCGGTTGAGATAGATGAGATCTCCTATTTCCAGCCCATGCCTCGCGTGGGGAGCGGAGACCCCATCATCAGTATCGGTGGTACGGTGGGCGTCAAAGGTCGAGGCATCATCCCAATCTACGTCATCTTGAAGGGTTGGTGACTCCTCTATGAAGAGAGAATTGGGCAGAACCGTCAATCGAGCCCCAGAGGCGAAGTTGTCCTCAGCGTGATCTTTTTTGACTTTCTGATTTTGAACACTCCATGCTCTTAGATGATCCCTAATGAAGGATTTGGAACTAGGTGGTGAGGAGGACGGGGCTGCGAATAGAAAGGAATCGTAGGGTGTCCGATCGAGGGTGGACGTCTCCAGCGGGCCGTTCGGTCGGCGATCCGGGCTCGAGATTGTAAAATGCTTTGCTGAGGAAGACGCCAACCCGGAACGATGACAGCGGGGGCAGATGTACGGCTTGTGGCGGATGGTCAACTTTGCGCAGCCGACAGTAGACCGCATAGGGAGCATGGTGCGTCTTGGAGTTGCCTCGAAGGACGAGGTTGGGCAAACGACCCCCTCTGACGTGGTCAGTCCAGCACTTCTGACGAAGAGACGGATGCCTATAGAAGACGTATTCGGGAAGAATGGGGGATTCTAGCGGCGCAGCCGGTCAGAATGGTATCATCTCTGTTGCGAAAGACTGAAACAGCTGTCGTAGAGGAGGGTGCCCTGGTTGAGATGGAGTCAGTAATTGAATCCGTCAACAGATCATCGACACCACCACGTGACATGGGCCACTCTCGGGGTTTCCCTTTAGTACCTATGTAGGTAGCTAAGGTAGAGGTGTGTTCGAGAGTGTCAACGTGTCAGGTCATTGTCTAGGAAGCCATGTCAACAATCAGTGTGTAGATGTGTATGAGCCTGTAGGAATAAAATTTCCCCAATTCAAAATCATCTGATGACCGAACTTCATTCGCGCCTTCCCCGCATGCGCATCCGCACTCATGATCAAGAATCACGTGCTACTTATTTTACCAGTCAAGTCACAAAGTCAACTACAGGCACCGTTCACTGCTCAGTCAGTAGTAGATGCTAATCAATAGTCCACAATTTCATGACAAATTGCAGACTCGAAAGCCATCGTCTGGCGTCAACTTCTATCTTGGCTGTTGTGGCATTTGGACTGTCACCGGCCTTGGGAGATCCAACCTAGTGACTCAGAGTACATTCAGATTTTCCACCTTCATCATCGATCAGCTGCAGCCTGCGTGCATCATTCCAACCTTGTGGGCAGGAGGTGCGTCCTTTGATCCAAGGCTGAGTCTCAATATTCAACTTAGAACTCGCTCGGAATCACTTGCCATTGCCTGACATCGCCCTTTCTCCCGCCCCACGCCTCGTTCCTCATAAACCTCGCTGGCACAATGCCAGTAATTCAACAGCCTGCAAATCAAATCAAGTTGACAAATGTCTCCATTGTCCGGTATAAGAAAGGAAAGAAGCGGTTCGAACTCGCCTGCTACAAGAATAAACTGCTCGAATATCGCTCAGGGACCGAGACCGACCTAGATAATGTGCTCCAGATCCCCACTATCTTTCTCAATGTCTCAAAGGGCGAGACTGCCCCAAATGCAGAACTCGTCAAGGCCTGGCCCACGTCCTCCCAAGCCCAGGAACCCTTAAAATCTACAAAGTCAAATGCAAAATCCTCAAAGAAGGCAAAGGGAAAAACCAACGACGAGCCTGATGATGATAAATCCTGGAAAGATGCCATCATCGAAGAGATCTTGAAAAAGGGTGAGATTCAGGTGAATGCCAATGAGCGCAAAGAACTTCTCGACCGAATGGAGAGGGAAATCGTTGAAGAGGTGGCACAAAGACTGGTTGACCCGCAGACCAAGAGAGTTTACACGACTGGCATGATTAAAAAAGGCCTCGACGTTCTCTCCAAACAAGGCGGCCATGCTCCGTCTTTGGATTCGCTCGGCCATAAACTAGGCAAATTGAATCTGGAACACACTTCTAACAAGGCTGGCTCTACACCAAAAGGTTCCACCGAAACAAGTGGCCAAGCGACACCCATGACGGACGACGATGCTTCGTCCACGACTACGAGCAAACCGAAGAAAGGTGACACTCCGATATGGACGGGAGTCGTGACAACAAAATCAGTCAAACAGCAAGCTCTCGAAGCCATGCGCGCCCTGATAGCATGGCAGCCTATCCCAGTCATGCGAGCTAGGATGAGGCTGCGGATCACGTGCCCTTCTAATTTAGCCAAGCAAGCACCCAAGTCCAAGATTGCGGATGTTGGGGAAGACAATGAAGGAGACAAAGGCAAAGGTACTATCCAGGACCGAATTCTCTCATTTGTCGAGCAAGTAGAAAGCCAAGATGTCGTTGGCGAAGAATGGGAAGTCATTGGATTTGTCGAACCTGGAGCATTCAAGGCTCTTGGCGAATTCTGTTCAAGCGAGACAAAGGGTCGTGGGAGGCTCGAGGTGCTGGATATGGCTGTCACCCATACGGACGACTGAGACTGTACTGGCTTAAAATTTCCGCCATCACCGTGGCCGCTCAAACCTATAATCAGACTTGCGAGGGGAGCGATTCTCGCCGTGTTATGTACCAGCGACCACAAGTCGGAGGCATCCGAACTCTAGACCAACCATCCTTACAGCTCGATCGTGTGCCATAGCATGTGATCATTGTGATCGATTATCCGTGTTGGTGGCAACGCTTGGCCAACGGCCACGACGCCATTCATTTGTCATCAGTCATTCGTCCTGCCAGCAGAAGCCTTGACTAGTCTAGTATGATGACGGTGATCAACGCGAGAAAATGGGTGATGGAGACTTGGAAGAAGCCTTAGAGGGCTTATCGCATTTTTGGATTTCATTTCCTCGCCGGGGCCGATTTCCCTGGGGCCAATGACTATCCAGAGATCCATGGTCCTATCTATGTGAATATCAAGACCATCCAGGAGTCACTATGGTTGCCTCTCCTACTATAAACGTGACCCAACGCCACAAAGATGCACCGCCTTTTCCTATATATGCCGCTGAGGAGAAAGAATCACACAGAGACACCCTATTTCATCAATACACTTCCACATTCAGTCGTAAACAAGTCATCTTTGGGGGACCGGCGACAGCACGCGACCAAACATTGATCGATCTCGGCCCTTGTCCTTCATGAAGCGATGCCCATTCTTCTCGTTGGGCCGGCAGGTTCATCATCATAGTCGCGACGCTGTACGGTCACCCGTGACATGGCGCGCTCAAGTTCTTCCGCTGTGAAAGGGGTGTCATGGCGAGTTGTCTGTTTGGTTAAAGTCGGTGTATCATGAACGGTGGCGACATCGACGCCGGAGTCTATGGGTGGTGGGACTGATTTGGTGGGGTTGATGGAGAGTTCTGGTAATGATGGCGTGGCGTTAGTGACTTGAGATAGCGACGCTAAAGAGACCGGGAGGTCAGTCATCATGGCCTAGGCGGATTATACGAACTGGGTTATACTTACTGCTGGGGGTGTCGACGATCTCTTTCCCACTCCCTTTGCTCGAATCGGACAGGGACCGTGAGCTGGAAGTACTATCACTGCTCTCACTGCTTAGGCTGGCTGCTCTGGTTTCCACCTTCAACCTCGAGCCTGGGTCTAAACTGGGACGTGTTGAGTTGGCTCGACTGGCAGCTCGACTGGCAGCCCGACTGGCAGCGCGACTTGCGGCAGCGCTAGTCATGCGGCTCTGACTCTTGGTGCCGCCAGGACTCATGGCACCATCGCTGTGTCTTCGTTTTCGTCTGGTTCCGAAAATGGTGGGTTCGCCGTGACCAAAAGCGCCCGAGAGCGAGTAGGAGGCCAGGGAGGCGGCATGAAGAGGGTCAACCTTGCCCTTATATTTGGACCGGGGGATTTCGTTGGGCTTGTAGTACTCGATATCAGTCCTGGCTGTGTACAGTTGTTCACCAGGCCTGAGTGTTGCCATGCCCTTTTTGGGCGTCATCTTTTTCTTGGACGACGAACTGCCGCCGAAGGTCTTTTTGAGGCTGGTTCGTAAGCCCATTGTGGAAGTTGGTGAAGGATTGAGAATGGAAATCCCCCAGAGTAACAAGCAAGGGTAATGAAATGTATCCCTCAGCGACGGGGAATTGTATGGTAGTGGGGCCCTTTCGGAACTAGGTCTTGGGAGAAGATGGGAGAGGGGTGTACCAAGATGTTGGAAAGTGGTAGCCGAAAGATACAGCTTGGCTGAAGTCAAGACAAGACCATGGGTGTGCAGAAGGCGGACTGCGTGGGTAGAAATGCAGATTTCATGGACAATTTGGTCGGGGAGTACTAGGTAGTCAAGTAGTCAAGGCTGATAAGAAACACCATTAACTCGAAAATGCAAGGTTGTCGTCAGGTGAGATAGATGTACTGGTTGAGTGGCGTCGACAGACAGCCGGACGTAAGTCGGACGGAAATGGGCAAGGCGACGGCGGTGGGTTGTTGATTCGGCTAGGTATCTACATATCATCCAGTTGCGGCCGTGACATGGGTCCACAAAGATATGACCTGGTTTGTGGATCACAAGAGGTAGGACAAGATGCGAGAGTAGTCGATCGAGATGATGAACTTGAACAAGGGCAGGAGCACAAGTTAGGAGGAGGAAAAGTGTAAGGGAGGATGAGTTTCAACTCAAGAATAAGGATGATGGGACGGAGAGACGAGTGTGTTTGAAAGCGAGCGAAGGGTAGCGTCAGAGTAGTCGGATTGGAGATGGAAGACGTTTGGACGACAAAGGAAAGTCTATTAGAGCGAAGACAGGAGAGATATGGTAACTCCCAGGGTCTAAGAATCATGTAGGGTGAAAATTACCTGGCTAGGGTGAGTCTAGTGAGCGTGGGGAAGGCGAGGTAACCTTGATCAAGATGACGAGCAACACGAGGGCGGTAGGAGTTGTTCCAGTACGGAGTAGTAGTGGACCATGGTGAGAAGAAGAATTCATACGGGCGGGGCACTTTGAACCATGGGAAGCCGAGTAAAACTGGGGAGACACGGAGGCCACGGTGGACGAGGACAAATGGACATGGAAATGGAGGTGGTTGTGCAAGTTGTGCTACATAGAGAGACTCCTGGCTCCAGGGCCAAGTGCAACAACGCGGGTAAGACCGACTGATTGATCAGAATGGTGGATGGAACGCCGTATGGAATAGTGATGTGGAGGCGAAAAGATGCGTGACCAAATTGCAAAGGAGAAGAAACGCCGCGTCAAGGGAGAAGAGAACAGAGAGCAGAGAGCAAAGAGCAAGAGCCAGGTGGAGTAGTTGTCAGTGTGGACATTATTGTTGAGCAAATCAATTTCCATTGATGATGGATCACGGCCGTTGCACCATCCGTACCCAAGGTAGTTTATCATGCTATCATGCCAGCATGCGTATCATGGTGGACGGGCACCAGGGGGCCATTAACAGACCTCCGAGCATTCCGGCGTTATTATTATCATAATTCTCGAGCGGCAGATTTGGCTTGGTGGCATGGTACCATTGGGCGAATGATGGTGATTTTAGAGGTCAGATATGGAGACAAACCAAGGTGACCAAGGCATATCAAAAGTGGGGTTCTCGGCTTGCCCAATGAAGGAGGCTTCACTAATGAATTAGGAGGATCAATGCTACCTAAGGTACCACGGATACCAGAATGCCAAACCACACAGACGACCCAAGACCAATTACTGTCTTGAACATCCAGGCTAAACAACAAGAGGGGCACGAGGGGCAATGACTGTGCCGAGAGGGGGAACTTTGGCCCTTTCAAACAGGCATGATCTTTTCCTGGTTGTCCGTACAATTGAAAGGCTCCTTTCTGAGCAGGATAAGGCGCCTAGGATATTGATAGCTAGGTCCCTAGGTAGGTCTTCGGTATCTAAGGCAGGAATGTAGAGCTTATGGGTGATGGGTTTGTGGCTGCAAAGGAGGTCCAACTTGGCACAATTCTTGTTTCACAGGCGCTGATGAACAGTGTATGAGGTACTAGGTAGGTACCTAAGTAGTGTGGTGTGCTCACTCCTCAAGCAAGTGTCAAGTTTCCGACCATGACCGTTGGTGCCCAGGAAGGGCCCAGAGACCCTCAGAAACCCAAATGCCCGGTCTGATCCGGGGTGTTCTCTCAGTGGTATTAGTTGAGGTCATGTTGAGGACGTTGAGCTAGATTCCAGAAGCAACGCCATTTTCGGCAACCTCGTGTTCTGCTCTGCATCAAAGCTGTCGATGTCGATCGAAGAAGAAAATGTCACCTTCTAGAAAAACTCAAGGCGGCGCTTGTGTGGTGATCAGCACTTGACTGGGTGGAATGTCGGGGTGGCGTTGCATGTTTGCCTCAACCGGCCCAGGTCGAGATTGCCGTGTGCCAGGGTATAGCGCAGGGGAGCACAAGGCCAGGGTGCACACGAGCCTGTTGCAACACAGGTGCAGTGCAGCCATAGAAGGGCCGAGGGGCCGAGGGGCTACTGACGTTACCCCCGTGCCACTTGCTCACCCCCTGCCATGCACTCGAGCACTTTGAGGCCCGATCCCCCAGCATGCTTATCCGCCTCGATGCAGAGCCACGAGAGGTCACGGCCGATGGATGAGTGTAACATGTGAGACCACGTTCTAGTTTCGCAATCCATTCACACGAGCCCTCGAATTCTACCCAAGTTCTGGGAGCAGTGGGGGCCACAATAGTGCTGCTTCTTCTCCGCGGCGATTTTGCCTCGTTTGGCCAATGGTTCGGCATCACCGCCCAGCCATGCCAGCCCATAAGTATGCCCATTTGTGGCAGTCCCGGTGACTGGTTGGATGGCCGTCGCCCGCGAACTTGCCTACCTGATAAGTCGTGAGATCCATCGTGTACAGTCACTAACAGTATGTCTCAGCCTCATATTTGCATCTTCACTTGAAAAGGGTCAAGGACTGATTTCTGAGATTATCAGTAGGTACCTATGGATCGATGTGTGCGTACAATGTATCGACATTGAGGCGCTATTCAATAATGTTGAGATCGGAAGCCTGGTGCCCATGCCTATGGTTGTCTCCCTACTACGGAGTAAGTAGTACCTACCTACTGATCGAGACCACACCGCCTGTTTCTTTATTTGATCAGTCTAACGATCGCCTCTAGAGGCTTGGGTGTCTTTCTTGGTCAGTGCACGTGATATTGATGGGAGGTTCGCCCTCAATCGTAGATTCCTTGGTCACTGCTTCTTCTAGGGTGTTTATGGGAGGTCGCAGGTGACTTTGGTGTGCATCTGGGCCTTGGTACCTAAATTACAAGGTAGCTAAGTACCTGCCCGCCCAGGTACGCTGCTACTTTTCGAATACCTGACTATAGGTACCTTACCTAGCTGCCTTGGGTACTATCTTACGCTAGAGGACCTGATGTAGGTATCATCATCGTCCATAGGTCTCACGAATACTGGTAGGTACCTACCTAAGGTACTTGGGCGTCGCTTGTGTAGGCAAGTGCCTTCCACTCATCAAGTGCAGTCTCTCAACCTTTTCGTCTGCCACCCAACACCAACACCATGACCAACACCATCACCACATCTCACCAACAGTCACCTGCACTGAACAGAATAAGACTTCATTTCCAGAGCTCCTCCTTCACAACTCCATCAACACGAAACCCGACACGGTCCAAGTTGTAATAACCATCCATTCCGCCATCTTGGTCGCTTTAATTTCCCCCTCTGACGTGTGTGTGGCAGCCGATGACTTCATTGTTTCTCAACTCTGAACATGCTCTACGACATCATCACCACCCTCTTCCACCGCCCCCTCTCGACCTGCCGCCCACCTAGCCTGTTCATCATGCGCTCATCGAACCTTGATTCGTGCATTCGCCATCGAAGCTTCGACTTGCGGGCCGGTGGCTTGTCGTGGCCATCGACACAAAGTCGCCATGTCGTGGCACATCACCAACGACCCGCGTCGTCCAGGCCACTGGAATCCCCGATGACGCATCTCGAATTCAAGGCAAACTACAGCATTGTCTGCTGGCTCTCACTGTCTTTCTCTATTTCTTCAGTGACTCCTTCGTTTCCTTCTACGTCTTCACGCCTCGTCTCTACTAGGAGTATCCATTCCAGCCCCGTCTAGAGACACTTTCAATCTTAGTAAGTTGATCTTCACTCTGTTCCAAATGGACAGATTCAAGAGCTTGGTGTAGGCTTGCTTGTGATACCCATCAATCACCTGATTTCCAAACTAACCAAATACTCAAAGTTCTAGAGACAAAGACGAACCACTCAGGACTGGCAGCTCACGACTTTCTGCTCGAATGACAGGTCAAGGCTCTCACTTTCCGCAAGGCAAATTTGCCCCCGATACCTCCCAAGCCTCAAATTCAGGTCTTGTTTCAGGTCAGCTCCAAATATGTCCATCTCAACGAAAGTCATACTGACAAGTCGAAGGAACCGACGCAAGGCAAGGCTTACACCAGTCTTTCAACAGTCCTACGACCAGCGACAATAACGGCAGCATTGCACTCGGACAGACTTCGACCTATAGCTCATTCAGCCTTCGCAAAGGTGACCCCGTCGGTAGCGTGGTAGATCACAATTCGCAAGATCCAACAACATATAAGATGCCTGAGCATTCTTTCGGTGGCGCAAGCTCTGGTGTCCCGCCTGGGTCGGCCGGCACTGCGGCCTCTCTCGCTTTCAGCCAGCACGGCGATCCCAGCAGTAAGCCACTCACCACAAGATCCTGAACACCAGATTTTGGCCACTCTAACTGATTGGATCTAGCTTCTAACATTCCAGGTGCATACCCCAAGGATGACCCGTCAATTGATCCCACCCAGCAGACCACCTCATCGGCCTCGACAACAGCTGCCTTACCGACAGGAGATGCTCAGAAACAGAACCAGAGTGACAGCCTAGAACAAAGTATGCCGACCACACACGACCAAACCACTCTGTCCACCCAAGAAGACACAGGTGTTTCCAGCGAGACTCCTGCTCTACCACCATCGCAAACCTCAAGTGCACTCGGCAAGATTATGGGCGCCGTGGGACTTGGTGGAGCAGCCACTGCTGCTGGTGTCGCTGCCGCTAGATCCAAGGATGCAGGAGTGAGCGCAGCTTCAACAGCTGCGGATGATCAACCTACCACCACTACTGGCACCGATTCATACACAGCACCGACTCGCACCAGCCCTCCGCTGGCAGAACATCGCAAAGAAAGCATCCCCACTACCGCTTATCCCGCCGGTACAGAGTCCCCCGCACCCGTTACTGCTCCTGTTGGGGGCACGCGAGATGCAATCGATGCGCAAAATGACAGCAACTCTAGTCGCGGCACTACCCTGACGGCTGTCGGCCTCGGGGCAGCTGCCGGTGCTTCTGGTGCGGCCACCTTAGGCGCGTGTGGTAATCGAACCAGCTTACCGGTTACTGGCGAGGCGTCGGAGCCTGCCATCTTTGAAACCGCATCGCCTACACATGAATTGAGTTCTGATGAGAAAAGTGGAGACGCTACTTCGTACATCATTGGAAGTCAAGGTGAAGTTCAGAATCGTCCACTCGAAGCCTCGGGCTCCCGCGTACAAACGCAGCCACCTGCTCCTGTTGCGGGATCTCCTTATCAAGACTCCTCGAAAGGACAGGGAGAATTCAATGATTCCCCAGCTCTTCCGGGGACTGCCTTGTCTACCTCAGGACCAACCTCCCAGCCAGCGTCAACAGTTCAAGCGGGAACATCAGAATGGGGCCCAGACCCCCGAACAATTAGCGATGAACCAGAAGACAGCAAATCCAGTGGTCATGGCAAAGCTGCTGCGGCTGGTATTGCCGGGGCCGGGGCCGGGGCCGCGGGCTTAGCTGCGCTTCAACACGGGAGAGCATCAGGTGCAGACCAACAAAGTGGGACTTGGCCTAGCTCCCAAGAGTACGTCCAACGGGATCGGCCCATTACCTCTACCGGGAGTGCTACTTCCAAATCAACTCAAGCCGACAATGCCACGGGAGGCGCAACTCCTTCGGATGAAGCTGGAGCCTCCACGAGAGATGAGGGTCAAGCACGGCGCAATGCCGCTCTGATGGGAGTTGCAGGAGCAGGAGCTGGAGCAGGGGCTTATACAGCCCATAAATATAAACAACACGGTACGGTGCAAGAGAGCGCAACCGGGACTACTGACAATGCTTTGAGAAGGTCGAGCCCGGAAGCAGCGACCGCTGGATCTTTGCCTCCTCAAGACACACCCGCCATGGGAAAGTTCTCTACTGCAGGCTCAAACCAGTCGCCAGTGAATGACGGTGGCAGTACTATTAAGGATTCAACCACTACTACAGCGACAGGTACCGCTGTATCTGGGACGAGAACATCCCAAACGCAAGATTACGGCCAGCGGAATCAGAGAACTGATGATACAGCGCCCAAGTCAAAACCTGAGACTGCACCAGCGGTCACGAAAGACACGAAAAAGCCCAAGATCGAGAAGGAAGATCCTGTCAACGACGAGAACAAGAAAGCAGGCCCCATCGACGATGATCATGATGAGGGTCACGCCGGTCGCAAGACTGCAGCGGCAGCGGCAGTAGCTGGTGGAGGTGCTCACGCGGCTCACGCGGCTCATGCAAGCTCTGATCAACAGGCTGAAGAAGAAGCAGCTGCTCGCCGGAAGCATGACCTTGAAGAGCAGGAGGCTGCTCGGCAGAAGCAGTACGAAAAAGATCAGAAAACGGCCGAAAAGTTGGCGGCGAAGGAGGCCAAACAGCATGAGAAAGACGCCAAAAAGGCCGAGAAGCAGCATCAGAAGGAGCTTGAAAAAGAGGAGAAGGAGCATCAAAAAGAGGGAGGTTTGGAACAGAAAGACGCCACAGGATATGACAAGGTAGGGGAAACGGAGAGACTGGTTGCAGATGATAGACGTGGCAAAGAAGCAGCACTGGTCGGCGTGGGTGGAGCGGCAGCCGGAACTGCTGCAGCACATGGACCCCACGAAGATGACCCCACGCATGATGAACAACATGGCAATCGATTGCAGAAAAGCCAACCGCGAGAGAAAAAACCCAACATATTCAAGCGAATCTTCAAGAGTCGGAAGAACAAGGACACTGGTGAGGAGGAGCAGTACAGCACTGATGAGGAGGATAACGGCGCAAGTAATACGGAAGCGGAGAGTCGTACGGCGGGAGATATCACGCACAGCAGCAACATGGAGGGAACGCCTTCTCAAGACCACAGTTATGAAGCAGCAAGTGGTGGCGTACAGAAGCCTTCATACAACCCGCTGCACAAGGATGAGCCTTCATCGGCACAGAGAGGAGACGGAGATGTGGGAACGGGATCGACGGGTCCTTTTACGAAAATACAGGATCCAGAACATGCAAGGGGTCTCGGTACATCTAGTGGCGGACCTGGCAATGATAATGAGATAAAGACTACCGAGTATGATGGACAGGACCGGAGAAGATCCTATGACGAAGGTGCTGGCGGTGAGTCTACAGAGCATGGCGATGGGCAGCGAAAAGAAAGCCTAGGCCATCGAATCCTGGAGCAATTGAAACCACTACCGACGGGACAGCAACGACGGGAAATGGGCGAGGCATAAAAGGAATCCTGGATGTCTGTCTGATGTGATATGCTGGACAATGAGAACATGGATACCTATGTTAAGTTGGGGGAAGACGATGTGAAGGCGTGAGAAGAGGCATTGCAGTTTTGGCAAGGTTTGCAAGCAGTTCTTCCGGCATGATAGTAGTAATGAGTAAACGATAATTGATACATTTAGGTATTTGCCGTCAACAATAGGAGTAATTTTGATGACTCTGTTCCTCTCCCTTTTTCCTTGTCGCTTGTTGAAGGTATTTGAGGTGGTTTGAGGCAGTAGATTAGTATTGGTGACGTGACAATTTGGGTTCTATTTCTGTGTTCCATTATTGGTACTGAACATGTTGCATTTTTTGTTGACGTCACTATCAAAGTCCTGCCAGGCATCCGATGGAATGGATGGATCAATGAATGAATGAATGAATGAATAGATGAGATAGAGGCCGACCTACCTATATTAGGTCTCTATGTGTATCTGTATGGATATTTATACCTCTTTAGGTACCTACCTTATATACTTGTGCCTTGGGGTACATGGCTCATGTACTAAGTACTAGGTAACTACGGAGCATAACCTACAGCCCACCACACCACACCGCAACCGAGGTTCAACAAATGAAATTAGCTTCGTCTTTTATTCGATGTTGTATCATCGCATTATCCGTCATGGTGGAAATGTCCATTCCGTCGCAGCCGTGAAATCTTGTCTCCAATTCTCTGGGTCGGCGGGGTTCCCCCCTCATCACCAACCTCGTTCATTTGCGAATCCTAACTCCCCAAGGCGTAACTACTCCGTAGGTTCCCAGGCCATGACTCAGACGGGGCATAATTAGGATCCCCTGTGCGAGTACGCTCTTGTAGGCTTGAGGGTCGCCTCGGTCCCTCTGACGGCACCATATGTGCCCCGGTGGACCCATCGCGACGTCCACCTTGCTTTGGTGTTCGAACATTGGTCAGTCCGCACAAGGACCCCGCGAGCCTTCGCCCCCTACTGGTATGCGCTACGATTCTCTTCGGTCGTCTAGTGGCCGAATAACAGTAGGCTCATATCTTGGTGGAGAATCCCGCCTTAGTGCCGCCGCCAAACCAGAGTCTTTTTGACTCAACTCTTGGATTCTACCTACAGAACCTCCTCTACTGTAGAATTGTGCCATTCATTGTCGATTACCACTGTCCTTCCTGGCTTTCTCCTTCTCTCTCTTCACCATCAAGTAGTTGAAATTCTTTCGTCAGACGGAAGGTCGGCAGTCTGCTCGACTAAGCCGTTGTCAATTCAATACCAGGTCCAAAGGGACATGCCCATGGCTTCCTGTCATCTTTGCCACTCCCAGAGCCATGGTGAAGGACGCAAAACGACAGCTCAAGCTGCCAGGACAGCAACTCTTTATCCTGTCCATCTGTCGCTTCGCTGAGCCCGTGGCAATGACTTCGGTTTATCCCTATATCGTAAGTCCCTACCCTGACATTCCGTTCACCGCTCCATCTTAATTGTCCCGCCTACAGCCAGAGATGATTCAGTCATTTCATGTCCCCCACGACAAGGTTGCCAAATGGGCCGGTCTCATGTCTGCCACCTTTTCTCTCTCACAATGCCTGACAGGCATTGCTTGGGGACGGGCCTCAGATCGCTTTGGCAGGAAACCAATCATTCTTACTGCTCTTACCTGCACCATGATATTCAGCGTCATGTTTGGCTTCTCCACAAACCTCGTCTGGGCCTTCATCTTCCGCTCCTTGCAGGGCCTTTCTAACGGCAATGTTGGAATCATCAGAACCGCCGTCGCTGAGCTCGTCCCGGAGAAAGAACTCCAGCCTCGTGCCTTCAGTATCATGCCTCTGGTCTGGAACATTGGCTCTATCTTCGGGCCCTCCTTTGGTGGTACTCTTGTCCATCCCGCTGAGAGGTATCCTCAAGTCTTTGGGAAGTGGCAACTACTGAAAGACTACCCATTTGCTCTTCCCAACCTGCTGATCAGTCTTTTGTTTCTGGTGGGCATCGCTTCGGGTTTCTTATTCCTACACGAGACTCTGGAAGAGAAAAAGTCTAGAAAGGACTACGGTAGAGTCCTAGGACGGCTCCTCACTAGGCCATGCACAAGACGACCAAGACCAAGGGCGTATTCCACCGAGGAGAGCGAGCCGTTTCTCGACGGCACCACCAGTGAACTGTCGAGCCCAATCACCCCCCGACCTGCCGCCCCTCTCAAGAAAAAGGCAGGCTGGAGTGAAGTCTTCTCCCGTCAGTCCAACATCAATTTGGTTGTCTATACCTTCTTGGCCATGCACTCGGTGGCTTACGACCAGCTTTTGCCTATCTTCATGCACTATCCTGTTCAGAGTCGACACGACAAAGACGTCAAACTCCCCCTCCGGTTTGCCGGCGGTTTCGGCATCAACTCGAACCAGATTGGTTTTCTCTTCACCATCTATGGCATCTCTGGCATGCTCATCCAGTTCTTTGTCTTTCCTCCATTCGCCCGCCGTTTTGGTGTCTTGAATTGCCTCAAGGCATGTTCTCTGGCCTTTCCATTCATCTACGTCGCAACCCCCTTTACTGCCCTTTTATCAACAAACCAATCCAGGCAGGTCGTCATGATGGCATTGATGCTCGTCAAGGGCTTCTGCGGTATCTTCGCCTTTCCCTGTTCAACCATTCTGTTAACAAATAGTGCCACCACCTTGAGCATCTTGGGAACATTGAACGGCGTCGCAACTAGTATATCTGCCATTGGCAGGGCGGCTGGTCCAGCTTTAGCCGGCGCTACTTTCACAGCTGGCGTGGATATTGGCTATGTCGTCATCTCATGGTGGACTTTGGCCTCTGTGGCAGTCATTGGTGCAGTGCCCGTGTTTGCATTAGTCGAGATGGAGGGCTTTGGGAGTAACAAAACCGACGACGATAGCGAGATTGATGACGATGACGACGATGAAGAAGAAGAAGAAGACATCAACGATGACAATGACGACTCTTTTCAAGACAGAAGGGAACACTCTGCTAAAGCGTCGGCCACGAACATGTTTCCTGACACCTCCTACTCCAGGGTAGCCCCTTCCCGGCCTCCACCTTCGATAGAGGACGTGTTTGAAGAAGACGAACAAGACAGTCATCTTCCCGGATCAAGCCAGCTATCACCCACAATGTCAAGAGGGTCGCAACATCGTCCGACTGCTCGACGACAAACATCGCACAAGAATCTCCAACGCATAGCCAGCCCCATTGGTTTAGGGCCTGGCGTCATCCCCTCTGGGTCAAGGAGGTACAGCAGTGATCTTGGGGCGACAAGAAGTGGGTTTGGTGTGGGAGGAAGTTCTTTTAGTTGATTCACCGTTTGGGCTGGGGGACAGATTTGCAAAAACCCGCCTACGGATCCACGTGCTTGAGTGTGGAATATTGCAGAGAGCCCGCATACACATATATAAGTGGTTAATACACGATGTAAGTTCCAAAAAGTTGTCTCCTCTGGGCTCTACTACATACTGAGGGCTGTCTGCCATCAATTTCGCATCTTTATGCTCGTCTTCATAATTTGGCATTTGCTTTCTCCAACTCATTTGTGATGCCATTGCGGATCTCATTTACAATGGTAGAGGCGTCATCGACCTGACGGACCAGGCCGATTCCTGTCCCAGCCCAGACATTGGCCCGATTGGTCTTGCCAAAGCCCAAGTCCTGTCCTTGGACTGCCTTATTGTGGCGGTCTCTCACTTCCTCAATTGCCACGCCTGCGCGATAATCACGATAGCTTTCCGTGACCAGACATCGACCATCGTAGGCGTCGGGCCATATACTGGGACCTGCGACGTTGTCGAACAGTTTACTCCGCGCAGTATTTGTGGCTCCATCTGAGGTAGACAGAACCAAGTCCCGGTAGCCGTCTAGAATGATGGTTTCTCTAGCGGCAAGAAATCTTGTCCCCAAGACTACGCCATCGGCACCCAGGACGAGGGCAGCCGCTGCACCTCTGGCATCAGCTATACCTCCCGATGCCAGCAATGGGATGTGACCCAGCCCATTCGACTTCAAAAGGTCTGTAGCCTCGGGCAGCACAGACACGATACTGGCCCCTCTCTCAAATCCGTGACCACCAGCATCAGAGCCCTGCAAGACCAAGGCATCCGGGCCGGCATCCTTCGCAACGGCGAGTGCAGCTGTGACACTGCCAACCTGGATCCAGACCTTGGTGTCGGGCAGTGCGGCTCGTAATTGCGCAGCCCATATGTCGTAGTCTGACAGATCTTTGGCGGCAAACATCCACACTACTGCGGGCCGATACTTGTTCAACACCGGCAGCGCTTGCTCGGGTTTAAGAAAGCCAACGAGGAGTCCAACGCCAACGGCCAGTGTTCCGCCACGGCTAGCGGATGGATTATTGAGGCAGGACTGTGCCAATTGCAACTCTTTGTCCAGAGCCGACATGTCGAAGATGGCGCCAATCTGACCGAGGCCACCGGAATTACTTACTGCGGCTGCAAGAGCCCCTCCCGCATATCCTGCCATGGGTGCATTGACAATCAATGGCCGCTGCGTCCAAGGCAGTTGATCCTGAAGTTTGTGAGCCATGCTGCTGTCAGTTGAACCCGATGTAACTGATTCTGAGGTGAGGTACAGAGAAAATTTAGAAAGATGGAAGTAGTCGACCAGAAATCATGTAACGACTCAAGGTGTGTGTGCGTTGCGATAGACATAAACATACTATATATATGTACTGTATATTCCCATAAGCACCTCAGGTACCACCATACATTTATCCTATCCAGGAATATCAAGTGGGCGCCTTGGCTCGCAGCGTCTGACAATCTTACACCCAAACACGAGAAATCTCATCAATGTTTAGTCATTGTGACCACAAGGTGTGATTAAGTAGTCAATATGATGCAATTCAGGCCGCCTGAACTCTTGTCATCCTGGGGTGGTCCAACAAGGGTCCCTCCGGCCGCCTCGGGCCTAACTGACTTCCCACTTGGTTATGACTTAATTGTATGTACCACAGGAAAAACCATTTGATTCCCCGTCCTATGAATCACAAGCCGCTAGTGAACGATCGGAAATCTATCTGATGTCCACAGGAACGGGACTCGGGGAACATGACAGCTGGTGTGTCCAAAAACGAATTCTCACGGTTGCGATCACCATCAATCTTTCCGTCAACAGCACTTTCATGAACAGCCAACACGATTTAAACAATACCCCTGGCCATTTTTGGTATACGCTTCAATACTCAAGATTGTTTTGCTTCTCAACTTCACGGTCAGGTCTGTATTCAACATGTTGTTATTATCCGCAAGCAAATACAGATATTGTGGCGCTCGAAAAAGCCAAACCCTATTAGCATCACGCAAGCAGTTTGATCGCTGCTTCTAGCCTTTGTTCAATAATTTCAGCCCACCGCTGGGCATTGGTCGCGTTCTTATCTTCCAAACTCTCCACGAGGCCAGGATATGTGGCACCAGCATAGCCAGTCCACCGCCCCGGCGCGAAAACCACGTGCTTGAACCATGACCTTTGATCGAGACCCTGCGGATACAAGAATTGTCGCTCTAGCTTCTTGTATTTTTGGTTTGCCCTGCGCACCTCGTAATATAATCGAACCTTCTTCCACCATTTCCACCACGGAACATCTTGTTCTATACGATCGGCAAGTTCGGCCGTGTAGCTGTCGAACCCGGCAGCGACTTTTTCAAGACGGGATGTTGCCTTCTCCAGGCGACGGAAACTAAAGTCATGATTGCGACCATGCTCAAACAGCTCAGTATTGCCTTTGACACTTTGTAAGTAGCCTTTCAGGCCTTTGGCATAGTCCTCGGCACCTAAGGCTAGTATAGGTGTTTCGACGAGTTTGGCGGCCAACAATGCCCAAACCTTTGTAATTGCCACATGATAGTGCCAGCCTTTGTCCCCGTACTTGTCCATCCAGTGAAAGCTGTCATAATTGGAATGATAATGGTAGACTGCATCGCCAGGACCACTCCCAAAGCCAATGTCAAGAGTAGGAATGCCGGCAAAGTCCTGAAAGGCAGTAAAGTCACTGCCAGACCCAATGGTACGAATGTGACCATCCCAAGTGTCTCGTACGGTCTGATCTTTGGCGGTCTGGTTTGGTGAAATGACAGAGCCTGTGGCGTTGAAGATTGCTTGATTGAGGAGTGGAGACGCTGCGGCACTGAAATGAGTACCGCGAGCGGCCACGTCGACATTGAGATAGGCAACGGCACTGCACGACAGCCACGGTAGGAACTCCTCGACCCATTCGGTGGAACCGACCAAGCCATACTCTTCACCATCCCAGCTAGCGAAAACAATTGTTCGGAGAGGTTTCCAACCGGCTTTGAGAGCTTCACCAAAGGATCGAATGACTTCGTTGAGGGCAGCCGAACCTGAGTTGGGATCGCCTGCGCCGCCTGCGATCCAGGCGTCACGGTGATTGCCCAGGACAACGACTTCGTCTGAAATTGTGCCATTGATGACGCCAATGACATTCCACAGAGGGGTAGTGACATACTCCTGCTCGTTGACCAAATTCAGAGTCAGAGACTCTGGAGTCGGACCTATGCTATAATCGACGCCTTTATAATCGAGGCCCCCTCCATGCCAATGGCTATTGAAGGAGCTCGCATTTGGACCATGACCATTCAAAGCTTTTAGCAGTGGAAGCGCATCGGCATATGAGATGGGGAGGGACGGGATCTTTGGCGTGGAGCCATGAGGGTCCACGCGAGGCACACCTGGTTTAGAGGGGTATCCGGGGGTGGTGGGATCCCCAGGAAGAGTACCTGTCACGACACCTGTTAGTCAATGTTAGCAGTGGCGAGGATTGTGAGCATACTGATATATTGCGTACTGCCTCGTTGGACACTGCTTGGGTTTCTTGCTGGGCCCTGGGGATAAGGCTTGTGGCCGTTCTTTTCGGTCACGTCGCCATCTTCCTGTGGATCGGAATAGATGACGACTCCAACCATGCCCAGCTCTTGAGCCCGCTTGACTTTGAGACCACGGAAGATGCCGCCATATTTGGCAAGTGCAATCTTGCCTTTCAATGTGATGTTTGCGGCCTGCAAATCCTCAAAATCTTGGTACGTGCCGAAATTGACGTAGACGTAGGGGGCAGTGACATTGCCAGAGGCAGAGTAACCGTGGAATGTGGGTATGCGATCGGTGAGTGAGGTGGTAGGATCGTCCGGGAGGATGTCCTCTTCGAGCGAGGCTTCGTACTGGACCTTGCCGTGCTTCAACAGGGCCAGACGATGTGAAAGAGGATAGTTGATGTAGACATCGTATGCGACGATATCGGCCTCTAGACCAAACTCTTGCCAACGGTCACGAGTCCATATGGCCTGAGATAGGTTCTTGCCGGCCAGGTGAGGTCCTGCTGTATAGTATTGGCTCCAGGACCGGGCTCTGTCTGGATTTGGTGTTTGCAACAAGATTTGTTCGAGGTCATGATAAGAGATGCCGGCGGTATGAGGCCATGACTTGGGGAAAGGGGCGGCCCAGGGAAGATAGGAGGAGAAGCTATCGTTTCCACGGGGTAGAATGGCAAGCGGAAGGAGGAAGAGGACAGCGATGAGAATCAAAGTACTGCCAAGTGCGATTGAGCAGAAGCGTCGGAGAGTGGAACGAGAGTATCGTGGAGCTCTTCTGCGAACCGTGACGGTTTGAATCAAGGGTGTTCGCTCGTCCATAGCTGGGTCATTGTCGGGCTGATCCAAATAGAGTAAACAGACAAGTCACAAAGACGTGCGTTGACTGTTGACTGCTGGCTCTTGTCGACGCCTGCGATGCTGTTGAAGTCATGTCGGAGGTTATTACAGGCAACTCTGACAATGGAAGGTCTGCCGACAGTGACTCCTCCGCTTCCCCCGCACCTGCTTACCATAAGCACTATGTAATGCCCCTCACTCCTTCCTCTGTTGTTGCTTGTTGCCTCTTACTGATTGCGACAGTTCTCGGTGCTCATGGTGATTCCTGCCATCTCAACCTTCCTATACCTCTTTTTCTTTTTTTTTTTTCTCTTGATTTGTTGAATCCACGCTGATGCAATCCTTATTGAGTGGGTGCCAATCAGTGAGTTGACCTCAGTTCGTTGGGCAGTCCATAACATTTCGACTGCACAGACTGCTCGTCCTCTTTGTTCGTCTTCCGCCATAACCTGTTGAGGTGTTGAATTATCGGCGTCCATTGTATTCGAACTGGATATGGACGATGAACGAAGTTAAACAACTACCTATTCTCAAAAGGAAGTCGTCACGTGCGCTTCAAGTGCCTGGGGCTTGAGTCGGGCAACGTACAGTAGGTAGGCTACGACAGAGCATGAGCAGCAATATTAAGTGAACAACTACTCCAGATAGGCGAGTTGAACACTCTCCTCTGATACTAGTTGTCTTAGCTGAAATCAACTTGTTCGACTTGATGCAATTATTTCATGCCACAACCTGAATTCTGACATTTGCTGGCGACGAGTTTCTGTTCTCGGACAACCTTGAAATTGACCTTGAAGTCTTGTTGTGTGACCTTGGGTATGATTATGGTGAGTGGCAGGAGCGAAACGACCAAATTATTGAGGGCTTGGCTCTTGTCCTACAAAGACTCGTACGTGGTATCTCGGGCAGGAGCAAGTTGAGCAACCCTGCATCAGCTTTCCTCTAGCCGATTACAATTCACTCACGCCCTTTACACCACAACTACAACGACAATATTATAAAGTCCATGCTGAGACTCGAGGGTAGTTGACTAGGTGTGAACACTCAGACCTCCCAGTCTGCTCTCTCTCCTTCTAACATATATCTTCATCATCGGAGCACATGGTTCTGTCGATCAACATCTGACACCACACCGTGTCACATGGCCCTATCCATCTTGATCTTCCAACAGACACTCTTGTAACCAATCAGCTACAGGGGATTGTTCCTCACTATTTCACACTGTGGTACATCACTCCTTGGATCGTGGCGTCCTTTGTGGCATCAACCAGCAACATTTTCTCTGGTCGCCGTAGTCCGGTCCGAAGCTGGGCTCTTTGTCAAGTTCCACCGGCTGCTCATGATCGGCCATCTGAAATGTTGAGTTCGCCCGTTCCTCACAATCTAAGGTCATACATGATCCAGCTCTGACTAGCGTGTGTAACATAGCCATCGAAGATGCTTGCTCGGGCCAATCTAGGTGCTGCACAATAGCCATACTCGCAGCTGCAGCTGTTCGTCCCTATCGCCTTTCTACCATATGGTCCACACGGCGCTTCTTCATCATGTCAGAGTCTGGAAGTCCTTGCTCCATCGGACAAAATGGACAAGGGGTCATGGCCACGCCAATCCGCACCGCTACTGTCAACTTCGCTTCCCACTCCTCATCGGGTCTGCATCCGTCTTGGCCAAGCACCACCCCAAGCATGCTTGTCCTGACCTCTTGATAAGAGTTTGAGCCAGTCACAATCTGCGCTTCACCTCAGAAGGCCTCTTCTCATTGCTTGAAGAGGTCGCTTTATGAGAGCTTGATAAACCTTGGCGCATGCTGCCCGTCCCTGCCACCTTCTAGAACGAACGCTCGCCTTTTGTTCGTCGGTGTGTTGTGGTATCATATAGCCTCTGCGCCCAATGTAACAACATGACCGTGTCGCCCCACACCGTCCGACTCTTATCAGACTGGGCAACTTCAGACCTTCCTTGATCCTACTAACTTCAATGTTCGACATTTTCATGGCAAGGGTCTACCACAGCTGATCGCCCGATCATACTATGATGTGATCTTGGGCTGTCTCATTTGTTGCTTTCCTCATCCTTGATGTGACGCTCCTACACCGATAGACCAGGGTACTGATCTCGACCGACAGAGACAAGAGCGGCAAGTCAATCATACATCATTCAGGTAGCTACACTGGTCAATGACGTGACATCAATGCCAGTGGTTTGATTGCCAAGAATATCACACCCTGTCCCTTGCCAGACGTATAAACATCGATTGGGGCATCTTCCTCCCATGGAACTTGATCTCTCACCTGTTCCCCTGCTTTGCAGCGAACCTCGACCGTCCCGACCTCGTCTACCATGGATCCAAAAATCACGGGAAGCGACTATATCCAAGAGTCAAAGACTCCCCTCGACGACCTTGACACTCAGAAACGCAACTCCATCACTGGAGATGTCTACGTTCAGGACCATGGCGCCGACACCGAGCTCCGTCGTCTGCTCAGCACCCGCCACTTGACCATGATAGCCTTGGGCTCTAGTATCGGTATGGGCCTATGGCTTGGATCCGGGCTGTCCTTGGTGAGAGGTGGCCCGGCTGGCATCTTCCTCGGGTATTGCCTATCTGGTGCCATGATCTGGTCGGTCGCACATTCGATTGGCGAGATGGCAGTCATGTATCCACTGCCATCCGCCTTCGTTCAATGGACTGGCAAGTTTATCGACCCAGCTGCCGCCTTCGCACTTGGCTGGGCTTACTACTTCTCCTTCGCCGTGAGTCGACCCGCCGAGAGAATCTTGTTCTCGGGCTGACCTTCATTTGCCAATGTTCAATTAACGCTGACCTTTGGCAAGATCACTATTGCCAACGAGCTTGCGGCAGCCAACACAATCATTAGCTTTTGGACAGAAAAGGTTCCGATTGCTGGCTGGATCTCAATCTGTGAGTGGCTCTTGTCCTCACCAACAAACATGGCGCCCCAGATCATCTGCTGACCCAAATCATACTAGGGCTGGTCGTGCTTGTCATCATCAATGTCGGTGCTGTCACTGTTTTTGGCGAAGTCGAGGTTGTGTGTAGCCTCATCAAGTTCAGTTGGATTTTTGTCGTCATCCTCTCTATGATCGGTACGGTGGTCCACTCGTTGTCTCTATTCCTTTGTGTGGCCTTCTTCCTGACCTTTATAGTCATCTCCGCTGGTGGTGGACCAAACCACGAATCAGTTGGCTTTCGCTACTGGAACCAGGACGCCTTCCCAAATGGCTTCAAGGGGTGGCTCACGGTGATGCCGGTGTGCATATTTGCAATGGCTGGGTCCGAGAATGCTGGGCTGGTTGCTGCAGAGACTGCCAACCCTCGTAAAGCGGTACCTCGTGCAGTGGGCTCAATCTGGTTGCGCCTTTCTCTCTTCTACCTGCTTGGATCCCTCATGATCACCATCAATGTCTCCCCCACAGACCCGGATCTTTTCGGACAGTCTGGGACTAACGCATCTCCTTTTGTCATTGCTTACCGCAATGCAGGGATCCCCACGCTCGCGCACATGATGAATGCCATCATTTTGCTCTCTGTCATTTCCTGTGGCTCTATTTCGATCTATGCAGGAGCTCGCACTGCAATGGGTCTTGCATATCTCGGTATGGCCCCAAAACAACTGAAGAAGGCTGATAAACTCGGCCGACCTTGGTACGGCTTGGTCCCAGTCATTCTCCTTGGTGGTGGGTTGGCATATCTCAACGTGAGCAATTCAGGGGCTGAAGTGTTTGGGTGGTTCAGTAATCTGACATCTCTTTACACTCTTTTTGGATGGGGCATGATATGCTTGTCTCACATTCGATTCCGAGCTGCTTGGAAGCTCCAGGGCCGGCAACCATCCGAATTGCCATGGAAAAGCTGGACATACCCATACGCTGCCTGGTTTGGATTCATCATGTGCGTCTTGCTAATCATTGTCCAATTCTGCTTGGCAGTCTGGCCATTAGGAGGTGGCGTCACAAACGCCGAAGACTTTTTCGCCAACTACGTGTCGGTGTTGGTGATTATCGTGCTTTATGTCGGGGCCAAAATCTACTACCGTGGTCGACGATGGGTCGATATTGGCACAGTCGACTTGGACTTTGGAAGGCGGTTCTATGTCGACGACGCCGACAAGGAAAAGGGCCACAAACGCGGGTTCGTGGGCGGTGCTAAAAAGGCTGCGAGTTTGCTCTTTACTTGATGGAGTGCACACGCGCAAGGAGATCTTATAGCTAGCCACTTGTCACGGATTGGTGGGAGGCGGGCGTGGAATGCAGGAATCGATAGTGACAGATTCGAACTGGAAAATTTGTCATGAAATAGGCGATGTTGGTTGCAGAGCATGAGCGAGAAATCTCCTAGACCGTATGAACGTTTGGTCATGAGTGTTATGAAACCGAGGATAGCCAGCGGTCATAGTAGAGTGGACATTATATGACTGATTGATCGTGGATTCGTACTTGCCTTACGTCTCATTTGGTATCATGCCAGCTTCAGTAATGGACCAAGCGGCACCATTAACACGATGGAGCCTACCAGACGGAAGTGATAGTCACAAGTTGAAGTACCTACGCTGTCCACAAATCCTAGTCTCAAAATGATGAATTGATTGAATAATTGAAGTTCTCTGTGTATACAGATATGTTGCCCATTGGGTGGGTGGAAGGATAGACTCACGATGTAGTGACCTGAAGATCACGTCCCAGTGTCGTTTTAAGGGCGAAACAAGATCCGACTATCCAAGTCCACTCCACACCAAGGTGTCGCGATCTGTTGAACATTACTGAATCATGAGTCCTGACACGAGCAGAAAGTAGTCATCCCTATTGTTGTCCTGTTGGCCAAGTCCGAGCCCCTCGGCCCCGAAACCGCCTCGGTAATAGCCATTATTCTCCACTTGAACGAACCAAAGGGTATGTCAGCGTTGAGGCACTGGCGGCCATGAGCTTACCCCGCAACCCGAGGCTCATTGTTGGGTTATATGGAGGCCGGGAGTTGTTGTCCTGAAGGGGGACAGTCGAAGGCTTGCAATTTACACATTTCATTACCATCGACAACAGCCCTCGACTTGACTGACTGAGACTATGAGAACGTGGTTGAGCGCATAGATAGGTTTCGATGAATCCGGCTTCCAAGGCCAAGGCGGCCTCGCGGCACGACCTAGATGATGCGGCGCTGGGTCAATATCTGCTTAGCACTGGATCAATTCCGGGTCTAACGCTGCCTGTGGTGTCGACAAAGATTGGCTATGGGCAGAGCAATCCAACCTATTTCGTCGATGATGCTGCGTAAGTGTTCGAGTCGTATAGATTGCATCTTGAGGCGATGCTCACAAGATTTGGGTACAGGAAAACCCGATTCATTTTGAGGAAAAAACCGTCAGGGCAGATCATCAGTCCTGTGGCACATCAAGTGGATCGGGAGTATCGAGTCATTGAAGCTTTGGGCTCTGTGGAAGGATTTCCAGTCCCCAAGGTTTTTGCCTTGTGCATGGACGATTCCGTCATTGGAACGGCATTCTATGTAAGCTGGTTTCTGGTCATACAGGAAGATCTGGGTTAATTGGAGTCCTTTTGTTCAGGTCATGGAGTTTGTCAAAGGACGAATCATTACAGACCCTGATTTGGGAGACCTCTCGCCGTCGGACAGGAGGAAAGCGTAAGTCCACCATCTGGGATGCCCACTCCGTTATGTTGACCGATTCCTTAGTTGGTTCTCAGCGATTGAGACTTTGGCATGGCTGCACTCAATTGACCCCGATGCCATTGGCCTCCAAGGTTATGGGAAGAAAACTGGCTTCTACGCACGCCATTGTAACACATTCAGTCGGATAGAAGCCCAGCAAGCCAAGGTCAAGGATGCCAAAACAGGCAAGGAGCTGGGCCGAGCGCACGAACACTTTGACGAAATTACCGACTACGTGAGGGCTAATCTACCCCAAGATCGATATGCCATCGTTCATGGCGATTTCAAGTTTGACAATCTGGTACGTCCCTGTTTAGATAAGCGATTTGTGGAGGTCGGAGCAAGGAGCTGACAAAAGGTCTGGTATGGGCAGATTCTCCACCCGACGGAACCTCGTGTCATTGCGGTGCTCGACTGGGAGTTGTCAACGATTGGGCATCCTCTGATGGATCTGGTATACGTAGTGAGTCCGTTCTGGAACGAGGTGACCAAAGCAGGGCATCCGTCAGCTGTGTCAAATGCTTCGCCTTTTCTTGCAGCGAATCGCGCCAAAAGTGGCATGCCCGACCCAGCAGAACTCCTAGATCGATATGCCGAGATTGTTGGGCATGACCTGCGCAAGGATGGCGAGGGTAGAGACTGGGAAGTTGCAAAGATCTTCCATTTTGTCCGGGGTGGCACCATTAGCCATGGAATCCAAGCCAGGACCATCAGTGGTCAGGCAAGCAGCGACTTCAGCCATATATACTTTGAGAATACTCGCAAGAGTCTGGACGCGGCGCTGCAACGGGTGAGAGAGCAGAAAAAGGGCACAGCAGCAAGGCCGAGGTTGTAAGCTCGGCAGCTGGAAGGGTGGTCCAAGATACAATGACAATACTATGATTGAGGATCGACTATGTACCTAGAAGGCGTTGATACATGTCCACCATTGAGTATCGTGGACGACATGTTCCGTAGACAGAGAACGCAGGAGGCTCCTTGCCAGGAACGCGTGGAAAGCGCGCCCACTGGCCATTCGCAACTTCCTGTTGTGACCCATTAAAAGAGGCAGGAACATAAGTAGTTCAACCGAAGGCGCTAACCACATCGGGGACAACCTCGGCTCTCTCTGGTGCAACATCAACAGAGGTCATTTCACAACTTGTCCAACAATGCCATCCAGCCACAATAGCACCTGAGTTCCACCTATAGTCGAACAGACTCTTCAGATACCGCGAGGATGCTCGGACTAGACATAGCGTCTAAGCGGCGACGCACGCGAGACAACTATCATTATTTTCTCGAGTATCGACTTCGTTGGTAAGCCGGCCAGTTTTTGGGTTGACCTTGAGGATTAGCTACTGAGGGAGCAATCATTTAGGGACGACAATGATGTCTTTGGACACATGAATAATCCAAAGTACGGTGTGCTTTGTGACAGCATCGCCAATCAATATTTGATTGATGAGTGCGGCTATCAAATGTCCAAGGGCTCACAAGCTGCCATCATCGTCAACACGTATTTTGATTATTTCGGATCTGTCGAATATCCTGGTATGCTGGAATTGGGTCTTCGTGTCGCTAAGTTGGGCAACACCAGCGTGGTGTACGAGGTTGGGGTCTTCCGGAAAGGTGAAGAGGATGTCAAGGCCGTTGGTGGGTCTATGCATGTCTGGGTCGAGCAGGTTGCTGGGAAGTTAGGAAGGCCGTCTAAAAGTGGCATGCCGGCGCATGTGAGACAAGGTTATGAAGCACTCACGGCGGATCAGCGTACCGGCAGCAAGCAGTCCAAACTATAAGGAGAGGCTGCAAAAACTACGATCCGCTATGCTCGCGGACAGGGGACCACACAGGGCGACATGGCAAACAGAGTCAAACATGAATATCGCATTTACCTTGCCTTGGAAAATATCTAACATCGCATGTGGTATATTTCCAGGCACCGTAATATTCCTGGTCGTGTTAAACCATGTCTCAATACCTTGAACACCAGATTCATGACTCGAATCAACCTATCTCTTTCACCTGCCTGGCTGTCCGTCTCCGACTTTGATGTGTTCCGAGTTGTCATTGGTGGCCAACTTCTCCACGTCGGCGTTGTCAGCTTGGGTTAACATGCCTTGAGCACCAAATGCTGGTCCAGGCTGTGAGCCATTGAGGGCAAAAGCCGCAAGGATAATCAAAACACCTTCCATCCCGATGAAAAGACCCTCATTTCGGATGAGATGTCCACTGTAGCCCTCGCTCAGCTCATCGACACGGAATATACACCGGGCTAGGATCAAAAGAATGGCTATCGCAAGAAAGATGGCAAATACTTTGAATGGTCGTGTGACCGGTGTTTTTGCCACATCCTTTGATCGATAGTAACGGATAGCGTAGTCAATGCAGAGGCCACTGAAGCATGTCAAAGTGACAACTTGGAACGATAATCCAGCAAGAGCGACGTTGACACCAATCTGGCTGGACCCAGAACTGTCAGTCGATAGGCCTCCACCGGCCCCTTGAAGAGCAAGAGACACTATGTCGCAGGGGAGGAAGATCCAATAGTACGCCTTTGGCGGGAGACGACTGTATTTAGGACCCAAATGGTTGACGATCTTTGTCAATGTAATGTATATGGCCGCGCAGAAGAAGACGGGTGCAAATGTAATGCAACAGATCTGCATCATAAACCCGGTGAAGCTGAAAGGATTCATGTACATGATGATCCGCCCTGAGTAGCCAATGATTTCTGTTATGCAACCAACGGCATTGTTGATGCTGTAAGTCCAGGTGCGGTAATAACAGCCCTGGAACAAGTGTACCGACATGCATATGGCAAACAGCGCAATGAAAACGGCGTTGGCGGGTAGAGATGGACGATAGTGGTAAACGGTGGCCTCGATGGGGCAAAGGTCTAGAGTGCAGTTCGCGTCGGGACCAAAGGCAATGAGATTGTTAGGTACTGACATTATGGCAGACAGGAGTTGTTTAAAGATGTGTATGATTACGTGAAGATCTTGAAGGGCGTCTCACGAAAACTGCAGCCTTGCGCTGATGCCAGATGGTTGAAGGCCATAAGGCATCTATATAGGTATTGCATGGAGGCATGGATTGAAGTATCAAGTCAACGTGTCATATCTCAACCTCCTGTGGAATGACCCTGTCAACCATTGACAAAACTCCACGAGTAGAAGATGTCGCGAACGTTGTTGAGATACGGCCGCAGAGAGGATGATGTCTGCCCAAGACGCAACAACCTAGCTGAACAGGAGGAGCAGGCTGCCACTTATCGCACTGTATACCCAATGGGGGCAAGATCATGATGATCCGCGACCAATTTTGGAGCACCAGCGTATCTAGATCTATGACTAGTTGGTCTCCTAGTCAGATCGACTCGCTTGGCTTCGGATCGGGGGAGCATGGAGCGTTAGGTTTATGGCGAGAGATTTGGTCAACCGATCGGAAGGGTGGGGTTCTTGAGCAGGAGGACAGACTTGGACACTGCGGCAGTCGAATGACGATATTATGGAGCACAACCTGTTTCAATCCAACAAGACGCATGTGCTCTCAATCTTACGGTTTTATTGATCCTTTCTTAGAGGGTTGGGCCATTGAAAGGACGTCATGACTCTGATTCTTGGCAAATCTCGCGATAGACTCTCGATTGGGACTGGTAAGTTACTCGGGTCGCACATCAATACTCAACACGCAGAATATCACGTGATGATGAAGCATTTCATTCACTCAGGACTTTGTTTAGCACCCGAATACAGTTCAACCTCAAAGCCACACACGTTCCCCAGCAACAACTGTCCAAACCTTGGAAGCTTGACGTTCAGTCACAGGGTCTTTTTGTGAGGGGGATACTTGGCAGCCCGTGGTCCCATCGAAGCGATGCATGACCTGGACCATGAGATCTACCTGAAGACCGAGGTTCAGCACCCATCCCCTTTTCAGAATCAAACTGGGTGTATCTTAGTTTTCCCCTCAGGTACAAAAAGTGCAGCCAGAAGGCTGAGTTCGCCGTCAGCGTTGAGCTCTCAGCTTCCCTAGCTTCGTGGGCGCTAGGCTTGACGTAAACGAGAATTGATTGCGGTGTCCGTCAAGTTGCCCTTAAGGGTTCGTCAATGCATTCTCAGAAGTTGCCTTCGTCACCACCCTGTTCCCGGTGTACCTGTTTTTGTGAAGGATTCCGTTCAACCAACCAAATGTCAAGGTTCTCCTAAGAGCAGGATCACCCCCGAAACTACGCATAAATGCATCCACCTACTCCACAATAATACACTACCAGAACTCAGAGCTTCATGTTGAGCTTGGATATTGCTTGCCTTCTGGTCATACTCTCATGAAGTAGTACCTGATTTCCTTGACCGAAAACTTAAGTCTTTGAAGCGCGTGGCAAGCTCAAATAGACCAAAAAGTTCTTCGAGTTCTCGCTATCTGGATCGAGTTGCCAATCAACTGCCGTGTGTTCACTACGGGGGCAGTGCCTCAGACCCCAAGCCTTGACCCGTGGTCAAGCGACCTCGAAGGAAGTTAAGAGGAAGAGCCAAGCCATTGGCAACTTTGTCCAAGGCGGAAATCCACCTCAGCAAGTCCTGTGAGGACTATTTGTGTTTGGTCTTGGACCGTCATCCTAACAGAGGTAGGATCTATGTGCCTGCTGTGAGAGGCCTGAGTTGGGAAGTCGTATCACCTGGACCATTTGAGACTGGCGGTCTAGTTCGTTTTTGAGGTCGAAGTCACTTCTTTCTCGTATCGATATCCCTGTGTTGTGAGAAGGAAGCCAATCGCGGATGGTTATAAATCGCCAAGTCCACGCGCCCAAGACTGCGATTGATCCTGCTGATCCTCGTGACAGGTACCAAGCTGTGGGGTAAATGCTTGGACGACTGCAACAAAATGATGCTGGCACTGCTCGCTATTGGGGGTTTGAAACAATGTGAATGAAGATAAAGGCCACCCATAGCCTCCTGCTGCTCCTGCATCCTATGCTACACTGGTTCAAGCACAGTATCGTCTCTCCTGGGCTAACCCCTACAAATGCAATGGCTTCTAATAACGGAGACAAGGAATATACTACTCACAACGAGTCTGAGAATGGAGCAGGGCCTCCTTCAGTCTCACCCCATCAGGATTTTGATACCCATGAAGAGAAGAAGCTGATGCGCAAAATTGACCTTCGATTGTTGCCCATCCTTGGAGCCCTCTATTCGATTGCACTCATTGACCGTGTCAATGTAAGTCATACCAACCTGGCTGCCATTTGATCGCTGTTATCCCTTTGGTTTACTGACAAGCCTCATTTCAGATCTCCAACGCCAGAGTTGCTGGCATGGGGGCGGATTTGGATCTTCACATTGGTAGCCGATACACGATTGCCCTGGTATCTTCACACCTCCACTTACCCAAATGATATATGTTGACATTCGTCTCGTAGGTTGTCTTTTTCCCTCCGTATCTGTTCTTCGAGCTGCCGTCGAACATTATCCTGCGTCGTGTCGGCAGCGCGAATTGGCTTGCGTTCATCTCATTTTCCTGGGGAACAGTCATGTTGGGCCAGGGGTTCGTCAAGAGTTACGGGGCTTTGGCGGCCTGCCGAGCGTTCCTCGGTCTGTTCGAAGCCGGATTCTTCCCAGGCTGTGTGTATCTGGTCACATGTTGGTAGGTGATTCGTTTGTCTGTGATGTCTTGATCTAGGTTTGATCTTCATCCCTTCCAGGTACGTTCGTTACGAAGTCCAGAAGCGGCTTGCCGCATTCTACCTCATCTCTGTCCTAGTTGGTGGATTTTCCAACATCCTCGCCTACGGATTGATGCAAATGGAAGGAGTTGGCGGATTACGAGGCTGGCAGTGGATATTTGTGAGTGCTTATGACGGCCGGGATCTGTCAACGCGTAGCACAACTGACACGGCTCGAATCCTTGTGTGTAGATTATCGAGGGTTTACTAACACAAGTGGTCGCCATCCTCTCCTGGTTCCTCATCATCGACTTTCCCGACAAGGCTGAAAGGAAAAAGCTTCTCACGGCTCGTCAAGCAGATTTCGTTAAGTCGCGCATCGAGATCGACCGAGGAGATGCTGAGCCTGACTCGTTAACATGGGCCAAGTTTCTCCACCACCTCCGAGACTGGAAGTTGTGGGTCTTGTAAGTTGTGACGACGGTCGACCGTGCAAAAAGGGCGCATGTACTCACCAAATCACAGTGCATTAATGTTCATGTCCACAACAATGCCAGCGTGAGTTGAGTACTGAAAGCGGTGGTGGCGACTATTGCTGACATGGCCGCAGCTATGCCTTTGCATATTTCACACCAGTGATCATTCGAGGGATGGGATACTCCCCAGGGGTGTCCAATCTGTTGTCAGCGCCGCCGGTGATAACAGCAGTGCCAGCAGCCCTATTTCTAGCTTGGGTTGGAGATAGATACCACTTTCGCGGCCCCATTATTGTGTTCCAATCGGTCGTGGCGATCATCGGTCTCATGATCACAGCATACCACAAAACCGACGGCGTCAGGTACTTTGGCATCTTCCTCGGCACAGCGGGATGTCAGGGGAACGTCCCAGCAATTCTCGCGTACCAGAGTAACAACATTCGAATGCAAAGCAAGAGATCTGTCGGGAGTGCTCTGCAAATTGGGTTTGGAGCTATCGGAGGGATTATCGCAAGCACGGTGTTCCGAGAGAAGGACGCCCCGCGCTACGTCCCCGGACTTTGGACCACTGCCGGGTTGCAGTTCTTTATTTTGGCTCTGGTTGGAATCAACACGTTGTACTTTCGATCGAAGAACCGACAGGTGGACAATGGCACAATCTCCAAGCCCATTGAAGGCCAAGTGGGCTTCAAGTACACGCTCTAAGTGGAGCACAGACAGGTCCGAATCGATCACGGCCTCGATGCTCGACGATCACTCGCACGTGGAAGTCGATTGATGGTTTGATTATTCAATCTAATTTTATTATTTAATGGACAGCTTGTATCACCTTGGAATTTCGCAATGAACTTGGGAGGCGATTGATGTAGCCTCCAAGAACTTCGTTGGATCCAATCATAGCTGTAAAAGACGTCAGTAGAAGGTGGCAGGTCTTGGGGGACTTATATGACTTGTTGGCAATCATGCTGACGTGGGTTGTGTTGGTTCCAGCGGAATGGGAAGAGATGTCCAGCACCAAATAAATGACAGATAACTGAAGATGACCCGTTCAGGGGCGCCCTAGTCTGCTCCTCGTGCCTATACGAAAGCTGCGGCCGGGTTGTTTTGGCTCACAGTTTTGTTAAAGCAACGGGCAATTTTCACTTACTGTCACGCCGCCAGGGGCCTTGAAGGACGCCTGGGCAGATCTCAGGTCAATCTGGGATTGCATTGCCACCAAGCTCGCTTTCTTCTAGGCGATTTTACCTTTGGACGTGATGTCTTCGATCGAGACACATGATTGGGTCTGGGCGCAGGTACCAATTGGAAGAGCTTAGCTTGATGCGACCGAAGCGTTGCAGATCACCTTCAATTATTGGACGAGACAAGCGATCTTCATGCCTGCTAAACACGTCAATCCTGTCAGTCGCGTCGCCATTTATAACGAATTTCGGCAACAAGCGCGCCGGAAGACTGTACATAGTACAATCTGAACTGAGTACGAATTCGAAAATCCCTCTATACCTCAAGCAATTAATATGTGGCGATCTGGTCACCAAAATGCGCACGTTAACCCGACTCTTCCATTAGGGTGTGGTGTCGCCCAGACGGTTGCAAGACAACCAGGTTGAGTAGTAGGAGCTGGGTTGCCTCGGTAAGATACGACGTACAGTGTCATCGAGCTGCGTGTCAGTCCATTCAACCGTGTTTGACACATACGTGTTCGGGCGGGCCGTGCTTCACATTGTGAAATGACTGCTCAAGACCCATGTAAGATGGTCCGAGTATGGGCAGCCGGTTGGCGATCGATTAAAGTCAACCTCAACCCCCAAAGGTGATGTCGATCTCGTCAGACTTTTCGAGTATCGATTTGTCTCGCTTCATCTCGTCGCCGAACGTGGGTCACCACATTAAGAAATGGCGACCACAGCTGGTGGCTCTAGCTGGGCCAGGGAAAAGGCTCTCCCCATACCTGATCGAAACATGATCATCATCATGGAGCCATTTGACAGTCCAAGGGAGGCAAAGGCTTTGCCGAAATTCACCAAAATCTTCACTTCGATCTCCACAACTTTTCAATCCATCTCATCAACAAGATGTCGCTCAATGTTCAGCATACTCATTGCCACTCTCCCAAGCTTCCTGGCCAATCTGATCAAAAACCCGACTCCTTCGGATAAGAAGCGGCGGGAGACCCAAAAGATTCTTGCCCTCGATGGCCTCAGAGGAGTAGCTTGTCTGTTTGTCTTTCACGCGCACTATTCCTATTCATTCAGCAATTGCCTGGAAGAAGCGCCCACTGAGCAGTTACGAGACCGAATCATGTATCAACCTTATATGTCTCTCCTTTGGTCTGGGGTTGCCATGGTAGATGTCTTCTTCTTCATTTCCGGCTACGTGCTAGCTTCGAGGCCTCTGAGGTTGATTCGCTCACAGCAAGTCTCAAAGGCGCTCTCAGCCATCTCATCTGCAGTCTTTCGACGAGCACTGCGCCTTTACCTTCCATCTATGGCTCTGATCGTGCTTGTCGCACTCATGACCCACTTACGATTTTTTGAGGCCGGCAACAATTTCTACTGGCAAGCACATATTGGCAAGGTTGGACCTCAGGAGCCGCCTCCGCCCTATTTCACTTCGTTTTGGGACCAAATTTGGGACGCACTAATGGATTGCTATCGCATGTTCGACAACACGATCCCTTGGGGCGCGTTCAACGTGCCTTATACCGATACTGGTGCCGCCCGCCCACAGGCTACTATTTATGATCCTCATCTCTGGACAATCCCGGTGGAGTTCAAATGCAGCATGTTGATCTTCATGATGCTGACTTTGACCGCACCGCTCCGGACGTCCTGGCGGATGACCATTAACGGAGGCCTGGGGCTAAATTGTTTGTTTACGGAACGCTTTGCGGAACTACTCTTCATTGCGGGAATGTTCTTTGCAGAGATCGACATGATTCGTGCAGAGAGGCATGGGCAGCAAGTAGAACTGGACCCGTCGTTCCACCAAAGACACAACTACAACCTCCCACCCGCCAGACTGCAGAATCTCCCATTCCTGCAACCAATTATGTCACGGAGGAACTTCATGTCCAACCTGCTTGGCCTAGCCATGTTCATTCTCGGCTTATTCTTCTTGTCGACACCGTCTCAAAGCGCAGACGTGTACCCACAGTTCCAGACAGTCTTGTCATGGGTGCCCACCTACATCCAGGAAAAAGATGATTTTGTCCGCGTCATTGGTGCCATCATGACGACCTGGCCTGTGGCGACATCAAACTGGCTCGCGCCGCTATTCTCAAACTCGGTGGCGCATTATCTGGGACAGATCTCGTTCGCCCTATACTTGGTACACGGTGCAGTCATCAAATCTCTATGGTATTGGTTGCAGCCCATTGTCAATGAGTGGGTGGCGGGCAAGCCTGTTTGGGCGATGCCTAGCGGCCCGTTTATTCGCCTTTGGCTGATTGGATATGTCATTGTTCTTCCTACGGTATTATGGAGCGCAGACATCTTCTGGCGAGTAATTGACCAAAGATGTGTTGCTCTTGCCCGATGGGTAGAGAGCAAGGCAGTTTGATCGTACGCGACACCATGAGTTTCGATGACTGTCACCTTTTTCGTAACCTGTGATACTTGTGTCTCGCCTTGTTTAGAAGGGACAAGGTCTAATTAGAATCTTAATATGATCACTCTATGCTTCTGTTCGCAGGATGTTTGGTGCTCGCCATGGTGTCATTGGGGCATTGCTTGCTCTTCAGACAGACGCAACAGCCAGAGCTGCCGACTGGTCCAAGATTTCTACCCTTTATGAATGTCAGCTTCTCCTTCTTCAACAGCCTGCACGTGGAGACATTGGAGATGGCGAGAGCAGCATAGATCAAAGGTTCATACGCACCGACGCGATTCTTGATATCTTTCCCTGCCCTGGGTCTTTCTGATTCGCGGTGTGAGGCTGCGCGGGAAGGGAGAGGAGTCCCGGGGGGCTTAGAGCTTCGGAACTTTTCAACATACCGGTAGAAGATCAAATCGGCCTTGACTGCAGAGATTTGCTCCTTGCTCAACTTAGATAGAGGAAAAGCAACACCTGAAGATGGAGAAGCCGGTTGTGGTATGGTCATAGCCCGAAACGAATTTCTTGGTGGCCCGTCGATCGAGTTCAGGATCGCCGATGATAGTTGTATGGTTGTTCTGTTAGATGTGTGTTCGTAGTTTTGGTCATCGTCCCGAATGCGTTCGCACGTCCAACAATGGCATATAGTATTCATACCTGAGCTTTGAGTGCCATTAGCTTGGATAAGGTCGGCAGTAGCACTCTGCTCCGATGTCAGAGGCATTTTGATATCGGCAACGATTGCATGTGTAAGCTCGTCGGTGACGTTTAACAGACAATTATCTCCGAAGGTTATGTTACTATAGTGTAGATAGGCCATAGGATAGAGCATGTGTGTCCTCCACACTAGCTGTAGCAAAATGTCGCCCTGAACTCGGTGGAGCCAGAGGGAGGCCTGTCGTCCAGTGGCTTGCGCCAGAGCGCTGTATTGGGCGATTCCACGAGTTAATGTTCCTTCCAGAGACGGAGATCGGAGCCATAGGTGTTCATGCATGGTTTCTATGAAAGAAGCATCGTCGACTAGACCGTGCACCGCAGCCGCAAGATCGATGGAAAATGCCTGTTCGGTATTCAAGTCACTGTATGGGGGTGGGTGCTCGAGGTAGTCTAGGATATCTGGGGACTGGGAGGTGGTGGTCATAAACAGCTTCTCCGCTGCAACGGGTATTTTGAAGACTAAGCTGTCGAGGTCAATGACCGCCAAGATGGCTTCCCAAGGCATTGGAATCTCCAGTAGCTTAGGAAAACTGTGGGCTAAGTTATCGCAGCGATATGCGCTAGGCTGTTGCATGTAGGCATACCACACCAGGAGAACATCAAGTGGGGGGAGGTAATTTGGAGTGATTGCGGCGTGATAAGCATGGCTCCCGGGGCCAAAGCGATGATATGCAGAGGCATGCGTCAGGGTCGACTCGATGTTCTCGTACCATACCTGGAATCGAGCAACGGCTAGGCGGACCACTACACTCCAACGGCGCGAGTTGGGCGATGGCACCGGCGCGGAGAATGGGGCCGAGACTGGGGTTGGAGAGTAGCTGGGCAGGTCCAAAACATTGAGCTCGTGTGAATTGAGAACGGATTGCTTGAGTCGGAGGAAGCACTCGAGCAGGCTCAAGTGAACCGCCAGGTGACCTGGGTTAGGGTAATTTGTGTTGGCACCATACTCGGGTTTGAGGGAGGGAACTATGGCATCGCGAAAGACATCGGGGTGGGGGATGAGCGTTGGTGGGAACTTGGATGAATTGCTCAGGCTTTTCTCATACTGTTGAGGAGGGGTCAGATCCCAGGTATGGGGCTCGCCGTTGACGATAGACCTGCGCTTTTCGAGCCGTTGAAAAAAGCTCATCGATTAAACGTCAAGCAGGACGTGGACGTGGACGTAGAGATAGAGGAGGCGAGGACGCGGCCTGAGGCTGAGTGACCGACTTCGAATGTATCTATTTTTCTATACAAGAAGTCGTCACTATAGTAAGGGTGGGGTGAGAAGCTTTCTTCTCTCGTCTTGTGTGAGCAAACCCTCGGCCATCCTGACTGATGAGCGTCGTCATCAGGAGGGACTTGAACTGGCTTGGGATCTTGGCAGTCACAAGCTAAAGTCACAAGCGGCCAGGCAGCAAAGGGACTTGGACGTGATGGGAATGTCTCGCCCCAAGAGTTGCCCAGAATTATAATGGCACAGCAGAAGCGGGTTCTCACAACTGCTTGAGTGCTTGTCGAGCGACCTGCACCTGACCCTCATGGGTACGAGCCGTATTATCTATAGTAAAATGCGGTTCCCAGAACAGATGGGAAACATTATGCACCTTCGCAGTGACGTCAAGTTCAAGGGTCCTGGTTTATGAAACTCAAAACGATGTGGCATTGCAAACAAGCATCGGCAATTGCTAGAGAAGAGTTCCATGTTGTTGGGGTATCTGCCCTGAATGCAATGCCACTGAGATGACTGGGTTGTAAGAATCTCCGATGTGACGGAACTGGATTTAGACCTGAATGTAGAGAGATGATTAATCGAACGTCGTTAGCGAGAATCCCATCTCAGAGTCTGGTGTTGGACATAAGTTTCACAGTCATCAGGAAGCCCACACCTAGAGGCAAAAAGCCGTTCTTTCGTACAATTGCTCTAAAGGGGAGGCGGAATAGATCTTTGCACCGATCCTTACCTACAAGGAACTGCTGCCAGGACGGCCCATCTCCATGTATATCTCCTACCACTCTCCCTGTGGTCGATGCAAGCCTGCGAAATTCTGCACTCAATCCGAAATGGAGTTTCTTTCCAAGTACAGGGTGGCTGAACGGCTCCAGAAGTGCTCAATGCTCATTGCTGTCAACCTGGTTGCGGGTCTTTCAATATTCTTTTTGGGTACGATCAAGGAGTAAGCCATGTTCTGAACTTGAATTTTTGCATGTGATAGTGTGTGGAACTGGAAATGTGAAAAGCATTATGCTATTCTGAATGAGAAAAAACCCGGACCTTGTCTAGGTAGCTCGCAAGGGCATATAAAATAGTTATTGTGGGCGACGAGGGGTTTGGATAAACCGGCATTTTGACTTTTAGCGCAGGTACTGGACTTTGGATCGCCTCTGATTCCGGTGATCCATCTCTTGCGCGTACCGCAATCAAAGGAATGTTGCTTCTGTTTTGACAGAATGGCGATGGCCTATTCGAGGCTAATACCTACTGTGACAGTCCAACGTACCCTGTTTATTGTTCAAAGTCTTTGAGCACAATGTGCGGTGAGACTGGGGGAACATTGGGTTAGTCGAATCATGGAGAGCAAGATGAATGGTGGGTCTAGGTTAAGGAATTGATACGTAGAAGGAACTTTTGTTGGCTATGAGGTGTCTGGTTGTAGGATTCAGGGATGTAGGGTGGTGAGGCACTACGTGTAGTAATAAAAGTATCGGTAGGGACTATGTAAAGCCCCCTCGGCGGCTATTATCGCCCGAGGGCCCCCACCATCAAGAAAATCGAGCCGAGGGCACACCGAGAGACGCTTTGAACCAATAACACAAAAGCTCGCACGGCTCATCAAACGTTAGCTGCGCCCGGGAACTTCACACTGAACTGCCTGTGATTTTTAAGACTGGCACGTTGCAATTTGTTTAGCGAGACACTGTTATAATAGCTATTCCCTCCAACCCGGTAAAGACGATCAAATCTTCCGTCCAAGCTCTCCATCCCCACCACCCTCCCTCCGATCCTCAGGATGCAAGAGCCTACTGTCACATCGGTCTCCGACTTGTCCCCATCCGACGCCAGGTGGATTGCCCTCAAGAAGATTGACTTCATCGACCAGACTGGCACCGCTCGAACTTGGGAGACTGCCACCCGAAAGACCACCTCAAAGGCCGGTGTGGATGCCGTCGCCATTGGAAATGTTCTCCTGCATCCGTCGAAACCTCCCAGTACCATGCTCGTCATTCAATATCGCCCACCGATTGGGAAATATACGGTGGAATGGCCCGCTGGCCTCATTGACGAAAATGAATCCGCCCAACAGGCTGCTGTACGGGAGATGAAAGAGGAGACCGGTTATGAAGGCCATATTGATCAAATCGGGCCCCCAGTGGCAAGTGATCCAGGCATGTCGGATTCAACCATTCAGCTAGTCATGATGACGGTACAGCTGAACGACCACGAGGACTTGCCAGAACAGCGACTCGATGACGGAGAACTCATTCAACGGGTCGTCGTACCCCTTACCGACCTCTACTCCCGATTGCTCGAATGGAGTCGCCAGGATAACTTCATGGTGGCAGCAAAACTGTTCCACTTTGCCGCTGGCATGCACTTTGCAACAACTACTAAGTTGGTTTGAATTCAATCTGCAACCCACAGCAGTCTTGCTTGAATTTCAGCCGATCAAATGCGGGTTGGGTTGGGTCGACCGTGGGCAAGACGACCCGCACACCTGCGTCCTTGGTTTGTAGCGTCTGGTGCTGTCACTTATACTCCAACGAGGCAATGCGGGAAACTCAGAATATTGCTCCGGGAGTGCCAATCCCGTCTTCCTATGACAGTCTTTGCAGCCTGCATCCGGACCGTTCTGCGCATACACCTAGTTGACCTGGATGGAGCTTCGGGAGCCTGCCATCCATATTGCCACCAAGGTTCTTCTTGGCACAGGACGCCGACATCCCGCATGCTTGCTGTCACCACACTCGCTCGCTCATCCCACTTATCTTTGTCCGGTTCTGCATGGTTGGCCAAGCTTGTCTATCCATGCGTGCCATGTCTTCAATAAACTTTCCAGAAACTCTCTCTCCAACATGGCACACGGCCACCTTCCTCCATACGCATTCCCACATCAGACACCCGCGTGAAGTCGGTGCCTCCGCTCTTGGGATGCTTTCCGCCGGATCACTCGACCCAATGCGGATCGACCATTTGCTTGAACCCAAAAATATTTGTCGCTGGGCACCTCGGCGTACATCCCGCAGGACGTCTCCGCCGCGCCCGCTCCGGTCTTCGGAGGCTTCTTGGAAGCAGCAATCTGATCTTGGCAACTCCATCTGATAAGATGTCCTTCCTCGCCAACCCGCCAGATGGTTGATAAGATAAGATCGCCATCGACTTTTGCTAAATCTGGCTTTCTACCAAGTCCAATGCCTTTTTCTTGCCTCGTCTCGGATTGTTACTCCAGCCAACCAGAAGATCCTGTTCGTGAATTCCCACTATTGGCGAAGCTTGGAAGCCCCGTCGAAGAACATAGTCATGAGACATGAAACTTTCTCAATGCATTCCAACGGAGCTCAGCACTGAACAGCACATGTTGATCGGAATTCACGGCACTCTGTGGTTCAACATCTGACCATGGCTTGCAATTCCTTGAGAACTATTAAAACCCGCTTCATCTCTGGGGTGTAGGATATCATTCTCGTCTTCAGCAGTTCCCGTCTTATTCTCTGAGACGAAGTCTTGTGTGCACGGATCGTATCATGGCTCGCTTTGCCTTTCTCACTGCTTTGACCGCAGCTCTCCCTGCTGCCCTCGCGGCCTTCAAGGAAGGATGCGCAGATGCACCATGGGACTCAGACATTGACTTCTTTGAAACAAAGTTCGCGTGTTCAGAGTCTGAAACAAACCCATTCTGTCCCGAGTACAACAACACCTACGTCAAAATCAGGAACCGACAGGCTCGATTCGTTCTGCTGCATTGCACTAACGAGCCTCCTCCAGCAGAGATCACCGCCAATTCCCTTGTTATCAAGGCTCCAGTTGAAAGCGTTGCCGCACTGGACGGCTTCTCTCAGAACCTCATCGACGTAGGTCTTGCTCTGTCAAATCCACAGTAATAGCTTCCTCTAACCGCCACAGATGCTTGGAATGTCTCACACCATCAAGCGTGTTGGAGAATATGGTACCGTTACCTCTTCTTGCGTACGTGGTCTTATGCGAGAAAACAGCACCTACGACACTAGCAAATGGGATGAAGCGCCCCCGGTTAATGTCACTTTCCATGGCGATATTTCCCGCCGCGAAGATTCATCTCAAGTACTCATCCGAAATGACGGTAATTTTGCCCCCATGACTCAGCTCAGCTACCTCAAGTTTATTGGTATGTTTTTTGGCATGGAGGAACAGGCCAACTCTATATACAACGCGATTGCGGGCAATTATCGTTGTGCGGCATCCCATGTCAATTCCCTCATCACCCAAAATTCCTATCCGCAGGGAGCGTTCTTGTCTGCCGTGCAAAAGAACGGCTCTGAATTGTCTGTGGATCAGAGCACATGGTGGAGTGTTCTGACTTCAGATGCCGGTACTCGCGCCGTCAACATTTCTCACGACAGCGAGATTACTCATGTTAATGTTGCCCCTGATGATCGGCAAAATGCATTTGCCCAACAGTCCTTTGCCATCGTCGACACTACCCAGTATTTATACACCGAAGACATGAGTGCTGCCCAAGAAAGAGAGCGCCTTGACACCTCAGCCTGGAAAGAGGAAACTGGCATTTCTGACAACATCTATGCTGTGCGACAGCAAAATATCTATCTTGCTGACAAGAGCACCAACCGGAACCGACGTCACGGTAAGTCGATCCTATGCCTAGCACTCCAACCTGGTGCCGTGAATTTGCCTGTCCGGCAAACGCTTTTCCAGCTTGATCACAGAGAGCTGACACATTTCTCGACAGCATGGAAGGATCGTGGACCTGCGCGACCCGATCTGGTCCTCCGAGATCTCATCTCCATCATCCAACCAGACTTTGATCCATCGTACATAACCTCCTTTATCCGCAAGGCGGCCAACCCGGACGATCAGCTACCCCAGCGTCGTATCTCCACTGACTGTGTGATCGAGTCGGAGGCACGCGGCGCCCTGGGTTTGACCCAATGCGAGCTTCCTCCGGGAACCGGCGGCTACCATTCGTCGGGCTCAGTTGTCAACGCATATGGTACGCAGACGGACGATGTCGAATCTCTTGCCCTCGCTCGAGGTAGTGGCTTAAGTACTGGTGCCAAGGCGGGCATTAGCGTGGGATCTATCCTGGGCGGCCTTGCAGTCATCGGTGTTGGTATCTGGCTCTGGTTGAAGAAGAGAAATGCTGGCAGGACTGGAGCCTCGAAGTCTGACACCGAAAGCGGCAACGTGCGGAAGGAGATGAGCGTCACTGAGAAGCACCTCAGCGACTCGGATAGCCAAAAGTCTTGAGCAGCGGAGCGAACCCAAGCGGAGACTCAACAAAGGCACATAGCGAGTGTAATCAGTACCTTATCCTTGAGGTATTCAGCTACCCCGTGTAACGCTCAGTAATGTCCATGTATATACAGCAGTGGAAAGATTGGTAGCTCAAAGATGCTACTCAATACTTGCACGATGACTCGCTAGGTGAGGCATCCCGGTCAACGTGCGTTTCCGAGCAGTATCTGATCCGAGCTTCTTAAAGCCTCGAAGCCTTCAGAGACTTGCTCTCTGTGGTCTTCGACATCAGTGCTGAAGTAGTGGCGAGGACTTTTTCTGCATCTGATTCAATTTTGGCTGCCAGATCCTTGCATGTTGGGATGTCATGGATCAGGCCTGCCACTAATCCTAATGACCATACGCCAGCATCAATATCACCTGTTTCGTAAACATTCTTCCCCCTAGCCCCAGACATGAGGTGAGCCACGTCTTCGAATTGAACGTCGAGCTTTGTCCGCTCAATCTCTGCAACTTCCAAAGAAACGGCATTCTGGCAAAGGACGTGAGCACGGGCAATTGCATCTAGGGGAACGGAGAGGATGTACCTTGTGCAAACGTGTTGTGTTTCTGAACTTTCGCAACACCAAAACCGTGTCGTTCTCCGATGCAGCCACGATGGCTTCTTTGACCTTATAGTGGATTGGTGCCTCTACTGTTGCCATCCATCGAGTTCCCATGTTAATTCTAGAGATTGATCAGTTGAATTGCTTCAGAAGTGCGAGCTTTCGTACCCTGCAGCTCCAAGTGCCAAAGCTGCGGCCAGTCCCCGACCATTGCCAAATCCCCCAGACGCAAGGTATGGAATCTTGAGTTCCTCTGCACACCTGGACAAGAGAATCAATGATGGTGTGTCGTACTCTCCCCCATGGCCAGCACACTCGATTCCGTCAATAGAGATGCAACTAACCCCAAGCTTTTCTGCTCTGAGCGCATGCTTCAATGTGACGCATTTATGGATGATTTTGACGTTATTTTCCTTGAGGAAACCCAAAATAGGCATCGGGTCTCCCGCGGTCTCGATTACTCTGATGCCTTCTTGTACTGCAACCTTTGCATATGCTAGATAGTCTGGTTTGTTCATGGACGGCAGCAGCGTTATGTTGACCCCAAAGGGTTCGTTCGTCATCTTTCGACATTTCCGGATTTCATCACGAAGGGCCTCTGGGGACGGTTGGGTCAGGGCAGTAAGAAACCCAAGGGCTCCAGCGTTGGCAACAGCACTTATCAGTTCCGCCCGGCCTACCCACATCATACCGCCTTGTACGATGGGAATGCGAACGCCAACCTCCTCCGTCAGCCATGTCTGGAAAGGCATCCTGGAAATCTTGGATTTGAAGTACCACGAAGGCGGGATGGAGAGAAACTCTCAACACGATTTGGGATGAACCGGGTCAAACCAGTCTTTAGAAGATTGTAATCATCAATCCTTCTCTTGTAGAGAATCCGCTCAGAGCAGGTCAAGCGTCCTAGGATCGCGGGGTCTGGTGACTCTCTTGGGCCGTGTCCCGAGGGATGTGCCGAGGCTCACCGAGGTCGTCGACGGATATTGAAGCAGCAATCGACTCACTAGACAAGGTCTTCCATTCTGCTGCTTGGAGGCATCTTGCCTGAGACAGTCGTGCCATGTTATACTCTAGACTTAGCATCAATGCCACTAATGCCTCGAACCACCAGCATAACTCAAAAGGCTATACTTGTATTACCTATCCGTGATATAGTCAAATCTAGTTGTAGGAAAGAGTCCGAGGGTATCGAGGCAACCCCGCTCGGCTTCTCCAATATCAATATCAACATAAACAATCAAAAGTAACACCCCTCTACATAACAGCTGATAACGCTGCCGAATTTCCCGCCCACCAGTCCTGATCGAATTATTCAAGTCACACAAGTTCATTTGCGTAATACAAAATGGCTTCTCAGCGTAAGTTGGGCATTCATTGAATATACTATCGAGCTAATTGGTGCTCTGCTTAGAGAAAATTAGAACCTCGATCACCGATCTACTTGGTGTACAACACCCTGTTCTCCTCGCCGGAATGGGTGTCGCTGCGGGGCCTAAATTGGCAGCAGCCGTCACCAACGCTGGCGGTTTGGGGGTCATCGGAGGATTCGGATACAATCCCGCCCAACTTCGTGAGCAGATTCAGGAGTTAAAGTCTTATTTGCATGATAAGAATGCGCCATTTGGGGTGGATCTTCTAATTCCCCAAGTTGGAGGAAACGCGAGAAAAACCAAGTGGGTCTGACGAAGGCTTCATCGAACCACTGGCTAAGCTATACATCTAGTTATGACTATACCAAAGGCACTCTGCCCCAGCTGATTGATGTCATTATTGAGACAAAGACCCGGCTCTTTGTCTGCGCGATTGGCATCCCGCCACGGCAGGTTGTTGATCGTCTTCACGCCAACGGGGTATTGTACATGAACATGATTGGACACCCTAAGCACGTTCAGAAGTGCATTGACAATGACGTTGACATTGTTTGTGCTCAAGGAGGTGAGGGTGGTGGCCACACTGGCGATGTGCCTTTCTCTATTCTCATCCCAGCTGTCTCGCGACTCTTGAAAGGCAAGAAGAGCAGATTTACGGGCCTCGATGTTCAACTCGTTGCAGCTGGGGGTGTATCTGATGGTGGAAGTCTTGCGGCGTCCTTGATGCTTGGCGCCGGGGCAGTGTGGGTTGGGACTCGATTCCTTGCAGCTCATGAAGCAGGTGTTTCGAAGGCGCATCAACAAGCCGTGATAGAGGCCACGGTGGATGACACTATCCGGACGATCATATTCTCGGTACGCTTTTAACCATTTTGCCTTTTGCTTGTCTAACCCCGATTCTAGGGACGACCGTTGAGAGTCCGCAGGACACCTTACATTCTCAATTGGGAGGAGAATCGTCAACAAGAAATCAAAGACTTGACTAGTCGAGGCATTCTCCCGGCGCAGCATGATGCCGAAACGCATGAAGATAGCGAGGAGATCATGGACAACATTCATCCGTATCTAATGGGTCCTGTGGCTGGCCTGGTTGAAAAGACGTCCAGCGCCCGTGAGATCGTAGAAGATATGGTGGATGGAGCTGCACAACGACTGGCACAAGGCCACGAATGTCTAACCCAACGACCGAGATTATGAACTATTTATAATATCCTTCATCGTGCACGAAGAGTCCTAGAGGCACAGAGATTGTAGAGTGTAGCTCATTTGTTCGATCTTGGACAATTAAATTTCGTATTGAAGCCCAAATCGTGGATATGGCGCTCGGATGTCAGGCTAGTTCTAGATCCTAGTAAGTATTGACTAACCGACTATCTAGTCTCATCAAGACGATTTTCCAGGAGAATCGGAGTCTTCTATAATAAACATATATGGCCCGTGCTGACCAGCAAGTCTTATGTACGCGATTAACTATGCGGGGTTTACGCCCATCCTCTTCAAGACATCTACGTCTATCCTGGGACGGGCTGTGTTGATAACGTCAAGCAGGGTATTCATCCAGCTGGGCATCAGGAAGCCTGGTCCAGATGTCGTCCTGTACAACCCAGGTAGCCTCGACTTATAGTGGGACAAATACTTTCAGCGAGCTCCAGGAATCCAAAGCTGCGGGGAACAATCAAGGGAGGTAAAAACGGAGTGAGTGGCAATGAAACAAGTCGAGGAGATTCAGTGATGGACACCCACTGACACCCCGCCCCACTTCTGGAACAAAAGTTTTTTCTGTCGTTCATCACGTCACACCACCGCCATATCTCAACTCATCAATCCCTACCAAATTCGGGGGCTGGAGGTTCTTTCCAAGACGTACCCTTGAATACATATATCTGGGGTGAGGGAGATTCCCTCCGGTTTCTTGGATATCAAGCCTAAAGCTCTTGGGCGTTTCCAGAGCATGTAACCATCCACTTGGCTCTAACGGCCGGGCTGCGCTTGCAAGAATGCCATGACTTTGAGCGACTTTGTGCCTTTGAGGACGATGCACTCCAGGCTAACGAATGAAAAATGATGTGTGCCAGGTTGCGAGGGTCTTGCAATCTCCGATCAATGTTGCCTCCCTTAGTTGTCCAAGGTCCACAGTCTAACATCCCTCTTATCATTCTTGGATCGACAGCATAAAGCATTGACTAGGAGAGGCGGATCCTTGGACATCCTTGTGCGAGTAGTAAGCAGATTTAGATTTCATCCTCGTGATTGGCTCATGACAAGGATTCCACAGAACCTGCCCACGACGGCATGAAGCATGACACCCTAGGCCTACCTGCATTATATCTGTCTCCAAGATAAGAATCTCTAAGCTTGATGAAAAGCATGCTAAGCAGCAGCTTACGAGGCACCTTGGAAGCTTAGCGATCCACGCCCCACAAGCCACCCGATGAAAGTCGCCTTTCACTTTCTAGGTGGCGAGTAGAAATCCGCTCGCCACCGTCGGCTAGTGCAGTGGTATGTCACATAATCTCGTGTGATGGTTGTGGCTGATTATGTCTTCTGCACTCCCTCAAGGAATGCGAGACGCGCAATGTCACGAGAACCGCCAGTAGCCCCACCCGGGATCTCAAGATTACTGGTGAGTTGCCGAGCTCTCTCCATCTCCAACTCAGTGTTTGTCCACTACAACGACCACATCACTTGAATCGGTATTAATCATGTGTCTACTTAGTCTCTCAAGCTATCGTCGTGCCCGTGCTCCCATGGATGTCACGGAGCTAAAGATGCATGGCGTCAAGCGCTCGGTTAACCGAGGGGTCGAGCGGCCCCGTAGAGGATCCGTCATGGTCCCTTTGGACACTCTGCCTCTGGACTAACCCACTGTCTGGCGACGACTAGTGGGTCCTGGGGGTGTCGGGATATATTCCCGCTTCATCTCTCTTCCGCGCATTTCAAGTCAATTGTAACCTCAGTCGCAGACCTTCCAAAAGCATCCTAACGCAGGGCCTGGCCTTGATCATTTATCGTTCGATGCTTCGGGATCCTTGTCGTTTGCTTTGGTGCCAACGTAACGTACTTATCATCGATCGCAACAGTTTCTGGAAGGAGTTAAACACCACATTGCAACGCATCCAGCCCCAGTGGCCAATCGATGCCAGCGATATGCGTCCGATCCTCATAACAAACCCATGAAGTTACATGGACAGCTTTTATCCCCAATGGGCATCTCTTGCTGTCGGCGCTTTCTAAAAACTACTAGCTTGAATGATAAGGCATCTGATGGAGGCCCAATGAATGCTTGTCAAGGTCAAGCTCTTTCAGGGATCATTGGCATTCATTATTTTGGGGGAGAGAGAATCAAACCTTGCATGGCCCAAGGTGGCTTGGGATTTCATGGATGTGTGTGCATCAGCTCCAAGAAATAATTGACGTATTTCTATATAAACATCTTACCCTGAGCGTCTTTTGTCGAGGCCCTCCTGTCATCGCTAGAAATACTCTGTAGTAGGACTATCTAGCCATGCCTTCTATTGAGGCCTTGAAGAAGCGGTTCCCCTTCCGCAGAACTAACACTAGCACTGATGCCATTCCTGTGCAGGACATTCCACCAGAAAAGAGCGATGAAACAGGGTCACAGCCCAGCGAGGCTGTTCTACAGACCGGAGATGGTGTCACTGATCCGACTCGCAACCTCTCCGAGGTAGAGGCAAATCGCCGCCTCAGCACCTTCCGAAAACAACATCATTACGACCCTAACCTCCCTGACTCGGCCTTCGAAGCCGTCGATGAAGCTACCGAAGCCCGGAATCACAAAGGTGAGGCTGAGCTCGTAGGTGACTTGGTCGAAAACTCACCTTATCCGGAGGTGTGTCGCCTCCCATGAGTCGGGTTATGTGCCACTGACAATGTACTAGGTCCGGGCCGTCGTACGAAACTACGATGAAGATGTCCCTACGAGTACTGTCCGAGCATGGACAATCGGTCTCATTTTGACAACCGTCTGCTCAGGTGTGAATGCTCTATTTTTGCTACGATATCCTCCCATCTCGATTGGACCGTACGTTGTCCAGCTTGTGGCGTATCCTTTAGGTGTTGGCTGGGCCAAGGTAGTTCCAAAGAAAAAGTTCAAGATCTTTGGAATTATTTTCGACCTAAATCCTGGCCCATTCAACGTCAAGGAGCATGTCATCATTGTTGCCATGTCCAATGCTGCATTTGGGGGTGGTGCAGGGTATTTCATTGACACTGTTGTATCACTCCGCAAATTCTATAACTTCGACAGCTGGGGATGGGGCTTCAACCTGCTCTTCGCCTTTTCTACTCAGTGTCTGGGCTTCGGGCTGGCAGGCTCGGTCAGGCGTTTCCTTGTGGAACCTGCTGCCATGATCTGGCCTGCCGCCCTTGTCAACGTCGCCTTCATGTATGCCTTGCATGATCAGAGCCCTAGTGATCCGGCGAAGACAAATGGATGGTCCATATCGCGTTATCGACTGTTCATGATCGTTTGTATCGCCATGTTCGTGTACTCTTGGTAAGTTGCCCTACGACGGTGTGGCTGTGACAATGTACTCACAAACCTAGGTTTCCTGACTTCATCTTCCCTGCATTGAGCTACTTCGCCTGGATCACCTGGATTAAGCCGAATAATGTTGTAGTGAACCAACTCTTTGGCCAGGTGACTGGAATATCTCTGGGATTCCCTTTCACTGGTTTCACGCTGGACTGGGCACAGATCAACAGCTTTTATGGCAGTCCTCTCATTGCTCCATGGCACGCCCTTGCCAATACCTTGATTGGCTGTATTTTCTTCCTATGGATTGTTGTACCTGCCCTTCATTACACTGGAACATGGTACGCTGAATATGTTCCCATACTGCAAAATGGCATTTTGGACAACACTGGAACCACTTACAATACTTCGGCAATCTTGAGACCGGATCATACGGTTGATCCACAACAGTATGAAGCATACTCGCCTCTTTTCTTGTCGACATCGTTTGCTCTTGCATACGGTCTGAGCTTCGCGTCTATCACAGCACTATTCTCACATACCTGGCTTTTCCACGGCAGTGAAATCTGGGCTAGACTTAAAGCCTCGCATGGAGAACTGGACGATATACACATGAAGATCATGCGCAAGTATAAGACGGTCCCTACTTGGTGGTACTTGTCGCTTCTGGCTATCATGGTTGCATTTGCATTTGCATCTGCTTGCGGCTATGATACTGGCATGGCTTGGTACTCTGTCCTGCTCTCACTTGTCATTGCAGGGTTCTGGACCATTCCCATTGGTATGGTTCAAGCCTTCACGAACATCCAACTTGGACTCAACGTTTTCACCGAATTTATCATCGGTTATCTTCAACCTGGACACCCTGTGGCCATGATGATGTTTAAAACCTTTGGCTATATCGTCATGACCCAAGCGCTCTATTTCTGTCAAGACTTGAAGCTAGGACATTACATGCACGTCCCTCAACGGTCACTGTTTTTTGCTCAACTCGTCGCAACTTTGTGGTCATGCCTCTGTCAGCTGGCTACGGTCGAATGGGCCTTGGGGGCAATCGACAACATTTGTACCCCAGCCGCCTCAAACTTTTTTACCTGCGCATATATCAAGACATTCTACAACGCTTCAGTCATCTGGGGCGCAGTCGGACCCAAGCATCTATTTTCCAGCGGCGCAATCTACCAAGATTTGCAGTACTTTTGGCTCATTGGATTCTTTGTCCCAATTATTGCCTATCTTATTGCTCGAGCTTTCCCAAAATCAATGGCACGGAAGTTCAATAGCCCATTGTTCTTCAATGCGTTGGCTTATGTTCCTCCATATAGCGCTTTCAATATTGTGAGTCCCCCCATGTCGAAAAACCAAAACTTGCTTCTAGGCTAACTACTTCATAGCTCGCCTGGTGTATGGTGGGATACGGCTTCAATAAATATATCCGCGACAAGTTTAGGGGCTGGTGGATGCAGTACAACTATGTCCTTAGCGCAGCTTTGGATGTTGGCTTGGCCCTTTGCTCGCTGGCTATCTTCTTCTTTGTGCAACTTCCTGGAGGGAATATGTCAAGCTGGTGGGGTGTAAGTGTCATAGATTCCACGCTTGATGCACAGCAGGCAGCAATTCGGAAGACTGTTGCGGATGGTGAGATATTTGGCCCCAAGGAGTGGAAGTGGTAGTTGGAAACTGAGTCAATTAGGGGCTACGCGGGTGAAAGTGTGTGAAGTAAGGGCCCGAGAGCCTCCCGGGTTTCACTAGCTAGGTAAGTAGGTATCTAGTAGCTTTATTCGACCATGGTCGTTATGAAAGGATGAAGCCGTCTCGAACAATATGGTTCTAAGTACTGGCGCAAAACATAAGCCCACGTCGAGCCTGTGACACGATGGCGCCAAGCAGTAAGTAGAAGTGGTGGGCCTCGGGCCTCGGGCGTCGCTATACCTTTCTAAGCAGGTCGAGGAGGGAGTAGAAATGTGATAAGCACCCGCAATTGTGAGCTCCAGGGTTGAGGGCCCCCTCACTTAGGTACTTCATTGTGTTGGCACCTTTGTCCCTGTTTGCTCCGCCTAAAAGCTAAGACCTTCACGATGTCTACTAAATTGTTCCCTTGTGGTTGATAATTATTTGGTAGTTGTTTGGTCCACGTCCAGGCTGGACACTCTTCAATCAAAACCCACTATTGACAACAATCTACGTTGCCTACGCCAACCATGCCACTGCAGCTCGACCCAGATTTTGAGCGTGCTATACAAGATCTTCCTCCACCAAAGGAGAGCCCTCCAGTTGGTGATATTGAGACACGACGCACAAATGTTGCTGATGGGCTAGGAGAGCTTCTACTTCAAATGAAAACTTCAGGTGACATCGAAACAGAAGTGTTCGAGATTAAAAGGGATAATGGATGCCCGGTTTCTGTGCATAGATTCTTTTCAAAAGCAACCAAGGCACCGACAGAAGCCGTTTCTGGGCCGGCCGTTCTTCACATCCATGGTGGAGGGTACATTTCCATGAACGTTGACATGTGGTCACCAGCATTGAAGTCCCAAGTCTCACATACTTCCATCCAAATTTTCTCGGTGTGTTACAGCTTGGCCCCCGAAGCCCCTTACCCAACAGCATTAGAGGAATGTTATGCAACCCTGCTATGGCTTCAGATGAATGCTGAGACGTATAACATCGACCCTTCACGGATTGCTGTGCAGGGAGAAAGTGCAGGCGGCGGTCTGGCAGCAGCTGTATCACTTCTCGCGCGAGACAGAAAGCTGTCGCCTCCTATCGCGAAGCAAATCCTGATCTATCCAATGCTCGACGACCGCAATGTCAGCGCCAACGGGAATCTGGAGCCATTTGCTACCTGGAGCGTGTCCGATAATATTACCGCTTGGACTGCTTACCTTGGCACCGAGCCAGGTTCGAACACGACGTCATACTATGCAGCCCCAGCGAGAGCGACTGAGCTCTCCGGCCTTCCCACAACTTACATGGACATGGGCGAGCTCGACATTTTTCGCGACGAAAATCTGTCATATGCATCTCGCTTGGCTGCTGCGAATATAGGCCTCGAGCTTCATATATACCCTGGGGTACCACATGCCTTCGAATTCATTGCTCCGCAGTCATATCACGCACAGAACGCAATGGCTAACCGCTGGAAAGCACTGTCGGCTTTGTGAAGATGGAAAGTGAGCTAGATCAAAACTGCGTCATCCTTTCCCTGTCAAGAGATTCCCAGCCATGCTTGGTACAATAGATAGTTTCGAATATTTCAGTTGATCGATGACGGCGGCGTTGAGTCAGATTGTACGCCTCCCCAAGGTCCGGTGTGATCTGATTACCGACACTAAAGCGACAATTTGTCGCCCATAGCGGTGACCGATTTCATTTCATAGCCATTTGTTGCCTTGCTTGACTTACAGCTGAGTGCCCAGTTGAACTTCACTTTTGATGCCCATAGTCGCATGTTTAAAATGGGTGCTCTGATAGGTTATCTTTGTATCGTACCTCCTCTCCGCATTGTGGTGCCGGTTCCTCGGGGTCCTGGATTGTTTATGGGAAGACTTGACCAAATTCAATTTCCTACACGAAGGTCAAGGGCGCCTGTAATTCAATTCTGTCTGTAATATCTAATCTGCTTCTACGTCGATATCTCGGCTAAGGCATGGCATAACCACGTGAAAATGCCCCGAGGTCGCAGGAACTATCGAAATGGGTTGAGAATCGAACACTAGTAGCGTATTGTGTGCAAAGAAATCCAGTCAACGTCGACAACCCCCAGGAGTGAATACCACAACCAAATAATACTGATGAAAGCTCCTGATGAGTTTGGCTTTCACAAGCCTTCAAGGCGGCCAGCATTGACACCAGATCTTCTCATTGGCATTAATGAGCCGTAGGCACAATCAATGTATCAACGTATTCCCAATATTTCTTGGTGGATGCCCGCCTTAGCGTCTTCCCTTTCCAGATCATGAGAAGAAAGCTGCCAGTGCAAAGGAGGAAGAGAAAGGCCACGGCAATGAAAGTGTTTTGGAGGCCTGTTGCCTCAAGCCATGGCGTAATACCATAACTCATCCCGAAGCCCATGGTGTTTCGGATGATCATAACAAGGATTAGAGTCTCACCTGCGATATCCTTGAAGCAGTCCACACAGTACCCTATAGCAGCGGAAGAACCCGAGACAATTGCAAACGATACCATTACCATACCGATCATGAGGCCCATAAAATGAACCTCGTGCGCTGCGCCAACGCCCCAAACAAACAAGCCACCCACCCCGATGATGCCAGAGACAAGAAGTATCCACAGTCTTTGTTCAGGCTCGCGGATACCCTGATTCCGACGTGCAAAGTAAATGGCTGATTTATCGCCCAAGAAACCAACCCAAAGCCAGCCAAGGAAGCATCCAACGAAAAGGGATAAGAAGGAACAGCCAACCGCGAGTGGCGAGAAGTTGTATGGAGAGCTGGTCAGAATGAATCCCATCGTCGCGTTCTGCACCAAGTACATGCATAGATTGCTGCCGTATAGGAACCCGGCGTATACGACGTTTGGAAAATGGAAAAAGATGAACAGGGGCCTGATCATCATGTAGAACATTTGCCTGTTGGAGGGGCTACCGTCCCTGCGGCGAAACATTCCCAGTTTTTGGAGATATGTCTTCTTCGGGCCAGCAGGATCCAGGACTCGGGGTTGATGGAGAGTGGCAAGGGCGGATCTAGCTCTGATGGATTGCTTTTCCTTCTCATGCCCATTGTCCGCATCAGTCCCATCCAAGTCCTGAATGATAGCATCATCAGTCTCGGCGGCGCTTTCAACGGTTTTTCTGAAGTACATGGTCTCTTCAAGGCCGAAGAATACAATAATAGTGCTAACAGCGTTGACGATTGTGCCGAACCAAATAGCGGATCTCCAGCTCATCGAGTTGGTGATGAGTCCTGCAAAGAACGGGGCTAGGGCATTAGAGCCAAATAAGAGAAGGGTATAAATGCCAATATAGTTTCCACGTTCGTGGGCGAAAAAGATGTCCGGGATCGAGAGTTCGGGCAGGGACTCGACTGGCGATACAATGAGTCCGATGAGAATACGGTGGGCATACCATTCGCCTGTGCTGGATGTGTAGGCCGTCCAAACCATAGGGCCGATACAGCAAAGACTAGAAAGCAGATAGACACCGCGTCGACCGTATGTCATAGCAATCGGTTGCCAGATGAGACATCCCCATCCCAGGAAGAGGAACATAAGCCCGGTTCCCGTGTTCAAATTTGCAAGGGGAATTCCAGTCTCCTCGGCAATGTACGTCAAGACCGAGTACTGAACAGTGGTCGCAATTCCAACACCGAAAAGATAGGTATAGAGCATGGTTACATGCCATAATTTCCGCTTCTGGGACCAATTCAAGGGGTCCTCGGGATCTGTGCTTGGTTGCGGATTCAAGACGATATCGTCGTTGTGGCTGTGGCTGCTGGCATTGATATCAACGAGGTAGATAGTGCCAGGCACAGCATCTCGAGCTCCTTGTGTCATGATGGCGTTCAGTGAGTATTCGAGAAGATGTCAATGTCCGATGAGGGCATCGAAGGAGTTGAGCGGCTGAAGTGATCAAGGTATTTGTATGCCAGACGCTCGATCCAGCCCCTTATCAGCTATACTCGGTGTAAAGCTGACATCTTCGCCATAGCCGACAAGAACGAAAGCGTCTTTGGAGATAAGAATGAATGCACAAAGACACGGCCGCCAACATATTCCCAAGCTAGTACATGATAGGCACTTGATGTCGTGGATCCCTTGGCTACAGCTTGGTCCACCCGTCGAAAGTCGGCGGCTATTCCTCTTCGAGTAAAATAGAAGAGCACTCACTCTACAATTCCTCGGCAGGCTTGTGATATGGCGTTAATGATATACTCTAGGCTCATTAGACAGATAAGCACAATATCCTTAACTAGTTGGAAAGCATTGCTCAAACCGAGGGAGCCCTTCGACCGACTGCGCGACGGTCCACAGATCATCCGAGAATCTCTGCCCATTGTGCCCTATTTCCGCAAGACCTTACTTGGGGTTTCCCTATCACGCCGTTGTACCTTATGTGGGTATCGGCGAATCAAGACATCTCCACTCTCTATCATTGCCACTTGTCAATCAATGATTAAGACTTTACCCCGCATCACTTGCTCGTGTCAACCCTGCTATAGCCATGACTGTTCGATGGCTTGACTGCTTACCAGCGTGGGGGGGCCTAATCTTACGTCTAGGTTACTCGATATGGCAAGAGAGAATTCAAGATTGCTAACTTCATTGTGCTTAGTTTCGATATGGGAAGAACCGTGGAAGTCTTGTGAGATCCTGCACTTTATCCTGGAGCAGAGGCAGAGAAGCTAGCAAGCGCCAGAGGCCCTCGGGCCCATGTCAAGCGCGGTCCGGTAATCACAAAGCATCAAGATCAGTAGGAACCGCCTGGGACGGGCCACCAAGAACACAAAACAAGTCCCCCTTCCAAGTATCTTGCAAGTTTGCCAGAGAGTTTGCGTCCGAAACAGCCCATGCGACCAGATCTGCCCCACTGCTTGCCTTTTCAAACAGGGAAATATTGAGAGCACTTCGAGACAAGTTGTCGACAGGCCGAGACTCAAGAGAAGCTGTCCCAGAAATGTTTCTTTATCTATGGGTTGTACTGGTAGCTCTTCACCGAGGCCAGCAAGCTGCTGAAACAGATGGCACTTTTGATCGTTCCAAAATATATTCCTGGACTAGTAGTAGAAGTCAATACCCTTGTACGGCCTGACTTCATCTATAGCACCAAGCTGATTATTTCACTAAGTCTCTTAGATACTGCTTGGC